TACGCAAATGTCCGGCTTCAGTATCAACTCGGTCCCAACCGGCTCTTCCCAGAACTCACAAGCGAAGGGGATCCTTTCATCTGATTTGGTATCGCATCTAATCCCGGAAGAGGTGAATGGTTTTACATATGATAGATCCAAGCATCAATGGGTCAAGGGCGATGAAAGACAACCGGCGAAGAGGGTACCCAGAGAGGATGGAGACGAGGATCCCTTCCAGGACATTCCCGATCTGAGCGTGGATGAACTTCAGGAAATGATGAGAGTCCATGGATTGAACTCCCCGTCAAAAAGTACCGAGGGGCAGCATTCTCGAACTCCATCTGGCGCAGGGAGCTCGCCCAGGAAACTCGAGAAGAGGCCTCATTCAAGGGGCGGACAGCCATCGGACAACACAAGTTCCGCCAAATCGGGAGCTTCGCGACCCACAGCAAGTGTACCTAATTCTGGTACTCGTCCTACTCCCCAGGAGACGAATGCAGCGCGCGACACCGGCGACACCGAAGACAATGCCGTCGATCCGGAGTCAGAACCAACCACTCAGCCGCGACCTAAGCAAAACCGGGTCCCCACCATTTCGTTCTCGTCCCCTCTCGTCTCACATATTGCGTATCGAGAAGATTCAGATGCTCCTGAATCACCTGCTGCCCCAGAAGACTCGAGTCATCAATCATCCGCCAGTGCAAACCAGCAGAATGGTTCAACGCACCCTGTTCCTCGCCCTGCCGGTCGTCAATCCTCGGTTGCTGGCCAGCCATTCATCCGACGTCCGATTTCCCGAATCGAGGAACGCAACGAAGAGGGAATGGATGAACTGAGCATTGTCCAAAGAAATGAGATAATGGCTGTTCAGCAAACACCTAATGGCGCGGCGACGTCTCTGGTCCCCGTTAGCGATGGGCAAGATACCACCTACAGCTTCCATATGAGCCCACTCCCTGATTTCTCAGTCAATGAGCCGGACAACCCATTGAACCTTGAAATGACCTATGTTGCGCAGCGTACGCACCCCGGTTCTTTGCGACAGGTGCATGGCACTTTTGCTCTTGCGACAGAAGATTTGATCAAGCACATCACAGACGTTGAGCCATACGAACCCTATTGGGAACATGTTCGTCGATTGGTACTCCGTCAGAAAAGCCTGATCACGCTGCATAAGTTGAGTGACTTCTGTCCACGTCTTGAAGAGCTCGATGTCTCCGACAATGACATCGGTCAGTTGAGTGGCGTTCCTTCGTCTCTTCGAACTCTGAAGATTCCTCGCAATTGCCTGTCCAATCTCACCCCTTGGAGCCACCTCCACAATCTACAGTACCTTGATATATCCGGAAATGACATCGAGACATTGGACGGCTTTTCCAGCTTGATCCACCTGAGAGAGCTGAAGGCAAACGATAACCAAATCCGCAACATCGATGGAATTCTTGACATGAACGGGTTGTTGAGTCTGAAACTTAGTAATAACTCGGTGACAGCTGTGGATTTCGAAGGGGCCGAATTGTAAGTCTTCTGCATGGCGGGAGAAATTGCAAATGTTAACATGAAAATAGAACGCGTCTTCGCGATCTCGACTTAAGCCATAATTGTTTGACCTCTGTCCACAACATCGAGTGGCTTCCATCGCTTGTTACTCTTGATCTTAGTTCCAACCAGATTTCTCGACTTGAGTCGCCTAGCGCACTCATAAGTCTACGCGCTCTCAAGCTCTCCGAGAACACTCTAGACATCTTTGATGCTACGCCTTTTTCATCCGTGAGCTTGCTCTATCTCGATCAAAACTCCCTGGCGAGTATCGCTGGTCTGCAGCACTGTCACAACCTGGAGGTCCTTTCCGTCCGAGATCAAACGCAGCCATCATTGGACTCTGCATTCGACATCGACCTGGGATCTGTAAAAGAAATCCGGAAAGTCTTCTTGTCATCCAACAAGCTTTCACCTACGTGTTTATCGCCATCGTCTCCTTTGCTTCGATTGCAACTTCTCGACCTCGCGGGCTGTACTTTAAATGCCCTGCCAAGCGGATTTTCAGCCAGCTATCCGAACCTCAAAGTTCTCAACCTGAACTTCAATTCGATCGCCGAGCTGGAGCCACTAGTTGGAATGAATTGTCTAGCTCGACTCACGGCAGTGAATAACCGTCTTGAAAGAATGCGCCGGATTTGCCAAATTCTAAGTCGACTTGGTCGGACGGGTCGGGGAAGTGCATGTTCACTCCGCAAACTTGACATCCGGGGTAACCCTCTCACCGTCGGCTTCTACCCCCCAGCTGTCACTGGAAATGGCACAAATGTGGATCGCAAAAAACTGAAAGACCAAGAGAAGGCTATCGTTCAGCAACAAGAAGATCGACGAGATCTTTCAGATGCCCTCGCTGATATGGACCGTATCGATTCCCTCGGCCATCCAGTCAATTGGGAAGATGGAGCGAAGACTGACCGGGAAGTAGAGATCAATGATCCGTTCACGTTACCACCCGCCGACCCTCAGGTGGATCAAAAATATCTGGGTCGTCTAGACAAAGCCACGAGACTACGTCGGAGTGTCCTCGAGCTACTATTATACGCTGGAACCAGCGGTTCCTTACACAGTGTGGACGGACTGGATCTTCGGCCGTCCCTGGGCGAGGACTCGCCGGACATGGAAAGAGCGTGGAAGAAATTGGAGGAGTTGGGTGTGCTTCGTCGGAAAGCAATTACAAACAAGCCATGCAATCAATAACTGGCGACTTCTATTTCGGGTATAAAGAGCGGTGGATTTGATTTGTGCATGGGAGCGTTGCGTGTATGGAGTTTCTGTTCTTTACTTCTACATGGATTGGACTGAGCCTGGGACTAGGCCTGGTGTTGGTTGGGTTGGGTTGGGTTGGGTTTGTACACAGCATGCATGATTGCATTGCATCACTGGAGTTTGATTTCTATATGCCGTCCAAAGTCTTGAGTCATAGCGACAGCATCTTATCATTTGAATGAATAATGTCATTCTTCATACTCGTCTGCCCATATGAAGTAAGGTAAAATATGTCACCTATCCCCTGGTACTTGCCATACCTGCAAATCCTCAACAGTTTCAGGCAACCCACATGACAGCAAATCCCCTCCAAGGCGGAAGCGAGTAATAAAGAGCCGCAGATTGATCGGCATCGACTGTACCTTATGTAGAAAGGGGGATGGGCAGGAGTACCGGTACTTTTGGAAAGGGAACTGAGGGGAAGAGGACCTTGGACCAAAAGCAATGAGGCGCAGCTGAGGGTCAAGGCGAAGCGACTCGAAAGCATTGAACAAGAAACGGAGCAAACAATTCCATTTGATCATAATCACAGTATCAAAGAGAAAATCCTTCATCATAGTACCCTCCTGCCTGGTAAATAGTATCTTCCCAGCGATCTGGTTGTCTCAGACCCGGTAGGGTGGTAAGTGTGAACGGCCCGTCCGGCGGTAGTTCGGCCTCGGGCCCGAGACACTGGGACCAGATCATTCTGTCCGCAAACACACACGCAGAACTGCCGATATATTTCTCACAGTGGCCTCCCTGATTGATCGGGGAGACGTGGGAATGACCCGGTATGCATACCAAGTGTTTCGACTCGGAGGGGGCCTGGACTTTGCGCTTTTTGCGTAGGCGTGTGCCCGGGTTTATAGGCTATAACCAATTTGGTAATAGTTTATGCAAATCGGAATATCGGAAGGATTATACGGAGGATTCTATTGGTGTTAGTAATATTCTGATGCGAGCCTTTGTTCCGCTATTCTGTTCTAGGGAGGGATCTGTCTTTTCCCTGGTGTTGGTTGTTGTGTCCAACCGGATGAATTCACAGCTGTGCCCGGATGCAATGGCTCTGCAGAGCGGAGCGGTACAATGCGGTCCAGCGGGACTGATTAGTTTGACTCCCTATCATCCCAGGGTTCTGGGTTGACTTCCACGATCCGTTGTCCTGGGACCGGGCTCAGGGATATCAATGGCTGAATGAGTGAGTAATCCTGTTGCATCTACTACACCGCTGGTCAAGACTTCAACCAGGACTTCTAGATCTAGAAACGGTATTCCCGCCTACTCTTTAGGGAGGGACGATTTGGAACCGGGAATTTCTGAACCATGCAGTCCAAGATTGCAAAGGGATGATCTGTCATTTTCTGTGTCAAGATCCTTGTCCGTTGCGTTCGCAGGCGTGGCCTGTGGCCTTGGAGGGTTAGTACTAGTATAAGTTCAAAATGCCTTTTCTTCTTTACCTTTTCCCTGACTGGGAGGCTGCCATTTCCTTTTTCTCATAACTGATATCTACCAAAATGCTTTTCATTGCATGCGCCGTTTTTGCCCTCTCTGTGGTCGTTCTGGTATTGATACTCTTGGAGATTTCCACGGCCTACTCGACCCCGACAGAGACTCGTTTGGTGGGTGAGGTTAAGTTGGTAAGTTGACATAACTTGAAATTATTGTTTAGCTTTGATAAAGAATGCTAACTGTTCAACTGTGCGGTGAGAAGATACCAACATCTATCGTTACGCCGGAGAATAAAATGCCTCGGGGACTTCGACGGCGAACACCTTTTGCATGTTAGCGGCATCCATTATTTCTATCTATCGAAAGATGACCTGACGAAAACAGATCGAGACGTTTGATAGACAGGCCTGGATCGATAAGAACCTTGAGTAGCTGGACAAGAGGAAGAACTATTTGTTTGTCAAGGGATACACCAAGCAAGTGCTATTACCCGATCGGGAACGAAGAGATATTGGATTAATCTTGATACCTGCTACAAAGACTGGCGGACACTGCTAAGACCTCATGGGGTTCGTGGCAAATTGCTTGATGATCATAAGAGTGAGACAGTCTGTATTGTCATAAATTTTTGTTTCCATTAGACTGAATATTAAAGTGAGGTACCGCCAGAAGACAAATTGAAATCTTGAAACAACAAGAATAGAAAAGAAAAGGCCATCGAGACCGAGCCCTAAGGGAGACACCATACCATGTTGATAATTCGTTTACCACCATTTCAAGGACTAGACGGATGTTCCATCTTTAGCCTTCTCCTCAGTCGCATCGGCAGTAGTTGTAGCATAGCTCTCGTTGTTAATGTGACGGAAGCGATACCAGAAGATCATGATTTGTAGAATAAGCGCGATAGCCAGCCCGGCCCAGATCCAGATAAGCCAGGGATCCTTTGTCACTGGGATGAGGCTCTCTTCAAGGGCACTGGAGAGAGCGGACATAAACAGAAAAGAGGCCACCACTGTGCTCCTCATGCTTTTCGGGGACCGGGAATAGGCAACTTCATAGGCGGTCACATTGCAGAAACATTCGCTCAACGCACCAAGAATGGTGGCGGGGAGCTGCCACCAGATGGAGATGGGGGCAACTTCATCACAAGTTGAAGCAGAATATCCACAAGGAGACTGCTTGTAGACCTGCCACTGCACTAGAATGCCACAGATGCCACCGAGAGTTGATATGGCAGCTGGTGGCGATTTTGATCCAGGACCGTTGGGGCAATGTTCGGTTTGAAGATTCCAGCGCCAAGGGCGAGAAAGAGTAGGTCGACGATGAAGGGTGGTGCCGCATGCGATGCTCCCTTCTGCAGCACGGAGGGAATGACGCCCACCAACTGAACTATATGCGCCAGACCGCAGATCAAAACACCCACCATAATGGCTTTGTACCATCCAATATGAACATCGGCCCACCAGCCTCCTAAAATGGGGATAACGTATGCCAGGAAACTGAAGAGGAGATTCAGAGAGCTGCTGGCCTGAAGGCCCATACCCAGTGCACCCGCAGTCTTCTGTGTACCTCGTGGGGGCGCGCCAGCTCCATTTCCCCCCTGCGCTCAAAAGTTAGCTTTCAGGCAATTGAAATGGACCGTGAAATTCAAGAAAAGGCCCAATCTCGACTGACCTTTGGGGAGGGGGAATTCGATGAAGTTCGCGAAAACGGTCCTTGCGCCATAGTAGGAAGCACGCTCGGCAAATTCGACAAGGCATAGAGAGTATGAGGCTAGGGGGAGAGAGTCGCGGCGACTTTTCGAAGAGTTCGACTTTCCTCATCGGTGGGAGGCGGATACTGGTCCTCCAAAGGGTCGCTGTTGGCTTCACTCATGCTGGGATCAACAGGCTTCTTCTCATCACTGGGAGGGACGAGAGGTACAACACGGCCGTAAGTCGACTGAAGTGAGTCTATCTCGAAGCCCTCATTGCTACCAGCCCGTGGAGACGCTATAAGATGCAGTGTCAGTAGTAGATGTCATGGGAACCAGACTAGACTCACCCATGATCGATCAAGCCCATGAAGTGGAGACGAAGAAGAGATGGAATAAAAGAGAGATAAGCGAGCAAAGAAGAGAGCAGCGGAGTGAAGAGTGAAGAATGAAGATGAGAGCAGCGGAGTGTTGTGTTGTGTTGTGTTGTGTTGTATACCTCAGTGAAGGAAACCCGGGTGCACAGCACTTCGGCGATGGCGCCATCGAGCATACGCAGGAACCAGCAACTTCAATCCCACTGGATACTGGTAACCCCTATAAACACAATAGTTATCCATGGTGCCACCTAATTAAATCCATGGCCGTACCTTGTACGTTAAAGAGTGTGATGATTGCAAATTAGGTCGCGGCAAGAAATGTAACCTCACGGCTCATTGTGTGTCAGACTGATCTGTAAGGTTAGCCCATGCAAGTTTTGTGAAATCTCCAGGATTTATCAGAGTAACCTACCTATAGTAAATAGGTACCAAGGTAAGCATGGATTTCAGGGTTATAACTATACATGGGATAGTATGCGTGCCAGTGGAGGATGGGCTCAATAATAAGATGGATATATGCTATGGAGAAGAGAGGAATGAAGCGAGGAAGCTATGGAGACAACTTACCAAGAATAACCAGTGAATATGTGGATCCTTGTTTCATAGTCATATAGACAAAGAGCTGTATAATGCTAAGATCAAAGAGGTTGTGGTTTGCTAGGATCCCTGTCTTCGAGCAAAGAGGGACAAGCGGACAGATGTGCATCGGAGAGATCGACTGTTTCGCGTTTTTTTCACCTAGCCAATATCACCTGTGACGTATGCCTTCTCTGGTCTCGGCTCATTTGCGCCCTATTCCATTCTTCAAGCATAATTGTCTTTCGGTGACTTGCACTTTTGAAACCAAGATGAGAAATAATGGTTAGCACATCCTGACACCATGCAATTCGCTCAGAACTTTGCATCTTGATGTAGGTCTGCGAGATCTGACCAAGGAGCAGAATTGAAAGATGAGCAAGGCAGGATCGGTTTTTATCTCGCAAACAGAACGCAATCGATCGAGCAATCTGGTCGGCATAGAAGCCCTCGAGGAGAAAATTGTCCTCGTCGGGTAGACAGTCATGCGCATGTGACGAGACCAGAGCAATTGCCTGGGGTATCAAGATATGAACAAGTCGCATCGCGTTGAAAAACATCATATGTATCCTGGCGCTATCGAGAGATACAAATTGAGATGCGGGGCCGAATATATCATCAGTAGGAGGGAGATCATGGTGTGAGGTCTCCTCATTCGTGTTGCAAGGAAAGACCTCAGCGATATCAGTTTGCCTCCATGCATACCATGTCCTCATACTCTCCCGCTGTGCAATGCAGCTTTCCAGAAGTGATGAACATGAACTATGAGCAGAGGAATTTGTGCGGAGCACATTGAATAGCATCGCGGAGGAAGCCGAAAACCGGAGAAGATCATCGAGGGGTGAGGTTTCGTTAGAACACATGATATCATTATGCTGTTCAGGGGATATCCCATCGGTCATAATAGCGAGAATCTGAAATGGATTTCGATAAGCAGAACTTGAAGCACAATTACTGGGTCCCAAGTGCCTCCTACCGTAATGACCTTTTGAAAAGGATTGAATATGTACCTCATGGCTTCATTCGTGGGATATGGTCGTTGGCGCTGGTACTTGAGTAGTGTTTTGAATGCCCCCCAATGAGCCACCCACGCATCCAAACCATCAGAAAAGTAGTGCGACTGATAATATTCTTAGATGTTGAAGCATATGATACAGCAAGGCACTGTAAGTGACAGTATCAAAAAATCGAGACTCACCTCCAGTTCCGTCCAAATTATGAGCGAATAGATTATATCATCGTGGTAGGGGTCTCGACGCATCATATTCGACATGACGGGTATGGCTTGATTGTATAGCCGGATCCCATACAGAAGGAGACCTTGGTCGCATTTGCTTGTCCCAAGGGAGATACAAGCCCATGCTGTGAGGCTCTTCTGGAAGAGATCGGTACTTGCCGGTTGCGTTGGCCAGCTCGTAACCACAGAGTGCCATGCATCATCAACACTGGTCGGAAAATAGACATCTATAAAAGAGGAATATAATTGAATGCGGAACATTGGCCCCGAAGCAATTGCACCGGGTAGCGTTGGATTATCCGAGTCTCGGTGTTTTGCAAGAGCCTTGGCTTTGTATGGTCTGTTGGGGGTAAACACCACGAAGGTCTCAATCCGATCATAGCCGGGGCATTCAAGCCCTCGTTTGACGCAACGATAGCATTTAGGATTTTGCAAATCACACTAGACGATAAAATTAGTGAAAGTTATATCAAAATCTGATTTTCCCTGACCTTAATCCTGCGCTTTTTGCATGTCTTACAGGCTGGAGACTGGAAGGGCGTCGCAGCCATAATTCACAGTGTGAATTACTCCATTAATCCACCCAGCGATAAAGTATTAGCGGTCATCCGGAGATCGTGTCGTGTTCGTCGCGGAAACTCATCATGCAAGAGCTGAGGAATTGGCGAGTTGGTCAAATTTGAGTGGGGGCCATCTTCTCGCTTGATGACGTCAGCCACCAAGAGCGAAGGGAAAACAGGAGGCCTTCAAAATCATGTTGAGGTCAAAGTTGAATTCACTAAGCAAGAAAACAATAACGTTACGGCTTTGTGCTCAGATAGGGGGAAGTGAAGGTGTGGTACTACTACTACCAAACATACACGCCACCTAAAGGGTCTCGGACCATAACGACCAACTAGTTAGTAGTTGATTAGACATCTTTTATTTATGTACCGCCATGAAATCTCAAATACTCCGTGGAAATCTCCGTGACTTAGATTCAAATGTAGGTTAGATTAGACAGTGGGGTATTATTTCCCCCTTTGACCAACTCTCGAGAATGTGATCCGGGGTAACCTTGCAAGAGGACTGCATCAAGAAATGCATGGAAGATCGATGGTTTGACAATAATGAATCGCAATATCGACGGTGAGGCTGTGAAATTGAGAAGTGTTCCCAATCGGAAAGAATTCATTGAGAATCAGGCTTTATTATAGCAAGACGCTCTCATCATCTTCTTGCAGCGGAGAGTAATTAGAAGCTGGAATAGCGTCACAAAAGCTCCATCGGCCGAAACTTATCCTCCAATGAAGAGATCAAGATTCGTACATAAAACGACAACCTAGTGGCAGCTATTATGGCGACAACGTGGGGAAGTTTTACATCTTACACTACTAAGCAATATTGACAATGTCTCTTAAAACACATAAATTAGTCCGCGCCGCCGGAAACGATTATCTATCCCTTCAAAAATTTTAACCTCAGGGTGAACATTCGAATTAATTGCGTTTATACGCCCATCAAGCTTTTTCGAGCAAAAATAGAGAGGTGCCATGGGTCCTCGCTACCAGGACATTGCTGTGATCGGGGGAGGCCCTTCGGGAATCTCAGCTACCAAAGCCCTGGTAGAAGAAAGAATATTCCAGACCGTGCGTCTTTTCGAGCGCCGAGACCATGTCAGTGGAATTTGGCATTATGACCCGGTCCCTGATATTTTCCCTACTGCAACGAAGGCTGGTTCAAACCCGAGAAACTTTCCATCAAAACTTCCACACCTTGCGCCTCCTGCTTTAGAGGATCTCACCTCACGAACAGCCATATATGACACTCTCGATAGCAATGTCGGTGCGAAGGCAATGTCCTTTTCTCATACCCCGTTACCGCTTGTGAATTCAGCCCAGTCCACGAGATATCTCGGGCATTCCAACCCTACGAGGCCTTTTCGTGTTGTTGCAAAGTATCTTGAGGAACTTTTCAAAGATTATCTCCATCTAGCCTCCTTCAATACAACTGTTATGAAGGTGGAGAAGAAGTCTGAAAAATGGGTTCTGACACTACGACAGTCTGGACATGTGGTCAATGGGGAATTGAAGGACTATTGGTGGGAAGAACAATTCGATGCAGTGATTGTAGCTTTATAGTGTGCCGTATGTGCCAGAATAGTCGGGCTGAAGAATGCCGTAACAAAATATCCGGCCCACTTCAAACATTCAAAGGAATTTCGCAATCCTGATGACTACGTTGATAAGAAAGAGGTGGTGGTTGGGGAGAATGTCTCTTCGGCTGATCTCGTTGCCGACCTTCATGCCGTTGTTAAAGCGACCCTAGAGCTCTCTCAACGAGGCCACAACGAGGCCCTAGATTCGGCTTGGAATTTACCAAATGTCAAGGTGCGACCAACCGTGAGCGAGATCAAAACATCGGCACGGGGAATCAATGTGTATTACTCAGACGGGTCGGTAACCGAGGACGAGGACAAAGTCCTCTTCGCTACGGGCTACAAGCTGTCCTATCCGTTCATTACACCAGACCCGGTTACTCCGAATCACCGAGTGGCTGGATTTTACCAACATATTTGGAAAATGGGATCCGTCGCTGGAATTGGTTGGACAAGTACGTGCCGCTATCAGCTTCCGAGTTTATGAGTATCAGGCTGTTGCTGTTGCTCGATACTTCGCTGGCAGAAATAAGGCGTCGCTACCTTCTCCCATAGAGCAAGATCAATGGGAAGTCAACAGACTGCAGTACAAAGGAAATTCGCCGATTTTCCACGAAATCAAACCCGACTTCAAGGAATACTTTGATTTCTTGACGAAATTGGCCGGTCCGCCTGCAGCGGAATAAGATGGTTATTTATTGGCACCGTGGGAGGATAAGTGAGCACAACATGCATTCGAAATATTCCAGTTGAAGGATAAGTACTGGAGATCATTGCACAAGAAGAAAGTATATTTTGTCTCGGCCAAGCTGTGAATAAACGTTGTAGAGTTTAATGATGCAATTTCCAAATTTACTGTCCACACTAACACCAGCTAAAGCTCTATATGCTATGCATTCTTGTCTTGCTCATTGCTCTCTCTCACTATCTCAAATTAAAGCTTTGGTCGCAGTATTTCAGCCTCCGACTGCAAAAGCGCCACGACATTTTGGGCGGCTTGTTGACCCTGCTCGATTGCTCCATCAACAAAACCTCTCCATCCATCTGCCCAGTCAGCGCTTGCAAAAACGACTCTCCCATCAGGGCTTTGGAGTTCCTGAAGAAAGGTCGACGCACACCCCGGCCCCCAACAGGCCCAGCCACCCTTCGAGTAAGGATCATTGACCCAGTCATGGGTTGCGTAGGCTTCGACTTGAGCGCCTGGGTGGATATCCGCCCGGAAGCGATCTATAATATACTTCGAGTTTTTCAGATCTTTCAAACCCATATTGTATCCAAATCCAATGCACCAAGTCCCCGATGCATCTAAACTCCGAGTTCCGTTGTGGTCGGAGAAGGCAAATACATAAGCTGAGTCCCGAGAGTCAGCAGTCGCAAACCAGCCTGGCTCAGTATTCCTGAGCTTGAAGTGCACTTTTGTCCCCTTGTTGATATGTCCCTTGGCAATCGCAGACTGTCGTATAGAAGAGAGTGAATTTTTAAACGTCACATCGGCCAAGCAATTCCTTTTCTGAATTAGCCGCTCGATTCAATCGCCTTTCTGAAAATAGTGGACTTACAAGGGAACAGTCGAAACCACGTATTTTGCTTTGATGGAGTGGCCCAAGTTCGTGATAACCTCGACTCCTGAGTTATTTTGTCTCACCTCCTTCACAGTCGTCTCTAAAGCCATGTCCCCATCATATTCGCCCAAAATTGCTCGCGCAAAAGAAGTCATGCCTCCATTGCCAATTTTGTAAATACCAGCTAGCTCGAATACACCGGCCATGCTGTGTCCGCTTAAAGCATACCATCTAAGCGCTTCTGTGAACGCGATTTCTTGTCCAGGGGCACTACCGAAAGTACTAACGTTCGATTCGAACAGCCCCTTTTCCCAGTCTGAAAACCCAGACAAACTGGCCAGCCTATCTTTCACAGATAGATGATCGTGCTTTGTCCATGGCGCTCCCCCCTTGAAGGGGTCGTGGGGATATGGCATGAGTTGGCGACTGTTGCTTCCTTCGATAGTGAAGAATGCTTCGGCAAGCCGCTCCAAGGTATTCATTGAAACCTCAATGGGTATCTCCTGGGGTGGAGCCAACCCGTACTTGAAGACTTGCTTTGCCGGTGCGGCGGTTCCTGCAGAGGTCTTCAGATTGGCATGGAGTCCGTACCGGCGAAGCTCGCTATAGAGATGCCCTTGGTTCCAATGAATCCACGTCCCACCCATTTCACATTCTTCCCCCAAAACCTTGGCCGTCCATGTGCGTCCGCCAATCCGATCTCTTGCTTCTAAGATGAGCACTTTCAGGTGGTGTCTTTGACTCAATTCTCGCGCTGCGATTAGACCCGTGAAGCCTGCTCCTATAACTATAACATCATAGCTTTCATGAATGGTTGCGGAGCTGCTTTGTACTGCATTGGTCTCTAAGCCATCTCGGCTTCCCTCTGGTGTCCATAAAAATCCTTCTTTTGAGAATAATGCCATTTGAGCATGATATGAATGAAACTAGGAATTTTATATTGAGAGAGCGGGGGACATGAGGTCGCATTTATTTCCAGACTTCGAAGGGGCTCGCATTTGCGAATTTCATTCGGATACGAGTAGTCTCTGCAAGATCTATCATCGCTACGAATTTCCATAATGAATACTTTCATTTTACACGACAACGATCGAAAGGGAAATTTAGTGCGTTAGAGCAGTACTAACTACGGTATCAACCAATCGCATGTATTCTTCGCACTAATCCAGCATGTTAGGACGTGCACCTAGCGCGCCTGCTTGATTGCTTTCAGAGCGACAGGGTCTTGTCAATTTTTGCCTATCACTAGTTTGCCGAGAGAACATAACTTGATCTGTCAAAGTTTGCTCATTGTCCTTCCCCCCACACTTCCACGCAACCCCGTAACTGTCGGACGAGAAGTTTATGGTACTGCCACGAGGGAAAAAGAAAACATCGCCACCACGGACTGTTGTTGTCTGGCCAGTGGTGTCTTTCAAATTGATTTCTCCTGGACACAATCAACCTTCCGTGAATGCTTTGAGAGGGATTGACTCACCCTCTATGACAATTCCAATTTCATCATAATCGTACTTCGGAGGGGTTGCCTCAGGCCCCTTTTCAATTCGAAACCAGGCGCCGGCAATTGGACTTGGAGCTTTCTCATTTTGCGTCCCAAGACAGTCAGCTTCGGGAATTTGTCAGTAAGATCGGGCATTTTTATCATCGGCCACTGGCAAGGCTACCAAAGAAAACATTCGGTATTCCCCCCAAAATTGGGAATCTTGAAGCTATCTGTCTTGCTTCTCACTTGAAATGCCATAGTGTATAGAACTCGGAGGAATTGTGAACCGCTGGTTCCGCTCCTTTTTCTCGTTTTATCTCTTCCTTCTTATACTACTACCCTAAACATCTGAAGCCAATCGCTACGAACTATAAATTCGTCTCCACTCTTGGCAGTTAAAGTCTTTCAAATTAGAGATTTTGTGCGAACATTAATACCGTTAAATTTTAGCCCAATTTATCCGAATATAGTTTCCAGTCGTTCATCAACCATAACATTTGTCCAGTGAACAAATGACTCACTCATACCCTGCTTATCGGCTATTCTTTGCACGTCGGCCCGGAACCAGGTTCTCTCCACGACCTCCAATGCCCGTAAAACCGAAGCTAAGCCAACAAATCGGTGGATATATTTCAGTCTTTCTCTCACAAACGATCGCCAATGCTCGTGTACACCTTGTTCATTGTGGATATTGGCAAGCTCGTCAAATAGTCCGATCTTTTGAGACGTGGAAGCAGGAGAAGAATATTGTAAAGCACTACCGGCCACTATAAGAGGAAGGCAGAGTATTACATTTGTGCCTGAGTCCAGTGGCAAAGTTGATATAATTGTTAGTATGCCCGTCGCTAGAGAGAGCATTTTCGAAGGCCGTGAAATTTCAAGGCGATAGGAACTATCGCATTCAGAGCTACTGAACTCTCTAGCACATGACGTGAACAGTTCAGGAAACGAAAGATAAACTTCCAGCAGAGCCGTGAGTCGGAATATTTGCGCAGTCTTTTGAAGGTGGATCACGGGTGTTTGTATATCATGAGTCTGCTCGATCTTATCCAACGGCGGAATACGGTATCCCAGCAGCGCCATCTCGATTTCACGGGCTTTCTTGGTCAAAGTCGCTTGAATTCGTTCCTCGGCATCCAAGGCGAGGCTAGATAGGTTCAACTTTTGCATCGTCTCTCGCTGTCTTCCTAGAGCCCCCACGCGAGCCAGGTATATGAATAGAGGTGTAGATACCCCGGTCCAGGGATTGGACGGAATAATGTCATAACTTTCGTCCACAAATGAGGACAGATATGACGTGGCATTGAGCGGTTGATCCTTCAGAAAGGAGACCAGGGCTTCCCAGTAGGCCATAATACCGGCAATGAAGCGAATTGAATTCCTTTCTTTTGTCGATTGAACGGAATCTATGACCACTGGGCTCAATCTTTTAAACAATAACCGGGCACTGTGTAGATATTTCAGACCAAGCATAGTTGGATTATGCCAACTCTGTATTTGTCGTATTGAATTAGCCAAACTTCTCTTACCTCAGGAAGTTGATAAAACGTACATCTGTCATCCCAAGCAGTATACAGATAAACAAGACTACCAAATTGAAGTCACTATAGACGGTATCGATCGACTGAATCGTCTGATCTGTCCTAAGCACTTCGCGTTCGAGCCTGGAGACAGCCTCTTCCCTGTGAGTCAATGCCACGCGCTTGAGGCCATCGTCTTTCTCCGCAAGATGTGCGGCCGACATGGATAGTATACAGTGGTATACCAAAGGTGAATGCGACATACTGTCAGCAATCCAGGCACGAAACGGATTGCTTGATGAGTCGACGGCGCAATTGATGCGACAGATATTAGAGAAGTAGTAGTTAGATAAGCATGTATCCTGGCTATTTAGAGACCTTGGTATTAAAATGTCGCTGTAGAGTTCTGGAAGTTCGTGGTTATCATGCTGAAAATCGGTCGTAATAAACTGGTCCCAAATAGTATGATTGAGAAAGAAGGATGGTTCCATGAAATTATCTTGGTTATTGACGGGTATTGATTCATCGTGTGAGGATCCGAAGCCATGATAGACCTGTTCTAGTCCCAGATGCCCTGTCGTGTCGATCGATGCATGATCTCCGCTCAGCGCCCCACAAAATTGAGGGTGGGTTCCTTGGTCTATGTTCAGTGGGACGGCTGAACTCGGATTCTCGTGACTTCTTGTTGAAATTGGCCGTTTACTAGTCTCATATTTGGACGACCACTTCAGAGGACGAGTGAATCCAGGGCAGTCGTAGCCTCTTCTCGTGCATTGATTACAGGCAGGGTTGGTCTCGTCACATTTAATTCTCTGCCAAGGGGTTAACAAAGCGAAATTAGCGTCCTATAATTTTGCCGGGGCAAGCTAACCCTTTGCTTGCAACGAAGACATCCAGCTGCCCACGATCAATTATTAGTTAATGCACAGTCAATTTGCCAGTTCAGCAGCCAAGTTGAAATCAACATACTCCTGGTTTTCCGCCTGTTGCGAGGGACTTGTCGGCACTCGTCAATAGCAGTTTGAGGTTCCATAATCAGTAGCGGGATAGCTTGTAAGTAATCAAGATTAACAGAACAATGAGGCCGTCTCAGTGAGAATGCGAGTTGCGATGGGGCACGAGGTTGAACACTCGGATGACCCACATCCCTGGCTGTCCAATCGCATCCATGGAATGCTGCGTACTTTTTGTCCCAGTTTAGTTAAGCGTGAATTGGCCCAACGGGGGGAAATAAGCGGGGAAAATAAACGGAGAGCCTTGAGGTTAAGGCTGCGGTCAATGGGACTTGGTTTCAACAATGGCAAAATTGTACAGCCTAGAAGAACCCCAATATTAATCCCAACTTAAATCGTACTCCGAATTCTGCAATACAACATTTAGACTCCAACTTTAAGGTAAAGAAGTTGCAAGCGTGCGAAATATTCAAGTCCACCTTGGGCAACTGGGTGGGTTTCAGTTAGTTATAGTTAGTGCATGGAGTGACTACTACCTAGTAGTATCAGTATATGTTAAATATATATTCAAGCACAACGGTATTCAAGTTCATCACCCGCCCGGGCGCCCCTCGGGGCATTCCCACTTCAAAGAAGACTGGAAGGTTCATGTTCCTGTCAAGCCCGGCAGGCGATTGTGTCCGTGGATACTACTACGTTAGTGATAGTTAGTAGGTACTAGTTAACAGTAGTAGAAAACTACTACTAACTACTAGTTACTATCTACAAAACTTGAAGTTCTCTAGAATACTATTGTAAATCTCAGTGCTATAGTCTGTTGAATCCAAGTCATTGCTGAAAAATATTGATGTCCTTATAGCTCAAATCACTGCCATTTGTTGAGGAAGTGGAAGTCGACGTAGGTTGGAGAACACCTGGGCAGTCTTCAGAATTGACAGCTGTAGTCCCCCCCCTGAAAATTATCAAATCGGGGGATATGCTCATAATATCCATAAATTTCCACTATCTAGTACGAGAAGAGAGCTTATACTTTGCCGTGTCGCGAGTTCTAATGCGATCGCAGTTTTTGAGAAATATTAGAGGTCTATTTTAACTATCCTTAGATTATTATTTCAAAAGCAAAGATTGAGTATATTAAGTAGGGAATTAGAAGAGAATGTACAACAGAATCTCCAGAAGGAGATAGTTTGTTTAAATGACAGAACCATTGTGGTTATCATGACCCACTCCAATTGTGGTTGTTGCAAGACGGTCTCGGTCTATTTGTTACCCGGAATAAGGAGTTGTTTCTCCTTCTTGATCTTCTCCACAACTTCGATGTCCACCTTCAAAACGTTGGCGACAGTGTCGGATGGCGTCAGCGCGAGCCACTGGGCCAACGAAATATCAGCAACCCGATCGCTCTTGTAGAGCTCGATCCAGATAAGCTTCTCGGTTTCGGAGGTGTTTTCAATATAGTGGCCTTTGAGAGGGTAGAAGGTTAGGACACTGTTTTTTAAAGTCTCAGAATTTCAAATACTAACCAGAGTTGTCCGGGAAGACTGCGGTGTCACCAGCAGTGAAGTCGAAGGTACGGGCATTAGAGCCACCAATGAAGATAGTAGCGCGGGCCTGTCCCTGGTGGAAGTACAGCCACTCCTCAGCCTAGACAAGAATATCAGTATTGTGAACATCATGTAGTTATGGATAGGTGCCTTACATTAGGGTGCCAGTGAAGCTCACGAAGACCCTTGGGCTCAAGCTCGATGACGGCAGCAGCGATGGTCTTCGAGATGGGGAAGTTTCTCGAGTCAATCTTGCGCAAGGTTCCACCGTGTCCAGGGACAGGCTCAGATGGGTGGTCATAGGTGTGGAAGACATATGAGCTGTTACCCTTGAGAGTTCCCTCGGGCGCCTTCTTCAGGTCGTCACTGACGGTACCGTTCAGGATGTAAGGGAACTTGGTTGGGACCTTGTCAAAGACATCAGGGCTAACACCGAAGTTCTTTGCAAGCACGTCCCGGGGGGTATGGGTAATCCAGTCATCGACCATGAAAGTGGTTCTATTCCATTAGCAAAAGGATTTCAAGCGGAAGAAAATTTGAGTACTTACCCGACTTTCTCGAAGTCGCCGTCGTCAAAAGCTAGAAGGTACTCATTCTCCTCGTCCAGGCCTTGGACGTTATGGGCGACGCCCTTAGGGAAATACCAGATATCACCGGTCTTGAGAACTTCAGTTGTAAAGCCGCCATCCTCATCGACTCCGGTCAGGAGCAGGGAGCCATTGTAAACAAATCCCCACTCAGCCTATATTGCGACAACTGTTAGCGACGAGGTAGATAATGGCCGTGAAGATGTACTCACCACTCTGTGCCAGTGAAGCTCACGAATGGCACCCTTCTTGAGATGCTGCTGGGCACCAGCAATATCATGGCTCTGGGGCAGATCTTGAATCACTTGCTCTCTGGACCAACCGCCCGGGAAAAGCTTAGTCTGAGACTGAGAGAAACTCCATTTGACATTAGGAACAAAGCCGTTGTCAGTGCTCGGGGTCCTGAGCTGATCCGGGTTCTGGAGGTCATTGGCCTTGTTGGTTCCGCCTTGAAAAGTGATCGAGTTAGCAAAAGACCCTTTTCCAAAGTTATATCAGAGACGGTTAGAATACTCACCCAACAAAGGGGCACCCTTCCCACTGTCGTTGATGGGCTGAGAAGGGTCAAGAGTGCGCTTGGCCTTGGGGACGGCCAAGGCAGAGGATGCGAATAGCCCAACCAGGGCGAGACTTTCGAAACGCATTGTGAAGTCGCGTTAAAAGAACGTGGAAACTTGAAATAAAAGTCTTGGCTTGACATTCTTCATTGCAAGGATAAAAGTACTATATATACCCCGTTACAGGCCGAAAACTTCCAAATTCTGACATTCATGCACGGGAATTCTTGGATCACAACATGCCCAATAATTATCGCGATCGCGCTGATCGTGATGAAAAGCAGTCGGATAATTCCGTGGCGTTCGAACTATGCCGCGCCTCAGAAGAGGGAAATGGTGCAATAGAGCGATCAAAAGCAAATATACTATCCCATGATAGACTTTGGGGGAAAAGCTGGGCCCTGCATGGCAATGTGGGCATCAAGAAAAGGCGTGGCAGGTGCAAAGCAATTTTGGCTTTATGTATAACAACATCCTTGGCATGTTGGCGAAATCAATGAGGCCTCGGCCTTAGTCCTCATGGGGAAATGTCAGCGCCGATCCAGGAACCAAACAGGGTCTCAAGAACCTTGGAACCCTAAGTTATCATTACCGAGATTTAGGAAAATGTGTACATTGGGATTGGGATTCTCAGCCGGCATGCAATCACCTCATCTGCCCCCCGACTGAGTGGTTCCTTGATATCTTGGCAGTTCTTGGCGGGTATGGATTGACATCACGGTCCACGCGATGGTTCACGAGGGGCACAAGTAAGCTTCGCTTTGACCCCTCCTCAAAACACCAGAAACTGGGAAGGCTGAAAAGTCGAAGATCATCTGTCAACCTTTGAAGTATTCAGAATTCACTGCTAACCATTCACTTAGCACCTTTTTGCCGTGCATATACGGGAAGATACATATGCAATCAATCTTGGAAGTTCCTTTTATTTTCCGACCTGCACCAGAAATGAGCGTTGTAGAAAAGCAAAGCATCAATATTTACTTAGATAACAGAAGAAACATCTTCTCATAAGTGAAAAGCCCTACTCAGCGCAAAGTCAAGACCCATATCTCACCAGTCCCCTTCCATCAAAAGCGTTCCCGTATCCTTAGCGTTGGAACTATTAGTTCCTAGGCTGCCTGGTCCCTGCAGGAGTTCGCGATCCTACACCCAGGCACCGGGGTTTGACCACGATCACGACATCGTGTTGATTTTAGTGTGGCTTGGCCCTGCATGGACGGAGACTGTATAGGAAATAATCCATCAGATCATCTCTCTGAAGAGATGAGAGAGTCATACAATATCCTGTCTTGGACTCAAAGACGCCATTCGGTAGATCATTATCGTCGTGAATAATTTGAAAGAAAGTTTTCAGCCACGGAATGGCTTCATTGCGTGCGATATGTTCATGATGATTCAGGGCGAAGGGTTCCTGAAAACCACAGGGATTCTGGGAGAGATGTAGCGAGCGGGACCTGTATATAAGCTGTATCAATTCCCTCAAATATGCTCACCAGACAACGCCTGGGTATTACTTTTCTTCTGATTTGTTCATTCGTTCGAGACCTTCCAAGATGAAGTACTCTGTTGCATCCATTGCATACCTGGTCTCAATCGGGCAGACCCTTTCGCTACCCCCTTTGATACCTTCAATTCCAGGGGTAACGGAGCCTCTGACTACCAATGCTCCCCCTCTGCCCATCCTGCAGGTCCCTACCCCGCCTCTGGAGAGCCCACCCTTCACTCCCAGCGATATCAAGCCCAAGAAGATTGGTTACTTCTGGACTGGAGCTGGTGACAAGTTCCACAAGGGTAAGTTATCAATAGATCATTAGTTCCTTTCCTTTACTAACACTGGGTCCTCAGACTTCCTGGCTACTTACAGTCTTGACGATGTACGAAAAACCTATTTTGCTTTTGAATTGCCATTTCCTTTTTCTGCAGACTGACTGATCAAATTTAGGACACCTTCGGCACGCTTCTCTGGGTGACCGATGTTCCATCCAGTGGTAACGATCCCCACCATCTGGGACCTTCGCTTGATGGCAAGACCTTGTTTGGTGGTGGTCTCCTTTCCCTCCTGAAGACTCAGGTCAGTCATCTCTTAGGCCGTTGATGGTGAATACAACTAACCATATATGACATAGGACACGGGTTTCTACTTCGACACCTCCAACCCCTACCGCCCCAAGTTCTTGAAGAGCAACCGAGCTGTTCTGGGATCCATTGCCGATGAAGTCCGTGCCAAGCCCGACGGCGGATTCTTCATCACCTACATGGGATCCGCAGTTGGAACCAGTCCCGGCCGTCTCATTGAGACTGACGCCGAATTCAACATCATTCACGAATATCCTGAAGATGTTGAAGGAACCCTCAATATCCTTGGAGAACAGTTCTCTCCCCACGGTCTCAGCATCGACTGGGAGAAGAAGCTCATCCTCACTTCTGACTTCGTTGAGCCGATCACTATTCTGAAGCCTTCCCTTGGGGTTCGCCACGCCAACACTCTCCGTCTTTGGGACCTGGACACCAAGAAGATTCTCAGCACCCTGACTATCCCTGACGTGAGTTCTCGCTCTATCTGAGATGAGAATTATAGACCATCCTGCTAATATATTGAATAGGGAGGTGGTATTCAGGATGTCAAGTTCATCCCCGGTAACAAGGAGTCTGCCGCTCTCGCTACTGCTGTGCACCTGGGACAGGTCTGGATTATCTACCCTCTCCGTAAGGACAAGAACGGTAACCAGGGTGTCATTGAGCTGCTGTATGACCTTGGTCCCAAGGCCCGTGACACAATCGCTATCTAGTATGTACCTGGAAGAACGCCCTACACCTATCAGTGCCATAGACTAACCTCACCCTCCTACAGCACCGACATCACCCAGGATGGCAAATACATCTACCTCACCCTAACAACGGGGAATCATATCGCAGCCTTGGATATCAGTGATTTGGACAATGTCCGCCGTCTCGACGATCCTGACGAGGATCAACCTACTGTCGGCCCCCACTACATTAAGGTTACTCCTGACCAGAAGCACTTGGTTGTCACCGACTACTTCGTACAGACTGGAGAAATCGGTATCATCAACACCCCGGCTGACTTCAAGGCTCTGTACATCGATCTCAACGAGGACGGTAGCCTTAACTTCAACCGTTCCATCGACTTCCCCAAGGAGTTCGCCAGCCGTGGTGGTGCTAAGCCCCACTCCAGTGTTGTCTTTGACCTCACTGACCCTGAGGACCCCAAATACTACTAGATGTGACTACAGAGGAGCGTGGGGGCGGATTGATTGAAGGAGTTGTACTGTGAGGGCAGTTTGCATTCTCCGATCTGGGCAAAAGCGCTTTGCGCTCTTGTAACTTTTATCTTCTAATTCTACTACACTCATTAATATTTACTTTCTTTTGAATAATTGGCAATCATTAATTGTAATTGTGCGTAGGAATTAGCACTAGGAAATAGAGATGCATAGAAGTGTGTAGAATGTATGTAGTGTAGTATATTGTAGTGGAGAGACCCGTTGACTATAGTTGGGAGGGCTCGGAGATATCAGGTGACCAGCTCAGACTCACATGGCTCCGGGGTACGAACAGCAAACTCAAATGAAATAGAAATTGACTTTGATGAGATTGAGCTTGATTTACAATATAATTAAACTTCATCTACTCTTGCTTTGTTTCCAGTTTTGCGATCCACACCCGATGCCTCTGCTGTAGTATGTGGTTGACGGGATACACTGTCCTTCCCACCCACCACCTCAGCTTCTAGCGTAGCATGGAATGCGACACGTTTCGGTAGCAGATATCTGACATCAATAAATCGAAGAACACAAGTCATAATTATGACGAATACTAGAAGTGCAAGGGCAGACTGCCAGCCGTATTTGTAGTATGGTGCCTGTGATGCTGGCCAAACTAAAACTTGGGACCAAGCAGAGATCGCATAATAACCAGCGACCGAGACCCCGACCACGAGTGTGCGTGCCTCGGGGTCCTGCGGAATAAGATCGGACAGCCAAGCGAAGATGAGAGGCGCAGTTCCAAGACAAATGTATGAAATAAAATATGAGGCATATGCACCCGACAGAGGAACAGTGCCGGGATGGGAGGTCCAAATGCTCATGATGATGCACGGAATGATGCCAATGATTCCTTGCACTACGATAAGAGTCCATCGTGTGTGAAGGAAATCGGATAGTAGAGCCCAAATCCAGACAAAGACGACGTTGATGGCTGAGCCTCCGATTGGAATCGCGTTGACTTGTGTAACAGACCACCTCGCACTCCCATCCGGATTCTTGAGTGACTTCAAAAAAAGTGAGAAGTACACGTAGCCGTAGGTACCAAGCACACTCGCAATGTATAGAATGGCAGTGAAGTAGACGACCCAGCCAGAGAATGTTCGCCGAACACCGGCCCAGGACATCTTCGCCGGCTCGGCACGACCGTTGCGAGCAAGCCGTTCCATCGAGAGCTCAGCGTGGGCTTTCTTGAACCAGAATGCGCGCGGATTAGGATTGCTCGGGGTATCCGGAATCATAAAGAAACCCGCGAAGCCCCAGACGACCGTTATGATAGCGTTGATGACAAATAGCCACCGCCACCCAGCGAGGCCTCCATGTCCATTCAAAGTATCGGAGATCGCGGCTTGCAGGGCCCCCGACATCATTTGTCCGACAGCCTGGCAAGAGTGATAGAAGCCCATTCGTTTGGCAAGTTCGGTTGGGGTATACCAGTACACTGAGAAAGATTAGCGTCGAGCGACACTTTGACGGGAGGAGGGTTCTTACTGAACAAGGTCATCATTCCGGGCCATGCACTGCTTTCGCAAAGTCCTAGAAAGACACGAAGAGCGTAAACCTGCTTGGCGTTGGTGCTCATGGCAATCAGGCCAGTAAGCACTCCCCAGATGATCTCCAAGCCAGGCAACCAGAAGCTTGGCCGAATGTATGTCAAAATGACCTGGGAAGGGATGACCATGATGCAGTAGGCGGCGTTGAAATATGTCGTGAAGCTATACAAGTTAGATTCCCTCTCCAACTAATCCTCGTGGCTCCCCGAGAGTAATCATTTTACAAGCATAACTTACAGGTTCAATTCGTTGCCATGGAGGTTAAGATCCTCTTGCATGCCGGAGACGTACGCATTGTTAATATTCTGCTGGTCGAGGTATTTAATGACTGGACTGGGTTAGCCTTGAAGTCCCATCGGAAAGCGAGGAGTCAGCTTTACCTTGAGAGATACAACCAAAGGTCAGTAGAAAAGTGTCGAGACGTCGCACAAGGGCCTTCTCCTCCGAAGATCGCACATAGCTGGGCTCTGTCTCGTCGCGACGAAGGAACGAGAGAAGTCCCATGGCAGGCTAGATGGTGTGTAGAGCGCACAGCAGAGTGAAAGGGAAAGGTAGCCTTCTACCCCTCGCTTCTAAATAGGATTGGAGATTCTGCCACCCTTCTGCGTGACCGGTGTGATAAGCACCTTAATCAGGAGCCAGTCTTGTCTGGGGACAGGGAGGGTCAATGCAGATCTGAAGAGGGGGAAGCTGGCAGCTGAGACCGCGTGATAAGCAGCATCCAATAGTTGCATTCCATTTCGAGGTGGGCGCGCGATGCCGGAGTCATTCCGGTAGACAAGGGAAATATTGTCGGTTGTCTCCAACTTTGACCCCACCAAGAAGTGTTGCATCGGAGCCTCAACTGACATTTGGTGCAGGTCGAGGCGAAATTTTAGCGAGCGCCACCTTGAGAAGGGCCGAGATAGGAGACCGAGGAGACCATGCGGGTACGCTAGACCCCGCAGACCCATAAATTGTGTCAAACTTTGACTGTTTTGAGGCTAGTGGCCCGGGGTGAAGAGAGGAACGTGAATGGGGTATGTCGGGAGATTGTAAAAGACGAAGGTGAAGGCGAAGGCGAAGGTGAAGGCGTGACTCGGTGACTTCCCAAGGTGATTCAAGTTTCCCCGCAACCTCGGAGCTTACTTCAACTTCTCCAACCTTTTCCAACTACAAACTCGAACCTGTCGCTGACTCGCTGTATATATTAAAGCCAGGGGAACGCGAGGGTAAATCCACATCCTTATCGTTGGTACTATCGTACTATCGCTGACCGGGCCAGGGCCATCTCATCCCATTCCAGTCATGTCCGAGCCTCGCACCAGCCCAGATGGGTCCAGCAGGAGTCTCCCCCGCGAAGCTCCTGGCCAAAGTTACTGGCAACGCACGACACGCGCATTTCCTCATCTCTTCGCCAATCGAGAAACTCCACTCCCACCAACCAGCAAATATGTGATCATTGGCTCTGGTATCTCTGGTGGCCTGACCGCGTTTGAGCTGATAGAGGCGGGCGCAAAGGCTGAGGAGATCATCGTTCTCGAAGCGCGGGAAGCCAGCAGCGGAGCCAGCTCCCGAAATGCTGGCCACGTAAGGCCAGGTAAATTTCCAATCATACCACAAATGAAAGAAAATGGCAGATCGATCTGACACTTTACAGATGCATTCCGTGGTTTCACTGCCTATTCCAAGGTCCATGGCGCTGAACAAGCGCTGAAAATCATCCAGAATGAGCGGCTCGTGCTCGAGAAGGTCGCTCAGTTCGTGAAAAGACACAACGTCCAATGCGATTTCAATCTGACAACCACTTTCGACGTTTGCATGACTCCGGAGTTTGCGAAATATGAAGCAGACAGTCTCGAGGCGTACAAGGAGGCGGGCGGCGATTCTTCTCACATCAAATATTATGAAGGGAAAGAGGCGCAGGAAAAGACGAGAATCCCTGGTGCCATCGCGGCGTACGAATGGCCTGGTGGCTCAAGTCATCCTGCGAAGCTGGCACAGTTCCTTCTCAGATCCGTGATTGACCAAGGGGCTCGGCTTTTCACATTCTGCCCTGCGATCAAGGTCGAGAAATCTTCATCGTCGGATTTGTGGGATATTCACACCACCCGTGGAGTCATAAAAGCCGAAAAGGTCATACATTGTACAAATGCGCATGCGGCGCTTCTTCTCCCACAACTCGAGTCTTACATTCGACCAAATCGAGCCCAGGCCCACACTTTGATCCCTCCTCCAGCCCTCGCCGCCACAGAATCTCTCCAGAGTACATTTTCTCTACGCTATAGTCTTCACCATTTCTACTCGCTTATCCAACGTAAGGATGATGGCACACTTGTTCTTGGTGTTTCTCGAACAAATCCCACACTGAGCGAAGAGACTGTGGCAGGTCGCTTCAGCACCGATGACAGTCGATACAACGAAGAAATTGCCGAAGATGCGTTGCGGAGTTTCGGAGACATCTTCCCACAATATGTCTCCAAGTCTTTGGTGCATGGCGAAGGTCTTGATCATTCTTGGACGGGGATCATTGCAATGACAACCGACTCGGTGCCTTTTGTTGGCGCTATCGAGTCACTCCCAGGGCAATACATTTGTGCTGGGTTTAATGGACATGGTAGGCGGAAAGATAGTATCTCATATTAAGATTCTTTTCACTGACCGATTTTCCCATAGGTATGGCTCGTATATTCACATGTGCCCCTGGTGTTGCGAGGCTGGTTTGCCAGGGAGACTGGAAGGATACCGGGTTGCCGGAATGCTTCCAATTTACCCCCGAAAGGCTTTCAAAAATGTCTGCAGGCGACATGCCTTCGATTTGGTAAATATTGAAGGCTTGGGCAAACCAATGTAGTCTAAATTCTGTTAAACTGCTTCTAGAAATTTAGAGATAGATTTTGCTTTATCTTAATATACTCATCAAAACAATGCGATTTGGATATAATGTCTGTTTGCAGAAGTCGTCCTTTATGTTCTAATTCATGGATACCATGGAACGCCTCTTTTAGTCTTTCCTTCTGAAGATCCCAGGCCCTAGACAATTGCATGGTGGGAATATTCCGGATTCTACCATGGACCTCGGCGTAATCAAATAAGGTTCTGCCAGCGCCAGTGGGGAGGAGGTGTAATACGATTTCCAAGGCGAATCAATGCCAATTTCAGTCGTTCTAGATAAGATACGAGCTTTTCAGGTGGTTCCTGCCTTTTTAAATAATTCTTTACGAGGGGATCGGAGTGATCAGACAATTGTTACTGCGGGGAATCGGCACAGACATTGTCCCCTCTTTTCTTACCGTGCCAGCTAGTACCAGTGCGCTTGCTATCTCCGAAATTATGTTCTCTTCAGGGAACCTCTGTCCCTTCAAAAGTTAAGTATATTCTTCTTGTGCCTGTAACTGACCCCATTTAATTTCACTTCTGTTTGAGAAAATGGAATCTACTGGGGCCCCCGGAGCCTCTGACCATGCCCACCCACCTAATTATTCGGCTAAAGATGGAGGCTCAGGCATTGACACAAAAAACGATGATGAAACCGCACTGCCCGGTGAACTTATCTCGGCAGGATCCCAACATCTACATCGCCGGTTGGGCGGTAAGGAAGTGCAATTGCTCGCGGTCGGTGGCGCTATTGGAACATGTATGTGTTCCTTTGATATGTTTCGATTTCTCATCTTTGAAAATGGTTATAACTCTAACATCTCTATCACTACTAATCAGCACTCTTTGTCCAAATGGGCGCCTCTCTTCCTAAGGGCGGGCCTGCCGGACTATTCCTAGGTTTCGTGGCATATGGCACCATTGTTCTATCCGTAAACCAGTGCTTTGGTAGGCATCAGACTTAATCCAGCCATCGCTCATTATTTGTCATCTACTAATTCAGACTCAGCTGAAATGGTCACATATCTTCCAATCGCATCGCCGTTTGTTCGGCTCTCTGGATTTTGGGTCGATGATGCTCTGAGCTTCGCTATGGGGTGGAACTATTTCTTCCTGATGGGTAAGTTGGCCCTGGGAAAACGAGGAAACAATAGTGTTTCGTGAACGGGAGACACCTTGAGCTAATAATTCGTATATTGGCCTGCAGCATTCGCAATTCCTTACGAAATCACAGCGATTGATGTACTTCTAGGCTATTGGACTGACAAAATACCCATCGGGGCCGTCGTAGTGGTTTGCTTGGTGATTTATGCGTGCGTATTCCATTCTACTTGAAGCTCATTGGAGGCACATCATCCAACTGACTCTCACTTAGTGTCCTGAACGGGCTGGCCGTGCGCTATTTTGGTATTACTGAATTCTATCTTTCCATATTCAAAGTTTTCCTGATGTTCGGTTTGATGATGTATACCTTCATCACTATGGTCGGTGGAAACCCACATCATGATTCGTATGGTTTCAGATACTGGAAGAATCCAGTACGTGCTCCTGCTCTTTAGATGGTTAGTCGTCATTGACCATTCAATAGGGATCGTTTGTCAAACATCTGGCGCCCGGAAACACCGGTCGCTTTCTTGGAGTGCTATCTTGCATGATTCAAGGATCCTTCACGTAAAGATTTCTCATCCTAGTACTGGTATATCATTTTCAGCAAACTCTAACCCCATATCAATAGCATGGTTGGGCCGGAATTTATTTCCATGGCAGCCGCCGAAGCAGAGAATCCCCGCAAACTTATGAAAAGAGCCTACGACTCGTTTGTATGGCGTCTCATGTTTTTCTTCCTTGGGGGTGCTCTTTGCGTTGGTATCGTTATTCCATATGACGATGAACTTTTGAGCCAGTATATTTCTGGTAGCAAATCAGGAAGTGGAACCGGAGCTGCGTTCGTTTATTTCCCCGTTACTCGCAAGTATTGTACTAATCCTGATTTTAGTTCGCCTTATGTTATCTCGATGGTAGAATTCGGCATCAAGGGCGTTCCCGACCTAGTCAACGCTTTGATCATGACATCGGTTCTGTCAGCCGGCAATAACGTTGTTTTCTCAGCTGCGAGAACTCTTCACGGCATGGCAGTAGACGGTAAAGCTCCATCTCTATTTGCCAAATGTAACAAATTCGGCATCCCATATTACGCAGTAATTGCAGCCCTTTCGTTCTGCTTATTGTCCCTCTTGCAACTAAGCAAGTCATCATCGACGGTGCTTGACTGGCTAGTCGGAATTTGCACGGCCTCGTACCTCCTGAATTACTTTGGAACAGTACTCACCTATTTGCATTTCCATGAAGCTTTGAAGAAACAAGGTGTTGATAGGGATACCCTGCCTTATAAAGGGCGTTTTCAGCCATATGCCGCGTGGTACGCCCTTGTTGGAACATTTATCATGACGCTGATTCTTGGATATAATGTTTTCATACACGGTCAGTGGGATATTACGACGTTCTTCACGAACTATACCATGGTTGGGTTCTTTCCCGTTGCGTACTTATTTTGGAAGATTGTTAAGCGTACCAAGTACGTCAGACCTGGAACGGCCGATCTCAATCTTGGAACTTTGAAGGAAGAGATAGATCTATATGAGGCGCTCTACGAGCCTCCAAGGCGAGGAAAGATCGGCACATATTTTAACAAGTTCTTTGAATAGGCCTACATTAAGTCCTAGAGGGTTTTGAGTCCTCGAATGTACATGACTTTGAAGTTGTTATGTCGTGCTGCTTGTCGATATTCCTACTACAATCAATTTCTGCTAGCTTCACCTTAAAATTGACCTACTATGCTGATTGAGTGAACTTAACCACATGCATTGTGTTTGAGTCGGGAGTCTCTAGGTATAATGTTGGGCTCCAATAACCTCCTGAGGTTGTCCTTTGTGTAGATAGCACCACTAGATAGCTTCATCCGATCATCCATCTATTGCAACATTTCGTTCGTCCCATACCATGGTAGCAGCCATATCCTCTCAGCAATTGACCATTTGTTGCACCTCTATCACCTCTGAGCCATCAATAGCTATCTATATAGAAACGGCGTCGTCGGCATTGAGAATCAGAGTTGCAAAGAAGAGTGGCTCTCTCACGAACTCCTCTGCCACGATAAATTCATCGGTTGTATGCGCTCGGTTTAGATTGTGCTCCAGGTTCACAGGTGTGAACCGGTAGATGTTGGACGTCAGTTTCCAAAAGAACTTTGTGTCTGTATTCGCAGGCATCAGATACGGAGTGACGATAAGACTTTGATCTTTGATGAGAGGCTTCAGAGTGTTTCGGATTGTTCCTGCCAGCACCTGGAAAGCCTCCGCTTCGACTGGTGAAACCGGGGCGGGTTCCAAGGCATCGAAGGCAGACAAGCTAATTTTTCGTCGGTCTTCTGGGGTTTCTGTGTAAAATCCTTGGAAGGACATTCCATGTTTGCGAGCAATCGGTCTGATGAGGCTCTCATAGTGCTTCTGAACCTCTGCAACCGAGCTGTCCACAGCCAGGCGCAAATTAACCATAGTTGAAGCCAACTCCGGGATAGCGTTGATTTTGACGCCGCCATTAATTTTCCCAACAGATTGACTTGTTCTGAAAAAGTATCGCATTTCATCCAATGCCTTGGCCAGTTGGAATTGTGCGGTTGATTCACCATTCTCAACCCGTTCGAGCTTATTGCGAATTTTCATTGGAAAGCTGCACTCCGGGGCATGCACCGCAGCACATTCCAAGAAATTGAAAATCGGGTTCTTTGTTGTGACTTTTCCGGGAAACGGATGATTTTCAATGCTCATAATAATCTCCGAAAGGACCCCGATCGCATTATGATCAGGGGGGGTTGGACGCATGTCCACCAGGAGAGGTCACATTGATTCCCACATCCAAGTAGCCTTTCTCTGCAACACTGACCATGGCGAATGACTGGTCAAACTGGGTCTGAAGCCCAAAAGACCCTTCATCCATTATCATATAGATTCCTTCATCTCCATACCGATCGTGAAGTAGTTCAGAAATTGGCCGAGCACAGTTCTGGCCGCTGATTTCTTCGTCGCAGCCAAATGCCAAAATGATTGTTCGCTTTGGCTTGAAGCCGCTCTTCATTAGAAGATCCATACTTTCAATTATTGAGATCAGATAGCCCTTGTCATCTGTAGATCCCCGCCCCCATATTGTATTTCCATCAAAATGGCCATCATAAGGCGGATGAGTCCAATCAGGCACATTCTCTGCCAGTACCGGCACAACGTCTTGATGTGCAAGCATGAGCACTGGCTTCGCATCGGATGGGGAAACACTGCCTTCCCAGGTGAATATCAGACCATGTGTGTTAACATGATCGAGTTTGGCATATTTTAAAATCGTTGGATATTTAGTTTTGATGTATTTCTCAACCTGGTAGAAAATATCCCAACGATCATCTTGGCCAATAGGGCCAAGGTCGTCATAACTTTCAGAGGGGATCTGAATGAGCCCTGAAAGCTTCTCGATGATCTCGTTTTGATATTTTGGATCTTCAACTTTATCAAGAACAAATTGTTGGACTTGAGTGTTGCTTGGCGACAAGATTGGTGCCTGTTCGCAGACCCCAGATTCAGCACCGAACAAGTATTTTGGTGCAACGGGTGATTCAAACAATCGATAAATATCAAGGGTCGCAGAATCCTGGAAGACCAAGAAGAAAGATGCGAGAGCGACGAGCGGCCCCAAGATCCACAAATACCTGTTATGATTTTTTGTCGCCATATTTCAGCCGAGATAATATTTTAAATGCTGATCAACCAAGTAGAAACTCGTGTCGATTTAACAGAAACGAAAGTATTATGTACTAGGGGCTCAGTAACATTCTTGGCTCGCCCGCCCTTTCATCCCTTGTGCCGGGGCGAAAGTCCGTTCGGTCACCAACTATGCTGATGGCCAATGAACAACTGGGCGGAACTTTGGGCTTTACGAGCTCGTATACTCCTTTCATCCGAACAGATTTTATTTTACTCATTAGACAATTTCTGCAAAACCGTAATTTCAAAAACAATTTCACCGTAAAGCTTCGCTGCTGTGGGATTCTTTGGCCTGGACAAGGTCCTCATCCAATACAGGGCTTATACGCAAGGACAGTCGCTCATCATCCCTGCCCAAGGTAGATACTGGATTCACCGATCACTGATCGATTCGCCCTTTCCTCTTCATATCACATCGATCACACGAGGGGATGCGCTAGGACTGAGTGGGAACTTGGTGACTTTCCTCATTCACCATGACTTCTGCCAAATCCAGTCAATTTTTCCCGAAATACAGTTCGTGTACAGAGCCGTCCGTAGTTATCTGAGAGTTACTAGCGGGGCGACGGGAGGGGAGAATATTTTACAATTCGGCCACTTACATCATGATATTTTGGCCCACTGTTCCTACGCCCTTCAAAATTGACATGCGGGGTCGGCCTGCGTTAACTTGAGCTAGTCGGCCGAGTCCGCAGATAAGAAATTTTCTTCAAATTTAAATTAATCGATTGGAATAGTATACGGGTTGACTGAAACACCACCTAGTACAGCCAAGAGCTTCACGAAATTCGAATGCGCTGGCAATTCTCCTCGTCTATTGTTCAACATGTCCAACTCCAGCAATTCGAGATCCGCAAATGAGTTCCGAAGCGACACCTTCACCACACCTACACCAGCTATGCTGGATGCCATGGCCAACGCCAGCTTCGGTGATGATGTTTATCAAGAGGATACCTCAACGACTCAGTTCCAGAAAGAAATCGCTCGCTTGACTGGAATGGAAGATGCTCTGTTCATGCTTTCAGGCACCATGGGAAACCAGATCGGTGTTCGGGTCCATCTCAACCAGCCTCCACACTCGGTACTGTGTGACTATCGAGCACATGTATATGCGGAGGAGGGATGTGGCCTGGCTATCTTATCTCAGGCAATGGTCACACCTGTGCATCCAGCTAACGGAATTTTCATGACCCTCGATGATGTCAAGAAGTGGGTGGTTTTGGGTGACGATATTCACACTGCTCCGACACGGGTCATCTCTCTCGAGCTTACTATTGGGGGTGTCCTTACGCCAATCGACGAAATCAAGAAAATCTCCGAGTTCGCACACGCCAATGATATCAAAGTCCATTGTGATGGTGCGAGACTATGGAATGCCTCTGCCGCTTCTGGTCATTCCTTGGCAGATTACTGTCAGTATTTTGACACCGTGTCGATGTGTGTCTCTAAAGGTCTCGGAGCACCTGTTGGGGGAGTTCTTGCCAGTACGCAGAGAAACATTAAGCAAGCTAGATGGCTACGGAAGCAGCAGGGAGGAGGAATTCGACAAGCTGGTGTTTTGACCTCCGCAGCTATGGTGGCACTGAAAGAGGTATGGCCGACTATGAAATCAACACACGAGAAGACCAAGAAGCTCGCACGGGATCTGGAAGCTATTGGTGTATTTCCACAAATTCCGGTTGATACCAACTTTTTCTTCATCGACGCGGCGAGGTCTAATCTTGATATGGGCGTCCTTCTGGAACAATGCCAAAAGTTCAATGTCAAGTTACAGGATGAGCGGATATCTATGCATCATCAGGTCAGCGATGAGGCAATTGAATCACTCAAGGCGGCAATCACTGAGGCAGTAAAGATCTCGAAAGCTCTGTCACCCAATTTTACTTCAAAGGTCCAAAGTGAGGGATACGGCAGCTCTTCAAAGATGAACGAATATAGCTAATTACGAGCTGAGCGAAATTCAAAATCTTCTCCAGGGAGGAAGTTTATGCAGCTCATGTTTGGTTTTGAATTCTACGTTTTACTATAATTTATTTAGTTTCTTGATGAATACTACTTAGTACTAGGTAGTACTTTATAGACATATTCAATCTTCTCTGATGACGTGATGATAGTAAAGATACATCTTGTAGCCTGCCTGAGCATAATTAAATAACATATAGCCATTTCAATTCAAATCTCTACCATAAAGACTAGAAAGCACTGAAGCTTACTGCGTTGGATCTCCGAGAGCAGTGGCCGACTGATAGCCATTAAAATCGTACTCGACATCATAATCCTCTGCGTCAACATCCCCATCAGAGAGCTCAACATCTTGCAAATTTTCCCCATCATCCTCTTCGGCAGAGCTGAAACCATAATCTTCCTTCCGAATCTTCTTCCAAGCAGCCAAAGTCTGTCGTCTAGTGAGACAGAATGGCAACTTAGAGAGCGGCACACACCCACTCTCTGTTACCTCCACAGTTTGGCCAATTGAACTTGCAGTGTCGGTAGCTTTATCCATCAAAATTATGTGAATAAAAAAGACCATTCCGGGCCTCGCTATCACGTCTTGTCCACGCACAAACATAGGGAAATCCATCCATGTCGGTGAGAAGGTGGCTCCAAGACTATACCCGCACGAATTGAAACGTTGGTCTCGAAAGCCATTTTCATCTGCGACGCGGGCATATGCCTCGAAAACATCACCAATTTGTCGACCGGGCTTGAGTGCCTCAAGGCAAGCCTCCATTTGCAAGATATTAACTTTGTGCATTTCCCGAGCAAGGTTTGTAATCCCACCGATAGGAATAGTACGCATCAGACAAGCGTGATAATGCTTGTAAGAAGCAGCGTGCTCAAGCGTAAGTTGACGGTCAATTCTATCCTTGCCGGTCGAATATCGGGTCAATACTGCCTTGTTTCCGGAAACAAGAATATTTTCGTTCGCAGGGTCATCACCACCACCCTCGTAAACAGTTCCTACGAGCTGAGACCACAAATCTCCCTCGTATGCACCTGGTTTAGCCAACTTGAGAGTTCGCACCAAGGAAAAGTCGGCAAGGTAGGCGGCCTTCCGCACCTTACACATCTCCGCTTCAGATTTGATGATGCGTAGCTCGCGAGTAATCAAGTCACTTTGGTCGACCAAAGTACAAACGCCCTCCACACTCTTTTCTAGAAGTTTGCCGAGACGATGGGTGAGAGAACACGAATCGGGCTCATATCCAACCCGTTTAGAGGGTGAGTTAATTCCAAAATCGTTTAAGACCTTTGGAACTAACGAGACAGGGTTGCTACCGGCGTCATCGGAACGAATCAATATATCCTTCTGGTCCAGAACAGACGTGTATAAAGCCTGACGCAGGTCCGGGATGCGGGTTATGAGTCGCATGGATCCGTCGGCGTGGAAATACATTGCTTGGAAAAAGACATATCCAAATGTATCGAAGCCGGTCAGGTAGTAAAGAGACTCCTGTTTGGTCATCAAGAATCCATCAAGATTTTCGCGTCTCATTAACTCCCGAACGCGGTTTCTGCGCTCTGCAAATTCGGCCTCTGAGAAGTAGAGGGCTTTTTTGAATGGCTGGGCTTTCTTGATGTTTGACATCTTGAGTTCCAATATTATTTTGCGTGATTCTGTAAGGATTGGTGCTAGTCTTTCAATTTTGCAGACTGAAATTCGGCAAGTTTATATAGTAATTGCCCAGGGCATGGCAGAGGGTTGCGGGAGGTGTCCGTGAACTCGAACCCCCCCGGGACTGACAACCCCAAAAACGATTTGAATACAGATTCCCTAAAACATTACCAGTACATGACAAGACTCTCCAACTGGTACAACTTGAGCTCGAAGATGGGACCTCGTATAGTTCCCTCCCAGGCGGCCCGAGCGCACCGGATAACCGGGAGGCATGCGGGGTCTGCCATTTAGGAAGGAACCAGCGGCCGATCTTGATAAGAATTTCCTGCTTCCTAAGGTTCACATTGACATTTCCAACTCCCTATTGTCTATCAGTATTGAACGATTTCTAATGGCAGACTAGTCCCACGTAGGAAGGAGGCCAGGGCGATCAACAAGGCGTTGGAAACTCTTGAGGCGCCACTGTACAGATCGTCGGCTCCAAAGTCCTGGTTGCATCTCCTCTCCACGATGCAATCTCATCAAGGCCAGTAGTACGATCGTTACAGAGCACCATGGACCCTCTCATACGCCTCCGCTCCTTGATCGATGTCCATCCATACACAATCGTCGTCTACTGTGCTCAGGGGAGCCGGTGTCGTGCTCCAAATCGTATCAGCGTGACTATGGAGTCAGTTCCCGAACATTGCAACCGAACTTGAGCAAAATGTTTCTCCATCAAGAGGTCTTTCGATCAACCGAACTTCGAGAACTAGCTTCATTTGTCTACGCAACTGATAGCATCTCCTCCGCTCTGACTCCGCGCCAGCAACCTCCCCAGTCTGCACCTCGCGCACAACTCCCTGCAGAAGGAACCCCAAATGACTTCGTTTGTTTCCGCTGCGGACAGGCGACAGGCCGATCATTATGCTAATGAATGTCAGAACCCGCCTCTTTCCCAGGATCAGAAGTCTCAGCTTCGTCGTGCCTTCGCTAATTGCCGAAGCCGAGCTGGAGAAATCGAAATTCGAGACCCTCCCCTCTCTCAGCAGCTTCGACCTGCGGCCCCGGCGGCTACCCCCACCGTCGAGTAGTGGAAGTTCATCTCTTGCGAATATGTCTGGTGCGTTGAATATGCGGTTTGATGAGGTAGAGGACGAAGACTTGCCGCATGTCCACGGCGTGGGACCGGGCTGTCATGCAGTCACTGTCGAGCGTGTATATACGCTCCCATCGTCCCCCGATCAGCGTCAAGTCAAGTCCGACCTAGCCTAGTCTGCAAAGGACTTTCTAAAGGCTTTCGCGACATGCTACGCAGCTCCCCTTCGACGCAGACACCCCCCTACTGACTCTACTGATGAGGACGAAGCGCATCAACGACAGCCCCCAAGTCGTCGCCGTAAGCAAAGTTTCCATCCACAACAACCTCGCAGCTACAACTTCCTAATGGCGGACTAGTAGCCACCAAGGTGGATTTGGGTTCTTATCTATTCCATCTCAGGTAGCTACTAGTCTGCCATTAGAAGGGGGTCAATAATGGTGGGCAATAGGGGTCAGGTAAAATACCCCGATATACAGCTACTGACCACCTGCGCTTAGGGAACGCCGTAGGGTGAGATTATAGACAGTCTATCCATTGAAGTTTTCGATTGAAAGCAGATATGATATGTACGCATTTCTACTCGCTGGTGAAAAGAGATGGTACTGAGCGCTTGCTAGGAGATAGGCTTAAAGTTTTAAAGTGATGTAACGGATAACAGTAAGCAGCACGTCAAAACCAGCAGATATTTTGCTGAAATCCTATCAAATCTACCCCCGCCGCGCCAATTTAAGCATCTCCTTAATAACAGTATCCAACCGACTGACAGGAAGTCCATGTCCAGCTCCCTCAACTAAAACTCTCTCAATCTTCCCATCGGCCTTCACAGCGCGTTCATACATAGCCTCCTGCATTGGCGTCGGTACAACAATATCAATACTAGGAATGACAGTCACACTGGGTATATCCTTCCACGCGGCATAAGAGACTTCCCCATTATAACTATCCGACGCATGCAGCGACATAAACCCGAGGAACTCGAGTGCCTCTTCAGTGTCGAGATCATTGAAAACAAGCTGTGCGAGTTCTGGCGTAAAGGGAGGGAGATATCCACCCGGGACACCTGTTTTCAAAGGTTCTTGGAGGGCACCGAATTCGCCCATTATACCGCGCAGACACTCGCCTTCTGAGAGAACGAATGAGGCGAGGTAGATTATGCCAGTCACAGCGGTGGACTTTCCTGCAGATGCTCGCGCCTCTTTGTTCAAAGATTCCAGTGCGCATGTAGTTGGGATGCCACTATAAGAATGGGGGGCCACGATGACGTTCTTTGGTGCACTGGGGTCATCTAGGATTGAGAGCACAGCTTGGCGGATGTGGGCTGCGTCGTCTTGCATTGTTGCGGGTGGTTGGCGGGAGCCATCGTTCACGGATAGGAGTTCTATAATTTCGACATTTTCACCCTGGGCGCGTAGTTTATCGAGCAGTTTGGCGTATGCCGCGGGGGTTGCAAAGGAGCCAGGGACAAGAAGAAAAGCGTAGTCGTTGTCTTGGGTCGACATTTTGATTGTGGTCTTTGTTTATATCGTTCTACAGATTTTCTTGCTCGGGACCAGGGGGCTGAGGAGTGATATGTGAGGGGCAGATGCTGTGTTGTTTCACAAGTCGTCGCGGGGTAGCTTAGCTCCATTATCTGCAGTCAGATAAATCCACGGGGAGGAGAATTCAGCCGAGGCTGCTCCGAGGTTTTAACTTGTCAGAGGATCCAGCTGTGGTAAGCCAGCTAACTATGTCGAAGTATAGCATCGATGCCCTCTGTATCCATACTAGACATAGACATACCTAGGTAGACATAGATATACCCCGCATGGCCACGGCGGAGGTCAGGGCAACGAAGACATTACCTCTGGCTCTTGTGACTAGAGATTACGATTAATGTAATTAGCCAATAGTAGAACGTTGGTTCTTTAAAACTAGCCAAAATATAGTACAAACCTCCAAATGCGGGTATGTATACACACTCACTGCGGCATCCCTGCCAGAGGGAACCAACCATCAAATCACAATGTAATGCACCCAACGACGTCCGAGTTGGTTCTGAACTCCGTCCGAGCGGCGAATCATTCATGAATAATCCACATTCATTCAACCAATGGGGATGTCCGTGTCAAATATGAACCAACCGCCGCCATTACGCAGCGCCGATATCGGCCGATATCGGCGTCACTACATCACCTCCAGGTCGAGGTATATAAACCCAGGAAAACCACAACACAACCAGTAACATAACTCTCAAAACAAAGCAGATCAAGCCTTAGAATTTGAAGCACTTTCAATTTTCCAAGGAGATTATTTTCCCAAATAACCTGCATCCTTCCAAGATTTCTTCAACACCACCGCAACAATGACCACCAAAACCGAAGCAGCAACCTACACACACGGCCATCATGCCTCAGTAATCCGCAGCCACAGCGCCCGCACGGCCAAAAACAGCGTCTCCTTCCTCCTCCCACACCTAAAGCCGAGCATGAAAATCCTCGACATAGGCTGTGGGCCGGGAAGCATCACCGTCGATCTGGCCGAGTACGTACCTCAGGGTCACGTAACGGGGCTGGAGCGCGCGGGTACGATCTTGACGCAAGCCCGTGAATTAGCATCTGCCCGTGGAGTGACGAATATCGAATTCGTCGAGGGGGATGGGAATGGTCTTCAGTTTGACGATGGGTCTTTTGATGTCGTGCTTTGTCATCAGGTTTTGCAGCATGTTGCCGACCCCGTGGGCGTATTGCAGGAAATGAATCGTGTCACTAAGAGTGGCGGTATTATTGCGGCTCGCGAGGCGGATTATGGGGTTTTCGCTTGGTATCCTGAATTACCTGGATTGAGGGAGTGGCAGGGGTTGTATGATCAGATTGCGAGGTTTAATGGCGGCGAGCCCAACGCGGGACGCTTCTTGCATGTCTGGGGTAGAAAGGCGGGATTGGATGATGTGAGATCTTCTGTTACGAATTGGTGTTTTGCTAGTAAGGAGGAGGTTGCGTGGTGGAGTGGTAGTTGGCAGGAGAGGGCGTTGAAGAGCAGTTTTTCATCGACAGCCTTGGAGGGAGGCCTGGCGACTGGGGAGGATCTGGAGAGGGTTTCGAAGTCTTGGAAAGAGTGGGGGGGGAGGATCAGGATGCTTGGTTGTCTATTCCTAGTGCTGAGATTTTGTCGTTTAAGAAATAGATATGATGTGGTTGGTTACTAGCACCGGTTAATCAATTGATGAAAGTCTATTATCATTCGTGCCCGTAGGCAAGGTCATTATCTGATCGATAGACATCGTCGCCGTTAAATGTACAAAACATGGTTGCCCTAAAATCACAGCCCAGATCCTCATATGTACACCATCCTATAACGCCGTAATTTCCCAATAGATATGGGGTAATGCAAACTGGGCACGACCATCGCCTCGGGGCATCGGAGCTGAAGGCTCGTACCCAGAAGGTTTCAAGTCATGCTCCAGTGTCAAGCAAGAATTGAAAAGCAATCGCTAATCAAGCAAGGCTAGAAGTTTTTCCAAACGCGAAAGATTGTTGAGAGTCGATGTTGCTCAGGGCAGTCACGTGGGCGGTCGGGCCTGGTTCGGGCCGCGGTAGGCGTGCCCGACCGTATCCCGACTGTATCCCGATCGCATCCTCGTAAAGATTAAGAACTCTCTTCACCTAACACGCTTCGGATCTCACAATCAAGAGTCGGATTCGGGCTCATATTCATAGCGACGCCAGTTCTCACCGACCCACCACTTGGTAACTTGGGCTGCCTCCTTGACCCACTCGACGGCCTCATCATTGTGGTCTCGGGCAACTTGGAAGAGTAAAGGCAACAATTCGAAAGACCCCAGGACTTTCAGCTCCTGGGGATCAGTTTCGACATTGGTGAATCGCCACTCGACGTCAGGAACAAGCGGGATCACGACACGATAAGGCGCGTCAGCTGATCGCACGGCCAGCCAGGTGGCACCAGTGTTCATAACTGTGAACTGCCAGTCTCGCTTACCATCCTTTGAGGGGATCGTTTCACGAATCATGGATTGTCCTTCGTACAAAGGCAGAATTTCCTGCATGGCCTTTGCCTGGTCCTTGCCCAGGGAGCCAGACTCTGCAAGCAGATCCATGATAGTAGGCACAATCTGCATCGAGGTGACGCGGGAGTCGATGCTGATGGGCGGGAGCTTGGGGTGGGCGAAGACTAATCCAACATGGAAGTTCGCCACGTGCGGCCCATCATACGGCGTAATTCCTTGATTTTCAAAAAGACTGATGCCGTGGTCACCGACCATCACGACGAGAGTTTCATCGGCCACGCCGGCTTCTTCCAGAACCTCGGCGACTTCACCCAGCCACCTGTCGGCGATACCGATAGTGTTGAGGTATTTGTTGTACTTGCCGTTGTGGTTGAACAGACTAGAGTGGATATGCTCTTCGTACTCTTCGCCAACGGGCATATCCCAGGGATGGTGGGTCTGACCGGTCAAGTGGGTGATGAAAAGACGTTCGTGCTTCTTTTCGGCATGCTTGAGAGCATGGAGGAAGTAGTCGCGGAGTTCGTGCTCAGGGTAGCCCCAGAAGTTGTACTTTTCTGGGGCAGTCTTATTCGAGTGCTTATAGTCCTCGGTGATCTTCGCGTCGGTGACCTTATCCTTGAAGCCGAGCACGGGGATGAGCTTATCCTGGTTATCGTAGTCGTCGGTGATACTCTGCATGAAGGTCGAGTGCCATGGCCAGGTGGTGAAATCATCCGCTTTGGTGTGGTTGTGGTGGGTTCGGTTGTCCATGTGGCTCAAAGCAGTCAAGACTTGTGGCAAACACGGATTATATATGTTGTGCTCATATTCTTTGTTGAAATCGGCTACCACAGGTGCAACACCGCATACACTGGCTGTGATACTCTTCAGAGTGAACGTGCCACCTGTGTACGCATTGCGCATAAACATACCTCCGTACGGGTTAACCTTGTCCTCGCCATTGAAACCAGAGGGAGTGTTGGTATATCGCTGCGCATTGCGGGTCAAGTTGGCCAGTCGCTCCTCGACTTCTTGCGGAATCTCCCCACCATATGACTTCTGAATGAGCTCACCCACGTAGGAATCTTTGCGAAGGGGAAACATATCTGCCCGGGTACTCTCCAGCTTGAACAGAAAGACGTGCTTGATCTTTACGTCCTCCTTAAGGGCCTCGCGAAGCGGCTCGAGAATCTCATTGTCGAGGTTGGAGATCTTCAGCGGATCCTTGGCTGGGTCGTAGTGGAGGTGTTTCTTGCCGTCCTTGCTGGCATACCAATCCCGGAATCCCTTGAGTTTCTTCTCCGGCAGCCAGTCAAATTTAGGAGGTTCACCCAGTGCAGTGTGGTTGAACAGCCAGCTCCAATCACCTGGCAAATCGGGTACATCGACAGTGGAGGTCTGGTTTCGCTCAATTTTCTCGAATGGCGTAATGATGACGGTTTGCGAGAGGAAAGTATAGGCGGTCTCTGAAGGGCGAGCGATGCGGAGCAAGACGAGGAACAAGAATGCCACACCGACGATAATTCGGAGCAGCAGGGCCGGCTTCCGTCTCTGTGAGGATTCCGGGAGAGGAGGCAGAGGCTTCGTTGGGTCATTGAGACCGAGCATGGCCTCGGACTCGCCGTTCTCCTCATCCCAATCATCATATGCCACCCGTTCGTAAGTTTTGGCGGTGGACTTTGATCGGCGCTTGCAGCAGACACAGGCGGGCTCGACTGCGGCCCTCAGGATACGGACACCTGCCCGAACCCAGTTATACACGTAGGGAGTAGCGAACCAGGCGGTCACGGTAAATACGACCTGGCCGATAACAATACCGGCCAGACCGGTCAGGAGGGTTTTCACGGAGGCGGCATCGCGGTGGAAGGAGTGGGCTTGTCGCCAGTGAATTTCGGCACCGGTTTGGACGTAGAAGGAGATGTTGGCCGCGGCAAGTCCGGAGATCATCAAACTGGACACGCGACAATTAGCTTCCTTCGGGGGTCGCGATTCGGCGGGTTCTTCTTCCGCCCGGCGGCAATCAACAATCAGGGGAAAGCATACCTCGCAAAGATCATAATAGGGGCGGCCAGCGCCCGGTACCACCGATTGTGGAATTTTTGACAGAGGAGCTGAGCGATCAGGACACAGGCGACATCTTGGACAACAAAGGTCGGACCCCAGAGGAGAAAGCGGCCGAGGGTGAGGGAGGTGATATGGGAGTAGAGATGGAGGATTTTGGCGCAAACGACTCCGATGAAGAGGAGGGAGAAGAAGTATTTGCGACAGGCGGGCCAGTAGACATCGAGCCAGGTGATGGGGTTAATGAAGAGGCGGATGAATTCCCGCAGGAAGTGCGGTAGCTGGTATTTCATGGTGATCATCGTCGCGATCGATGCGGAATTGAGTCGACTAGGCGCAACACTCCATTCCTCGGGGATCGGGGCAGGTTAAGATGGACGGAGCGATTGACAACGAAGAGAGTAAAAAGTCAAAGTAAAAGGGAGAGGACGGAGTAAGCAGAGCCCCGACGGAGTGCCAACAGCGATGTGCAGGGTCGCTCAGGGTCTTTCTGGGTCAACTCTGATTTGGCCGACCACGCACAAGTCCCATTGCCCCTTTTGGGGGCCACTTTTAGTCTTGGCCAAGTCAGCCCGGTCAGCCTCGGTGTACGGAGTATATACCAGTCTACGCCCCACAGCCAAGGCCATCAGCCTCGTATTCAACAGCACTGCCTGCCCTTCTCGTTCGTCCAGTCTCTCGTTTCAGAATTCCATCTTCGGAACCCCTCGTTATGTCAAACTCTCAGACCCCTGCTGCGCCCAATGCATGTCCACCAATCATCATCCCGTCATTATAGTGTCTGCCGCCAAAGACTAACCCGTATAAGCTTATTAGTGTAGTACTGGGAAGCCGTGGCTAGACTGGAATAATAGCATCAATCGCGGGATGTTATTAAATAGGTTCAATAGGTCTTCAAAGGACCTCGTACTCCGTACTATTACGACTAGTATTATATCGCCATCCTTTCGAATGTCGATCTATCATACTCCGAGTCCGTCCTTGCGGTGTTTCTATAAATAGTGGGGCTCGACGTGTATTGGTATTTCGAGCATTCTCAATTGACGCAATACTTCTTAGCAAGTTCGACAAAAAAATATCCGATCTTGGCCAGCTAGAATACATCACGGCAGCAATGATATCTAAGAACGCCCTCTGAAGATCACTCGCACTGCACATCACTGCGCCCGGCAGAAGAGGGTCCCGCGTGGGGGCCACACTTGGCATCGCCAGTTCGTTAGGTTCCCAAGGCTGGCAGGATCATCCTTGTCCTCACAGATCCCACACACACCCTATGTAGGATGCTTGTCTGGCCAAGCATTGCACTAATGGAAAATCCTACGGGAACACCTAACAAATCAATCAGGTACGGCTAACAAATGCATTCATTCATCATGATCATAGCGACCATACTGGTCCTCACGAGGCTCCACTGACGTGACTAGGCAACCACTTTTGAAATTCAAAATTCCGTCTCCAGCGTCTGGTACTGCGACGCAAAAGTCTTGCGAACCCACTCCAGATATCCCTTCCACTTGTGAAGTTCACTCGATGCCTCGGCTCCCGGAAATGCTTTGCTAAGCTCCTTGGTAATCTTCAGGATTCCCAAAGACGCCTCTTGCGCCTTCTCCAGTTCTTGCTTCACTGCGTTATCCTTCGGCTTGAAGGAGAGCACAGTCGTGTATCGCTCCGACAATGCGTCTAACCGGCGTTCCGTCTCCTCCGGTGCAATCTTGATGAGTCGGACGGTCATCAAGTTGCTGATCGCCCGGATATCCTGCTCATCCTCCACTCCGGCAATGACCCGGTCGAACAGCTCTGCCATGTGGGTCCGCGCGAAAGAGGTATCCAATGACGCGTAGAGAGTTTCATAGGCACTCTTTCGTAGATCCAGACCATCGTCAACCTTGTGTTTGAAAGGACCCATCTGCACCTCGCGAATGAGCTCCGGCTTGATCTGGGTATCACCGAAGACCGCCGGCAGCAACTCGCCCAGGTGCGGCAGCAACAGTGCCATCTTGTTATGGATCGCCGAGTTGAGCGTGGTCAGCGCGAGGCGGTGGTTGCCCAGATCCTTCTCGCCGAGCATGCTGGTGAGCAGGGGTACCATGAGTGGCCGCAGCACGTCATTGTAGGCGTTGCTCGAGTCGGCAAGTGTGTAGCGGAAGGCGGAGATGACGACGCCTCGGATGACGGGGTTAGAGTTGGACATGTACTCCTAAGATGGCTGGATTAGAAAAGAACTTCGGAGGGAGGAACTCGGGAACACATACTTGGAAATGAGGAATATACGACGCGGGATCAATCAGAGCAAGTCGGCCAACGCACTCAGCGCCAACAGCACGGTTATCTTCCTCTTCCGAGACGACGAGAAGTGCTTGCCATAACTTGAGTGCAGATGGAGCAAGGTCGGGACGCACAACCTCGGGGTGCTGCAGCAGCTCCCGCACGGAATGCAGCAGGAGGTAACTTTGGTCGTTGGCTTTGTCCAGCCCATTGAGGATGATGGGAATGTATGCCTTGACGCTGCCGGCCGCGGCATTGCCGAGAGCTGTCGCAGCAGCCAAGCGGACATGGTCAGAGGAAGACCCAAAATGAGCAATGAAGAGATCAGGGGTCAAGGAGCATTCAGCGCCCATGCGTAGACCAATCTCGCCCAGGATGGCAAGAGCAAGACATTTGCGGCTATCGTCCTCTGCAGTGCGCAGCTCGGTGGAGAAATCATCCATTGTAACCCCAAGGTTAGATCCGCCGTGCACCAACAGTGTACCGATGGCCCGTCCTACAACGGAAGAATCACCAGTGATGCCAACATTCTGTAGAAGATTTTGCATCAGCTGTGCTCCCGCTCCTTCTTCTCCAATGACCTTAACCAGGAGAAGTAAAGCTTTCAGGACAGTGCCGATGAGCGGCTGCTTCACGATAGAGCAGATCGCGACAATCAAAGCCTCATTCACAAGAGATTTGGAATCGGCAGGGACGAGTTTGGCGATGATAATAAGTGTCGGTGTGAGGAGATGGAAATCAGGTGCCGAGAGCAAAGGCAGGAGAGCGGTCTCAAGAGATGTCATTGTTTGCGGGGTGAGCTGAGTTCGGGTGTAGGGGTTCATAGCCAAACTTCGAAGAGCCTCGAGGCATGAGCCCCGAAGTGCACGATCGGACTTTCTGAGGTTGGAGCCAAGTTCATGGGTCACATCGTTGACCCAATTGGCCTCGATATCCTCCTTGCGATTGGCCAAGACAAGCACATCATCAATCGCCCGAACAGCGGACAGGCGAGTAGTTTCATTCTTCGCTCGGTCTGCCAACACGGCGAGACCTCGGGAACGGTGCCCTCCAGAAAGGTAGTCAACGCCTCTATCGCCAGAGGTACGTGCTAGAAGCACACCAAAGACATGGATAGCGCGCTGCCGAACTTCCAGGTCGGCACTGGTGTCAGTAATACGAGCCAGGATCACGTCGTACAGTGTCACTAACTGCATAGAGACATCGGAAGCATTGGCAGACACACGAGGGGGCGTAAGAGCTTTGACTATTTGTTCGACCGCGCCAAGTGCCTCGCTGCTGACCTTGTAGTTCCGCTCATTGACGGCTGCCACCACGCCGGGGACTAGAGCAATCAGGAAAGGAAGTAGGGCGTCAGACATGTGTGTTTCAGCAATCGCCGAGACAAGGCCCAGTGTTTCGATCTGCAAGGTACCTGCACTGACAGCAGCGCCGGCATGGGTAGTAGAGCTTCCCGAGAGAGAAGATGTCTTGAGAGCATCCGCGATGAGATCCTCGATCTGCTGCAGATGATCGGCCAGTCCACCATATCGAACCAGGGAGAGGCTTTTCAGAAGAACAATGATGGCCTGGCGGAGGGGCATAGAGGCTTGCTTCCACACCTTCACCAAGCTCTGGACAACCAATGGCACAGATCGAGCCAGGTCAGCCTGTGGGCCAGACTTGGGCGAGGATGGAGCGAATGGCGAGTCGATCGCGGAGGATGTGCCAACGCTGGGCTCGAAGTCGACCATACTGGCATCGCTGTCCTGACGGCGGCGCTTGCGGGAGTTTTTGGATCCTCCGACAGCCTCTAGAAAGCCGTTCGAGGTGACGATGACAGAGCCCTCACTGGTCTTGCGGACAAGGGCAGTGAGAGTTGACACAACTTCTAGCTTCACACTCTCCTCCCGTTCTTTACTGATTCGAGAGATCAAGGCCGGCGAAATCTTCTGGTATAAGGCGGAGTCATCGAGGGCACGACTGTGGCCATAGGTCGAGATCAGGGAGAAGAGGAGCTTGGCAGCACAACGGCGGACCTTCCAACTCATGTCATCGATGTCACTATATCCATCCTCCTCTTCGAAATCCTCAAATTCGTCGTCGCTCATATCAGGCTCCTCGGTGGCATCGTCGTCGCTCCCGTCGTCCTGGGTCCCACCCATTTCTTCATCGTCTTCGTTTTCGGCAACATTGGGGTCGTATTTGAGAAATCGGAGGGCAGCTTGGGTAGTGTTGGCCAGGTATGGCTGCATTTGCTGGTTGCAAGAGCTAATCAAGGCCTCGAGCGTGACCAGCGCTGTCTCGCGGAGCTCGTCCGCTTGAGGGTCATGTTCCTCGTCATGCGAGTAGACTGACATGATTTTCAATTCCACGCAATAGTGTAGGCGGGGTGAAATAGTCTGAAGGAAAGAAAGGTGGAAGTGAGGTAGGGATCAACACCAAAGCTGGCGGTGGAGGTTGCAAGTCCAGAGAGGAGCTCCGCGGTCATCGCCCCGCGCCAGAGAGCCGCGCCCGGAAGAAGGTTCGGCCGGATTTGATGCTTCCAGGTCTACTGCAAAAAATCGAGTAGGTCGAGTGAGGGTTGAGTGCTTTTCTTTGCAGCCAGCAGAGCTTGGAGACTTCCTTGTTTTCTAGCCTTGGCTCGTTTCTTACTGCTGGCATTTTCCACGGTTTTCTCAGTCGAGGCAGTGGTGGATGCGATGGCGGGAAGATCCTGTTGTGAAGAGATTGAGGGTGTAGAAACTGCAGAAGCTGTAGAAGCTGCCGAATCTACGGCTGGAGCTGTAGACACACGAGAAGAAGCCTTTAAGGGAGCCCTTGGAGCGTATCTTCTGCGTGGCATGACGGCGCGTTGATTACAGCGTACGCATTTGTGGACTGTAGCACTACCGCGAATGGCACGGGATTTCTGTTTGAGCTTTACCACTGTGGGCTTAGAAGCATTACATCTCCTAAGACTACCACAACCGGCGCAATGATGCCTGGTTTGGTGTGGGTTCAGCGACTTGGATTCATCATGTAGGATATGAGTATGCGCCGTTAAGAGATAGGCTGCTGTGGATGGGCTGCTTGAGCCCAGGAGATTGGCAGCGTCACTAAGGAAGCGCAATTGAGGTGGCTCGACAGGGGGCATTGTATGGTGGTATTGTGCCAGTGGTGAATAGATGTTCCAGTAGGTTCAGTATATTGTAGGTTGAACAATACACAGTGAATTGTATTGAATTGTGAATTGTGAATGATGAAATTGGGGGAACCTGAGGAAGGCGCGAGATGGGTTCCACTTTTTCGCAGCCTGTCAAATTCGCTCCTTCCGTGAATACATTCACCACCAACATTCACCATTCACTGCGACTGTCACTGCCATTCACTTTCACCGTCGCTCACCCCTCTCACCCTTTCTCCCTTCTCTTCTTCTCCTCTCCCTCTCCCCCTCTCTCTCTCACACACCCCTTTAAACTTTCTGCCTACTGTGAACGACTATTTGTTCATACGCTGCGCACCCTGTCTTGTCTTGTCTTTCTCTTCTTCTCGTACCCTCCCCACCTTTCTTCTTTTACGCCTCCTTTAAAACATATCCTATCTTGCACCATTTTGACCTCATTTTAACCTCTGGTGTACACTTCGCTTTACCGACTCTGCCATGGACGCCCCTGAAGTGCGCGTGGCAACCGTTGGCTGCGTAAGTTCAACTTTGTTCTCCCATAAAACGTGCCGAGAGTACCTCATGCATCTTATCTCGTTTTTGCTTGTTCCAATGCTGATTATGCCGCAGGGTCACGGTAGTCTGAACCTAATCTACGATACTGTCGCCAAATTTGCTGCCGAGCGTGGCTGGGATGGTGTCGACATCGTCATTATCGGTGGCGATTTCCAGGTATGTTTGCTGCCACATCCTTCATTTCATGGGCAAGTGAATTTCAGCTAATTCTGACAGGCCCTCCGGAATGCCGATGATGCGGCTTGTCTCTCCGTTCCGACCAAATTCCGCAAAATGGGAGATTACCACGAGTACTACAGTGGTCAGCGTCTGGCACCGTTCCTGACCATCTTCTGTGGTGGCAACCACGAGGCAAGCAATCACTTGTTCGAGCTCTACTACGGTGGTTGGATCGCTCACAACATCTACTATCTCGGTGCTGCGAATGTCATTCGCTATGGCCCTCTGCGTATCTCCGGCATGTCTGGCATCTGGAAAGGATACGACTACCGCAAGACCCACCATGAGCGAATTCCATATCGTCCTGAAGATCTCCACTCGGTCTTTCATGTCCGCGAACTCGATGTTCGCAAGCTACTTCAAATTCGCACTCAAGTCGACATCGGTTTGTCCCACGACTGGCCTCACCGGGTCGAGAATTTTGGTGACTTCAAACTCCTTTTCCGCAAAAAGAGGGACTTCGAGGAGGACTCGAAGCACGGTAAACTCGGAAACCAGGCCGCTCGCGAGGTCATGGACCGTCTTCGCCCGCAATATTGGTTCTCCGCTCATCTCCATGTCGAGTTTGCCGCAACCATACCGCATGGCAACGTCCTGACCAAGAAGGTCGAGCCTAGCCCCGGTGTTCCTGCTGTCTGGGCTGTCGAGGTGGCCAGTCCTAAGGTTCTACCCGAAGTTCCTAAGCCATCCCCAGCTGTTGAAGTCTCTTCTGAGAACTCACGCCCCGTTGCTTCTGACGGATCAGTGTCAAACACCATGATGGCCGCGTACGGAAACCAGAATCTGGTCCCTCACAGCGAACAGGCCGATCGCCTTGCGGCCTGGGGAACCTTCCAAAAATCCGACACGAAGATCCGCCAACAACAGTTTCTCAACTTGGCCCAGCACAAAGAAGTGGAGCGACCCAACACCAACGTCGAGGTGACCTGGAAGCACTTGTCTTCTGGCAAGTCCGCCGATCAACAAGATTCACTTGTTTATGCCAACAAGCGAGTCAAGAATGACGACGAGATTGACCTCGATTCGGAGAACGATTCCTCTCATGAGGACACCACCACTTCATCGCCCCACAAGCAATCCGAGCTCACCTCAGTCGGAACGGATGAGCAAGCCGATATCGAGGCTACGACCGCTGGAACTCGCAACATTTGTCTGCAGGCTGGTACCGACGGTGCTAATGAGGGTGCCCCCGACAACCAAAGCACTCAAATGTCTCTTGTGGACCAGGCTGTCTCCGAGAACATGCGTACCAAACTTCCCGCCGCTTTCGCACGCCCCCGCCAAGGCTACCCGGCAACCCATGACACACCCAGAGGCCATTGACAACAAGCTCACAAAGTTCCTGGCGCTCGACAAGCCCAACAATCACAATGCTTTTGTGAAGCTACTCAGTATCTCACCGGTCTCAGACCAATCAAACGTCAATGTTTGCAAGCCTTATCGTCTTCAGTACGATAAGGAATGGCTGGCTATTACTCGTGTCTTCGCCGACGACCTTGTCCTGGGAGACAAGAATGCCAGAATTCCTGATGATCTCGGTGAGGATGAATACCTTCCTCGTATCCAAGAGCAGGAAAGCTGGGTCGAAGAAAATGTGGTCCAGAAGGGACTGATGAACGTCCCCTACAATTTCACCCGCTCCGCCCCCAATCCACCCCGACTGGTGACATCCAACACCCTACAATGCCGATGGAGTTCCCAAACCTCCAGACCGCAGAGTTTTGCGAGTTGCTCCAGATCGACAATAAGTTCTACTTGAACGAAGAACAGCGTTTCATCAACTACTCAAGCGTCCCTGCCACCCAGATGGCGAACGGTGACGAGGATCGTCACCGAGGTACAGGCCGCCGCGGTGGCCACAGGGGCCGTGGTCGTCGTGGCCACCGTGGTGGTCACCGCGGATCTGGACGTGGAACCCAGTGAAAAGTCTAGGCCGCCACTACATTGTTCTCGTCACTAGTATCATCTCACATGGCCTTTCGGAGATCCAACTTCTGTATCACTGACAGCACTTCATATGATCATTCGAGTAACCAAACTATCGGTCAGTTCAGCAATTCGGTGTGAATTTACTTTCCCGTGAGTAAGTTCATGGGCATAGCATATTTTTTCTCTCGTGTTGTTCTTTTCACTTTACTGTTTTTTTTTTCTACGCATAATCTTGCTTTTTCGTCTCATCGTCTCCATGTGGCTTTTTTCCGCCCGTAATATTCCTTGTTCGTTTTGATGTATTTGTGTTGATGGGCCCCGTGATTTGGAGTCTGTGGCGAGAATCGGTTTCTTTTCCATTCTGTGGTTGTTTTTCTAACGATCATCCTGCGTTTTCATGGTGTTTAAGTTGTCTTTGTGTGGATCGGCTCTGTGAGAATGACTGTTATGACCTTTATCAAGAATGATTCCCCCTTTAAGTTCGTTCTCATCTTTCTAGTTCTTTCAAAATGAAATTTCTTATTCAACATTCAAGTTTCTTCTGATTAACGAGCACTGCTAATCTCCATCTATCTCCAATCCGACCCTGGCTGGAGCACTATTGTATGACCTGTGAAGGCTAAACGAAGTGCATTTGGGCAGAACGAAACAATTATTTACTCAATCTCTTCGATACGCGGCCTGCCAGACCCTCCAGCCAAAGGATCAACGTTTAAACCAGCAATCCGATCACCCAGTTCAAGCCTCGGTTCATCACTATCAGATTGCACACCAATCCCCCACATTAAAGACTTCTCCAACCAAGCCTCCAAACTCTCGATCAGAACACGCAAATGCCCACGCACAATCGAATCTGTCTCTTTACTCTCGACATAGCCCAGCGTCCGCAGCATGTGAGGTATATTGCCGATGGTCGATACGCCATGCGTATCCGTATCTTGCGAGCCAAATCCGGCCATGGAATCCGTCAACGAGAACCCAAAGCCGATTTCCTTTCCTCGTTTCGCTTCCCGGGCTGAGTCAAGCGCTTTGAGGATGTCAAGGATAAGAATCACACTCGCGCGTCGCAGGATGGCGCTTTCGGGCAATTGTTCCAGCGTCAGCGTTGAGAGGGCCAAATCCACTGCTGACGATAGTATTCTTGCTCCGAGACCAATGATATTTACCTGGGCTGCAGAGGCAAGAATAGAAAGTGCAGATGCGCGGACACGAAGGTCATCTGGCTCATCATCTGAAGATGCACCCGCCGCCCATGCGGCGACAATATTCGCAGCGTGGGCAGATTGTTCCGGGGTCTCGGTATCGGAATCTTCATCAGCCTCTGCGTCCTTTTGAGGGTCGGCTGGTCCCGTTGAGAACTTCCACCCGTCAGGCATGGCCGGTTCTCTCTGTTTGCGCTCTTCGCGCTCTCGCTGGCGCCGCTCTTTTTCCAATTGTGATTTGCGCTCTTTATGCGATTCGGGTTTGCGGCCACGTCGTCCTGCGACTGTTATCATGACGTCGCCGAGGATTTTGGCTGTTGGGCCGGATAATGCTTCGCCTAGGTCTTGGACTGTTCGGAGGAGTGATTCGCCGATTTTCAGTCGCTGGTCTAGGGTTCTTTGTTCGGTTTTGTCAGCGTAGCTGTCGACGAGGGTTTTCACGACTGTGCGTGGATGCCGCGAGGCCAAAGTTCCGATGAGCTTTATCGCGTTGAGGTAGATGAATTCTTCATTCGCAGCCGAGGAGCTGGTGTCCGTGATGATTGATAATAGGAGGGTCAATGTGGATGGAATGTCGAGGACGGGAGATCCCTTCAGGACTAGCTTTGAGAGTAGCGAGAATCCCTCTGCTTGAACGGGTGGGAGGTCCGAATTGAGGTTTGTTAATGCCTGTCGGTGTGTATCAAGGTCGGCGAGGTGCGGAGGGGGTGGCTTTGTTTCGTCATGTTCTGGATGGGTGAGCTGGATCTCTATCAGCATGGATGATGTGGTTGCTGGTTTCGCTAGTGCGGGTGGGAGGAGAGGGATGAGTTGATCCAATCGGTCCTTGATGGCCTGTAGCGGAGGTTGGGTTTCGGGCGAGGTGGTGAATTCAGGAGATGCGATAATTGTAGATAAAAGACTGAACGCGGTTGAAAGGGATTCAGATGTTTCGTTGTCAGATGTAGCCTCTTCTTGTGTGCCTTTTTCTGGAACAATGCTGGCAAGAGATGATAATGAAACCTTGCCCTTCTGATCTTCTTTGGTTGATGCTTGACCACCAAGCCTATGCAATTCGCCATCAACAACCTGTTTTATGAGTTCCAGCACTCGCAAAGGTCGACGAGACAAAGTATCCTTGAAAGTGTCGAGTAGTTTCTCAGCCACCTTGGCGCTGACAAGCTTTTGGATGATATTTTCTGACTCGCCAATTCTCTCGTGCTCGGTGGAGCTGCCAGCGTTGTTCGATTTCACCAGCCATTTCTCGCTCACGTAGAGGAAAATATCGCCAGTGTGTTCCTCGCCACTAGGGTCAGAGCCAAGCAGACTGACGAAGAGGTCGGTACGACTTTGCAGAGAGTCAATCATTCGAATAATGTTGGAATGGTTATCTTGTTGCTCTGTTCGCCCGGTCAGAACTATTTGTCCTTGCTGATTCGTAGAATAAGTCCAAGTTGCACCCCCGTTCCAGAGAAGGTGATCAACGAGCTTCTTCAGAGGCTGCACGCCCACGGATATACTGAAATATGTCTGCAGAAGTTCAAAAATCCTTTCCTGATATGCCTTTAGTTCTTTCTCTTGGGCATAACAAATCAAGCCCCAAAGAGGAAGAAGAATTGGATAGACAATTCTCTTGACAAGGCCGGGGTTCGGATGTTGGAGAGCCAGACTTCTCAGTCTCTCTATCGCGAGGTGGACCATATCTCCATCCACGAGGGTATATTCCGAGTTCATCTCTTCGATCTTCATTGAAGCGGAACTTTCAATATTCGCGTAGTGTGCCATCCATGGTAATGATTTCTCGCTTAGCTCTGCAGTCAGAGCCGCGAATACTGGCTCCACGAAGATTGAATGTCCGATTGTCCCGGGTGCGCCATAAGCACGCTTTCCCAGTATTCCATTTCCAATACTATAAGAAGCCGTCTTCTTCAAATCTGGATCAGAACCATCTAGCAATGCCAGAAGCTGAGGAGCAATCTTGGTGAAGTATGAAGTAGGCTCGATATCCTGGGGAACAGATGATAGCAATCGAGATATTTGCATAATAGCTTGAACGGTAAGATGCGGCCCATTTGAGGACTCGCTCTGTGCTTCTTGTCCGAGGGACGGAGCAAACTGAGAGGCAATGAACATGATTGTTTGTAAAACCCCGCCCTGGCGTAGCGGTATCCGCGCAATTTGGCCCGAAATTGTGGCTTTGAACCAATCTGTTGGGTCGGTTTGGAGAAAGCTGGACAATGTCGGCAAAAGAGCGGCACTAGGTGTCCTTCAGTGGGTCAGCATCAAAATTGGTATTTGAGGTTTTGCCTTGGCATAACATACTCTTCAATGATCTTCAGAAACCCACATTTGAATTCACCCCGATCCGGCGAGGATGCGATGTTCGGATTGAAGGCCAGGTCCGCTGTAGCGCTAATCATGTCACTCAAGATGCGGCCTCGAATGACCGGCTGAATGCTCGGCGTGGGGTCTAGCATTATGTTCAGAATAATACTCATGATATGACGAAGAAGAATTTCATCGTGAGGTCTGCTACTAGCAGGTATAGCAGTTTGTTTCGCAATCACACCAGCTGGCAGCACCGAAATCACTCTCTGTTGCAGTGGAATGCCGACTCCTGATGAAAGAGATGGATAAATTCCCTCCAATGATATCAAGTCCAGTAAGGCATGTAAAAGTCGACGGCGCTTTGCATCTTCCAAGGCCGGATCTTCACCAACGGGAATTACATTTTCTACCGGCTCTTGATCCCCGGCTGGTGTTGCGAAGGACGTATGGATCCGGTTGAGGATATCTAATGCCTGACCAATAACGGTCCGCCTTTTAAGATCATCCTGAATGTCTAGATTTTCCGTGGATTGGCTGAGAATTTCTAGAAGCGCCCTGCCTTGGGACTTTTGTATTTCATCTTAGAATTGAATTAGCTCGCGGAGTTCAAATCAAAGTACAAGCTCCGGCCGCATACCTCGATTCAGGACCGGATTCAAAAATTCGTTGGCGGCATCAAACGCCTTCCGGACCCGACTGAGATCTTCCATCATGAACAGTGGAAGGGATAAAGCATCACGGAACCCATCGCTGATGAGTTGATTCTTCCAGCATCAGAAATGCCTCTCTGAAAGGGCCGCGGGTCTTGGCGGGTTGAATATTGCTTAGTAATCGTGTCTGGCGCTTCCCGGTGCCACAATCACGTGATCACCCGTCGCGTGATCCGCCTCGGCGCCCGGCGACGCGCCTGCCCATACATCGGAGAAGGAGAGTCTCTCTCCTTTTGTTTACTGCAATGCTTTCGCTGACTTTCTTCAACACCCCCAGAGATACTAAATCGCGATGGCAGAGCCCCTGTTGATGAATCATCTTGAATTCACTTGAATCCCAAAATCTTCATTGTTTCCAAAGCTTTGTTTACCAACGCCGAAGTTTCGTCACGTCTTATCGAGGATGTGGACCCCCCAATTCTTGCCTTCGAGGCATCCAAGTACAGCAAATCCCTCTTTGATCCGGCTATCATCCGACCTCGGCATTTTCTGTTCAGTGCAACTTAATTTGTCGTCCGGGCGATGTTGGGATCTAACCCTAAGACTTATCCAGTCGGTTGTCTCTCGAGACCCAGTTTCACGGAGAAAAAGTGTGCCGGGTATCATGACTAGTACAATTGATCTGTGATGGATCAGTTATGCGAAAGTTGCTCGACATTGCCAGAGCTCTTCGGGGCACAAAAGACGGCTTTACTATGCAAGCGTCCCTACGGGCGATGCGTCGGTTCTGCCAATGCTGGATTTGCATGCTGGTCACAATCGGATGGTCAACCTATGCTTCGAATGACACACTACCAGAAGGAAAACGAGGGTGGAATGCGCCGGACGCCTCGGTATGAGAGGATGTCTTTGGGGGATCAAACAACAGTGCTGCAGATCGGAATCAATTGCGGCGTTCAGATATCGAATGCCTAGGGCATCAACTAATTTGGTTCAGAAATGCGACGTCTAGAACCCATCAGTTTCGATTACACACGGCATGGTTGCTGCAATTTAAAAGGATCCACTCGTCGGAATCATTGTATTTCTCCCTGATTGTGTCCCAGGCACTTTCATAGTTATGAATGTCGCGAGGTTCTTCTAGTTTGTTTGTCTCCATGACTCTTTGATTTCATTATCAAAGCTTTAGGACTGATGGCACGTTCCGGCCCGACAATGCATTACTCCATTTTGACTTGGTGTTTTTCGATTCTGCTCGTTTGCTTTCTTTTCGTCTCTGTACGCAAAATCTGTTGTCCGACCCGTGCGCGTTCCCACAAGGAAGATTCCTGGAAAATCTTGCCCCTTCCTTTCACCCCTCCGGTACTGCCATTCCTCAGCTTCGAGCAGCTAGGTCCCTCGTTTTATGGCACCCTCCACCAATTCGACTTCCTCGGAAGATCCAGACCCCCCCGTGTCAGCCATCTCTCTGCGAATCAGTTTGCAGATCGATTGATGGGCGCCGACTACATCAACGATAACATATTCTCATATGTTCATTGTTCCTTCCTCAGGAAGACGGAAGCGGTTTTTTCTGGATGCTCTTTGTTCGCTTCATTTACCCAATGCCCCCCCCTAGGATACCTTGCAGTTGACCAGGGGAGGAAACAAAAACTTGTCCCAGAGGGTACTGTACCACACACAAGAAAGTGGCTCCATCTATTCGATTAAATGCCGATACGAATCCATGGCTATTTGTGCAATTCTGCGGAGATGAAGATCTTGCAAGGTTTATTCGATTCATCATCAGGGTTTGGCCCAATCACGATTTACCTCTGAGGGGTGCGGAAAGAAGGCGGTTGCATTCACGTCCATCGTAGCTTCACCTGATCACCATATATTCCTCAACCCTTTCTGTCTTGTCATGGTCGGCAGAGCGCTCAATATTGTCTCACACATCACAGTGATTCCGGCCGAAGTCCAAAGGTATTCATGTCTCCCGATTCCTTTTTCCGGTGGCTGCATCATCCGATCGATCCGGTTTGAAGTATTTAGTCGTTCTCAGCATGTACGCACTCTGCAGAGTTATGTGGGACCTCTCTCGAGTGGGGATCAAAGCTTTGGCTTGTCTACATTATTTCTGTTGCTGCATGCCCTCGGCTAAGTATTCTGGTCGGTGTCGATACGGTGTGGGTCCTAAAGCGACGGGATAGAATTGCCTTTGTCTTTAGCTGTCAAGGAATTGCTGCCAGATGCTGGGATCGAATCTCTGTTGACTTGGCTCGATATGGGGCGGAATATAGGAACCAAGCGACGGCTGATGGACTGCTGTTTTCTCTGCTTCGGTGGAGAAAACGGCATAATTTTTTGTTTTATACGTGCTCCCATCTTCTTGAGCATTACATCTGACAGCAGCTAACTACTGGTTAGGCAAACCGCAACCTTCGTTTTTCCTCTTTTTTTTTCTTTTTCTTTGGTTGATGTGTTCGCGGAGATTTCATGAAACAACTAGAAGGACGCATGTTCAAATAGGACTTCTGCCAATGAACAAGGATGGATTGACTTGTATCCCCGATGCTGTCATTTTTCACATTTGAATACCATTCTGCTGTGCTCTTAAAGAGTCACGAAGGGTCTAGCATTTTACCTGAAGGTCATGAACCCAATTATCTTGTCTTGTATAGATCGGGCATCCTCACATTAGTCATCGAGCGGTGTTGCCCCTCCAGCCCCGCCACCGCAGAGCAAAAAGAATAAAAAGGAATGTTCCGCCGGAGTTTTTTTTGCGATAAGAAATTCTGCCGCTCCATCTCCACCCGTCCACAACCACCCCTCCTCTCTCTATTTCGCAGATACCTGAAGACCCCTTGTGAACTTCAATACCTTCATTCATTCTTCTATTATACCCCTGTCCGTCTTCCCCAAGATGTCCGCCGAGGAGCAGCAAGCGGCCAAGTCCGAATTCGACAATGTCGTGTCGCAGTCGCAGTTCAAGAACATTGGAGACATCGTTGAGAAGGGAGAGGGCGACGATGAGGACCTGGGTCCTATGTCGATTGAGTCTCTCTGCATGAACTGCCACGAGAATGTAAGTCGTCATTGCAATTGTAGCAATGTTGAGCCTTGTCGCATAGCTCCGATTACTAACATCAATTGCTTTATGACAGGGAGTCACCCGCCTGCTTCTCATTCGTGTCCCCTACTTCCGCGATATCATCCTTGAGTCTTTCTCGTGCGAACACTGTCACTTTGCCAACAATTCCATCAAGGCAGCTGGTCAAAGTATGTGCCAATCTTTCCTCGACCGCCTGAGCAAAACAGATGCTGACCATGTTTTCAATTTAGTCCAAAGCCAAGGCGCAAAGTACACCCTCGAAGTTGAGAGCACAGACGATATGCAAAGACAATTAGTTAAGTCGGATCAAGGAATCCTGACCATCGATACCCTTGGAATTGAAGCTCCCCGTGAGGGTAACTTGACCAACGTTGAGGGCGCAATCCAGCGTGTCCACGAAGGTCTTTCCAACGACCAGCCCGCTCGCAAGGAGCAAGCCCCCGAGCTCTACGAGTCCCTCCAGCCCCTGGTCGACCGCCTCAAGAGCTTCTTGGATGGCACCGGCTTCCCCTTCACCATCTCCCTCGACGACCCCACTGGAAACTCTTGGATCGCCCCTAACACCCTGGACCGTGGCAACAAGTACCGTACCAAACTCTACTACCGCACCCACGAGCAGAACGAGGAGCTCGGAATCTCCGCTGATCCCGAGGCTGCGCAGACAGAGGAGGGCCCCGACTCTGAGATCGTGGATGGCAAGGAATACTGCTTGCCTGCCGAGTGCCCTGGCTGCACTAAGCCATGCGAGCTGCTTATCAAGAAGGTCAACATTCCTTACTTCAAGGAAGTCTACCTGTGGAGCAACGTCTGCGAGCACTGCGGACTGCGTTCATCTGATGTCAAGACTGGTGGAGAGGTTCCGGAGCTCGGCAAGCACATCACCTTGGTCGTGAAGGAACAGGTTGATCTTTCCCGCGATATCCTCAAGTCTGACACCTGCGCCGTGCACAGTGACGAGCTCGAGATCTCGATCCAGCCTGGTACACTCGGTGGCCGTTTCACCACCCTTGAGGGCCTGCTCACCGAGGTGCGCGACAGCTTGAAGGGTCACCTGTTCGATATTGGCGGCGGCGGCGGTGACAGTCTCGAGACTAACGAAAAGGCCAAGTGGGATCGCTTCTTCGAGCGTCTTGAATGCGCTATCAACGGCGACCTTGAGAAGTTCGGCGGCCAGTTTACTATTACTCTCAGCGATCCCCTGGCCAACAGCTACGTCCAAGATCTGTGTGCGCCTGCTGCGGATCCTCAGCTCACCATCGAGGAGTATAAGCGCACAGACGAAGAAGAGGATGACCTTGGTCTCAAGGACATGAAGACCGAGGGTTACGAGGAAGACGCCCAGAAGGAGGAGCAGAAGTCATAATTCATGCTGCTCAATGACGTTCAGTGACTTTCACGTTTTTTATATCCATTTCATGACTACTACGCGATCTGTTATATGTTTATTTGCATGATGGCGTCTTGACAATACTATACTATGTACAGGCTTTTAGATATCCGGCGATGAGGGGACGGTTGGGGAATGACTGAAAAGTATTTGGGTGTTTTTGAATCAAAATTTCATTGGGTATCCTGTAGATTATTCCACTATTTCACTGAACATTCTAATTTTGCATATCTCCAGACTGCCAATGCTCTACCTAAGTTCTGGGCGTAAGCTTTAATGGTTCAGATATCCGAGCCAGCCCTTGTTGGTTTCCTCTCCCTCTCCCGACTGCGATGCCCTTGTCTTCGAGGTGGAACAAGGTCTAGTCCGGTTATTCGCGGTGGCGCATTGTGTGTGTGTGTGTGTGTGTGTGTGTGTGTGTGTGTGTGCTGGTAAAATCTGCCTGGGACAGCATTTTGAACTCATATCGGAAAGATGAAGAACTGGGCAGTTGTACCGATGCGTGATCTTTTCGTTTCGAATAAGATAGCTGGCATAAGGGCACGAAGGGCCGCACTGTAACCCTCCCGAGTATAGTTCCCAGAGCAGACATCCATTCAACGGGCCCGTATAAGATTATTCAAACAATCGATGTCTCACTTGGCAAATGGGTTGGCATGTATGGTAACGTTGTTAATGCGAAGTGCTTCGAACGAATCACCCTCCTTGGGCTGCGAAACCTTGCCCTTCTTATCCACCTTGGCGTTGGCCTTCTCTAGTTTGGATAAAACATCACCACCTTCATCCTGGGCACTCAAGTTCAGCACTTTGCCAAAGACTGTGCTTGCGCCGTCCAAATGCGGTGCCGGGGCAAATGTAATAAAGAATTGGCTACCGTTGATGGTCGGACCCGTCGCATTCTGAGAACCTGGTGCCGTCTTGTCCTTAACCGGACGGGAAGCCATTGAGAGAACACCACGCGCATTGTGTCGTAGAGCCGGGAGGTTTATTTCTTGATTGAGTGCGGAGGGGTGATATATGGAAGTGCCGCCCTTGGGAATTTCGAAGTCGAGCATGGGCTTGCTGGAGGCGGAGGGCTTCGCTGCGGGACCCAAGGAGATGTCACCGGTCTGGATCATGAAGCCCGGCATAATTCGGTGGAAGGGTATATCATTGTATGCACCACATGCGCACAGCGCAATGAAGTTTTCGGTCGTTTGAGGGACTGCTTCACAGAATAGCTCGACCTTGAGGTCGCCTTGGGTCGTGTGGAGCTAGATACGAGGTAGCGAGCGTTAGCTTCGTTGCGAAATTGACCCTTTCTGTAGAGCGAAAGGAACAGCCTGGAGTGTTTAGACAGTGTCCACGTACCGTGACAGACATGATTGTGGTGATTGTATTGGTATTCAAGGTCGAAAGCACTGATGCTCCGATCTCAGCAAACTTGGACCCGCCGATCGATATCGCGCTTAGTCATGGCATGCGGCGCTTTCGTCGTTGAAGACCCTCGATTGTTTACAACCATTGAAGCTTCAATTCCAGGGTGAGACACTCAAACCCTTTGGCTGGCTGCAATAACAACCCAAGGACAGCCGTTCTTGCACCCACTTACAAAGAACACCGTCCCGCTCATTGTCCATCGCCAATCCCCTTGTTTCCACCAGGCCGCCGAGGTCTGAAGCACATCGCCAGAATGAATAATCGACCAGTCGAACAAGCGTTGGGGATTTTGGTGCCAACCCACGCCGCAGATTTACCTCAAGAGCTCCTCAGTCTGGCCTTGAGCCTTGTCGCTCAATCACGGAGCTTGTCCACCAGCTTAAAGCCGGAGGAGGAAATCGCCCGTCCCTACGCTTGCGCCGAAATTGCTTGTAGGAGGTATGGCCAGCTTCACCTTCCCAATCTTGAAGAGACTGCTGATCTCGTTCTATGACCTCTAGATTGACTCGCGCACTTTCACTTCCCCCGTTACTCGGCCACCCGCCATGCCCGCCGCGCTCATACAAGAAGCTTTATACATGGCTCGATAAGTCTCTCTCGGCCAGTTCAACAGGAATGAAGCGCTCAGCAAGTGGATCTGTCGCTGGCTCTCCATCTCGATCTGGAGCTGCTCAAACCACTCCGACCAAGGCATCTGCCCTTGCACAATCCCCTACTAAGGCAGCGCCAACACCACGCGGTCTCCAAAATACACCCTCCAAGTCCACCCCATTGAAGAGGAGCGTTAGTGTGGCCAACAAACTCGGCTCACCATCAAAGTCGGCACGGAAATCCTTCTCCGCTCATCCTAGGGGCATCACTGCCTCTACCATTATCCCCGATGCCCCAGCCTGGGCGATGACCGCCATCCGAACCGTTTGCAAGACACTCGCAACTCCGGCTCCACGAACAACGACTTGGTCTCGCCCTCCGATCTCTAGAACCCTGCCCCCTCATATATTTGCCGGTGTTTCATCTATCCTCTTCCTGACATCAAGCATGTCAATCGACGAAGAGGGATTCGACGAGGAGATTCTAGATTTCCTCGAGCCCATCGTCTCTATCAAACCCGCAGGAAATGACGACGACTTCAAGGAACTGGTCTACGCTATGGCTGTGGCTGTCTACTTCCTCGTACTAGCAAGGCGACGTAGCTCGGCACCCTCTGATGAAATCGACGAGGCGAATTCCGAAGCGCAGAAGATGGATAAAAAGACGTTCACTGAGATGCGCCAAACTGCCTTGACTAGCCTGGGGCTTCCGAATGACCGACGGCATCGCGATGATGTTGACCAATGGATTGCTCTTATCATGGAACAGGGGTGGGCTAGTGGACAAGAATGGTTCGACAATATCCCACACGCTGGGGAGTTGGATGGCGAAGACGAGGAAGGTAATTCTTACCGGAACCTTGATGAGGAAGACGCAGCTCTTCGTGGTGTGAAACTGCCCAAGCGCCGTGAAGGTACTGGCGGTCCTCGCTCAGGGCGGGGAGGTGCTCCTCGAGGTGGCCTTTTACCTGGTCTGGGCACTATGATGCAGGATCGGGTGGATTGGTTGAGTGAAGATCGCCAGGAAGACTTTGTGGAATGGAAGGCAGAGATCATGTCTCGTATTGGACAAGCAGCTGCTTGATTTGCGGGGGATCTGGGAAGGTTATTTGGTTAGCATACTCGGCGCTAGGAAGAATTGATACCCTATACAATGAACATGAAATGTCTTGATTTTATCTCCAATAATAAACCAATCAGCTAAGCTGATATTCTGCGCCATTTTGCAGTGAAATGTAACCCAATCGCGAATGAACAAATGTCTAATGTCCCTCCATCTCTACCCATGAATCTATATGCCTTTTCACCGGACCCTAGGCTTCCAGAGCCACCCAATAATCAGGTACAAGTGCGAATCGAACCTCTTGAAAAACCAAACGATTCCAAAACACTAGTACCAAATGCTCCGAGTCCGGTGGTGAGGAATACTCTCGTTGTGTTCCTCCTCCAAGTTCTTCATTGTATCATACAAAAAGAAGTCAATCAGAATAGCGTTGATTCCGTATGTCTTCGGTGGCTTTTCAGCCTTGGTTTTCTCGGCTTCGGCCTCGGCCTCCGAGTCCTGGGGGGTGTTTTCCTCAGACGGTGTGAAAATGCCTTTGTGTCCAGCATTCTTCACTTCTGGGTGACGCTTCTCAATCTCTCGTTTTATAAGCTCGACACACCAGATGCTCGTGCCGCGGAGCTCAATTTCCCAGTTTGAGCCCGCTGGGATCAGCTTCCCATCTCGAATGTGGTTTTCCAGTGGGGGAGACAGTCGAAGACAGCCAAACTGGTGGAGCATTTGCGGAATGCGATAATCTGCAAAACAAAGTCAGCATAGGCAGGGGATAGAAATCGGATTGATGAAGAACACTCACCCGCAAACATGGTGATCTTATCGATATCGTTGAATTCTCCAAAGTCCTCGCCGTCAAAGCAGGCCCACAGGTCTGCAACGAGAATCTGGGCGCGCTTGTAAAGCCGAACTCTTTTTCCGTTGAACCTCGTCTCGTCACGGAAGCAGGCGAAGTTCTCGGTGAGCAAGTTTACTAGACCTGCTGCGGAGAAATTTGCGTCATCGATGCAGTTGACAAAGCTTCCACCAAATTCCTGAACAATAATTCCATTAGTACCGGAGTAAGAAAGATCGGGGTGTGTCATGTAACTCACATTACAGAGAACTTCACCTGCTTCTCGCAAGCATTGCACTCGCTCTTGGAATAAGGGGATCTCCTCATCGGTGGCGGATCGAAAGACATGTCTCAGCAGCTCATCTGTGCATTGCTCCTCGTCGATCCAAAAGTCTGGAGTTGTGATAGGGATCTTCTCCTCAAGAGCTCGTTGTAAGGCAGCAACCAAACTCCAGTAGCCTGTCCACCTCTTGCCGCGATACTCGATGCAGAAACGCTTCGCTTCGTCCTTCTCCTCAGACCAGAAGCTAAAGTTTAAAAGATCCATTGTGAAAATAAAATCAACGGTACTTTCATCTTTTGTTTGGGGATGCAGCTCATGCTCTGACCAGGTCTTCGTGGAGTAGGCCTTCTTCTGCATCATTCGCCATATTGTCTCGGCGGCTTCTTTGGTCTGTGCCGGGCTCAGGGCCACGTCGATGGCATTGTCAAAAATGTACTGGGCACCCTCCAGAACTCTGGTTTCTGGCGGAAGATCATTCTGCTGTTTGCCGCCCAGTCCGAGGTGCTGGCGGAGGAGTTCCACTAGTTCAGGGTCTGCCTCATCGTCGGACCCTCCATCGGGTAGATTGGGGTTCCTGGCGGGGATTGGCTCCAAGGATGGCATTTTTGTTGATAGTCGTAGGTGATCGGATATTAAATTGGACGGTGAGAGTGAGACCTCCAGGCTCAATTCTAGTACACGCCGTTTGTCGAGTGACCTCCTTTTTGAGCGGCCGCTTTTGTGGGACAGGAGCCCTGGACAATTGGACACCGGCCGTTCAGTAAGCTTCAAGACCGGGTTGGAAGACCGAACTGAAGATTGTATTCCAAGGTTGACAGGGATGATTACTCCGATGAAGAAATTATGTACAATTGCTTGTTGATTCTGTCCTTTCTTTGTCGCCACGGAGAAAATTCAGGTCCAACGTGTCTTATGTAAGCAGGATTCACCGGTTTGATTCAGGGGGCAATATAGTATCGCAAGATAGTATTTATAGAGGAGATTTACACGGTGATTGTTCAAGTCCTTTTTGGTACTTTTTTTCATGCATGCAAATGATCTTTTTCGGGTGCTTGGTGGGGCTCAAAAATAATATGTACTAGTCTAGATGTATATTCTGATGATGGGCTGACCTCACTTCATCCATGGATCCGGCGGGTACTATACTAATATGGATCATATACTACTACTAGTACTTCACAAGGACGCTGATGACAAAAGAGATCTATCCAAACAGGTCAGGATTGACTGCTAAACTGCCCAGGTGCAGATGATAATGGTTGGCTGTCTTGCACAGTCAGATAGTTAACTCTTCTTCTGTTCATACACTGGCTCAGTAGTCTCCTCACAACGCGCGTTGATGACGGCATTCATGGAATCTTCTGATTTCAAGTAGGTCCGATGGCCCTTGAAGATCCAAAATCCCACCGCAATGATGAGCATGACCCCAAAAACTGCGATTGCATAATTCATGTCGCTTGCCGAAGGGGTAGGAGTGTCCGGTAGGAAGAAGAAAACCGTTGTAACAACACAATATACCACACTAATCCAATTGATCACCGGGCCGAATCTCCCCAATCGAAATTCCCCGGGAGGTAGTTTTTCACGGCCCACGAGCAGCAAAGATAAAATAGGGATGCAGTATGAGATTGTGAGTGCGATCGTGCTGACACTTAGAATAGCCTGGAGGACAGTGTCTACACCGAAATATAGTACTCCCACTAGGGCAATAAAAATCCCCTGGAGCCAAAGAGCTCGAACTGGCATCTTCCATGTCGTATCAACGTGAGTAAAGTATTGGCTCCAGGGCAGCCCGCCATCCCGGGCAAACCCCCAGGTGAGTCGAGAGGAGGTGGTCATGATGCTAACTGCCTGACCGAGGCCATTTCCAATGAATAAGACCATCAGCACAATACCACCTTTAAGGCCGACTGTGCTTGTGATAAGCTCCATGAATGGAAGGCCAGTAGGTGAATTCAAGACCTGATCCAAATCTTGAATACAGTAGAGACAGATGACCATGAAGATAAAACCCGTGATGGCACCTGTAATAACCGATAGATATATCGTCTTCGGAATATTCTTTCGAGGCGCAGGGATCTCCTCCGCAAGGTGAATAACAGAATCGAAAGCTGTTAGTCCGTATGCAGCTTGGACAAGACCGATAAACCATGTCACTCCGTCGCTCCAGCCTGTCTGATTTATCCACCCGCTAAACACGAACCGAGAAGGCTGAAAGGTTAGATCTGCTTGAGTTGCCACGCAGACGACCATCACGATGCTCATTACAATGAACAGCCCAGCGAACCAAATTCCAATAATATTGTTGAAAATTGGCAGCGTCCTGTCACTCCGACAGGATACCAAATTGGCCACAATGAGCATGGCGGTAACACCAACGTAGAGGATAAATTGAACCCAGCCTTCAGAAGCGCCAGCCCAGGAGTTATCAAACATAACTTTCGTTCCCAGCAGGAAATTTGTCATGAATGCAGCCGCCGAAGCTGTTAGCGTCCACCACCCGAACATATTGATCCAAGCACACATATATGAGGCAAAGCGACCGGTTGGAGTGTTCCAAAGTCTATAAACCCAGTATGCCTGTCCCAATGCAGTTGGCATGCTACTGCACAATTCGCCGAGTGATACTGCAACACATAGATTGCAAATAGTGACAAGAACAAGCCCCCACAGAATGCCCACGGGTCCTCCGCTCTCCAAGCCAGTGGCAAGATCTTGAGCGAAAGTGCCCCAAGTGCCCAAAACGCAAAACCCGAGTGCAAGCATACTGCCTAAGCTGAACTTCCGAGACAAGACCTGGTCATGTCCCAGGGCAGCCAGATCGTGCGCATCTAGAACGGCTTGGTCAATTGAGTCGCCAGGTTTCAGGGGAGGATTCGTTTCCAGATCCATGGCGATGGTGGGAAATGGCGACAGACATGGGAAAGGGAAGAGGATATGTCGAGATGCTGAGCAAAGCCCAGGGCTTTTTAAACAAGATCATTTTTACTTCCCATGAGATCGGCCATTAGACTTCCCGGAACCCCTCTGTGAATTTGCATGGCCCTATCGCGTGTGACGCTATCGACAGAGACAAGCAATGGGGTGGCTGATCGAGCTGTTTTCCCCGCATCGGCTTCTCCGCGCCTGAGCGGAGGCGCTATGGCTATCACGCTTGGACTTGCTGCTTCGAGGTGGGAAGATAAGTTACTGGAAACAGATAGCTCCTGCAGTTGAAAGGACCATCATTGGGTCGTTATCACCGTGAGGCTTTTTCAGTGGAGATAAGGGACCTGGCTTGGGGGACTCCAAGCACCGAATCCTGGCTCGGCATTGTTTTTGAGGCCGACCGTGAATCTACACGGGATAGTACATCGAGTTTGACGGGCCGAGAGCATTAAAAGTTGACAGCCCGATACCGAGTGAGCCATATATGTAGTTGGAGATGAATGAGGTTGGTGGGATCTGGATCGTCGCCAGCCCGCCTTGGAAGCTCTCATCTACCATTGAACAGCGATGGGGATGAGAGAACTTCAGAGAATGCAAGGAATGGAGCAATGATTCTTTTTTTATCGGTTATCCGATTGTCAAAGGGGAAATATGTTGAGCAATGTACTCCATAAGTGACAGTGTTTGATCAGGGCGTCAAACCTCCGAATGAACGCGCCAGTGATGTGATATAATTTTTAATGGAAAGCCTGGGTCAGTCAAACAGTTTCCAGAGAGTGATCAAGGAGTAGTTCTACCCCTGGAGACATGACGATTGTAATGGCATGAAGGTGAGGGATGTAAGGCGATGTCGGCCGGAAGCGGGCTGCATGGGGAATGCATAGGCAATCGTGCAGGTCGAACAGGGAGGGAAAGAGTACGAGCAGCAAACATTCAATCGATGGTGTAGAGGGTAGAGGGTAGATAAAATAGGAATATTCTGAAAGATGAGAGTGAGAGGAGGAAGTGGAGGTGTTATAGAAAATCAAGTAGTTAGTAGTTACTATAACTAGATTGGCTGCTCAGTAACTCTTCAAGTTGGTTGGCACAGGCCAGGCCCGGCCAGTCGCACCTGCCCGCACTGGCAGCACCAGCAATCGCACCTGCTCGAGGAGGCTCCGCTCCGCATTTGCCGTCATCGACAACCTTCACTCCGGCCAGCGCTTCCGCTTTCTCTTTCTCTTTCTCTCACTCACAGTCACTCACCTCCACAACTCCCTCCGTTCCTTCTGTCATCAAATTCTCCACACAACACTCACATTTCATCTTGTCACATACACCCTCTCGCTCGATTGCATTGCCCTGCGCATATCGCTGGCGCATCAGCACCCGCCATCATGCGACCCAGTTCCATCAAACGCTGTCTCGGAGTGGACCTAGCTCACCAGATCCAAGAGGTACCTGCCCCAATGCGATCAAGAACAACCCGCCGAAGATTCCAGCGGATCACAATATTCTCGGATACTGATGTTTTCTCCCCTCATTCTAGTCTCGCGTTCTCCTCGTCGGCGCTGGCGGCATCGGCTGTGAGCTCCTCAAAAACCTTGTGCTCACCGGCTTTGGAGACATTCACATCATCGACCTCGACACGATCGATCTCAGTAACCTCAATCGCCAATTTCTCTTCCGCCATGAGCACATCAAGAAACCCAAAGCCTTGGTTCGTCGCCCTATCTCTCAGACACCCTTTCGCTCCCTTGCGAGATCGCCCCCCTCCCCCCCCGCGTCGTGCGCGCAAACCTTCTCTTATCCATACGAGCATATTCTGATAATTAAAATATGTTATACAGGTAGCGAAGGAAGTTGCGCAAAAGTTTCAGCCCAGTGCGAAGCTCGAAGCACACCATGCGAATATCATGGACAGACAATTCAACATCGACTGGTTCAAGGGTTTCAATATCGTCTTCAATGCGCTGGATAACCTTGCTGCGCGGCGACATGTCAATCACATGTGCCTTGCAGCTGGTGTCCCGCTGATTGAAAGTGGAACCACGGGTTTCAACGGCCAGGTACAAGTGATTAAAAAGGTGAGATGGATTTGCAGAGCATCCCGGTCTAGCAATCTTTCGTCACCCATCGCTGACTTACAAAGGGGGAAACGGAATGTTACGACTGCAACGAGAAAGCAACTCCCGTCACATTTCCTATCTGCACAATCCGCAGCAACCCGACCCAACCAATCCACTGCATCTCTTGGGCCAAGAGCTGGCTGATCCCGTAAGAGTACCCACCGCTGTCGTTCATGATAAATTACTGAAAATAATTCAGCGAATTGTTCGGCGAAAGCGAGGAAGACTCCGATGTCATCGATAACACAGAAAACGCAGACAATGGTTAGTTTTGACGGAAAATTTCACCGAGTAGTGACTTCATTGCTGATATCAAGGCAGCCGATGAAATAGCGAGACTGAAGAAGGAAGCATTGGAGCTCAAAGAGATTCGTGACTCTATGGGGTCTGATAGTTTCTGCCGCAAAGTCTTTGAAAAGGTATTCAAAATTGATCTCGAGCGGTTACGCGGCATGGCAGATATGTGGAAAGAGCGTCAGCCACCAGATGCTCTCGACTATGACAAACTAGAGAGTGACTCGGCACAAATAGAGCCAATCGTCTCGAAGTTGAGCCGGAAGGAATGGTCGGTTGAGGAGAATTTTGCCGTTTTCAAGGACAGGTAAGGCCAACCAATAGTCTCCCCGCCTCTCCTAGAAGTTCTTTTGCTCACCAGAAACTAGCATGGACCGCCTGAGCAAGCGCCTGATCGAGCTCCAGTCTGACGGGGCTTCCACAACAGGCGCCAAAAAGCCCATCTTGTCATTTGACAAGGACGATGAGGACACTTTGGATTTTGTCACTGCTGCAGCGAATCTGCGATCCACAGCTTTTCACATTGAGCAAAAGACCAAGTTCGATATCAAAGGTGAGCTCATACTCGCAAATATGCTCTAAAGCACCCCAGTGGCAGAATTGCTAACATAATTCCAGAGATGGCTGGTAACATCATTCCTGCAATTGCGACTACAAATGCCATGACGGCAGGACTTTGTGTTCTACAGGCTTTCAAAGTTCTTCAGCACGACCTAAACCAGGCTAAAATGGTAACCACAAGCAAAACTCCCCGATGCTCTTCTTCCTAACGGAAACTAATTTTGATATGTAAAGGTTTTCCTGGAAAGGTCAGGTGCAAGAGCAATTAATTCCGATTCTCTTGACCCCCCAAAGCCCACTTGCTCAGTGTGTTCCGCTGTGCATGGTAGAGTATCCGTCGATGCTGAGCGCGCTACACTTGGTGACCTGATCGAAGTGCTGCGCTCCGAACTTGATTACGGCGAAGAACTTTCAATCCTGAACCACGGAGGAAACGGCCAGGGCGAAGTGGTTTACGACCCAGATCTTGAAGATAACGTCTCCGCGAGGTTACAAGATATCACAAACAATCTTGATTACATCACAGTTGTGGACGAAGATGATGTGGATCGAGTTCCGCGTGTCAATCTAGAACTCTTTTTTGTTGAAAGGTAACTCGACTCCTGGAATTGCAATATAGCTCAGTGGTTTTCTAACCTTCCTTTACAGAGCGGAGGCATCGTCCGAGGAATCGAAACCAGTTACCCTACAGCAAGGGCTGGAAATTCCCCGGAAAGCCAAGAAATCTACGATCCCTGCTTCCGAAGATACCCCAATGACGAATGGTACAAGCGGGCCGGGAAAACGCAAAAGAGACGGAGAAGATGAAGAAATGACCAATGGCCACGTTGCAAAGAAGGTTGCTGGTGACCAGGCAAACGGTGATGGTGAAGATGTGATCGTTGTAGATGAAGAGGACGGGAAGGATGGGGGTGCCATCTTAATCGACTAGAGCGGCATGCATCTCGAAGGGATAGCTAAAAGACAGGAGTACGCGATTTGATCTACCATGTTCCAGATTACTCTTTATGTGTATCATATGGCATTGCATTGTTAGCCTTTTCAAATAAGAAGAGGTCCACCTCATGACCGAACATGTGATTATCTACAATTATCTTCTAATGCCCTAGACAGCATTGAGACCGCCATCAATGTTGAGCACGCAGTTATTGGCATACTCGTTCTGTGCGAGGAAGACCGCCGCATCCGCCACCTCTCGCGGATCTCCAAATCGATGTAGGGGTATCATGTCTTTCAAACGGGTGATTTCGCCTGGGGTAAAGTCTGCAGCTTGTCGTCAGTTTGATTCGTTTCTACCTGGGATTTCCAAAGAGTAATCACCTGCAATCATGGGCGTCTCAATGTATCCTGGCACGATGGCATTTGACCGAATGACCAAGTCCTTCAGCGAGGCCGCTGCCTCCACGGCCACGGAGCGAGTCAAACCTAATAATCCGGCCTTGGATGCAGCGTACGGCACGGCGCCGGTGCCAGCCTTTAATGCCAGCAATGAGGAGACGTTGATGATGCACTTCGAGAGGGGATTTGCGTCCGTAGAGTCGTTTTTACGGGTTCGCACCCGGCTGCGAATCGCAGCACGGATTAGGGCGCGGGAAGTGAGCACCGCGCCTTCAAGGTTTGTGCGTAGGATTTGGGAGATGTCCGCCAGTTCGGATCTGGGGAGAATGCTTGAAATCGAGATCCCCGCGGCGTTAACGAGGACATCTACCGTGGCCTGGATCATAGTGAGCAAAGCGTGCTTAAGCAGACTGGGAGCATACGGCTGCGCAGAGGGGTGGTGGTGTGTACCATTTCCTTCTCCAGCTCACGCATCCATGAGGCTGCTTCTCCAATATCACCAACAAGGAGACGAATCCTACTCGGCGCATCTTGTTGAACATTGAGCTCTCCTGTGGTGATGGTAGCAGTTCCATCTGGAGAGATACCCGTAGAGGCATTGAGAGTATCGGCCACATCTTGTAGGCGTTTCTGTGATCTGCCGACTAGAATGATAGATGATGCGCCTTCTTGTAGGAATCGCTCTGCGATAGCGTAGCCAATCCCGGATGATCCACCGGTGACCATGCATGTGCGACCGGCCAGCCGGTTTGCAGACTGAAAGCGCGTTTCTGACGGTGTTTGAACAGAGCGAGACGAGGAAAAGAAGCGGTAATCTCTTGTTCTTGTGGTGATTGAAAGACATCCTTTTCTGATGTCATTCATAGAGTGGGCAAAGATGGAGGAAGAGGAAGGTGCGAACACCCGCGCTGGCCCAACAAGTGAAGTGGTCATGGCTATGCACCTTCACTCATTCACTGGTCAGCTTCCTCTTTACAAACAAAAGTCTCTTCAACTCACCTCAATCTTAGAACAAACTATTCATGCGGCACACGACCTGGTGCCTCTCATCCCATCCAATTTCTGAGGTTATCTTGAGACGCGCCTTATCGATAACAATGCGGGCGCACGGGCCACCAAGTCGCCATGTCCCCCAGCCCGTCGAGGACCGGCGACTGCGCGACCTCCATGCCTCGACTCGTACCAACATGGCATCTCCGACCTCCGAATATGTGACTCTTGTGTCTTGTGATGGCTTCGAGTTCATAATTCCGCGCAGTGCAGCATGCGTCTCGGGCACTATCCGCCGCATGCTTGACCCGTCCAGTACGTGAACCGATTTTCGGTTTTCGAACTCATGAACTCCAAGCTGTTGCTAACGGTTTACCTCGCATTATAGGCAACTTCTCTGAAGCCATCACCGGTAGATGTACTCTTGAGACCTTGACGTATGTGTCCCCCGAAAGATCCCATCGCCTTTGTGGCTGTGTTGCGTGTTCTCATCCGGCCCATCGCTAATTCTGACCTTCGACCTTCTTTAGTGGCATTGTCTTGGAGAAGGTCTGCGAATATCTCCTCTACAACGAAAAGCATAAGGATCAGGCCAATGTATCAGATATGGATATCCCTCCGGAGCTATGTCTGGAGCTTCTGATGGCTGCTGATTACCTGGACACTTGATTGATATGGGGAATGGAGCATCTTTTACTCTTGGGTATCAGATGACCTAGCTAGAGCGGCTGGCACCTCTGCTCTCAAATCAAAAACGGACCACAACGGCTTTTACGGCACACGAAACATGCTCTACTGCGATGGCTAATCTTACAAGGAGTTATCGGGTTTTCCATTTCTAAAAAAAGGACTGGAGTAGGGCGTTTTGTTGTAACATACTCTATCGCTTCGCATTGTGATTTATTGATTTATACAGGCGCCGAATATAATAGATCGGTGATTGCTGTTTCACTCTTTCAGTGCGGTGCTTGATTAACATCAAGTAGATGCAATGCCATCCAAGCATCAAAACATTCGATCTAATATCTCCATGGTCGAATGGTCTAAAATGGATGGCAAATTGAGACATACTCCGCAACTTTTGTACCCTGGTGCCGTGAGCCCAAGCACCTGGGCTTTGAGCAAGGTTTGGGATTTGTATAGGAGACATGAACTATCCTGTAGTTACTATATTGCCTTGTAGTAAATTCGCACGAGACCTTCTCCACCCACTGCATGCTGATTTGGCGTGTTACAGCAGTACTTCAGCTCATGGGTATTTTACTGGCATGTCCTTACTCAATGCGACAATTCGTGATATTTTTGCAATTACAATTCCATTGTCATCATCAAAAGTACTGGATATGGTGCTTGTTCTACTAATTAACTAACTCGGTCATTCGAGACTCGACCTCGGCACTGCTTACATACTCATCCGGCGGGTCCAGCCATCAACCACTTCTTACTTCTCCGCACTCCATACTCCTTTCACGACATGCACTTTGTAAGGGTAGGGCTCTCTATGATCCCTCGGTCGACCTCAATTTAATATCACCCTCACTTGCTCACCCCCAACCCCTTGTCTGCCGAAATCGAACGTGGCGTGGGGGCTGCCCCATTCCGTTCCCACAGGGTTCCGTCTCCCCGGATCCCATCGTTGATAGCGACTGATAAAGGAGCACCGTCGACAACAACACATCATGTCAAGTGTTCTTGGCCCAGCAGCGGTGCCAAGCACTACCGATGCCTCCCTCGTCCAGGCTCTGAACGCGACCGCCTCCGCGACATCCGGAAGCTCGTTCCTCCCCACATCCCCGCTCGCCTTGATTACCTTCCCCCTGCGCGTCCTCAACCAGGCCGAAACTTTCGCGTTTAGCACCGTTCCCAGACACCTTCTTCGGATTGCGGGGATATCCAACATCGAAATGAACTTCTGGGGTGGAGCTGCGGCGGCAGCGGGCGACGCAGGCGACGCCGCACAGGCCGCAGCGGATCTGGCAGGTGGTGGTGGTGCTGCGGCTTTCGGCGATAATTGGTACTTGGGCGAGTTCTTGATGGCTGCGAAGAGGATCGGGGGCTTCTTCGGGTATCTGACCAGTGTGTGGTCTTTTGCTTGTTTGGTGGAGGTAAATACCACTCGTTTCGACTTTCTCTCGGAGCATCGCTGATACGTGTACTTGCCTAGGCTCTTGTTCTCAACCGGATCACGATCTACGCCTCGACTCGTCGCCACCTTCGACTCGGCTGGGAAAGACGCCTGGCTTTGCGGTTAATACCCATAATTCTCCTCGGGTCACAGATATTGTCTCTCCTTCGGGGAATCCGTTGCCAGACCGCTCCATCCTACCCTACAATGCGATATGGTCGACCTACAAAACCATTGAGTTTCGACTACGCATCTGGGGGAGGCAGTCTTCACTGGCTGTCATCAAATCTGCTATCGTGGGAAACCGATGAGCAGGCCTGCAGTGCCGTGAATATGGCACGGGTACCCGGCACGCCGGACATTCCCTTCGGATCATTTTCTTTGCTGTGGCCTACTTTCTTACTACTTTGCCTGAGCCATTTCATGGAAACCCTCTCATGTGCATTGCAGGGCAAACCTGTGATGACCGAAACTGGAATGTCGATATTCGAGCACTCGCTTGCCTTTGCGGAAGCCGAGTCCATGATCAGCAAGTCGATCGGGCTTGGGTTATTTGGTCTTCCAAAGCAAAGCCCTCTTACCTCGGGTGGCACCGACGATGGACCCGTTTCTCCGCTACGACTTCTAACGAGAGCACAGGTCCTCGATCGAATGAACGTGACTCCCGAGTTACTACTGATTGCCCTAATATCATGCTTCAACAGCCTGAGCTCCCATATTCTTGACGTAACTGGCAAGCAAAGCCGATATCGTCTCTTCAACACGGCTCTTTGGGGCCTCTGCTTCATGGGCGCCATGTCATGGGGCCTGGAGAGTGGTCCTGTGAGCATCGAGCCCGGTGTTCTCAGGTTCCCTACTGTCTGCATTGTCGGCTTCATTCCGCACTTGCTTGTCTTACTGGGCATCACTGTTTGCTTGGCCATTTACGGGCTTGCTTTGACTATCACAGCCTTCTCTTTACCAGCCGATGAAGGCCAATCTATCCCCCTCCGACAGCGATTCGCCCTGGCCCATGAAAATATGCAAGGCGCGAACCAGATTCGCAGCATTCGTATCAATAGACACGAAGACTTTTATACAACTTTGCTTCGGATTGGCTACATTGCGTTGACGGCCGCCAGCGAGGCTGTTTTCTTGAATGAAGGCACAGCTGTCGTTGCCAGGAAAATGACCTGGCTCGAGAAAGACCGACTCGCCGAGATTGAAGCCTCTCGCCAACGGAATTCACACGACGGAAACTGGTCCAACCAATCCCGAGGTTCTCCCTTCGATGCGGTAGGATACTCTGGGTTCGATCTCCCTATGCAGTCCACGTCATGGGAAAGCGGATACAAACGCGAAAAGAAACCAGAGAAACCAAAGAACGGCACGAGACAGATGCGACCTCATGCTGAGATAGGAGGTGTCGGTGCTGTGCAAGCCTCACTCCGTCTTTGGCACGTCATGTCCTTTTTCCGCTCCATCTTCTGGCTGATTGTACGGTGGATTGCATATGGTGCCAATCGCGCCCTTGACCGATTGGGAATCCGTGCCCGCCCCCAATGGCTCAAGCGCTTTTCACGGAACCAGCAAGATAAAGCAGGCGCTCGCAGCGACACTTCACCAGGTTTGGACTTTTGGATCCTCTCTGAAAAGGGGGAGCTTGAGCTTCCTGACAATCGAGAGTATGATGTCGAGTTGGAAATGCGAAAACGAGTGCGCCCTAGCAACTCAAATTGGGAGTGGAATGATGAGACGAGAATGGATGATAAACTATACGATTGGTGGAAACGCGGTGGCTCATGGGGCAACCAGGATCACACGTCGGATTACGATCCCTCCGTGGCTGATGATGATGACACTACTAGCGTGATATCAATGTCTACCAACGCTTCTGAGGATGACTGGGAGGATGAGGCCGAAGATGGACGTCGCACTCCAACTCAGAAATACCCTTTCCCTTCGTTTTCGCGGGAAAGTACTCCTCTTCAAGACCCTGTTCTAGACATGGGCCATCTTGCTCGTCTCCTTGATCCCCAGGATCGTGAAAGCAGGGAGGAGGCTCGAATTCTTGCAGCGCATCTTAGACCAGCCCAGTCTTCCGGTGGTATTATGACTCGCAGCCAGTACCGCCACCAAGTGGAAAGAGAGAGATCGCGTGTTTTGCTTTCATCTCGCCTGCATGTGGATTTACAGCCTTCGCCCGACAAGCGTAAGCCAACCGCAGAAGAAGAATCCGATGTCCTTGAAAAATTGATCCTTTCCCGCCGGTCCGAAACAGCCGCCAGTGATGATCCCAATACCTGGAAGTCCGGCGCAATGGGCTTAGGTGAAAACGGTCCTCCTTGTGTTGTCTGCCAAACAAGCCCTCGATCGATCATCACCTGGCCATGCCGCTGCCTCTGCATTTGCGAAGACTGCCGCGTTAGTCTAGCCATGAACAACTTCGGCAGCTGCGTGACTTGCCGCCAAGAGGTTGGTGGATTCATGCGGCTATGGGTTCCGTGATCTCGCTCGCACCTTGCAGCGCCATATCATTTTTATAGAAATACGAGGATTTCCGAAGCTCCTGAGGCTTCATCTCAATTCAGTTGTTATCCGCATTGAGAAGCGTGTAACATATTGCATCTGCATCAATCCATCACTTTATTGATACTCAAGTCCAGATTTACCATGTGAACTGGATTCCCGGCATTCGTCAGCACGCCATTTCTTTTCTTGTACATAGTTATATTTCATCTTTAGGACTTCGGATTAATTAAGACTGACAGTTAAGATAACAATGAATTCAAATTGTTCTTATAAAAGCCACAGAAAATATCGTGTGCGCATTGCTCAAGTGCAAACTTCAGACGGAGAACTTGAAAGAAGCGTTATGACCTTCGCTACGACTTGCCTCATTTCGTACTGGCCTATGGCTTGACCAGGGGCTGATAAACAGCCTCCCACATCCGTTCACGAATCCATGCCTTGAGTTCAAGATCCCCTGATGGGATATCCTCTTGCTGTGCAAGTCTCTCCGCCACTGCACACTTGATCACACCAGCAGCGATATCAACGCTAATCTCTCGAACATCCTCAACATCAGGCAGTAGAGGCTTGCTGGGGTCTTGCAAGGCGGGCGATTGGGCCTTGAGGGCCTTCACAGCTGCCACGAGCATCTTCTTTGATACAAGACGACTTCGCGAGAGGACTGCGCCGAGGCCGATTCCTGGAAAGCAAGTAGAATTATTGCATTCCGCTGTCATGGAATTAATACAAGTTTCAAGATTGGGATTGGACTGGACCTGAGCTCACCGATATCATATTCGACACCTCCATACTTAACGGGCGGAAAGGGACTGCCTGTTGCGACAAGTGCCTGGCCGTCGGTCCACTCGTAGAGGTCCTGGGGTTGTGCCTCGTGGAGGCGCGTCGGATTGCTCAGTGGGAACACGATAGGTCTGTCCACATGTGTTGCCATTTCTCGGATTATCTCTTCTGTGAAGGCTTTCGGTTTCGTCGATGTACCTATGAGGATGTGCGGTTTGGCTTGCCGGATCACAGAAAGAAGGTCATAATGCTGGCCACCTTGCCAATCGCCACCTTCGCGGGCAAATGGTATCTGAGCCGGAGTCAGATCATCTCCCTGAGACTTCAAAAGAAGACCTAATTTATCGATACACCTATTCTCAATTATAAGATGACGAACTCCAGCGGAAACCACCAGTTAACGCGGCCACGAAAACATACCAGATCTGCTTAGATGCCTCGGATTTTGGCTTCCCTGTCTCCGTTGCAATTGTATCGGCAATTTGATCTGCGATGCCTGTACCAGCCGTACCAGAGCCAAAGATCACCACGCGGACATCCACCATCTTCACTTCGCTGACATGTAGAGCCGCCATCATGGCAGCGAGAGTGACACATCCAGTGCCTTGGATATCATCATTGAAGCAGGGAATTTGAGATTGATATCTGTCCAGGATGCGACGGGCGTTGTGGAGACCAAAGTCCTCGCTACATAGACTTTATTAGCTTGAGATCTGAGGGGAGGGGGCGCACCCTTGGCTCACAAATGGATATAGGCCTTTGGGAAACGCTTTCGAGCACTCTTGACGAATCTTTCCACAAAATCGTCGTATTCCTTGCCCCTTGCTCGATGCTGTCGTAATCCTAAATACAGGTCATCATTCAAGAGCTCTTCATTCTGCGTCTAAGGTTAGCTGTGCCAATGGACGAGCAGCTGCATACAATACATACATCTGTTCCACAATCCAGCACGACTGGAAGCTGTCGAGCAGGGTGGATACCCGCACACAGCGTCGTGATCACAAGCTTGGCAACTGAGATGAGTATGGCGCCTACACCCTGATCGCCAATGCCGAGAATCTGCTTGAGCCTTAGCCTTTGTAGGAGCGGAGTTAGGTACCCTGAAATCTACCTCTTCTCCGTCGCTGACGACGATGTAATCGATATCTTCTTCATTCCCGAAATTGGCCAGTGACTTCTCGATCATGTTTTGGTCTTTGATGTTGAGGAAACACCCTTCAGGTTTTCGGAACAGCCGAGAATAATTCTGGATCGCGTCGCCTTCAGTCGGTGTATAGATAATGCTAAACATCTCTTTGAGATGTGTTTGTAGAAGCTGAGATCTTCGTCAATGCAAGTTCCCCGTATTGGATTCCAGCGGCGGGATGGTCCACAAACACTATAGTACAAAACTTCATTCTGCGCTTTCATACTAGCCAGAAATGTGTTTTTGGCTAGATCATCCTGCCGACTGCTGTATTGCTGATACGCACGTTTGACCTGTTCATCTAACGACTGGCGGTTTGGCGGGAGTAGCCCATGCAGCTTGAAGGTAGTCCGTTCTTCCTCGGAAAATGCAGTTCCCTTGTTAAATCGGGAGGATTGTAGCAGACCTTCACCCTGTGAGTAGGAAGATGAGTATATGGAAATAGTCGGTAATGCCGATGAGACCTTGTGGGACTTACCTTGTACGGGCATGTCAACGAACAAGTTGCCCGGCGAGGAGAGTCGTTGGAGCCGACCATGGTAAGTGAGCAGGTGGCTGGCGAGTCGAATAAGGCGTGATCTCCAAGAAAGAATACTCAGGATAATCAGAGCATACAACTTGTCTTGGCGAGGTGAGACCGGAAGGTTGGGGGAGCGAAAGGAAGAAAATCCCGAGAGCGCTGATGTCATCTCCCCGCGATGTGTACTAAATAGTGGAGTCTTTACTAGTAACTACAAGAAAGCTCTGTACGTAAAATATCAATATATATGTGAAAAACAGGAATAAACCAATTGCAACGCTGGAAGTGTTAAGTTGGCTCCTATTCCCAGTGTCGATAGTTAATAAAATTGAAATCCACAATGCATCAAAATTCTAGTACCACCCGCCGATTAGTTATTTTGCAATAAATTCGAGGTGAGTCAGTCGATGTATGGAAATTCAACATGACTCGTAATACGGTATGCTTTATTTATAAAGGACAGCCGTCATGGTGGCTGTGTTCGAGCACGGTGACTACCATATCGTGGGTCCGGCAGGGCATTGCAAAGCCCACAAAATCACTCATTTGCGCGTTTTCTTTAAAACATCGAGAAAATACGATAGGACGAATGATCTCGCCTGAGAGGGATTACCCTAACCTAAACCGGATGTAAGCTGGAAAGAAGCCTAACTGCGTTTGAAACTTACTATCTGTCAAGTGGGGGCCGTCGTGGCCCCGGTTTTTCAAAATAAGGTGGAGAGAAGCTTCGCTCAATCTGGTATACATGTCATTAGTCTCAGGCTAGCAGTGAGGTAAAAACTGGTAGCCTAGTTATACTGTCGCAAATTGATAGATTTCTAGGATACGGGCGCTCCAGTCAAAATACCGTAGCATAAGCCACTACGATCTCAGGGCAGATTCCTAAAAATAGTAGAATTCTGGTGCCTTTTTGGAGATATTAAGGGAACCCAGGAATACATTTGGACTCGTTAAATATTATGCCTTCCGCTCGTTGGCATATAAAGCTCGTGGTATCCCGACAACTTAGCTTTTTCGAACACTTGATCTATCAGCTACCAGCATGACACCTTTAATCAAGCTACTTCTTTCAACAAGTCTTTTCCTAGCGGGATTAGATTTCGCTTATGCAGCCTGTGAGCCGGAGATATCCTATCCTGTGCCCAATTATGGGAAGGATACTCTGAGAGAGCCCTTGCGTGAAATTACCAAGAATCTCGACAGCCTCATCAATGCCGGAGAGTTTGCGCAAACGTCCTTTTCGTTGGAGATTTCGTCGTCAAGAAAAACTCTCTATACAAAGTACCACACCGATAAGTCCCTAGGCGGTAGCCCTATTAATGGCTCCTCGGTATACCGGATTGCTAGCGGCACAAAGATGTTCACTGCTCTGGGGATTCTCAAACAAGAATCTCTCGGGAGATTAAACCTTGACGATGAAGTGACAAAGTATGTCTCTTCGCTGGCGAACGGATCTAGCGAGATTTCATGGAAGGGCATAACGATTCGATCATTGCTTGCACATGCCGGTGGATTGCCAGATAACTGTCAGTATCTTCTCCGTTGGAAATTTACCTGTTTAAAAATCAACTAAAATTTCAAACAGTCGATGACGAGGATCTACTTCTCACCCTGGCCGATCCATCTGTCATTGGATTACCTTCAGTTACTGCGGCCCAGCTCAACAATTTACCTAAATGCGGATTGTATAGTAATTGGACCAACCCATGTACCGCTGCTGGTATGTTGAGAGAAACCTACGCTTTATTGAACAACAACTGACTTAAATCCTACTAGATTTAAATAACGACCTCCACCAAGTTAATCTAGTGTTTACACCACAGAAAGAAACTTCATACAGCAATGTGGGCTACGATATTCTTGGGGAGATACTGAGCAATGTCACTGGTGTCAAATACGAGGACTACATAAGCACATCTATCTTGAAGCCTCTCGGTATGAAAGATAGTACATTCAAGGTTCCCGACGATTCTGTGGCCGCAAATGCTGGACCAGGCTCCTACTGGGGCTACTACCTGGCTGTCGGTATCCCGTAAGTTTATGAAGCCCTGATATTCAATCTCTCTTGATTGATCGCATGCTGATATTTTACAAAGTTCCGGTGGGATGTATAGTACCTCCTCTGACATGATGAAATTCCTTCGATGGACCCTCAAAAACCACGACAAAATTACGCCTACGATCAACTGGTTCCAACCCAGTGCCTGGAACTCTGGCTCACACTCACTCCTCGGATATCCCTGGGAAATATTCCGCAGCACGGAAATTCTTCCCAATACCAACCGCCCGGTGACTTTCTACACAAAAGGTGGGGGCTTGGAAGGATATTACAGCTATAGCATCATCATTCCGCAATATGACCTGGTCATTTTCATGTCCGTTGCCGGTGAGCTCGCTGGGTTGAGCAACCTTTACACAACAGTCCTCAATCCACTCGTCATTGCGGCGGAATCTGAAGCCCAGGGCCAGCTGAACGACAACTATGGGGGTGTCTACATTTCAACTGATAAGAAGTTGAACTCTTCAATCACCTTCTCTCACAGCGATGCCAGGGCCCTCCATATCACCTCCTGGGTCTCCAACTCGACAGAGGTTCTCGCGGCACTCGGTAGTTTTGTATCGAAAAAAGCCGGTACCACCGGGGATCTGTACTTTCAATTGATGCCAACCTTTCGCACCAAGCGATCGTCCGATGGTCGGATTGGTGATATTTGGCGGTTTATCAATGTTATTGATGATTACGAGCATCCCACCAATGCTACGACTGTCTGGAATGATTACTGCGTTGTCAATATTGACCCCCTATCCTATGGCAAAATCCCCGTGAATGAGCTCGTCTTTTGGAAGGCTACTGATGACTCTAACTCGGTTGTGGATGAGGTGACACTTTCCGCTTTCCGCGTAACGTTGCGCCGCAGCTGAGCAATGGATCTCCTTTCTAGGATGGGCTTCTATCGATTTCTTTATTATTCACTATTTGCAGGAGAATTGGGCATTCACGAGAGATATATTGTATGTACTCTTTAGAAATAAATGTTAGTAAAAGAAAACACTCGACTCTTGCATGGGGCAAAGCGCAACTTACCCATCCATAAAAGGCGAGCCAGCCTGTGAGCCCCTTTGAATATCTAGGTTGTGTATACTCGAAATTCCCGCAATTACTCGAATTTGTCTCTCGATATAGTTTTTTAGGGCCTCTGAGTTATGTGGAGTAGCCTTTGCCATGCTTAGTGGCCATCCAAGCGATCGCGCCCAGGCAGATTCTGCCACGCCCATAATATCGCATCTTCTAAACTGATCAGGTCTGAGATGTTCCGGTACCGTTGCGCAAATCTCTATAGTAATTTGTTTCGCTGTCTCAGATGCATTATGGAGGCATAATTCGAGATCCCCATCCAAATGAGTCCCCGCTGGGACGGAGGACAGATAAGCAGACGTTGCGGATGTGAGGAGATCTATGCTGCGTAAGCGTAGTAGCCGTAGCGTATTCCATCTCTGGGCCATTCTGTGGCTAGCAAACTTGAGAACTGGGATTCGCTCAATATTCTCTCCTTCCGATAAGTGAGTAGCGGTTGTTGGGCATTCCTCGAATTCAAAGCAATTGCTGTAGGCTTCTGGCATGGATTTCATTAACTCTTCAAAGCTCAAGTCGAGATCGCGTATTTTTTCGATGTCTGATAGACATGTAGGTGTTCTTTCAATTGATGCAGTGAGTTCAGCAAGGCGGTCTACCAGAGACCAAAGTTGTACTTGAGGTCCAGGATTCAGCCATGACAAAGCATATAAAGCTTTGAGTTGAGGAGGCATCTTAACACGACGATCCAGGCAATCAATTTGGACAGTTGAAATGACATGGTGGAGAATGCCCTGGGAAGATAGACTGTTGAACATTTCGGGGCCACAAGAACCCAGTATCGCCAGGGCTCCACGCACATGCTCTGACCAAATATTTTGTGGCTCATTCGAATTTTGAGGCGATATCACTGCGAATAGAGCTAGAAGGAGTACGGACGTCGCTGTCTCTAGTTTCATGGTCGGTTTGAGATCTTGTAATGCGTGATTCGTTTGTGATAATGCAGCGCCGTAGCTTTGTAGTGCCATCTCCCGCAGATCTTTTCGGTGGTGTTCATTTGCCATATAAGCCAGGGCTGCAGCTTCGAGACTCATGTGCAAGCAGCCGGGTTTCGCTTGATAGCCGTACATAGCTGGCAGGTAGTCCAGGTAGACGCCGCCAGAAAACGCAAACATGAAAAGATTAACAGCTCTTGAGCCAATGGGCTCTAGAAAATGCTGCATCTGGATTGGGCCGATCATTTGGTCGGGTATATAGTAATCATCGTGTTTTTCATTCTCATCACATTGGGAAGAACTCGGGAAATCCAGTTTCGATTTCGATGAGCGTGGATTTGCCTTTTTGACAGTGGTGTCTGTTTGGTGCATGAACATCAAGTCCAGTCGTTCGCGGTATCCATGGCATTTTCCTTGAACCCTGAGGCATTGCGTACATGCAGGGGATTTTCTATCGCACTGGTGAAATGAATGAGCTCAGATCAAAACCTCGTTAGAATCTCGTGCCTACCTTGATGCGTCGTTGACGACAAGGTGCGCACCCTGACGATGGTTTTCCCCTGAACCCCATCTGGAACTACTTTTCCACTCGGGGTATGAGCATTAGTCGTGTTGCCGATTCCTGCTGCCGAGTATAGGGTGTTGCATTTCGTGACTCGTGGGAGATGTCAAGGGGCGGCGCCTTGGCTTCGCCCCATTGTGTGCCCATTGCGTGGTCGATCAAAGTGGGGCGTTTAAGGTGACCAACATTTGATTGACTGTCGATCAAATTTAGATTTAGATTTAGATTTATATAGATTTAAGATCTTCAGAACTTGAAAATAATCAAGGTAAATTCACTATAGAATAGGATTGAAGAAGAATATCGCAACTTTAAGGCCCCACCTGGGCAGTTATATTAAGTCCACTATACAGAGTCACTATTGCAACCGCTTCCACCGCAGGCCAATGATACAACGTGCTGCTATGCCTATCGAAGGAACCGACGGCGAGGTCAACAACAGCACAGATTAAGGTATGTATATTTACAGGATGTAGGCAGCGGCAGCAGCAATGGCAGCAACACCAGCCATGTTGCCCTTGACGCCGGAGGCACCGTTGAAAGCGGGGGAGGTGGTGGCAGCGCCAGAGCCGCCGGAGCCACCGCTAGTCTTGGTGACCAGAGGGGTGGAGGTGCCAGCTGGGGTAGAGCCAGCAGCGCCGGAGCCAGAGGGGGTGGAGCCGGGGGTGGTGGCACCAGTGGTGGCACCAGTGCCAGTGGCAGAGCCAGTGTTGGTAGCAGAGCCAGTCTCGGTGGCAGAGGCAGAGCTGGAGCCGGAGCCAGTGGCAGTGGCAGTGGTCTCAGAGCCAGAGGAGGTCTCGGTGGCAGAGGTCTCAGAGGTCTTGGAGGTCTCAATGGGAGGAACGACGATGGGGTGGCCGGCGGATTTGCACTGCGCGACGACGGCGTTCGAAACGGCTGGTGACAGTTAGTAAACGATGACTTAACATAGTGGAAGAGGAGTGGGGAGGATAGGTTGATATCTCAAGGAACTTACAGATCTGGTCGGAAACCGGGCAGGCCTTCTGGACGCAGGGAGTGATGCTGCTGACCAGGGAGGTCTTCTGGCAATGGCAGGCAAAGTCGGTCAACGCCGAGCAACCATCAGTGGTCAGAGCGGTGACGAAGCAGTTAAGCTAGTGTATCGTTAGTATACTTGGCCAACTTTTGAATCTTCACACGTTTCAGAGTCATACCGAGCACGCGGGGACATCGGGGAGCTGAGCGTTGGCCAGGCTGGCGGCAACGAGGGCAATCAGAGCGTGGGAGAACTGCATCTTGTTGATTATAATGATAACTCTTCTGAAAAGGGATTATAATAAAGCGTGCCGGAAACGACAGTTGATGATAACGAATGAGGTGGGTAGTCGAGTAATAAGAAGAGCTTCATCCAAGGTTGGGGTGCATCTGCCCTTTTATAAGCTTTGATATGGTGCCGTGGGCTCCGCTCAGGGTAGCACTAACTATAAACATCACATGTCCGCTGTACAAAGAAGCGAGAATCGAGAAGAGCCCATGGCCGCGGTTGACTCAGATCACCCATTTCCTAATTGGGGCGTCTCATTGCAGGCCAAGCCACCATGGCGGGCGCCGGATCCTGGCTTCATGCACCCGATTGAGTAGAGGGGTAAATTAATATCGCTCGGGGGGCTGGCCTATAGACTGCGTATTCGGTATGCGATGTGCGTATCAAAGGTCCGCGCGATTCACGACGGCCCCATCAGACCGGGGTTGGGCGGATATGGAGAAGAGGACCTGGATTAGTGTAAGCATACTAGCCAATGCAGGTGTCTTTGAGCTAGTCGCACGGCAGGCTTTAATTTCCACTTTCTACTGGTGGCCAGACCTTGAGGTGATCCAAACACCAGACAATATGGTGGTAGCACATGCGGGATTGGGATTGCTTCTGCAGATCCTGCAGAGTATCCTGTAAGTATCAGGTTTGGTAGAACAGCACACCCACAATACGGTAAATCCACGGGACGACTGCAGCAAAAACCCAGATAGTACTTCGTACAAGCCAAGCTGTTGCATACGCAATCCTCTAGATTTGCATGCAGGTAAAAATCTACAGTTCCTCCAGTCATTGCAAACCACACTGATTTTGGGGGGAGGCATCTGACCAAGGAACAAGAGTACCCCGCGAGACATGGTCGAGAACTGCTCAGCGAGTGGACCCTTTTCATGTCACGGAAGTACCAGTCCGAAGCAAATCCGGGGAACTCAGACCCAATCAGATACGCGAACACTGGCAGGGCAAACGACAGGGTTCTGGTAGCGTAGCATCCAACTATCCCAAAGTAGGCCCTTGGCCGACACCCGTCAGCCCATCAGCGCCATCAATCCATTAATAACGGTTATTGTTCTGGTATGTCACACAAAGGGTGTCGGACACATTCGGCTGAGTATGATTACGCGTTCTGGGCCATTTCGGGCCACGGCGATCACCATTGGAAGTTTTATTTAGCAGCAAGAAGATCAATTCAATTTCTTTGATCTGCCAGGCAACTCGGATGATCCGGGCCCCCGAGCCTGTTTTGCATGGGGCCAACCGGGGGTGGGTCCGCGGGGAGGAACAATTGGGGTCCGTGGGTCTTCAACTGATTGTTTGTCCGGGGGATTTTGAAGGGAAAGCCCGCAGTCGACCGAGATAGCGAGATAGGATCACGGCCTGGGCGCCCTACCAGCCATTTTGCTCGATCGGAGGGCCTCGTACCTGCATGGCCGCGATCACCATCGGCCATCGGCTAAGCAATAATGTCAGCTGTGGCTCTTGACCCACGAAGAACTCTGTACTCCGTATATTCCCCTGAATTGTTTGCGGTATGGTCAGGAACGAACTCATGTTGGACGGAGGGCCAGGGCACAGATCCCAGGGTTAACAGGGCCAGACATCCACTTGGTCCAACTAAGTGAGACATTCTTGTGGTGGTGGCGGCGGTGGTGGAGCAAAGGTCTCCTTCTCGCCTCCTCGTCCTTCTTGTGACTGGCATGGCCGTTGTTTCTTGTTGGTGCCAAGGAGCGCTAGGCCTGGCAACGTAGAGGGAGGATCACATGGGACGACGGTTCTGTTTCGGCGGATGGTATCGCCACAGTGCAATGCAGAGAGTCCCACACGAGGTGCCTGGACGGGGTCAGGAGCTGGAACAGGCTTAGATGGAGGGATTTAATCTATTTTGAAGCCAATGGTTTGGTGGCGGTTGGGGGCTGGGGTGGACCCTGCGGCGTCGAGAGATTGCAAAGAAAGGTACGGAGTACAAACCACCCAGACTCAGTTGACTCGTTGCTCGGCTGGTCTCCAACATTTGAATATTTCAGCAAGTCCCAAGTGCTGGCCCGGGTTTGGTGGGGAGAAATGGTGGGGAAGTGGAGCTGAAACAAACAAAGATGGAGACGAGATGGAGAGGAGAGCATCTACGGAGTACGGCAGGCGATCAACTAGAAAAGAGCTGGACCCAGCGATCGACAGATCCGATCGAAGAAATTTGCCTATTCGGATTCTATTGTAACTTCCATCCCGTCCAGATGAGACAGGGGTAATTTCGGTCATCTAAGAATATCCGACAATCCGACTAGTACCTGCAGTGGTCAACTCGGATACTATCTCGACGAGGTTAAACGAGATTAATCTGCAATTTAAGACCCCAGCACCACCCTAGTACAGCCCCGGCTGTCATTTCCGCTTTTCTGACTGCTACTCTCGAGGCTTACTAGTACTGTTGCATCTTCGCAGGATTCAAAGTCCCTTCAATGATCCCTGGAGACTGGTGACATATGAGAGATGATACTCCGCCACGCCTCGGTCGAGCATATTCCCATTCCAGATATTCACTTCATGTGGGAATCCGGGCAAATACGGCGCTCGACGGTTGAGAAGGGACAATGCAGTTTCCCGATGATAGACGAGAGGGGTTTTTGAACGCCCATTTATTCATGACTCGTTGTATTCCATTATTCGTTGCTATATGTACAGTGCCCAACATCTTGCGGTGCAATCGGCGAGTAGTTCGGCTCGTCTCCGAGTCCTTGAAAAAAGACCGTCTTCGACTCCGACCTCTTATGAAAGCAACTCATCCATATGCGCCCGTTCCTCGACCTCCTCATTTTTCAAGAGAACTGCAAGAACTTCGAGGGGTGGGTTGAGCTTGAGCTTATTGGCACGGCGCCAGCGCTTAATGCGAGCAATACCGATACAAGGCTGGTGATGGTTAGCAACGATCGTCGATATTTTCCCTGCCTCACGGTCCGGGACTCCGTAGAAAGAGTGCGATAAGGAAGATGGAGGGATAGGAGAGGGGGGTTAGGGTATCATACCCCATATTGACTTGATAGATCAAAGTGGCGGAGAATCTTCTCCTCCATGGCTAGATCCCCTTGGTGGACTATAAAATCAAGGAAGTCAGTGATTTTGTTTAATTCCCCGCTAACGATTTGCAGTACCCACCTCGAGGGGCCAAGCGGGCTTGTTCTTCCTTCTTCCAATATCGGTTCAGGTCCTGCTTGCTCATCTTCAAGGCCCGCTTATCCTCCTCCAAGAGAGGTTCTTGGGTTGCTGGCTTGACCTGCTGGCGGACGACGAGCTCGGCAGCATGGGGATTCGGGGGCTGCGAGACAATCACATCCTGGGGCTCCGGAGTTCCACTCGCTGGCTTGTCGAGATTCTTCCCCAGGCGAGGAGCAGTTGATGGTTTGGTCACCCGGGACTGTGTACCGAAGGATAGAGTAGACTGGCCGGAGGCAGCCGTGCGGCGACGGGGAGGCATGATGGTAGTGGAAGTGGGAGTGGTAGTGGTATAGTAGGACAACTAGATGCGATCAAGATATTCTAGGATGTGGGAGGATGTGGGAGGGAAGATGACATGGTTCGTGTTGCACCTGGCAACCGAACTCAGGGAAGTGGAAAGCTTGGCCGCACGCGGAAGGTCCCATGGTCCACAGTCCACCGCACCCTGGACCAGTCCACACTTCTTTGTTGATCATCAATGGAGAATTTGCGTGGGGGTGAGGGGAGAAAGGAATGATAATTTGCATCTACGAGTACAGAATACTGTTAGTAGTACTCTTACTAGTACTACAGTACATCTCATGTGCAGGCAATGACGTCGGTTGGACTTGAGACACTAAGAACTGGCTGTATTATATTTATATTTATATTTATATTTGATTTGATTTGATTTGGTTATATAGATCAATAGATCAATGGAAGTTAGAACAATAGATCGATAGTATGATATATACTACTCTCCATTGTAGATACTAAGCGCCTTGCACTCGGCAAGGCTCACCCCCCCACATCCACATCATCCAAGCTCAGCTCCATCATCAGCCTCACCCTTCCTCACCCCCTCCACCTCACCTTCAATCTCAAACGACCCTCTCCTCCACCCCCTCCCACTCCCTCCCACTTCCTCCAAACTCATCGTCGCCATCTTGCGCCTCTGGTCAGGCCCCTATGATCTGTGCGACAGGGCCCAGCTTGCCGGTTCCCCACAACTTCCCTGCGCCTCCTCCACCGCATGCCCATGCTAGTGTGGGAACTGCGCTTTCGAGATGGCCGCCTTCGTGCGCGTTTCAGGTCCGGCAAATGGCAATTTTCTAATCGGCTACCCGGGCATCTCGGCTACTATGGTAAGTCCTTTTCGTCTTGTCCTTCATCGCCCACCGGGGCTGTTGTGTGGCCCGATCCCCTAGACTCGAGCTCGACTCGACTACCGTATGCTAATCAATCTCGCCTTCACGCAGCCTCGAATCGAGGGTAAAGTCGAGATCCGCCCCAGCATCGGGATATCGGCCCCGGTCAATGTCTCTCTAGTCACCATCTCCCTTCTTCGTCGCGAAACCATCCACCCCTCGGCCGACTCCGTCACCAAAAAACGCCTTGCTCCACCTCGAAAGGAAGTCGCAGATATCGTCGGCAAGGAAATGCTCTTATTTCGATGTCCCGCTGGCAAGGAGTTCGAGGAAGTCATCGCGATGGACCTTCCATTTGTCCTCTTCATCCCCTTTGGTCGTGGGGGCCGCGATGCCTCTCGGCGAGTACCCCCCGCGAGTCTCCAGCTACCCAGTCGCACGGCCGAAACATACTACGAAATGGTGGTGATGGTACAACAAGGCCAGTCAGAGCAACGCAAATATACCTTTCCCGTCCCCATCGCTCGCTACGACACACTATCCACCTTCGGCATGTACAACCGCCCCGAGTCAGCAGAGCGCGTATCAGATCACCTGGTCACATTGGCCATCTCATTACCCCGGTGGTCCTATGGACCTCTCGACCCGGTCAGCGTATACGTCAAATTGTCCCCGAATCAGGACTGGATGGGTAAGGCCCGCAAAGTCACCATCAGCAAGATCACTATCGGCATTGACGAGGAGATCATATACAACCACGAGGGCGACGAGCCCCAGCGCAAGATCAAGACTCTCACTAAGAAAACCGAGGCGGTGGGGGTCCGATTACCTCAGTCGGGGTACCTGACGAATCTAGGCTTGGTATTTCCCGCCAAGGACATGCGCGACTCGGAGGGTATCTTGCCGCGTAGTCGCGCAGCATTTCCGATGTATGGCGTCAGCGGATTCACCACTACAGCCAGCCTGTATAAAATCGAATACTACCTCACAGTGCGGGTGGGTCTTCCAGCAATATCCAGTCTTCTATACTTCGGATTCAAAGGCTAACATAATATGTGACAGGCTCATTTAACATCCGCGAGAGATATCACCATCCGACAACCGATCGTCGTCTGTCCACTCGACCACGCAGGCTGCAAGGAAGAAATGGAAGCTATCGAACAAGCTGCGCGCGATGCAGCCCATGTAAATCCAGACAACCCAATGCTTCCTCTGCCAGCGATTGTTCGACCACACGACCTCAATGCCCTCAATTATCTGGGCGTGGCTCTGGTTGGTAACCAGAAGAAACCATTGATCGACTGAGGAAACGGCTTATGCGAACAACGATCTACACCGAATATATTCCACTCTGAAACCCAACAGAGTACATCTAATTGAACCCGATTTGTGGCGACGCCAATGAACAGAGAGATCGCATCGTCGATCGGATCTACATAGCATCGACAGCCTGACGGCCGCCACTACTGAGTTGCGCTCCTCGGCTCCGGGGCCGGAGGCCTCATACCATATCATGTCTTATGATTGCATAGAGCTTGGAGTTTGTTGCATGGCATTCACGAAAGCCTGTTCATTCGGGGGTGTTGCGGGTCACTTCTTCGTGCCTTGTGCCTTGGGAGGCATTTTGACCAGTCTCGCATTGAAGACTTGCTCCAGGCTTGGGGCAGGAGGCATAACTTGCTTGCTTCCGCGTTCTAGTATTTGAGCTTGAGCTTCAGCAAGTAAACTCAATGTAAATCCATGGATGGCTAATTTAAATGCAATAATGGTCCAATATATCCAATATATCCAATTTCACTTCTGGGCAGCCTCGGTCATATTGTACTCCTACCAATATACTAGTAGTAGTAGTAGTAGTAATCAAGTGCCTAGTGCGCATGTGTGTGGGGGTATCAAAAAAGCAAAGGCAACCTTAGGAAAGGCAAATCCAGCCCCGCTTGGGCTACTCTGCAATCTTCAGGAATCCCATCGCTAAGCTGAGCACATCCGGGTCGACAGTTGGTTGGAATGGCGCTTTCTTTGCTTCCTCGATATCGCCTAGACAGTCATGGAGAAGTTCAAGGATGGCATAGTATTGGATTGACGAAGGGCCGAATGTTTCAAGGGCATTTTCGAGACTCCTTGATATCTGAATATATATTGTGAGCTGCAGCACAAATGGATTGAATTCCGGACCCTTCAAGTTGGGGTGGGGACAATGTTCAAGTTACTAGTACCTTTCGGAGAGTTTCATTGTAGTCCTTGACTGATGGATCCGTGCATGTCATGTTCAACTGGAGTTCAATCCATGGATGTGCAAACTCGTGGATGGCGGATGGCGGACTCCCATCTTATCGGGCCACCTCTTATCGATAAACCCCAATCCCCGATTTTCTTCGTAGTCAGTGGGACCTCCACCACATTCCACTTCTACACCACCCCAGCCAAAGCTCACCAAAGCTTACCTCGCCAGAATTGACCTGACCTGGTCATCCAACTGGCGCCATGGAAGACAAAGACGAGGACGCCGTCCGTGGCACCTCGGTCGAGCCAACTCAAGTCGAGACCGACCTCTCTGACGAGACTCAGGACTTCCGCTTACTGAGTCACCTCAATTTGTATGCGCGCAATGCAGCGCACCCTCTCCAAGCCAATGCTAATACTCAAGTCTCCCCTCTAGTCTAACCGACACATCCTCACCCGGCCTCCCAAAACGCGGCGAAAAAGACTTCGAACCAAATCCAACCGAACACCAAGCCGATGTCCTCTCCAAATCCCGCGAGGCAATGCACGATGCCCTCGCGCATCCCCGTCTGCATAACCTCAACACCAGGGTTATTGCCTTTTATGCGCCAGATGGTCCTACGCCCCCGCCCGGTATCGATATCGAAGATCCAGCCAGATTTGGCGACAAGGGTGTCGGTGCAAATGTACATCCGGATAGCTGTGTCTACGTGCCTAATCCGAAGGGCCAGTATTTCAAAAATATGGGCCAGTCGGATCGTTGGAATAGAGTCTGGTTATTGCCCGAAGAAGCGCTGTTCTTGATTGAGCGCGGGAGCTTGGATATTCGCTGGCCGATTGAAATGACCGCTGCACCGGATGATGAGGGCCCTGAGGAATTGTCTATCCCGATGAGTTTGCAGGCGGCTTATGCGTGTTTTATGGGCCGATCTGGACTTACGCTGGAGCGATATACTGTCTACACTGGATTGAAGCGGACTGGGTATGCGCTGACTCGGGCTCCGGGCTGGGATGAAACTGCGCAGGTGGAGGGACTGAAGGATCAAAATCAAGAATGTGCTTCGCAGCGTCCTCTGAAGCGTGGGGCCGGTCTGGCGGGTATTTTGGAGCAGCTTTTTAGCTGGGCTCAAGATCCTTTCTCCACTAGGTCTACGGCGGCTGGTCCGGTCGTGGGATGTGGCATGCATCGCAACTATAGTGAGTTTCTCTTCTATCCCCCCCCCCCCCAGTGCTGCTTCCATCCCTCTTCTAACCAGCTACGCAGATAACATTTACCGCCAACTGGCCATGATCCCATGGTACGACCCCAGTCTCGCAATTGATAGAGATCCCCTCGACACGACCCCTCCATTCCGAGTGGTGTTCCACGCCTACAGACCTTCTACCCCGATCAAGAAGTCCGCCTGGCCAGTTCCGGATTTCCGCATTGCTGTGGTAAATACACGCGAGACAGCCTCGATTCCTACTCTCGCTCAACTCGGTGCACTGCTGGAAAGTACACCGCTGGACCCACCGAACGGCGAGAAGATGAAGCGATTAGTCTATATGCGTCTGCGACACGGTTATCGCAATGTTGTCATGGCGGTGGTGGATCAAGGCATTGTGAGCTATCTAAGAATTGCTGATGCGGCATTCGGAAAAGAAAAGCTGTACGAGACGCAGATTGCTTCGATGGGAAACAAACGGAATGGAAATTTTCGTGGAAAGAAGAGGTGATGCGGGAGGCTTATAACGCGGACCTGCAGTGTGAAAAACACACCTAGAACGCTTCTTCCAACACCAATATCAGCACCAAGTTGGCCGCTTTTCCTCAGCAGACGGGGATACAACCTAGGGGTAAATTTCGCTTTTCCCACCCTGCTCTAGAGATGAAGCCGGCCATGAAGGATTAAGTGACCGTGACCATGTCACCCGCGGTTTATCAATAAAAACCGTGGATGTTGATAGTCTGAGTCATTGAGAATTGCGAAAGACTCTGAAGCTCTGGCACTTGCTTAAACCCCGATGTACAAAATGCTACGATGGAATGAATCGAATCGAGTCTTAATCCACCCCAAGCCATCTTGCTTGGTATTTTGTTTCTAGCGGCGAATATCACTCAATCACTCATAATTCATAACGCCTATATCCTCAGGCTACACCTAGAGTTCCCTCGTAGGAATACCCCCATCGAATAGGCATCATAGCCAATTCCTCACAGCCTGTACATCTCGCTCCGACTGCGGGCCCCATCAAAGACACAAGTATTATCCATGGGAACATATTGTCTGGTCAACACCTTGAGAGCCTCCTGTGCAACAAGACCGCCAGCCAGAGAAGCAATATTGTGCAACTCACCCCCCCTCCGCCCTCCGCAATTCCATGATAGCATTTTCGATAGACTCCCTCGCCTCCTCATCCAACGGCGTGGGATCATCTCTCTGCAACAGAGCCATAATCCGCTCAGTATGACTCTTCCAGAGAGCCTCGTCATCGACGGAGAGCGAGCTATTCTGCGACGAACTTTGAATTTCATCAACAACCGCATCGAGGACCTGGGTTGCGATGAAAACAGAAACAAGCGACTCTGGTAGACCCAATTGGCCCAAGGCTAGCTGGTTGCGAATCGAGCTGAGCGTTTCGGGATCACTGTTGCTGTTTATTTGTGGGATCGCCCGGCCACGCACGACCTTGATGTGTGCGGCATTTTTGCAGAATACTTCAACATCTCGGTCTGGGATTGGTGCCGTTGGTCGGTTTAGCTGTGATTCGAGCTGGCGCACTGTGGAGAGAACTTCTTCCACGTCGGCGCGTGCTTTGCTCTTATAGATGTTCTGTAGAGAGACGTAGTCTGCTGACTGCGCTTTCATATCTGGGAGGGATCCCGGCAAGGGAAGGACATTGTGCTTGGTATAAAATTTGTTGATGGCGGATGCGATGATCCAGAAGTCGGCCGACTCAGCGGTGAGCGTTTGGCACTTCTTCATTTCGAAAATCTCGCGGATTGTGCTGCGCAGGGTGAATGGCGAGATAGTTTTCAGCACGGCGGCTACGGCTTCGTCGAAGTTCTCCTCGCCGCCCTCGGCGTTGTCGGTGCGGGTCTTGGATCGGACGAATTCGCGGAACTCGGTCTTCTCTTTGTAGTTTGATGGTGCGTTGCCTTCGTGCGATTGCTTCCATTCCTCGAGAAAGTGTAGTAGAAGGAGGATATATGGGACGTGGCCATGTTGGTGGTCGTCCATGGTCTCTAGGTTAGGCAAGGCTGCTGCTGCGCCGGCGAGCTCAGGCCAGGGATTCAGAAGACGCAGGTCTTGCGTTGTTTCTGGATCCGGGTGAGTTTCCACGATGGGGAATTCTGCGGCCAATTGAGATGAGAAGGTGGCATAGAATCCAATCGAGTGTGTGTAAAGTACTGGGATGCCCAATTCCTGGGCCTCGAGGCAAAGCGGATCCAGCGTAGAGCGCTTGGCTGGACCGGAGATAATGATCAGCTTATGCTGGGGGAGAAATGCTGGATCTTGAAGTAGTTCGGTGATTGGCTGAAAGGGTGTTAGTTATTGTGGTTCTAAAAGTGAGGGCGATGGTGTACCTTTGAATAGGAATATCCCTGCACATCGGGATTCAGCTCTCGGAGTAGACGGCATGTTTCATCGGCACGAGACTTGCCAAGAGAGTCCTGTTCGAGGAAGAAGTTTACACCCAGATCAGGTTCGGTGACAGTCGCGGGATCGACGATGGTGAAGCCACCGATGCCAGGCAGAACAAGGTTCTTGAGCGTCTCAACGCCCGCCACGCCCGAGACTCCAGTGCTGCTAGACCCAAGAGGGCCATCCGAGTTCACCAGTAGAACGCGGGCATCTTCAAGAGCTTGCTGGCCACTAGCGGCCCATAGTCGGAGCTGTCGATCATATCTGCGCTCCTTGGAGGTTGGCGCTGCCAGGGTCGCGGGGAAGGCGTCCGTCATGGTATGATGTGGCGGGGTTGGGGATGAAATGTGGGGGATTTTGGGGGTGGAAATTAAGTGAGATAAGCCAGCCTTGCTAATATCCAGAGATCTGTGTTCACCAAAATTGAAACTCTGTACCCTGTTTGATTGTTGATGAGGTACGTTGCGGCGTTGTTGATGCGCAGTCGTTTTGACTAAGCGGGCAGGTGGGCTAATTTCGTGCCTGATCTCTGAGGCGTCAATCTTGTATGTATATCGCCCTGGATATTGCCACAAGAAAATCCTCGATTGGGGGGAGGGGGAAGGGAATAGATTACATTGGAACTTGATCAATATATCGTCAAGATTCTGTTACGCTTTCTTCGAGGATTGAAGTATGTGCATGGCTGAATCGGAGCATTTTGGAGAGTTGCTTTTTTGCGAATTGACGTGGCGACATGCTCGTTTTCATGAACGGTCGCGGCCCATAGAGATGTTTGTGGGCATTCAGCCATTGTCGAATTTGATACACATAAAAATGTCACCTAGAATAACTCTGCGTGGTAAAGGGCCTTTGAAGGCTGTCGAATTCTCTGTCAAGGCCTCGATTCTAGTGTGGTTACAGGCTGCGATTGCAATCGTACAGCTGCCAGAAAGCAATGCCCAACGCACTTCATCTCTGTTCCGTCTATATGGAACCTCTGGGGTTGCAGTGACTCTTTTGGGAGCTCAAGTGCTTGGAAAACCGAAGCTCGAATTCTTAGTAAATTAAGTTCCCAAGAAGCGCTGAACTTCAGAAAGTCGATACAGGACGAGTGCTCAACGATAGGGCTGGCGGTAGGGTTGACCAACCCCGGACGATTGAATTAATCGTTAAGTAATAATAGGCAGCTCTCGTGGCGCAGATATCAACCACCGGCCTCTCTTTAAGTGACCTGAGCCAAACCCATTGGGTTACTCGTGCATTATTTGCCTTCAGCCTTATATCATCCCTATCAGCGGTCGGCTATGCAGTAACTCACCACATCGCTATGGCACCTCTTTTGACAGCGCGTCAAATTCGTGCCTGGATCAGAGGGGGATATCCTAGAATATACAATGATTACCTAGAGATTATGAGACTGTCTTTTGAATTAGGACGCCAGCTTGGCTTCGGATCGCCCGTACTCACAAATCCGAATGGACCCGAAGGCAGAACATCCGAGAGGAAACTTCTCCAGCCTTGTGAGTCAGATGAACTAAATCTTGAACATTTTGACCGCAGTAATGGCTGTGCGTCCTTTGACTACTCACTCATGAGACAATGCTTTACGCCAGGTGTTTTATCTGTCGTCTCCATGTCAGCCCCAATCATCTTACTTGGTACATCAATCTTATCTGCAGTGGCTGCTTTCGGTGTTTATTTGGCTTTATTTGGACAAGGAATCTTGATGAGAAGGCTGGTTTACATGATAGCAGGAATATTTTCATTGTTTATTTTGTCTGCCTTGGATTTTGCATGTTCGTCTACTTCGCCACACAACTGATTCAGGGCGAGAATCAAGGATCTGAGTATCAGATCGTGGAAAATTATGCGCGCCGATATAGGGAAGATCGTCCAGACTGGCAGTGGCAACGGCCACTTCAATCGCCAAATTCTTCCTCGTCGACAGAATCACCTAGAGGATTTAATTCGAGGGTATTGCAGACTTTGGCAGTCAAACTAGGGTTGATAGAAGCGCTTAGTCCTTCCGTTGATGGCAATCCCACCGACTCCACCACAAACCACCCGGTTGGCTCTTGAAGCTGCGCGCACTAAACCACGTCAATCAATCGTCCATGCACTGCGTGGGCCGGTGAGTGTGGAGGGACGGATTTCGTGTGCTTGTATCGGCGGGGCAGTGAGTAGCTTGTATAGAGTGAGAGTGATGGTATACAGTGATGGGATGGTAGGATTTTGCAGAGTCACAGTCATTGGAAGAGCAATAACTTTGTGATCCCAAATATAATCAGTCTATCTCTAAATTACATACAAAAATTGCGAGAAAACAGCCCCAAAAAGCGTAGAGCCGTGGTAAATAGTCAACCCCACTTGACGCCGATGGGAAAGTCTCGACGGCAATCGACCAGCGCCCATCTTGACTTAACCCCGGAATCCTCCATGGGCCGACTTCTCTGCTCGTCTTTTCTCTCTCCTCTTCATCTTCGCCTCAATCCTCGCCCTCTCCGTTCTCTCCCTCTTCCACTTCCCCTCCGCCGCACTTCCTTCCCACTCTCCGCACGCATGCAGTCCACCATGTCCAACGTTGAAGAGGCAAAGCGCGCCGCCGCGACCACCGCTGTCGCCAACCACTACCCCAAGAACGCGAAGTGGGTTGGTATCGGCAGTGGTACAACCATTGTTTACGTCGTCGAGGCAATCAAGGCCCTTGGTGTCGATACCACTGCCACTCGCTACGTTCCCACGGGATACCAGTCGCGCCAGCTGATCGTCAACGCGGGGTTGACAGCCGTCGAGTTCGATGCTATCCCCCGCGGCACCGTCCTGGATGTCGCATTTGATGGCGCGGACGAGGTTGACGACGAGCTGAACTGCATTAAGGGTGGTGGTGCCTGTCTCTTCCAGGAGAAGCTGGTTGCCATGCAAGCGAAGGAGTTTATTTGCGTCGCTGGTAGGAATTGGCCCCTCCATAAGTAGCAGCAGAAGCAGCTGTTGCAGTTACACGAACAACCCAAAAAAACCCACCGTACAGAATTCACTAACTTTCGTCTCTACTCAACAGACTCCCGCAAGCTTCAATCCCGCCTCCTCACCAACTGGAAGTACATCCCTATCGAGGTCGCCCCGATTGCCGCCTTCCGCGTTCTTAGAAAACTGACCGAGCTCGGCTCCATCAACCCAACCATCCGCTCCAACTCCAACCCTAAGGAGGGCAACTTGAAGACTGACCAGGACTTCTTCCTCATCGATGCGCCTTTCCCGCCCATGCTTATCCAGGCTGATCTCGACGGCGGCCTCAATGGAACCGGCACCGGCGGCGTCTGGGAGGTTGCTCGTCTTGCGCGCGAGATTAAGCAAATTGCTGGTGTTCTGGAGGTTGGCATCTTCTACGGCCAGACCGGTCCCCAGGCTACTGCCGCCGGAGGTGTTGGTGGTCAGCGCCCTGTTGCTGCTTACTTTGGTATGCCCGATGGTTCTGTCTCGGTACGCAATGCTATTCAGTAGATTGGCGATTTGCGGATTTGATGCTATGAGTGATAGGATACATATAGATGATACCAAGATGCGAGGTCCCGAACGGGCTGAGAAATGGATACAAAGTTAGTACCTGATGACAAGGTACACTCCAGCTATCGATGCCTACGTGTAGAAAATTGCGCATTGAGTCATTAGATTGTGTTTGGTATCAAGGGTACCTCGCTTTTCCCTTCAACATTTACAAAACCGGGAACCTATTTGGGTCCCTTGCCCTTGGCTTCTGTTTCGCCCAATTCGCGGACATGGATCTTAACGATACCCTCCGGCACATCGTCCTTGCCATCCTCAAAACCAGGGCTGACTGCAATCGCAAGATACTTGCCATTGCCACTGAATGCGACGGCCGCCACACTAGAAGTGTACTTTTGATATTGACGGATACGGCGTTTGGAAATTCCATCCCACAGAGCCACAACACCATCACCACCCCCAGAAGCAAATGTGCCATGCACGGGGTGGAATGCGAGCGCATTGACCGGGTAAACGACATCGACATTGTCCTCGCCAGTCTGGCGGTGACACTTGAAGGCATATTTGCGCGCTTGCGACTCAGGCGACGGGTCGAACCACTCAACAGCCACACGGCCTTCAATGCTAGACGAAGCGTACCCGGCGTCATCGGGCATACAGGCAACGCATCGGGTCATGAACTTCAGACTACTTTCGCGCCGTTGCCACGGCTCGATCTCGACCTTATTTCCATTCTCGCTCGCGCTATCCGCCTGTGCTGTGAGGAGGGCTAACGCCTTCAGGTCGTAGATGTGAAGAGATCGCGACGCCATGGCCACGACCAGCTTGGTAGCTGTTAGAGAGAGCGAGAATGGTTTCGAGGGGAGAGGGACGGTGACGGGGATTGCGTCGGGGCGGTGCACGTGGAGGGTTGAGTCCCATGAGCCGGAAATGACTAGGTTGTGTTCGCGACTGTAAACGACGTTGCGTACGCCGGCTTCGTGGCTGCTTAGGACAGTTTGTTCAGATGTGTTCAGGTCAATTCTAGAGTAATTAGCATATTCACTTGATGGTGAAGCTTCGCGGAGCTGATCACGGCTTGTGCGCAGTATATAGAATAGCACTCACTTGCGAACATCCCAATCCAGACCAGCCGTGTAGACCTCGTTCTCATTCTCGCCGAAACACACATCCAGTACCGGTGCGCGGTGCTCAAATTTCTGAAGCAGCTTGCCCTCTCCCACCACGTCGTTCTCATCGCGCAGGTCGTAAAGGTAAACGTTCTTGTCCCATGACGAAACAACGATTCGCGTGGAGTTGGGATCCGGGGAGAACTTCAAGGCGGAGATGGCGTCCGCTGGCGGTGATGCCACTGTGAATTGATCTGGGGAAGTTAGCAAGTCAGAAACCCAGTGTATTGCATCTCATTGTGGAACGTGAGACTTACTTGACGACATGGTGGGCTGTTTTAGGCGGAGTTGAAGCAGCTCAGCCGGCGGAGCTTCTTTTGCCCTTTCTAATTCTGCCGGCGTCCACCGACTCCGCCGATAAGATGTATACTTCGCCTCCAATCCGATTCACCCAGTGGGATTCTGATATGCAAAATGAAAAGAAAAAAATATCACAGTCTGAAAGAGTCAACTCGCAAAAATTCGGAAATTGCGTAGAAAATACTACTAGTACCAAAACAGAGACAGATTGGAGCCGTGGTTGTCCCAGGCTAGACCCACCCCGCCAAAATTGTTGACGCAGATGAAATGACTTTCATTATTAAGATCTGAGACACAGTTGTTGCTTTATGCTGCGTAAGAATCAAGATTAGGGAATATTACCGCTACAGGGGCTTTTTTTTGGGAGCCAATTGTTGTTTCACAATACTACACCTCGCTTACAATAATGGTTTTTGTCAAGTATGAGATGAACATTATGAATATTGCTGCGTATTACAAAGCTTCCAGGGAAGGTAGTCCGAGAATGGAGATTTATAGCGTACACAATCCACTTGAAAGCATCGGATATGCTCCAGAAATTAAGGAGTAGGATTTGGAAAACCAATCAAACTATCTCTTTATGCCCTTCTTTAAATACCATGAGCCCCCGTTAAATGGCTCCAGCCTTCCGAATTGCAGCCCAAATGTTGAACACAGATGAGTTGTATCATGAGATATCCTTGTAGAGACCCTACTTTCTCTCTCCACATCGGATTGGACCCATAGTTGAATCTCCAACCTATCAATTTTGGCAATAAATTAGATATCTGTTTTCATTTGATGCTTGTTGATATGCTATAACCAAGAGGCTTAGACCCACCATGAAAGACCTGTATGACTGGCCCCTGAAGGAATTAGCTTCATTGCAGTTCCTAAAGCTTCTATCGAAGAAGCCCCTGCAATCTTCTTCGAAGAATACATTGAGGTCAAAGTCACAATCATCCGCATCCCAACCAAAGGATGTAATCTCCGCATTGGGGTCAATATTGATACACTCCCATGTTCTGCTGTCGCCAAAGGAAGAATGACCCTTTCCGCATGCTCCATCGGTGAAAAATTCTAGGCCCCATCTTCCATTGGAGAGGGAATCAGCGATAGCCAGACAAGAAGTGGCAAGGATGTAACCGATGATGGTGTTATAATGCATGTCGACAGTGGTGATGTCTAGTATCAAATCACTTATGGGCAATATGAAGCTGAATGGTTGTTTTCCAAGGTTGTTGTTCAATAAGTAACTAGATGAGTGGAAGCCTCTTATTTATAACCTTAATTTCCTGCACCATACTACCTCCACTGAATTATGGTGAGGCATTTTGTTTCTATGAGTACTACGTAATATTTTCTTGAGATTTGCATCAGCGGAGACATATTCCGGTCTACTTTCAAGGTTCGGAAATTACTCACCAACACCGAGTTTGCTTCGGAGGGCATTCATCGACCGGTATAGAACGAAGTGATACAGAGAGGGAATGCGAATAAGGGCAAGAAGTTGCATCTAAGATACCCAAAAGAGATTCCGTCGTACAATTAGAAATTGTCGTTGAATACATCAAGCATGTAGCAATTCGACTTCGTTAAACCAGATAAATTCAAATTCTTGTTCTAGGAGCACTGAGCTCGGGCGCCTTTCCAAGGTTAAAGACCCGGCATGACGAGAAAAGGGCTAATAGGGGGCTGCAAGCCAACTCCGGTACTTGCGGGCCGTCGGTCCAGTTCATCGAGGGTAGTTGTCTGACTGAGTAGTACATTTATATAACACTAGCCACATTGACTACGACAGAAGGCATTTATTAAACACAGGGATTATCGACTACTTGTGCATGAGATGTTTCTGTGATTAAATTAGATCATATTGAGGTGGCAAAAGCTAACTGCTAGTCCCGAGAAGAATTATATGACGCTGTGTTTGTTTGTTACGAGGAAGAAATTGAATGAGTCAAGTATACCACATATTTCTGAACACTGACCAAAGAAGCCGAAATTTTTGTGTAGTCCGGTGGGGACATAAACAGCTCAACCCTGCAGATCCAGAAAGAATTAAATGCATGATGCTCTGCTTGCTGCGAGGTATAGACTGAAAGAGAAGGTAAAGTAAGGTGACGAATAAGCGGAGGGGCCTTATTAAAGATTAGGTTCGGTCGCGGGGCGGTTCCGTGGGCGGTGGGCGGTGGACGGCAGGGTAAATTCCAAAGATCATTAATGGTGAAACTTGAACTCGCTTACATAGTCGAAGCGTAACCGCTGCTCTATTCTTGTGGCAGATCTATTCGCGTCCGGAAGCCCCCGGAAATATCGACTTGTTTAAGCGCGCAAGCCTGCTACAGACGCGTCGGCATGAAATGGTCCGCCGAACACATAAGAAGTCCCGCGAGAGGATGTGTGGAATGCAAGCGTCGTCATATTAAGGTGCCACGCTCCGACAGATGTCATCCCGCTTGGAGACGTTGCTGATTGATTGAAAGTGCGATGAGAATAAACCAGTCTGTTCGAACTGCATAAGCTCAGAACGAAGCTGTGATTTCGCGTCCCCTATTCTCATAGCGAGGCCACGGCATTCCTCTCGTTCTTCCAGCCGAATCTCGAGGGAGTCACTTCTACCCGATGATGTGCATGGCTCACAGGAATCAAGTCAAAGTCCTCGGGACCGACAGCAATACCCTCAAGAGGAAGCAAAAACTTCCCCGGTTGATATGGAACACGTGAGACTGTTCTACCATCTATGCACTGAAACGTTTGATTCACTGCACGCCGAAATTGATGCTCCTGGCGTTTCGTTCCAAGATGCGTTCAAAGAGGTGTTGAACGCACCGTACGTCTTGAATGAGCTGTTGGCCCTAGCTGCCTTGCATCTGAGTACTTTGAACTCCGACCAGAAGAACATTTACCACCGCCAGGCGACAGAGCTACAGACGCACGCTTTGTCAATATTCAACCAGATGGCACCGGAGGTTAATGCGGACACATGCGTGCCACTGATGCTTTTTTCGTCGATTCTTGGAATGCATGAGATGTGCGAGACATTATTTTTCCGAGAATCAACCTTTGAGCACTTCCTAGACAACTTTATCCGTTCTCTATGTTTGAATCAGGGAGTTCGGGCAGTCACGGGCAGTTCATGGGGCTTTTTGAAAGAAAGTATTCTGGGGCCGATGTGTAAGCAAGGAGAAAAGGCCATGACGCCCTGTGGAACTGCTTCAGGGAAAACTTGCTCGCGGCTTCTGGAACTCATTACGACGGCAAATCTTGACCAAGAAAATAAGAATAGCTGTGAGCAAGCCATTTTAGCCTTACAGTCTGTCCTCGACGAGTCCGATCGGGATGTCCCCTGGAGACCCAACGTCACTGCCATCCGGGCTTGGCCAGTCATGGTATGCAAAGGTTACATTGATCTTTTGAGAATGAGAGAGCCGCATGGGTTAGTGGTTTTGGCTCATTATGGTGCGCTGATACATTTACGGCGCGATTTATGGATATGTGGAGATGGAGGGCAATTCCTGGTAAGGTCAATCTGTGATCACTTGGGCAATGAATGGTCAGACTGGCTACGCTGGCCAATCGAAGTCACATCTGGTGAATGAACTAGATTATGATGGTCTCCAAGGCCGTTGAACAATTTCTTACCATCTACGGGTCGTCCGAGTAAGTTAGAGACTTCCGCCTTTCGTCATCACCGTGAAACGTGGCAATAAAGCAGATCACATACGCACATGGAAACGCAAGGGACGGTTTGAATCTATCAATTACCGCTACAAATTTACTTGAAGCAAGTTGTGTGAGAATCGATGAACTGGCATTCTTGAGGACGCATCAATGGAAATACGGCCATCGCCTAGTAGACATGGCCTTATTCTCAATTCCACAGGGAATCAAATTCTTGCCGTCAAACCCAATGCAACAGGAAACTCCGATGAGTTCTGGACCGGTGCTTCATACGATGGTAAAAGTTGGCCATAAAGTGGCCTCGGCTCGACTCCGGATCTTTCATATTTCACTCTACCTATTCGGTCTTTCCTAAAATCGACCGTGGCACTTGAAATGAAGCAGCCTTCAAGGCAACAATGTTCATGAAAAGGGATGTTTGGGAAAGAGAGGATTTGGTCTAGAAATAGTATATCGAATCTGTGAATTTCATTTTCGAGCCCCGTGTCGCCCAGTCTCAGTATGGAGAGGGCCCGAATACGCGTATAGAACCCTGGAGGCAACGTTTAACTTTGCCCCACTCAATAAAAAATAATTGAGGAAACATCTGGGCAGTGGGTCACGATGATCTCCGAAGTGCCCCCGCTCGGCGGAAACTTTCGCGTTGTGACAATCCAATACACATATACTAGTCATTAATTACGAATAAATTGATCGTGCAAGATCCATAATGGGACACGAAACTGGAGAAAACATATTATTTTTAAACAATATTAGGCTGTGCTGGCTTCCGAAAGTTTATTTATACGCGTAAAGAAGTTATCCCTTTTATTGCACAAATGGATCGTCTGGTGAATCCATCCCGAGGTCTCCGAGTCCACTGCGACCCGAGCAGAAGCAACTTGGATCTTTTTAATCTTCAACGCTTCAACTCAGCTTTCAAAAGTTGAAATTACATCCCTCTTCTATCTTCAAAGTACAATGTTCGCTCTCTCCAGCAGCCTGCTCTCTCTGAGCGCGTTGCTTTTTGAATTGTCATCTGCATCCCGCTGCTCACCATCCACGATTCAAAAGCCTGAACGGGTCGGCGCTTCTATCCTTGGAATACAAGCTCAGGAAATCCACAACTATTCTGCCGTTAGTCTTGGACCAGGAACAAATGAAGGTGGCCAATACACCATCAGCTTCTGCAATGTCACAGTAACACACACTCATCCTGGATGGAATGATGAGATCCACACTCAAGTCTGGCTACCGCTTAAGGAATGGAATGGCAGGTTTCAAGGCTTGGGTGGTGGAGGATACAGCACAGGCATGGGCTCTATCTACTTGACATACGCAGTCGCCCAGGGATTTGCATCTGCCTCCACAGATGGAGGGCTGGGTACAAGTTCTGGCGCGTCCACAATTCCTACGGATCTTTCATGGGTCCTTAGCAGCGAGGGTAACGTCAACTGGGAACTTCTGGATAATTACGCGACTAAAGCAACAAATGAAATGGCTATCATCGGGCAACAGATCACGAAGTCCTACTACAGACAGCCTGCAAACTATTCCTACTTTTCGGGATGTTCTGGTGGTGGACGACAGGCCCTCATGATGGCGCAAAAGTATCCAGATGTATTCGACGGAATTCTTGCTGTTGCTCCCGCCATCAATATACAAAAGTTCATTCCCGCGGGTTACTGGGCTTCTGTAGTCATGCAAGAAACCGACGTTTATCCGGCGCCGTGTGAGGTCAGTGCGTTCACTGAAGCAGCAACAAAGGCTTGCGACAAGCTGGATGGCGTGGAAGATGGCATCATCAGCTCTCCAGGACTCTGTGACATCAAGGCTTCTGATTTCGTTGGGAAGAACTATTCCTGTGACGGGGTGCAAAAGACCTTTACTGCTTCCAACGCAAAGGTAATCCAAGCTGCATGGTCTGGCTCACAGTCAGTCTCTAAGCGGTACGGCTGGCACGGACTCAACAAAGACGCGGAGCTCGGTGGTTACTATGTTTCCACTTCATGTTCTGGGAACGGGACATGTCACGCGACAGAAAGTGACCTCCTTAGTAGCTGGTTTAAGTATCTTGTTGCCAAGAATCCCACATTCGATGCCAACAGTATGACTACGAACCAGTTTTTCGACGCCTTGCACTCTTCGATCAGCGACTATACCTCTATGCTTGGCAATAGTGACCCAGATCTATCCAATTTCAAGAGGGCTGGCGGAAAAATGATCTCTTGGCACGGACTGGCAGACGAAGTTATCCCTCCAAACGGAACCACTGAGTACTACGAGAACGTGCTAAAGGGTGACCCTAATGCCCACAGATTTTATCGTTCCTTTGAAGCACCTGGCGTTGGTCACTGCTATGGTGGACTCGGGCCGATCCCAAATGGAGCAATGTCTCAGCTTATTGAATGGGTAGAGAACGATCGTGCCCCTGCTGTTTTGCACGCCACGAAGGGGAGCAACAACACAGCAAGAGACCTTTGCCCGTATCCTCTTCGTCAAAAGTATATTGGAGGAGACTCCAGAAACTCAACATCTTTTACTTGCATTCAATAGTCTCTTCTCTATGAGTCCACGAGTTTCCGGGAAGGAAATTCAGGAGAGAGACCCTTGTTAACTTCTTTTTAACTTTTATCACCTTTACGATCATCTCTTTTGTCCACCCATGTATATTACTATATCTGAACCATATAAGAATAACAACAAGAAAAACTTGCTTTCGAATTTATAAGGTCAATTAAAAACAATAGTATCATGCAAAGTTTTCTGCCGACTTTACCTTCACTCCTCCAAGTATAGTTAATACTTGCCGAGTTCAAGTTGTTCATCTAATTTACATCCGCCTATGCTCAAATTTAAACTAATTATTCGCGTTTATCGCGCTAATTTTCTAGTGATCGTGAAAAGTATTCACATTATCAGATAATCCTGGCGGTATGTGAGAGCCACTTGAAGTTTTAAAATAGTTAAAGTTATTTGTGAAATCGCTCTCTATACGCGTATTCATAGTTTGGTGTGGGTGTCATGGCTTTGTGGGTCATCGGTGGGTCCAAGTAAATTTAGCTGGGGCCTAATTCAAGTTATCGGAGAAACGCGATCTAGTTATTGTTATGCGCCACTTGTGTATTACTTTAGGTGTGCGTATGATAAGGTACCCCTTGATGAATAAGAAATTTTCAAAACAAAAGTTGTCCTCATATATCTCCATATCAGATTATGCTTCCAATTCAATTCTGATATTTCTCTCACTCTCTTTTCCATTCACCCTCTTCTCTACACTCCCTTCAACCTTTGGCGGATTCGCCGGTTTTCCTCATAATAATGGAGTTGATTCCTCGCTCTTACAAATTTTGGAACTATGCTCCATCAATCCCTGCAGCTGTCATATTTATGCTATTCTTCTTAGCTTTGACTGTGCTTCATTCCTGGAAGTTGTTCAAGACGAGGACGTGGTTCTGTATCGCTTTCACTATTGGTGGTTTCTGTATGTCTGCATTGATGAGAAAAATGGCCCCAAAATTCGCAAAGCACTTGGAAACTAATGCGAGCCAGTTCAAATCATCGGATACATAGGTCGTGCAGTGGCACATAACAATACCACCACCATGGGGCCCTATATAGTCGCCAACATCTTCATTCTCCTGAGCCCTACCCTCTTCGCTGCTTCTATCTATATGACCCTGGGTCGTATAATCCGTTATGTTGGAGCAGAACACCTTTCCGTGATCAGAGTCTCGCGTTTGACGAAAACTTTCGTCTGGGGAGATGTTCTGTCATTCGTCGTCCAAGGAAATTCCTCCGCGCTTTCGGTCATGGGATATGAGACTTGGGCCAAAGTTGCAGTTGTTGGAGGGCTCGCGATCCAGCTTATATCTTTCTCTATCTTTTGGCTCACGGCCATCATATTTGAGAAGAGAATTCGCCGCTCTCCGACCCCCGAATGTCTCATACCTGGCATTCCATGGCAGAAGTCATTGTATATGCTATATACAGTCAGTGCCTTGATCATGATTCGCTCCATCTTCCGCATCATTGAGTATATCCTCGGGAATAGTGGCTATCCCTTGGCGCATGAGTGGACACTATACGTCTTTGATTCTGTTCCGATGGCCATCGTCATGGTCGTTTTCTTCCTTTGGTATCCCAGCGAATTGCAGAAAAACAAAGATATCGAAGGGAGTATTCCGCTTGCTCAAAGCTATTCGAACTTGCATGGGTAAAGTTTGTTGTCGTCCCTACTAGCACTGAAGAAGTTTTATTTTCCTACTATATCCTATGTTTACTACTCTCGTCTCCTTCGTTTCTAATAGCCTGGGGAAAAGGTCCCCTTTTAGTTCAATACGATATCGTTTTTCATAATTGTCAAGAAAATGGGGGACCCTACAAAATAGAATATGAATATATTTAACACTATCATCTGATCACTTGGATAAATTATTGATATGCAAGCTTATATTAGAGTACCTCGTCAAGGGAGTGCTACCTGATACCTACCACGGTAGGCATGCGGAAATTTCGATGAGAAGCATGACGACCGGCGAATGTTCGGTGCTAACGTCCGGAAACTGCGATGAATATTTTGCGCAATACCTCAAATACCACAAAACATGGTAACGTATGGAGATTTCATATTGGGGGCGTTTGTTGTTCCGAAAGGCTGCCGGTTCCACTCGGCGGGCACCAGGGTCGTCGGCCACGCTAACTGTAACCGACTAGCGGCCCCTCTAAATCTGAAATCCTTCTTTACGCGTATGCACGGACCACGATTGATCGCGATAGTGCAGTCTCGAATACGCGTATAGATATGGCAAATTTTGTACAGCCTCCCTTGGATTTCGTATCCTTCAAAAGGGGTGCTTGGAGACTTTAAATCTTGTATTCGTTAAATTCAACCTAAAATCCACTCACGATCCCAACCATATTCTCACAACTCATTTTTCCATCCTCGATTGACCTCAAATTTCTCTGAAGTGTCTATTCCCTATACATACTTTGTTTCAAGATGCCCAGACTGGAGCCTTTGAAGGGTGGATACTATGTGTGGCACTATGTGCCATCAATAGCCGCATCTATCGTTTTCATTCTCCTATTCCTCGCCGTTACCTCTTTCCACTTCTGGAAGATCTTCCGAACAAAAGTTCGTTTCACCTTGCCATTCGCCATTGGAGGCTTGTGTAAGTTCTTACCGCAATAGTATCCGTTTGATAATATTGAGAATATGCTGACCAGGTGTGGGCTGATTTAGTTGAATTAATCGGATACGCCGCTCGAGCCGGCGCCTATGACAAAACAGGCCACCTGATGCCCTATATCATTCAGAGTGTCTTTATTCTCATTGCACCGACTCTCTTTGCGGCCGCTGTCTATATGGTTCTCGCGCGGATTATTCGGAGCGTCAAAGCTGAGCACCTCTCGCCTATTCCCATCAGATTTGTCACCAAGGCTTTTGTCACCTGTGATGTCCTCACATTTTTCATCCAAGGTGGGGGTGCTGGCCTGATGTCGCAGAGTAGTCTGACCAACACTGGACAATATATTGTCCTTGCTGGCCTCATCCTGCAAATTGCCACGTTCGTTATGTTTCTCATCACGGCGACGATCTTCAAGTTGCGTATGGACCGCCATCCAACTATTGCGACTATGAATAGTGATGTGCCATGGGTGAAACACCTCTACAGCATGTATGCTATAAGCGCAATGATTTTGCTCCGATCTATCTTTCGTGTTATCGAGTATGGGCTTGGAAATGATGGGTATTTGCTGTCAAATGAATGGCCCACATACATCCTCGACGCACTCCCCATGTTTCTCGCAATGGTATGTTTCGCTGCTTGGTATCCAAGCGAGCTGCAGCCCTTTTTGCATAAGGGAGATGCACTACCTATCGAATCAGTGGAACAGAAGGTTTGATTTGGCTTGCGATATACCGATGCAACAATCAAATCTGCTGGATATGAATTTATGGTTGGTCAACTGGCGTGTTTGGGATATGGTTACTTGGCATGGTTTACTATTATTTGGATGGCAAAGCGACGGAACAGGCGAATGGAAGAAGTATCATAAGGCGTTATATCTGTTGTTCGGAACGGACTTTTAACGATTTAGATCAGACTGCGAATTTTGGATTTTGGATTTGATCTTGGATTTTCTCTATCATGTGTAGTTTCCCCTTCTAATCGCGATAGGTTTTGGTCTAGCCTGTAAGAATAATAACTCCAAAGTTTCAGCATTTCAGGTGGGTTGGAAATATATATGGAGTGAGTGGAAGACGCCGGGGAAAGGGTATTGGGGGGGGAGGGGGAACGGAGAAATGCATGGCATTTTGGGGTCTCCAACTTTGCCTACCTGAGGCAAACAGGGGTCATGGTTGGCGCCTTTCATTTCGCTGATATGATAAGACGTATTTCAGAAGCGAGTGGAATATTGCAAAACAATGAGCTGAGCCCGAAGGATCCTAGTTGAATAGTTGGTGTGATTAATAATTTAAAGTACCCTCTAGTTCGTCAGCATACGCTCACTAGTAACTTGTAAGTAGTAACAACTATCGTTAATGTCGAAAGCGTCTACGAAAACGATATGCTTCGTTTTCACTTCATTTCCCATTATTTGTGACTTCAAATATTGTAAGCTTTTACCTCAATCAAGCGGAGAAGGTGGAAGTAGTTATAAAAGAATGTAATTTATGTCCAATGAAAAACAGACAGTATCACTGCACGTTTAATTCAATGTAACGATTTATCTGTGACATGCGGAAACGATAGGAATATCATTGTACTAGTATCAATTAAGGATCCTGAGGGGATTTGATAACAGCAAAACACAGAACTGCCTTTTTAATCACCCGAGTAGCCTTGAGCACCAGCTGACAGAGTACCTATAAGTAGCAAGCTATTTAAATGCGACTTCAGTCATCCACAGCCCCTGGAAAAATTGATTTCAAGTTATTCTGGTACCATTCCGCATCATGCGCCAATACTACCTGCACAGAGCCTCCCTGGAAGCCATTTTCCTTCAAATTCTGGATCCTATGAAGAGTACCTAATGCCAAATTCTTGTCTGTGTGAATACATACGTGGCGCCCATCTTCCTCCCACTCAGCCATCCCTGTTTCTCCATTCAAGATCCTTGAGTGATGGCAGGCATCGCCGGCGAGATAAATCCAGCGATCGCTGCTCACTCGCACGAGAACGTTCAGATGGCCTAAAAGATGACCCGGGCTATCAACGATATAGAAGGAGCCATCGTCGAAAAGATCAATCACATTATCAAAAGGATGTAGTGCTTTCCACTCCTGCTGCCCCCCTGGAGAAAATGATGACAGGCAATTGGTAAAATGAGTCGTGATTTCGACAGGGTGCGTAAACTGAGGAAGAATGTTTTGAACGGGAAGCTCTATTGTCCGATCAGATGGCAAAAGATCCTTTTCAAAATGGGCCGCAGAGTGATAGTTCATTCCATTTTCTAAAATATGGCGGGACCCGTAGCCCACGATAAATTTGGCCATTGTAAAACGAGAGGGAGTTCCAACATGGTCATAGTGCATGTGGCTCAGGATGACAGCGTCAATGTCGGTTGACTCTAATCCGCCATGATTCAAAGAATCGCATACGTCTGGAATCGTCTGAATAGGCTGGCGTGTACGCAGGTGCGGCTGAATGTTGTCTGGGTAAGCGCTTAGGTCTCGACGAAGCCCCAGATCGAATACGACCCTTGTACGACTTGGAATGTGTTCAAGAAGGAATGACATTGAAGGAACGAGATTCTTTATGCTTTTATCATGCTGATCGGCGCAGAAGAAATGCTCAGGCAGGGTGAGAAAGCCTGCTGGGAGAAGAGAGACTCGAACGTATTCTTGAGGCTTCATGATGATGTGATTGAATTGAAGTCGACGAAGGTAATCGAGTAGCTACCGGAAGAGACTTGATGCTTCTTTTTCTCGTCAGACTTACTTATCCTGGGCTTGTGAAATGCTTAGGATTCAGAAAAGACTGACAAGTCACCGTGTTTGTGGAGGGGTCGGGTAATCGGGTGTTTCTGGAGTGGAGGTGTGGGGGCAATGCGGGGGGAATTATGCGACTTTGGAAGGAAATTTCATGATGGTTATTGAACCCTTCAAGGGAGACGAAGAGGGTTGTTGCGGCTACTTTTGTGGATTATCTTGCTCAAGGACACGCAGGCTGCCAGTGGGTCTAGAGCTCTATCCAAACCCGGGGAACGACAATAAGCGGAAATTCGCCCAAGGCCTCCGCTTGCTAGAGAGCCTTCGACTGCCTCGGTTCCACAGGTAGTAAGTCGCAGCTGTATCGGCCTTGGCAGCAGTTTAGAGGATGGAGATGTGGTAGCTGTGGGGGTGGAGCCTATCTCTCCACGGAAATTGCTGACTTCACTTTTATTTTCCTAGTATAGACGGAAGCCAAATAGATCCAAATAGACCCAAATAGACCACCATGCCCTTGAATATCGGAAGTTATCAATATAATCTCTTCTTATTTGATTCCAGAATTTCCCAGGTTTGTATAATACACACTCATAGCTATGCACTTCCGCGATCCATCCCTTCTCAAAGGGGTCGAACTCCTGAATTCCCAGGATAAAATACTTCAGGATCAGTCTGTTATCGAAGTTATCGGTGAAAAGCCCTCAAGACGTGTCTCAAAGCTATGCAGTAGTTAGCATGCAGGACTCTTCTGGGTGACCCCATATTCTATTCAAATATATGACCTAGATACATGAGACGGCAATGTAATCGTGGTGAATGTATAGATACTCCAGTACCGTGATTGGCTCACGCTTGAGGGTGGGTCTGCTTTATCATCCAAGCTTATCCAGAAAATAACCTTAGGAACTTGACATCCCGCCCGCTTTGAAGTCCGCGCCACAGCTTTTCCAGCTCTCCAATCTACCACCGAGACGCCCATATTCTCCAAAATGCCCTTCGCACAATTGGTCATCGGCCCACCGGGTGCAGGAAAATCCACCTACTGCAATGGAATGCACCAGTTCCTCGGGGCGATCGGGCGCAAATGCTCCATCGTGAACCTTGACCCCGCCAACGATAGGACCTCTTACCCGTGTGCGCTGGACGTGCGCGACCTCGTCACTCTCGAGGAAATCATGGAGGAGGATAAGCTTGGACCGAATGGCGCGACACTATATGCTCTTGAGGAGTTGGAGGAGAACTATTCTTGGTTGGAGGCGGGGTTGAAGGAGCTTGGAGGTTTGTTAACACTATTTCTGGTAGACTTTTATAGGGGATATGTTCGCTGACCACTCGGCATGTAGATGATTATGTTTTGTTCGACTGTCCCGGCCAAGTCGAGCTCTTTACGCATCACGCCTCATTGCGCAATATCTTCTTCCAGATCCAGAAGCTGGGATATCGGGTTCGTTCGACAAGACTGATTTACTCTGACTCTGATGAAGATACGATACCACTAACACACCATACTCAGTTAATCGTCATTCATCTCGTCGACAGTTACGCCCTCACCTTACCATCAATGTATATATCCGCCCTCCTCCTCTCCCTCCGCGCCATGCTCCAACTCGACCTTCCACACCTAAACGTCCTCACAAAAATCGATAATCTAGCCAACTACCCCGACCTCCCCTTCAACTTAGACTACTACACCGAAGTGCAAGACCTCAGTTTTCTCCTCCCCCACCTGGAGTCCGAGTCCTCGCGTCTTCCACACAGCAAGTTCGGTGCCCTCAATACAGCTATCATGGACCTGGTTGAGGAATTCGGGCTCGTCGCTTTCGAGACGCTGGCCGTCGAGGATAAGAAGAGTATGATGAGTTTGCTCAGGTCTATTGATCGCGCCTCAGGGTATGCGTTTGGGTCGGCCGAGGGTGCGAATGACACCGTTTGGCAGGTTGCCGTACGCGAGGGTATGGGGGTTACGGATGTCAGGGATGTTCAGGAGCGGTGGTTGGATAACAAGGATGAGTATGATGATTTGGAGAGGGCGGAGCTAGAAGAAGTGGCTCGTATGCATGAGGCGGCCAATGATGAGGCTATGGCCCAGGACCAGGCCTTGAATGGGGATGAGGATGGGGATGATGAGATGGCGGGTTGGAAGGGTCCGTTGCCGGATAGCGGGATAAAGGTTCGACGAAAGACATGATATACGAAATAGTTACAGTAGTTTTGGCCGGGACCTGGAGCTCGACCTGGATCATCCCGATACTACTCATTGTACCATATGCATTTCAGGTGGGGTATCATTAATATACAATCAAAAGCAGAGCAACCCTGTTCAATCATCATCCATATCTTCGTCCTCACTGTCATCCATAATATCATTAGTAACAGGCACAGTGCGATCAACTTGACCCTTCACATCCTCGGCGCCGGATATCAAATCTCCCAAAACACCCTTCTCTTCCACACCTCGAATGCGCACAATCTCCCTTCTAGCGCGGCGAATAGCCTCCTCCTCTGCCTTCTTCATCGTACCGGATACCCTGAGCACGCGGAATACGCACGGCCGCTCACGGCCTCCATTGGGCCTTTTTTGTGCTGCGGACCCGGGCTCTGGCACGTGGGACATGTATGTAAGTGCGGACCAAACGATTCGGAATGAGGAACGTGGGCAGCGGAGGATAGCGGTCGAGGTTGCCGGGGAGAGATATTTCACTGTAGAGAAATTAGCCTGGGTCTATGTATGAAAGCTTTTTCGACAAAGAGTGATGAGTGATAAAAAGCAAGCAATCTCCTGCTGCAAAAGGCTAGGAGCTAAGAACACACCATTAAGTCCAGTGGCAGAGGCACCACCAAGCTTGCCAACGCCCCAATCTCCATATAATTCGGCTACTTCCTCGCGCACCATCTTGGCGAGAAGGCCCGGCGTCAACGCGTCAGAGGTCGGGGAGTGGATGGCCAGCTGCGCGGATTTCGGGTTGTTCTTCGTGGATTGGGTTGAGGCTGGCCATGTTTTTGGGTCCGGATAGAGGATGTCGAGGAGGAGATATCGGTTTTTAAGACGGACCATTGTGTATTGTAGTCTTGTTTGAAGATGGGTGTGTTAAGGCTGCGGAGCAAAATTGGAGGTGAAGTTGCGGGCGCTGATAAGCCGATAAGAATCCTCCGGCGCGGACCTCTGGCCGGCACCTTACCGACCAGGGTGCAGTCATAGGGAGCCATGACAATAGCATGAAAGACATAATAAGTATAGAGTTGACTCGTATTCATTTATTCCTTTGTTGAACTACTAGGAAAATCTACGATCTGAAACTGACGATACTAAAAAAACTGAGAATATAATGTCATCATGCAATGGGTACGTTCATTAGGTCCCCAAAGAGGTTCTAGTCATCTAAACAAATTAAATCAAGATCCGTGGTCGGGCGTTGCACCGTTTTTTCCATGGGCAAGTGCTCTGGCATCGCCCACCGTTAACCCGGTCATGCTGGGTAGCGCAGTACATGGATACAAAACTGCTGAGAAACAAAACACAAGGGATCAACCAAACTCCACCGTCCTTTTGAGACGGACTATATGCCACCGGCGGACGGCGCTGCAAATCATGTCATGTGCAAGAAAATCAAATGCTGACCTCAACGCGGCCCTCATTACCACCCTTCTCCAGGGTGGGGAGCAGGTAGGTGATGTCGTCCCAGGGGTGACGGTACAGACCGGTACGCAGGCGCTTCTGGTCGAGATAGTGGGCAATCAGACCGATGGAACGGCCGAGAACGAAGAGACCGTTCAGGACACCCATCTTCAGGTAGTCCTCAGACTCCTCGGGTGTGAAAGCACCACAGTTCTTAATCATATCGATGAAGCAGACAGCAACACAGCCGTCGACGTTCAGAATCAGGTTGTCCTTCTTGGAAGTGGTGACAGTCTCGACGGCAATGGCGTAGTCGAGCAGCTTGGTGCTGGGGAAGTGCTTCTTGGCGAACTCCTTGACGAGCTCGACACGCAGATCGGGGTTGTTGCGGGACTTGACCTTGTGGCCGATACCGGGGATGAGCTTGTTCTCCTTGCGCATGGTGTCGACGAAGTCACGGGGGCTGAGACCCTTGTCGAAGGCCTTGGTGAACTCCTCAGCAGCGCCGTCCAGCGCACCACCGAAGCGGGAACCAATGGTCAGGAGACCGGAGACCAGGGCGGAGATCAGGTCCTTACCGGCACGGGTGGTAATGATGGTGTTCATGGCACCGGACACGGCGGGACCGTGGTCGGCAGTGAGCATAAGAACCATCTCCAGGAACTTGCTGGCGTACTTGGGGAGACGGCGGCGGAACCACAGCAGGGACATGACACCACCGATACCAATGTCCTCACGGAAGACATCAGAGATGGGCATACCGGCGTACAGAAGCTCCTGGCCACGGTCGTCGGAAATGGTAGAGATGAAGGCAGCGGGCTTGCGGACAAGACCCAGCTCCTGGGCCCAAGAGTAGTCAATGGGGATCTTGGGGACAACGGGCTCGGGGGCAGGGGTGATGTTGCCCTTCTGGAGCTCAGCGTCGTAGACGGCCTTCAGGGTCTGGGGAAGGTCCTCGAAGGTATCGGGGACGTGGATGCCAGCCTCACGCATGGCCTTGTTCTTGTAGACAGCAGTCTCCAGCTCGGAGTTGGCAGAGGCACCGGCGTGACCGAACTGAACCTCGGTCTTGAACAAGCTGGCGCAGGTACCGATAGCCCAGGCGACGATGGGCTTGGTGATGGTGCCGTTCTTGACAGCCTCAATGACACGGTACTCCTCAACACCACCGACCTCACCGAGGAGGACGAGGATCTTGCACTCAGGCTCGGCTTGGTAACGGATCAAGTGGTCGATGAAAGTAGTACCGGGGTAACGGTCACCACCGATGGCAACACCCTCGTAGACACCGTCGGTGTTCTGGGAGATGATGTTGTTCAGCTCGTTGGACATACCACCGGACTTGGAGACGTAGCCCACGGAACCCTTGCGGTACAGCTTGGAGGCGACGATGTTGTCCATCATACCACCAGTGTTACCGATCTTGTAGGAGCCGGGCTTGATACCACCGACGGTGGCAGGGCCAATGATGGTGATACCCTTCTCCTTGGCGGCAACCAGGATCTCACGAGCACGACGCTCAGGAACACCCTCGGCAATGATGGCAATGGAGCGGATCTGGGGGCAGTTCATCAACTCCATAGTGGAGGAGTAGACGGAACGGGAAGAGGCGAAGTTGACAACAGTGTCAACATCGGGGTGCTTGGCCATGGCCTTCTCAACGTCCTGGTAGACGGGGAGGAGGGTCTCGCTGGTACCCCAGTACATCTTGCTGACGAATTGACCGCCGAAGGTGTAGATGATACCGGCCACGGAGGGGGTGGAGCGCTTGCAGATGAAGTCAAAGTCGAGCATGCCCTGCACGGCTCGGGGTTGCATGCCACTGGATGATTGTTAGATTGGGAGTCGGTTTGATAGGCTAGACCGGCTGGACCGGCCATTGGGAGGATTCACTCACTATACGAAGCATCGTGTCTTGTTGTGGAAGAGGGCGTGGTTGAGGGGAGAGAGGGCACGGCTGGGAGGTGCGAAGCGTGTGATGTTATCGTTGGCGTTGGCGCCGCCGGCGGACAGTGAAGTGGCAGGCATTGTGAATCTATTCAGGCGTTCCCAGTCAAAATTTGAGGTTCACACGATCGTGGAATAGTGGTTGGTGGGATGTGTGGGTTGGAGGGGTTGAAGAATGCGGCGAGGGCAAAAGAGATGACTTTGAATTGGGTTGAAGGATGGCGAGAGAAAGGAACATACCTATGTGTTGAACACCCGCTGAAAGATGAATTGATGGAGAAAGGAGGAGGGGGAAGGGAAAGAGAGAAGACAACTGAAAAAAGCGCGGGATGAATACTCGCAAGTACGGTGTACAGCTCCTCCCAGACTGGGGCTAAGCAGCTCAACAGTTGCGGTCCCCAAAGTACGGGTAGTGGTGATACCGCCCCACCGGTATTTACCGTACAGGAAGTATAGAGCACGCAGTGCTCTGTATCTGGTATAGTATAGTAGTATGATATATGGTATATCGTATCTTGTACATTTTATATTTATCTATAAAATACCTAGGTATTCAATCAAGTATCCAATTGATTCCAACCTTTCCTCCATATCTATATAGTACTCCTCCTGTATAAATTTCAGAGGGTACAAAAGTTAGTCGATCAATCCGGCGGTGAACCCAACAAACGAGGGGCAACCCCAAGTGGGGGGGGGTAACATGATGAGCTCTACAGAGTAACCTGTGTACTCTACTACACAAGCATACAAAGTATACTCCGTACTCCGTACTGTACACCGACTGCATCGCACCTGCCCCAACACCCCACCCCACCTTCCACCTTTTTTTGTTCCCTCAACCGTACCTGCCTGAATTGTACGCTGTACTCTCCAGAACAACTTTTCCCCTTCTACGCTGTACTCTCCAGTCTTGCTTCCCCCATCCCAAAAAAAAATAACCTCCCCTTCCCTTCTTCTCTCCTTCCACTTCTCTCTCCAAAACAACCCCCCTCATCACACACACACATCATGTCCGCCAAGTCAATCTTCGAGGCCGACGGCAAGGCCATCCTCAACTACCACCTTACTCGCGCCCCCGTCATCAAGCCCTCTCCTCTGCCTCGCTCCTCCACACACAACCCTCCCCCTCGTCTGGCCGCCCTCCACTTCCCCGAGGACAAGGCCCCCAAGGATGTCCTTGACCAGGCTGAGGTCAACTACCCATGGCTGCTCACTGCCGGCGCCAAGTTCGTCGCGAAGCCCGATCAATTGATCAAGCGCCGTGGTAAGAGCGGTCTGCTTGCCTTGAACAAGACCTGGGCTGAGGCCCGTGAGTGGGTTGAGGCCCGCGCTGGCAAGGATGTCCAGGTTGAGCACGTCGTTGGTGTTCTCCGTAACTTCCTCGTCGAGCCTATGGTTCCCCACGCTCAAGAAACTGAGTCCTACGTCTGCATCAACTCCGTCCGTGAGGTATGTGATTATATATGCTTGAAGGGGGACATATCCCGAATTGCCCCAATTGCATCAAAACTAACTCAAGAAAAATAGGGTGATTGGATCCTCTTCTACCACGAGGGTGGTGTTGATGTCGGTGATGTCGATTCTAAGGCCGAGAAGCTTCTGATTCCCGTCGACCTGAAGAAGTTCCCCTCCAACGAGGAGATTGCCTCTGGCCTTCTGAGCAAGGTTCCCCAGGGTCTTCACAACGTCCTGGTCGACTTCATTGTCCGCCTGTACGCCGTCTACGTCGACTCCCAGTTCACCTACCTTGAGATCAACCCCCTGGTTGTCATCCCCAACGCCGATGCTACCTCCGCTGAGGTCTACTTCCTGGATCTGGCTGCCAAGCTCGACCAGACTGCCGAGTTCGAGTGCGGCACCAAGTGGGCCATTGCCCGCAGCCCCGCCGCCCTGGGCCTGCCCACCATTCCCTCCGCCGATGGCAAGGTCAACATTGACGCTGGTCCGCCAATTGACTTCCCCGCTCCCTTCGGTCGTGAGATGAGCAAGGAGGAGAAGTTCATCTCCGATATGGACGCCAAGACCGGTGCTTCCCTGAAGCTGACCGTTCTGAACGCTAGCGGCCGTGTCTGGACCCTGGTTGCCGGTGGTGGTGCTTCCGTCGTCTACGCCGATGCCATTGCCTCTGCTGGTTTCGTCTCTGAGCTCGCCAACTACGGCGAGTACTCCGGTGCTCCCTCTGAGGGCCAGACCTACTCCTACGCTAAGACCGTTCTGGACCTGATGCTGCGTGCTCCCCAGCACCCCGAGGGCAAGGTCCTCTTCATTGGTGGCGGTATTGCCAACTTCACCAACGTTGCCTCCACCTTCAAGGGTGTCATCCGTGCCATCCGCGACGTCGCCCCCGTCCTGGCCGAGCACAAGGTCCAGATCTGGGTCCGCCGCGCTGGCCCCAACTACCAGGAGGGTCTGAAGAACATCAAGTCCGCCGGTATCGAGCTGGGTCTGGACATGCACGTGTACGGCCCGGAGATGCACGTCAGCGGTATCGTGCCGCTGGCTCTGCAGGGCAAGAAGACCGACATCAAGGAGTTCGGTGCTTAAATGTGACACGCACAAAAAAGACTTGTTCCTCCCCCGCACTGGTGTTTTGTCCCTTGTTTTCTTGTTTCTGCAGCGTCTCCATCGTTGCATGGGTTTGTGGTATAATGCATGGCATGATATGAACTTTGTGGCGGGTCCCCTCGCAAGAAGCTGGGGGGTCCCTGGCCCTCTCTCCCCCTCTAATCGAGGGTATGGCGTTTCTTCCAGCCCGGACGAAAAGACCGGATGCTTGGTGCCGACGTACATGATTAGATTTCCTTTTATGTTTCACCCGGGAGATTTAGATCGTGATGTCCCGAATAATTTATCAAGATGATACGAGGATTTTTCAAATGTAGAGTGTAGATGAGATCTAGAGTACAGTCATCGCTACTAGTAGATAGATTTTCGCAGTCGAGAATACAGAATAAATTTAATAGCCTACTACTTGTATATAACGAACAGCTAGCCATTGGCATGTTACATTCATAAAGCCAAGCAAATTGCACTCGAGCGACCCTGGACAGGCTGCTAGTAGTAACCGCATCGCATCCGGCGAAGCCCAAAAAATAAAATACAATACCAAAAATACCAGTGTATGTATATACACAGACTCCACACAAGCTCCAGCTAGAATGGATCCTGCACCCCGGATTCCAGGAAAGCTATTTAGCTCCCGCGATATGATCGTCAGGGACGGACCAAGAGATAAGGTAGGGACCGTGCTTGAGGGGGCTGGGGATCGTGTGTTCGTGGTTGTGGACTGGATGGTGTACTGGACCGAGGGTGCGGTTGTGGTTGCGGGTGTACTTCCGCTGAACCGAGCGGCGGGCCGGACGAGAGGAGTCTTTTCCGGATGTGGTTGGTAGAGCAGGGATGCAAACAGTAATGGTTTAGATAAAGGTGTGATTTATGAGGAGTGTCTTGCCTTGGATTGCTTTGCGAAGACGGATTCGAGAAAGGAAATAAAAAAAATCACTGAGGTTCCAAGACAGGTGCTGGCGGCTGGTGGGATAAATTACAGCGGTTACACTTATTTTCGAACGTGCATGTTCAAGTTCCAAGTTGTTTGAACTCGCCCACAATCACGGTAGATGGTGTGCAATTTTTGAGATCGAAGACCGCTCTGTAGCTTGAATGTTCGCATTGCATATGCAAATACTAAATAACCTTGTAATTCAAGCTCAAGAATGGCTTTTGTGTACTTGGGTGAAACTTGAATTGTTACTATGCGCTTGTTTGGTTTATATTGCGACTCGGGATGATCATAAAACTTCTAAGTTTCAAATGATACTACCTAGGTACTAGTAGTACTAGTAGGATGCCAACGAAGAAACCACGGCCATCACTGACTGACAGGTTGAACTTGAAGATATACAATATTCGAATCTATACTAAGATTGAAACGGCCGCAATACATCGACCGTAGTCTGCCCCCGGGTGGTCTTCAAGTTATATCTCCACCCATAATCTATACTAGACTAGTTGACGATTTAAAACCCCGAGTAACATCCCAGAATCATTCAGGTAAAACAGAAAAATAATCCCAAAGAATCAATTTCCGAATCGCGCAAGCATAGCTTCACCAGATGGGAGGTTTGACATGATGGTTGACTGCCGATATGTCTGCGGCAGACGAGTACGGTGCTGTGGGTTCATGGGAGGTGGGACTAAACAACAAAGTTAACTCAACCCCATTCCAATCGAATAATCATGAATACTCACCCCCGGGCGACTTCCAGTGCAATCGACCTGCTGGGACCGCCACAGCTTTCCCGCCAGATCGCTTATGACCTGCTTGTTTAGAGCTGCCAGTGCCACTTCTTTGGTACCGATGCAGTTGTTCGACGCCTTCAGGACTCATTGGAAAGACCGGCGTCTTTGGTCCACCGCCACCGGGAGTTCGAACCTTTGGATAGGTTTGGTGGTTGGTGTGAGTGGTTTGATCAACAGGTTCGGTCCGAGATGTGAATGTGTTGATGGTCTGAATGACCGTGTCCGAGGCGGCATTTTGCAATTGAGTTCGCATTGCGCGCGCTTTGAGGATATTGTAGAGGTTTGTGATCTGAGTGAGTTTCTTGGATCGTTCCCGATTGAGGTCTATCAGTTCTTGATTCTTCTTCTCCAGTTGTTCATGTGCACCTTGCAGGTCTGCATACTGCGTTAGCTGGAACAGGACAGAGAAAGTATACGAGACAAACCGGAGACTTTGCCGTGTAGAGTTGCGATCTCGGAATTGGCGTTGTGGATGACTTTGTCCATCTGCGTACTCAGACTTGCGTATTTCTCAGTGAGACTTTTCCCGAGGAATTCTTGGTAGAATCTGGAGCAATTAGTCGCAACAACCTCCAAATTATCATTGACGGATGACATACATCTCCTGCGTGCTCTGGTATGCCCAGAATTCCAAGGCACGCCCGGCGCACTCCATAATGGTATTAGGATCGAGGCCACTTAGAACGCTTGTCTTGTAGTCTTCCGTGGGATTTAAGATGGTTGAAACTGCATCATCAGGGTTAGAAAGGACGGTTGAGCAAGCGGGACAACGACGGTCGCCGTTGGTGGGATGTGCAAGTCCAAGGTCGCCAGCGCATCCTAGACAAAAGATGTGACTGCGACATCAGTGAAGCCCAAACCAATCAGCTAAGCGACTCACGAGCATGTGGTAACCACTGCTCTTTCCTTCAGCTGGGCCCGGCATTTGAGAGAATTACATCTCATATGAAAATCCATTGTGCGTGTTCCAATGTGTTGGGGGAAGGTAAGTTAAAAGTTGAAGTTGAAGCTGGGAGGTGGTGCGGTCACCCGAGGTGAAGTTCCCCAAGTGCAGAGCCAAGTGGTATCATTTCAGTAGATCTATTTCATCTCACAACGCCTATGCAATCCAAAAAATCCTTAAAATATTAACAAAATAATCCTCTAAAAGAAGAACGTATTTCCCAGTGCATCTTTTCGTGTCGATGTCATCTTCTCTTCAAACTCCTTTCCAGGCTCATACTCGTTCCAGAGACTGGCCGGGTATATGTGCTTGTTCTTTTCATACCACCGGCGGTCAACCACCTTGGTCTCTGCAGCGTCCTTGTCGAAACCTTCGAGCTTCTCCTCGTTGGGGTGGTATAGGCCCTCGGGAAGCTTATCATTCGATTGAGCTGGGGGTGGTTTATCCGAATAATCAAACAATAGACCACCGGATTTCGAGAAACTCTGTACGCGGTTGGCGATAAAGTAGTAGAACTCGTAGTGCTGAAAAGAGTTAGCTGATGCCTCTCGAGATAAAGATAGTGGAACTTACTTGAGGAACGATAACATCGCCTTTGACCAGCATCAGGTCGTCAACACTGACTCGCGCCCATTCTCGGCGAGCCTTTGCTGCACCACTAGCAGTACGGCCTCCCAGCTCAGCACCGACTTTGCGACACCGGTCCAAAAACAGCCAGATAGGATCTCCTTTTTTGATTTTGACCGATCCTGCCGGAACACTCGTTCCGTCAAAGAGCACAAATGGAATCAGGATCTCGGTGTTCTTGACTGCCTCTTGCATCACCATGAATTCCTTGCGCAGTGCCTCGCGTGTCGCCGCTTCGGCCTCGATAGATGCTTTTGTCAGTGCCTTGGGAGGAGCCCTAGCATTGGGGTTCGCTTTCATGCGAATTGAAGAGGAGGGTGTGCCTTCATCGTTGGGTGTTTTTGAGCCTGATCGGGAGATGCTGGAGTCGCGCGGCGTGGCGACGGTCGATTCCTCCCCTGTATCTTCGTTATCGTCGCCAAACGAGAGCTTGCTCTTAGCGAGGGCCTTCTTTTTCTTCTTCTTGGGCGGCGCGTCGCTCTTCGGTGTCGAGGACCTGTGACATGGTGCTGTGATCAGTATATGCGGGGAGACGAGACGAGAATGAAGCGCCTTGGAAAAACTTACCCGTCAGTCACGTCGCCTGTGGAGGGAGTTGCACTTCTTGAATTACCGGATGCCAATCGCCCTAGCGACTTATCATGCGCTTCGCGCTCCTTCTGCTCTAGGACCTCTGCGCGTCGCTTGCGAAAGTCGGACAGGTGCACGAGACCGACGGTTTGCGACTTGAGCATCTCCTCCGCAGAGGCACTCGGGCCCGCGAAGGACCGGGGCGTGGAAGCCTGGCTGTCCTGCTCGGATGCCATATTGACCACTGGATCAGCTTTGGCCGAATGGTGCTTCGATTGATGTAGTGATAGAAAGCTCAAGGATAGTAGTATATTATACTCCCGCCTCTGACGCCTTTGCAGGAGACCACGTGATCGCGCCGTTTTGGGGAGTATGGACGTATCGGATCTACATATATCGAGAGGTGAGACTGGGATTATGATTATCCCTAATATTCCAAACGCTGATTTTATCCATTTGTCTATTTGACTCAATTTCAGTATGGTTGATACTTCAAATGCTCTCCTAGGTCGGAGGCAACGTTGATGGTGCGCAATTGAGGTATAAACCAAACATACTTGCACTATGGAGGTTGTGCGTATTACCAAACCGTGAAAACAAATCAAAAATCGAATTGACATTTACTTGGAGTCAAGAATCCTATTTGCCTGCTTTGTGGAATTGATCGTAACTCTCCAACTCCTGCTCTTGTCTACTTCCAACGTCGCCGACCAAAGGCGGTGCAAACACTCCAAACTCTCTCGCGCATACGCTCTTACGGGAGCAACTTGATCCTTTGGCTACACTTTTTGCTGTCATTTCACGAGACTGGAAACAATTAGCCATGGACGAAGAAGAGGACGACTTTTACGACCCCGTCGACTCGGTGCCGACTACTCAGGTTGCGAACGATGGCGCCAATGCAGCCCCAGGCCAACCGCAGGAGAGCGACGAGATGGAAGAAGAAGAGGTCGAAGTTGAATCGGACGACGTTCGTGATTAATCCTTCTATTGCCGCGGCGTATGCTAACTCTTCATAGGACGATTTCAATATTATCACAGAAGCACCTGCTGATGCGCCTCAAGAAGCGTAAGCTGCCCTCGCTGCGCGTGCGACACGTCCTGTTAACTAACATTTTGAAGCTCTCACCCACGCCATGCAAGCTTACGACAAGAGCCACAACGGCCTTCCTCAGCCGACTCATCTGCCGTCTCGAAATCCGGCACTCCTTCTGCAACACCTCGTCTGAGATGCCTCGACTCCTGCGACCGCACCCGCTGCCGCGGCAGCCACGAAACCTACCGCGCCTCAGAAGCCTGGCTCTGCGTATCCAGCAATCCACACCTCTACAATTGATGTGAATGGAAACCCTGTGCATCCGTCAACAGGGAAGCCGATCATGGCCACCGACATGGACGTCGACTTTCCTACAGACGATAAGCCCTGGCGCCGTCCGGGCTCCGATGTTTCGGACTTCTTCAATTACGGCTTTGACGAATTCACCTGGGTCAGCTACTGTCTGAAACAACAAGGGACGCGGAAGGAAGTTGGGGACCAGAAGAGGCAGATGGATGACATGCAGTCTTTCTTGGGAATGGGCATGCCCCCAATGCCCGGTGCGCCTCCGGGACCAGCTCCAGCGGCAAACGCCCCGCAGGCCATGGCCGGTATGCCCGGTATGCCCGATATGAACCCAGATATGATGCAGGGCATGCTACAGGCCATGATGGCTCAGGGAATAGATCCTTCTTCTATGGACCCCATGGCCTTTATGCAGCATGCGCAAGCGATGATGGGAGGGCAGCCCGGTGGCGGTGCTCCACAAGCACAACCTGGGTTTGGCGGCCAGGGACAAGGAGCCGGTTTTGGGCAAGGAGGACAGGGGCAGATGGGATACGGAGGCTACGAACAGCGTGGAAATTATGGAGGCGGAGGGCGCGGCCGCGGGAGGAGATGGTAGTTTCTCGCATCGGGCTTGCAGCTCCTATCATGGGTTTCGTGGTGTCCTTCGGATAGCAATTGGGTACTGTGGCGTTTTAAGCATTATTTATGAGAAATTTATCGAGCTTGGTTTCGAGCCAGTGAGAGCCGGGGTATTTGTATTTGAGCTTTCGGCTCGGGAGAACGGAGCTGTAGCTGTAGCTGTAGAATGGGAGAATCAATCCGGCAACTGTGGTGTAATTGAATATCTACATTGATCGATCAAGAAAAGAGTAGAACTTGAGAAGAACTAGAGGTTCTCAGCGGAATGCTGTACGTATAAGTAGTCCCTGTGTACCGAGTACACAGGGACTAACTACTGAGTGGATGCCGGCTAGTCGGGGTGGTCGGGTTGGTCCTCGGGAGAGCTCGCGCGGCTTGGCATTCTGGAAATTTCTCAAGTCTGGATTCCCCCGGACGCTTTTCTCTTCCCTCTCCCCATCCCACGCACATCACTTCTTGGCCTTAAGACTCCATCCCTCATCACAATGGTACGTCTACAACCCGGGGCAGCTTGTCTGCTTATATCTATAGCGTTATAAATCACCATGCCGAACTCAATCCCCTTGATCTGATCGGACTTTGACGGCCCTCCGCATTCTTCCCTACCTCCAATCCGACCACGCAACACCCGCCTTTACGCATCTCAAATATACTGACATTTCATGCAATAGTCTGTCCTCCGCAACATCAAGGCCCTCGCCCCCCTCCTGGACCGCGTCCTGGTCCAGCGCATCAAGCCCGAGGCCAAGACTGCCTCCGGTATCTTCCTCCCTGAGAGCAGTGTCAAGGAGCAGAACGAGGCCAAGGTTCTCGCCGTCGGCCCTGGTGCTTTCGACAGAGATGGCAAGCGCCTTCCCATGGGTGTCGCTTCCGGTGACAAGGTTCTGATTCCCCAGGTACGTTACGCCCTTCTCGTCTCCGCGTTCTTCCGCGTCGCATTGGCGATGCAGCACATCGCCCTGACGGCGCCAAACTCCTATGATATTATCGAGTCAATGCTAACGTGCCTTTCTCATCAGTTCGGTGGTAGCCCCCTCAAGGTTGGCGAGGATGAGTACACCCTTTTTCCGGGACTCCGAGTAAGTTGCGCCTATCTCAGTATACACATCTTCGGATCTCACTAATTCCTTTGATAGGATCCTGGCCAAGATTAACGAGTAAATGGATTGACAATTATCATTGTTTCTCGTTACATGTCGCCTTCCCCCCAAACCCTGTTGTTGGCCCTTCCCATCTACACGGCTATGAAATCGCCAGCTAGATGGCTGAAAGGCATTCGACGTGTATAATATCGAAGCGAAGTCACGAGCTCGACCATTCTCAACGATCTCAATAACAAGAACAAAAAAACAAGAAAAATTTTCCGAAATCACCAATACACCTGGGGTCGGGGTAACGCGCAGCGCGCCCCGTCCTCGGGTTCCTTTGCATAATGAGTTTTTGAAGCGCTGGATTGGCCCTGGGTCTTGCATGTCTTTGTTGACTGTACTATTAAAACAAATCACAACTCGCATTCTCCCTGTGTTATGTGCCAGGGTAGCAGTTGAGTAATTCAGAAGAATCTCCTCTCAGGCACCACGCTTCATGTTCCATACGTAACTCGATACAGTTCGTCTCCACCCGATAGTATTGCCCACACTACGCAGCTCTGGTACATGAATTCGGCTCTCCATACAGGCTGCCCCAATATGTGATATCGTCCGACTTGCTCAATTCCCACCTGTTGGACCTGTCCTGGTACTTTGACTTTGACTAGGTCCGAGATACTTTCTGCTAGGATGAGTTAGCTGGATGGAGATACCATGACATCCCGTGATAAGAAACGTACCTTCTTAGCCATGTGTTTATCCTCATCCTTCTTCGTAACGAACAACAGATCGTCTTGACTCCCAGTAAGAGGAGCTCTGGGAAGAATATCTTCCCACTCAATCCGCCCATCCACCCTCTCTTCCTTCAAAACAGAAGCCACGAGATCCTTAGCAGTCATTGAGATGTCAAGTTTCTGCTCGTTGAGACCTTTGCAGAATCTCGTGTAGAGCTCTTGATACCGATTCTCGATTTCCTTGAACTGCTGCTCGCGAAGTGAGCCTGGTTCGGGGGTGAGTTTGCAGTTATCACCAACTGGGAGTTCTCGAGGTGGTTCGGTTTCACTTGCGAGGCCGTGTAGACGGGCGTAGCGGAGGAGTTGTGGGATTTGGGTGGTTTCTGAAGATGACATTTTTGTGGTGAGATGGCTGGTTTGGTTTCAAGTTCAAGATGTGGACGGAGGTAGATCTCTAGGGCTGAATCCGTGGGAGATTGCCCAGGCGAATGCGGTGGTTCAAGTGAGAAGCGACATGCTTTGACTTAGAACCGTCTGGCTTGGTCGAGTGTTGAGGTAGGATTGGAAGTGAGAGATCAATCTGCCGCCTTCGAGTTAGATGACAGTGGTGATATCTCCAGGCTACCACCTGCCCTGGTGGAAGTGCCCGGAAACCCTTATACTTCAAGTTGGAAGTCTGGTGTCATCATGGTGACTCGGAGGTAGGACAACTTAACTTGGGATATTACCAGTACTACTAACAGGATCTCTATCTCGGGATAATTTTACGGAAAATTAAAATGAAGTGCTACGTACGTAGGCAATTTGATAGTGAGAGGCTTCCCATGATAGTCAGACTAGAACCTGGTCATATGACCGGCGCCGTCCATCTAACATGAGGAAGAATGATGGGATTAAATTTTCGCTAATGTTGCTGCAAGGAACGCTATGTGGATGTGATGCGATCTACGCTTTGTTCAATCATTGTAGTTAGACTGTCGTGATCCATCTTTGTTGACTGCCGGCAGTCCATACAGAGCGTTGAGCTCATCTTCCTGGGATTTACCGGAAGCCTCTAGGACAGGGCGCTCGGCGTGGCTTGCAACGCGAACTGCGTGTCGTCGATGGGGAGTGAAGCCGTATGATGCAGAGTGGGTCTGAGATTTTATTAGTATTTGATATATATCAATTGAATTTGCTCGCAGGAGAAACATACGGTTGTGCGGTTGTCCCAGAGAGCAACGTCATCTTGGTTCCACTGGAAACGGGCGTGCATTTCTTGTGTTGTGGCGATCACGTCGGTGAGGTATTTCAAGATGGCATCGCTCTCAGCCTTGGGAATGCCAATGATCTTAGTCACGAAACCAGGGTTGAAGAATAGGGCGTTCCATCCGGTGACGGGGTTTGTTCGGATGAGAGGGTGTACTGTGGTGATGGGATCCCGGCGGACTGGTCGACCGAGAGCCTTTGAGTCACTGGCTTGCATGTTCGCGGAGTGGAGGGCTGATAGATTCTTCAAGTAGGTCTGCATGAATGGGGAGAGAACATCATAGGCGGCGTATTGAGATGACCACAGGGTGTCACCACCGCCACCGCTGGGTGGACCCGCGAGGAGTTTCAGTGTAGTGTAAGACGGTGGTTGAATCTCATATGTAACGTCTGAGTGCCACAGGAAGCTAGGACTGAAGAGGGCACGGTTGTCACCGGAGTTATCGCCAGTGTAAACGACATGAACGTCTTCAAGACCTCCTTTCTGAGGAACAGATGTAGTTGCATGCTGGATATTGTTAGTCAATGATCATATAATATGCCATGCTTCAATCCCGACATACCTTGTGGAGCTTGCCAAAGTGTTGTCCAAGACCCCGTTGGGCTTCAATATCAAAGTTCTTCTGAGATCGGAAAAAGACAACCCCTCGGTAGGCAATCAGACGTGCTAAGTCGTCCTTCTGTGCGTCTGTGAGGGTGGCCAGGTCGACACCATGAACTTCGGTTCCAATCTTCGGGTTGTAGTCGAAGACAGCCGTGGCATCCTTCAGAAGGTTGCGGAACTTGGGGTCTCCTTTGAGGCCACGGTCTTCGTATGTGTGTTCCTCGATTGGATCCCAGTGAACGTTGGGGAAAGAAGGCAAGAAGTCCTCATGGGGGTAGTTGTCATGCTTCTCAACAATGGTGCGTCCAGGAGCATAGCCGAACTTGTTATCTCCGGGGATGATGCCTTTCGAGGGCACAATGAATTTGCCCAGGCTTGGGGTTGTTGAAGGTAGAATAGGGTCAACCAAAGAAGGAGCCATAGCGAAGGTTTATGATCGATCCACACTAGATCAGATAGAGCTCGAACCAGGAACTTTTGATATGACGAATGGTAGGAAGAATGGTACAAAAGTTCGGGTTGAGGACCGGGGCTCTTTATAATGATGGACGACCCATAAACTGGAGCGATGGCGTGAGAGCAATTCCATTGTGGATGAGTCAACCCCAGAATGTGTCTTGAAGATCTTGCGTGATCAGGCCGGACTTGACGGGAATCGCGCCATCGACAGGGTGGATTACCTTAAAAACACGGGACAACGGGGAATGGATGAATTATGGATCTTACGGGTTCCTCAGGATTCGCCGATTGCTAAGGAGGATTATTCCTTCCGGCCTTGTGGTTTCCCTCCAAAGAATCCAGTCCGGGTAAGGGAAGGGTTCAGATCACGCAATCTGACTGACGTTGATGGCAACATTTGCCATCGCTGACAACTGGTTGGTGGACACCACTCTACAAGACATTGATCTCACCGCTGCTTTCTTAAATTCAAGATACATTCTTCAAGCTTGCGTATGTGAGACGACGACTTTGTTCAAAGATATTCGGTGGGTTTCTGACGATCGTGGAGGGTGTGGAGGTTGTGGAGGTTGATATTAAGCAGCCGCCGCATAGTTGCCGCGCTAAGGGGCGATCACGCAAGAGTGGCGGGTTCTTGCGGACTTTTGCACCTACCACCGCCACAGCTCTGGGACTCCAGTGTAGAACTGTAAAGAACTATGGGAAATACTCTCCTAATCTGGTCTAGAATATTTGGCTAGTTCGTAAGGTTTGCTTGATCTCCATGGTCTGATAACGGGTGCTTAAATTCCCGAGCATAGGGTAGTAGGGTTATCAATCAGTAAAGCCGTTGAGCCACGATAGGACTGCACATGCTGGTTACTACTAGTACACCGCGGTTCTACGTACGTCACTAAAATTAGGCTCTGAGCACGTAAGCAGCTTGGAGTAACCAGGGAAAGTATCGTTTCGTGTTAAAAAACCGCTCATTGCATTAGTGTACATAATTGATCGGACCACTTGAGTCTCAGAGTCCGAGTCTGCTCTCCCCATTTGCCAATGGCCCGAGAGTAACTTCCTGCACCTGCTCGGACACACTACCCAATCGGTTGGCGACGCCCAGGATTCCAGCTTCAACGTCACCCAGCACAGCAGCCAGGTCATTGACAGTAGACTGGGGGTTCCGAGGACCGGCACCATCGCGAGAGCGAGAGCTGACAAATTCGCTGATCTGGCGGTTCAGGGTGAGCTCGACTCCATGCAAATGGTCTTCAATCTCCTTCAGGTTGCCCTTATAGCGGTCGAGGACACCGCTCATCTCGTCCGAGCGGTGGGAGAAGTAGTCAACCAGGTTGACAGGCACGCCATGGACGGCTGTAGCGGTGGAGGGGTCCGCCTCCACGTCGTCGGGAAGTGCAAGAGTGTTCTTGCGAGTAGACCGTCGGTCTGGGACCTTTTGGTCCTGCATGGACCACCATCCGCTTCCACCCGCGGACTGGTATTGCAAAGGGAGTTTCAGAGTATCGATGGCACGGAATGCAACCTGCGCCTCGGCCGCATCCCGGGTGACGAGGCCGCGTAGTTGGTCAATGTCCCCCGCGTCGTTCTCTAGCGCAAGTTGGATCGTCTCTAGCTTGCTTTGCACGAACTCCACGTCGTTGGGAATTGTCGAAGCTTGTGATTCAATTGTCGGGAGCATATCGGAGACCTCATTGCATAGTTTAATCTGCTCCAGGATGTAGTTGTCAATGTTTTCGATTCCCTTTCGAACCGGTTCGGCACAGCTCTCAAACTTGGTAGTGGGCAGAAGCTCGTCGAGGTTGAGCGTGACACCGGGAGCTACCGTTCCTCCAGCCACACTCTGCTGTAGTGGTTGCGGGGCTCCTTGTGTTGTGCCTGGGTTGCCGAAGAGCGAGAGCGTTGGCTTCTGAGCTGGCTGTTGCTGTTGAGTGTTTTGAGCAGCACCACCTCCTCCACTGTAGGGCATATAATTAGAAGTCTGTAGCCAAGAGGTCAATCGAACTTTGTTACTTACAAGAAACCGCCACCTCCAGTGGTCGATGTGCCGAGACCGAGGGCTGGCTTAGGCTGGGTCTGCGTTGTCGAACCCAGACCGCCACCAAATAGACCACCCCCAGTTGTGCCTGTCTGAGCCGTGCTGGTGTTGGCCGCACCGCCGAACAAACCACCTCCTGTGTTTCCTGCCGGCGCAGCGCTAGTGTTGGATGCACCACCGAACAAGCCACCTCCTGTCGCTCCAGTCTGCGCGGTGCCAGCACCGGCGCCGGCACCAGCTGTGCCGAAAAGACCGCCCGACGCAGGCTGTGCAGTTGTGGTCGCAGGTTTTCCGAATAGACCTCCCCCAGTACCAGCCGTATTATTCTGTTGCTGGCCGCCTAAGCCTGAAAACATGCTGCCTCCGGTGGTTTGCGGTTGCGGTTGCGCTGTGTTTCCACCTCCGAACAGTCCCCCAGCGGGCTTAGCTTGTGTCGAAGAATTCGTATTTCCAAATAGACCGCCTCCAGTGCTCGCCCCGCCAAGTGTAGGTGTAGATGTGTTTTGGGTATTGTTGCCACTGTTGGGGAAAAAAGTCATTTGTTAGCTCTCAAAGGGTTCCATATTGATGAAGCTTGCTCTGCTCCTGCGGCTCATGTTTCAGCACCACCTTGCAGGTGACAAAGTGAGGGATGTTGATCTGCAAAAATTCAATCGCATGTCCCTTGCGATGACCAAATGATGTTTTTGGGCTTGGATGGAGCTCCGACACCTGGGAGAAGCAGAGCATAGGCCACCGGGGCAAGCGGACAGCCAAGGGAATTCACTCACAAAAGAGAATTGGCAGAGTTTGTGTTGATGGAAAGACCACCGGTTGATGGAGCGGAGGTCTTTGGGGCGAACATGGCGATCGGAATGTTCAAATACCACGCCCTTAGAGAAACAACAACCTTCCTGAGCTGCAGGCGCGCGGCCGATAAGATTTGCGGCGTTGCGGAGGGGGTTTTTCCGCCGTCCGAAATAACCAACGTCGGAAGAACTTCACTCACTGAAATAATGCGCCCATCTTTTGTTGCCTAGGAGTATTTCACTAATACTATATAGTTGATCAGAGCTGGGCTTGGAAATTAGTTTTTTTTTTTGCTTGGCCATATGCGGCTTTCCATATGCACACGGGTAGACGTTGACCTGGCTAGTTGGTGGTCCATATAGACCAAGAATTTAGGTCCAGTCTACTACTAGTACATACAATGGCTAGCAATGAACCCCAGTGTGTGGCTTCCACTCCTCCAAGTCAGAATCACTTCAAAAGTGTCGAATGGTAGGTTCATTTCCCGAACTTTTTTCATTTCTAGCGAAACAGGCCCTTCATCACCACTCGCCATATTTTTGGAAGACACAATAGCCCATTTCTTTGATTCCATCGGCCATTGAAGCTCTCGATAGCTCGGTTCACTTCATTTATATCTAGATTAACAATTTACTGATCCATATTCACCCGCATCCAGGTCTCCAGACGGTACGACGCTTCTGACGGATTCGGCTGATCATCACATTCGAACATTCATTCTGTAGGTGTATTGATCAGTACCTTTCGCTTCACAGGAATGGAATTGACTTACCTTCCAGGCCCCCGGACTTGCTCGAATCTTCCTCGCCTCATGAGCTTTCACCCTATTCAACACTTCCATCAACTGAACCAACATATGCCACGGCGATCTATCCGCATTTCAACCTGCAGGATCCATCCACCACCCTGCTGCTGTCTTCTGTTCGCGATCATCCCATTCGGTTGTCGTCTGCTCTCGCTCCATCGCTGGTGGCAAGCTATTCACTGATCAACCCAACCACAGAAGCCTTCATCACCCCCCACTCCATCATCTACCCCAAGACACTTGGCGGAACCCACTTCCTCACAGGCTCAGATTCTCTCATCTGCCTCTTTGATGTCTCGCGAACTGGTAGTAGTGGGCCTGTATCCTGGATGCCTACGATTCCGAGTAAAAGGAAGCAGATGGTCGGCGGGGGCGTCGGTATGAAAGGTATCGTGTCGGCGATGGCCAGTAATCCACTCGGTGATGGGATCCTAGCTGCTGGGACATTTACGCGGCATGTGGGCTTGTATAGCTCGAACGGCGCCGGAGAGAGTCTGGGTACGTTCAACGTCGCAAAGACCGAGGCAAATCGGGATATCGGCGGCAGGGGAGTCACGCAGTTGTTATGGAGCCCGTGTGGAAGGTATCTTTACATCGCGGAGCGCAAGAGTGATGGTGTTCTTGTGTATGATATCCGAGTGACGGGGCAGATGCTGGGATATCTCCGCGGTCGAAAGGCGTTCACAAACCAACGCATGAAGATTGATCTTGTTCCGTCCGGCGAAGATGGCTCCCATGAGATCTGGGCGGGAGGTACCGATGGCTTCATGAGGGTTTGGAAGGATCCCACGTATTCTGTTGGTCGTCAAGACCCCGATGCGGAGTTTCGGATACATGATGGTAAGCCCGGATTGGAAAAATGTCGTATTTTCCGCGATAGGATCGAAGCTAACATATTGCAGATGCTGTGACAAGCGCTGTATTCCACCCGATGGGGACGGTGATGGCCAGCTGCTCTGGTCAGCGCCGTCAACAAACACCTGATGATTCAGATGACGACAACTCACCGAAGAGTGAAAATAGTGAAAACTGGGGGGAAAACATCCTCAAGGTCTGGTCGATGCCATTTTTAGCAGAGAACTCCGAAGAAACCTCAACACCGAGAGAAGACTCGTGATAATATCCACATTGGACAGGGAGTCCTGAAGATGCGATTGGTACCTTGATATCTTGGGAAGATCTCATCACCTGGCAAATTACGCCCACTGGCAGGTGTCCCATATTCTAGGCCGACAGGCACAAACACTCAATACAACAATACAACAATACAATCGGAAGCTGCCATCGCCATTGCAACACCACTGCAACCGCAGGTGCCTTCCACCGCAACTCCAGCCACAGCCCGGACCCGCTTTGGATCTCGATACAATCGGACAAGGCAATTTCGGCCAATAGAACCCCCCCCAATTGGCGCTGTGTGTCAATTACCAGCCTCTTCTCGGGGATGGTCACCTAAGGCACAGTGAATGACCTGATCCACTCTCGCATCTGGTTGGCCACTCCAGAGAAGGGGCCCCGCTTTATAGATCGGGATACCAGAGTCCAGATCAATGGAATAGCTTCACAATCGTGACCTCTGAAATGCCCTCAAGCTTCAACCTCAATAACAATGCTTGACGAGATTTTTCAATAGAGAAGATGGAGCATTTTCAAAGGCTTCATGTCTATTCACTGATCAGCCAAGTCGGCTGTCCAATTGCCTCCCACCAATAGCGATTCGCTCTCGTCTACTCTTCTTGTCAACATCGAGTAAGTACGGAAGTACCGACTACAGCTACCCTTTCTCTCTATCGCTCCTGCTCTTCTGCTGTTTCTTCGTCGTCAACTCTGGTCTCTTTCCCCTTCTACTTCCACTTTCCACCCAATGCCACTTCCATCTTCTTGTCCTCTCCAATTCCACCATATCCCCAACATCGTCTTCTCCGGAAAGTGCCATCACCAACACTCTTTCGTCTCATCCTGAACATCTTGCTGTATTGCAACATTCCCACTCATTCTCGCTGTGCCATATCGTCGCCAAAGTCATGGCCTCGACCAGCTCTCCCACCAACTGCGAAGACGACTCAACCGACGGTCCCGTCTATGCACCCTTTGGTCGCAATATCGAGGAAACAGCGATGGCCAAGTGGCCCCAGATGCTGACATTGAATACTGATCGTGCCGTACTTGAACATATGACCAGTATGATGGGCTATCCGCCCAACGAGCTTGAAGTTGAAATGCACAAGGAGCTGGAGTCAATCATCGGACCTGGCGACATCAATTCCCCAGCTTCAAATTTCTCTGTCAGCGCTGCCAATCCTTCGGCCCAGATTCCGGCAAACATCAACGAGCTCGGCTACGGCTACGGCTACGGCTGCGACGGAAACACCGACTACTTGCCGCAGTTCATTGATCCTTCATTGACTTTCACTCCTGGCTACGGACTGGAAACCGGCGTTTCTGCTGTCACTAACGGCCTTCCCTTTCCTTCGACTCACGCTGGCAGAACGGACGTTGCTTGTATCACCGAAAGTCCGCACCATGAAGCTCATTTTCCGGAGGCGTTCCCCTTTTCTGGCAACTTTGCTTGCATTCCCACGACCTCGCCTCAGCTGAGCCCGATGGTCCCAAGCCACTTCCCTATGATGTCCTGTGGCATTCCTCGACCCATGACTCCAGATGCTACTGTTTCTGATGGAATTATGACCCCGGGAAACCCCAGCAAGTCGACCCCTGCGAAGAGTGGCCAAAATCATGATTCCGGGGCCTATGGAATGGTCACCCCGGCCAAGTCTCGCAATTCAACTCCTGGGAAGCCTCGCAACCCAACTCCTGCAACGCCTTGCAGACAGACCCGTGCGATGACCGGGAAGCGTTCATCACCTGGCACTCCTGGCTCTGTTACTTCCAATGGAATGGACACCTCTTTTGAGTCTGTAGCATCGACTCCTGGTGCCACAAAGGGCCGGAAGTACAAGACTCCGACGCGCCCGAGAGCACCCAGACGCTCCACAGCCATAGATAACTTGCCTGAAATCGCAGCTGTGGAAGTCATGGGCTTCAAATTCAGTGATGTCCAGAAGATGCAAGCACGGGGCCAATTGCCGCATCCGGTTATCTACACCTCTCTTGAGGAGGCCAAGCATGATCAATTCGATCACCTTCTTGAGCACGAATATGATTGCACCATTCCAACCACGGTGATCGAAAAGCAAGTCCTCGTCGGCCACCTTATGAATGCCATGAAGGATCTTGACGTCGCCGACGATGGCCACAAGGCGATGAGTCCATGGGAGAAGGGAGCCTATTCCGACGAACACATCGAGCAGGGTGCCTGGATGGAGCTGGTAAGCAATTACTTTCTTTTCGTGCTGGTATTACTATACATACCTGTTTCTGACATCAATTTCTCCCTCTAGGAAGACATCATTCTCTCCCAACAGAGCTCCGAGACCTTCGTTGGCTCCGGTAGCCCGAAGCGACGTTACAAAACCTTCGGAGATCGGTACATGTCGGTCCTGGCCTATCTCAAGACATCCAAGAACATGGCCAAGCGCGTCGTGAACCCAAGTGGCCCGATGGCCATTGCGGACAACGCGGTCGCGGTTCGAGAAGGCATCAAGCAGAACAAGGGCGTCAATGACAGGAAGGCAGAGCGCCTCGCGATGCAAAAGGCCCTGACGAAGAACAAGTCGCCCGAGGAGATTCAGGAAACGATCGCTTCTCTTGCAAACGAGGGTCCCTCGAAGCGCTCGCCGTCTCACCCACCGGAGGATGGCAGCCCTCCTAAGCGTTCGAAGAAGAAGGCGGGCAAGTCATGATATTGAACTCCACTACTGGAGGATACATGCATGAACGTTGACTGTCAACCCGACGACTGCCCACAACTTCCCACAACCGATGAATATCCACGACTGATGACTGATGACCCATGACTGATGATGCCAAGATGAATGAATGGACATGGAGAGCGAGAGGGAGATGAGGGTGGAGATGAGGATTGATATGGAGATTTAATAGTTGATGAATTTGATGTTAGGATGTGGTTCAAACATTTATGAAAGGCCGTGAATTTGGGAAAAAAAAACATTCTAAAACGAACAAAGCCCCAAAAAATACAAACATCTAATATCCATAACCTCCCCTTCAGTATTTAAGTACTAGTAAGCTTCCATCATAGGAATCAGGGTTACAGAAAATGATGGTAAACCGCGTTTGGATTATAATCGGATCAACGTATTCAGAGAGTATAGAAGATAACTAGCTTCATGGCAGCTGAATACCATATCGTGCATATGGGAAATCCTCCAAAGTAGACAAGATTTGGCCAAATCCATCACCAATATCACCCGGCTTCCCAGCATCCTGAACCCGCCAAGCTTGTAACTCCTCGGCTTCCTTCTCCGCTGCTGTCTTTTCCTCTTCCTTGTGCGCCCCTGTGCGCCCCGCCAGCACCTCTCCTTCACGGCCCTTGTATGCCTCCAGAAGCCCCGGGTGGGGGACCCAGACAACCTGCATACCAGCACGGCGACCAGCCTCGACACCGGGTACAGCATCTTCAAAAACGAGACATTCCTCGGGCCTGATTTCTGCCTCACCCTTGCTGCGAAGGTCCGCGTTGATAGTCTCCAGGGCCAGAAGGTAAATGTCAGGCAACGGCTTGCCTCTACCCTTTCCAATGCGTGGGTCATCGCCTAGAACACGTTGGGGTTCGGAGAACGCTTCGAAGAGCTCTGTCAAATGAGCCGATTTGAGCTCGAAGTTCTTGCTGTGCGATGAGGTTGCCAGAGCGATGTGGATGGGCTCATTGGTGGACTGCGTTGATACAAGATTGGCCAGCAAAGTCGGGACTCCTGGTAGGGGTGAGCACTGCGGGAAGTACTTTTGCTGCAGGGAGGCTTGCTTCACGGCAGTCTCTTCGGGGGTAATTGGGAGCTTTGCCCAGTCGTGGAAGATCTTGCTTGCCTGGACCAATTGTTAATTACTGCTTCTATTCGAACATCCGCTGGACTGTAGAATCAGGGCGGTACCTCCGGTTGGGGGCGTCCCTGTAGCTGAGCCTTGATTGACCAGGGAAGCTTGGGCTTGCCGTACATCTCAAGAACCTCGTTTGTGATCATGGTGTACTTGTCTTCGGAGTCGATGAGCAATCCGTCCATGTCGAACAGACAGGCCCGAATGCGGGGGAGACTGTCATAAGGTGCGCGTCAATTGGAGTGCTGATTGGGGGAACTGAATAAGTGTAACGCACTCTTTGCTTTGTGTCATGCTGTACAACGTAGTTCGGCCTTGAATTGACATGAAAGAAAGCGAGGTTGTTGGGGAACCTCCTCTAGGAAAGTTGCAGGCGGGGATTTGTTGTTGATAAGACGCGGGGTGGCCGGTCCTTATCGGCTTTCCGTGATGTGATAGCCCCGACCGCCCCCAACCTTGCTGCGCTTCGCATTCCGCCCAAAATGACGAGCACCAGTGATTCCGTGCCTACGCGAACGCATCCGACGGAGAAGGTCGCTGCAGACGGAGAAGAAAGCGATGAGGAAGATGTCTTCCATGATGCGCGCTTCCCTGCCAAAGAAGAAGAGGTGAGTTGGCCTGAGAGACCGAGACAGCATCTTCAAAACCCCCATTTCAGAGCTAATCTCGATTCAAACATGCTGCAGAGGTTGCTGAAAGAAGCTCACGAAATTAAAATCGAAGCGAATCAACTTTTCGGCTCGAAATGCTACGACCAGGCCATCTCCTGCTACGACCGTGCCCTGTCCTCGTGCCCCAACTACCTCGACTACGATGTTGCTGTGCTCCGGAGCAACATTGCCGCCTGTTATCTAAAGCTGGAAGATTGGAAGGCGGCAGTGGACTCGGCAACCGCATCAATTGAACGCCTGGACAAGATTATTCCCCCATCCTCGCAAGAAAAAGCCGCGGAAGCATCAAGCGAATCTACCGCGCCCGCCATCAACACGCAATCGCAACCGAACGACGAAGTCGTCGAGATATCGGGCGATGACGAAGAGGCGGTGGAAAGACAACTGAAGCATTTGAAGGAACAGGACGAGCAGCGGACCAACGTCAGCCGAATTCGGGCCAAGGCTCTGATGCGACGAGCAAAAGCAAAATCCCAATTAGCTGGCTGGGCCAACCTACAGGGCGCAATGGAAGATTACCAAGTCCTTGCTGGTATGGACGCGCTCCCCCAGGACGAGAAACGGATTGTCCAGCGGGCACTTCGTGAGCTACCCGAACGACTCAACCATGCGAAGGAGAAGGAGATGGGCGAGATGATGTCGAAGATGAAAGATGTGAGTGTGGGCGACCGCCCTTGTTGCTGTTTACTTGAAGACTTTGGCTAATCATAATATACCTTTAGCTTGGAAACGGTCTTCTCAAGCCGTTTGGTTTGTCGACGGATAACTTCAACTTTGTACAGGATCCCAATACCGGGGGTTATAGCATGAATTTCCAATCCTGAGAGAAGTATGATATGATATGAAATTGCATCGAATGAAGTGGATTTGAAGGGACTACTCGGGGATATCCAAAGATTACATTTCTAGCGCCTCACAACCGTGAACTCATATGGTCAAATTCCGTATTGCATAATCACGATCCTCTTACCAGCCTTTCTTTGTTGTAAACGAAGAGATTTCTTCATCGATACCACTGAAGTGAGTGTAGATGTAAACCTTGGGATATTCCATGCAAATAGTTACCCTGGGAGACGAATGCGGGCGGTCTGCAAAAGTCTAGCAGGGCGATACTGCACGTATCCTGCGACAAAATAGCAGGGGAATAAGCTAGAGCCGGTTGTGTCTCGCTGCCTATCGCTGCAGGAATGCTACGTCCACTATATTTGGCCCAGGACCCTTGCAGAAAGTGCTATCACAGATATATCACAGAATGAGAGCAATCATACTTCCCCACGGTGGCTACCCTATAACCACCATGGTCGTGGATCTGCTCTAGGTTTTGATTTGGAATGCTCCACATCTAAGCTGGTGGTTCAGGCATGCTGTGAGACCCTATCACCAGGTTCGGCTGATCATAAGCCACAATAGGTCTTTCTTGGAGTAAGTAATTCCTGTCCTGAGATTGACCCACTCAAGCTCATCAAAACACAGGTGTTCCCCTGGGGAGAGGTTTGCATTATGGGAGCAAGTCTGCTTTACTTTATGGCCTGAACCTTACTAAAAGACGTTTGAAGTTATACCAATGCGCTACTGGTCCAGTCGACCAATAATATCGACGACAAGCACAAATAACAACCAGCACACAATACATTGCGTTGAAGCGTGTAAAAAAGACTCAAAATGCAGAGTTGCGTACTCTATTAAGTGGAATGGTCTGTGTCATAGGCTTGATGAAAATGTTGCCCTCACAACGAATGATCATTTCTACACCGAGGACGATTGGTTTGCAGTCTATCTCAAATAAAGATGCAAACTGCCTATGTTGATCCTATTTCGGAATAACGTGACCCCGTGAATGAAGCGTGGCTTTCATAGTTGAGGGTAGACTTCGACAAACCCCAATTGGGTAAGGCCCTTGAACCTAATACCCAATGCCAAATAACTCAAATCTTGCAAAAAATTACCAAGACTCAACGATCAGTAGCTCCTTGAGCTTGGCTGTAGGAAGAGTCTGTAGTAAAACTGATCGGCCAAGGCAATATCTTGTTCTGTATCTTTCGCTTCTGTCCTATTGTTGTGGGCAATTAGGTCAACATGTGACTGCTATATCTCATCTTCCAAAATGTTCGCTGCAAACAAATCAAACTGTAGCAAACCTGTGCCTAGAGCTACTCTAAGTCAAACCACCCACCCTTTTCCCATTCTCTGGCCTCAGCAACGTTTTCGCGAGCCTTTGGGTCAGTTATACCGGCCAGGATTATGTTCAGTCTCGCAAAGTCAATCGGTTTCATGACCCAGCCATCAAACCCGGTGTCAATGTAAGCCTTCTCGTCCTTCTCAACAAGAGACGCAGATACTGCAAAAATCGGGACCCTATTGGATTGATTGGATATTTCTGTGATTGAGGACTGTGAGTTGCTGGCTTCAGCCTCACGAATCATTTTTGTAGCTGCCATTCCGTTGACAATGGGCATCTGTGAGACTCGGTTAGCCAAAACCAAGGGGAAAGTTATTTAAATAATTCGCTTGGACATACCTGAATGTCCATCAGAATCACATCGGGGGATTGGCTCCCCGACGAGAATGCATTCACGCAAGCTTCTCCATTGTTGGTCAGTTGGACTGTGTGGCCAGTTTTACTCAATCGCTTGTGCAAAATCTTGCTATTGACCGGATTGTCCTCTGCAACGAGAACATTTAGACTCGAATTGCTGGAAAACGAAGCTGATGCATGTGCTTGGGAAGTTGTGGGACTCTCCTGAGAGTGTTCCTTGATTGGTGGTAGCTGGGGACTTGGTTGAGATATATGTAATTGCTTGGATTCGTCGTATTCAGATCGTAAGGGCAGGCGTAAGGGTATGTCCTGCTTTTGATCTATATCACCCTCGCTACCAGGTAAGGTGTTTTGAGGTAGCGAAGGTTCTTGTTGATTAAATTGACCGTTTTCATGACCAAGATCTGCACTAGTGAGATCGATGTAGGAGTCCTGTAGTGTGGTTTCGTTTTGAGTTTTGTCATTATCAACCACCGAAATGAAATTCCCGTCCAGAAGGGACGGTGACTTTGGCATATCGAGATAATCGGTTTTTGTCGGGTTCTGCGAGGACAACGAGGATGGTTCGCCAGGAATTTGGAATGGGAGAATAATCTTGAGCCGACTGCCCTTGCCCTCTTCAGACTTCACAATGAGCTGCCCATGCATTGTGTGCACAATACGAGCGGTCAATGCCAGACCGATACCCAGGACACGTTGTCTCCCACCATCTGAATTCTTTATGTTACCTAGTCCACCTCCAACCCAATGCTCGTCTGCATAAACCTCTTCAAGCTCCCGAAAGAGCTGCTCGAGTTTAGGTTTTGACATTCCTGCACCTGTGTCGATGACCGACATTTCAAGCGACGTGTGATCGTCTTGAACAGTAGAAAGCGACGCCTCAACATTCACACCACCCCTCGCTGTATGTTCGATGGCATTCGAGATGAGATTAACAAATATTTGGCGCAACCGACGCTGGTCTCCTAACACTGCGTCTGGAAGTCCGGGGCGCATTTTGAACTTGTAGGAAATGCCCTTCCGCTTGGCTTCCGCAGCCAGCATGTCAAAAGCATCATGCAGCGTGGGTTCTAACTCGAACACCTCATTCATGACAAGCTGTTGTCCGCTTTCAGTAGCAAGGTCAAGAAGGTCGTTGACAATGTAGACAAGAGATTTGGAAGCTGAGTAGGAACGGGCCAAGCTCTCGCGTGTTTCCTCGTCTAAAGTGCCTTCCATGGCAATCTCCAGATAGTTGATGACTGCGTTTAATGGGGTACGAACCTCATGAGCTGAATTGGCTAGCAATAGACGCGTAAGCTGAGAGTTCTGCTTCAGAACTTCTTTCTGCCGCCATACTTGGATGAATTTCCCGTATACGGACCCAAGGACACCGGCTGTCGAAATATCAAATTCAGACCAGTGTTTTGACTCGCTCAGGGTTATCTCGCGCCATTCTTTGAAGCTTTGGCGTGGTGTTAAGGGTCCGATGCCACCATCTGTAGGCTTATACGGGTTACCTGCCCATTTGATCGTTGTGAGTTGACCAACGCGGAAGAAAACGATAAACTGAGCCCCGTCAGGAGCCATCGGAATACATAATAAGCCCGATATTCGTTTGAAACCCGGGCGGAAAACAAAGTCCGGGAAATCTTTTCCAATGTCATGTGATGCAAGGACTGATGTGACCTTTCGTAGACGAATATATTGTAAAAGAGCAAGGACTTCTTGTGAATTTGACTCGCTGCCGAAAAGTTTGGCTTCGTTTCCTATAGAAAGAACACCATAATCGGCTTGGAAAAGCCGTAACAAGTCATCCGAGGACCCGACGATATACTTCGATGGATCTGCTTCTTTTGGAACAGAATTCACCATCACACGCGCCTGGAGATCGGAGGCATGGGTGATGCGTTCAATGTTTCGAGCCACAGTGTCACCGACCAGACGGCACAGTTTACGAATCGGAAAAGAGACACGCATGCCATCATCGCCGTATGAATGACAAGATATCAGGCCCCAAAGGTTGTCATAAGCATTGATGCTAATCGACATCGATGAACGCACTTCCATGTTCGCGAGGTATTTGGTGTGAATTGGTGACATCGCTCGAAGATAGGCATGGCTCATATCAAGGGGCGTTTCTAGATCCTCCAAGGACCGGCAGACCAATCGGGCAGTAACATGGTCTCGATTATATAATAATCGGACCTTGTTGGATTTGTAGAGCTCTCGAGCCTGAGCCGGGATGTCTGAAGCAGGGAAATGAAGGCCTTGATATAAGTCCACGGTAACATTAGGGTCCATCAATTCAGCTACCACCCGGCCATTTGCTTGATGATCAAATTGGTAAACCATGACTCGGTGGAATCCAACTAGTTCCCTGACTAGTCCCGCACTGACTTTTAGTAAAGTTTCTTGGTCCGTCACTTGTGCAAGCTGGGCCTGAATCTGAGATAGTGTACCAAAAACTTGCATTGCACCAGCTTCACCTTTCCTCCGCCGTGCATCACGTATAGAGCGCACCGACTGACTTGCACTGATCGTGCTGTTGACGAACTGTTCTTTTGTTGGGGGCGGATTGGTTTGCAAAGCACTCGTGGGAGTTTCCGGGAGTTTTTGATCCTCAACATTTAACGGGTTAAGCTGGTCTTCCTCCAGTTCAAACTCACAAATGATGATATCTTTGTTTTCTTGACTAACATGGATCGCGCACCAAAACCGAGTGAGAACGCCGGATGGTCCTTGAATTGCCAGAAGAAAAACCTCAGGGCCATCGATAACTAAGTCGTATGAATCGTCTCGAACGTAGTCAAGATGTTCCAAGAAGGAGGCCAGCTGATCTTCTTTCAAGACATCAGTGAAACTTTCCATGTCAAATAGCTGTTGCGGCGAAATGCCCATGATTCGTTCCGAGTTTTCGCTCACGGCACGGACAACAAGCTCATTAGGAGACTCCTCTCTCAGAGCAATCATCACCCCGAAGCTTTGGATTGCACCGGGTGTCCGGATTGGCTCATCCTCGCATCTCTTGAGAGTCATGTTGCTATCCCCGAGCATCACAGTGTGCCCATGCTCTGAGAATGCGTATTCAAACCGGGAGGTCACGTATGTTTGATTCTCTTGGGCTGCAGTCTCTAGAGAGCCAAATGCATCTCCAGTATGTTCGAGATCCTCTGTAGCGGGCGTGTTGGAAGAAATTTCATCGTTGACAGAGATACTCTTATGCGAGGCTAGCGGGATTTGAGGGTTCGAATAAGGGTTCATAGCCTCAGGCAGTGCATCTATCGTAGACATTGGCGGGTCCACTGAGTGGCTCGACGATTCCTCCATATCCTCAAGCGTTAACGATGGGGTCGGATTGATTGGGTTCATGGAAACAAGTGATCGAATTGGATAAATGCGGTCGGAGCCGCTGAGACCTGTGCTAGACACACGGCCATCATTTTGGCTCCCAAATCCGTTCCGGTGGCTATTGGAAAGCGTCTGATTCGAATTGTCCAAGCTCGTTTGCGAGTTTTGCGAATTTTCCGGGCCGCATCCGTCGGAGTTTTGCGAGCTCATGTTCGTAAACGAGTTGGAATCTTAAAAGAAAAAAGGTCAAGAACAGATCCGACGGCGTGGCTTTCGCGATAACGCATTCCAGAATGTCCTCTGTATGTCATTGTCGTTCAAGTAAAGATCTGATTTTGCTACCAAGTCAGCCAAATGAGGCTATTGGGAGGTCTGAATTTCGAGTACTTCGGCGTACGAGGGAAGTAAGTTGTGAAAATAATTATTGCAGTGCACCTTTTTCTTTAATGTGCCAAAAAGCTTGCTCCACCGAACGGGCGCGATGACGTAACACGTCTAATCGGAAGATTGCTAGGGTTTTGGACATTTCCACCTCCGGACTTTGGATCGTTGTATTGACAGCGCTTTGGGATGGATAAAATTGTCGCGTATTTTACTGAAATTTCACCACGGTTCGCTGCCTTGCCCACTTGACAAGTGCAGTATACCCTTGCACTGTCGTGGGTCGAGGTTCAGTCTCATTTCGTAGATGGCGGGAAGTAGTTGATGGATATGGCTTGCCGGTGGCTTCGTCTGTTTGTGACCCTAGAAGGTTCTAGAACCCCCCGATCACAATACGGATGCCCTGCTCAAAAACAGGTTGCCATGTTGCAACTGCACGTCGTTTGTCGACCAGAATTCGAGTCCGTCTGTACAACGCCACGGAATAAACCGGAGAAACAAATTAGCGGTGCGAAAACCACTCTTGGGTGAAATCCTCACTACTATTGAAATTTTATTTGGCCTCGTCTTGCCTTGTCTTGCCTTGTCTTGCCTTGTCTTGTCTTGCACCACTCTATGCATCACCGCATTGCCAGCACCCGATGAAGTTGTGGTGTGATAACGAGTCACCTTTAGGACATGGTTGCTGGAGATACTCTTACTAAACTCCGCAAAGCTATCGGGTATGTCTTGTTTCATTCTGCGCTTCCACTGACTAACAGTGATAGACAAGGTCATGAAGCTATACGTCGGTTGAACTACTCCCGAATATCTCTTTGTTTACCACCCAATGTAAAAGACCCTTCACTATACGCCCTCGGGCTAACGTACTATGCCGAGCTATACTATGGCCTAGAGGAGGCGTGGGTTTCCTGCATTGGTGATCCTATTCTTTGACCAACAGTTATGTAAGAGGAAGCATGTGCTGGCCCAGACTATTGGATGGGATAACTAGTATAAGAAATATGATTGGCGGAATCGGTTCCGATATCTCGGGCAAGATCCAGTGGATTGGGAGCTGATTGATATTAGGCTCAAAGGGCAACCTGGCTAATTGACTCTTTCTTGTTGTGATCATAGGCTCAATCCACTTGATTATCGTATAAATGTCTCGAAAGTATCCCAATGCCTACAAGCCAATGTTCTGATATTGTAAGAGATTGAAGAAGGGCCACACAACGGCACACATACCTGGCGACCAGACCTTCAAATAGTGGATCCACAATATGTGAGTGCGGTCACGCATTAACGTGTTTCATGGGTTATCCGGCCACCCGAGAACACCATATTAAAAGCGATAAATTACAATTCAATATCTCAACAACCATACCTTTTTTTGGACTATATTTTATCAGATGTTTCTATTGTAAGATATAGAGTAAGATGTTTTAATTTGAATTAATATTATTGATTTATTTATCAGATTACCATAAAATACACGGTAATTTGTGTTTATTATCAAAATAGAGATATTTCGCGACGTATATATATCCGGACTATTTTTCTTCTACATTTTTGTGATAAGGGTATGATGAAGTTTATAGAACTTCAATATTTAGCTTTGAATGACTATGGTAGTTGAGGTATCGAATTGTAATTTATCACTTTTAATATGGGGTTCCAGGGTGGCCCAGCTCGGGTGGCCGGATAACCCATGAAACACGTTAATGACAACCGCGGGACGGAAATCCCCCCGCGGATCAGTCCTGACAGCCTCCACTCCCACAACTTTCCTCGTCTCTCCACTCTCCCCACTCGTTAGGCAGTTCCGACGCCCAGACTCCAGAGTTTACAAAATGGCGATCCCCCTCGTTCCCCATCTCCCCGGAGAGCTTGATGCTGAATTACCGCTTACGCATATCCCCGTCAATTCCGCTACTGGAGTACCATAAACACAGAATTCTACATTCGTCATGACTACAATCTTGAAAACAGAGGCACTCGGGGACATCCGCGGCAAAAGCGATGGCATTGTATCTCAATTTTTGGGTATTCAATACGCCACCCTTAAGAATCGGCTCGCGGATGCGGAATTGATCGAACAACGACACGGTGATATTTTGGATGCGACTAGAGATGGGTATGCGTACCTCTCACGAACAACAAGATATTCGCTAACAGGGATCATAGACCGACTGCTTTATCGCCTCCGATTGGGTGTCAGCTCGAGCTCAGGCACGTTCAGCAGAGCCTCCCTTCAAAAGATCTCTCCCAATCCGATGTTGATTGTCTCAACCTCAATATTGCGGCCCCTTCAAATGCTACTCCATCGTCGAATCTTCCCGTCCTTTTCTTCATTCATGGAGGTGGGCTCTTCATCGGTGCCAACTCCTGGCCACAGTTCGATCTGGGGCGCTTGGTAAACCTATCCGTCGAAAGAGATGTCCCGGTTGTGATGGTTGCTATCAAGTAAGAGTTTCCTCAAATGATACCTCTTATAGCGATGTGTTGACCGTCTCAAGTTATCGCCTCGGCGCCCCAGGATTCCTGACATCAGAAGAGCTGCGTAATGCCGGATTCAAGGCAAACAACGGGCTGCGAGATCAACGCGTTGCCCTGCAATGGGTACACAGGCATATTCGTGACTTTGGTGGGAATCCGGACAATATAACAGCAGCAGGCATGAGTGCTGGAGGAGGTAATACAAAATCTGGCAACTTTTTTCAGGAAAAGTCATTTTAGACTAATTTTTTCCAGCTTCGGTCACCTACCATCTTCATTCCAAGGACCCCCTCTTCAAACGTGCGATTTCAATGAGCGGAACATCTCTACTCAGCAAGGCAATTACATACGAGGAACATGAGAAGAACTACAATGATGCAATGGTCGCCTTGGGACTGTCTAATTCAAGCCCCGCCGAGCGTGTCAAGGCGATCCTGGAGATGCCTGCCAGCGAGCTTATAAGCAGATTGCCTCCTTCCATCTCACCAACCCCGGCCGTGGACAGTGATATTGTTATTCCTGGTGCGACATATGCTGAGATCGGGAATTCTGAGTCCACCCTTATCCCAGGGAAAGCCTGGTGCTCAGACCTTCTTATAGGAGATGCGGAAGCGGATGTACGTGTTCTTCGATGATTCTTCGACGGAATTTACTAATGAGACACTTTGAAACAGGCCAGTATATTTGAGTTCCTTGCGCCTCAAATGAAGGTCAACTCGGCAAGGAACTTCATATCTGCGGCGAGGAAGGTGTTGGAATCTTATCCCGATGAAGCACGACGCATTTTGGACGAATATTATATTACCGAAGAAACCCCTGATGACGAGGCGATATATTCCGTTCTCAACTTTATCACGGACATTATTTTCCATGCGCCAGCGCTAACCTTTGCCCTTGGCTGGAAGGGGAATGCATACGTGTATCATTTCAATGAAGGCAACCCATGGGATGGGCCGTGGAAGAATCGTGCCAATCATATCCTCGACGTTGCGTATCTCTTTCAGAACTTCCGCGAGTACCTGAGTCCAGAACAAACCAGGGTCTGTACTTCTTTTGCAGAAGACTTTTTCAAGTTTTGTCACGGAGTCCCCGCATGGCCGGCAATTACCCCTGGTGACCTTAGCGTCGGGTTTTCGGCACGAGTCTACGGGCCAAGCCACCAAGGAGAAATTACAAGGGTGACGTCGAAAGCATTTGGTGAAGAAAGCCGACGCCGAAGTGTCTTATTTGACTGTGCCTCGAAGGTTTCTTTGGATCGACTGGCAAATGTGGTAGCTGTATTCAAATCCGGGTGATTGGGGTCTTTCTTGCCTCTCCTGAAAAGATCCAAGGTATTAAATACAAAGCTACTTTGATTATCAATATCATCTTCATACAAATTATATTTTGTTGAGTAGAAGTCTGAACTGATCAGCCAATAGACAGCTACAGACCCGCGTCATGCTAGCCTAGGCTGTTAAGGATGGTCGTTCGCTCCCCCGGGTTACGACAGCTGATGAAGTCACTTATTCAAAACATCTGCAGGAAATTATGGGGTTCTCCGCAAGTCGCTTGAAATTGTCTTGGCTTTAGCTTATTTCATTGGATAAGCTTGGCTTGCTTCTGAAGAGGGCTTCTGCATGCAGGAAACCTTCTCCACCACGGCCCTGCATAATTTCCCCGCGGCATTAACTAGCAGCGGCATGGTGTTGTACCACCAATCAATGTCCAAAAATGAACACCATCTCAGCCCCATTGGAGGATAATCCCCTATGATCATGGAGCATACTTCAAAGTACCACAAATCAGGCGGTGGTTTTATTCTAGATCTTCATCGCAGATAAAAGGCCAAGTCCTCTTGATCAGCAATGAATGAGAACTAGACACGAACCCTACGAGTAGTCGGATCAGCCAGATAACTCGGAATCACAATGCAAATCCAAAAGCTTTTCGGATCTACCATTCTGGCCAGCTTGGCAGCTTGCGCCTTAGCTTCGCCTCCTCCCGCGCCTGCTATCACCGCGGCGCCAAATCTGGCAAAGCGAGCTACCTCCTGCACTTTCTCGGGATCATCCGGTGCAGCGTCAGCCAGTAAATCGCAGAAGTCTTGCTCCACAATCATTCTTTCCAGCGTTGCGGTGCCCTCCGGTACCACTCTGGACCTCAGCGATCTTGAAGATGATACCACGGTACGCGAGAATCGCAATCCAGCTACATTTCGGTATACTAACAATTCATGCTCAGGTCATCTTCCAGGGGAAGACTACATGGGGCTATAAGGAATGGTCAGGCCCCTTGCTACAGATCTCCGGTACTGGAATCACCGTCAAGGGTGACACTGGCGCATACCTAGATGGCCAGGGTGCCCTCTGGTGGGATGGAGAGGGATCTAATGGCGGAAAGACCAAGCCCAAGTTTTTCTACGCTCATGACTTGATTTCATCCACGATCACGGATCTTTACATTCAGAACACCCCCGTGCAGGCTGTCAGCGTTAATGGCTGTGATGGATTGACCATTACGGACATGACTATCAACAATTCTGCTGGCGATTCTGCTGGTGGCCATAACACGGACGGTTTTGATATTGGAAGCAGTAGCAATGTGGTTATTACAGGCGCCAATGTCTACAACCAAGATGACTGTGTTGCAGTCAACTCTGGAACGGTACGCCGGTACAATTTATCGTGCATGGATCTATAGCGCTGACTTTCTCCTCTACCTAGGACATTACCTTCAGCGGTGGTGTCTGTTCTGGTGGTCATGGACTATCCATTGGTAGCGTTGGTGGACGCTCCGACAACACAGTCGACACAGTGACCTTCACAAACTCAGAGGTCAAGGCCTCTACCAACGGTAACTTGAAATTCATCACGCAAGATCTGAAAATATCTTAAACTAATACATGGATATTGTGCAGGAATTCGCATCAAGGCATCCGCGGGAGACACCGGTACAATCACAGGCGTTACTTATTCCGGAATCACTCTAGAAACCATCTCCGGGTATGTTTTAGCATCCATGAATAGCTTCAGCTCTGAATATGCCGGTGGCTAATAAACCCTCAGCTACGGTATTCTTATCGAGCAAAACTACGATGGCGGTGACCTCAAGGGCGATCCGACCAGCGGCATCCCTATCACTGATCTCACAGTCAAAAATATTGTCGGAACTGGTGCTGTGAGCTCCAGCGGCTACAACGTTGCTATCGTGTGTGGCTCTGGTGCTTGTTCTGACTGGACCTGGTCCAGCGTCAAGGTCACAGGCGGCAAGACATATGGCAGCTGCGAGAACGTCCCCAGTGTTGCTAGCTGTTAATCGCGTGGCTGTTGAGTCAAGCAAAGGTCTGAATTATATCTGGCAAACTCCGTGATGAACAAATTACACTATTGTTTGAATTGTATCCCTAAGGATTAAATCTTACTCCAGTTTCGTTCCTTTAACACTCCCGAATAACGCGTCGCGAGCGGATAGTAGAATTGTCAAATGCAGCTATTTTGGTACACCTGTACTACTCGGCACCCAAATGCTTTAAAGCATTTCATATCAGAGTTGTAGAACTGAGGTCTGTGAACATCCTTCTCGAAGGGCATAGATCAAAATTATACCTAGGCTAGAGCCGAGAAGATGAATAATCCAGCCGAGGACAGTGGGTGACCAGACCGAGGATCTTTAGAAAAAGGCCCGCCAACGATTAAATAGCACTCTAGTCCAATATATTTTAGCTTCAAAGTGTGGGGAATCGAGAGCTTCCCCATGTATATGAGGTTCTCATAGGTTCACGTCGTTGGTCAAGGCGGCTATTGCCCAGTCGGCATTCAGCACCGGCAAAGGGTCAGACCGACACTGCAGTGCTATCCGAGAAATAACATCACGATTCCATTTTGTATTTATCTGGTATTCATTTAAAGCCATTCATTTCCCCCTTTGGATACTTCGACTTGTTTCACACAATTAAATATTGCTCCGGTATTTGTACCTCAATATGTCGTCTATTTCGTCCAAGGTCTACCGGTCGCCATACCCAGATATCAAAATTGAGTCTGTTGATCTGATCACATACTTGTTCTCCAACCCTTTCAATACCCCTTTAAGTAAGCCCATATTTGTCGACTCTCTGTCAGGAAGGCAATATACATTTGGAGATGTGATGCAGCGTACACGGTCGCTGGCCAACGGTCTTCAGCAAAATTTCGAGTTGAAGCCCAACGAGATCGTGGCACTTTTCAGTCCAAATACGATTGAGTATCCGATTGCATGCTACTCGATTGTTGGCTCGGGCGCTATTCTCGCGCCTACTAGTGCAGCTTTAACGGCCTTGGAATTGAACGCACAACTGAAGACGAGTGGTGCCCGTCTGATCATCGTGCACTCAACACTTTTGGAAACAGCGAGAAAGGCAGCCAAGGGAACTTTAGTGGAGAAGATAATCCTCTTGGATGGCCCCTCGCCCATCGATGGTCAAGCAACTTGCGAATACCTTGCTCGCACCTTTACCCCTGCGCCTCTGAAGGAGATCTCGCCCAAGGAGGCCTCAACGAAAACAATTTTTATCTGCTTTTCCTCGGGTACTTCAGGTCCATCTAAAGGCGTGATCACTACGCATCAGAATCTCACATCCAACCTGCAGCAATGGCGCGCCCACATAATTAATACAGGTCAGCCTTCTCAGCAACTCAAACGCAACGCCGCCATCGCATTTCTCCCGTTCAGTCACATCTACGGGCTGAATCTGTATATGTGCCAATGCCTTATCTGGGGCACGACGGTAGTCGTTATGCCACGTTTCGACTTGGATACATATCTCGGTTGCGTCCAGAAGTATCGCCCCGACGAGCTTGCATTGGTACCACCAATCGCTTTGATGATCGTGAAAGATCCCCGCGTTGCGAAGTACGACCTGAGCAGCGTCAAACGCATCATGTCAGCCGCTGCACCTCTTACAAATGAATTATCCTCTGCCTTGGAAGCCAAGTTCAAGGAGCTCTGCAACACCCAAGTATTCTGCACTCAAGCCTGGGGGCTGACTGAGACCTCTCCAATAGCAACTGCTATCCCCAATGATCGCATGGATAAGAGGGAGTCGGGAGTCGGTTGCATCACACTTAACATGGAGTTTCGCTTCATGGATCCTGATACAATGACAGATGCAGTCACCAAGTCGGATGGATCGACGGAGCCCGCCGAGATCTGGTGTCGGGGACCTAATGTGACGCAGGGTTACTACAACGACGAGGAGGCCACCAAGGCGGCCTTCCATATCGACCCTGATGGGACCAAGTGGTTCCGTACTGGCGATATTGGAGTCATCGATAAGGAGGGATATGTCGCCATCCAGGATCGCATCAAGGAAATGATTAAATACAAGGGTCTGCAGGTTATCCCTAGTGAGTTGGAGGGGAAATTGATCGATCATCCGGACATTGAAGATGCCGGGGTGGTCGGTATGTGGGTGGATGAGATGGCCACCGAGCTGCCGGTTGGATTTGTGGTGCTGAGTCGTCAAGCTCGTGACCGGAAGGTCAGTGCTGTCCTGGATGGGATTCACTCTTGGCTAAATCCGAAGATCGCCAACCATAAGCGGCTACGTGGTGGGATACATGTGCTGGATCAGATCCCGAAGAGTCCTAGTGGTAAGATTCTGCGGAGACAGCTGAAAGAGCTGTTGAAAAGCAAGAAACCAAAGGCTCAACTGTGATTGAGCGGGGTATCAGATGCTGCATTGTTCCAGGATGACCCTAAAACCTATACGATGAATACTTCTCCTTATTTGCGTACCCTTTTTTACATTCTAACTACATCCCCATCAAGATCTCAATTCCACGTAACCAGCAAAATAACGTCCTGCACGTCAACCGTATCCTGCACGATAGATCTGGATTGAAATAAATACGAGCAAGACGGGTGAGCGAAGGCTCCGAAATTAATAGGGCATGATCCATACTACTGTACAGTCTGTACTATACTGTATTATTTGCATTCTTCGATTATTCCGCGCCGGAACCCGCGGGCGCCGATCGCCGCAGCCGGTCAATTTGTGATGGGGCAACTCGGAAATTCGAATTCCTTTTTCTTTCTTCTCCTTGACTACATCAAAAAATCAGCGTTGAAGATTATTCGCCCCGAATACTTAAGCATGAAAGCCTTTTGCGTTGATACTATTTGAATCGTCTTGCCCTGCAGTATCCCCAGGCGTCTTCCTCGCCTGATGGCACTCCTCCTACATCGCTGATTACAGATCAACATCCGATCAGAGCAGAACATATCATGGGAGCCTGGAATCTCTCGCCCTTTCGTGGCGACCGTGAGCCGACAAGGCCGAAATTCGTGGAAATTAGATCGTCCCGGTGGTTTATTCTGTTCGCAGTTTCTTTTGCGACGGCTACAGTCAGTATTTCCCTGCGCTAGACCCCGCAATATGTCTAGGATCGCCCGACAAGTTGACTAACTGGCCAATAGGATATTTTTATGTACGGTCTAGTATGCAACCCCCGCTAATCTTTGCTTTTTCTTCTTCTTCTCCTCGACCAGATTGTTGATGTGTAACTATCAAAAAGATCGTCCCCGTCACTCCGACTGCCTTAGAGGATAGAGTTGGACTACCGTCAGGTAGTAGTAAGTTGTTTCTGCTCATACCATCTCCCAACGCAAGTAGACTAACACCCTCGAAGTTCAATCATGGACATCCATTCTGCTAGCATTATACTCTGCATCTCTTTTGGCCTGTTCTCGTATGTCTCACGTGTCCATCGATGGGAAACAATTCCTAATTATCTGCAGCGATTGTCGGATACATAGCCGACCGAGCCGAATCCAGACGATGGCCACTGCTTCTAGGCCTTATTGCACTGGGTGCTGCAACTGCTCTGCTATGTGTTGGAACCAATATCGGCCTTTGGATCGCTGGTCGACTTTTCCAAGGCGCGGCGGCCGCTGTGGTCTGGACCGTCGGTGTGGCATTGATGGTTGACACCGTTGGTAAAGAAGGGCTCGGTCAGGCCATTGGATATGTATCCATGTCCCTTAGCATAGGAACATTAGCAGGCCCTCTTTTGGGTGGTGTTCTCTATCAAGATGGCGGCTACTATTCTGTCTTCGGCCTGGCTTTTGGATTGATTGCCATCGATATCATTCTCCGCCTAACATTGATTGAGAAGCGACATGCTCTCAAGTGGCTTGAACCAGAGAAAACACCCGCGGCAAACTCGACAGAGACCGACAAAGAAAATTCTTCGCCAGCTCCCGATTCAATAAATTCCCCCCGCCGTCTCCGTCAACTCGAAGCCACAGCCTCAGAAAGAAGTCGAAATAGTATCCCCAAGTCCTTTAAAGCAGGTCACGACGCTGCTTAAATCTTATCGTCTTGTCGTGGCGTTCTGGGGTTACTTTGTCATGTCCCTCATCATGACCTCATTTGATAGCGTCCTACCTCTTTTTGTAAAAGAGACATTTGGATGGCAACCGACAGGACAAGGGCTGGCCTTCATCCCACTCATGGTACCACACGTCCTGGACCCGATCACCGGGTACTTCATCGATCGATATCCCAAATCATCCCGTTATATCGTCACTAGTGGCTTTCTTGCCGCAGTCCCTATATCTGTTCTATTACGGCTTGTCACGGAAAACACGATGCATGACAAGGTTTTACTCTGTGCTCTGCTCACTTTGCTTGGTGCTTGCCTTGCGGTCGTGATGACTCCCCTAGTCGCAGAAGTATTCCACGCCGTCAAGGAGAAAGAAGATGAGTCTCCCAATATCTTCGGACGTGGTGGTGCAATGGCTCTGGCCTTCGGTTTGTCCAACATGGGCTTTGCAGCGGGCGCTCTCATCGGCCCGTTCTTCGCTGGTTTCATCCGTCAGAATGCTGGCTGGGGAACGATGGGGTGGGCTATGGGATTGATATCAGGGGTGACTGCCTTGCCTTGCCTGCTCTTCATCGGTGGTTGGATCCTGAACAAGCCCGTGTCTGCGAATACTGAAGGTCGGTCAGATCTTGAATAAGCGGCTGTTCCAAGGTCTGTTGGCACAAACATGCACATCTCCAAGATTTTGTATTTCTAATAATCCATTCTCGACTCAAGTATATAAATAATCCATTGCATATTAGAGACAATGTCTAATGTTATTTTCACAATTTCCATGACAACAGAAGGGGAGCATTGCTGCATCCATGATGCTTCGTGTCTGGAGTATTAGTTGGCCAGAAGCCTACTAAGTGCTCTGCAACAAACGTATTCATTTTCTCAAATTCCCATTGTCAAAGAGCAATTTAACACATGATGTTTTCATATCCGCGTTTCCCATCCGCTGGTCCATTCTCAAGTCCACCCCACAAGGTGGGTTCCCCGCAAGAGCCCCACGCCGATCCGTCTGGAAAATCCTGGGCTGGAACTACGATGGAGCTACAGAGTGGGGGATGCTCGGGAGTTGAGGGCGACCAAATTAGCCGTGTTTTGACCTGGTACTTGTCTGCCTTGCTCTCCCACTCTCTGTTCAAGGTTATCGACGACCATACATCTCACCCCACCTGGAGTATCGCAACCCATTTCCGTATACTCAGCACTTAATATGGCAAACCCAGATGTCCAACACGCCGCGTTGAATGCTACTTTCAAAGGCATTTTACGAGAGGAACAGGGCACACCGATTCATCAATTTCTCGGAGTCAAATACGCAAGTGTGCCTGCGAGGTTTGAGAAAGCAGAGCCGGTAGACGGTTTCGAAGGTGCAATTGTTGATGCTACTAAATACGGGTGGGTTCTGCTGTTCTGATAGAAACATTTCCTCCAGATACTGATTCGATATGAAGTCCGAGATGTCCCCAGGTCGATGTAGATGTTCGCCATCTACTTCGAATCCCCGAGGACTTTGCGATTGGCCCAGAGGCGGAGGATGAATTTGAATGTTTGAATCTTGAAATCACCAGTCCACCGGCATCATCGACTGCCGAGCCACTTCCAGTTCTTGTCTGGATTCACGGTATTTAAAAAAGGACTCATTGGTCTACTCATCTCTAATAATAATATAGGAGGCTCTCAGATAGTCACATTCTGTTCGGCTGCTTCCAAAATCTGCGGTAAGTCCAAAACACTCTCTTTTCCTCGTCTTGTAGGACTGACGCCTTGCGAAAAGACCCCATCAAACTCGTGGCGGATTCTGTCAAAGCTGGAAAGCCAATGATATTTGTCTCTATCAACTATCGCTTGAATATATTCAGCTTTGGCGACGGCAACGAGAAGAATCTTGCGCTTAAGGATCAGCGACTTGGAATTGACTGGGTGCGAAAGAACATCGCATCGTTCGGAGGTGATCCAGTGAGTACTGTTTCCACTTCCGCCTGCGCTACAACTCACTCATTCCCATCAAGAACAACATCACCTTGTCCGGTGAAAGTGCCGGGGCTATCTATACTCATGCACACCTAATCACGGGCCCGCCTGTGAAACGGGCTGTGCTAGCATCAGGTACCCTGTATCTCTCCTCGCCACTGCCGGTAGAGCGTGGTAATGGCCTTATTCAAACACTGGAGACAAAAGTGAAAGCACTAGGCCAGTCTTCACTCAGAACATCCTCCGTCCCAGTCCTCATTCAAGCTCTCAAGGAATGCAATGTGAACACTATGTGGATCCAAGAAGAACCCGAATTGTCAGATTGGGAAACGAAGCCGGAACAGGTGGAAGAGCTTATGATTGGAGATACTGAATATGAGGTATGCTGTCATCTCTTCCTTATGGCTTGCATCTGAGATTCTAACCTCTCTCGACAGTCGGTCATCTGGCGCAATGGTGTTGAGGAGCTAGATGGAGAAACCATCGCTGCAGCATTTGAGAGCGACAAGGAATGGGGTGCAAAGTTTCGCAAGATGTACCATGTGGTTAGCGACCGTCCAACCGCCGCAAAATTAGGCGCTCTGGATATTGTCAATGATGCACGCTACACACTCCCCGTGGAGGTCATCTCGAAAAAATTGGAGGCTGCTAATAAGCGTGTGTATAAGTACGTGGTTGATCAAGCAAACCCATATCAGCCTTCCAGTCGCGCCCATCATGCAGTGGATCTACTTTTCTTGTTCGATGGCGTGGATCTGTCTTTTAACACGGCCGCAACTGAAGTCGGCCAGGCGATGCGACAGCGTTGGATCAGCTTTGTTTCTGGGCAGGCACCTTGGTCTGCGAATAGCCGGTTCGCATTTGGACCAGTCGGTGAGTGCAAGGAGATCAATGAGGCTCAGTTCGCTGCCCGACGCCGGGTTGAGCATTGTAAAGCGCTTCAGGAGGCTGGGGCCGGTGTGTACATGCCCATTCTGTTTGCACTCACGGCTGGGCGCATCAATTTACTCAATTAGACAGCATGATAGGTAATCAAATGCATTGAACCTCGGCTATTGAATTTCGAAGACCTCCCGTTCTCCATCTTCTTCGCGGTTGACCATCGGCACTGTCATCTGACTAGGATGTGTGTATGATTTCAGCCGGTTGATTGTTGCAATTCGGGCTCAATTGAACGTTTGTTTCGGTTGTACCTGTCGATCAAGGCCGTCCACACCCATTTTCCAGCTTCTTCGGCAGTTGAGGAGTTGGACGATTCCCGTACTGCACTTCCCGGGTCATACGGGAGCGAGCGATATGACCCACTGTTGTTGTCAAGGACAAAATTCGGGCATTGAAGAAGGATGGTGAATTGGTTCAGGAGATCTCCTTGTCGTCGGTCTTCCCCACGCGCCACCGTTACTCAGACCTGACTCATGTGGGGTCGCGTTCGCCCGCGAATCCAGTGCCCGCGGTCAATAAAGTCCAAAATCACCAGCTCCACTACAGTGATCCACTGCCCGGGGAGGTCGGCAAAGCGAGCTTCTACTGACATGCCGATATTGTCCATTGGGAGCAGCCGCGACTGGGCTGGTGAGGCCATTCGCGGCCTCATCCCTCTTCCAGCTCAGCTGATGGAGCTCCGCCATGACTATTCCCCCCACATTCTGGGCAGATGTAATTTGCCCAGAATGTCCGGAGGAATACGCAATTGGATGTAACTTTGGGTGCTCCCATTTCCTTGTTAAGTTGTGGTGTCTGACCCCACAGACCTCAGCCTCGGGCACCTGATCTTTCTTGGTATATAGACAAGTGTGACCCCGCGGTCCTGGTTTAACAAGTTGTTAAACATTCAGTACACTGCTTGAGCGCTCATTTACCATGGCCTCCACAAGTTCGCTGTCATCCCCAGAGGAATATCAGAAGATCTTCCACTGGGCGGAGACTCAGAAGAATGGGACGATTCCTTCCTTCAACACACGACGCAATGACCCTTACAAAGTACTTGATCATCGTCTCGCAAACTGGAATATATGGCACATCTGAACTAACATCTCATGCAGTATCAATCTGGCTTTGGCAACACGTATGTTTTTGCTCTTTCTACATGTAGCGATTCAACATGCTGATGTAGTTTTCTTTGAATAGCTTCGAGTCTGAAGCAGTTCCTGGTACCATTCCCCACGGTCAGAATAGCCCTCGAAATGTTAGGTTTGGACTTTACGCCGAGCAGTTGACTGCCACTGCGTTCGTCGCGCCGAGGCATGCAAACAAGAAGGCGTGGCTCTATCGTGCACGCCCCGCTGTAGCTCATCAAGGATTTGTATGACTTTGACTAGTTGGAAGGCCAACAGAGTATGCTGAATGCTAGATCGCTGACGATTTGTATAGACTGAAATGCCCGATAACAAAGATACCGAGTCCAACTTCCTGCCCTTAAATCCCCGAATTCACATTTCTCCCACACAACTCGCGTGGCATCCGTTTGATATCCCTGCTACGGGCGAAGTCGACTTTGTCTCGGGTCTCAAGACAATTGCCGGCTCAGGAGAGCCCACTCTCCGCGAGGGTATAGCTACACACGTCTACGTAGCCAACACAGGCATGAAGAAGAAAGCATTCGTCAACTCAGATGGAGAGTTCTTGATTGTTCCTCAACAGGGTGCTCTGGATATCCAGACTGAGTTTGGACCTCTTTACGTGCAGCCGGGAGAGATCGTTGTCATTCAGCGCGGTCTCCGATTCCGCGTAGAGGTGCCAGATGGTCCATCTCGTGGCTATATTCTCGAGGTCTGGGGAACCAGCTTCGAACTTCCTGAACTGGGCCCCCTGGGCGCGAACGGGTTGGCTAATGCAAGGGACTTTTTGAGTCCGACTGCCCATTATGAAATTTCCCAGGAGCCGTGGGAGATCATTTACAAGCTGGGTGGGAAGTTTTTCAAGAGTACTCAGAATCACAACCCCTTCGATGTTGTTGCGTGGCATGGAAACTATGTATGTCCACGGACTCTTGTACATTGTGTCTTTTTTCACTACTGACAATTTTCCTTTCAGGTCCCCTATAAATATGATCTAACCAAGTTTGTCAATGTTGGCTCTATTTCCGTGGATCATATTGATCCTTCGATTTTCTGTGTTCTCACAGCCAAATCGCGCGATTTGACGGCTCCGCTAGCAGACTTCCTTATTTTCTCACCACGGTGGGATGTTGCGTCCCGTAAGAACAGAAATCGCTTTCATACTTTGCCCAAGATCCGTTGATTAATGAATGATGCAGACACGTATCGCCCTCCTTACTATCACCGCAATGTCGCCTCGGAATTGATGGGCCTCATCTATGGCGAGTATGGCGGTCGATCGGATGCCTTTAAGCCTGGCAGTGTTTCTTTCGAATGTGGCAGTATGTTATATTACATCCTCTCTTATCGTGACATCCTTCTGATCCATAAACAGTGGTCCCCCACGGCGTTGCATACGAAGAGTTCAAGGCAGCTAGCGACAATGTGCCTCCCGTCATGCAGATCTCCGAAGCATCGATTGCGTTCATGTTCGAATCCAGTAGGCCTTTTACTATCACAGATTACGCATGGACTAGCGATAAAAGACACGAGCATGAGCCAAAGATGTGGGACAACCTGGTTGATAACTTCTCCAAGCACGCGAAGGAAGTTGAGGAGATCCTAGCGAAGAAGGCTAAGAATCTTTCTATTTCATAAGCGTATCGTGTCACTTGAGACCCTTTACAATATTACTTTTGGCGATTCAAAGCATCACCATCATCATCAGAATTTGAATTCTTTCTTATTAAACGCTCTCTAAATACGGGGGTGGGGGCCCTCGCTGTAAAAGATGATCTGTTAGCGTACGATCTAAATACTGCTCTGGTTCGCATTGTCCTGGAGCGGGTAGTTCGGCAAACTCTCGCTCTCCTGAGAGTTCTGCTACGCCTCGTATGGACAAATATTGCTGTTCAGACTGCCAGATTGATGTCTCTTCAGGCGAGGGCAATTCCACCGGAAGATCATCCAGGTCTGTCGAATTGGAGAACGTTCTCCCGTGTCGACCTGGCGATGGTGAAGGTAATTCCACAGCGAACGGCCGTTCGAGCTCCCGGAAACGAGACATGGGAAGATCAGAGCAGAGATGCCGCTTGAGGAGTTCATGGGTCACCAAGCGTTCTGGGATATTGCCTTGCGCTGCGACAAATGACACCCGGTTATTGACCTCGCTCATTCGGCTGAGCCTGTTTGCATGGCGATGATGGTCGAGAGATCCTTCCACGCCAATCAGGAAAATGGTTGCATAGGCCCAGGGTAGACTGAGAAGCTCGAGTTCAAATTCATCGATGTCGCTTGGCTCGCTACCCAAGACCAACAAAGCCCTTAGTATAGGTGTGTGTGGGCCGGCTCGCCATCCATAATTCGGGTGATATGTCGCTGTTGCATAATGTTTCCGGAAATGCAGCTCTTTGAGCTTCTGCCATCCCGCCATGAGTCGTGGACGCCCTGTGAACCTCAATTCTCTCCAGATCTCATTTACATCCCAACCGTGGACAGTGCCATTGTATTCCGCTGATTGTGAAAATGTGACCAGTGGATAACCTCGTGCACTGCCGTCATGATTCACCATTGTGTTGACAAAGTCGCGTACTATAGACTTGGCAAATTCTGGACAGATATTAGCTTGCGGGTGATGATATTCAAGAGGTGTAAATTACTACCTTTGCCCCTCGGTTGGTTGACCTTTGTGTGTGATGTGATCAGAGACTGGGTGTACTCCGGGCACAGTGGAATAGTGTCCATCGAGCTAGAGGTGTCTATGAGAACCATAGTCTCGTCCCGCGATGATATAGGTGCTCCCCTTGCGTTGATGGGCATTGGAACTTGGCTTGAATAGCGTTGTGATCCGCTCTGGGCCAAATTCACTTCGTCGGGCCGCTCGTATATTTGCCCAGGCTGAACAGCGGTAGTCATCCGTGCCCGAGCCTGATCGAGTTCGGTGGTCAAAGATGGTTTTGTATATGCCTTTTGCCCTTGTCTATGACTGAGGACCCAATAAAGCCGTTCCTCGGCAACGGTTTTATAGCCCCTCCATGTAGGTGTGAACCCTCTCCATCCGGCGGCAGCATCGATGCTGAAGCTGAGTAAACTTGGAACCTGACCTTCCCAGGATGTTATGATCGGTTCGAAATATCCCGCTCGTAGAAGGTGGAGGTATTGCACAGGTCGTTTCCTTCGCAAGTCAGCGACCTCTTGGACGATGCCGATGTTCTCTTGGTAAGCGGTCACAATATATTTGTCATTGTCATCTTGCCATCGTCCTTGCTCTTCTGCAAGAATCTCATCGCGTAGCTCTGATGGCCCGGCGAACTTCTTTTTCATTTTGATCGCGGTGCGCTCATCGGACGACTTCATAGAAAATGCCTTTCTGAACCCTGAACGTTTGGTTGATTTATCGATGTCGCCATCAGTTCCAAGGGATGTTCGACGATGAATGGACATATTGGATACTAGGGACTCCAGCTGCTCGAGGTCCCAGATATTGAATGCTGGCTCCAGCGCTTGGGTGGCTTCTTCAGCGGCTGCATTCAGGGTTGAATCCATAGCTTGAGTTTGCTCGATAAATTCTAGATGGTAAATTGGGTCGGGTTTCGCCATTCCCGTCAAGAAATTCACAAGGCTGAAGGGCGATGTGATCTTAAAGGAATATGGATTGTGGTTCTTGAATCGTAGGCGAGTGCAGTCGTGGTATGGCTTCTCACCGGGGTACATGACAGCTCTTGACCACGTATCCTGGATATCGAGTCGATCTAACTTGCGCTCCCAGTATTTGTGCACTGCGCAGTCGCAGAGCATGGTCGTTTCATGCTCTGGCTCGATTTCGGGATTGTAGATCCGACAGAACCGTTGAGCGGTAAGAAGGAGGCCACTTGTATCTTGCTCATCGAGTGCGCGAGCCTTGGATGCTTCGATGATGGGATTTGTGTGAGGACGACGAGAGACATCGCTGCTTGCTGTAGTAATTGATTGCATGTGGCTTCCTGAGCTTGCCGTGGATGCACGATAGCTTGATGCGCTCGGAGAATACAAGGGTGGGGAAGTGGATGTCATTTCTGACCCCTCCGAGTGTCGCATTGCCAGATATAATGGGCGATATATGTGATGATCACTGATTGACGTTCATCGGCCAGGAACCAGGGAAATCGAAGCACTCTTCCACATGACCGAGACCGTCAGCCCGGGTTAAATTTCGGCCATATCAACATGATGAAGGAGCAGTAAGCGCTGGGAAGACTGAAACAAAACGCCCTGGTCTGCACTGCCCTAGCCAGATGCCCAGGTGGTTCTAAATTCTAATACTTTCTGGCAGTGCACGTGGGGAGATGCAGATCGATCGTTGGGGGGAAAAGGTTAGCGTCGTGCGGCTCGGAGGACCGAGCGAGCTCTAGTCAAAACTCCTATTGGCTACCATTGACCATTGACCATTGTACAGGCCACTGACATCTGCCACTTCTCAACTTTCCCAACCTTCTAATATACAATTGCAGAATGAACAGAGCACTTCGTATACGAGCCAAGAAAATAAATGTCTCCGTCTCGTTAGCACTCCGCCACCACAGGTCTCCCTTACGGCAATCGTAAACGAAAACACTGCTCATGGCGCTTTAGTTCGAAGCATGGGGTGGACTGAGGACATTCCTCTCTATTATCAGCGATCTCCAACTTCCTTATGGCCCTGACATCCTGCTGTCTGTCATAAATGGTATGGTGCAATGGTAGCACGAAATACTTCCATTTTCGTTCATCAGATGAGCTGTTTGAATCAGTGCTTGATACTAAGGTAGTACCCTGGGGTCAGGCTGGATTAATAATCAGGACTCGGTGATAATTATACATACTGTCTTGATTAAAGTCAACATTTTACTTGAGACTATGATCCAAAAAACAATACCATTTAGGATCGTTTGGTGGTTTCTCATGGATCCGTCGTTCCAGCATAACGGGGCAGGATCAATGTTGAAGCGGAAAATCATCGACAAAAGATTGGGATAGAGGTTCGGTGACCGGTCGCACTGCTGGCAATGGGTGATGAAAGATGCTCGGAACAATGCGACTGTTTGGATGGCAGCTGTGAACAGTGTTTGTATGTCGTATAGCTGGCTGGGGAAGGCATAACTCCCACTTCCTGCATCTCCATCCCAAATGAAAAAATCATAATGATTAATGTGGCATTGGGATTTATCAATACTCCCACTATCATATTAATTATATCCTATATGGTTATCATTATTATCATTATCATTCAGGGGCTAGCTAATTAAGGCTACGGAGTACTCTCTCTGATATGTCGGGCCTTCGGCCTTCGGCCTTCCGGGTTGAGCCATCGGGGTTTGTGGCCCCCGACGCCGACCTTTGAAACTCGCGCCAACAAGTCGACTCCTCTCATCGCGACGCTTGTCTACTGCTTGGACCCCCTGGCAGGACCTGACAGGGCCAACCAAACGATGTCTCGGCCTTTCAGATCGGGATCTCCAGAGCGCGTCCTCCGGCGACTTTACTAACATTCGGCCCCGCCAAAATGAACTTGAACCTGCTAATGGGAGTTATATAGGGTTGACCAGAGACCTGCAGATCCTACAGACTAACGACAAAGGAATTAAACTCAAGGCACTACTGATCACCCGTCCAAGTTGCTCAATAACTTCGCTCGAAACTATCGCTCTCCATTCAAAACAAAATAATGGGAGGCCCCTACCCCCCCTCGTGTCGCCTTACTCGGTGGCCGACCAACAGTCGACGTCGACGTCCCTGTCTGCGCAGTCTTCCTCGCTCTCTTCCTCGGCTTTGGCATCTCGCACATGGTCATCTTCCGCCGCAATCTAGCCAGGGGCCACAAGTTCATCCCATCCGGCGTAACATTCGGATTCTGCATGTCGCGAGTCGTCGCAAATATCATGCGTATAGCCTGGGCCTGTCGACCAAATGATGTTCAAATCGCAATTGCCGCCCAGATCTTCGTCGCCGCAGGAATCCTGCTCCTCTTCATCCTGAACCTCCTCTACTCCCAGCGAATGCTCCGTGCAGCTTTCCCAGGTATCGGCTGGTCGCGAGCCGTCTCCTACGCTTTCAAGGCGTTGTACGTCTTGGTCGTCTTGTCTATCATCATGGTTATTACTTGTGTGGTTCAGAGCCAGTATACTCTCAACGCAAACACCCTCCGCATCGACCGCGACATCCAGCTCTACGGCGTAACCTATTTCGCCATTGTCTCCTTCCTTCCAATTCCCATCACACTTCTTGTTCTGTTATTTTCCCATGGTCAGGACATTGAACACTCTGGCTCGGGTAAATGGTCAACAAAAGCCGCCATTGTCCTCTCCGCTGCCGTCCTTTTGTGTTTGGGCGCCTCGTTCCGCGCTGGAACTTCCTGGATGCCTCCTCGCCCAGTGACCAATCCACCCTGGTACGACCACAAGGCCTGTTTCTACATCTTCGACTTTGCAATCGATATATCGGTGGTTGCCTTGTTCTTAATTGCCCGCGTTGATCGGCGGTTCTGGGTGCCGAATGGTAGCTCGGCTGTCCGCCACTACCGCGGAACAGGAGACGAGCCTAAGGGATCACCTTTTGGTCAGGGTGCTGGTGACCACGACCTCGAGGATAGTGATGGTGCCTCGCCTGGGTTCCGGGCTTCTGTCAAAAATGAAAATGAAGCGTGAAGGCCACGAATATATGATTTGAATAGAAGCGCGAGACTGCACTGGGTGCATTGGAATCTTGTCTGGCGTTGCGGGCATTTACATTTTGGCGTTGTACTACTAGCATGTACTATGTATAGATATTTCATGATGTTAATATTAGAATTAGACATTTGTAGGAAGTTCGTGCCAGTGCTCTGTACATGGAGTGGAATGTTGAAAAAGTTAATTGCTAAAAGTTAATTGGTGGTAATGATCTCAGTAGTACGTATGTCACACCTAAAGAGGACACGAGTACTAGACCAATAGCTAGATTGAGCATCAAGTCTGCGGAGCTTTGTAGGTCCGTAGGAATTGTCGGCGGCGCATTGGCATGACATCTACTTATCAGTCACTTCGTCACTTTTGACGATTCGGTAAGCTACTATTTTGCACCGCCCAAAGACCTCAGACTCGGAGCATAGGCACTGGACTTCTAAGTTCTACCTCATCTATAGAAACCAAGTCTTCTTGTTCCATGAAATGCGACTATCAAATTGCTCGTCTAATTAACAATATTCTTGCTGTGAGCGTTCATGGCCAAATCACAGCTAGCCCTGCTCAGCTGCGTTGACCTCTCTGCTGATATAGTGTTTCCGAGGCCCTCCACTCCCTCCTACAAAGTCGTGGTGCAAGAAAAAAAATGATAATCTCGCAAAAGGGTCTTTTATTTTCATGATTGGTATCAACAGACGGCAAGGCATCGAACCATACAGAATTAAGTAGGCGAGAGCCCCGTTCGTATGCAGCCCCCTTCTTCCGCCAGCCCCGTAACCTTCTGAAGGACAAAAATGAAATCTATCACAGGAAGTAGTCGGGTGTGCGCCTCGATACCATCGGTTCGCCCGCTCGGGGGCAGGGGTCAAATTGTAGACTATGAGTGGTGATGATTGTATTAGCAAGGTCCGGGCGGGTCCAGGTCCAGATCCAGATCCAGATCCAACGACCTGTAAATGTGGACAGGAGGGTGAATGCAGGGCAAAACTCACAATGTGTACTTCAAATGCTCATCGATCTCCATAATAGCAGCCTGGTTACCGCAACGGTAACAGTAATTGGGTGCTAGAGGGTCAAGTCAGATTTTGCCATTCTCAACAAAAACAGAATCCACTGAGAGGCAATCATACCTGAGAAAATGGTGACCACGTTTCGATCCTGCGACCAGTTATATCCCTCCATCACCAGTTGGTGTGCTCGTGCAACCAGAGTCAAGCCGTTGTTGTGGTTGAACGCTTCCGAAATGTCCTGTCCAAATGTGTACCCCGCACCGCGAGGAGAGATTCCCCAACCGCAGCGATCATCCGGATCACTCCAGAGCAGATCGCACATAGGTCCCTCGTGGGGAACTTCTTGAATACGGTCCAGGGATCGGATGTTGTCGAGGGTATCAATGGACGGGCTCAGCCCACCGTGCAGACAGAAGATCTGGTTTTCAATGAGAGCAGTGAGGGGAAGGTAGTCGAAGAGGTCGGTGAAATATTTCCACACGTTGGCATTGCCGTATTTCCGGAGGCACTCGTCGTAGAAGCCGTAGACCTGGGTAATCTGGCGGGATTCGTGGTTTCCACGAAGGATGGTAATACGCTGGGGGTAACGGATTTTCAGAGAGACCAGTAGGGTTACTGTCTCGACTGAATAGTATCCTCGGTCGACATAATCACCTGTGAGGCGAGAAAATCGGTAGTTAGAGATTTGTCGACCCAAAACACCTCTTGCACCCCCACCTCCGACCGAGGGATGGATCAGCACTCACCCATGAAAAGGTAGTTTGTGTCAGGGTTGGGGCCGCCGATGCGGAAGAGTTCCATTAGATCGTGGAACTGGCCGTGTATATCGCCGCAAACTGTCACCGGGCATTTCTGTTGGAAGAAAGGGTTAGTTGTTGAGGACCAACCCGACCCGACCGAGCGGCGGGGGGACGGCCATGGCGGCGACGGCGACGATAACAAAACATACCACTGGCTGGACGTTGGATTCTTCTTGCAATACTTCTCTGGCCTGTGTAAAAGGTGTAAATTAACAATTCAGAATTGTCGAGATCATGCAGCGAGGCAACGCACCCGATCACACAGCCGCCGCACATCCTCCTCCGCTAATTGCTTGCACGTCATCAAGCTCTCGATCCAGCCATCCAGAGTCGGTATGGAGCCCGGATCGCTCGTCGGGGAGAGGTGGTGTGGCTCAGGCGATCTCGCGGTATCGATCTCCATGTTGTTGTCCATGGTGGCAACAGCTGGCGGAAATAGGAGGGAGGGGCCAGCTGGGGAGGGAGGGGCGGTCTCGTGAGAAAAGAACACGGATTTTTCGCGCAGCGAGGAGGGGCGGAAGGGGTAATGAAGATGGGATCAAAGTCAACTCGAAGCAATTCGACAAATGTAAGAATCCCAAGAGCGACTCAAGGGATGAGGGGGCTGAAGGGGAGAACACGAGAAGAAAGGGAGAAAGCGCGGGAGGTTCTCAGGTTCAGTTCACTTCAGGTTTGGAGGTGAGTTCGATGGGGCGCCACAGTCAGCCACGGGAAGCTCAGCACAGCCACAGTACATAGTACTATACTAGTACTATAGTTATAACCATTGCTTTAGCAAAGTATGTAGATATGATATTTACACCGTAGTCTTCCTCAACTGGGTAGTCTAAGGAATTTAAATATTACTTATCGCCCGGTACTAGTATTTACACTGCGGCTTCTGTATACTTCTTTCTACTATTTAGTATCTTGAACCATACCGGTACTAGTAGGAGTGAACCTTCTTCTTAACAGAATTATACAAGCTAATCTGAGGTATAAACCTTCCAACCACTGGCAGGTTGCTAAAAATTCCCTCTTCAAGTTTGTGACACGTCCTTATTACTTTCACCATGTTGTATATTCCTACACGACAACTACTCGTAGTATAGTACTATCACTTCTAATTGAACAGACCAATATGATCTTTAGCTTGAACCACTAATTTATTAACTAATTACCTGGCTATCTCTTGACAAATGCTACTATCAACACCCTGACCTACTTGTATACGTCTATAACCTCCATCAGGCTGATCCTGGAACATGACGTCAACACAGCAAGAATAATAAGATTTGTCAGCAGGAGGAGGGGCATTTCAGTTCATCTTTCACCGCAAAACAAACAATTTATAAACACCATTTGACTTGATTCGAAAATATCTTATATCTTCGCCGTAAATCATTATATCATTGCTATCAGCCAAAATGTCTGCCACAGCAAAGAACGTGATCGCCACGGGCACTTCTTCGGGCCTGGTATATCGCAATCCCGCTTCCAAATCACAACATGGGAGCTTGGCTGACAATCAAAATAGGGATTCGAAGTAATTAAACAGTTACTCGAGAAATCCGAACCTTACAACTTTATCATCGGTGCTCGAGACATTGAGAGAACTCAAGCCGCATTCAATGAGGTCAAATTTGATACCTCCAAGCACACCATCTCCCTGGTGCCTCTTGATCTTACCGATCTGCGCAGTGTTCAGCTATTCGCACAGAATGCTCTCACCAAGTTAGGTCCTAACAAGCTGGATCTACTGTTCCTCTGTGCAGGCATGGTTGCTAGTGCCGAAGGACCAGGCCCTCATGGTTCGCAGTGGTGCACCGCCTATGTCGTGAACCACCTGTGTAAGTTAAACCAGCGCAACAAAAGGGTCAGAGAAGTATAACTGACTTTCCATTCTCTACGAAAAGCCCAGCATTATCTGCTCCATCAGCTTCGTGAGACCCTCGCTGCTTGCAAGTCGCGCATCGTCGTGGTATCATCGGGAGCGATCCGCAACGTCCGGAACCAAGACCCAAGTGAGTATTTTCTGCACTTGCAAAAACCATTGACTTGGAGTAATAATACTTATTCAAATTTTCTCAGACACCCTGGATGTTGATCTTAAGGCAAACTCTGGGGCAGACCAGAGGGTTGTATACAGTGCCTCCAAGTTCGTTCAACTGTTGGGTGCGCACTATTGGCGTCGTGCACTACCCGAGTGCAGAGTTGTGGCTGTCTCCCCTGGTCTGATCCCCGACACAAAGCTTGCTGGAAAGGAATTGGGATTGACTATGAGCATGCCCGATGCCAAAACCGTCCCCGAAGGTAAGAATGCCCAGCTCGACAATCAATGTAATGGAATCTGCTGACATTCGTTCTCGTATTATAGGCGCTCAGAACCTTCTCCGTGCCTGGACTGTCAATGACTTCCCTGAAGACCCTGAACAAATCATGCTGACTAGCTGGGGCGAGTGGTGGTCCAAGGATGTTATTCAAATGAGCTTGGACACCGCTCTTCAGAACAAATGGTGCTTGAGCAGAGATGAGATCGAGAAGGTCGAGGGACTTTCCGCATAAGTCATAAAAGATGGGGATCTTGTACCAGTCATCCCATCGAAAAGCTCAAAGGCCCTGAAATAAATGACACACATTTTCGGCTTATATTAGACCAACTTAAATCCATCAACCCGATACCTTTTCCAAGCAGCAGCATAGTTGTTGCTACTTTAAATCCGGAAAAGATAAGGCATTTCAAATTCCCCGGACAATTATGTCCTATCGCCTTCGATACTTTGTAATTATTTCGAATAATAGTGCTTATGCCCAGATTCCCCGCAGTCTATGATTTGAGGGTTGTGTTCACCTGCATGTCAGCCGGCGTTAATCTCGACCCCGAGCTCAGTCATCATCGGCCGAGCAGCAAGTTATCGGGCTCGGCCTGCGAATGAAGAATTTTGTCAGCTTTGATGCGAATCTCCGACGCTGACAATATCTAGTAGACAAAAAGATTATTTAAATCCCTAGGTTGCACGGCATGACCAGAGTATACTTCCTCAATCAGTTTCCAAGGCAATCACTTCCTTGCCATTGAATCACTTCCCCAATAACAACAGCACTTCTACACATACACAATGTCCAGCATATTGATCACAGGCGCCACTGGTAAACAGGGAAGCTCCCTAATACAGAACCTTGTTCTGAAGAATGCTCCTTATCAGATCCTTGCTGTGACTCGCAACACTCAGTCTCCATCTGCACAGAAATTGATCCAGAAGTATCCCGATATTACTATCGTTCAGGGAGACCTGGATCATCCCGCTGAGCTCTTCAAGAAGGCACAGAGTCTGAGCCCTAAGCCGATAACGAGTGTATTCAGTGTTCAGGTAAATAATCCCCGACGGATCTTTCTGCGAATAATAATGCTAATCATAAGGATACTTGCAGCTCGCAATCGGAAATACTTCATCTGAAGAATCCCAGGGCAAGAATCTCGTTGACGAGGCTCTCAAGCATGGCGTGAAACACTTTGTATACAGCTCTGCCGATCGCGGTGGCTCTAAATCAATCAATAACCCGACCGACGTCCCGCATTTCATCAGCAAGCACAACATCGAGAAACACCTGATTGAAAAGACCCAAAATGAAGGCATGGCCTGGACGATTTTACGACCGGTTGCATTTTATGAAAACCTTGAGCCGAATTTCTTGGGAAAGGTCTTTGCAACGTCTTTCAGGATGTCGTTGAAGGGCTCTCCCCTGCAAATGATCGGAGTTAATGATATTGGCGCTGTGGCTGCGGAGGTCTTCTTGAATCCTGAGAAATACAAGGGTCAGGAGATATCGCTTGCTGGGGATGAACTTACATACACCCAATTCGAGAAGATATTCAAGGAAAAGACTGGGAAGTCCTCTGTTCCCACTACGTTCCAGTTCCTGGTCTCGGGGTTCATGTATATGGTGAAGGACTTCGGGTATATGTTCAGATGGTTCCATGATGAAGGGTTCGGGGCTAATGTAGAGGAAGTCCGCAAGATTCATCCCGGCTTGAAGGACTTTGGGACTTGGTTGGAGACCGAGAGTGCTTTCGCCAAGTAAATCATTTCCCAGGGTCGGAAAAGCATGGGGGGGAGGAACTTCAAGTTGGAAGGTCTCATTAATAATATTTACTTAATTCTACACATTGTTTCATTAATACACGAAATACAGTTATCATTCATATCAATCATCATCATGGATCATTTCATTTCACGTCATGCCGGTAGTCCAAGAAAGCTTAAATGATGTCGCCTCCTCCAAACCCTCCTCCAAATCCCCCGAAGCCTCCCCCGAAGCCTCCACCAGGTCCACCTCGACCAAGCGGCCCTCGTGGCCCTTGGTTGGCCCATGGGAGGATCGCCAGGGCCAACGGGGTCATATCTCGCACCCGGCGGAGCACGAGGATCATACACTCCACTGCCACCACCGGGGCCACCAAAGAGAGGGTCATCAAAGGTGGGATGCATACCACCCCCACCCCCAAAGCCAGGGCCCATGGACCCCCCGGAGAGGATCGTGGGGAGCCATTCCAGCGGGGTATAGATCTCTGTCTCCGATATTGTAGGGACTTCTTCCTCCGCCTAGACCTTGAGGGTATCCACGAGGGGGCCGGTGGATCTCAAATTCATCCTCGAATCCGGGTGGGGCAAAGTCCGGTGGGTTTGGCATGCGCGGTCCTGCAGCTAGGGGATCATTGAATGGGTATGGACGTGCGGGTTGTGGGAAGTCTTCGCGGAGGGGATCATGTCGTGGTTCTGCCTCTGGCCGAATGTGGCGGTTGGTATCCTCGTATCCTTCCTTGTATAGTCCCGGCGCCAATTTTTGAATCACATTGATTTTGAATAATCCGATCAGATCATTTAGTCGCGCAGAGGAGATGAATACATCCTGCAGGGCACCGGCGATGTTCTCTGTGGCGGGCAATGGAACTGCAGATCCGGAGATATAGTCTTTCACTGGGAGGTCGAAGGAACTGGTGCGATCATCGCCTAAAGCCAGCGCATTTATAACGACGTTGCCACCCAGTCTGCTCACTTTGAGCAGGTATTGCATGGATGATTGCTCGTGCGCGTATCGGAAGGCAAATGTATCGTTAGTGTTCCATTCTGCGGGGAGGGCGGGGCTGTCTGTAGATGATGCTGATGCTGTTAGCGATGAAGCTCTCAATTTCGAGAAAGCAGAAGGTATTCACCTAGATTGTGGTCTTCTCCGAGTCCCACCAACCTGAAGCCCACTGCCACCATACAGGTATGTCCGATCAGCGCGACGGCTTCATAGGGTGTTTTGAGACTCGGCTGCCCCTCGCCAAGAGCTTTGGTCGCTAGGTCGAGGACGCGTTCAGGGTCCAGTGTTTCTGTTCTTGTCATATTGACTGCGTGGTTTCTTAGTTTTCTGGATGTGCACGAATGTAAGGTGCAGGAGAGAAGAAGTAATTACAGACGACGTTGAGGCGCTGATGGTGATGCAATAAATTGGCTGACGTAATGCAGTTGATGCCCAAGGCAGATTGAGGCTCTGCTCAGTAGTTATGTATTAGCATAGATTGTTTGAACCCACTCGGACTTGTATTGATCATGCCACTTTCTTGGTCAGTACAGGATTTACTAGTCGTCTCAGATATTCTTTTCTGCCAACATGAATTTCATCTTGTTACAATACCCCAATGCGGGCACACTTAACTGCCCTCCCCATCGATGCATGAATCATAGTAGATTGCATTAATTGAATGGTATACACTGCTAACAAATTTATATGGATCGATCTCTACAACATCGCCTTGGGGAATTTCTTCATCGCCTGTCGTACTCCCAAATCGGCTAAAATCTCCTCAGTACCACCAAGAATAGCGTCAAACTTATACGTGCGGTGGAACATCTCAATAACCTTACCCATACCAGTCTGGGTTAAGCCACGTCCACCAAAGATGTTTATAGAGTGATCGGCAATCTCCTGTGCGGATCGAGTAGCGTGGGACTTGAGCAGACCGATCGGTCCACCCAGGTGCGCCGACTGCTCTGCGTAAGACATGTTGCACATCTGGTAGGCGACAGACTCGAGCCAGGCCTGGCAGGACTCGGTAAGTGAGATCATGCGGGCGAGCTTTTGGCGGATGGCGGGTTGTTCAGAGAGCTTCTTTCCGAAGACAATGCGTTGGTTGCACCATTTCAGACACTCCTCGACGATAGTCATGGACATGCGGACCACGGCGGCTACCATCATGAATCGCTCGTGGTTGAAGTTGCTCATAATCACGATGAATCCCTTGTGCTCTTCGCCCAGCAGGTTACCGACGGGGACCTTGACATTCTCGTATGTCACGTAGGCTGTCGCGGCGGCGGTCGAATAAGAGGTCTTGATTTGCTTTGTTTCAATGCCCTCGCCGCGGGGGATCAAAAGGACCGAGAATCCCTTCTCGGTCTTACAGCCTGTCACGAAGTAATCGGCGAACATGCCATTTGTGATCCATTTTCTTGGTTTCGATCTGTTAGTTAAAGGGACAGATAAATTCAGTAGGAAAATAGCACTCACTTGGTACCGTTGACAATATAGTGTTTGCCATCCGGCGTCTTCACGGCCGTGGTCTTGAGACCAGCAACATCGCTACCAGCGAAAGCCTCGGTGATGGCAAGACACATCTTCTTTTGTCCAGACAAGACTTCGGCCGTAACTTGTTCCTTCAACGCAGGATTGCGGAGCCATTCCTTCACGGCAGACAAACTGATCGCCATGCCTGCCATATTGCCATCTTGGAAGCCACGTGCATTGGCACGAACCAACTCCTGAGTGACGATCATGTCGTGGAGGTAGTCAAACTCCTTACCATCGACGGCACCATTCAGCAAGTTCAGTCCGTGGAGGTGCTTGCCCGGGCCCAGCCGCATAGCCAGCACGCCGTTGCCGGCCATCTTGTTAATCAGCTCTTGGCTGATGTAGGTACCGTCCCTCTCCTTCTCTTGTGCTTCAGGAGTGACATGTAAATCGGTAAATTCGCGAATCGCCTTCTGCAGACGGCGATGGCTTTCCTTGAAATAAGGACTCTTGAAATGGGGACGCAACCACAACGGCTCGGCATAGGGGACGAGGCTCAGGTCACCGGCCTTGGGTTCGATAACCTCCGATTTCTCGCCCTCCAGGGTACCAATGCAGAGCTGATCGCGGTACTTTTCTAGAACCTCTTGTCGGTGCAAGTTGTAAAAATCGACGGTGGCATCCTGGCCGCCAACCTGTGCGAGTACGACGCTGCCGCCCGGGTGGGCGTCGACAAAATCGGTGAGATCATAGACGCGGTGGTCGATGATGCACCAGAGGGAGTCCTCGGTGTTGTGCTTTGCGACCTCAGCGCGGGTGAGGACTTCAGGCATCGTGAAGGGTGTTCTCTGGGGGGGTGGAGAGGAATAGTGAAGGACTCAAGTGGGACGGAAACAGACGGGAATGAGGAATGGGGGGGGGGGTTAGTAAATAGCATGAGTTCCCCGGATTTCATGGACCAATGACAGTCCACACGATGTTCAGCCGAGGTGTAAAACTTGCGCGTGAACCGAGGTGTTGCATAATCAGCAGGCCAGCTGCAGTAGTAAGTACAGTATGATCATAATACCCCTTTCCTTTTCCTTTCAGTGATAAGCTACTTAGCTACACCATAATTACCCTGCTGCAAATAATTTGAGAGACCACAGACTCCAGAGATGTGTACGACTACTCGTACTCCTTACTCAGAGTTGCCCAAGCTCAACGGCCGAGGTCCCTAATTCACGTTGCAATGCCACCCCAGAATCAGTCTAAGAAAGATGGGCCCATATTTCAGGGATTTGGCCTCTGCACGAATAGAATGCCGCAGAATTGTCATCGTCACCTTGCAGCCACCAACGCGACCCACCGCGCGATCGACATGCCCAGCTCTATCGTCGACCGAGGTTGTCATTCTAAATTTAGGAATAAACATGCTATTCAAGTACGGAGGACGAAGTACGTAATTCCCAGGGTTGCTTTCTACATGATCCTGAGGTAATACTGTGATAGCCTGTAATGGCACGCGTGAGCGATACCCTGTCAGACCAGATATCTACAATGCCTTCTTACCAATTGTTTCCCTCTTTCTTCAACTCTGCGAAACGCGCCATCAACCTTGAATGAAATGGGATATAGATCCTTTATATGTTATATGCATATGTACAATGACTCAATCCCAGCACTGGCAGGCCAGGCCATTACTGCCGAGACACAGCGTCCAGCGCCTATTGACAAGGGCTCAAAATTCCCCAGGTCTTCTTTAGTTATCGCGTTTCTTTTGCCCCTGTTTCAGCTGTTCCTCTATCAGCCACATACAAACAGGCTGTGCGTCACTTCCAATGCGCCAGCTACCCAGTACAACACCTTGATCCTCGAGTATCTCGCTCGCTCGCTCCCAGCGACGTCGCCACAGTTCTTCGCGTTTGTTGGGCAGTGGCGCAGGTGGCATTCCTGAGTCGGTGGTAGTGTTGGTGTTTGTCCTTCCCAGTGACTGGTTCGATGCCGTCGATCGTAATCCAGGGTTTGGCGCTGCGGATGACAGGTTGAGGCGTTCGGTGGCATACTGTAGAGTGGCCTGCGCTGCCGCCATGGGGTACGATGGCTTTGCAGCTGTTGTAGGCCGCGATGAGCCCGTGTTCGTAGGTGTAGAGCTACCGGTTGTTGTTGATGACGATGCAGTATTCGTTCGTCGGGGAGGTGGCACGGGTGGTGGTGCTTTGCTGCGAGATGAAGCCGACGGTCCCTGCTTACTCCCATCTGTAAATGGTTCGGTTTGAGTGCGAGATATGGGTGGGGACGGGTCTAAATCGATCAAAGAATCCGTCCTGGCTGTCGAGGTCCGCCGGGGCGGCAGGGGAGGAACTGGCTTGCGGCGAATCGCTTCTTGAGATGGTGTTCTTGAAACTCCTGCCAGGGGCTCGAGGGTGTCGGTGGCCCCAGATGATGTGCGCAGCGTGGACGGTTTTGAAGGCTTAGTGGGAGGGAGACGCGGTTTGCCAGATGTATTAGCAGTGGGAGTCTGCGTCTTAGGCTCTTCTTCGTCTCGCAGATCAATCAAGTCCCCAGTATCCAGGCTTTTCGAATCCGTTTCCGGGGTGAATGGTTTCTCAAATTTTCGCCGCGGAGGCAGGGCAGGTTTCCTCGTAGCAGAATCCGAATGGTCCACAAGTTGTGGAGTGCTGCGACTTCGACCCGGCCCCGTTTCAAGGTGCTCGGTGGCTTTATCAAAGAATGGCTTGTCCTTTGGGGTGGTCACGTCGCGGATAAAGATTCCCATAATTCGACCACGGTTTGCCAGAACAATATCAGTGTAGACCTCCAGATCGGCTTCTCCGCTGTCGCCGACGAGAATGAACTTGCGATCAGGGAAATCCCGTAGAAGCTGTTCAAGCGAACCCCGTTTTCTCTCGGCTGTGGGCTCAAAAATACCCTGTAGCATGCCAGAGTATTGCTTGAGGTGGAAGGATCCTGGAGGTAGTCCGGCCATTTTGAAGTATCTCTCAAGCAGAGGGTATAATTGCCATGGAGCGTTAGATACGTAATGCATTTCCACACCACGTTTAGCAACTTGGGTATACCATTCGCTGACTCCGCCAACCTGGAGTTCAGCCAACTCACGAACGAAAGTGTTTCGGAACATCTCCTTTGCACCACTTGCAATCGCAGAGTGCTTCACCGTATCATCAATGTCACTGATCATGCTGATACCGGAAGGTTCAATAATCTGAATCGGCTTTGCAGCTGATAGATCTTCAGACGCGAGCACTCGAACATGAGTTGGTACGAATGGCAAAGGAGCCCGCACATTGAAGTGACCGGACTCATCAGTCATAATATTACGAGATTCGCTCTGATCATTGTTGAAGAAGAATATCGTGACCGACATACCGGCAACGGGGTTTGTTAAGAAAGGGCGAAGTCTTTCCATTAAATGAGCATTTGCCATGGAAATCTCATCTTTGGTCAGCTGCGCAGCTTCTTTGAGACCGTCTTTAGCCCGCTCGGTCTTGGAACTCTTCCATGCCTGATCGGCATCTCGTTCTGCTGTATCGACTAGAGTCTTCATTTGCTTGTCCACGTACTCATCCTCGCCTTTCGCGGGCATCGGATCGGGACCATCTTCGTTGGCCGTGCCCGTGGGGGTGGGGATGCCACTCAAAGTCCGAGCCAGCTTGACCATCAAGCGATGCTTTCGGTTCATGGGGCCTCGGTTTGGTGCGTAGATCCAGCCACGCACATCAACGTCCACCATGGCATTTTCAAGATCGGGGTTGGGCCAGCCATCGCCAAGACGGTCGCTGCTATCTTCAGAGACACCCCGATAGTCGTCAATCGTTTCGGACCACGAGTCTCGTCGCGGGCGCATCTTAGTATCATTGGCTTTCTTTTCTGGGAGTCGTCGTCCGTAGCTTGGGAATAGCACCATTTCCTCATCGCCGGATCGAGCAATCTCCACATCAGGGAAAGCACCAGGAGTGTGGTAATAATCTTCCTGGGTGTCACTTCTCTGACTGGTCCATCGCGAGGTATACGCCTGACCTAATTCGTTGGCAGCCTTCAACCACTCGTAGGCCTTCTTGCGACGGCCACCGGGGGCAGTTCCATCACCACTTCCTTGACCCCATGTCGAGGACAGCCCAGACTGTGCCATCGGGCTTCTCACAGCTTCGTTTGGTCCTTCTGTCGGACCCTTGATCGCTCTCGAACGTCTTGCAAGAGGGTGCGCCCAGATACCAAGACCAAGTCTCCCGCCCCGCAGCCGTCGCCGAGGCCCAAGAAGATAGGCAATGAAACCGCCGCCAAATCTACGGTTGCGTGCGGCAAGTCGCGCTTGACGTTTGACAATTGCACGGTAGATTCGGGACTGTGCTCGGTGTCGGAGTGCGGGGAGGACTTCGTGTCGAAGGTTCCACAGATGGTTCTGTGCTCGACGAGTCCGAAGCGGACCGACTAGGACGCGGAGGAATGTTGATAGCTTGTCGGGTCTGGCGTCGCGGCGGAAGAGAGATCGCAATGTAGGTTGGAAGCCGGTTTGGGGGAGGCGTTTGAATAGGTATGGCTTAGAGGGGAATGTTGGCCAGCGAAAACGTTTAGGAGCCAGGATCTCGAGTCGTCCTCAGACGGTTGGTTGATGGTTTAGTAGGTGTGGGCAGTCTTATTGACTGATTGTGTAAGGATAATCTGCGACAAAGAAAGGATGGGGTCAGCTCAGTATTCTCTGATACAATGCCCTACTTCCCAAAGTTGTACTTACCCTGACGATAGAGAGAAGTTGTCAGTCGCAAGAGCAAAGAATATTGGTGGAGGGGGAGTTGAAACGTCGCGGCTGCGGGAGTGGATCAGGTCCTGGTCCCTGTTACTATGACGCCAGCCTCACAGGGCTGGCCAAGTCTTGGTCTCACACACATGACTCGGTGTTCTCGGCATTTTAATGTAAGATATCCGGGCTCATGACACTATCACTGGCAACTATTCTCCTGGTACTAGTACATTTTGACATTATTCCCTCGTGTGATCGATAATATCACTGGTGGAGCCCTTGATGATATATATCCATCACAAGTAAAAGAAGATGGTGGTACTTACCACTAGGTAATAGGACTATACTCCTACCCCTACCAGTTCCAAGGGACCGCCGGGTTCAAGTTTCAAAATACAGGATAATGCTTGATACTAGCCCTGGAGTATAGAACAAAAAGATTCGTTCATTCATCAAGTTACATCATGAGGTCGTTCGCAATTGAAGTGTTTTTGGTATCTATAGCAATATATCGTACAAGATTCATGATTATACAATATCCGGAAGATCAATTACGTAGATTCTTCCGTATAGTTGACTTTCTTCGCCCGACTGCTCTTCCGAGACGTAGACGTTGTGGTCTTTGTACTAACCGTCTCCTGATCCACCGACAAACCACTTAGTTCGGACTCCGGGCTAGATTCTATCTCTTCCGCTTTGCGTTTGGTCCGGGACTTGGTTGGGGTTCGTTTGGGAGCACGAGCTGGTTTCTTCACTGGCGTTCCTACTGAGCCATTTGTATCAGCGGGCTCGGCCTTGATTTTTTTTGCTGGACTGGATGTAGCCTTGGGCTTGACGACTTTCTTGGCGGGTCGAAGCCATTCCTCCATGCCGCGAGGCCAAAAGACCCTCCCTTCTGGACCTCCCATCCCGACTTCCTCGTCGGGGATGGTCCGGGCGGTGGTACGGAGCCTTCTAGGTCAACGAATCCGCCATTCTTTTTAGACTTGCGAGGGGGCTTGAAAGGCCTGTTCTCGTCTGTCCGTGTGTAGGGAATCAGGTCATTGAAAAGGTTGTGACCGGGGAGTTTGAATGTTCGCATCAGTTCAAAAACGGCCTGTTCTTTGTCTTTGGCCTCAATCATTAGGTCCATGGTGGGAATGCAGGGGGGCAGGGTGGCCACTCGATCGCTGTGCTTGCGGCGCTGTCGGGGTGTAATGGCGGGAGCGGTTTGCTCTGAATAATGCATTTTCTGCGTAATGTTCTTGCGCGACCATGTGGCAGCTATGCGTTCGTAAAGAGGAATGATGTCTTGCGTGCCCTCTCGGACCTCAGTCGGATCGAAAAGAATATTATGGTGATGGTAGTCGAGGACGAGGGGGATGTTTAACTCCTCGCATATGGGTAATAGATCATGCACAGTCCAGCTGACATCATCGTTCTCGAGAACGAGTCGTTTCTTGATATCCTCTGACAAGACAGCATAATTATCTCGGAACCGGTCCAGAGTAGCAGCCTTGTCACCGAAGACTCCTCCCATGTGTAGGATCATGATGGCATCACGATCTTGCTGAGGAGGAAGTTTGAGCAGTTGCAGCATCTCCGAGTGGTATTCCAAGTCACGATAGGAGCTTTCCACCACCTCCCGTTTGGGAGAGCCTAGTTGCGTGAACTGACCAGGATGAACGGACACCCGGTGGCCAAGCTCTCCTACAACTCTTCCTGCCTCAGCCAGGACGTCGGAGGCAAAAGGAGCCAATTTGTAGCCATATTCCTTGTGACTAGCAAATGGGAACATCTCACTGCTAAGTCGCATGAACTTGATGCCATACTTATCATTCCATCGGATAAGCTTTACCAGGTCGCCTGCATTTGCCAACCCGAGCGACTCGACGAAGGCCTGGCCGCGTGCGACATCCGCGGGCTGATCTCGATCTGGGCGATTCTTTGTTGGATGTGGGGGTTGCTCAAGGTCTTGGAGAGGGTGTCTATTTTCGAGAATCGACGCAATGCGACATGTTCGCGAACAAAAGACGGATGGGGTGGAGTAGCGCAGGTAGGTGTTCAAACAGGCCTTAATACATTAATATGGGAATGAGGCACGAGCCAGACGTCTGCTGAATCTGATAGCTTACATATCCAAGACGTCCTTTCCAGGGAAGTGGGAGATAGTCGCTGTGAACTGGTGGCGGGCGCCCCAACGCATCTTTGAGCTCATCCGCGTCGACAGGCACCTCTTGATCCGACTCCGGGTCTAATGAACCTTCCGCCCAACCAGCAGGCAGAGTCACGTCGCCATTGAGGATATCAGCGGGTTTCGCATCGGTATCCAACGTATCGGTCACCATTGGCACGTCTCCGGCAATCGGTGAGCTATCAAGATGTCGAGCGAGGATCTGAGAATATGCGCGACACGATGTGACAAGGTTGAGGGCTGGGCGAGCAGAAAGGGAAGAGAAATGGGAGAGTTGGAAAGAAGAGAGCGAAGTCGGTCTAGACGCATGACGAAGGTGGTCTTGAACTGGGACAGGCGATCTGACGTTCGCCACGACAATCGATCCCGATCGATCGAGGAGGCTCAGTGACGAGGGTGGCAAACACCCGAACCAGCCCTGAAGCCGGCATGCTGGACAGGCAGGGCACGCGACAGTCGAAAAGACCGACACATCCAGCGAACCTCTTGTGGAGGGAGTATATCAGGGATCGAGAGGTCGCGGAATTGTGATATTGGGTTCGGGGGGGGATTGAGGGGGGTGAGGGGATGTTCAGGGAGCATCGAACATCCCACTCGTTCGGTTCGGCCGATGACGCGTGAATCGCGCTTTTCGCGTGTCGGCGTGACCGAAAGCTACTTTAAAGAGAGGGAGAGGCCTCCACAGCAATACAGAAGGGTTGGAGTGTGTTGGGACTACCTATGATATTGGATATACTGTATGTATTTCATAATTTTCTATTGCTATATCTGAAATCAGGATAGCAGAGCAGAGGGACTACTCTAATACTAAGTACCCTACTTATCGTTGATGGTGGAGACTGGTCGATCTATGCATTTTCAACCACTAATAGCCCTGACTTCCATGCTACAGCGCTACAGTTAGTGATATTCAACCAATGGACAGATGGACACCGGTGCCACCAAAATTAGCCATCTTCTGCCGGCATGCAGGGCGAACCAGGGGCACAGGGAGGTCCTAGGAGCATCGAGGAATCAATTGGCAGACCGAGACCACTCAAAACCGGTTTCCACTGGGGCCACGTTATCATGGCAGTGCTTGAATCCTTTCAAGAATGGACGAGACGGAGTCTGCGTGAAATATGGAAGATTACCACTGCCGATGAAGCAACGCGTGTTCTGTGACTGACATCACCGAATTCCCCGTCCAACTTGACTCGCGGAGATTAATTTCGATGTGGAATGGGAGTTACCCCTGGTAGTGGCTTTCATGCTTGTGGGTGCGATGCAAACTTACACTGGGCGTGGCGTTGGTATGGTGCCAGGCTTGGAATTGGAAGGGGGAGGTGAGTAGGTCGAACTAAGACTTGCATCACTTAGGGTTGAGTTGATACTGAACCTGCTGCTTGTTCATTATTGATCCATCATGACTCTTTCAATTCCTCTGGATCCGTCCGGACTATTGTCTTTTTGTCCAAGTCCACCAACGAGGTCGTGCCGGATTTCTGTGATGGAAGCTGCGATGGTTGCCAACATTCTTCGCGTTGCTGGCCAGAAGACTCGTCGTTTGGGCTTGAGCCCCGAGTTAATGGTATCCGCCATTCCTCTAAACAACACTGGAGAATGCCACTCACCGTCCAGGTATTTATTATAGCTCGAGCTCGCCATTTCGACTTGTTCGTTCATCAATTTTCTGGTTCTGGACAAATTTTGACCCTGGTGGTTGCAAGCCTGGCAGACTGTTGACCCTACTATTCTTCTGATTGATACCCCCATTCTTACTTCTACACATTGTGAGTACCCCCATGATCTACGGTTTTAGGCCCAGCGCTAACAAATCATAGACAATATTCAATATGAAGGGTCTCGCTCTCCTCGCTGGTCTGTTGGCCGGTTCGGCCTCTGCCCACATGCAGATGTCCAAGCCCTATCCCATTCGTAGTCCTCTCAACAAGGACTCGGACGGCAAGAAGGACTACTCCTACACCAACCCGCTGCAGACCTCTGGCAGTGACTACCCGTGCAAGGGCTACGCCAAGGATGACTTTGAATCCCAGGCTACCTACAAGCAGGGCCAGAAGTACACCATGGAGCTCGAGGGCAGTGCTACTCACGATGGCGGATCTTGCCAGCTTGCCCTGACCTACGATCAGGGTGAGACTTTCAAGGTCATCGAGTCAATTCTGGGTGATTGCCCTATTGCCAAAAAGTACGACTTCACCATCCCCTCTGATGCCCCCGACGGCGAGGCGCTGCTAGCCTGGACCTGGTTCAACAAGGTCGGCAACCGCGAGATGTACATGAACTGTGCCTTCGTCACGGTTGGAGGTGGCTCTAAGGGCAAGGAGGTTCCTGCTCAGAACGGTGACAAGCACACCATCCAGCAAGCCAATCATCCCAACCACCCAAACCACCCTCCCATGAAGCAGGCTGAGTCCCCTGTGGTTGACAAGATGCCCCACGAGGAGATGCACAAGGAGATGCACCATGAGGAGAAGCCCAAAGAGATGGTCCACGAACACGCTCAGCGTGACGTGTACGGTGCCATGAAGACTGGCACTTTCAGCAGCCTTCCCGAGCTCTTCGTTGCCAACGTCGGTCAGGCCGGCAAGTGCGTCACCATTGAGGGCGAGGCCGTGAACTTCCCCATGCCCGGAGATAACGTTGAGGGCAAGGCCAGCGGCAAGGGCTACAAGTGCGAGAGCAAGGCGCCTTTCCTCACCAGTGATTCCAGCTCCTCCGATTCCTCAAGCTCAAAGGACAGTGACTCGAAGAGCACTGCCTCGAAGGATACTGCCTCGAAGGACAGCGACTCGAAGAGCACTGCCTCGAAGGATACTGCCTCGAAGGACACTGACTCCAAGACCGACTCGAAGACCGACTCGAAGAAAACCAACTCTACCCGCAGCACCACCACTACCGAGACTACCTCTCAGTCCATGTCTAAGATCGCTTCTGCCTTCGGTACCCCCTCTGCCGACCCTCGCGTCCTGTCTGGACAGTCCAGCGAGGTGAAGGAGGCCTCTACCAACAACGCTTTCGGTTCTTACGTTGGTGGCTGGAAATGCACTTCTGGCGAGATCCTCTGCGCTCCCGATGGACAGAGCTGGGCCATGTGCTCCAACAGCCAGCCCATCTACATGGGTCTTGTTGCTGCTGGCACCGTCTGCCGCTTTGGCTCCATTGTTCGAGCTCAGGGCTGGTAAATTTCCCACCAGTCCTGAACTTCACCCGACTGGGTCGGTCGAACTCTTATTCCTTCCTGAATTTTCTATTACCCCGGTGTTTGGTGCCTGGGCGCTTTTCGATCACTTGTTGATCTCGTTATGTTAATGATGGTAATCTGTATTCTTAATGATTGGCTGGCGTTTGGAGTCGAGGGTAACTTGAATGTTATGAGGTGTGCGGCAGCAGTCTTACACCTGTACCTTTAGTTTCAGAAACAATACAAACCTTTTATCAAACCTAAATCACTACTGCCAGTTAGTAGTCTCTCTCCACAGTTGAATTTAAGTAGCAATAGATTCTTGTCTTATATTATATCTCTGTGGCATTTTCCACACGCCTACATTCTAGGCTATGACCTTCCGACGTCTAGTTTACACGCCAATCCTATTACATAACATGGTATCACAGTTCAAAAGAGACAAAATGGTCATACAATCATGGACCAGTCAATATGACCGGTCCCGCCCAATAGCTAAGTGATCGCGAATCGTTCACTTAAATGTTACCAGTGTACGCAGAGTTGCCGTAGCCATAGGTGTTTTGGGCAGCACCTCCGCCATTGGCAAGAGGGACAGCGGTGTTTTCCTTCTTGCGACCCCACGAGCCGAACCAGTTCTTCTCGTTCTTGGGCTCGGTGCCCATCTCCACTTCGCCGGGGGTGGGGTGGCCAGGCAGGGCGTTGTCAGCCCCGACCGCATCGGGAGATCCGTTGCGGCGCCACCAACGGCGACGGCTACCGGAAGTGTAGCCGTTTGCGGGCGAGGGACCGAAGCGCTTCTCGCGCTTGTGGTGACGGGCAAGCAGGACCTGGAAGAGGATGGAGATGAGGAATAGGAAGCTAGATTATCGCGGTTAGCACGTGTTTGGTGGGGGAGAGGGGGTATTCAGGATACTCACATTCCAATGATGGCCACTGCGAAAGAGACCTTTTCCAATTTGCAGGCCATGCCGAAAGAGAGATTAGCCTTGGACTCGTCCGAGGCGTTGCCTTCACCGATTGGAGTGTCGACGGTTCCAGAGCACTTATCGACACCATTGCGTGTCAGGACCGCGATGGCGACCATGGCGCCGGTGAAGAGGACATCGAAAAGAACGCCCAGGAAGGCGAAGAATGATTTACCACCGAGGCAGCAAACGAATAAGATGCCAAGGAGGCCGTAGAGAGCACTCGCGCCAGCGAGACCCTCGACGGCTTTCAGCCATGTGGCGATATGCTGGTCATGGCGAGAAAGAATGGCGAGATAATAGGAGAAGATACCGAGAATGACGGCAGAGGCGAGGAATTGCAGTACGCGTATAGCGAGACTGCAGAAGCGTAGAATGACGCCTCCAATACCCATGATGGAGGTTTGTATATGTGTGTGTTGTGGTGTTGAATGAGTTGGGATGGACCCGGGAGCGGCTAAGGTTAAAAGACCTGAGGAAGGCAACAGGATTCAGGGCGGGTTATAAGAGTAGACCCTGATGTCGACGCAATAGTCGAAGATCAGTGGGAATTGGTGGATACTGGCGTGGTGATCCCTGGCTGCTTTGTGGGGTGTGACTGGCTCTTCCCTGGTTCCACACGTCCACTTTGACATCATCAAGTTCCACCCTGGCGGTGATGAGCTTCTTGGTTGGTTACTCTAGCCCGCCACCGCATGTGAAGAAAGGAAATTTCAAAATGCGGAAAAAAAAGAGAGTTCAATAATCAAATTGGTAGCTCCTCCAGCCACATTGCTATTGCGTGGCGCAGCCACCGCAAAGCAATAACTATACATAGAGAAGTGGTTGGACCCTGGTTAAGTAGTTCTAAAAATGGGAATTTATCATTTTGGTGACGAATTACCTACACACAGCGAAGGCAACTGCAGTCCTGCGTTCTAATGTGCTCGTTCCACGCCACGCCATTGCCGTGTCAAGGGCGGGACCCATGTAAGGGAGCTCATTGAAAAGCCCTCCAAGACCCAGTCACCATTGGAATATCGTGATAAGGAGATGCGAGGGGGAGAGGCGGGGAATTTCAAAATGCGGGGGATATCCGAATACTGACAATATACGGAGTAGTCCATAGTTATCTAGGAGTGTAGACAGGCTCTTGAGAGCACTAACTTTCCCTAATCACACCAATAGATCAGCGCTGTTGATAACGGCCTTGTTTATTGAATGGCTGGTCTGCAGTCACTGATCTGCTCTGGAAATTTCTTGATCTTGACGATCTGGCCGCCCAGGAATACCCACCTGTCCGAGCTGAAACATCTATGAAGGACCTTATAGCTTATTCTCGCCCCCCCCCCCCCGCCAAGTCACGCCTCATAAAGGTTCCAGAACGCCCTCCTTCAACTGTACCATCCTTCGCCATTTATCATGGGTCGCCTCTTCCTTTTTAGAGCAGGTAAAGGCAATTCCGATTCATGCTAAATTATGGGTGAAATCACTTAGAACCCTCTTGGATGCTCATTGACTGACGAAATCGCCTCTACTATGACGTATTATTAGGGTTGGTATGAATGGCAGGATGGCTGGGCAGGGTCCACAGGAGATACAGAGCTTGGATTAACTATTTGGATACATAAGCTTGAATGGACCAGCTGGAACTTCATGAGTCAACTCAAATTCTTTGAGACTGGAGATAGGCGCACCCCAGGCTACTGCTCTGACGAATCTTACTGCAATGAATTTAAACACTCGTCGCGAAGAGATGAAAGCCAACAATGTTGTCGCCAGATACCATTATTTCATGCGTATTTCGAACGAAGATGACGCATAGCAAGTACTGGTTAGTACTCAACTAACCCGGCTCTTTATCAAATGTCAGGCCAATGTCACACCTCAACCCTCTTCTTGCACATCCACAATAATCTTGCAATGCTCATCACGATGATCAAGCAGTGCCCGAAAGCCTTGATCTACCACATCGCGCAGCGGAACCCTAGACGTGATCATTTTCTCAGGTCGCAAATCGCCTGCCAGTAACTCATCAGAAAAATCCCAAATACACCATCATCGCATCAAGATAGCACTTACCCGCACTCAATGCCTGCATCACATCCAAGAAAGATTGCTCGTCATACAAAGCCGCCCCCATATACCGCACCTCCTTATACATCAAATCGTTGACAGGCAGAGAAGGATTTCCCTCCCAAACAGCAAGATTCACAATCGTTCCCTGAACGCGAACAGCGGCGATCGCCCCCAAGAGCGCTTTCTCCACGCCAGCTGTATCAAATACCACATCTGCTCCGACACCGCTGGTCAGCTCTCGAACTCGTTTCGTGACATCCACCTCACTGGGATCGAGGATTGCTGTTGCTCCGAATTCCGTGCAGAATTTCTTGCGGTTATCCATTGGTTCGGCTACCATAATCTGTCCTGCGCCTTGCAGCTTCAAAACCTGAACAATGCCAAGCCCTATCGGGCCCCCACCGACGATGAGGACATTGTCGTCCTTTTTGAAAGGGGAGAAGTTGACAGCGTGCCAAGATACGGCGAGGGGCTCGATGAGAGAAGCAGCCTCAAGGGAGATGGTATCAGGGAGGGCATAAAAGTGACCTGCTGGGGCGACGATTTTCTTAGCCATGCCACCACCATAGCCTGTTTGAATTAGCATGTCATTTCAATTTCCGGCCATACCTTAGACGGGGAGGAGTAAAACGTACCGCTCAGTCCGATGAATCCAATATTTTCACAGCAATGGTAATTTCCTTCCTTACACGCAGCGCATGATCCATCGAAAATGGTCGGACGCACTACGGCACGTTGCCCGGGTGAAACATTCTTGACGTCTTCGCCGACTTCTTCGATGATACCGCTGAATTCGTGGCCCAGTGTTGCTGGTTGCGTACAGCCTGTGATTTTATGTGGAGTTTCCGGTATCAAGATTGGGCCACTAGTGTATTCATGTAGATCTAGAGAGGTCAGAATTTAATCCCGTCATCTACAAGATGCGATTGGATCACCTACCGCTACCGCAAATGCCAACGTAAGCGGGTCTCATCTTGATATTCTCCGTTAGCGTTATTTCCAGTATCAATGATATGTAAAGACAAACCTTAACTTGGCCTTTGCCGCAGACTGGTTCATCGACTTCGTCCATACGGATATCACCCGGTCCGTGGAAGCGAATTGATTGCATTCTCGGCGCACCTTTGAGGGTGGTTCGCATCGCGTCGGTCTGTGTAGATGTATTTGCCATTGTTGCAGATATAGATCTGAGTAAGGGTTGTATTTTATGCTCAAAGGGTGCTTTTTGCGTGGTTGAGTTCAACGTTGTCGTTGACATAGATCGTATGGGTGTGGGTTGTGATCTCATCTTGAAGAGTGTCTTGCGTCCGGTGGACGATGATTTCCAAGGTTGGGGATTTGAAAGTGACCTCTGTATAGAGAGTTGGTAGATGTGTAATAGGTGTCAAATTTATACTTTGGTAAGCGGAATAAATAGATAAAACGTGGTGGGTGAATTAAATCAAGTTAAGTGCTACTGGTGACAGGTGGTCGAGGTATTTACTTGTAGCTTTATAAATGTTGGAATGGAGGTTTTCACAAACGTCATCATGTCTTATCGTAATAGAGACAACCTAGCATGTAGATGTACAACAACATCCAAATACGAAAACAAGTTAAGATCATGACTAGAGTTGACGATACCGAATACCCCAGGGGATGGGAAGAGATCCGATTGGCCAGGATTGAAGGAAAGACAGAGCTTCAGCCAATTTTAGTTGAGATGGTCGGGGGATCAGGTAGTTGGCACGACAATCCCTCTTCTGACATGTATCAGATTACCGGGAGTGTGGAAAGCCACCCATGGCATAGGAACGAGGGCGGAAGAGGCTGCCTAGTATTGGAATAGGCGCCGCATTCGAGCTTTGATAATGGCGTCATTGAGATGGCTCATTAATGCTAGCAATCCTGAATGAAATTGATCAAACAGGATTGAGGATGCGCAGAGATAAAGCACACAGCCCTGTAGTAGAACATTCGAAGCGCTATCGAACCGCCATAGAACGCCATCGGCATGTCGATTCGAGCTTGGCAGAGACATCTTGCATAACGGTGACACGATGATCAGGTGCGTCGTGACATGGTTGTTGAAGGCCGGAATACATCATGGGTAACTGGGTTTAATGATGCGGATGCGGGGGGGGCGAACCACTGATGAAGCTGGCAAGAACCCACCAATCAGCGGCCCGGGGTTGTAACAGACCCCAGAAATGTAGTGTTTGACCGTGTTCAGTGATACTTGCTGTGGATTAGCATTGCAGAGACTTTGCGGGCTCCTTATCCACCATTCAGGATGTCTCTTCGCGCTGCTGCTCGACGAAGGCCTTAAGGATAGATTCCAGGCCTTCGTTGCGGCGGGCCAGTAACATCACATCCGAGACGTTAACCGTTGAGCGCCCGGCATGCCTAAAATGGTAATACCGATCAGTACGATCCTGGGGGGTTCAGGTACAGTCAATGCTCGAGTGACTCACTTGGCGAACGACTCAAGATCTTGGCTGACCGTCTCTGCGGGTTGTTAGTTACGCGTCGTCTAGAGTGGTTGAAGTGACAGGCATTGGACAATGCATGGCAGTCAATGCAGGGCGACTTGGACAGGAAAAATCAAGATACGCACCAATCTGAGCCCAAACCATCTCCGTGAGCGCACCAATAAACTGGGGGGTTGCGTTGACACCCAGCTTGATAGTCTCCTCGTCCACGATCTTTCCGATTGACAGCCACAGAGCTGATTTCAAACGCTAGCGGTCATAGCCATCAGAGCGAGAACCATATGATTGATGGAATGGACTCACCTCTTCAAGACCAATTTCCTCGTTATCGGCCATGGTTTCAAGATTGCCCCGGAGACTGGAGAGGCACTTGATGTTGATGATGATGGTGGTGAGGGTGAAGGGTGTTTGTCGCGTCCCATACTCGTTGCAGCATACAGCAACCCGCGATCGCTGATTGGCGCGTCGGCCCAACTATTGATCCGACGCGAGCCGCTCCTGCCGGACAGTCCGTATTTCGCGCCTAAAGCGGGAATTACTGGGACATCAAAACGGGTCCCCAAGCGGTCGAACCTTCGAGTCTCTTCTCTTCTATCTTTTCCTTTTCTATCACTATTCTCCCCTATCCAATTCAATTCTTGCTAGGGCTCTTCTACCTCCCCGACCACCCTCCAATCCACCTACGCTGAAATAAGCACAAGAAAAGCTTCTTGACAACCCCCCCCCTCCAACCACCCACCATGGCTCAAGCTCAAGCCCGAAATGAGCAAGCCGACATCAGCGACAAGGCCGTCGAGGCCGCTAGCGATTTCTTCCACCAAATCTACTCGTTGATCGAAACCGTCATCAAGCGCTTCTTCAAGAACTCCTGGGCCTCCGTCGCCGAGATGAGCGGCAAGCGCTGGACAAAGGTTATTCTCAGCGTCGTCTTCTACCTTTGCGTACGGCCCTACATTGAGAAACTCTTCAAGTGGATGCACGATCGTGACCGCAAGAAGGAGAAGGCGAAGAAGGAGGCCGAGCGCGCTGCCTTCGGCAAGAAGAAGGCTAAGGTCTCGGCGAATTCCCTGCGCGGCGGCGAGTCGGGCAAGGTTCTTGGCGAGGTGGAGGATAGTGATGATGACCTTGTTGCTGAAGAGGGTGAGGAGGATACCCTTGCGGCTGCTAGTGGAGTTCCTGAGTGGCATGGTATGGCTCGGAAGCGCCAAAAGAAGTACATCAAGAACCTCCAGAAGCAAGGACAGAAGGCGGAGAAGCTTTCGGAGGAGCAGATTATGGAGCTCTTGGATTGGAGTGATGAAGAGGCTGCGAAGAAGGATGCTTAGATGGATGGACCGGTCACTTGCTACTTGCTATGTAACAGTTTGTTCTGTTCGTTGGATCGATCGCTTGATGGAGTTTGGGGTATTGGAAAAATAGACGGATGTACCTTTAGATCTAATTTGTATAATACCACACCATGACTATATAATATACCGGAGGTAACGGGTAACCCCCGGGCCCATTGAAAGTCCGTTAAAACTAATCATCGCATCTCGAATATTCATCTTTTCATTGCATAATATCTAGCATGGGTAGTTCAAGTTGGTCGTTAAACGTGACAATTCAAATAAAAGGCAATACTTGTGCGCGCCTGGGTTTAATGCAGTCTCCGCAATGCTTCGATCGTTCCCTTGACCTTCTCCACATCACCCCAGCCAACCTCTTCCACAATCTCCTCTTGCAGCTCTGGATCGCAAGTCAAGAATTGCTCGATCAGCTCACCGTCCACAAACCGATATGGTGCTTCGGCTGAGCGGACTAAGGTTCGGAATGCGCGGAATTTGCTGAAAGGTAGATCGCCTAGGGACTCGACCCTGTCGGCGATCACAGTTTGAAGAGTCATCAGGAAGTCCTGGTAATCGGAGTTGATCAAAGCGAAGAGATAGATTGACCCCTCGACCTGGGATGAGAAGTTAGTACGTGTTTAGATGAAGGATACAACACTATAGAACATACCGTTCCCATAAACGCCCGCGGCGTCACCGCGACACTGGCTATCTGGGGGATTTGAATCGTACGAATGCGGTTCACCATCTCTCCTAAGCAGATCTCGCTTGTTGGGATGAGACGGTGCTTGTCTTGCTCGGTCACGCCGTTTGTGTTCCGCGACAGAACAATTAGATTACCCTGTGCCTCGCTAACAAGCAATGTATCATCGCCAACCGAGGCAACCGCCGTACTCCAGACGGTCTGATAATGGCGACCAATTTCGTTAAGCTTGTCTCCGACGCCATTGGCGCCCTTGATATATTCGACAATACAGACGCTCTTCATGAGGTCTGCCACCATGATCAGGTTTCCAACGACTGTCACATCCACCGGCGCAGTGGAGGTGCGGTAGCTGGCAAGCCGTTCAAGCTTCATTTTTGTCCCAGAGTTGTCAGGAACAACTTTGAAGACGACGACCTAGATTGTCTTTAGTAAAAGAATGTTTCTCACCTCGCTTCTCTAAAGTAAACTTACGGTCTTGACCAATGCTGCCACTATCCGATCATCCATCATTGCCAGTGCTCGACAAGCCCCCTTGACCGGCAACTCCGCGACCTGCGTCAGTTTGCGCCCATGATCGACCTCCAATATCAGTATCCGCCCGCGGATTGAATCGGCCCTTTCTTCATCCATGTAGGCCGTACCGACAATAAACCTATCTTTCCCGCCGGAGAACCCCGCCCGGATAACAGTTTCGACCAGTTCCTCCGAGTTGAGCTCTATCGCGTCTAATCGCCGGAACATGATCTCGTCGGCGAGCACGAAATGGCTTTTCACAACCTCGACACCGTCTTCAAGCTTACGGTCAATTGTTCCAAGTCCGAACGCTTTCTCTGATGAAGAGTATGCGACCCGTCGTACCGTGGACCCCATCGGGAGAGTCTGGATCTGAGTTGTGCGTTCCTTGTCCACTGATGCAATCTTGAGTTCCCGCGTGGTTGCAACGGCAATGGACTCGGGGAAGGCTTCGGTATTTAGATGGCAGATTCGAGATGCGCCTTCCGAGTTCACAGCGGAGTATATGATGCGTCCTTCCGAGCCGTATATCAAGCTTGGGTTCTCGCATGTGGCGAATACATTATAAAGGCCATCTCCACGAGGCAGTTTCTTGAATGTTGGCTGCTCGGATCCAAGAATGAGCTTGGTCATCCCTCCGAGCGAGTAATCTTTTGTGTCCAGGGAGAAAGTAATGACGCTCCCGTCAGCCATGGAGATGAAGAGGGTGGGCGGGCTGTTGGCAAGGACGTTGGTTACAAGAACAGACCGAGGGAACGCCTCGCCGGACGGGCCTAGCGATTTTGTCTGGATCTCGGAGAAGTCATTGATCTTCAGGACGGAAACCCTGGCAGATTGCGGGAATCCAGCAATGCAAACTCCTGTTGGCTCAAACGGAACTGTAACGCCAGATACCTGGTGGTCCTCGTCGAGGTCCTTCTCGGCGATAAGGCTGGCCTCGGCTCGGATATCAAAGGATGCAAGAACTCGGCCACCAATAACCAGTACAAGATTGTCATTGTTTGCCGAAGCAGCTGTGATCGTCTTTTGCGTTGGGGGAGTCCACTCGAAGGTCACCATCCCACTTTCGACATCGGCAATCAAAGCTCTCTTCTCCGTCACTTGTAAGATTCTGCCACCGGGTAAATTGGCGGCGAGGAGAGTATTTTCTTCAAAAGCAAGACCCAAGAAATTATCCAGCTCTTCCACCTCTCCATCGACACTGAAGCGGAAGATTCGTGTTTCATCGACGAATGTCACGAGCAGCGTGTCCAGGAAATCACCAGTGCTCTGAACTTGCAAGCCCCATAGGTCTGTGATGTGATCCATCTCACCCAAAACTCCGAGCTCGTCCATGCCAACTCCACTTCGTACACTTCGTAGAGTTCCATCGTCAAAAGCACCCGAACCAGTCACGATGCGAGCTTGTCCCGATGAGAATTCGTGTGTATGGCTCTCACTCGTACGGTTGCCCAGATCCATCACTGTGAAATCGAGAATGGGCGCAATATTGGACAATGTCTGGATAACCTCGAAAGAACCATCGCCAATACGCAGGACTTGGGAATCGCCTAAGTGGGATCCAACGAAGAGGACCCCTCCACCGAGATAAACCAGGACCGACGCACGAGATGTATTTCCCAGCCAATCGAGCTTCCATGATTCGACATGGCCCTCGTTGCTCAGAATTAGCATAAGGAAGAACAAACGCCCATAGTCATCCGCCAACAGCCATCGCTGGCTGTCGACCTTTTCCCAGGCCACGAAGACAGTAGCTTCGTCAAGATCGCGGGTAATCATATCATTCGCATCGTCGTCGATGTACTTGATCGATGTCTCACCCAATACAATCAGTCCACCTGCAGTAGTCAGCCACATGAGCATACATATTCAAGTAGTACTAGCACGATACCTAGTGGGGCGGGAATCGGGATCAGGTGGGAGGATCCCATATCAAGCTCGTGGCCTAACAAGCCACCCTCGAGCTTTTTCTCTGAAGGTTCCTTGAACGTCGCATCCGCAGACACATTCGAGGTTCCAATGCTATATTCCAGCTCCCGAATCCGCAACCGGACCTTTTTCTGGTTATCCTCATATAGCAGTGCCAGGTAGGGCTTGACCGATGCGGAGTGCAGAAACGCCGACGACCGAACGAACAGCTCCTCGATACGCGTGTTGGTCGGATCCCCGAGCTCGCCTACTTGGGGCAATTCCATCTGTGATGCGGCGTGGGAGGGCTTCCCTCGCTTTTTGGTCGGTTCCACGATTGGAATCACGACGATCACTCCTTCATATATCTCCAGTGTCATGTACCGGCCGCTAGGGTCGAGAAGACATCGTGGCTGCGATTGGGACTCTCGGGATGAGGGCTCGGATATGTCGACATAGTTTCGGGCCGTCTTGACCCTTTGCTCGTCTGCGTCCCACGCGAGGGTGAAATAGTTAAACTGGTCGGTGCCGATGAAGAGGTGGTCCGTTGGTGAATTCGCCGGTGCCGGCAGGCGGGCGAGCATGGTAACCTGCGCATAGAGCGCACGAGTTGAGGTGAGTGTGAGGCCATCGGGGGTTAGTGTATAAAATTCGAGCCGGTTTGCTTTGCTATATCAGAGAGAAAAGAGAGAGGTTGTTAGCCTGGTAGTTTCACGCCGAGCTCGCGTCACGGCAGTTGGCCCGCCAGTTCCAGTTCCAGGCCGTGGGATGGGATATGCAGTACTCACGCTACTACCAGACAGTCCTCTTCTGGATTCAGGAAATTCAGCTTCAACGCATGTCTAATGCCACTTGCGCGGTGTATTGGTACCACATAAGCCATGGTGGTGGTGGTGGTGCGTGCGGTGGTAGTCCGCGGTCCCTCACAAATCGTGCTGGGAAGCTGAGCTGAGCTTCGAGGTGTCGCGGATGACGGTGGGGCTTTCGATAGGCGGAAGCGGAGGTGGGGGTGGACTGGAATATGTATGAGTAGAATTTGGTGGCTTATGAGCAGATCAGTGATCGTAGGAGACACATTTCCGGAGGGATTCGAGGGATTGCACTGTTGCGGGGAGTTCTCAGGTTTGCCCGTTGCCGAGCGGTGCCATGACGACGTTCAATCCAGTTGGCAGCCAACTTCCGCTTTTTGTATAACTTGGACCTTCAAATTTGATACGACCTTCATTTGCAGTGGAAAATAATCAACGACTATATTAGCATCTGCCGACTTTTGCGCGCACTTTTCATTCAGAAAATATCATAACAGTATTCCAAATAATCCAGTACGCTTATCCGACAGGTTACCACCACTCAACTGACCCTACTCTATTGGATTGCTTTGGATATGATCAATTAAATTCTTTTAAATTCCAAGTCTAACAGTCCTCCTTTCCCTCATTCGTCCTCGCAGACTGATAGTCAAATCACCCCGAGGCCAAATACAGTAAGCATACATAAACTGCCGAAAAGAAAGAGACAAAGGGGTAGTCGGTAACCCCAAGCCGTGAAATGTGTGCGCTGGATCATCTAAACGTGAAGATATGAGAGAAAAAGCAGCAAGGAAAAACCACATGAAATAGATCGTCAATCATGACCAAACATCCTCCTGGTAGCTGCCGCTACTCCGCATGTGCTTGACCATCTCCTCGCCGCGCTCAGCCGGCATACCGCGCTGCTCAGCGATGATGTGTCCCAGCACCAAGTTGACCTCCCGGGCCATGTTGGCGGCGTCACCGCAAACGTAGAAGTTGGCCTTCTGCTTCAGCAGCTCACTGACAAGTGGGGCATTCTCCTTCAGGCGATGTTGGACGTAGACCTTCTGAGCGCCCTCACGGGAGAAAGCAGTGATGATCTTCAGGGAGTCGCCCATTTGTTCTTGGTAGGTCTGGAGAAAAAATCAGCATGAAATATTCAAAGAAAGAAAAAGAGGTATGTCAGGTGGTGCAGCATACCTTGAATTCGTCCTGGTAGATGAAGTCCTCGTCGCTCTTACGGCATCCAAAGAACAGGAGAGTAGTTCCAACCTTCTCTCCCTTAGCAGCCAGAGCCGCACGCTCCTGGATAAAACCACGGAAGGGAGCAACACCAGTACCGGGGCCAACCATGATGATAGGCTTGGTGGGATCGGAGGGCAGCTTGAAGTTGGAGTGGCGCACATGAACGGGAACGTGGATACCATCGTACTTGTTACGAGGACCGGTGATAGAGTAGGTAAGGCCGTGGGGATCGGGGGAGGGGTCGCCATTCTGCTTCTGCTTCAGGGCCAGCAGGTAGTTGGTGGTGACACCCTTGACCATGTGCGAAGCACCGGGTAGGCGAACGGACTCGACAACAGCAGTGATGCTGATCTTATCCTTCTGAACCAGAGACGAGGAAGAAATGGAGTAGTACCGGGGCTGGAGCTTGTTGAGGCCCTCAATGAGCAGAGAGAACGGGACGGCGGTGAAGGGCTTGGAGGTTATGCTCTGGAGCGCCTGGGCGATATTGTAGCACTGGTTGCTGATCTTCTCGTGGAAATAATCCTTGTCATTACCGAGGCGGACGATCTCAGTCTTGCTCGCCTCATCGGGGGCGAAAGCAGCGAGAGAGGAGACGAATTGGCGGGAGACGGGGGCGCAAACTTCCACGTAGTAACGGGCGGCAACATCGTAGGTGGTCGGGGTCGGGATGGGAACCTTGGCAGTAACATCAATGCCCTTGACATTGATCACTGAGTTACGCTTGTCCTCAAGACCAAACACCTGCAGGAAACGGTCGACCTCGGCACCGGCGTTGGTGGGCCAGATAGCGATGTGATCACCAGTCTGGTAGCTGAGGTTGCTACCAGCGATGTCAATTTCCATATGGAGGCAGTTGCGGTCCTTAACAGTAAACAGTTCGCGGGATTCACCAATAGGTGCAATGTAAGGGTTGTGAGCAGAGTAAGGGCCTTTGGGCTGGCCGGCGCGGTGGGCAGCAGTGGGCTCTCCCAGATAGACCGAGTCGTCCTCAGGGGTAGTCATCTCATCCTCATCGACTGAAAAGACGGGTTCGTAGACAGCTTCGCGTTCCTGAAGATCCATAGCATCGGTGAGGGCAGCCCACATAGGCTCCTTCCAGGCGAGGAAGTCCTCCTCCATAGTACCGGCACCATCATCACCCTCACCCGCCGCGCCGATGCGCTGAGCACCCAGCTTAGTGAGCGCGGCATCAACATGGCGAACCATGGAGTTGTAGTGTTCGTAGGTGTTGTTACCGAGACCGAAAGCAACATACTTGAGAGAGGACAGCGGGGAGTCGTCGGCGGTGGCACCGCTCTCGAAAGCGATGTCCTCGCCGGTGAGGAACTGGTAGAACTCGACCGCGTTATCGGTGGGCTCGCCCTCGCCGTAGGTGGCGAGCACGAAGAAAGCGATCTTGTCCTCGGGGAATTTGTCCAGGTTCTCGTAATCGTAGTCCTCGATGTCGGCAACCATAGTCTTGAGACCAAAACGCTGGGAACCTTCCTTGGCGAGACGGGATGCATAGTCCTCAGCGGTACCGGTTTGGGAGCCATAGAAGATGACACAGTTCTTGCCCGTCTCATCCATCTTCTCGACGATATCGCGGGTCTTACCGCTCTTGGCGGCACCATTCAGGTTGGCGGAGGAGGCATAAGGATCCTTGGGGACAGCCCAGTAGGTTCCCTTGGTGAAGTAGGCGATGCTACCCACCAAGAGAGCTACCAGGACGACCAGGTCGAGGGTATCGAGTTGAGCCATGACGATTGCGATTGTGGTTCTCCGCAAAGCACACGAGGGCGGAGGGGCGGAGAGTTAAAAAAGCCGGAATGCCAGTCTCCCAGTCAGACGGAGTGAGGGGGCGAAGAGAGGATGGGAGGGAAGGAGGAAAGGAGGAAAGGAAAAAGGAAAATCCCAAAGACCACCCCAATGCGCACGAGAGCGTGAAGTCGAAACTCGTGAGGCTCGTGAAAGTCGTAAGAATCCAGAAGAGACCCCTGAGGGAAGAAAGAGGCAAAGTGGTCTGACCACGCTCCGGTCGGACAAAAGTGGATCGTTACCTGCCGAGGTGCAGTGTAGGTGCAGTGTGATAACAGGAGTAGAAATATGCTGCAGTAAAATAATTGGGAAGAGAAGAGAAGAGAAGAGAAGAAAAAGAAGACTCAATCAGATCGACCCAAATTTCAATCCTGGGAAATGACTTTATATTGAATATCTCCGGATCTCCCCTCGGCTGACGGGGGAGATTTGTACTTGTACTCTTTTACTACCAAAGGTTCTAACTACCAAAGTATCTCTCGGAAGGCAAACACGGCGTCACACTGATTTCCCCAGTGGACTTCTCCGTGGTAATACCTAAATGGTCCAACAAACGACTAGTACCGCTGGGTCATTCCTCGGGTATTCAACTTGTTCGGCACGACCGCCGGGAGATGCGCAACTCTCCACTTACAGTGCCAGTGCCAGTGCCAATGCCACTCAGTGAACTACTTACTACTGTACGAGTACCACTGCCACTGCCATCGAGTGCTTATCCTGGTTTAACGGCTCGGACGGATCCCCACGAATGCTCCCCATCCCGCCCAGTCCGCCTCTTCCGCATTCCGTGTTTTCACCTCCGCTATGATATAGGCCGCTGCGGAGGCATTCCGCGGCTCTCTTCCCATCCCCAGCAAGGTCTGGATCTCCATTTAAGCCTGGAACTCCTGCAGAAAAGGGCACAATTTGAGATTCCTCCCAAATCGGTATTTGCCGGCACACACCCCGGGCAGTCACGGATATGCCAATGGTACGGAGTACATAATGGTACGGAGTACATAATGGTACGGCACCGCTGTCCACTGGGGTCTACTTTGGGTATTCCCCCGCATCCACATGCACGGGTTTCTGATTCTAGCGCCTTCGATCTGACTTGACCGACTTCCCAGTGAGGTGAATCGATTCGTATGGTCGGCTTGGGCGACACCCAGTTCTGCCATGTACACGCGAGAGGGATCACCCTCCGCCACGTTTTGCATATGACCCCCCCCCTCTCGTCTTTGTTCGGCTGGAAATCACCGCACTCCTAGTTCCGAATATAGATGATCTATGTCTGACTGCGACGGAGTGAGAAATGTACAAGTGGAGGAGGCTCTCGTGTTTCACGATGGTCGACCCATCGTCTATGACACAAGCAGTCAGATCCCAACACCTTGCGTGGGACACAACGGAGACAACTTAGTAGGACAGCGTCTCGTGTAGATTGATTGATGACCCTCATGGTCCCCTCGCGATCAGCGGGGACGGAAGGCTGGGCATAACGGCCCTGCAGGTCGATCGTAGGTTAGTTCTGGTTCTGGTTCTGGTACTCCATACTTCCATACTCCATATATCAATCAACTCGGTCGTTAGAGGGCTTGGTGAACTGAACGATTTAAGGAATATTTCTGTTTCCAATTTTTCATTTCCCTCTTCCCCTCGAATTCCTGATCACTTACTACTAGTAGTACCTTAGTGTTAGGGAGTACCTTATGATATCCCCCATTATCCGAAACATGGAGGAGAGGCTGTGACATCCAAGAGCCCAAACGGCTGGGCTCAAGGCTGAGACAATTGTCCATAAACTAAGATTGAAAAGGTAGGAGCAGAGTGCAAGTTAATGAGTCGTAGAGATCAGGTTCGGCTGCAGTACTACTAGTATGGATAGCACTACTATTAGTAAATATATTGGTCACTGGAGTGGCATCCTGGGCATTGCAATTGCAGCCTTGAACACATAAAACGGAGATAGAAATCTATAGTTACCTAGGTAGACAACAACTGGAACTCATCACTCTCGTCAAGCAAACTCTGAAACCTTCAAATTCAAGTTGAATCCACTAGAAGCCCCAGAAGCAACGTAGAAGCATCCTGGGATTCGCCAGTTCGCGCGGGCACAGGAGAAAAAGCGGTCCCCGTGCGCCCGAATCAACATCCCAAAGCTCCCTCTTTCTCCCAGAAACTTGAACCAACCACCTCCCTCCACCCCTAAATCTGCCGAGCATCATACTATAATGGATTGAGCCGCTATGTCCCGCCTATTGCGATCTGCTGACTTCAAGTTTTAACCGGCTGCCTGCATGAGATTCGAGCAATGAGTTCTTGACTTGTCGCGAGCAGTAAGTTCGTTGGGCCTCCCTTGCGCTCCTCCCATCACATCACATCATATCCCTCGGAACCTCGCCTGACTCGTCAATCCTCACAGTGACATCTCATCCGGCCAAAGGTGCTGGCCCCGGCCAGCAATCGACCCTGCCCCTCATTCCCGACGACCTCAAAGCCGCCTCACAACACAATCTCACCTCCCCAGCGGAGTGGCGAGCTACCAGAACAGCGCAATCGACTCCGATGCACAGTCGTGAGTCCTCCGCCGTTCGGGGTAGAGCGGCCGACCCCTCCACATTAGCGCCCACAATCCAAACTCGTCGCGGTCATTCCGGCTCCAAGAGTCCCGATGTTTCGACCGGTCGCCCTGCAGGATATGACGTGGGATTGGAAAGACGACCGTCGAACTCGTACGGCCATCACCGACAGACCTCCATCGTCCATGGCATGCAACACTCGCGCAACCCCAGCATGGCTGGCTCGACTGCATCCGCTAGTCCCCTCAGCCCCGAGCTGATCGCCTCTCTTGGCCGTGGCTCTTCTTTCGACGAACCTGGTCCGACGAAGCTCGACCAGCTCGACGCGCATCCCAACTTCCCAAGCCCAGCGGGTGCCCCTGCAAGCCATGGCCATCCGGTCCCCTTAAGCACAATTCAGGACAACGATATAGGCGACGTGATGAATGGCAGCCCCGTGAGCGTGCTACACAAGAGAATGAATTCCGGAGGAGTAACGAGACGGGATCGGTCCCACAGCCGCTCACATTCAAAGCATCATTCCGATTCGAAAACAGTGGGGGAAATATGCGCTTCATCATTTATTTAATTCGGTAAGAGAGGGGGAGGGAGAGAGTCATACACTTTTCCCACCGGAAACCAAATAAAGCCTATGCTGACTGGCAATTCGTCCAATAGTTTGTTGGTCAAGCAGACAGCAAGATCAACCAGGCGATCCTAAAATTAGGGGAGTCCGAGGCCCCCGTGGAGGAAGTTTGCGGACCAGGCGCCGATTCGGATTTCGATCAATTGATATCAGCACTGGGCCACATCGCGCGCCAGAAGCCAAAACCACTAATTGATACTATAATGCTCTGGAGAAAGGCCAAGGGAGACGCTGCAATCACTGCGAGGCAGATGACGAATGAGCCGGTATGTGAGGGCCCGCCGACAAGCAGAAAGGTATACGCTAACTGTACCCAGCCCAAGCCAATTGTCACAGAGAATGGAGTGCTCATGCGTCGCAACACGGAACCCACCCAAACACCCACAGAGTCAGGTGCGCCGGCAGACCGTTCTCCGCAAACGCCATTCATTTCTCGCCATGACGACGTCGTTTTGGTCGAACGCCGAGCAACAGTGTCAGTCTACCTGGTATGCAGAGTCCTGATCGAAATCTTCAACCAGAGTAGTCTGGCATCAATTACACTCGACATGGCAGATCGTCTCGAAGATATAGTTTTCGGCCAAATAAAAACCGTCGATCCGGAGCAAATCTCGGCTTCACCTCTCCGCATGGCTAACTGGAGGATATATGGCCAATTGCTAGGAATAATGAGTGAAGCAAACTTCACTAGCGTGGCCAACCGCTTCTTGGCCGAGCTCGAAAAACTCCAAAAAGATGAAGCAGCCCGTGGCCCAACACGAGACGGTGATGCGAAAGCGGAACTACTTATCCTCGGTATGAGGTACCTGCGCCTCCCGATGAATCCTGATAACTGGAGCAAGTCATGCGACTTTATGCGATCCTTAGCACGTCTATTTGTCAACGCACACGGACAAAGGATCAAGCAAGCTTATTGCTACGTGATCGAGAAGCTCTTACTCCCCGTGGCTGCGAATCCTACAGTTGACCTCTCGATCCCCCGATGGAAGGAGTTTCTGGATCTGGTCCAACCGCGGCTGGCACAACTTCTTACCAAACCTCGTCATTGGGCTTCCTCATACTCTTTGAATGTTCTCTTGCTATGCATCTCGAGCAAGGAGACCTTCTCCGCACAGTGGCTGTCGATGGTAACGAGCCTACCGCCGCGACTAAAAGATCGTCCTACCCGAGCTCCAGCCCTTCAGGCAATCTGTCGTCTCGTTTGGACCTACTTCTTTCGCTATTCCGATTCCCCGACGGTCACCCTTCGCAAGCTAGAGGAAGTGACCAAGATTGCCTTGCCCACTGGACGCCGGACCTATCTCAGCGCAGAACCCACCTTTGCGGATCCCTTGATTCAGCTGATCAGAATGATCGGTTTCAAGCACCCGGACGTCTGCTTCAGGACCATTATATTTCCCTTGATCAACAGTGACCTGTTCTTGTCTCCTAGAGAAGTCAAGATTGAACAGATGGAGCCAGAGAAGATGGTCATTGGTATCCGCTCTTTCCTGGCGACTATGTCAGATCTCGAAACCAGCGATCAGCTCTGCCCTCCTTTCCCCACTGGATCCCTTCCAAATCCATTCCTGGATTCTTCTACTCCCATTTACTTCCATCGCCCACAATTGCTAGCAGAGCCTAAGGTGGGCTCATCAGCTCAAAAGCCTGAGCCATCATGGAGTCCCGTCAATATATCGAGGCTGAGTGCCAATGTAAAGGAGTATTACCTCCGTTTCTGTGAAGTGCTCGGCAAGATCACCATTCTCTGTGACAATACCTTTGGCGGCCAGGCAGTGTTAGATGAGAAGTTTGGTGGCACTACGCCCAAAACTCCACTGACCGAAGCATTCGGGTTCGGACGTCGCGATGACCATGTGAACACGACCGATCAAAAGCAAGGCTTTTATGATCTTCTACACGTTGCAGTGCAAGCTTTACCTCGTTGTCTTTCAGACCATATTCCATTCAACTCATTGATCAATCTGTTATGCACAGGGACTGCACATGTTCAATCAAATATTGCAAAGTCATCAGCGGAGTCGTTGAAATCGATTGCCCGGCAATCTCACGCGCAACAAGTTACTATTGGCTTCGCGAGATTTATTTTTAACTTCGATGCACGTTATTCGACCATGTCCGATGAAGGGATGCTTGGCCCTGGGCATATTGAGTCAACGCTGCGACTTTACGTTGAGCTTTTAAGTATTTGGATCGACGAGATCAAGCAAAAGACCAAAGAAGCCGCGTCAGACCAACTTGAAAAATCCGTCTCTGGAAGCCGAGCGCTTCATCTCGATCTTTCGAGTGTTCTTGCACATGTGGAAGAGATTGAATCACATGGTCTCTTCTTTTTGTGCTCGCAATCGCGTAGAGTTCGCGCGTTTGCCATTAATGTTCTACGCCTGATCACTGAATTCGATAGTGCCCTGGGCAAAGAAAACACAAGAATCATCAGAATATTGGAGGCTGATTCTCAGCAAATCCTGGATGTAAATGACGAGCAGCTGACAGTTGCGGAGAGGAGTCGCATTCAAAAAGGCAAACGAAGAAGCGCGTCGCAGAATACCCTCATCGAGCTTTGCAGCAGCGAAGTGTCATACGACTCCACGTTGTGGGCTAAAGTGTTCCCGAATATCATCCGGGTCAGCTTCGAAACCTGTCCCTTCGCTGTCACATTAGGCAGAGAGATTGTCTGTGCGCGTCTGGTTCAGATGCACAAGATGATCTCGTCACTGGCTGAGCGGTCAAGACCACCCCAATACTCACCCGTGGATGTCTACCAAAGTCGGCCGCTGGGGCGGAGTAATATGACAGCAGAGATCCTGGTCGAGCAATGGAGACTGTACCTAGTTATGGCCTGTACGACCGTAACCAGCGTCGGTGCCCAGTCTCAAAGTCAGCTAGCAAACGCTCAGCATACACGGAAGGCCTCGAAGGGAGCATCATCTTCGGATAAGATAAGTTCTGCCCGGAGTCTTTTCGCCTTCGTCATTCCTCTCCTTTCTGCCGAGCGAGATTCCATCCGCAACGCCATAGTTATAGCACTCGGTGCCATTCACAAGAATCTTTACCGGACCTTGTTGGAGTCTCTGCAGTATGCGGTGACTACTTGCAATGAAGAGGCCAAGATCCGAATTGGCTTTCACCACCGCACACCGAGTAGCCCTCCTCGGGACCGAAAGACGGATCGACTGCGCACCGAAGTGACGCATGTGTACAAGCTGACCTCGCATTTTCTGCGAGAGCCAGAGGTATACAACGAGGACTGGATTGTTAACAACCTGATCACTTATTCCAAAGATATTCGTATCTTCCTGAGCGATGCAGAAGTTCAGAATGACTGGGAGTTCCAGCGCTTGCGTTTCCACTACTGTGGCCTGATGGAGGAGCTCTTTGAAGGCGTGAACCGCACCAAGGACCCCTCACGGTGGATTCCGTTTGAGTCCCGCAAGTCGGCCTTTTCGCTCATGGAGGATTGGTGTGGGTACTCACCTAACCAGAATCACATCAATGAGCGGGAAGAGCATATGCGGAAGTTTGCTGTCGCCCAACCGCACGAGGGCGGCGAAATGAGAAACGTTGCTGCTGCCATGGAGATCGAAAAGAAGAATCTCAGGGCTGCAGCATTGAGTGCAATGGCTTCCCTTTGTGCAGGCCCCATCAGCATCACCACAGAAAGCGGATCCGTGCTTCAGTTCGATGTTGCCCGAATGTTATCATGGATCGATATAATATTTGGTACACTGAGCGACAAGTGGCACTCAATTGGTCGCCGTGCCCTCAAAAACCTCATAATCCACAACAAGGAGCATTCATATCTCATGGAGCGATCGGTTGAGATGTGTTATGTCTCCGAGAGACCTAAAGCTCTTGAGAGCTACTTCGAAGTGGTGACCGAGGTGCTCATTGAGCACCCAGACTATCCGCTAAGGTTCTGGAGAATTTTGGGTGCCGTTTTGGTTACTCTTGGAAATGAGAAGCGCGAGATTCGCATGAAGTCTGCCAAGCTTCTTCGTAGGCTCGAGGAGCGGCAGCAGAAGAGCTCCCGTATCCAAGACTTTGACATCAGTATCTCGGACAAGACAACGGCCGTGTATAAACTCGCTCAATTCGAGACTTCTAAGCGACTGGCCACTTTGCATGGAGATCTCGCATTTACTTTGTTTTCGGAATTTGCTCTGCACTTCCGCAACCTTCGGCCAGATAGTCAGCGCAATATGGTTGCCGCGATCCTCCCGTGGGTTCAAACCATGGAGTTGCAGCTTGATCCAAATGGCGGCCCAACTGCCCGATCTTACATGCTCCTTGCAAATCTCTTTGAAATTACTATACGCTGCAGCACTATCCTCCCAAACCAGGTTCAAGCATTATGGCAAGCGTTGGCCACAGGCCCGCATGGAGGTAATGTCCAGCTGGTCCTGGACTTTATCATCAGCCTCTGTCTCGAACGCAAAGAACAGAACTTTGTGGAATATGCTAAGCAAATTGTTGTCTTTTTGGCTGGAACCCCAGCGGGTTCAAAAGTGGTTGAGTTCTTCCTCTTGCAGGTGGTGCCGAAGAATATGGTACAGGAGCGAAAAGACTCAACTTCACCACCTCCTGATATCAAGAACCTCCCTTATGTTGCAGACTTGAGCACCGTGATCCCTATAGGAAGCCAAAAACAAGCTGGTCTTTCTCTTGGACAGGTGGCTCTCATTTTCCTTGTTGATCTCATGGTAGCTCCGGTCACACTTGCTTTGGATGATGTCGTCAAATTGCTCCATGTCGTTCTTATCCTCTGGGATCATTATACTACTACTGTGCAAGAGCAAGCGAGAGAGATGCTAGTTCATCTCATTCACGAACTGGTCGCAGCAAAATTGGAGGAAGATTCCCCGCCTGGTGCTCGGCAGCTCTTCGAGGACTTTGTGGAATCGATTCGCAACAGCGATTCTGCTGTTGTTTGGGAATATGAAGAAAATTCCGGCAAGGAGGACGAAGCTGAAGATCGCAAAGTGCCCTCGGCCATGGCTACAGTGACTCGCGACGTAATCAACTTCTTCAGTTTCGCCTACGAGGGAGTTGGTGATCTCTGGGCTAAAGAAGCATTGAATTGGGCGACTTCATGCCCTGTTAGACATTTGGCATGTCGTTCTTTCCAGATTTTCCGCTGCATCTCGACATCTTTGGACTCACGCATGCTGGCGGACATGCTTGCTCGACTGTCGAACACCATCGCAGACGAGGAAACCGACTATCAGACCTTCTCCATGGAAATCCTCACCACTTTGAAGATCATCATTAGTTCGTTGGCACCTGCAGACTTGTTACATTATCCCCAATTATTTTGGACTACGTGCGCCTGTCTGAACACGATCCACGAGAGCGAGTTCATGGAGAGTCTTGGCATGCTGGAAAAGTTCCTTGATCGAGTTGATCTCGGCGACCCGACCGTGGAAGCCAAGCTCATTGAAGGCCAGCCACCAAAGTGGGAGGGTGGGTTTGATGGTCTCCAGGATCTTGTGTTCAAGGGTCTGAAATCATCTGAGTCGTTGAGACGAACACTGGATTTGCTTCACTCTCTGAGCAGCCTTCCTAACAACGGCCTCATTGGAGATGGGACTCGACATCTGTTTACCATTCTGGCCAACCTGCCCCTTTTCCTCCAATGCTTTGAAGAAGGCTTCACCGACCAGAAGCCAATCCAACACGCTAGCTTGCTTGCCCGCGTGGCGGAAAATGAGCGATGCCCACGACTCGCAGCATCTTTGTTTGGTTTTGCAAACCAGCAGTATAAGACTGAAGGTGTTTTCTTGGATCACATCATTACAGAGATCAAGTCATACTATTTCCCTCATCTGGATTTCCAGTGTCTGATTTTCTTAATGGGACTTCTAACCAACACCACGGACTGGTTCAGAATCAAGACTATGAAAATCCTCTGTGTTTTGATCCCCGAAGTGGACATGCGCCGCAACGAGGTTACTTGTCACGGACCGGATCTCATCTCGCCATTGCTGCGACTTCTGCAGACTACCCTCTGCCCCCAGGCCTTGGAGGTGCTTGATCACATCATGACGGTTGCTGGCAACCCAATGGAACGTCATCATCTGCGTATGAGTATGGCATCTGCCACTTCATCTCGCGCCATTCGCAAGGAGTACGAGCGGATTCAAAGTTTGTACGGCATTCCCGAGCCCTCGGGTTGGTCCGTCCCCATGCCCGCTACTCAGTCCGTCATGACTCGGAACAACGTTCATGCCGTATTTTACACATGTGCCGAAGCCGATGAACTGAATCAACAGGATGACATGACGCCCAGCGTGGAGTTCCGAGCAGATGACTTCAACGACTCATATTTCCCCACGAGGGCCGACACCATGAAGTCCATTGATACCCAGACAGACGATAACATGGGCAATATCGTACAGAAACTGGACAGCCTGGATGACTTCTTCGATGAGAGCAGTATGCCAACACTCAATCCAGTGGCCCCACCGATGCTTGGAGGGTTCACCGGAAGCTACGTGGACACCAATGCGCATCTCTACGATCAGCAGACAGCACCCATCTTGCGGAAATCTCTCGCCCGAACAGGCTCAACTTCATCATTCCACAATGGTCTCGCAGAGTCACGACCAGCCAATTTCCGATTCGATAGCCCAGGCATGCCCTCCCCTGTTACGATAAATTCTCAATTGTCGAATCAGACCTTGAGGCCAGCATCACATGTCCGGTCCGTCACGTCGCCCGCCAACAATCTGTTCGTCCACACACAGCCACCTGCAATCCACGAAACACCATTAGTTGGACATGGCGACTCTGCGTTCTTCTCCGATGACGATATAGAAGAAGCGCACTCGGACTTCGATGAACACCCCATTGGAAAGTCCCGAGCAGCGGCTGTTCCACCTATGGTCCGCAGCGCAACTGACGGCCCCCATTCTTTGGAGTCTATGATACGCAGCGGTATGCGCCGCTTGACCGGCGGCACGGCCAACTCCCAAGAGAAGCAGAGACAACGAGACATCCTCCGTGCCCAACACCGGGCCATGGTGCAAACAGCCAGTTCCCCACGTGTACCGAAAGTACCCGAGGAGTACCTTGCCGGACCAACCAGTCACCCCGCCTCACCAAGATAAGAATTCCAACCATGGACTAGATCCATAAATACCATAGGGTATGCCATCTTGCCGTTTCTTCTCATCTCATTCCCTCTTTGCCATTTTGAGCCTGGGGCATTTCTCGGGCGTTCGGATTCGAATCTCATACCCTTGTCTTCGTTTGATATTTTCGCTGTGTTTTCTGTGGGTGCATATCTGGGTGTTTGTATACATCATAGCGCTAGGTAGAAGCAGTTGAGCCGAGGTGGTTATCCTGATTGCCGTAAGTGAGGGTAGTCTGAACTGCTACACTTTAGTCATTATAGAATGAATGCACAGAATCTACTCCAATTGATTTGAGATTTCCATTAATACATGTAAGAACTCGAGATGCAACGAAAAAATTCATGTAGTATTAATGAAAGTAAAAAAAAAGCCAGAGAGAAGAAGAGCAAGAAGAGGAAGCTATCGCTCAGATGGCTACAGGTATAAGTCCGGGGAAGGTAGGCGTGGATGCCTAATGCCGAGATCATGTGATGCCTAATGCCGAGATCATGTGATGCCTGATGCCGAGACCAGGTGACGAGATGCGATGCTTACTCTGGGGCAATCTCATACAATACAGATAATTCAGTATTCAAGGCTCATTGTATGCCCGCTCTTAATATCTTCGGGTTCTTAGATGGGCATCATCTCTTCAAGTTCAAGTTTTTATATAGCTCCACTCCACGTGACCCACCCCCACAGGGTTCCCCCGCATCGAACGAGTGATCCGTTTGCTCTGCTCTCCTCTCATAGGCCCCACTGCACCTCGGAAAGCGACGGCCATCAATGGGCCGAGTATTTAAGCCCGAATTCCCCTCATTATCGTTTGCCGAGTAATATATCTCTTTTCTCTCTCAAAGCATTGTACCTACTTTGCACGTATCCCTCCCTTCCTTACCTCCCGATCCAAGTACACAATGAATATCCGCTCCGCGTACGCAGTACCTCGGGCGGCTCGCATCCTCCGACGCTGGCCGTCTACAAGCTCGGTAAGCTCGGTCCGAGCATTTTCGACGACATTGCACCGTGACGCAACATGGGGATTTGTCGGATTAGGCCAGATGGGTATGTTTAGAGCTAGATTGGCCTTTGGGGGGTAGCAAGGGCTAATACCTGTGTTTCATGATCTTGGTGCCTGGATTAATATGTTGCAGGCTACAATATGGCCAAAAATCTTCGGGCTAAGATTCCTGCTTCTGACACACTTATTGTACGCGACGTGAATAAGGATGCTATGACTCGGTTTGTCGAGGAGTCGCAGGAGATTGCGAGGAGCAGTGGGGCTGGTGCCGAGGTCGGACGAGTGGAGGTTGCTGAGAATGCGCGTGAAGTTGCAGAGAAGTCGGTGAGTACCTATCTACCTTGTGGGACCTCGATCTATGTGCGATGAGTAGAGCTGCCAGTGTATTTGTGCTTTGAAATTGCCTGCTTCATGCGCTATTTCCATTGGGTTGGGATTGTGAAGATGAAGAACTAATCATTTATTCTTCGCTAGACGGTGATGATTACCAGTCTCCCTGAATCTCAGCATGTTACGGAGGTGTACAATTCTATTATGAAGCCTGGAAATCTTCCGGTTCTCGAGCAGGAGCGTCTCTTCATCGACACTTCAACTATTGACCCTGTCACCTCAAAGGGTATCGCCAACGCAATCCACACCACCCAGACTGGCCGCTTTGTCGACGCCCCGGTTTCTGGAGGGGTAGTTGGGGCCAAAGCAGGCACATTGTCATTCATGTTCGGTGCTTCTGCAGAGAATGAAGAATTCCTCCAACGTGTTCGGGGCGTTCTCGCCTTGATGGGCAAGAAGGCATGGCACCTTGGTGAACCTGGTTCTGGGGTGTCTGGCAAACTCGCCAACAACTACATGTTGGCCATTAATAACATTGCGACAGCCGAGGCCATGAATCTAGGAATTCGATGGGGGCTGGAGCCCAAGGCGCTCGCGGAGATGATCAATTCGTCTACCGGCCGCTGCTGGCCCTCGGAGGTCAACAACCCTGTTCCTGGGGTGGTAGATACCGCGCCAGCCTCGCGTGGCTATACGGGTGGATTTGGAGTCAGTCTGATGAATAAGGATTTACGCTTGGCTCTCTCGGCGGCTGAAGATTCGGGGACACCTTTGGCTCTGGGTGGTCAAGCGCGCGAGGTATACAACGCTGTCGAGGCTGCGCATCGAGGAAAGGACTTCTCGGTTGTCTACCAATGGCTACACGATAAGTCAAAGTAGTTCTGACAGACCGTGTAACTGGCCTGGTGAATCAGAGATTGATTCACTCTCATATGCGTGGCGTTTTCATTCATATGCGATTCCCCTAAGCTTTCACTACCTGTGTTGCCCTAGATCGTGGCTCCAAATTTTCAAGGATAGACAACTGATATAAGCATTCAAACCCAAAAATCCCGATCAGGGATCCATTTACTTAACAAAAATTTGTCTTGGTCTTATTCTCTCACTTTATTTATATTCAGTTCGGGATAGAGGTCGCAAACTGTATGCGATTACGACCTACCCGCACAGCACGAAATCAGTCGAGCACGTTTGTTGGAGTCATCTTTCAGCTTTCCTACGCTGTGTCCTTACTCCTCCCAAACATCCCGGCCTGATTCTATTCTGTGACTTCAAGTCTTACTATCATTCTTCACCTCACTTTATTCTCATTGAAGACATCGATATCATTCTGTGTTCGTACCTTCCGTCTCTCCACGTGAGTACTTTCCCTCCAAGATTGGATCCCCTCGTTCTCTTGGCGTCCTTTTCGACCTCTCTTCGAATCCCTCCCTCCCCGGGTCTTTTCTACTCTTTTTTCTCTTTTTATCTTCTTCTGGTCATCGTTGTCCTTTGCCAGTGCCCTTGTGGTGTTTGCTGATCGGTGGTCTTTATTGGCCGTATACTCCAGCCTACCTCGACCCGTCAACCAGTATCTCCGAATATCGCAAGACCAGGCACCGCCAGATCCTGAAATCTTCATCGGAATTGTGAGTTATTTCTGCAATGATTCATTCTTTTTTTGAACTCCAGGACGGTCGAGAGTTGGATGATAAGGGTGAATACTGACTGGGTTGTTGAACAGCAATCATTTCTTGTCTTTCTGCCTACCTTTGGCGTATACCCCGTCCAGGGTGCCAAGGTAGAAACCTCTCTGTTCAAGGTGAGCACATCTCCTTCTATGCCCATTTACTTGCACTCGAGATACATTACATTTGTGTCCTGCAAGAAATGGAATGGCTTTTGGTTTCATGTTCTGACGGCCTCGGCATATTGGATCATGGATTCCCAAATGGCAGGCAATTAGCACTAACAGAAAGCTTCAGACTCCGCCGTTCAATTCAACCCTTGCTGGAAATCTCAACATGCATCATCAAAACTCTCAGAACCCCAGCTCTTCGAGCTCTGGCCCTTCCTCCAATGGACAGACAGGCCAGTACTACCACGATCCTCGCTCTTCCTACCCTTCGACCTACAACCAAGCTGCAAAAACACCCATTCGCGATGTAAACTCATCCGGTCCCCAAGTCTACAATGGCTCAAACATGCAGAATCAACGCAACAAGTTTACATCTAAAGCTGCTGCCCCTATTACCGTGAACTCTAACCTGGATTGGTCGGCCGCAAACCGTGCCTACAACAGTCCGCTGATTCTTGTACCCAATTCAACCCTCTTCAGTGGCATTCCACAGGTATCCTCATTTGTCACCAGTCCGATCACTGGGCAAACCGATCAGGTCAACCAGTTTCCTTATGTCCCGACCGGTGTGTACCAGAATCTTGGTTCTATGATTCCCGGAACCTACTCGTCATGGCCATACATGATGAACTACGAGTTGCAGGACAACAAACAAAGTGTCTGGAACCCAGCTGATCAAAAGGGAGCTCAGAATGAAAACAGTGGCTCACTTCAGTACTATCCATCATTTGTACCCACTTTAGACGGTGCCTCTTTGTCGGGTTATTCCTATCCAAACATGCTTCCCCAGGTTGGTCCCCTCTCACTACCATTCCAGATGATGAAAACCACCAATGGATACGTTATCCAGGACCTCGACGCCCTGACCCAGCAAGATCCCGCTATCCCTCGTGCCGTACCGGCCATGTGGACCAACCCATCCGAGTTAACTCTGGCCAAGTGCCTGGAGAACCGTGAAGGCATTACCAATGTCTACATCCGAGGCTTCCTCCCCGAGACTACTGACGATATGCTGCATGCTTACGCTTTTCGATTTGGAAAGATCGAGCGTTGCAAGGCCATCGTCGACCTAGACACAGGTCTTTGCAAAGGGTATGTATGGCTCCCCAATAATCGTGCGCTAATCAAACTAACACAGCGATCGATAGATTCGGATTTGTTCAGTACTACAGTTTCGAATCCTGCGAGAACTGCATCCGAGGCTTCTTTTACCTGGGTTACCAAGCCAGTTTCGCTCAGAAGTCTCGCAATTCTCGCCTCAAGGACCTCGAAGACAGAGCGTCCACAAATATATATTGTACCAACATTCCAATCGACTGGACTGAAGCAGTAAGCTAAACTTGAAAAACTTGAAATTCTCATACATGGAAAGGAATGACTGCTTACCGCAATTATAGGACCTCCGTCGCCACTTCGAGCCTTACCGCGTGATCTCTGAGAAGATCAGTCGCGACGACAAAACCGGTGTGAGCAAGGAAGTTGGTTTCGCTCGGTAAGATTAATATCCCATTCCTCAAATCGAGGTATGTCAGCTGAGCCATAAGCACAGATTTGAGAGTCGCGAAATCGCAGAGCAAGTATTGGGCGAGTTTCACAACACTACAGTGAAGGAAAACAGTGTCAAGCTGCTGCTTCGATTCGCGGACACCAAGGCTCAGAAAATGCTGAAGCAGCAGAGCAACGAGCGTCGGGCATACCGCGCTGGCGAGTACAATTACTCCGTGGAAGTTGTGCAGGGATCAACCCCATCGCCCTCTGTGCAGCGTCTTCAGCAGACCGGCACTCTCCTTACACCGAACTCTCAGGGAAGCTTTACCTCGCCAACTGGTATGGGATCGGGCTCGAACTGGACCCCAGCAACTTCGATCTCGCCTACGTAAGTACTGGCATGATTTCCACACTTCCTGAATTTTTTTACCCGCTTGAGTGTTGGAAGCTGACAAGGTTATAGCTTTGCGTTGATGAAGGACTCTGCGAACAGTGCTCGCTACAGCTCACTTTCGTCTCGCTCTCTTAACGCGCTTGAGAGTACCCCTGTGTCTCGTCGCCGCTTTGCGAACCGCCGATCCATGACCGACATCTCCGCCGGGTCTTCAAAGACTGCTGTCCCGGACTCTCCTACCTTTGAGCCCCGCTCATACATGTCGAGTCCTCGGAAGGAAAATATCAAGGCTGGTAGCCTGTCTCCCCTTCCATCTCGCATGGAGACTATGACACCTGCTTCAGTTGCGTGAAATCGCTAGACACATCTCGTCCATGGATGAAGGTGGAAAGTCGGAAGTTCGAAAGCTCGTGTGTCTGATCTGCCTGCTGCTGGCAATTTCTATCCATCTTAGATTCGCGACATGCATTTTCATTCAAAGAATGTACAATGTATGGGTGCGCGTCATTTCACGTTTCTGCTTCTTTTTTCACACTTAAGGATACTATGTCTACTCTTGTATCTTTTCCTTATCCTTTCTGTGACTGTGGACTGCCTCGCAAGCTGATCGTCTCGCTCCGTTTTTGTTTTTCTTACACTGTATGACTTTGACGTATATCTGTACATGACATGGAAAGGGTGGGTGGATGTGCTTTTTCTGCACCTGTGATTTTACTATCCTCTACACTTGTGATTTCATCTTCTATCGCTCTTCAAGTTTCTTTTTTCTTTTTTCTTTCGTTCGAGTTATGGGGGGAGTTACGTTCTGTGTGGTATGTTTTCGGATACATGTTTTCCTCAGAAATCCGCTCTCACCTCTATGGCTAGAGAGCACAAAAATACTATGATATGTTCCAACAAAGAGGGATCCATAGTAAAATCTATATATAGGATAGTGCGTAAGCACAGATTGTAGAGTATAATCTATAGACATGACCAATGTAAGGGGAAAGGGGTGTGTATACAAGATGAGAAGCCAAACAGGGCCATCGCTAAACTCTTCAAATCCAATCCAATCAAAGATATCCCGCTTGCAAATACTCTTGATTCAAATCACATCCTACCCACTCACTCTCTGCCCAATCTCTCCTCCCCATCCTCCGTCAATTCATACGCCGGTAAATAGCGACCATTGCCACCACTATCAGCCCCAGACTTATCAACCTGTAGCTTCGGATTCGGATGCGTATCCGATGTCCCACCAAGACTGGTATACCCCATATCATACAGAGCGCAATACTCCAATCCAAGATGACGAATGAAGGCCCAAATTTCGGCATAATGCCAGTCAATGACGGGGTGTATGCGCATAAAGTCAGGCCAGCCGGAATCGGTCCGGTCGAAGTGTGTGAGTTGGGCGCCGTGCGGGTCGGTGCGGCGGGTGCCGACGAATATAGCGCGGATAGAGGGGTGGCGGGATAGGTAGTCTTGGAAAGTGGAGCGGAGGGTTGTGTGGGGTGGTTCGGTGGTATATTTTGTTATAGAGAGGTGATAGGCTTCGGCGGATGTTATGACAAAGTCTTCGACTGAGGCGAAGGGGTCGGGTGGGAGGGCGTAGATGGATGGGATGGTGGAGGTATTGGGGGTGTTGGAGGGGTCGTCATTTTGCACGTGGGTGTTGTATGGGTGTAGACCTGCTAGGAACAGGATCAGAAGGACAAGACAGTCCTTTCCGCCGTTATAGGAGAGGGATAGTTCCGAGGGTTTATATTTGGAGAGCGCTGATGCTACGACGCCGAGGGAGGTGCGGGTTTGCTGTTGGACCGAGGCGAGGAGGGAGTCTGGCGGGTGTGTCTCGGCGAGGAAGGCTTGCACGCGGGCATGAATGCGCGCGATCACGGTTGGCAAGGGGGGGAATCTCATCATCTTCGGCTTCGGCCTCGGTCTCGGATTCATTGGTCTTGCTGGCGTGGCCATTCGCAGATCCGTTCTCAGCCCCGCGGTGAGATGTCGGAATTGCGGCGGGTCGGAATGGGCGCAGGTGGTCTGCCGCACACGAAGGTTGATGAGGGACCACAGGCTCAGCCATTGTGTGGAGGGAAGGAGGGAGGAGAGGAGGGAAGAGAAGAAAGCACGACAATTGGGGTTGGTCGAAGTTGGGAGTTAATTGGAAAAGTTCAAGTTAAGATTCCGAGTCGGAGTCACGTCTAGGAAGGCGGGGGAAGAAAGTGGGTTTCTCGGCATTCGGGGAAACAACTGAAATACAATTTGATCGGATCTACATGAGTAGTCCACTGTGGGGAGGTGTCAATGGTAGAACGTATCGAGGATAGATAGTATATATTCATCAAATTAGTTATTTGATATGGAATTGTAAGGGTCTGCCTCAAATATTGTTTGTATCGTCTACAAGGAGGACTGCATCGAAGCTTCTAGTCGTTAGCCTAGTGGGAAATAGGAATGCATGGACCACCGGACATGTGCGAATCAAACGTCGAGGAATTTCGGAGAGCCAGACTAATAGGGATAACCCTAGATAAGAAGGTCTTGGTAAGAGTGAGATAAAGATAGAACCGGACCCAGGAGGTTTAGGAACAATTGGCCGTAATCGTGGATTGGATATATGGGAAATAAAGCAATATCATAAGAGCGCAGAGAGCAAGACAATCAATAGATGGATGAACCTAGAACACCAGGTTTCGCAAAGTTCAGCCGAGAACCTTCATCTTTTTCTTCTTCTTCGTCTTATCATCTCCTTTGCGACCCTTTTGCCAGTCTCGCCAGGTCCCAATGCGTTCCTCCCGAGTGTTCTCCCATGCCTTGTCATTATCACGCTTGCGCTTACGCGCCTCCAGCTCCTCCTCTTCCTTGCGCTGTTCTCGACCCTCTTCTTGCATGCGAGCCTTGACCTGTCGCCGCCGCCGAGCTTCTTCCTCTAGCAAGACATGGGTGGTCTTCTGGCGCCATTCCACCTTGAATTCTTCCGTCTTGAGTTCCGGTGAGTCCAACGTGTACTTGTGTTCACGGATCAGCAGCCGCCGCGCATCGGCAATGCACTCATCCAGGTATGTGCGCTGTTTTTCATCGAGCAGGGCGGTTTGTGCCTTCTTCAACCGATCGAAAGCATCGGGTGCGGCGGGGTTCTTGGTTTTGTCGGGGTGGATCAGGAGGGACTTTTTCCGGTATTGGACCTTGATGTCCTTGTCAGGAACACCCGGCTGGAGGTCTAGCACGGCATATCTATAGCGCAACAAAGGGTCAGCAGAGGGGAAAAGGGGGAAAACAAATATAAGCGTAAGGGTAATAAGGCAACATACGAATCAAGGGAAAATGCATTGCGAATGCGGTCGATCTCCGCATCCTATAGGAGCACTCGCGGGTTAGCTCAGGCCGAGCACGAGCATAACGGGGAAATTCAAATGCACCCACCTTGGTAAACTCCGATGCCTCGCGTTCCAGTGAGTCAAAAATATCCTGATCGTCGTCTTCTGCCATGGCTAGAGGAAGGATGCTCCTGAACAAGTCCCCGGGGCATCAGGTCGGCCAACGCGCGACCTGATAAGGTTCTTATCGTGCTTAGTCATCCAGAAAAAAAAGCTGCTTCGATAAGAAATTCGCAGGTCACCCCGAGGCAACCTGCATTTGACTAGACTTGAACTACACTTGTCTTGACAACCACCGTCGCTAATCATGGCTCCGCCCCGGAAATCTGGCGGGAAAGCCCCCAAAACGAATCATGGATCTGAGAAGAACCTCAAACGCAAGCGCGGCGAGGATTCGCTGTCTTCTCTCATCCAGCGCGTGGAGGATCTCGATCTGAAAGACTCCCTCAAAAACTTCGCCGACCTACCACTCTCCGATCCTACGGCTCGCGGCCTAGCGGCTTCCCACTACAAGACAATGACCGACATTCAATCTCGCGCCATCAGCCATGGCCTCAAGGGACGTGATATCCTTGGCGCAGCCAAGACCGGCAGCGGCAAGACTTTGGCCTTTATTGTCCCCGTTCTCGAGAACCTATACCGCAGGCAGTGGACTGAGTACGATGGTCTCGGAGCGTTGATTCTATCTCCGACCCGAGAGTTGGCAATCCAGATCTTCGAAGTTCTGCGCAAGGTGGGACGGTATCATGGCTTTTCCGCCGGCCTGGTGATTGGCGGCAGAAGTTTGCGCGAGGAACAGGATCGATTGGGTCGCATGAATATTCTAGTCTGCACTCCGGGCCGTATTCTGCAACATTTAGATCAGACAGCTATGTTCGAGACAAACAACCTGCAGCTGTTAGTGATGGACGAAGCAGACCGCATTCTCGACATGGGTTTCCAGCACTCGGTGGACGCTATCATTGATCACCTTCCGAAGGAACGTCAGACTATGCTGTTTAGTGCCACGCAAACCAAGAAGGTTTCTGATTTGGCTCGTCTTAGTCTCCAGGAGCCCGAGTACGTGGCCGTCCACGAAGCCGCTGCTTCGGCCACCCCTGCTACTCTCCAACAGCACTACGTTGTCACTCCCCTACCCCAGAAGATCGACACTCTGTGGAGCTTTATTCGCAGCAATCTGAAGTCCAAGACAGTTGTTTTCCTATCTTCGGGCAAGCAAGTTCGATTTGTTTACGAATCTTTGCGACACCTCCAACCCGGTATTCCGTTGATGCATCTTCACGGTCGACAAAAACAAGGAGGACGACTTGACATTACTACCAAGTTCTCCCAATCTCAGCATGCCGTTCTCTTTGCGACTGATGTTGTCGCGCGAGGTCTCGACTTCCCCGCTGTCGACTGGGTTATTCAAATGGACTGCCCCGAAGATGCCGACACATATATTCACCGAGTAGGCCGCACAGCTCGATATGAGCGAGTTGGCCGGGCTGTTTTATTCCTCGACCCAAGCGAGGAGAAGGGCATGCTCCAGCGATTGGAGCAGAAGAAGGTCCCCATCGAGCGAATCAATATCAAAGCGAACAAGCAACAGAGCATTAAGAACCAGCTGCAAAACATGTGCTTCAAGGACCCCGAACTCAAGTACCTTGGCCAAAAGGCCTTCATTTCCTACGTCAAATCGATCTACGTGCAAAAGGATAAGGAAGTCTTCAACTTGAAGGACCTCCCGCTCGAAGAGTATGCCGGCAGCCTGGGTCTGCCTGGTGCCCCCCCGCATCAAGTTCATCAAGGGAGACGACACCAAGGAGCGCAAGAATGCCTCATGGAAAATGGCCTCCATGTCTAGCGATGAGGGTGATTCGGATGCGGAAGATAAGAAGGATAAGAAGGACGAGCAACAGGTGCGCACTCGATACGACCGCATGTTCGAGCGACGAAACCAGGACGTGCTTGCAGAGCACTATCACAAGCTTATCAACGACGATGGTACCATTGTGGCTACTGGTGCTGGCAATGGCGCTGGTGAGGATGCTGACGAGGATGCCGACTTCCTGTCGGTCAAGCGTCGCTTCGTCGCTGGTGATGCCGGTCTTGACCAGGTCAACTCCGATTCCGACTCCGATGCGTCGGTTGCCAAAAAGGTGGCGATCGACGGCCAGGAGCCGCTGGTTATCGACTCGAAGCGCCGCGAGAAGCTTCTCAAATCGAAAAAGAAGCTCCTCAAGTTCAAGGGCAAGGGTACAAAGCTCGTCTACGACGACGACGGAAACGCCCACGAGATGTACGAGATGGAGGACGAGGAGGATTTCAAGGCTCGTGGCGATGCCAAGGCACAGCGCGAGAAGTTCCTGGAGGGAGAGACAGAGCGTACGCGCCAAGCCGACCTCGAGGACAAGGAGGTGGCGCGCGACAAGCGTCGGGAAAAGAAGGAGAAGCGCAAGGCCCGCGAACGAGCTCTTGCGGACGAGGAGGCCGACGAGGAGCGTGGTGCACAAGGGTTCCAGCTGCCCTACATCGAGCCGATGGATCTCGGGACCCCACCCCCATCCGATCCCGAATCGGAGCCCGAGAAGGATACCCGACGACCCAGCAAGAAGGTTCGGGTGTCCTTTGCCGAGCCGGAGTCCAGCGAGGAGGAGAGTGCCTACAAAAGAGACAAGACCAAGAAGAGCAAAAAGAAGGCCGAGCCTCAGATCGAGACTTTGGGCGATTTGGAGGCCCTGGCCAGTGGTCTGCTGGGTTGATGCATTGTACTACGCGGTGTCTCAGGCGTCTACTCTTTCTTCTCTCTCTCTTATCTTCTTCATCTTCCTCTTATTTCTCCTATACTTCCCCCTTTCTGTTCTTATCATGTTTAAAATGTCCCAGCGAAGCCCCAAAAGCATTGTGAATCTGCATTGAAGTATATAGATTAAGCGATTTGCCACTTCCGAGTGTCTATCTTTACTATTCCACCTTTGGTATCTCTCCACATCTATATCAGCCCAGTAGTAGAAATCTAAACCCCACGAGGTCTAAATAGACTCGAAATAGCCAAGTGACAGCTCTTCTGCCGTTACCCGGCAATGCAGAACTCCCGCTGAACATGAACCTCCTCCACAATTGCCCCGTAAGGTGGATCCGACTGAATTTTTTTTGTCATCGCGGGCGGGACTTGCCGGTCCAGTCAACGCAACTCACAATCACGCCATCGCACGACTTCAGCAAAGAAGACTTCTCCTTTTGATGATCCCAAGATGTTTTGTTTCTTCAGCTATTCCACCGACTATCGTTGTCGAGCTGTCACTACTTCTTTCGGCCGATTGAGATTGAAATCCGGGGTAACCACGTGCGGGTCACGAGATTAGGGCAATATCTACTCAGTGGACTGCCTGACTGCCTGGTTTTCGAGGCTGCTGTTACAAGCTACAGCTACAGCTGCTCATCCCAGAGCAGACTGTTTCCTTCTGGACTTGATTGAAAGGGCATCAAATATCGACGCCAGATCAAGAGTACCGAGCCGGTACCCAACTAATACGGGGTTGATATATTACCACCTTTTCAAGATGTCTTCTTTCGACGCCGAGAAATATCCCACCTCCAAGCCCGAGCCGCAGGAGTATGTCGGCGATGTCTCGTCTACCCCCTTTACGAACGCGGACAAGCTGGCCCGCCGGCTGTCTGCTCGCCAGGTGCAAATGATCGCTATTGGCGGTACTATCGGCACGGGATTGTTCCTCGGAACCGGTACCTCTCTCTCCAAAGGCGGACCGGCCTCAACTCTCATAGCCTACGCCATCTGCGGTGGCATTGTTTTCGTCACGATGCTTTGCCTGGGTGAAATGGCTGCCTTTGTCCCTGTGGCGGGATCCTTCTGTACCTATGCGGGGTGAGTCCGTCAGCGTTACATTGAAATTGCGCCTTCCGCGCCCTGCAGATCGATACTAATTTTGGGGCTGCTGTGTGATTTAGACGATTTGTTGATGATGCATTGGGGTTTGCATTGACCTGGAATTATTGGTTTAACGATGCTGTTTCAACTGCGTCGGATATTATTGCTCTCCAGCTGTTGTTGGAGTTTTGGACAGATAATTTCCCTGGTTGGGCGATTAGTTTGATCTTTTTGGTGGTCGTTATTGTGCTGAATGTCCTATCTGTGCGAGTTTACGGCGAGGTATGTATTGCTTTTCTCCCCCTATCAGATCCACCACTTTGCAGCGTATACTAATTCCGGATCAGATCGAATATTGGCTAAGTTTGCTCAAAGTTGTTACGATCGTGGTATGTTTTAGCCCATTGAGTGCCTGTCTATTGGCTGGAGCATCACCTGACTAACTGGTGTCTAGATCTTTATTATTCTCGGTATTGCTGTCAACTGCGGTGGCAACACTGACCATGAATATATTGGTGGCAAATACTGGCATACCGGCGATGCGCCCTTCGTGGGCGGCATTGGTGGATTCGCTTCAGTCTTCGTCACAGCGTCGTTCGCCTAGTACGATCATCCATCTCAGTCCTTATTCCGCTAGTATCTTTTTGCTAACTTTAAACAGTGGTGGCACTGAATCTATTGCTATTACGGCTGGTGAAACCAAAGACCCAGCCAAGACCATGCCCAAGGTTGTGCGGAATGTTTTCTGGCGCATTATCCTATTCTATCTGCTTTCCATTCTGATCATCGGACTGAACGTCCCGTACAACTACCCCGGCCTTTCCGATGGCAATACCCGTACCAGCCCCTTTACGATCGTCTTCCAGCAAGCAGGCAGCAGCGTAGCAGGAAGCTTCATCAATGCCGTGATCATGACATCTGTGATCTCAGCCGCCAATCACGCCCTGTTCGCCGGATCACGTCTGCTGTACACCCTTGCAGTGGAAGGCTATGCACCACGCTTCTTTGGGCACTTGAACCGCTTCCACGTACCCTGGGTCGCCGTGCTTGCCACCGCGGTCATTAGTGGATTGTGCTTCGGTGCCAGTTACATTGGAGCAGGAAAACTGTGGTCTTGGCTGCAGAAGTAAGTCCTCGGCTCATTAATCGACTGTCACTCTACGAATGCTAATGGGTCTTTTTGTGCAGCATTGTCGGCGTTTCAAACCAATTGTCGTGGATTTGCATTAGTATTGCTTCTCTGCGCTTCCGGAGCGCGATTCGCTCCCAGGGCCTGGAGCATCTGCTTCCCTTCAAGAATTGGACTTACCCTTTCGGTCCTATCATCGCTATCGGTCTCAACGTCGTGCTCGTGCTTGTACAGGGCTGGGAATGTTTCAGTCCGTATTTCAAGCGCGTCGATTTTGTGTCTTATTACATTGAGATTCCGATCATGATCGTCATGTTCCTTGCGTGGAAGCTTGTCAAGCGGACACACTTTGTAAGCAAGTCTGAGATGGATCTGCACACGGATCGGTATGACGGAGGCCAGGATGATAGTTATCGGGTTCATGAGGAAGAAGAGGAAACCAAGAGGAAGGGAATTGTTGGCAAGGTCCAGCGATTCGGACAATGGTTGTTCCTCTAAGCTCTGGATATTTCCTAATTAATACCCCCTACTAGCCCTTAACTTATGAATAGATGCATGGAAGTCTGTACATTCTCGAATATTTTTACTTTAGCCCGAGACAATATGGTAAAAGCAAGTTTGAAAGAATGACTAGATGTTTCATAATTAAGCTGATTATCATCCTCAGATCAGATCAGATGAAAAGTTCTGCTATTTTGTCTAAGCAATGCTGCAGTTTTGGAATCCCGATGTACATGTCCAGCCAACCTGCATGCAAATCATTCAAGTTATACAAGCATACAGCACAATCTAGTCGAACCAGGGAAAAAAATAGTAAGAAATGCGAGATCACCCCTCCACTCTAAACGCCATGCCATGTCTTCAAAAGCATAAACTATAAGGGGTACTCGCGAGAAAAGAGGAAAACGGTCAACATCCAGGGGGGTAAGGGTAGATAGTAGTAGACAGACAAAAGAAACAGAGTACAAAGGGAAAAAAAAAAGAAAAAAGGCCGAGTTCCAAAATAGTACTCGTCGCATTCCTTCTCAGGGAAATACCGAAATATTTATACCCCAAATGCAAGCGTAAACAGGGAACAACAAAGTCGAACAAGTACAAAAAGGCAGACTAGACTCGGACCGTGGAGCGGAGTAAAAGTCCAGTCAAGTCATCTCTTTCCGTGGTATGAACGAAACAACCGGAGCCGAGCCGAAACCCGTTTCTTCTTTCGTTTGTTCATCCTGCGAAAAGCAAAGCAAAGCAAATCGAGACGAGAAAACAAAGCAAAGCAAAGCAAAGCGGATTGGTTTCCATTTCAAACGTGAAAACCGAACGTAACGCGCCGTGCTGGGTATCGCTCCTTGTAGACCCTGCTACAAGGAAATTGTGAATTATACAATACATTAGCCTCCGGGGCAACTGTTGGATATTCTTTGAAAACAGTGTTGAGATCGTCATGACTTAGGAGGCATGAAGGGGATCGGGGTAGGGTCGGGTTGTTCTAGCCATTGACCATATCGTCTAAAGCCATTCTTCGCCGTTTGATGGGTCTTGATTCGCCAATTTCGGCCTCAGTGCTAGATGGTGCGTGCTGTTGTACTGGTATCGGGGGCGAGTGACCAAGAGGAACGGAGGAGGGTAAGTCGATAGGTCCAAGATGTCGAGGAATCGGGTCAAGAGGACCGGTGGAGGAGATGGATCTCTGGTGCTGACGTGGTGTCGTGTGCGAAAATAGCGACCCAACCGGTCTCTGCAGCGTAACGGGTGATCGCGGTTCACGATTCTCTTCGCGACTGGAACTCGAATTCATCCAAGTGGCCGGGTATGGATCACTTAGCCGGTGGGCGTGGTAGGAGACCGGACTGGCGGTTGCTTGGTGGATTGGAGGAAGCCGAACAGGGGATTCGAGGTAGGGCTCACGAGGACCTGGGGGCATACGAGGATCACTCATCGGTTGATGGACTGTACTTGCTGGCGACTCGGTATATGGTAGGTATGGAGTCCCTCCTGGTTGGTGTTGCAGAGGCGATGTTGGCGGTGGCAAAGCTGGGCCTCCATATGGAGGATACCGTCTATCCATTCCAGGGGGAACGGCTGATGGATTCAGTACTGGATTAAATCCACTTGTCATTGGGATAAATGCAGGCGGCGGATGCGGTGGTACTGCTGCGTAAGAGGCAGGGCCTGAAGATGAAAATGGTCGTCGTCCTGCATTGCCTGGCATCGGCGGAGATGGATCCATCGGACGAGTCAAGGGAAATACAGACGCAGACCATCTATGGGGTTGATTGCGTGGCATCCGCATCGTTGCTGCAGTTGGAGAGGGTTCACCCATCGCCTGGAGGTCAGTCATCGGTCGAAGTTCGCGAGACGAAGTGGCTCGGTGAAGGACGGTTCGTTGGGCGGCCATGGACGAGGATTGAGCTTCAACTGAGACGTTTGGATTTTCCATGTGTGTTGTATAAGACCGAAGGGAAGAGTCTTCAGCTTTCAATGGTGGCCGCCCCCTCTTCTTGTGTGTAACGTCCACACAGGAAGACTTGTTCGACGTCAGTTTCGTAACACTCATTAGGAAATGTAGGAGGATCACAGTCATATCGGATAGACCAACATGTCAATATAACCACATAAAGAACGACTTACAGCTTTCCCAGCTAGAACACATCGTCGACATGGCCTTGCTGGATCACATCCAAGATGCTTCTTCTTACAATTCACACAGGCTGAAGCTACATGGGCTTTGGTGCGTCGAGTCGATTTCTGTGCTAATGAACGGTTTGAGGATCCGGTTACAGTAGATTCCAGCGTTGACAATGGGTAGGATGGTGCTCCAGGGTGGTGATGCTGAAGTTCAAGCTGCTGCTGATGTTGATGTCGGTGGTGATGGTGATGATGTTGATGTTGATGCTGAATCGGAGACCTAGTGAATGCAGGCGGAGGAGCCTGATCACCATATCGGGGAGGGATAGATGCTAGTAGAGAGTCATTCACTACCGCCGGCGGCAGTGATGGACCGGAAACTGCAGGGATGGGAGAATCCGCGGTTGTTGTCTGCGGTGAAGTTACTGTGGGATATACCACAGGATTAGGCTCTCCAGATGTCACCGATGGCTCTTCGGTATGAGGAGAGCCAGACATCGATTGACGGGGAGAGGAGCCCGGGGGCTACACCCTCGAGCATTGATAGTCCAGGGTCGATTCAACAGCCGCTCAGGGCCCGAGTCGAACCGGGGTTGGCCAAACTGGGCGGTCGTGAGGCTCGGGGGGGTGAAGCACGAGTGGTTGCATCGGGTGATAGGCGGGTAAAAGAAATGGCCCACGGAGCAAACAGGATTACCAGGCGGATCTTGTCGTTCACAAAAGACGACCACTGGCTATCGATTCGGCAGATGGGGGAAGCATATCTGGCGAACGGATCCCTGGCGCCTGGCACAACGAGGAGGGGAGGGGGGGAAGATCAGGAGGGGGGAGGGTACAGATGTGGGCAAGGGAAAAGAAAGGTACCAGAGGAGAGACAGAGACCGAAAAGGGTCAGCAGCGGTGTAGGGGTGGGAAAAAGGCGTGGGTTTCAATGTTTGGTCGTCATCAAGCTCCTCTCGAGCCTGTTCGAGGACCACCTGAGCTTATAATCGGTGGCCACCGAGATCCGCTATTGGAGGAGTCAGAAAATAGACTGCATCGATCAGCGGGAGATTTCCAGATCATGACAGCAGGGTTACTCATAGCCGCGCATGTCTTTCCCCTCCCAGGGCGACTTATTGCAGGATGGCGGTCGATCATGGAGCTAGGGTCCAGGTGCAGCAACGTAAATGTCAAAGCCCCCCCTCTTCCTTGCCTCTGTGTCTCGACAGTCCACGTTCCATGCATGGGGAGGGATGTGCAGAGTGGCTCTGGGAAGGGAAAGAAGGGAAAAGAAAAAAAAAAAAACAAAGCACTAGGAGTAGAAAACGGTGAACTATACCCTGAAAGTGAAACTGTAACTCAGTCTGGTATGCTGGTTATCTGATGTCTTGATCTAAACCAGCTCTTCCCTTTGAGATGCGCGGGGCGAAAGATATTCTCCAGATGCAAGTGGGTTGATCCTAGTTGCCCGAATTGCTTGCTTCCCAGCCTTTTTCTAATGCGAAGGAGTGGGCACGGCGTACGGTTGGATGGATGGATGGCCGGAGAATGGGGGATAAATGGAGGGGGGAGGAAAGCCACCAGAAGGAGAAAAGAAAAATCAAAAATCAAAAGGAAAAGGAAACAATAATGATAAGAGGGAGTCTAGAGCCGGATGGGTATTTTTTGAGTAAATTATGATTTTTCGTTCTTTGAGTCTTCCAGTAGAGTCGAGTAGCACACCCGACCTGCGGGATCCAGGCTTATACTCACAGCTGGGAAAGAGATGGCGATGGAGATGGAGATGGAGAGGTCAAGTGGGCGGGTCCTGGAGGACAGGGTAGGAAAGTAGTGGTCAGTGCAGACGGCACTAGTAGCTGATAGACTTGATCTCCATCAGGGTCGATCATTTGAATAATGGGGGGGGGGGGAAACTCACCCTACTCGTAACCCTAGTTCACCTGGTTTGCCCAACGATGTACTCCGTACCGGGGCAAAGGATCGAGTGGAGACGGAACTGCATAGTGTACCTATAGGCCCTTTTTTTTGTTTTTTGTTTTCTCTCTCTTGGATCTTACCTGAACACCGATGAGGCCCGTGAGCAGCTTTAGTAGTCTAGTAGTTCGCTGGCTGAAGTGGCTTGCACTAGATGGGGAACGAGCTGTCAGTGATACCCCGACCAAATCCCACCAAGACCTTGAATATTTAGTCTATGAAGAGGTCACCAATGAATAGAAATAAAATGTAAATTAATTCTCTTCTTTTATTTTCTCTCCCTTGAAGGGAATGAATACGAAATAACCATACCAATACCAAATTCAGCCGGGAAGCAAGGCGAAAAAGATTGACGGATCGACGTCGGCGCCCGCAGCCATTGCCAATAGTCGGCCTCGGCAATGAAAATGTGCATTCCGTTTGACAGAAGAGTACTTTTCGAGAACTACCGTGAGTAGAATTGAATTATTTACGAATTATTCATTTTGGTATTTATTTTGTATTTATTTTCATTTTTTTAAATAATGCTTAATTGCTATGTAACCCACCATCCTCGACTCAACTCCCGTATTTCCGATCGGTTCGTGCTCTTCTCTTTCTCCTCGACGAGTTTTTGAGTTTTCCACCTTATTCCTTATTTTTGCAGGCTCCACAACCGGGCAAATCACCTGAGGTCCGAGGGAGAGGGGGCCTGGGGCCTGAAAAGGAGAACAAATAGACCAGAGCCCGGCGTTCACTGCCCCCCTCTATCTGGGTGAACTGCCCGGGCGAGAACCCAACGGTCTTGGTCTTGGTCACCAGTTCGATCACCGACAGCCTGGTTGCGTCCCTGCATTGCTGGTTTCTCGCTGTTACATCCCTGTTTCTTTGTTGTGGTCTCTTATTTTTGCTTTTCTTTTTTTCGCCACTGGGATTTCTGTGACGAACACCTGGTCTAGGGGGGGTACAACTGTTCCCCGCGCAAGACCCTCTGTCTGTGATGTCCAAGTTTTGTCGCCAACGAACGCCCACCCATGGTCGTTATTCTCCGCAGTGGAGATCAAGAATGGCCCCACTCAACCCCCCCCAGCACATTGAATGACCGAGTCGATCCTCCCGTTTATGCTCCGTAGGACGAGTGGGGGTTACTGTTACAGTCGAACCTGGCTTCCGGCCCATCAGGGTTCTTCATTAAGGGTGCCTGAAGTAAGTAAAGAGGGAAAAACCATAATAGAGAAGGGGTGGGGAAAACAAAACAAAAAAACACACCCTCCCCCCCCTCCCTCCAAAAAACACAAGTGTCTCACAGCAGGTGTGGCCTGCCATGACCCATGAGTCGGAAGGCTGCAGACAGGGGAGGGGAGGGATAAGGGGGTTGCGAAGAGGGGCAAAGGTAAAAGGCGTGATATTTCTTCCAATGCGGATATTGCGTACGAAGTACGGAATACGGAGTACTCTGGGAGGTTCCTGGTTGGATCGGCATCCCATGGAAATAGTTCGCGACAACGAAGTGATACCGATGACGACGCTGGGAAATTATCAGAACGGCTTGCTGTCGTGTATCGTACTCATTGACCGTCACACTTCCATTCCACAATCTGGAAGCTTTTCATTGTCTTGTTTTCTCTTTCTTTTCTTGTTTTCTTGAAACGGGACTTGAGTCCCTCCATCGGGTCAATACACCCTTGACCAGGGGAGGAGGGGAGGGAAGCAGAGGAGAGGAGAGGGGGGTACAGGTGGGGGAAAGGAATATTCCCCTCAGGCTTTTGTCTCTCTCGCCTAGTTCATCAATCCCATCCCATATCCGGCGGGTGTGATGGTGCTTATTTTCCGGGGACTCCGATAGCACCCACGGCACTAAGCAACAAGATGTGGCTGCAGCCTCTAGAGGATCACCTTTGCGCGTGCACATTGCTCATCCCTGGCGTTCGGCTGCAGGGAAAATCCAGCCCAACGTCATCGGGTGATTGACAGGGCCTCATGGGACCTGGGCCTGTCCGGGAGGTGCCGAGGGGGGGAACAAAAGGCGGCTCGCCTTGTTCAGACTGAAAGGGGGCTGGCGCATAGCATTGCAGCGCAGTGTGGAACATGCGGCACGCGGAGCAGCAAGGGGTCTGTCACCCCGTTCATGCACGATCGGCCACTCAGAGGCAATAATAGGGCCCAGACACACACACAGAGTGAGAGAGCATATGTACTCCGTAATCCGTAACAGAAAGATCTATTAGACCCTCAAGCAGTCAATGCTGAGTGCTCTCCCGCCTCCGTACTTGGCTTATTGCTTGCCGGCCGAACTGAATCGAGCCACTATGGTAATACGGAATAGTCCATGACCATATAGGATAATAGCGCCGTGATAGTTTGGATAGCGCCTCTGGTAGCTCGATAGCGGGAACGGAGGGGAAATCCCCCTAGTGGCTCGCACGATTTGTCAAAGCTGTGCAGATCCTCAAAATTCGCCGATGGTTCGTTTCTAGCCGGAAGTCACGGAGATTATTCGGGGCTATTTCCTCGTGGGTTTAGGGTCCTGTCTTTTATGATTTTTTATGTGTTTTTTTTTTGGTCTTGGTCTTGTCGAACCCGAGGGTTTTGGCTCGTTCGCATGTGCGTGATGGGCCCCATCTCAACGGTGATCCGCCTGGCCGTGCTGAAATGGTTGGGTTTAGAAACCGCCTTCTAATGGAAAACTAGTAGCTACCTGAGATGGAATAGATAGGCTAATTTATTCCATCTCAGGTACTTACCAGTATGCGATTAGAAGGCGGAGCCAAGAACAGTCAACATGGAGTTTCAAGCTTTTCCAACGCCACTGTAGAACCTAGATAGCCCCATTAGTAGATGCCATGAGAGACGCCGTTCAGCATGCAGATACGCAGGTACCTGAGCTGCCCTCGAGGGAATAGTCAGATGACAATGGGAAAAAAAGAGTGAAAATAAAGGGAATCGAAATCAGGTTAGTGTTGTTATTGCTATAATAGCAACATGGTGGAAAAGAAACATGAAAATAACTTGAACATTTGGTATCTCCAATGCAGGCATACAGACATCTATGGTAAAAACTATACAGGAAAGTGAGACTTTCCCCCAAAATTTGCTTATCTCTTCTTGGACGGCCGAGCGTTCTTCTCCTGGCGCTTTTGCTTCAGGTTACGCGCCTTACGAATGTCGTCCGTCGAACGAATCTCGCTCTTTCCACGACCCGCCCCAGGACCCATGCGCTCCTTTGCGGCGTCGTTCTTCTTCTTCATCCTGTCATAATCGCGACGCAGTGGGTCGGCACGTTTGGGTGCTTGCGTCTTGTGGTGTCGGAATCGGCCATGAGGTCCCGCGGATGGTCCCGTTGAGGCACCAGGCGTCTCGGCCTCGCCGACACGGGGCAGGCTCTTCATACGCTTGCCCTTCTTCCAGTCCTGGAAGCGTCCACTGCGGAAACTGGCTGCAATCTTGGCACCACTCTCGCCACGAACCAAGTGCTCGCCCTTCGAACCATCCTCGTCGTTCTGTCGCGCCACGTACTTCTTGTGTCGCTTGTCCCATCGCATGGCGGAGCGACCTTCGGTATGCAGTTTCTTGCCTTCGTCGCCATTGAGATCCATAGCGACGTTGCGCGACTCTTGCGCAAAGTTGGAGTTGGTGCCGGAGTGGACACCATATCCTCGGTCTTCAGCGCTGTTGTGGTTGGTAGGCTTGTATCCCATGAAGTAATCGGGGTTCTGGAACGAAGCCGCCGCCGACACACGGTCGGATTTGTTTTTGGACTGTGAGTAGGCGGAAAAAGTGACTTCAAGGTCATCCTCAGATGCCTCAGACATGTTGTCGCCGGCCACCTCGGGGATGTCTTCATCAATCTGTTCATTCTCGCCTTCTTCTCCGTCCTCGCCACCCTTACCGATCCCAAGCTCGGTCAGCTCGGCCTGCCTTTTGGCTTCGGCGCGCTCCTTCTTCCTCCCGACAGTAGTTCGAATTCGTTTGATGGTATTCATGGCCTCCTCGCCTTCACCCTTGACGGCGCTCTTGCCAGTACGTCGGTTGTGGACTTCGAAGATGGTTTCCTGGGGCCGGTAGCCACCAATGCGAGCAAGCATCTTTTCTCTCTCGTTCTCCTTCTGGCTAGCATCGTCGTTGAATAGGATATGGACAGTGGACCACTCGTCAGTGGTGGTGACCTGTTTTGCTCTCTTTGCACTCTCCGCCGAAGCAGCATTACGAGTGCGCAGATATAGCTTCTCACCTCTCACGGACACCTGGCGCTGGGAGGCAATATCCGAATTATCGTCCAGCAACTTGTTGACCCATTCGCAAGTCCGAGAAAGGGGATCTCTTGGAATGGAGCCCACAACCACATCTTCAGCATAGTTGACGTTTTCCCCGTATTGGCGACCAAGAACCAGTCGTCGGCCAAGGAAAAGTTGGAGATCCAGCATGTAAGGGGCATCCGAGTCTCGGACAAGATTGTAACTCCAACCTTTTTGACCAGCACGGGCGGTTCGACCGACACGGTGAACAAAGATCTTAGGTTGAGATGGGAAATCGTAGTTGATGACGTTGGCAAGAACGGGGATATCGATACCTCTGGCGGCGACATCGGTGACGACCAAGATGTTTGAGACACCAGTTCGGAAATTCTGGACGTGGATTTTACGAGCAGTTTGATCCAGGGCACCGTAGGCATAAGATGTGGCGAATCCAGCTTCGATCAGAAGGGAGTAGAGGTAGTCAACATGATGCTTTGTCGCAGCGAAGACAATGGTCGAATGCTTTGTCGGCGATTCCTTTCGGTTGCCAGCATTCTCAATATCCCTCTTGCGCTTTCTATTCTTGTAGTGAGATTCATCACTGAGCATTTGTGTCACTTCTGTAGGTCCGGTGGGCATCTTGATCACATTGTGCAGAATGTGGAGCAGAGCGCCCTCTTTGTCAGACGACTTGACAGAGAAGAAGATATTTTGGAGATCGGGAGAGATTTTGCTTTCGGCGTCAAGTCGGACCAGGGTAGGGTCTTGAAGACCGGCTCGAGCAAATTCGACCAACGACTTGGGCAAGGTAGCGGAGAAAAGAAGTGTTTGGCGGTTCGAAGGCAGACCGTGCAAGATTTCTGCGAGTTGAGCGGCGAAACCCATTTCGAAAAGACGATCGGCCTCGTCGAAGACGACGTACTTGATACTAGACAGGTCCAGATCCATCTCGACCTTCAGGTGAAGGAATCGACCCGGGGTCGCAATCACGATATCGGGGTTACCAGCCATCATTCCGAACTGGTCCTCCATGCTGTCACCACCGACAAGTAGCACGGCTCTCAAATCAGTGCCACGTCCCATTTCCTTGACAACCTTCAAAGTCTGCAGCGCCAATTCACGCGACGGAGACATGATCAGACCGCGAGCGCCAAACTTGGTGCTGTGGCTCTTCAATTTCTCAATCATGGGAATGACGAAAGCTGCAGTTTTTCCGGAACCAGTTCTAGCCATACCGACTACATCCTTGTCGTCCATGATAACTGGGATTGTCTTTCTCTGAATTGGCGTTGGGACCGAAAACCCTTTGCGGGCGATAGCTTTGAGTAGACCACCGCTGAGACCCATGGCTTGGAAACCACCACCCTTCTTCACGGTACGGCCTTTCAAGTTGGATCCTTTTCGGTTCGCCGAAGCTTGTCGGTTTGCGATAAAGGCAGCGTCGCCATCGTCGACTTCCATGCCGAGAAAATCGAGATCCTGGGACTGAGGGGGCTTGGGCTTGCCCTTGGTTTGGGGGGCATCACCAGTGTCGGAATCATTGCCGTTGTTGAAGAGAGCGCCCGTAATGTCGAATTCGGTCTCCGACATGGCGGGAGACGAGGCGCGGTGAGGCATATTTGCGGTTGGAAGAGAAAGCCTCACTCAGTTTGATAGCGCCAATAAAGGCGGAAACAGTAATGAGAGCGGTTCAGCAGCTCACTCAGTTCATGGACAATAGGTAATCCAGGGAAGGGAGCAGGGGCTGATCAAAATGAGAAGTTCAGAAACAAGTCCAACCGTTTTTTAAAACCTGAATCCCCACTTCAAGCAAAAGGGTTCTTCTGCGTTGAGATGTTCGTTATCTTCGTCGCTGCAAAAAAAAAAAAATCGGAACAACGCAGGCGGTGAGCGATGGTTGGCTGAGGATCACGTGGATAAAAGTAATAGGTAGTGCAAACAGAGCAAACAGAACAAACCCGCTCCCCGCGACGCGTCCGACACGCTTTCCCAGCCTAATTAAGTAAAATGATTCCTTTATGATTCCTTCGCTCATCTTACGCATATACAACCTCACATCATGGGTATGACGCCAAGCTCTACAACCCTAATTCCTTTCACTATTGCTCCATTCATGCTAACACTATGCTTCAGACGGTGGCTACAATTCTTACGGCGGTGGTGGTGGCGGCGGCTTCATGTCCGGAGAAACGAGCTCTCCATCTGGCGGAAGGGTATGATTCTGGCGTGCAATTCGTGGTTTTTGGATGGAAAGCCAACATTGACAATATCATAGTCTGAAAACCGAGACAACAAAACCCTTCGTCCTGTGACTGTCAAGCAAATTGCCGATGCCACGCAACCTTACCCCGAGGCACCCTTCCAGATCGATAACGCTGAGGTGAACCACGTTCTTTTCGTTGGACAGGTCCGCAACATCAGCTCGCAGAGCACAAATATCACGTACAAGATCGATGACGGTACCGGCGAGATCGAGGTCAAGAAGTGGGTGGACTCGGCAACCCGCGATAGCATGGACACCGACGAGAAGGGACCCGGTGATGGAAAGTCCGAGGTCGTGCTGAATGGATACGCTCGCGTCTTTGGCGCTATCAAAACCTTCTCCAATAAGCGGTATGTCGGTGCTCATAGCGTGCGACCCCTCTCGGACCTCAACGAGCTGCATGCCCACCTCCTCGAATCTACTGCCGTGCACTTGTTCTTCACTCAAGGGCCCCCTGGTGGTGCTGGTGCTGGTGCTGGTGGTAATGCTGCCGGTGGTGATGCAGTTATGGGTGGAGCGGATGACCACAGTAGTGCTGGTCCGAACAAGGCTCTTATGGGTGTTTCGCCGCTGGCGAGGAAGATCTACAACCTCCTTAAGTCGGAGACGCAGGATGATGCGGGTATGGAGATGCAGCACATCGCATCTAGGCTCTCTTTGCCGACTATGGATGTGGCGCGGGCTGGAGAGGAGCTTCTGAACGCGGGTATCATCTTCACAACCATGAATGAACACACATGGGCTATTCTTGAGTATTAAACTACTATTCGGTTATGGGTGTAAAAGCTCGAATGATATCATGATTCATTGCATATTTGGCTCATGGTGGCTCTTCATCATCAGTTTGCAATCTAGTCTAGTTTTTTTAGCCCCTTCGAGATGATGGTATATAAAATAATGTTGTAGGTCTCAAGAAAGGATATGCCGTGCAATTCAGCAACGTCTTTTTCTTTTCTTTTCTGCAAGCCACCAGGCCAAGTAATGTCTCAGCTGGTTAGAGGGTTTCATTTCGCGCTATAGCTTCTTCAACTGACCGTTCCCAACTGATGTATCTAATAAAGATACACTCAATCGCGGAAACTAGTAGCAGAGCCAGAGCGACACCAGTCCAGAGACCCATCACACCCCAGCCCAAGCTGAAGGTCGTTCCCATACTGATAGGCATGGCGATGGCATAGTAACAGAACAGTTGAATGTAACCGCCTATTTCCTGTCGGCCAAGTCCACGAAGAATTCCATTCGTCACAGCTGCGATCGCATCGAATAGCTGGAATGCTGCGCACAGCGGAAGAACCTCGGCAACAATTTCAATGACATCGGCATCGGAGCTGAATAGCCTTGGGATATATGACCGCAGAGACGAGAGCAAGACCATGTTGAACAGCCCGACAATGATAGCTCCGCAGAAGGTGACTTTGGCAGAGATCTTTGCAGCTCCGGGCAAGGTGGCACCGATCAAGTTTGCAACCCGAGTAGATCCTGCGATCGAAAGTGGGAAGGGAATCTGCCAAGTGATGCTTGATATGGTGGATAAGATAGATTGCGCAGCGAGCTCAGAAGTTCCAAGGTAGCTAGAAGCCAGGGTGAGTACTTCAAAGGCCAGACACTCCGCCTCGACCATGATCAGTCCCGGCAAGGCTAGGCGTATCATCGGGCCCCAGTTGTCGAAGGCCCGTCTCGTAAATCCGCACCAGCATTCAGATCCTACTTTGAAATAGATATATGCAAACAGACAGATTGGCATAAGATTCTCGGTGATGACAACGGCGATAGGCGCTCCGATAAAGCCCCATCCGAGTTTCTGTGGACGTCAAATTAGTACTATATCAAGCAAAATGAGAGGGCTGTATGTAATAATCTTACCCAAACGAAGAACCAATTCATGAAGGCATTCAGTGGGGCACACACAAGCAGCACCCACAACGAAGCAGAGAAGACACCCTGTGCTTGCAGGTAGCGCTTGCCACTTTCAAAGCATGCAAATCCCGGCGCTCCTAAAAGAGCAACTTTCAAGTACAGACCAGCCATCTCGGCCACTCTCTTCTCCGGAACGATCTTAGCCAGGATATACTCGGAGTAATACCAGAGCACGGCAATTGGGACGGTCACTACCCATAGGAAGTAGACCATGCGCAACATCTGCAGGCCGACCAGCTTTCTCTTGCCGGAGCCGTAAGCTTGAGCGCAGAGGGTATCCAAGCTCGTTGCAAGACCCGAGAACACGGCATTGCCAGTGATACTGACTGTCATACTGGCTAGACTGACAGCACCCAATTCCTCCTTGCCCAGGTGCCCAATTGTGAAGATACTGGCCACCGTCAAGGAGTATTGAAGCAGGAAAGTCACCATTAACGGTAAGGAGTACCGACCGATCACTTGGGCCTCCCGTCTCCATGTCGTATTGATCAATCCTGCCGTTACGGCCTCTTCCCATTTCCGATCAATTTCCTCCGCGTTCATTTCATGGTGGTCACCTCCCGGGGATCCTAGCAAAGCTGTTGTTTCCGAAGTTTCTGTGGGGTCTGCGACTGCTGGGCTCCGCCAGTCAGCGCTATGGAAGGAATCATGTCGTTTCCACGAGCTTCCTTGACCTGGTGAGGTCGAGAATAGACTGCTCAGTTTATGCTGCAGGCCGTGGGATTTACCATGGGTATGGGCATGGGCATGCTCCGGGGCGATCAACTGGTTATCGCTGAGCAAATGCCTTTCATCCTCAATGGCCTGTTCTCGCTCACTTTGTGTCAAGGGTTGGTAATCACCAGGCGATGGGACCACGGTGCCGTGATTGCCGGAGGTGAAGAAGCTTGGGCGCCGGTAGGAACCAGCTAGCGAGTGCGGGTTGGTGGCGACATGGCTACTGGGAGCGCGGACCGTCGACGATTCGGAGGTGTTGTCGGTGCTGGAGATAGCGGAGTCATCATGATCATCGTCATCATACTGGGCCAGATCGCGGGCAATGGCGGCCTCGGCAAGCGGCGAACTGGATTGAAAAGACCGACTGAACGGGCTATGATGCTCAGCGGATTCCGCGGAGAGAGTATTTCGCGGTGCCATGAATGGAGATTGCGCTACAGCACCAGTAGCATTGTTGACCTGCAACGGAGGTGTTGGAAGAGGTAGGTGGAAGCAGCAGCAAAGACAAGAACGGGCCAAAAAGGTTTGGAAGTGGGGATGGCAGCGTGGAGTCGCCGGTCCAAACTAGTGACGGCGGTGGATTATCGAAACTTCAAGTTATAAAAAGGAAATGAGGCAGGAGATGACCCGCGATGGTTGACAGAGGGGAGAAGAAAATTCATTTAAATGCTAAAATCCACCCCGTCGCTTTGGCCACTCTACCTCGGAATAGATACGGAGTATATGGTAACCTCCCCCCCTCCTACTCCCCCCCCCCCACTGAAGCTAGTCGGAGTCAAGGCGTGACCTTCAGTGGGACTCCACCAAGAGACCCACGACCGTGCGACGCGCGCGTATCAGGTCTTGGTGATTTGACTGGAGCCCTGGTCGAGAGATCTTTCGAGTCTGTATAAAGTACTCCAGAATGCAATTATTGAACTCAGGCTGTCAGATAGAAATCCAAATATAAAGAAGTATACAGTAGTCTCCGTTGAAAAAGCAAAGAGGCATGACATCAGCTTGCATCGCATCACATGACACTCCCACGCGGAGTGCGCTTGGACTTCATCAGTCTCGCATTTCCACTTCCACTTCCACTTCCACCTCTTAAAGATCTCCATGCAGAGAGGCAAGGAGATGCACTCTACATCTGCGCTCTGTACTCTGTACCTACTCTCACTCTCACTCTCGTCATGTCGCGAACCACTTCGGCAGACACCTCTCTCGGTCGCTATAACCCCCCTAGTGAACCCGGTCCACTCTAAACCAGCTCTGGTCGAAGAGTAAGTCAACAAATACAAGACCCCTAGTGAAAGATCCTATGGGCTGTGCACACCAAGCGATCAATTCTATCGATCTAACTCGACGATAGGCACATCGAGGACCAACAGCATATCCTCTTCTCACGACCTCTCTTCGGAGCCTTGCTCTTCGAGAATACGACCTCGGATGCGCGTGATCACTGCGCCAACGAGCGTACCTTTCTCTCATGGCTCCGCCTGTCCATGTATCTAGCCATTGTTTCGCTAGCCATCATCATCTCTTTCCACTTCCGTGAGCAGCCCTCGGGTTTGGAGCGGCGGATGGCTCTCCCGCTCGGCATCATCTTCTGGCTGCTCAGTCTGACCTGTCTCATTAACGGGTTTGCGAATTACTCCCGCACCGTCATGAAGTATAGTCGCAAGGCGGCTCTGGTCCAGAGTGGTTGGAAGACTCAGGTCGTCTTTACCGTGGTTGGGACCGTCATTTTGGGCAGTTGTATCCTCTTTTTATCGACGGATAAGTCAGGATAGATTTGCATTTGGAGAACTTGACCATTTCATTTCATGTTGGGCGTTTTTCTTTTCAAGGGGCTGGGAGTGGTCGCATAGCGTCGGTACATTTTACATTTCATGTTTCAGCTTATACCTTCGGGAATGTCTTTATTAATAGTAAATTGACATCTTTGACAAAACTGCCTGTATCCAAGTAATTCCGAAAATTTTGTTGTGTCTTAGCTAAGTACCAAGTTGGCATGGATCTAAATCAACAGACAAAGGGGCAAAGCTCTTATACTTCCGAAAGATTGGCAAAGAAGCTCCAGATTAAATGCAAAAACAAGGTGAGGTATCGTGGATATGCATCGAGAGGAACAAAACGAAAAGGGGTTTCAATAGTCAAGGGTGAGGACGAAAGCATCTCACATCCGACGGATCTGGGTTTCACCCTTATACTTGTCGAGGGCGGAGGTACCCAAGTGGCTCCACCACTCGAACAACATTGAGTTGCAGATGAGCTTGAACCAGGGAGTGAATTTCAAACCGGGCTTCTCAAACATGGCCTTCAGCTCATCGGCAGACACGTAGCAGGTATCGCGCACCTCATTAGCGCTTGGCTCCAGGTCGACATCGGCCTGGATGAAAAGTATATAGTCCACTACCCGTAAATGTTAGCAAATCACCAAATCACTATACAATCAAATATTCAAGCCATGGTGATCACATACCCTCGTGCTCTCCCCATTTCCCGTCGCTCGGGGCCTTATAGTGAATACGAGTGAAGAACTCGAACTTGTCCAGCGGCACTTGCTCGGCCTTGATTCCCAGTTCGTGGTTCAGCTTACGCTGAGCGGCGCGCTTCACGCCCAGGACTGCGGCATCCAGCTCAGCACCGGTCTCACCGGGAATGCCCAGGGGGTGCGAGCAGCAAGTGTTTGTCCACATGTCGGGGAAGGTGATCTTCTCGGTGGCGCGCTGTTGGAGCAGGAGGCGGTTGTTGGAATCAAACAGGAAGACGGAGAATGCGCGGTGTAGAAGACCCTTATCAATGTTGGTCATCAAGTGGCCTATTGTAGAGCGAAATGGTTAAACACTGGGATCTTAAAAATTGGAGGTATACCCCTCTACCCCTCCAATAACAGGGGAATCCGGGGTCGGGGCTAGGGTTGGGATGGAACCGCACAGGTCTTCTTGCTAGCGCTACCAATAGGCTTGTCATCGTTATCCAAAACAATGCAGACCTCCTCCATCAAGCGGACTTGCTCGTCGTCGTAGCCATCGAGCTCGGTACCCTCGCGCGCGGAGTTGTCAGTGGCGGTGGGGAGAACATCGCGGGCAAGGGAAGTGTCGACGTCGGGGAAAAGGGTGGCGACGTTGTCAGCCGTGATCTCCGGAGGAGCAGTAACTGTCATGGTAGCGGACATGTTGGACAATTGGGCTCTGAAGTTAGGAGAATAAACCGAGGGAAGCTCTGGGGAAGGGAGTCAAAAAGAACTTGAACCTTGAGATTGCCCGCGGGTGTTACTAAATGGGCCCAAGGCGGTAACGATCAGCAGTCGGTCCCATGGCCACGGGGTAGTTTGGGGTACGGCTGGACTACAACACTACAACTACGAGTACTCTATACTAGAGATACATGGTTCTTGGGGAATTTGCGCATATTGCTGAACTTGAACTTGAATTTGAACTTGAAGTTACTCTCTGAATCCCTGAGGACAGCCTCGGAAATTACTAGTAGGTACTAGTATATTCACTGGCACAGCTCACCCGCATAAAGGGGTAACACAAGAAGGTAATATTAGTACCCAGTTGTGCAGCATGTAGTACAATTTACTTCAAGCTGAGTTCCTTCAACGAGACAAGCTCGTCAATTTCTTCCTGCCCCAGGAGCCCCAGGCTTTCCCGTCTGGTTGGTGCATTCGCATCAAATACTGGTTTCTCCGCGAGTGAAGTCACTCGGGTTCCATGTCTTGGCTGTGAGCCTTCATAGTCCCAACTTGCATTATGAATCGTGATTCTATTGACGGTCAGTACTGTTACCATTCGTAGCGATGATTCTGTAGGACTGTCCACCCGGTGTAGAAACTAACCTGTTATCCCACAGCGCACTGGTTCGTGGACTCCACTTGAATCGAACTTGAATGTCCGGATTCGTCTCATACACGTCAAATAAATATCCAAGAACTACATCACTCTCGGCCTTATCCAAACCAACAATTCGGGAGGTCATGGCTCGGTTGACCCAAAGTGCCTTCCACCCGGTGGCAGGATGAACCCGAACGATCGGGTGCTTACGCTCCACATACTTTGGACCGGCTTCGGGGTTCTTGCGGTCTAAATAAGGATGGGCAGATCGATAGATCGCCGTTTTACCATCGATGAACTGGCGGAATAAAGGCGAGAGCTTCTCATACGCTGAATACCCACTTGCCCAGAGCGTATCTCCTCCAACTGTGGGTACAGTATCATTATGGAGGTGGGTCACTCCAGCCGGTTGTCTCTCGTGGACAAGATCTGTATGCCATCGAGAAGATCCCCCCAGGTCGACGAAAGCTGGCTGGGTTCTCTGTGGCTTGAAGCTCGGGCCAGATCACCGAGACCCCAGGGACACCAGGAACTTGCGGAACTTGAGGCTAATGAATGAATGAAGTAATTAGCACGTGGACTATTGTGTAAAATAGACATCGGATTTTTCGGTATTAGCCTTCTTACATGAACCTCAATTTCTCCAAACCACTCCCCTAATTCCTTCTGCTGCTGTGGGGAGATATCTTGGTCTCGGAAAAAGACCACACTGCGCTCGGCTATCAACAGACCCAGTTCATCCTTTTGCTGGCCCGTCAAGTCTTTCAGCTGCAATCCAAAAATTTCGGTCCCAATATGCCGTGTTAAATGGATGATTTCTTTGGCGGCAGATAGCAGGGCTTTTTTCTCCGGATCGGCTCGCGTGCCGGGGTCTACATGCGCTCGGCCAAAGTTTCGAATATTATACACATCGTCAATATAGAGCGGGCGCGATGGTCGATAAGGATATCCAGAACTGAGATCAACCCCGGCCTTCTCCAAGCGCTCTCTTGTTGGTCCTGGAAGACTGAGACTGTCTTTTCTTGGAGGCGCAACATCTACGATGCGGGGATCAATGGGAGCAGGAGCCATTATGATGGTCACGAATTAAATGGTCAATTATTGGTTTGTCCTTTTATGCTAACCAGTATGTATTTATATACCTTTACTACGTAAATAATTTCTGCTGGGTTATTGCGAGTCCTCATTGACTGACTGTACTTCGTACGCTTCTACCATATGTCTGGTGGGTTGCATCTCGGGGTAAAACGCCAAGCGAGCACCTCATCGCCGCATTTCATGGCGCCTTCTTGGGTCGGTAGACCTCTCATTGCATCCAAAATAGAGATACGGGCTTTTTAATTGATCTGTTATCGACTCTGCGGGGAAACATCATTTCATAATCTGCGACGCAAATCACGACGATCGCATCAAACTGATTTCTAATCCGAGAAATTGCATGCTAATGACTGCCGTGCCATCCGATATCCGGATATCAGTGGGCATTGATTATGGATTGCCTGATCTGCTTTAAGCGATGGCTGGGATGACGAAATAATGGGTCCAAATAGTGCCTGCGGAACAATATTCGAGATCAAATATTGACATCCAGTGCTTTTAATAGGAAGCGCTCCCAGACATCCTATCAATGTGAAAGTCTCCGTCAAAGACAAAAAATGACCGAACACACTTTGAAGCGGGTGGCAGTCATTGGTGCTGGAATAAGTGGTGTCGTTAGCGCTGGCCACCTCCTTGCCGCTGGGCTAGATGTGACTGTATATGAGCGAAGTGAAGCTGCCGGTGGGGTGTGGTGAGCGTCTGGAAATGTCCATACAGAGGAATCAAACTGACACATTTGGTTAAGGCTTTATGACAAGCGGGTGCCGATCGAAGCTCAGTATCCATCTACCAAGCCATCGGAACTAGCAAAGTTCAGCCGAGACGATAGAGACGAGACTGAGAGACAACGCCTAATACATGCACCACCAGGGTAAGTGATGATACTAACGCATTCTAATTCATCGAGAAGCTAATTAATGAGCACCAGACCCTGCTATGAGAGTTTGACCAACAACGTGTCAACACCATTGCTGCGTACAAAGCTCAATGCGTGGCCGGAGGGAACACTCCCCTACGTTAATCACCATATACTGAAGGAGTATATTCAAGATACAGCCAAAAAGGCTGGAGTGGAGACCGCGACTATATACGGCGCTCTTGTGACAAGTGTTTATAAAAAAAGAGCAGGAATGGCATGTCCTCTGGAAGTCACTGCATGAAGATGCACAGACCGGCAAGTTAACTGAACGAGAAGAGTCTGATGTATGCGTAACCACCAATTGTTCACGGCAAGCATATTTCTGATGCATAACAGATTTTTGATGCCGTTGTCGTGGCGTCTGGACACTACCATACCCCTCTCATCCCGGATATCCCTGGATTAGCTGAGGCGAAATCACAATGGCCTGTGGAAATCACTCATTCGAAGTCATTTCGCAATGCAGAAGGCTTTGAAGGAAAGGTAAGTTTCTCCGAGGAAAATGAATTCAGAATAGCGACGCTAATGAGTCTAGAATGTCCTTTTGATTGGAGGAGGGGTATCCTCAGTTGATATTGCTCGAGAGATCAGCCCAGTCGCCAAAAGGGTATTCCAGAGTACCCGCAACGGGGCTTTTGATATCCCAGCCACTTCGCTCCCAGAAAATGCCTCGCGGGTCGAAGAAGTTGCCAAGTTTGAACCTCTATCGCCCGATGAGGGGAATATAACCCATTTACCTGTTGTTGCGCGTCTTATGTCCGGGTCTACCCTGCATGAAATCGACAGGATAATACTATGCACAGGATACCAGATGGTTCTGCCTTTCCTCCCACAGTATAACGACAACAACAGTTTTTTTGCAGATGACACGGCCATAGTAACGGACGGCACCCAGATACATAACCTACACCATGATATATTTTACATTCCAGATCCCACACTGGCATTCGTGGGAATACCCTTCTATACGGCAACGTTCACTTTGTTTGAGTTCCAAGCCATTGCGGTTGCAGCGCTGTTTACTAAAGCAGCGAAACTACCGTCTGAAAAGGTCATGAGGTCAATTTACCAAGACCGTGTTGTTGCCAAGGGCACAGGGCGAAGCTTCCATTCACTCAAGGGGAGAGGAGAAGCCTACGTGAGGACCATCATGGAATGGGTGAATGCCGACAGGGCTTCCCAAGGTTTATCGCCAATCGAGGGCCATACTAATTCTTGGCTGGAAGAAAAGAAGGTTCAGGTTGAGCGCTTATCCCTTATTTTTCAAGGTGCCATTCCCTACGGATTTACTAGCAACTTGAAGGCATCAGTAGAGGTAAAGGTTGCGGCATGAGGCTCAAGACCAACTTTATACAAGAATAAAATTATAAGCAATACTAGAGAATAGTATATCAATACGAAACCTAAGAAGATCAGACATATCGAGCAAACAATACAGTAGTCTGAGCACCTCGCAAGCCTAAGGGCAATCTTAGTGCTTGCTGAGAAGTGCAGACCATCGTATGCTTATCAGATTTGTGATAAACTGTGGGCTTATTTACTCCGCGTCAATTCTTTTGGTCATCGTGTCTATTTAGCGGAGGTTTTCTGCCAGTATTAGGATTCTAAAAGGTCCGAGGCACACAATTGTTGTGACGGATGACGAGACCAATGCCAGTGATGATGATATTCTGGAGTGTTATGGCAACAACAACCCGTACATCGACAAAATAAATCGGCGAATCTCCGCAGCTTGAGAAGGGGCCTGGCTTGAATCGCGTGTTGTAAGAAAATTGGCCATTCTCGCAGGTATTGCGTGAACATTGCCTACGATAATTCGACCGTCCCCAGCAACTTGGCCCCTCCCACTGGGCCCATGGCAGTGTCTCAAGAGCTTATAGCTTAGCTCATCCCCACTTTTTCATACATTGGGGGTTAGGATAGCACGGTGACGTGATTCGAGCCTGTTGATGTCGATTCCAAGCATTGTCCACGGCGTACATCACTGGGTTCAAATGCCGACTCGGACGAGGAACCTTCCACGGAGGTGGAAGAAGGGAGATCCGACCATGCAGCTTATTTATATTTAACCTTTAAAGTGCCTGCGACTTTAATCGGTCGCGAAATATTTGCGACTGTATATGAGTCCACCGTGACCATGTCAACAACTCTTACCGAGGAGGCAGCTGTCGAGCCAACTCCAGTTGTTGAGAAGAATGTCAAGCGGAGGTGGGTCAGCTATATTTGGGACACATTCGATAAGTCGCCAGAAGAGCGACGGCTTCTTTTCAAATTGGACTCTGCAATTTTGACATTTGCGTCATTGGGTATGTGTGTGATCATCTCTTTGTCTCATCTTCAGACTAATGAGAACTTTCTTGGATAGGATACTTCATCAAATATTTGGATCAAATCAATATAAACAATGCTTTCGTGTCGGGGATGAAGGAGGATCTGGGGATGTATGGGAATGAACTCAACTACATGCAGACATGCTGGACTGTCGGATATGTGCTTGGGGAAATTCCGAGCAACATTCTCCTGACTCGGATCAGACCACGATACTGGATCCCAGCAGCCGAGGTAGACCCTTTCAAGCCTTACGGAAAATTTTGTGTTACTGACTCAACTCAGCTTCTATGGACTGTTTTGACTTTCAGTCTTTCGAGATGCAACACACCTACTCAGTTTTACGTCCTTCGATTTTTCATCGGTATGAAACTCTCCTTACGGCCATCATAGACTTGGAAAAAAAAACTAACCTGGTCATTCCAGGTTTGGCAGAGAGTACCTTCTATCCGGGGATGCAGTATATAATTGGATCTTGGTATCGAAAAGATGAGTTGGCAAAACGATCATGTATATTCCACACAAGCAGCGGTATTGCTAGTATGTTCTCTGGTTACCTGATGGATGCCGTCTTTAAGCTGGGAGGTCGAGGAGGATTCAAGGGCTGGCAATGGTATGAGCATAAGAAACTCCCTCTACCTTCGGACTCTAACTTTCGAATAGGTTATTCTTAATCGACGGAGTCATATCTCTACCGGTGGCAATAAGCGGCTTTTTCGTGCTTCCGGATGTGCCTGAAATTTCAAATCCATGGTATCTCAACAAAGATGTATGCCCTTACTGCCTGCACCTCAAGTATTTAATGCACCAGATACAGTTGACTAATTTTAACGGCCCAACAGGAAGTTGAATTGGCACAGAAACGAATGAAGTTGGAGGGTCGGAAGGAGCGTGGGCCGTTTACGAAATCCAAACTGAAGAAAATCTTTTCTTCGTGGCACATTTACCTCTTGACACTGTTGTATATTCTTTTCAACAATGGCGCTGCAGGGTCCCAGCCTGTTTTTCAACAGTGAGTTAGAATTACCATTCATTTGAAAGCCTATTAATGTTCATCGGCAGGTTTCTGAAAAACTCGACCGATCCCGTTTATTCTGTGGGCCAGATCAACTCGTATCCTACGACGACGTATGCAGTACAAGTCGTGACAACACTTGCTTATGCTTGTAAGTCTTGCCCAAAGCTAGCGGATGGCGTCGATGCTAATCTCAGATAGGGTCCTCGGACACGTTTCTTAACGGAAAACGTTGGCCGCCAATTGTGTTTGGTGCTGTAAGTGTATAGCTGCCATGAAAAATTGTAAATGCGCTAATAAACCTCGCAGTGCGTGAATATTATAAGCTATGTGTCGTTATCGGTTTGGGATATCCCAAATGGATGGAAGTGGACTTGCTACATCATCTCGGGCGCTGGGTTTGGGTTGAGTGGACTTCTCATGGCGTAAGTCGCCCAATCTCTCACGCAGAATCTGTTGAACTTTTTCAAACTAATAATTATATGATAGGTGGGCCCATGAGATCTGCTCCGAAGACAACGAGGAGCGTTCTCTAGTCATTGGAAGTATGAATGAAATGGCCTATGTGTTCCAGGCCTGGCTGCCCCTTCTGGTTTGGCAACAAGTTGATGGACCCGAATACCAGAAAGGTTTTATCACAGTGTCATGCATTTCGTTTGCTCTCATTGTTACTACCTTTGTCGTTCGACATCTTGATCTCAAAGAAAAAAGTAAAAAGGCGTAAGTTGGTTTTGATGCCGCTTTATCGCTTCGAATCTAACAGTCCATCACAGAGAAGAGAATGCACTGGTTGGAGGAACAGATGACGGACTTTCGGAATTATCTATCGCCACGCCTGTGGACACAAAACCTCCCAAGGTTCAAATTACATAGAGGAAATCACCTCAATGAAGAATTTCTATGCTTGAACGCTTGGTGGGGCGGGCTCAATAACTCGTCTACAAGTACGCCTGAAAATACTACCAGTGGTAGTATGCCAGTACAAAAGATTCATTATACCAATTATGTTCTGCCTACACGATGTCTCGTTCAATTCTCAATCGATGTAGATCTATGGATATACGAGTACTATGTACCTTTCGACATTTCTTTTCAGTACTCAAGGGTAACATATTGGTATTTACTATCACATAATTGGCAAAAATCGACAGGATCTCGCTAGCCTTAATTAACGAAGGGACGGCATAGTGACGTTAACGGAGAGTGCGTCCGCAAAAGAGTCTTAAGAGTTTACATCGGCACCTTTAGCCCGTTATCCTCCGGATCGAAAATCTAAGCCACTGGATTCCCAACTTGTCGACTCGCATCTTTAAAGGGGTTGCCTTTTTTGGCGTTAGCCTAACCTCTTGGTGGAGCTCCTCTGATTGCGATGTTGCTGGGTCGTTTTGTAACCGATACCTCCGAGCAGCACTATCTAGAAGGATAGGAGCCCATCGACAGGGTTGATCTATTTCATTTTTTGTCCTAGATTAAAACCGCTACTCTGTCTACTACTGTGTTGAGTTCAAAAAAGGCTCTTGATGTTGATATCGATCCCCTTCCCAATCGTTGGACATCTTTCCATAGGAGGACTTCGCAGGGGAGAACATGTTCTCAGGCTTCCTTTGCCCCGATTCGAGTAGTGCGAGTTAGTGCGTGATGGAAAGGAGAAACAGGGCTTTCAGTGCCCCCTGAGATGAGACAATGTGATAAAGGTGTCCGCCAGACAGGGATATTTGTTATTGTTCACTATCTCCTGGTTGGCCGTACCAGACTTTGGCTTCTGAAGGATTTCGGTGAATCGGTCCAGATTGGACCAGGCTCTCTCATAAGACACGGAACTTGCGCGTCAACAAACTTGAAAATGGAGAAGCGTTTTCTTTCAACACCCCGCTAGAATCGATAGCGTTCTCCGCCTCGCCGATCTGAGAAGCCCCTTTTTGTGTGTGGTGCGGTCAAATCGAGATCTATGGCTGCCTCGAGTAGCTAATTTTTACGTCGATCACGGTAAGCTAATGCTCGTCATTTCAACACACATACCAAATAAGATTAAGTCGTAGCCTTGAGGGTGTTTTTTTGTCACTCGCCCAGACGGCAGAATGGGGAACAGGGATGAGGAATCAGATCCTGCATTTACCCCTCTCTTCCCAGCCCCTAGCCCCTTTTTCTTTGTTACTGAAATGAACGTTAGCTGTGGATACCCACAGCCTATTGTTTGGTGAAGTCATAAGAATATGCAGAGTACGGAGTAGTCGCTGGTAAAATCGACTGGCGAGCTGGAGCCGGGACAAATCACAATTGAAGCCAAGCTTTGAGTTAGCAAATAATCCGATCTAAAGTCCCAATATGAGTCAATATGCCCCGTAAATGTGTATCTCTTTGTCAGAATGTGAGCATCAAATTCAGGATTCTTTACCGTCGCTAATTGAGCAGCTATTGTTGCACCACTGCACAGGCCGAGGCTTTGATTACGGCCTTTTTCCCCTCTAAACAGATCGGGGGAAATCATCGTCAAGGTCGCCATTGGAAGAGGCTTATAGTATAATCGATCCTTGACTCTCTCGCCTGGAAAAACTTCATGTCCCTACAGCAATACACAAATGCAATGTATGACTGCAGGCAGAATTTTGCGTTGTATAAGGCAAACCACATGTACGGAAAGCTTGGGCCGATGCTTCGAGACATCATCCATAAGAAAAAGCGCCAAATTGCACTGCACGGAGCACGAAGTAGTGTCCTGGTTCTCGAATGGCGTCGTGCCTAATTGCGACGATCACCAACCGGACTGTCTCGATGATCCTTCGCCCCATCTTAGCGTGTGATTCGGCGTTCGCTAAGTGGAGTGCGGCAAGAGTCTCGACTCCGGCCAGACGATCTCAAGGAAGAAGATCTGGCTCTTTTTTGTCCTTGGAATCTCCAGGAGAAAAACCGGAAGGGCTTAGGCTAAACGCTTATCACCCTGCCAGGCATCATGGCGGCTATTGACAGGTTATTCACCCAAATTTGCTGGAACAACATGCATTAGCAAATCCCGACCGTCCGAATGAATCGCTTTTTAGAAAACCTCGATGATCTCAGCCAACAAGTAAGAATTTTCATGATTCGATCAGATTTGATGAAAATAAGAGTGGGATTTGGATGTGGAACCCCGCTCCGAAATGGAGAGATCAGGTTTACCGCGCGCCAGCTTATCATGTGAATTGCATGATATCACACCAGAATATCAGAGTGATCACCGTATGAATAAGAATAATAGGTACATGTTGATATCACAAATAGAACATACCGTCAATTCAAAAAAACCCCAATAAGATACAGCGCAGTCCACCAAAATGCATCGAAGTATACCACCGGGAGCTATAAAATCAAAAAGAAAAAAGGACAAAAGCAAAGGTAATTACAGTTGACCAGGGATAACGCCAAAGAAAAATGGGACCCGCCCGAATGCTATACTCAACTCCAATCTTCTCGTGATGAGATCGTGTGTAATGCTGGGACTGGAAGAGCGAGAACGACGATCTCGGCCCAATTCTGCTCAGCAGATCCACCACAGGCAAAGCGACCGAGATGCCCACACACTCAGCGCCGAGATTTGGCATGTTCGCACTTCGAATTTTGCTTCTGCAATTTCAAGGAAGCATGATAATCCTGGCCTTTCATTAAAGAATAAGAAATCGTGTTGGGTGAGATTCCTGAACATCTTTTAACATGGCTAGGCAACACGAGTAAGTTAGTACACGTAATTTGAAACAGTAACTGGTTCGGGTTCGGTTCTCTCACTTCAAGAGGTCCTCTGCACGAGCAAAGCCTTTCCCGCACCGCTGACAGTGATGTTCGCGAATATGAAGATGTTTCTGAATTAGGATAAGCGTTTGTCAAAGCAGCCGGGTCAGTTATCCTCACGTTGTTGAAATGGCGCCTCAAGTCTCCTTTTCTTCCGAAGGTCTTCGAGCATTCAGAACAGCTGACGCGGGAAATCTTCCTGCATTCGGGATCGTGTTGCTTTTCATGCTGCCTGAGGTTCGACTTCCTCGTGAAGGTATTCCCACACTTTGGACAAGCAAACCTATTTCCCGAGGCTACCTTGATTTCATTGCAAGCAGTGCGAGCTACATCAACACTTTCGCTAGAGTTGTTTATGAACATGTAGGGTCTTGCGGGGACAGTCGCGTTGACAGAAAGAGCCTCCAGGGGATTCGTCGGTCCTGGGCATGGCATGGGGGGCCCAATATCCTGGCATTTGATGGAATACCTCCTGCCCGCACTGAATCTCCAAATTTGAGCCGTAACTTGGCGATGCGCTCAATTCTTGAGATCCACCCCAGTCCTGAAAGCCGTTGTATGCGGCGAAGCATAATTTATTTGAGGTGTCTTGAGGTTGGAGGGGAGAGCCATAGAAAGCTGTCGTCTGTAATAGCGAGTCCGGCGACTGATTTAGAGGAGACATCGGGTAAGGCATCGGACGTTGATAGCCAGCGGTATGGTCGAAGGTGGGGTCCAATCCGCAATTCATTATACCCAATCCAATAGGTTGAGAAAGCGCTGCTTGAGGTGCCGTAGCAGAAACTGGAGATGAGTAGGCATATGATGTCTTCCGAGAATATGCATCCATCGGCAATGAAGGCGCCATGGGTGATGAGCGATCTGCTATCTGATCCATGGTGGCTTGCATCCTGGAGTATAACAGTCCAACGATCAAAGCAAAATGCACAAATGAGAAGATCCAAAATAAAACCACCTGAAGAAAGTCTATATCAAGGGATCAAAGAGCCCAGAGGTAGTGACGGTGCTGAGTATAAATAACGAACGATGACCATCTAGGGCTGTTGGTGACAAGCAGCCACATTGCATAAATGGTGGCTGAGGGAAGTGAAGAGCGCAAGGTTGGTGCAGAATCTGCCTGTCGACACGGTGAAGAGTCAACGACTTGACGCCTCGAGCGACGAGGCAGATTTTCAAGTGGAAGGGAGGGGGTGTTATGCAAATGCGGTGGGAAAGTGAGTGGGGGGGGGGGGGGAGGGAAACTAACGGCTGGGGGATGCTCGGGACCAGTTCGATCAGTCCGGAGTCTACAAATCTGTGCAATCCCTGCTCCAGAGATTTAGCGCCGAAGGAGTTCAATCAAATGCCCCGGGCTTTTGAGTCGGATGGATGTCATGATCTCCTTTTCAAGCCTGGCCTTGTGGCCGGGTAGTGAAAAAAGCCGGCTTATACATCTGAAAACGAGAATGAAAAAAAGTAAAATAAGAAGAAGGCCAGGAAGTTGGCATCCATAAGGGTATCATATCAAAGATTACCAAATCCCCTTGAAATAACCGCACAACGGCGGCTGTAAACTGTGGTGCTGGAAAAGGCTAACCATCTCTTCGATCACCGCTGGGCTGGTCTGTCCAACAGCGTTGCGTCCCATGCAACACGAACAACCAAACAAAAGTCTGGAGGGAGCCCATGGTTTTGGAATTGACTGGCGAGGTGCATTGTAGTTGGCGACTGGGACCCAGTGGTGTACACAGCCGCAGGTGCCGGGAGGAAGCAAACAAACCTTGCAATAGACTTCACCTTGGGGCGTATTCGGGAAACGATCATCTCATGCCCGAATACACAAAACATTTTGGGCATCATGACTCTCACGGGTTGCAGGTCCGCCCTTCCGAACCGTTCGATTTCATGTATACCATCGGCAGATACTCCACCCAAACCCCACAGTCTGTTCTTTTCGCAGTTTGTTGCCGTTGAGAATAGATTCTCATCTCTTTAATGAAGATTGATATTTCGGCGGGGATTATTTATGTCACTGCCAGTGCTTTGCAAAAGCAAATTGCCTGCCTGGTTCGAGGTTCTGTGTGATCTCTTGGTCGCACCCTTGTTGACGCTGGAACACGAGATGTCAGAGTGGCTCCCCACTTACCCACATCTGCAGCAGACTACCCCTTAGAGCGAGAGCGAGACGTGTAGGGGGGGGGACGTGCGTGGCTCTAAGCGCCAGGGTAGTGGTCCCTCTTACGCGAATTGCATTGCCCCTTTTTCTTCATCCCTCATTGTGGAGATAGTACATATACTACAGTAGCGTTGCAAAAGTTTGAAAACCCATATTGCCCACCATGATTGACCGCCTTCTAATGGGAAACTAGTAGCAACCTGAAATGGAATAGATAGGCCATCAGGTAATTACTAATTTCTTATTCGAAGGCGGAGAGGAGAACAGTCAACAAGTTTTCAACCTTTGGAAAGAAGTAAAAGGGTGGGAAAAAAAGATAGTCCGAAAATCGAAAATTGAAATCCAAAAACCATGATTCTAGCGTTTAGTTGTTGCCCTGCTGCGCTTCTAGGTTTGCTGTGACGCGCTCCACTTGAACTCGAAGCCGTTCTATGGATGAGATCATCTCTGTGATCTGAGCAGTCTGTGCCTGTGCCTGTGCCTGTGTCTGTCCGGGCCGCGCGGGGTCTAGTTCTTGCCCGTCGTGCCGATCCACCTGCAGTTGCTCATTTCCCAGGCCCAGGCGATATGTTTCGACTACAGAAGGGTGCAGTGGGTCCATGCATCTCGACACACCGGGCTCGACAGCAGAAGTACCATGTTCTTGTGACGATGCCGGCGGTAAGCGACCGGTTGATGGCGATAAGAGATGTCGACGACTTGACTCGTACATCCAGATAAGCATCACAAATGGCAGATGGGTTGCTCGCAGGAGAATAATGCGAACCCGGCGAACAGCCTCCGCAGATAAAAATAACCGCATGGGGCGAATACAGAGCAGCGGAATAAGATTCTGTCACAGGTGAGCGGGATGGGCCCAAGGACTTTTCTGGAACATGTCCTTTGCATCGGCGGAAGGCGGCGCTAACTTACCAGGGGCGGCATGAAATATGTCAAACGCCGGGAATTACTGCTTTCCAACACATAGATGGATAGTCTGGAAAATCAGTCAACACGCCCCTCAGCCCCCAGTGGCACAGCCATGATTCAGACCGTTTGAAATACTAACTGAAAAAGGTATTCCTCTCTGGCATGCAGCATCACCTGGAGGAGGATATTCATTAGCCTTGGGCGCTATGTACAGCGTAAAGTCAATTCTTGAGAACCTTACCCCTTCAAGACTCATGCTCATCAGACTAATCAATGAAGAGAGAAGCAAGATGTTGGTCATCGACACGAAAACCAACCTGTAGTCATGGCTATGGTCAGTCTGGTTGAAAAGCAAGTGCCCTGCAAGATATGTGGTAGTTATTGCGGGGTTTTCGGTACTACTGCAGCCCATCCTCTTCGCACGTATAACGTGACCAAACGGAAATGCAACAGCTGCAGATGCATTTTTTCGTTTTGTTTTGCCTTTTCCTTTCGGGTGGCGCAACAAAATCATAGGGAACTCACATCAAGCCATAGCCGAAGATCGGGGAGATCTAGACATTAGCGCGTCAGTCAACTTGTTCCGATAGCCAACCATTTTGCCAAGAGACAGGGATTGGGGATTCGGCTTGCAATTGCTGCAAAGCCGGAGACTTACCTCAAACGCGCTGTCCTGTGAGCGAATCGATTCAGCCACCGTTAGTCCAGGTTAAATAATTGTTACGACACCCACTAGTCCAAGTGAACCCGATCTGCCTCGCGCAGTTAGCAGCTAGAAGCGGTCGAGAACAAAGGATCTTCCCCGCCATACCCAAAGAAAACCTTCACCAGCATCTCTGACATTTCCTTGAGTGACAGGCGGTCACGGGCGAGCATGGTAAATGTCGTCAAGAACCCTGTAGCCATCAGCCCACATCTGTCAGAGGATGTCTCAGTCTCCAGAAGGGGCTGTGTCTGTGCCACTCTTACCGATATACAAGACCATCACCACCGGCATAAATCTAAAAAATGCTTTCGTCTACGGTCAAGTCAGCCTTGAGCTTTCCGGCGGGTTTCAGCGTATGCAGTACCATTTCCTTGAGTACGGGAATCTAATCGAAACCGGTTAGCTGCGATTCATGGGGCGAGGGGTGTTAGGGCATATCTCCACTCACTAAGCTGCCGAAGTATGAATTCAGGCTCACGAGCGAGCAGATCCTGTGCCTGCGTCAAAACTAGTTGTTCATGCACACCAGTGTTGCAGAAGATCATACCTTGGCACAAGAAAAAGTGCCTCGAGAGAAAGGATGTCAAATGAGAAGTTTAGAATGTAGTTGTCACCTCTGACTAGCCCGATGGCCCCTTGATAGTCTCTTTTTCAGCTTCTTACCCTGTAAATGCCTCATGAATCCTCACAAGGCATACTGGATGACGCAACTCACTGGCTATGATGAAAGCAAAGCCCACCCCGATAATACCGAGATTCCAGAGGCTCCAGAAGTCCATTTGGTAGAACAACACCCCTGCATCGACGAGCCCGCTGAGTTCATCGTAAGCAAAAGCGGCAATCCAAACATCCAACAGCGCTTCAAAAAATCCTACGCTCGTCTGATTTCGTTCCACGAGCACTGAATAGTAAAGAACTAAAAATGAGAGGAAGAATGCAGCTTCGAACATCTTGCGATAAACAGGGACTCTCAGACGAGAGTACGGATCAGCCGTTCTTCATGGGCCAGTTAGCATTTTGCTCTTTTTCCTCACCTCCCGCAGCCACTTACTTCCTATTAAAAAGCTGGGGCTTCTTCTTCGAATGCACCGTGAGAGAATCCCAAAAGACTATCCGGCCGTTCCAGATGTCATTTACAACACGCTGAACCACCCGCTGGCTAAGGAATCTCTTTGCTTGAGCAATTGCGGCAATCTCCAATGCATTCAAACCAAAGAATTGCGAGTATGGTGAAATATCAATGCGCCCTGGTTCGGTGGCCTGTGGGCCTGCGTATGGTTCTCCATTCTCATCGCGTTCTCGGGGCCGCTTCCCAGGTGTAGTGCGTTTGACAGGTGTTGAGAGGTCCGAGAGTAGTGGTGTCGTCTCCAGATCACTCGCTGGGACGAATCCCGAAGTTCCACGTTCGACTTCGAAAAGATTTGTCGAATTCCGGCGGGAAGAGGTAATTCCTCGAGCAAGAATTCTATTGTCTCTCGCTGATTGAGATGACACAGGAATTGCCAGGCCACAAACTCACAAGCTGATCCTCGACTTTCATTTAGACCCCAGTCATCATCGGTAGCGTTACTGAAGTTCCATTTCAAAATCCTTGGATGGTTTTTTGTTTAGCAATCCGATCGTCAGCAGGGAGAAAGAAGGACGGGTCTTACATCAAAGCGACTATGATAAATGGGTTGTGGCTATCTTGGGCGAGGGCATGAATTAACTGCCTCAGGCGATGACCTCGGGCACCAAATCTCATCTGCTCGAAGGAATATTCCATATCTCCGACGGCCATGGAAATGAAGCTACGGCAGGCATTAGACAAAGGCCGGACCGCTTCGAGAAGGAAATGTTCACCTGGATAACTTTGGAATGACTTCAAAAAGTGACTCTTCTGTCTCGATGATGGGGATCTCAATATGATCCATCAAATCGGGATATTCCATCATCGACATGGCAGCTGAGTACTACCTAGCTGGTGAAGAAGCCATTTAGAAACATTCCCAACAAGTCTGTAGCCAGACAGGCCGAGGATCATATACCAAATATCTAGGTAATCTCTGAATGAAACGGAGATTATGCCAAGCGATGTCTTCGAGGCTGCGGCTTATATCCCCTTTTAACGTCCCTTGTGCACGTCCCGCGCCACGTAGAAGGGCTAAACGTTAGTAGCGAGTGGACATTGTATGTAATAAGATAATTCAAAATGGACAAAAACTCAAAAAGTGGCGATACAAGCAAAATTCTCACAGTCTTGTTGTATTGTTCAATGTTGATTCGTGGTCTAGATAATCATGTAAAGGCAAGCCTCAGCCAAGCCCGCTGGACGCGCCTGACCGCCCAACCCAAACATGACATCACGTGGCCCCACCGCCCAGATAGACCGACGTTATCAACAACCACCCAGCTGCCACTTCCATTCTCTCCAGCCTAGGGAGATGCGGTCCATACATCATGGGTCAAGGCTACTCCATCACAACCCTGTCCGCGGGATCGGCAGGGATCGATGTTCCCGAACTTTCGGACCTGGTGTATGAGAGGTCCATGGGCGGTGGCCGATTTATGAAGAGCATCCGCGCCAGGCAGCAAAATGGCCTTGTATTCGTCAAGGTCATCATGAAGCCATATCCGACAATGGAGCTGGAGAAATATGTGAAAGCTATCGCTCGTGCGTCATGGTGTCTTTGGAAGTCTTTCGATCGGAACTAATCAGCATCATCCATAGGGGAACGCAAGCTCTTGACTGATGTGCCAAACGCATTGAGCTACGAGCGAATCCTAGAAACTGGTAATGGTGGCTATCTGGTGCGCCAATACATCCACAGCTCTCTCTATGATCGTATGAGGTACGGCTAATCTCGTTTACCACCATCTCGAAAAGACCCATGCTTACAGGTCTACAGCACCCGACCATTTCTCGAAGACGTCGAAAAGAAATGGATCGCATTTCAACTGTTGTGCGCCTTGCGTGATTGCCATTCCTTGGATGTGTTCCACGGTGATATCAAAACTGAGAACATCTTGGTCACTTCATGGAATTGGCTCTACCTTTCTGATTTTTCTTCCTCGTTCAAGCCAACCTTTCTTCCCGAAGATAATCCTGCCGACTTTTCGTTCTTCTTTGACATATCAGGTCGACGAACTTGCTATCTGGCTCCTGAAAGGTTTCTTGAGGCCGGAGAAGAGGAAGGCAGCCGCAACGTGAACTGGGCAATGGACATATTCAGTGCCGGCTGCGTGATTGCAGAGCTTTTCCTTGAGTCGCCCATCTTCACTCTAAGCCAAATGTACAAATACCGCAAGGGTGAATACAGCCCAGAGCTGAGTCAGCTGGTGAAGATTGAAGACCCGGATATTCGAGAACTCATTCTACATATGATTCAACTGGATCCAGAGTCTCGATATTCCGCCGACGAGTACCTAAACTTCTGGAAGAATAAGGCCTTTCCCGAATACTTTTACAGCTTCCTTCACCAATACATGTCTCTCATGACCGACCCTTCATCGGGAAGAAACAAGGTGGATGCAGAATCGACCAATCGGGGGGAAACTGACGACCGGATAGAGAGAGTTTGTCTTGACTTTGACAAAATATCCTATTTTCTTGGTCCCGCGGCCCAGGTTCCCCAAGATGTTTCCAATAAGAGCATATGTCGGTTGACAGGAGATGTACTCCCAGTCAGGCTCGATCTCCCGAATGGTGATACCACGACGTCCAATCCGCAATCGCAATCGCAATCAGATGAAGGTGTTTTGATATTTTTGACCCTTGTTGTCTCCAATTTGCGGACGACGGCCAAGGCTTCTGCTCGGGTCAAGGCCTGTGATATACTTCTAGCCTTTGCAGAAAGGTTATCGGATGAGGCCAAGCTCGATCGTGTCCTTCCCTATATCATGCTTCTTCTCAATGACAAGACCGATTCAGTGAAGATTGCAGCGATTCGAACCCTGACACAGCTTCTGGATATGGTCCACGAAGTCTCTCCCGTGAATGCCTACCTGTTTTCCGAGTATATTTTCCCAAGGTTGCAACCTCTAGTTGTAACTTCCAAACACAACCCGAGTCCGGTTGTTCGCTCCGCATATGCCTCTTGCATTGCGTCCTTGGCGCATTCTTCGTTGAAACTCTTGGATATCATCCAAGCATTGCGCTCGGATACTCGTCTTACCGCGCTCATTCCCGTTGGCTTCGAACCTCGGTGGACCGAGGACGCGACGTTCCATAATCTCTATGATGTCGCTCGCAATGATCTTTTAGAATATTTTGAGTTTCATACGAAAGCACTACTGACGGACGCAGATCCTTCCGTTCGCCGGGCATTCCTAGGGTCCGTGTCCAGTCTCTGCGTGTTTTTCGGGAACTTGAAATCGAATGAGGTTATCCTGAGCCATCTGAATACTTACTTGAATGACCGAGACTGGATTTTGAAATGCGCTTTCTTTGAGACGGTTGTTGGTGTCGCCGCATATGTGGGGACTATCAGCTTAGAGCAATACATTTTACCTCTTATGGTACAGTCTATGACTGAGCCAGAAGAATTTGTCGTGGAGAAGGTAATCCGGTCACTTGCAGCCATGGCTGAATTGGGATTGTTTCAGAAAACGACGACATGGGAACTTCTCCACGTTACTGTCGGGTTCCTAGTTCATCCTAGTGTCTGGATCCGCGAGGCTGCTGTGCAACTGATCGTCAAGTCTGCCAAGCATTTCACCATTGCGGATATTCATTCCATTTTGACACCTCTCGTTCGCCCTTTCCTCAAGGTGAAGGTCATCGAATTCTCTGAGGCAGAGTTTTTTGGTGCTCTCAAGCGTCCGATCTCAAGAAATATCTACGAGGTTGCTTTTCATTGGGCTTCCAAAACTGATAGAGGGGTCTTTTGGAAGTCAGCCAGCCCATTTGGTCTGTCGGATGGGCATAGCCCTCGCATAGGACGAAGTTCTACGTTTAGCTTGAGCTCACAAAGTAAGAACGACGAAGATGAACAATGGCTGTCCCGGCTACGAAACCTTGGGATGGGCTCGGAGGATGAGCTTAAACTCATTGCACTCAAGGATTATATTTGGAGAGTATCCCTGCGACAAAGCAGAGAAGCCGAGGCCGATCCTCCGTCAATAGGCGACATCATCAGTTTGTCTCAAAATGATGTCGCCCCTCAAACAGTCTTCTTTGACAAGCATCTCAATGAAAAGCCGAGAAATGTCTCCGTGGACAGAAGCGAAACTCCTACTCCAGAGGACAGGAAACCGCGAACCATCGCCGACGCTTTACTTGATGCTTCAACGACAATTGAGCGATCCCCTAGCGCTCATCGCAAGCACATTCGGGCCAGGAGCAATCTTCATAGGGAAGTACAGCGCCCGCACCCTAGACGCTCGGATCAAGCCGGTACAGAGTCATCAGCATCATCGCCCTTGGCATCCTCTCCTGCTGCAGGTCCCGGGTCTCGTCCACTGTCCCCGCCAAGCTCAGACGTTGATCGAAATGTCGCCGATCGCCGACTCAGCTCTGGCCAGGAGAGCACTTCGACAACTCCTACTCATACAGACACTCTTTTATTGCGAGGTGTCTCAGACCGAGTTCAGAAAAAGTCCAGTGCCATCAATCTTCTTGGTCGCCATGAGACCTCCAAGGCGTTTGCCGAAACCAGTACAAGTTCAGCAAACGCATTTGGAAAAGTCGATGCTCCAATTCAGAGAGCAGATACCCCGCAACAACAATCAGCTCTCGCACAAGCTTATGAGCAAAAAAGAACACCGACCCCGTCACGGCAATATCGTGCCAATCATTCTTATACGGGCGATGACCCGGCCGTCTTGCAACTACTGGACAATGTGTTTGCCGAGAATTATCCAACTGATCTGTTTGATCTGGGGCCGTATGTCAAAGAGTTGGACCCTCGACTACCAATTCGTAAGCCCGGCACGCAAGACCCCGGGAGCATCTGGCGACCCGAAGGAAACCTTGTAGCAACTTTTGGCGAACATAGTGGACCAGTCAACCGCATCGCCATCCCCCCTGACCACTCCTTCTTTGTCACTGCGTCCGACGACAGCACAGTCAAAATTTGGGACACCACTCGGCTGGAGAGGAACCTGACGCCAAGATCGCGTCAAACATACCGTCATGCTCCGGGGTCTCGTGTTAAAGCCCTGACGTTTGTTGAGAATACCTACACATTTATCAGTGCTGCAACTGATGGTAGCATTCACGCTGTCAAGGTGGACTACCAAAAGGTCCATGAATCTGCTCGATATGGAAAACTCCAGCTAGTCCGCGAATACCAACTTCCATTGGCCGACAATGGAATACCCGAGTATGCAGTTTGGATAGAACATTTCCGGGATGAAGGACAATCAACTCTGCTTGTTGCGACGAACACTTGTCGGATCTTGGCAATCGACATGAAAACCATGCTACCGATATTCACTCTGAGAAACCCCGTCCATCACGGAACACCTACGACTTTCTGTTGCGACAGGCGGCACACCTGGCTTCTAGTGGGCACAACTCATGGGATTCTAGATTTGTGGGACCTTCGATTCCGCGTCCGCCTGAAGGCCTGGGGACTACCAGGCTGGGGATCCATTCAGCGGATCCAACTTCACCCAACGAGACCTCGCGGACGCTGGGTCTGTGTATCCAGCAGCGGCAGCCACGGCAACGAAATCACTACCTGGGATATCGAAAAGTTCTGTTGTCGTGAAGTCTTCCAGTCGACTCCGCTCAACACCAATGAAAGCAACTCGAACGGGACTGGTCAGCGTAGCTCTCGGGGTACCAGCGCTCGCCCGCGCCGGTTCAATCTCAAAGGCGTTGAACCATGGCCTGTCGACGAAGACCGACCGGAAGGTATGCTCAGTCGCTTCGCGACGAGTCAGCCCGGCCCAGTAGGCCCGGAGAGTGGGAAAGACCCTACAGTTCCATCGAACAATCCCCCTGGAGATCGACTGGGCACATGGATCTTCACGTCTGGTCTAAACGTCCCCGAAAACGACAAGGGGTCCAGTAAGTGTGGATTCATCGTCTCCGCGGGGTGTGACCGAAAGATCCGCTTCTGGGATCTGGCACGTATCGAGCACTCAATGATTGTCAGCGGCCTGGACAATGTGTCCGAAGGAAATGGGGCTAGCAGTAGGCCTCGATATGAGGTGTCTCAGCCTATCCCCAACCTCGTGGTGACGACGGAGCAAATCCCTTCCACTTCTAGTGGTAGCGGGGCGAGTGCAGCTGGCAAGAAGGGGGCTGGTCCGCGACCCCCACGCAGTACGGTGATTAGTTTGCAGCAGCAAATGCTTCTCAAGAGTCATCTCGATATCATTCAGGATGTGGCTGTGTTGCGACAGCCGTATGGGATGATCGTGAGTGTGGACCGGGCGGGAATGATTTATGTCTTTAGATGAGCGGGAGCTGGTGCGATATTTGTATGAATATTTGATTAGTAGGACATGAGATTACTACTAAGTACAATACCCAATCGTTCAAAATATTGTGCACCTGGCATTTCAGGGTTCCAAGATAACTTGGTATACTACTCCAGGGCTACTAGTACTTCTACCCAGTAGTATATTCCAAGGATGAAAATCTGAATGACCTCGGGAAACTTGGAACTTGAACCTGTAGACCTCGGACCTTCAAATTTCATTGCTACTACTAGAAGTACCTCTACCTAGGTAGCTTAGGCCATGCCAGTGGTACTTCGTACTAGTAGTAGCCTGCCAACCTGAACTTGGAGGTTTCGAGTTGGATTCTAGTTGTTCTCCCACATCAACTAGTACAAATGTAGTAGCTAAGGTACTACTAGTACTGCTACTAATAGGTCCACGGGTAGAAATAACCTTGGAACTCGCCAGCAGCCTTGCACCAGGGCAGGGATCTGCCAAAATTCCAAGGTTGAATATATACTTTGAGAGACTGCCAGTGGGCGCAATTGGAATCGGAACACGTCCGACTGGGCTAGGCAAAAATCCCTTTGAATGCAATATGTACAGCCTCGGATTAATTCCTTGACATGTTATCCACCTGGGCAATCCTCCGAATTTGATTCATCTAAGCTTCAACATGTCTAAACCACCTGGTACCTCAGGTGGCAAACGAAATGATGCACTCTACAGAATCAGCTCTGCTACGACCTTGATCTATCTCGCGCTGCAGTGGGGACTCGCAGCAGAGTACATAGCCACGAGTCACCGGTACATTGACCAGCGCGGAGAAACACCAGTATCCGACGTACCGGTTACACTGCTGCAGGTACACAGAAAGTGGAGGTTAGTCGAGGGACGGAGGAAGCTGGGCAGTGGGTCAGCGTCCACACAGGCGAAACACTGGACCGTAAATGGGGTTGGTGATCGGCAGCATTGACGGCCAGAACGAGCATAGCTCCAGAGTAAGGAAGACTGGGGGAGATTTTACGGATCCTACCTCCATCTGCTAGGTGCGTTCCGGTACGGTGCATGGATGACCGGATTTCTACCGATGTATCAATGCGTTCCCTCTGTCCTGCAGCTAAGAGAGGAGGCGGGAACTGCATCACCCTAGCACCGTCGAGAAGCGCGGTACGCTACCGGGGTGGCCCCTGCGGAACGAACTGGTGCGATCATCGTGCTCCAGCCCCGATCCCTGTTGGAGCATCTGGGATTAGTACATCCTGGGTCTGGGTCTGGATCCAAGATCGGTATGGGTTCGGTGGTGGGTAACCCAAGCTGTGTACGAAGGCCACTCGATATTAGCTGGGAGGGATTTTTCGCGTGTCAGGATTTTTCCTTCTCGCACGTCACACGCGAATGACAGAAGGCAAAAATGAGACAAGGTTAGCTAGCACCACGAATGAGGGGATTGGGCCGATGGATGGAAGTGGGATCTCCGTTGCGAACTTCCTGAGTTGGTCCGGTAGATTTTGACACTGGTGGAGTCCGCGGGAGGTGACGGGCAGCAGAGTGGAAGCAGAACAGAAAGAAAGCTACGAAAACGAGTAAGAAAGCTACGGAAGATAACAGAGGCGCGCGGGGCTCTTCTCGGAGCTTTCGGTGTTGCCGTTTTGAAGCAACGCGAAAGATGAAACATGGAACATGGAGAAGGGAAGGCAGGATGAGACCCCCGAACCCTTTCCCCGTGCCCCCCCGGCATTGAGCAGGTCGAGACGCACTAAAAATGCAAGACGCGCCCGGTAAGTCATTTTGCAATGCATCCCATCCCAGGGGGGGCAGGGCCCGGCACAGACCACCGTAACCAACGATCGAAGCAGGTCGAAGGTAAAACCTCGGACATGTGGGTCCGGATGTTTGGGGCCAGGGGTAAGCACCAGTCATGGCGCAGCTGAGGCTCGACACGGGAAGAGAAACAGAGAGGCAGAGCCATGGGAGAAGCTTCGGCCCCAGGAACCAAGGAACTGCCTGGAACCGTGGACGGCTGGGGGCGCTGACAGGTTCGCTTCCAAATCATCGAATGGATCTCGATCGGCTCTGCAGATACTTCGATCGGGCGAATTGGGCCAGTTGGGCCTCGGCCGCGTTTGAGGATTGAATATCGTATTTTGCAGAGCAGGAGCAGGGCCGACCCAAAGATTGGCGCAAGATTGGGATGCGACTATTGATTCTTGATTTGATTTGATTTCTCTCTTCTGGGTGGGTGGGTGGGAATGGGTAGGGCTAGGGGCTTCACAATAAGCATTGAGCATTGAGCATTGAGCATTGAGCATTGAGCATTGTGCATTGTGTTGTATTTTGCTGCTGGCTGCCGGCCTCCTCGCTGCACGCAGGCGAGACACGAGAGCGAGAGGTTGTATGGCATGGGCATGGGCATGAGCATAAGCATGCCCATCGGCAGAGCGGATGCAGGGTGGTACCACGGCTTGCCCACTCAAGAACGAGGCCTCGACGGTTGGACGATCAGTGGCGAGGAGCGGTTTTCAAACAGTTGAAACTGCACGATGTGTCTAGAACTCTGTTGGGAACAATCTGACCTGTCGCGGGAGGGAGTGGTAAGAGTGGTCAGAGTGGTTGTGGTTGTGGGGGAACGGCGGTGAGTCTACTGAGTCTACGAGTATCAGATTCACTACACTACGAGTATACGGAGTACATTACGAATATACACTACGAATATACAGCCGAGTATACAAGAAGCCTGCCCCTGAGGGTGAAATCACAATTGCTATGCAGCTATTATCATAATTATAATACAAATAAAACCCAAAGGATCTTAAATTAACCGGAGCCAAGTGGAGTCACTAAGAAAGATTGAAGAGATTCGACTGGTGCGTTCCCCTCCGACGAACCCCCTTTGGTAGAGTGACCCGCCAACTTTCTCCTATTCTCCTCCACCCCCCCTGATATTCGCTCGCTCTTTGCTTAGGTGAATTACTCCGTACTCGAACTTTACTCCTCTTTCCTTCTCTCCTCTTTCTCTCTCTCTCCTTCAACCGTCTCTCCCAACCTACTATTTCCCCCCCCAAATCGTGGTTAACCTCTGGTTTCCATGGCCTCGGGTGCACACTAAATCGTTCAATTGGAGTATTACGCGGCGTCTCTCCCTATACACCTATCTGTATACGGTATATCTCTCATTCTTGACCCGCCTACCTCCGAGGCTTCAGCTTCAGCTCCAGCTTTAGCTCTAGCTCTGTCGACTACTTCGACCAATATACACAACTTATATAACACAAGCACCATACACAATCCGCCATCATGGGACATTCTCTGAGAGATCACTCGTCCTTTGTCCGCCCGGCTACCAGGGATCGCCCGGCGACTCGCGGCGAGGGGGAAAATTCGCTGGTCGTCCCCAGTCGCACGTCGTCGTTGCACTCTCGCATCACCCAACCCATTCCTTCAACTCTCAACATCAAACCCGCTCAGCGGACCCCAAAAACTCTCACCCATGCCTACATGGTATGCGGTGTTGGCCGTGAACCCTCCCAATGGGTCAAGGCTCCTGCCCCGGCCCAGGGTAAGATTGGCCACATGAAGGGCGCTGTCGGTCAATTCTGGCTGCCAGAGATTCTGGGCAGCAGCCCCCGATTGGAGCAGGATAACGAGATTGCTCGAGCCCTGCACTCGGCGATGAGGGTGAGCAAACAATCACCGAGGTTCGAGGAGGTATTAGAGATGGATTTAAGGTTAACTGACTGGAATGTTAGGCATGTTTCCCCCACGATGTCGAGATATGCACAGGCAAGAGCCAGCCTCACTGTGCCCACCACGCTTTCGTCCTCCAGCAGGACTCTTCTCACACTCTGTACGGTATCGCGCTGCGCGTCTGGTCCCGTGCCGATGAGAAGCGCGCCGAGACAATTCGCGAACTTCGCAAGAAGACGGAGCCGGACTTCTACGACAACCCCGATGAGACCTACTGGATTCCCTACTGCTTGAGTTTCCTTTCTCGCTACCCCCTGTACGACCTGTTAGGTGATTACCTCCGTGGTATGTGGATTCACTGGAACAAGGCCACCAACCTCTTCCACGCCGAGGAGGTTTCTCGCATTCTGAGCTTCCCGGCTCCCCGTCTGAATGATCTGGTCCGTATCGACATGAAGGATTACGCTCTCTGCTACCAATTCCCCTCATCCCCGACCGGCTTCCAGAACTTCGCCATGTGGCCCCTTTTCAACTGCCTGTCAATTCCCAACATTGTCGGTGTAATTGAGGCCGCCGTGTCGCCTACTCGCCGTGTCATCTTCGTCTCTCACTACGCGGCCATGTTGACTGCCGCCGCCGAGACCATTCGCTACTGCGTTCGCGTCTATGAGTGGAGCGGTCTGTACGTTCCCGTGGTGCACGCCCGCCACGTGAAGGAGCTCGTCCAGGAGCCCGGTCCTTACATTCTGGGTATCACTGCCGAGTGCCGCACTCTTTTCAACGCACCCTCTGATGCTCTCGTCGTCGATCTCGACCGTAACTTCGTTCTGACTTCCAGCCCGCCCAATGTTCTCAACCAGGGCCAGCGCACCAAGTTCATTAACCGACTGACACAGGCCCTGAACGGAGATGTTTCCCCGTCGGGTGTCCCCACTCACCTGCGTTCGGCTTACGCTGGCGGCAAGCTGATCCCTGCTGGTCAAATCATCGTCATGCGCGGTGAGGTTGAAAGTGTCCAGGAGCCCAACTGGTGGAACCAGGATGCCGTTATGAGTGTTATGGACCATGTTTGCGAGAAGCTGGGCCGTAACACCGGCATGAAGGCCATCTTCGGCGGATCCGTCAAGAAGCCTCTCATGACCAAGGTCTCGATGCGCCACCTCAACGAGATTGTCCGTGAGCGCAACCAGTACTCTCGTGACGCGATGGAGGCCTGGCAGGACTTCATCAACCTCAAGGGCAGAATGGACACTGAGCTCAGCAAGGTTACCAAGCGCAACAACTTCCTGGTCGAGGAACTCGAGACCTGGAAGCAGCAGTTTCTCAAGTTCCAGGCCTTCGCCGAGCAGCTCACCAAGGAGACTTCCGAGCTTAAGGTTAAGATCGAGAACCACAAGCGCGAGAACCGCCGTCTCACTGGTCTCATTGATCAGCAGAAGGATGATGTCGCTCGTCTCACTCTCCGTCTGTCTGGCACTGAGAAGCAGCGTGACGATGCCCTCGAGGCACTCGTCCTCCAGCAAGAGATTGCTGAGGAGCTCGAGCGTGAGCGCAAGCGCAACCAAAAGGAGATCTCTGCTCTCACCCACACTAACTCCACCCTCTCCCGCGAGCGTGAAGACGCCCAGCGTGTGGTCCTGCACCTGCGCAGCCTCATCAACGGCAAGAGCCACCACATGGAGCACATTGTTCGCTCCATTGGTAGCAGCTCCGAGATTACTGAGATGGTCGAGCAGGGTTACGAAGACGCTCCTGAGGAGCGCACCGAAGAGCGTGCTAGTGCAGAGTCTGTGAAGGAGTCAAACAAGGAGAACAAGGTCTCAAATAAAGCATCGGTAAATCAAATGAACCCCGAGCTCGAGCAGCACTTGCTGAACCTCGGCAAGGACCACAAAACCCTTGCTCGTCTGAGCGTCACCGACGTTGCAGACCGTTACCTGCGTGATAAGACGGACGCTATTGCGGACATTATCCGTAGCATTAGTGAACAGTGCGCCGCCGCCGTCGAGGGCCTCCACCTGGCCCAGGATGCCGAAGATGAGGAGTCTGCCGAGGCTTCCTCGTCCAAGATCCACCAGAACGGTTCCCCCCGTCTGGGCTCAGAGTATGAGGACGGCCGGACCACCCGCGCCACCAGCGAAGTGAGCGACATTGACAACTCGCTTCACCCGGACAACCGCCACTCCAGCATCCCTCCCACCCCCGACCTGGTTCACAACCGCTCCAGCACTTCCATGTCCATGGTCAGCAGCTCGACTTTCCCCGAGCGATCCAGCCAACAATATGGACCGGGTGAGATCCCCACTCGCATCGTGGAGGATGACGATGAGCACGCCCATGAGACCGAGAGCATGGACGACCAGCAAACCGAGACCGGCACTCTGTCCAAGCAGGCTAGTGAAGATCTCATGCGGCCCCAGACTGCCCGTGTGATCTCCTAGATTCTTTGAATTCTTTTGACATATTTTTTTGCCTCCATCAGCTATAGATGATGTGCAACGCTTGACTGAGACGACCCTTGTTTGTTTCCTGCCTTTCTGATTCTACTTTTGGCGTGATTTTATCCTTCTTGCTGACTCGTGCCGTGAATACCTCACGCGTGCACATGTTCTGGTTGTCCGGCGTAGCCTGGTGCCTTTTTTTTTTTTTTTCTCTCTCTCTTCATTTCGTCGTGTCGCTTTTGATACTCCCTTATATCCATCCGCCCGCAACCATTCCATCCATCCTTCTTGTCAATTGTTCTTCAGGGCTATTATGTTTCCTACGGGGTCTTGCAGCTCCCACTTTTCCCTTTATTTTTTTTTCTTGTGCTACTGCCCCCCAAGGAATCTGTCACTATTTTGTCTTCGTCGTACCTTCTGGTATGGAACGGCTTTTTGCTATCCGCCTATCTTGCGCCCTTCCAGCCTTGACTTGGCTCGAGGGAGCGCATCCCACTCTGCACCCATCTGCAATTCTTTATTGCGGTTTCCTACTGTGTCCCTAGTTTGCCACGCATTCTCCTTATTTCCTTTTGTCCGCAATCGTTGAACTGGACTCTCGATTGTCATGGATCATTCCATTCTGTTGTATTTAAAAATGGATCTCTAATCACCATATTTGCTTCAATCCGGTTGCCTTTAGCAAGCAAGGAAAGTATAAGTAGTAGAGCTCCTCGACTCTACATGTCATTTCACTTAGATACTTCATAACTATGTACATGGAAGACTAGGTGAGAAATCATGCCAACTTTCCAGGGACGACAGGGTGTCCAGCACTCAATCCACCGCACACAGCCCACGCCTGGCCATTGACATAGCTGCTCTCATCACTACCCAGGAACAATGCCACCCGCGCGACCTCGTCCGGGATGGCACCACGCTGCATAGGGTTCAACTGCCCAATCTTGCGAGTGGTGCCGCGCTTCTTAGCGTGATCAAAGACAGACTGTGTCATGCCGGTCTCGATCAGACCGGGACAGATTGCATTGATACGAATACCGGTCCCGGCCAACTGGTACGAGCAGGTCTGGGCAATAGAAACCACTGCCGCCTTGGAGGCGGAGTAGTCGGTTGAGCCGGCGTTGGACCGAAGTCCGGCTACCGAGGCTGTGCAGATGATTGAGCCGCTGGGGTATGGCTTGGATTCAGAAGTGACCTTCATAGCAGGGGCAGCGTGCTTAGCCGCCAGGAAGACTCTGCAAAATGTTAGCTCCAGTCCTAAAGTAGGAGGGAAGCTTCCTCAAGATGAACCCTTACCCAAGAGCGTTCGTTTTCATAGTGTTCATGAAACCATCTCCATCAATCTCAGTGAACATCTTCGGTTGTCCTACGATTCCAGCATTGGCGAAGAAAATATCTAAGCGGCCGTACTTGGAGATCGCCTCGTCGATGACGCCGGACACGGCTTTCTCGTCCCCGGCGTCAAATTGACGAACATGCACATCTACACCGGGGTAGAGAGACTCCATCTCCCGCTTATGAGTTGCGAGATGGGAGTCGCTGAAATCGCAGAGATAGACCGCCTTCGCGCCATTATTGGCGAATTGGTGTGCGCTGGCACGACCAATACCATTGGGAGAGTTGGCACCTGTGAGTGATGGTGGTGCATGTATTAGCGTGATGGATCTTTGTACGAGTTGAGATTTGACGTACCAGTAACAATGACGACCTTATCTTTTGTTCGACTGCGGCGAGGGAGGTGTTAATCACTGCCAATTCTAGTGATCTGAATGATTCGACTTTGCTTTTTCTTTTTTGCTTCTTTCTTTCCAGGGGTTGTGCAGTATGTATGGAGTATATCAGACTGTACTCGAGACTGTGATACTTACGGGCCTGCAGAGTCCTGAGCAATGTGCCGGATTTTGGAGATATCCTCGAAAGTCCCCTCGTCGGGGATGCCTTCAACAAGCTGCTTGCTAAGAGCTTGGAGGCGCTGTTTGGCGGCGGAAGAAGAAGACATGGTGAATATAGATGGTGTTGGGGTTTGGAGAGAAAAGGTAAAGAAGTCCGAAGGGTAATTGTCGACCTCCTCTTCTGCAGTCACTCAATACTAAATACTCAACACGAAGAGGGAAGAGCTCGCCCGCATCGCACCTTCCCCACTCCGCGGTTATGCGGAGTGCCTCGGCACAAGTCACATGACTAGACAACAGCTCCGGTCACCTGACACATGGTGTATCCTCACGTGATCAAACAGGTGTCGTCATGTGCCCAGTGCTTGTTTTGGGCCCTCCAAGCTGTCGGAGTTGTCGATGAGCCTGCAAAGTTTCGCAATTTGGATATTCCTGCCTTTCTGCAGTTGAACCTGTCGAGGTATTTTGCGATATCGATTTTCCCTTCTGCACCAACTGCAAAGTGCGTCGATCTCCCTTCATTCCCACAAAGATCCACTCCAAATCGGCTAGGATCGACCAACACAACCACGAAAGGGCACATAACACGAAAGGTGGAGAGACCGATAACTGACAGACAGCCCTTACAGCATTCTCTTACTATTGCACCTTGTTTCCTCTGCAAGACCTTCTATTCCCTTTTTTCGTCCAACTCTCTGTCCAGCATTCATGAAGTCCGCAACCACCCCATTCGACATCTACGCCCTTCACCAGTCGTTGAGTCATGGCGGAGCAGCCCGACCCTCACCCACAACGGAGGTCCTCATCCCAGGCGTCGTCAGCTTCCAACCGCAGTGCAAAGGCTAGGACATTACGATCGAAGGTCCAGAAGCGCCATTCGGGTTCAAACTCACGCACCGATCTGACTTCGTTCCCTTCTCTGCCACCGAGTTCTCCACCCGACAACAACCCCAACTTGACACGAGGCCTGACAACTACGTTGCTGACGGGAGATACTGGAAATGGCCCTAATGAGACCGGTCGCGGACGCAAAGCTACCCTGGCCCGACTGACCACTGGGGTATCCCATGCCTCCGGCCGCGCCGCCTTATTCGATGATTCGCTTCCGGCTCGTGATATTCCAGGTGCCCTGCACCTCGCGGACGATGGGCATATCGAACGTATGATATCTACTACCGGTCCTGTCAAGATCGTCAGGCAGTTTGCTCGTGATTTGGCCCAGCGGGATGCCGAGATCTCCGCACTGCGGCAACGGGCCGATGCGCGGGAGCGGGAACTGAAGAAAATGCTTCGAGAAGTGTCGGTGTCTAATCAAGATATTGAACGCCGGTTGCACCAAATGGAGAATAACCCTGAAGACCGCACTTCTGATGGAGACAGTACCCACAGCCTTGGTCAGGCCTCTCAGAGCTCCGGCCTGGATGGTCTCATGTCTCAGGCCATGACGGACGCTGTTGGATCGAACGATGGTGATACTTCTGAGCACAACTCTGATCTTCAGGCGACTATTCGACCTCAACGAACCGATGAGCTGCGTGATGCCGAAGGCAATCGCAAACGACAAGGCTCCCTTCGTGGCTGGCAAGAGTATATCTTTGGATCAACGAATCCCAGTCGCAAGACCAGCCGTGCAAGCAGTATCATGAGTGACATGCAAGAAGTCGAAGAAGAGGATCCTCAGCGCCCCCGAGCCCCAAGTAATCCTTCTGTCCGGCGTAAAGCTCTCGATGAGCAGCTGTTCCATCCCCCTAATGGAAAACCTGGTTCTATTGCAAGTGATACCTTGGGAAGACGCATGGCAAGTGGATCTACCAATGGGGACGACGCCAGTGTTCATTCGCGCAAGTCATCTCGCTCCCTTGGCTCCTGGACTGTCAAACTATTTGCCGGGAATGCTCAAGGGCAAAAGGATTCTAGTGACTCGGAAAGCAGTCGCAAGATCTCCAATAGCCAGGACAAAAACACCGAACCCAAAAACTCGATGAGCGCAATGGCGGCATTGAAACGAATCAATAGCAACACCAACATGCCTGGCTCCGGAGGACGATCAGCTAGTAGCAACACGGGCACGGTCAGAATTAACCCGGCTGCACGAAGAACCCCGATATCCAACATCTCGCAAGTTACAGCGGCGGCTGAGAACTCGGACCGAAGCTCGACTAATCTTGGCCCCGTCGAGATGGATGCCATCTTGCCTATGGAGTCTCGCCCACCGACCCTCTCCCCTATCTATAATAATTCCCAGTCTAGCGAATTCCTGACAGATCGATTTGGGTTCATTTATGATCAACGTCGGAAAAAGCGTCAAAGGGAAGCAAATGCTAGCAAGACTAGTAAACACCGGCTGAGTATCACAGAAACCCTTGGCAACCTCCGCAGTGACTCGGATGTCGAGGATGAAAATCAAAATCTTCCCTCAGCCACTCCAGAAACCCCCAGCTCTCCCCCCGACTCTCCTGTTGATCCCGAGAGTGGGAATGCTGGACTTCGCCGCTGGCAAGACTATCTCAGAATGCCATCTCGTCCGACAGAGCTCTTATCCCACACGCCTTCCACTGCTCCTATAGTCTCCTTGACTACTGCAGAGCAGAGTCGCTCCCATAGCTCGTCCGTATCGGTGGATAAAGATGGAACGTTGTCGCTCAATTCAGGCCAACCTTCCGCCAGCACGTCGGCAATCACGGCAGATCGCCCGGAGTTTGCGGGGATATCCTCGGAGGAGCAACCTGCTATTCGAATCAATGCCTCTGAGACCGAACCTGTCAAACTTCTACTTGAACAGCTCACCGATCTTCACGATACGCTGCAGCGTGATCGAACAGTGAGGTGGAATGAGTTTCTTCGCAAAGTACGAGCAGAGCGCCGCAAAGAAGGCGAAGCAGCCGCCGCCGCCGCCTCGTCCTCTGATAAATCTGTTACTGCGGTGGACACCCCGGAAGCAATTCTTGCAGATGGCGAGGTCATTGGGATTTCCGGCCTTGGGAACAAAGGAAAGGTTGGCCGCGCCAAGTGGCGAGAGTTCCGAGCGCTTGTCCTTGGCGGTATTCCAGTTGCTCTTCGGGCCAAGGTCTGGTCTGAATGCAGTGGTGCCTCGGGGATGCGGATCCCAGGATATTACGAAGACCTTGTGCGAGGAGTCGGTGGCACCGAGCCGGATCCTTCAGTCATTGCTCAAATTGAAATGGATATTCGTCGTACTCTGACGGACAATGTATTCTTCCGCAAGGGGCCAGGTGTTGCCAAGCTGAAAGAGGTTCTTCTGGCATATTCTCGCCGCAACTCGGAAGTGGGCTATTGCCAAGGCATGAATCTCATTGCCGCATCACTTCTTCTCATCATGCCCACTGCCGAAGATGCCTTCTGGATTCTCACCTCTATGATTGAAATTATTCTTCCTCAGCATTACTATGATCACGGTCTTATGGCATCACGCGCGGATCAGGCTGTCCTCCGACAATACATCACTGAACTACTGCCTAAACTGTCTGTGCACTTGGAGGAATTAGGCATCGAGTTGGAGGCCCTTACTTTCCAGTGGTTTTTGTCTCTCTTCACCGACTGTCTCTCTGCAGAGGCACTCTACCGTGTTTGGGATGTGGTTCTCTGCCTCAACGTTACCAGCACAGCACAAAATGGTGTCACGGCAAATGCATCCGCTGCCTCCAGCATCAAAGAAGGCGATAAAGCCACACCAACCTCGGAAGATCCTACGTCTGGTGGTGGAGGTGGAAGCACGTTCCTTTTCCAGGTTGCTTTGGCACTGTTGAAGCTTAACGAGCCGCAACTGTTAACAACCTGCTCCACGCCAGCCGCTCTTTATACGTACATCAACCACCAAATGACCAACCATGCCATCAGCATTGATGGTCTAATTCAAGCTAGCGAAGCTCTTCGCAACATGGTACGCCGGGAAGACGTTGTTTCCCGCCGAGCCGTTGCTTTGCGAGAAATGCGCGAGTTTGGTTAGGATACCCCTCAACACTTTCATATCTCCCTTTTCACCTTTTCTTTACTACTGGCGGATATTGTCGTTCTTTTTTGTCTCACATTAGACTTGACGATGCCAACGACAGAAGCATGGCTCGGAGTTTTGGCATTTTTATCTTCTACCCTTTTTTATCTTTTTATTTCTTCATTGATATCCCACTAGCTTCATTCCCTGGCGCTTTCCTTTTCCTTTTTACTTTTTCCATTCCAGCGAAACAGATCTTGGTCCTGGCATTCAACCTGTTCCCTATTTTCCTGCGAATGCATTCGAGATACCCCTAGCTCTTTTCACATGGGTTCATATAAGATTCAATAAACGTTCGTGGTTGGGTTCTATTTACCTCCATTCGTACCCCCGAGGCCCCTCTTCTAAGTCTTTCTAGGGTCTATCTGTGGATCTATTCAGTTTATAGTCTATACTAAGTCTATCTCTAGCTACCTAACCCATCTAAATCCCGCCCACTGAAAACCGACTCCAGCTCCGGATCCGAGCTCCATGGATTCTAAAAATGATCGGCGATGCCATGATGCATGCGGATAGACAAGCCAGCAGTGTAGCCGACCAGTTGATGTGCAGTGTCTCATACATCGGGCCTTCAAATAATGGAAAGGACGCAGACACAAGGCTTCGTACCATCACATGAATACTAATAGCCGACACCGTGTTCAACAGGTAAACATCAACAATATACGCGATACCCGTGATAAAAATGAGCTGTAGAGACAGTCCGATGAAGAAGCAGGCAATCACCTGCGCAACCCAATGCGTATCCCCACTCCAGCCAAACCAAAGCAGACTCGGCGGAAGCAATACTGCACCCAATATCATCGGCGGTAGTCTATCTTCAGGAGGCACGCGGGCTGGGACGTCGTCTACCGCTGCCTTTTGTGCACGTACCCATTGCCTCTTGTACCAGGTCATTGTGAAGAGAGAGAAAACCCCCAAAGCAGACAACACGCCCAAGCCAACAGCGGCAAATGGGAGAGTGGCAGTAGGCACGCTCCAACCACGTATTCGAAATGCCCGTGGGAATAGCTGGTACGAGAGGTACAGCGTGCCGTAGACTAGGGTCAGATAAGTTGTCATCACGATGAGAATGGGCTCTTGGCAGAACATGCGAATGGGCTTCGTGCAGTATTTTCGAAGCAGTACTTGCGGGTTTAGGGAGGCCATTTCCGCTCGCGCTCGGTAGTTCGGATTACCTGTTTCGCGGCGCAGGTGGGCTGCCCGACGCATGAGGAGGCGATTGTGCGAGGATTCTCGCAATAGTGCGATGCAAAGGAGTCCGACCACCCCGCAGAGGATCAAAGATGTCCATGCGGTCCAGCGCCAGTTGTATCTGTCGACGATGTATGCTCCGACAATTGGACTGATGGTTGAACCCAGGTTCATGATTGAAGCGGATGTCCCGACAGCAATGCCCCGCGTGATCGGGCCGAAGATATCGGCCAATAATCCCGATCCAACGGCGAGACCGCCACTCCCTAGCATTCCTGCCAGAAATCGAGATACTAGGATCGTGGTGACGTTGCGGGCTAATGCAAGTGGGATCTGGAAGATCCCACACCCGGCTAAAGCAACCACCATGACGGGCAAGTTACCTACTACCTCCGCCATAGGTGCGAATATAAGTGGACCGACTGCATATCCAGCCATGAAAAGTGCAACGCCTAGACTCATTACTTCCTCCGATACGCCATATTGCTGAGCTGTGACGCTGGTGGCAGACCCGAAGATACTCGAGCAGAATGAGATGGAGAATATGACGGCTAATGGTGCGAAGGATCGAAGCAGTTTCTTATGCGGTGGCCAATTCTGCGGGTTTTCGGGGTCGTTAGGGCCATTCCAGGTGACTAGGTCGAATTTTGACTCTGGCTCGCTCGGTGGAGAGGCAGTTCCTGGCGTGGAGGCGCCGTCGGGCACTGCAACAAGATTGACCTGGACACCTTGGTCCTGTTTAGACCCTTTTGCGGGAAATAAGCCCGATGAATCCATGGTGGAAGGAGATGGAGAATATTGGAATTGCGACCATCAAGACCCCATGAAAATCCCTTTTGGGCCCTTTTTCAACGTTGGTGATCGGCAATTGATGCAGGAGTTGCGTCGTTTGGGGTCCACCTGGAGTATCTCCGACTCAGAACTGCGAGGTGTCCGCCGTGTGATGAGGGCGGTTATTGGTCTGAGAAAATTTAAGGGGATTGATCAGTCAATTAAATGAGCCAGTTCCGGCCCTTATAACCAATTAGTGTTGTCTGGGAAGCGCGCTGGGGTAGTTCATGACGAGGAGAGTTCGGAGAGATGGCCGATCTCCGAAATCCTTTCCGATTAGGGCAAACTCGGGATCGGCGGACGAGCGAGGACGAGCGAGAACTTGATAAAGTGATACCGATAGTTACCAGATGTCGAGAGTGACTTGTTGTGTTGAGAAGATGTTATCCGAGTTGTTATTTTAAGAGATAATACATGACGTTCTATACTATAGTTCCATTCTAACCCACTTGGCCCTTTGTATGAACACCCAGGAAATCATTTCTATCTGGGCATGGTCCCACTTAATTCTTGATCTCGCCAGCCTCATATCATAGTAGGTAGGCCACTGAATCCTCCATTATGCCCTTTCCCTGGAGCCACCTCATTCCGGACGCCCCCTACCCCCCTTCAAGCTATGAGCACCCATTGTAATCGGTACATCGTACTCCCTCACTGTGTTTCCTTCCGCGCAAGGTATTTCGGAATCTTTTGAGCCCAAACTCCCACATGCGACAAGCCCGGGCTACCACGGACCCGTACATACCAGTATAGAATCAATGTCGCAATGACGTTAAAAGCCACATAAGCCCAAATCAAGCCAAAGTTCCTCCAGCGCTCGTCGTAGGATGACACAACCGATTGCAAAAACACATTGGAGCTGGTGATGGCGCAGAATTGACAATCAGAAGTGGCATCAGGATTATATACCGCACCTCCAGTCATCTTCGAGTATGCCGCGAGATAGCTCCCACAGGTCTCCCCGCTGGGCGGCTGGACCAAAATGGTTTCTATGTCTGAACATTGCACATCGATATTGGCTAGTCCCGTGGACATCATGCCGCTAATGATGTAGGTCAGGGGAGATGTGCGGTACATGAAGATCCAGAAACCAGGTAGGCTCGCTGGGGTTGCCATGACTCCACAAAATATCAGGGAAAACACAAACAGAAGCAGTGCCAGGATTGCGCCGATCTCAGCTGTGGACGCACTTGCAACTACCATTGTCGTAAATGTACCGCAGTGCATCAAGAAGCCCCATATAAGCAAGAACATCAAACCGCCTCTCTCTGTGGTTTGATGAGTTGGCGCAGCATTGTGATTCATGCCGATCAGGTAATAAAAGGGAAGAAAGGTAATCAACGCAGCCAGCGAGTTCCACGGTATCTCGACGATGATCTGGGCCATTATGAAAGCCATCCAAGAATACGCCTTTGATGGACGCTCGCGGACTTCATAAAGGTCGCGCTGGAGGATGTAGTTCGGCATCTGCTGATATGCTAGGAACGGGAATATGACGAGTAGCATGAAGATTGCGAACATTTGGTGCTGTAGTCCGAGCTCGGTGATCTTTGTCTGTAGAAAGGAAAGTCCAATAAATAACGCCTGGGGCAAAGCAAGACAAATTAGCATCCCAAATTTTAATCAAAATGCATCCTTTCAACTCACTGTGACAAAGCACATGATCAATTTCGAAAAAAGGTAAGAAGGCGTTCTCCAATACTGCTCGAAAATCCGCATTGTGCAAACCCACAGCTGAACATGGAATGGACTGGCAAACTGGAGGGAGGGTTCGGCATGGGAAATTGTCTCCGAATTCGGCTTTTGCTCTAAGGAGATAAGCTCCTCGTTGACATTGGCATATTCCTGACTACTGAGCCAAGTGGCTGGCCAGTCAATCTTTGTCGTACTTCCTGGAGCGGCGCCAATCACGCGCAGCATCCATTCTGCTGGATTATCACTTTCTTCGCAATGATCTGCTCCATGGCGCTCGAAGTACTCCGTCATGGTCTTTGAGTTCGCACCAATATCGCCAAAATAAACTGTGCGGCCACCAGCTGCTAAAAGCAGGAGGCGATCAAATTGTTGAAAGAGCATGGCCGAGGGCTGATGGATAGTGCAGAGAATGGCCTGGCCATGGTCTGTGAGCTTCCGCAGGAGAAGCAAAATTGACCATGCTGTCTGACTATCTAGCCCGGATGTCGGTTCGTCAAGGAAGAACAAAAGATCAGGCTTCGCTGCTAGCTCCACGCCGATTGTCAATCGCTTCCTCTGCTCAACATTCAAACCTTCGCCAGGAACGCCAACAACAGCGTCAGCGTAACTCTTCATTTCAAGAAGATCTAAAATTTCCTCGACACTTTGCAATTTGTCAGCCCTACTAACATGTGCAGGCTGTCTCAAGAAAGCACTAAATTCCAATGCCTCTCTGACAGTGGCAGTTTCCAAATGAAGGTCTTGCTGCTGAACATAGCCAATTCGGCGCTGGAAAGAGGCATCTCGAGGAAGACCATTGTTGAAGACGCCACCCGTAACAACCCCCATGGTCACTCGATTAGCTAGCACATCTAGTAGTGTGGTTTTGCCTGCTCCCGACGCGCCCTGCAGCGTATTAGCATCCTCTTCTATTGGGATGTTATTCAAATAAGACGGTGATATTTACCATCAGAGCCGTTAGCTTCCCTGGCTTGACCCAGCCGTTGACATGGTCGGTGATTCTTCTCGTTCGACCTTTGATAGTGATATCGTAGCAAAGATCCCGCCAGTGGAAAACGTTCTTCTGGGCTGTGATACCACTCGCTGCTGGTTCGTTGACTTCGTCTTGCCTGGATTTCTCGCTTGAAGTTGGAGATCCGGATTCCTCATCCATCACTGTCTTCTCTTTCACGACTGAAAGATGACTGCGCTGGAAAATAAGAACCTCACCTTTACCAACGTCAGAGCTGATGTACTCGGCTGACAATAGATAAATAGTCAGGAAGAATATTAGGAAAGCAATAAGGATGCCGAAGTTCCTGTATAGGTCATGTCAGAAAGGAAGCAAGTAATTCACAGTAGTAAAAAACGCACCTCCACACATGTGAGTAATAATACCCATAGCTCATGGCAATATAGCGGTCTCCGCTGACCACAGATGACCCAGCCGAAGCACCAACCACTGAACACGTGCGCTTCGCACTACTTACGTTTTGATAAACAGGTCCAGCTGGTACAAAACTGGCACATTCGAAGTTGCGGCCATGGAATTCGTTCGCAATCAGCGCCTCGTAGGAATACGCAAGAGGGTTGAGATAATTGATCCATCGCAACCAACCTTGCATGTTCCGGATGGGTAGAATGAAGCCTGTGTACAGGACCATGGCAATGACCATTAATGCCGCAGGAGTCAAGGCCTCCGCAATTGTTCGAGTCGTTTGGCCGATGGTTCGAAATATCATTGACATGACGAGGGTTGAGGAAAATGCAAATAACAGGTATATCAAGACATGACCCGGTTCGTTCCGCAAATTGGCCATGTAGTATAGTGGAATATTGAATGCGACTGTAGATAGCGTTTTTGAGGGAAGGTCACAGATCATAGATGCCATAGCCTCAGACAATGGATGGTAGAAAGCATAGGTCGCGTGCTTTTCAACGATTGGGCGTTGGGCATACAGAGACAAAATCTTCCAAGATGTCAGGTGTGCTTCCCAATTCTTACTTCAGAACTGGGTCTGACTTACCTCCAAAGAACTGTTGAGAGCATTGAACAGAAGCGCAAAAAACAAAACAATGCAACGGTCATTGAAGCTGGCGCTTGTATCCTGGAGCTTGTAGAAGACGCTGCCAAGAAGCAATGAAATCACAAAATTTCCCCCAACCGTGATGACAAAGAAAGTCAGGTCGCCTTGAATGCGGCTGAATCCCCTGTGGACACAGAGAAGGACTTGCAATGGGACCGAAACCGTATATGGCGAGTTTGATGTCCTGAAGAGGTCAGTTTCTTGATACCCAATAACCGGAAGAAGGACTTACATCCAAGAAGCCTTCTCAGCTTGCCGAGACTCCTTAAAACTGTCAATTGCAGAGCGCCCCACTGGGTATTTGCTTTCAAATTCTGCAATATCCTGCATCAATTCCTTATGAAGTGCACTCGCTTTCCACTCTTTCGCAAATTCCTCCGGAGACCGGGGCACTTTTGTGTCAAATCCAGATCTCACCACTCGTTCAACCGGATTTGTGAGGGAAGTCAGGAAGTCGGGGGTCGTCTGCCGGTCTGGGCAGTGGTAGCCAAGATCCACAAAGTAATCTTTGGCTAGCTCGACAGGCCCATAGTATATTTGTCGACCCTCGTATAGCACAGCAACCTTATCAAAAGCCTGCCCAAGTGAAGTTAGCGCACATTCACTATAGTGATAGAGCAAGTTGGGTTAGGCCATACCTCATAAGCTTGTTGGGAAGCTTGGTATAAGGCTACAACTGTTGCGACGCTTGTGATATCCACTGACAGACGTAGAGTCTGGACAAACTTCAGCGCAGTGGCACTGTCCAATCCCCGTGTGCTATTATCCCAGCATTGGATTGGACTTTGTGCCAAGCAAACCTCAGCGATGCTGACTCTTTTGCGCTCACCACCACTGACACCACGGACAAACTCATTGCCAACTTTCGTGTCCATTGTGTGTGTGAGCCCAAAGACGGCCATCGTAACATCGCGGATGTGTCGAGCATATTCATCACGAGAGACACCGGGGAGTCGGTTCTCAGGAGTCTTTGCCAAGGCTGCATACAGAAGTGTCTGGCCAACGGTCAGATGTGGGAAATGGGTGTCAGTCTCAGCCTGGTAAATAACATCTCCACGAAATTCTCCCCGAATCTTTTTTGGAGGAATGCCTTGGAGAGATGTAAGCGTTGAGTGTGTCCGAGGAGGCAACGTGCAAACCTTGGTAGTTGAAATTCGAGCTTTGGTCCAAGTGAAGTCCTTTTGTTTGACCCGCGATGGTCTTGAGGAATGTTGACACTCCACTGGAACAATTCAAAAGTCAGAGGCCTTCTCATATCGAAATCTTAATTTAGCCTTCAAGTCTTACCTGCCTGGACGCCCCAAGACAAGGAGCATCTCACCACTTCGGAGTAGACCATTGTGGTTCTGCAAAATTTGAATCTTTTGATCCCTGCGATTGATGAGACCAGAAACGAGATCCTTGAATTGTAAGAAAACGTTGAGGAAGTTCTTTTGATAGCTGATAGGGCTACCAAATCCGTGAACACTGAGATCAAGGAAAGAAAACCCTGCCTTTCGAGGTAGATAACGCCCGGAGTTCTGAGCATTCAGACCTAGGACTGTCTCCGCCCATTTCCTAGGATTGAATTCCTTGGAAAACGGGTCAAGTCCAGGGTCGTTCGAGTCCTTGAAGGGGTTGGACAGTACTCCTTGCGCCGCTGTTTTGATTGAGGCATCTGTTAGCCGCCTAGCCAGGCTCGTGATCTGCGCCTTGTCTCTGTCTGAGATGTTCGTAGAGTCTTCGTCATCGAGTGCTTTTGTGATACCCGACCATCCTCGTTCAAGTTGATCCTGCGCAGATGCCGTTGTCCTGGCCTCGGCGCTGATGCTTTCGGATTGAGACGACATTGGAGACTGAGATTCGCAAAGCGATCATGAAATTAATGAGGGCTTGAAAATTATTGGGGGAAAAGTAAGGAAAGTGGGAGGTAATGAAAGTGGAAACTTGAAGTAATGAAAGTATTAATGAAAGTGATGGAGGCCTGGTTAAGAGAAAGCTCACTGGTAAGCAGATACCATCAAAAACCTGTTACGGCGTCTCGGCGGTCCTTATATGTATACTAGATATTAATAAATCCAAGTTTTTATCACATTATAGCATGTCATTTGGCGCAAAAGCTCTACTAGTATCCAGTAGTACTCGGATTTCTACCTAATCTGCATGCAAGTAGTCCAGAGCTTTGCTTCGGCGCCGATGTGGGTCAACCGTCCGCCAGTAACCTTTCTGTTTCTGTGGGTTTCCCCTTTTCTATACAATGCGGCGCCGAAAATGCGCCTCCTTTTTGCCCCCTATGTACCTTATGTGGGTCCTGTTGAATCATGAGATAAACCGATTGGACATTCCCTTCGGCGCCGGAGACTGGACGGACGACTTTAAGTAACGATTTCGGCGCCCTTTCTGCCACTTTCCAACATCGTTAACCCTTTAACGTAGCTTGCGGCCATGTCGGAAGCAATACATCAGGCCTGCGATGCGTGCCGTGTCCGCAAGCACCGGTGCAGTAAGTTCGGCGCTATAATTTTCAGTTTCTGGTCCGCTAATATCGGCAACAGAAATCAGCACTACCGATAGGTGTGAATTTTGCTTGGTAGGCATATCATATCCTTTTATCTTAGTGGCGGCGCGTTAAGTTAACGAAGACCAAAATGTACAGTCCCGCAATCAAGATTGCTGCTTTAGCTTCATTAAAAAGCGTCGAAAACGCAAGCTGAGCCAGTCAGGTAAATAAAGTCCTCGAAATAAACAATAGACCCAAAATTCCACTCATCCAGTATCTAGAAAATCCACCGGTACCTCTCGGACTCGGCCCTGAAGGATATGGGCATGGGCATGGGGTGAACTTGCTAGAGCACAACAAATCATTTCCAACAACCCTTTATATCGACTCGTTGCTAACTGACCGGCCGGCTTCGCGCATTTCCGGCAGCGCTAAACGCCCTGATCAAGTTAGCAGCACATTTTCCCGATTTCGTTGTCTTCGAACTAATCTTGCCAATGTGTAGTTGACGGCTATATTTGGCCCGAACCCCAATATTTCTTTCTTCCCGGCGAAAAGAGTTCGCTCTATCAGCGAAAGACTCGGGCATGGCCGGTTAGAACAGCTGCTCGCAGATATTCGAGATATTGTCGCGGCCAAGGTACAGACGAGTTACTCTCTATCTCACCCCGGAGATTTCAAAGAGTTCAGCTCACATCACCCTTCTCACTTCGCTATTTGCGGGTCTTTGGGCACGCATATACTCGGTACATCTAGTCTCGTCGACCCACCTTCCGTTACAAGGGTTCCATGTCAACTAATCCACTTCTTCACCAGTTTACTTTGAAACAGTTCATCCTATTTATCCTTTCCTTTGCCCTTCCGAATTCCAACGTCAGGCATCCTCCTCAGACCTGTCAAACCTCCTTGCCACTGACAAGGCCTTTGCGGCGTTATATTATGCAATTGTGGCGATTGGTTGCCAACATAATGAAGGAGGTAGCTACGAAGCGGGCATTGGCGAAGCATGGTCATACTTTGGAAGATCGATGTCCCATTTCCAGGATCTCATTTTAGCTCGTGGTTCGCTCCCGGCAGTCCAGGTCTATCTCCCCTGATCATGGTGTGCTTGTTTCAGAGGCTAAATTTATTCTCGGTGTTGTAGGCTCTCATGGCTATGGTATAGTAATACCCTTTATTTTCAACAAGAAGAATTCTGCTGAATTATCAGGCTATATTCTCCTCGACTGCATGCGCCTTTCAATTTGATTCTTTGATGCTCTCGCAGGCTGCAGTTATGGCGCAAGACCTGGGTTACAATCGGTCTAATGGCACACATGAAGTTTCGCAAAGGCGCACCTTCTGGGTGCTATACTTCATGGAAAAGGTCTCTTGTTTTACAACAGGAAAGGTCTCGGTATGCCTCAGATAAAACTATTTACTCTAAACGTTGCTAAAGTGATGGTTTCAGGTCCTCCAAGACTCAAATATCAGCTGCGCCATTCCTGATATACAAGAATCCACCTTTGATGACTATGATTGGTTTTTCGCCTTTCTGCGATATGCCCGTCTGGTATCTAAGATTCGCAATGAGTTTTTACAAATTACCTCGGTAAACCAATCAGCTTCTGATTATCTTACTAAGGGAGAAGGCTTTCTGAAAGAGTTGGAGTCCTGGCGCCTGTCTACCCCTGAGCGCTTTCGCGCCGGAGTGCCGCTCAAAGCTCGTCTATTGCGTGAGCCACTTGCTCAGCGAGTTGCGCTTATGACGCATTACATGTACTTTCACGCGCTGCTCACTCTATCTTGGAGCCTACTACATTGCAGTGCGATCAAGCTGGGTCCCATGCAACAGCAGCTCGACCTAAAACGCAGTATGACGCGAACTGCACGTTGTGTTTTGGAACTAACTAAGTTTATTGAAGTTAATCCCTCAACTCCGGTCTGGTGAGTCCATGAAAGAAAGCACGTAGTGTTATCAATCATACTATTGAGCAAACATCGAATGAGACAAACAGAAAATTTACTGACAAACCTTATTCAGGATTCTGGCGGTATTGCCATTGTCATCTATGATGATCCTCTTCGATCTGGTGGTTCATAACCCAGACCACCCCGAGGTTAGCCTCAGTCTTGCACTCCTAGATATTGCCAGTGGGCATTTCAGTCGGCTAGAAGTCGCAAGCAACGGCACTTTGCCGGGTTCATTAGTCGCCCAGTTCGCCCACCTCGCGCGCGAGTATATATCCGAAAAGAGAGGGTCTAAACAAAAATTGATCAGCATCAGCATTCCTGATTCCTCAAATCCTGTGCAATTTGAGGTTCCCGGTAGGCCAAAAGAGATGCCACCATCCCCCGAGCCTTCTCAGTTGTCTGTGATTGGAGTGCCAACACCGAACCAGCCATCTGAAGTGTTGTCCAGTCTACCTGAGCAGCTGCCACTTAATTCCGGATCGATGTCAACGTGGAATGCAAATTTCCTGAGTGAAAGTGATGTGTTATTCGTTCCTTTTGTTGACGATCCAAGCTATCGGAATGAGGATCTGGAACTATTAGGAACAGACTTGAAGGATTTGTTTGATTATTCATGCGTAAGATGGTAGTGGTCTATGATGCCTCCTGTGATATATACCAAACTAGTAATGTATATCTATCGAATTCCAGTTCCCAAATCTTTGCGGCTGTTGGAAAGTTATTGTGCCCCAGATGGATCGGAATTTGTATATTTATATAGTAGTATCATCATCTATATGCTCTTTGAACTCAGACCTAGTTTTATAGCTCCCTACACCCCCTCTTAGTTTCTAGAACTGTGAAGGTCGTATCTGCCTACTATGAAGTATAGGAGGTGGATCTTTTGCTATTATGAACTTGGAAAGTTGGATTAACATTACCTATACAATAGACAAAACGTTGGAAGGTATGCAGAAATTCTCGTTTGTGAATTATTTTCAAAGGCCTACATGGTACTAGTAGAATATATAGAAAAGGTTGGCAACGCTTGTGAGCGAACCGCGTATGCTACTAGTAGCCCTGGAGTGATGAACTCAAAAGCAGCTTGAACCTTAGAACTATATTCGAACTAAATGATAGAAAACTCAGAATACCCCGAAGTTATTGCGCTTGAGATATTCTTGATGTACTCAGTTAAGCCTCCTAGGTAGTTGAGCATCTCCTTCGGTTTTCCGGGAACATTGGTACCCATATACTCCGACTTCGTTGCCGGCAGCAAGGTGGCATCCCCAATTTGATTGACGAGTTCTCTCCATTTTTCCTCGGCTTCTGCGGTTGGCTCAATCTCGTGATTACCATGCGATCGAAGGTACTTGATGGTTTGCACGATCCAGTTACCCTGAACTTCGGCGCATGTAGGGCCATTGCAGAATGAAGTTGGCCCCTGGGGTCCGTAGAGAAAGAACATATTGGGGAATCCAGATGTCATTAGTCCGAGATGGGTCCAGGTGCCCTTCTTCCATTTTTCCCGCAGAGAAGCACCGCCACGGCCGCGAATGTCAATATTAAGAATACCACCTGTCACCGAATCGAATCCAGTCGCCAGAATGAGAACATCGAGTTCATGGAATTTTCCGTCTGCGGTGAGAACACCATTCGGTTGCACATCAACTATTGGGTTATTCTTGGCGTCGACAAGGTCAATGTTTTCTTGGTTGTAAACTTCGTAGTAACGCTGCTCCAGGGTTGCTCTCTTTGTGCCGAAATAGTACGGAGGCTCCTCCGGTGCTAGCAGCTCGGCATTTTTCGGGTCCTTGATACGAGGCAAGACTTTCTTTCGCCAAAATTCGTAAGCCTCCTTGTTGATATCCTTGTCCATGATAACGTCACGGTAGGTCCCCAGCCAGAATGAGAGCCCCCCCTTCCTCCCAGATCTTCTCGAAAAATGCCTGGCGCTGTTCAGGAGGCACAGAAGTGGCGGGCAAAACGCTGAATTCAGTATCGAGACCAGCAAATGTATGTTTGCGAAGCTCGTAAATTGCTTCGTATCGACACTTGTCCTGCTCTTCAACAGACAATGGGCGCTGTCGCATGGGGAGTGCATATGTAGGACTGCGCTGAAAAACTGACATATGTTCGACCATAGGGCCGAGCTCTTGTATAACCTGTAGCCCACTTGATCCGTTACCAACAATGCCGACTCGCTTGCCACTGCAGTTTATTCCTTCCTGTGGCCACCGTGAAGTGTGAAAATAAGGGCCTGCAAATGTCTCCAAATTTTTGAAAGAGGGAATCAACGCCTTTGCGGCGAACCCGGTTGCGAGAATGAAATAACGAGCTGTGCGCTTTTGTTCATCGTTTGTAGTGACAGTCCACTGACTAATATCGTCGTCGTAATTGGCAGCGACTACACGAGTGTTGAATAGGATGTTCTTCTTCAAATGCAGCTTAGATTCGACGTGTTTGAAGTACCGGCGGATCTCATCCGATCCAGGATATTTCTCCGTCCACACCCAATCTCGCCACAAATTCTCATCGGAGAATTCATACAAAGGAACTTTGGTGTCAACCCGAGCACCAGGATAACAGTTCCAATGCCATACTCCACCCATGTCCGAACCTTCATCGATAACTAGACATTTAAGGTTCTGCTTTCGCATTTCGTGAAGCGTGTGCAAGCCTCCAAAGCCACTGCCGACGATGATGGCATCATATCGTGGTGGGTTTGGGATAGAGCCCATAGTGGCTGCTGATGAATCTTATGTTATTCCGGATGCTGATATAGCTGTAAAGATGAAACGATTTGCTCGTGCCAGTACTTGGTGTGTACGAATGTATCTCGAGAGGCAAGGTGATGTAATGGATTTATATCTGTCAAAAGTCTCTGCGGATGAATTTCTAAGGGCCCGGGTAGTTCACACGTGGCCATACGGACAAATTATTTTAATATGGTTATTTTGGGTTGCGGGTCTTAATGAAAAAAGAGAAAGTAAACCCGATGATTTTCAGCTACCCCATAGTTTAAGCAACCACGGCCGGACTAATTGACTGTGCCGGGCGGACTGATCATAGCACGGAACATCAACAAACATTACGCCGCCACCATTATGCCTCTATTTCGTAACAACTATTGCTATGCAATTTTGTGGAGGGCAATCTGTAACCTCGCCTCCAGCCAACATAAAGGCAGCAAAAGGTCTGCTCTAGCAGGATGGTTGTGAACAATTCGCTGCATTACAGCTCGTACTCTTCTTATTCTCAGCCTGGAATCGAAAACAAGTCACGAAGAACTTTTGTATCACAACGATGGATCAAAGCGGATTTGTGAAAGATGATGTGTGTTTTTCACTCAGATGAAAGATGAGATTCTTGCCATATTGACCGTGATAGAAATCTTATACATCTGTTACGAAGCAATATGACTTCCTTCAAATGCCAAAAAGCAAGGTTTGTGCATACAGACCACAATTTTCGGTCTCTAATATGAAAGCGACTGGCCCATAACTTACGAAAACTGAGAATAGTACCACAATCCAGATCTTGCCGTCGCCGAAAAAGAAGCCTTGGATCAGCTATATCGCGGCTGGCTGCACTATTGGAACCACGAATCTCAAGCGGACTTTCACAACGGCATGGCTGGTGCACGCCGTTTCTACAACTTCCCTGAAATGCTCAGCTATGATATGTTCGGAAACACGATCCGTGGCGAATTTAAAAAAACATTTTGAATCCATCTTCCCTTACTGGAACGACGGCCAGATGGAATTCAAAGACCTAGAGATCACTGCTCTCTCCCGCGACTACACTTACTCTACTATGATCCAGCATACCTGGGGCACGGCCGGTGGCACGCCATTTGACACTGCATTTCGGCGCACTGGGATTGCGCATCGCAGCCCTGAGGATGGGAAATGGAGATGGATCCACGAGCATCTGTCGTTTCCCGTGGATATGAAGACCCAAAAGGGTGATTTCACGGCATCTTTGGACCCCGGGGAGGGGTTTAAACTCCAGTAGAATTGCTCCTCGGGAATAAAAATTGAGATCATAAGCAGTAGTTGTCCTGAACTATTTTACAGGCCACGACTATTTCCTACAATACGCTAAGCGAGATCGGTGATTCAGATCAAGGAACAATAATACTCAGACCCATCAACTGGGGCGATCAAAGGGTGGAAAATATTAGAAACATTTCTTTTTTCATAAAAAAAAAAGGCGGCTGATAGTCTGCATTCCCTATCCTAAGAACAGCTCCAATTTTGAATGCAAAGATTATTACATGTAGGTGCAAAACCTATCCTGTCCATCATGACCCCTGATAGAGATTGCCTCCGCTTTCATTGTCAAATGCTTCCGTGAAGAGATCCGAAAGGCATTGTGGAAACCAATTATCTAGTCCGAGATTAACGTTTGTATCCTCTCTCTAGGCGTGATTTGGTAGGTACTGACCACTAGACAGGGTATGGTCGACACGGTCATAAGCATCAGGCAGTAGTATATTTGGAGCGAGATTGGCACTGAGGCTGTGTTCTTGGTTGCGGCGTTGATGTTGTGTTCTGGGTGGACCACGGGCTTCACATATAGGACTAAAATCATCATCAACTCGTGGAAGACATGGCCGTAGACCCTGCTGAGGGCTGTTGTATCCATTGGCTAGAGTACTGGGGTTTCGAATTTGAGTTTCTCCAGCCATGCCGAAGGACATGGGCATATTCAAATTGTGGGGGACATCGTGAGGGGCACTTGTACTCGGGGGGGGAGTTGCAGTATGGACTCAGACGGGCTTCCAGAGAGTTCAGATTTTCTAACAATGTCAGAGGTGTATTCCAAAACGCAGTGTATCGTTCGCAGGTTGCACGTAATATTGCATATTTTGATAGCGTCTCCTCGAGATCTTCTCTTTTCCCGAATAGCTTCCGCAAGACTTGAAGCGACGCGGAAAGCCAGACTGTACTAGCAAGAAAAGGGTTCACATATTTAACATGATCCTCTGGACATTGGGAAGTAAGGATATAAATATCATCGGCGGCCTGAAGACACTGCTCAAGCCCTAGCGCGTTTTCGGTTGTTTGTTCCTCTGACAGCAAGGGCTCGTGTTTGGTGTCCTTCTCTGTGAATATTACGCCGGAGACGATTTCACCAAAAGCGTAGTGATGGTAAATCATAAATTGCGCTAGTTTCATCGTGAGATGGATGTTGTACTTCGCGCTGTGCATTCGTCTGGTTTCAGAGTCACGTTTCCTCTCCAAAAGTTTGAAGCCGAAGTCAAGGTATTCTCCATAATAAACAAGGAATTTCGGTAAACTTGCGATTGTATTCCGCAGAGCCCGAATCAAAGTTTTCAATTGTGCCGAGTCTTTGTCTGTTCTCTTTCTGCAAAAGGAATTGTGGAAGTAGTGTAGGAGTTGCTCGGAAGCGTTATGAGGGTCCAGATCTAGCAATACTCCTCGGAGGTTCCCTCTGAGGAGCACCTGCGCATCCCTCATGATGGAGCTGGTGACAATCAGCCAGGCATCTGCACCATCATTCCCACAGCTTTTCAATATTTCTGCTCGAGTGGTCGGTTCCCTTTCGAGGAAGCAACTCCGTTGGAATTGGTTGTTAAACCAAAGTTCGTCCGAGACAGGAAGATAGGTATCAATCATGTTCCAGTCGATGGCGGTGGGACATCGCCGAATGACGCTGGCGAAGTTGTCCATTTTCCAGATAGCCCACCAGCATCGTCGTCGCTCCTCGTCCGCAATCCAACGTGAGAGATCACGACCTACCTTGAAATATTCGTCACGCGCTTCGTAGTCGATTAGATGCAGGTGAAGTTCGTACGCTACCCGGACACATGAGCCTAGGAGCCTCCACGCTCGGCCACGGACGCCTTTTGTCAGTTCACAAAAGGTGATCAGAACCATGGCTTGAAGCAAACAAATGCTTGGAGCCTGGTCAGAACATTCATCCAGGGATTTGTTAATCAATTTCAATGCTAGGTTGTGGAAACTCATTGGATCAGGGGTGCATGGCGAAGTCCAAATGTGGGTCATAGGATCAACAGCGTCGTCGATATGAAAAGTGGCAGAATATGCAAACATAGACGCGAACAAAGCCTGGAGGTGGCCAGGATTCTTGATGTTCTGGATCTTATTTCCAAATGAAGACCGATGAAACAGGGAAAATTCAGTCATAGAGTCAAAGTAAATATCCGTTCTTAGAAGGGTTAGTTTCCCAAATTGATTTCAATACGAGAAAGGGGTGGGTATCTATGCTCACAAGTGTTGGAAGCCCTCAAGTGATAGACCAAAGGCGTCGCAGGCGTCCATAAGTAAACTCTGAGCTCCAGCAAGATTCAAAATAGATCCGGATAATATTGTTTCTTGTTTCATGGGCAAAGTAAGCAAGCAAAGATCATGTGTAGGGTGGATTAAAGCAGAAAGACCGATGGCCTTGACAAAATTAGATTCCACGTCGATGGAATTGAATTGAATGTCATCAGACTCCGCACTGTTCTCGTTCGATGAATCCTCATCATGAAGACGGAAGTCACAGCCGGTGCCCTCGAGATTGTTGAAATGATCTTTAAGCGAAGGACTCTTCTCGATAGAGCGTTTCCGAGCCCGATTCATCGAGAGATCCTCCCGCAACCGTTGGGATGAGTCTGGGCAATGTGAGCTGTCGATCTCGTAGTTGTGTAATTCTGAAGATACTAACCACCTTTCGGGCCAGGTTTGAGACGGAGGGTTGGGTATACGCAGCTACGATGTAGCTTGGTGCATAAGAGACAGGATGGTAGGGAGCGATCACTTCCTCTCATTTGTTAGCAGAAAATCCCAGATGGGGCTTATGAGATCAGAAAGTTATTTAGCCACCTACCATTTCGTTTTCTTCCTGTAACCAGTAAGCTGGTTATTCTACTATGTCCTGTCGATTTTTCCATCCTACTTGCCTTCGACATGAGCTACATGCCAATTCGGACTGGGACTCTCGCTGTTCCTTGGCCATGTTTGCCGTCTTACTCCACCGCCTGTTTACTGGCATCTTTAGCAATTTTGAACGCCTCTGAACGACAGGAAGGGTAATAGGTGGACTGAAAGCGGCGGGTGAAGACAGCCAGCATTTGAAACTGCTAAGAGAGAATGATTTGGGGAAGTGGAGTATCGTTCACCTTATAAGTATCCTTATACCCCGCCTTCCGAGCCCCCGGGTTTTGATGTGATGTCAACTACCAACCACATTTCTACTACTCACAAATCTGCCAAGGTAATTTAGCCGGAAAAGGGAACCGTCTGTTACACTAGTGTCTTAGAATTACTGGCATTTCCCATACAAATTCTGCTACCTTTACGTCCGAGTCTCCTCTTAGAATGGTCACCTTCATTCTCAATGCTTGTTTTCTCTTCTTACCTTTAATCGTAAGTGCTTCTGTTGCTTGAATATCCTGTATATACTATTTCTAGCATTTAGGTGGATTTACTATTGTCTCCCTTTCTGTTTGCTTACTAACTAATTCCAGAAGGGGCTAACGTAATTCCCGCCCGAGCGAGACACCCGGCCGACCGAGACACCCATCACCATTAGAAAATTTCAAAATCGATTATCTCAACCAACGCCTACCCATTTGACTAAATATAGCGATTTTTACATGAATTGATCCTGTGGCCAATCTCCCTACACCCACTACACCTGGGCGGGGCCCTAGTAGCCGGCCTATTTGCCTGAATAGGCAATTCGCCCTGCGTATATGATTCTACCATAGGTGCTTCTGCTGATAGTTCTAGCTGCGTAGCTAGCTGTAGGCCCTCTTCAACGGTCAAACCCTCTTCGCAGGGTATCTGTTTATGCGACCGATTACGTTTCTGGCGTTTCTTTTCATTTGCTGCGCGTAGATTTGCATTATCCTGCGCAAGCAATGCAGTGTTGTGTAGCGATAGGCAGTGACCCTTAATAAGTTGATCCAAGATAGTTTTTGATGGGCTTGGAGGACTTTTTGACCGTCGTTTTAGCAGATCCTTTAACATAGAAGCTTGTTTGAATAGCTGAGTAACGGTTCTAGGTGTTTGTGGTGTGAATTGGCTAGATCTGCTGCTTGGCCGGCTGCGTGGTGGTGTAGGTGTTCGTATAGAGATATTAAGCTTCGAGAGCACTCTTTCTGCATCAATTGGTACTAAGCCACTGGCTGTGAAGCTATTTTGAATAGTGCTTGATTGAAAGGCTTCTTGCCGCGCATGCTGGTAGTCTTCCAAGAAATCGAATTTATCGATATGATTATATCCCCTGCGTGCAAGATCACTTATAAAGCGACTATATGTACGCTTTAGCACTGCAAAACAGCCAATATCTAGCGGTTGTAGTAGATGTGATGAATGCGAAGGCATACACAGAGGTATGATATTGTTTTCTGCACATAATCGGTCGAATTTAGGCGTAAGGTGGCTACCATGGCCATCAAGAATTAGTAGCCGAAATCGACCACGTACACGTGAATTCGTTGATGGGATAAATAGCTTTTCTAGCCAGCGTAGGCCAATCTCATCGGTAGTCCAGCCATTATTGGATACTTCAAATCGCCAATCGCGTGGTAGATTATCAAACCAACCAGCAATAGCGACTTTACCTTTGAAAATCACACATGGCGGTAGCGAATAGCCATCTGCACAAATTGCTTCAATAGCAGTAACCCATCCACGATTTCCTGGCTGTAGTATCGATCGCCGACTATAGTATTCAGCTCGTGTGACCACTTTCTGTGTAGATATAAGACCCATTGCAAATCCTGTCTCATCAAAGTTGTAGATATCCTCCGCTTGTATACCGTTCTCATCAATAACACGTTGTACGGTCGTGAACCACTCTCGTAGCGATTTTGGATCTTCATTTAGTGCACGCTGGTAGTCGTATCGTCTAGAGAAGCGTGATCGAATCTCATCGCGTCGATTTATAAAGGTTGATGACCAATTCTTGCCAACAGTAGGCGGGGGGTAGCTACCACGTGCAGCCAGTAGGATATTAGCCATCTCTCGTACAGTAGCCGGCCTAGGTGCTGCTCCACGTAAATCCATAGAGAGAATCCATTCAACAAGTGAATCTTCTTCTAATTGGGTCAATTTATAGCCGTTTGGGCGTATATCAACGCGTGAAAGGCGTCCTTGGGCGCGGTGGTGTAGTGTAGCAAGCGGTATTTCGTATAGCTTCGCTGCTGCACGAATAGATTTGATACGGCCTTTTTGAAGATCATCAAGGGCTAATAAGATCTTTCCCTCTCGATTAGCCAATTTCTGCGAGGATTCAGAGCGAATTGGTGGCATGGTAGGTGGTTGAAGTTGATGTGTGGGCAGAAAGACGCGATTTTGGATGGGTGTCTCGGTCGGCCGGGTGTCTCGCTCGGGCGGGAATTACGTTAGGGAATACTGTTGCTACTAGTACTTAACTAATCAGCGCCAGAGTGTCGGTGTAAACGGCAAATATACTAGAAGCTAGATGCCAGTACCCATATGTAGGAGATATAAATAGTACTAGTAGCTCTATGCTCGACATACTACGCAGGTGACGTCGGGAATCATTAAAATTAAACAATTCATATAGACAAATTAGCGTCAACAAGGCCACATGGGCAACGTAACAGCCAGATCCAGATTTGTATAGGGAGTGTTAGTAATTCTAAACGTTGGTGATACAGGCTGCTACTGCGGCGCCGTACCTCCGGTTACTGAAATGCGCAATCTTAGCCTGATTTTAAGTTAGCCCCCCCTCCCCAAGTGGAATGCCCCCGATGGGCCCCCGGTAGCTCCGGTAGGCCCAATCAAGCTCCGAAGGAAAATCATCCGAAGACAGCCCGAGCATGCCACCCAACTTATCTCGCCAATTACCCCGTCCGCTTGGTCTGTCGGCACACTTGCTAATTAGGCCGAAATTGTTCCGTTTCTTGGCAAAGGCAGCTTTAAAGTTTGCTGTCTACTTCTCCTTCAATATGGTTTTTCTCGCCTCAGAACCAGAATTCGAATATGGTAGCACCTAAATTCTTTGTCGTGGCGCGTGTTGTTGGACGTGACGGGGCGCTCCCATTGGTATGTGTGAACTCGCATTTCATCTTCATGCCGTCCACCGCGTTAAACTAAAAAATTGATTGCATTGATAATAGTGGAAAGAGCGCCTTGTTCACCTATGCAATGCCTCCGCCACTGAAACTTTAGGCGACTCTTATTATTGGGGACAAGATCTCGATGGCGAACCCGACACCCTTTGGGGCCTAGAAGGGTACACCCATCCAGCAGGCTTTTTCCTTGGACACGTCTCGACAGATATTTTCAAGCGGGAAATGGCTCTGGTAGACTCCGATCGCCTGCTACGAAATGAGCAGGGCTTGGCCAGTCGTGACTACAATCTACACCACTACGATTGGGCAGGTGGCTGGCTGAAGCGGGCAGATGACCCCGACTGTAATGCAAAAACAAGCCACATTGCGATATATCATTTCTGGACCAGGGATAGGACTTGCCGGGCAGACCTCATAATGTCATTTTTAGATGCCTCCAAGAGCCTCAATGGAGCTTTGCAGAGCTTTGGGATACTCAAAGAAGTAAGAGATGAGAAAATGCTCACTCTATGGGTGCGGTAAGTAACCCTTCGTGGTTTCTTTCGGTCGCGGCACGGATGCTGAAGCTTAGGACGTGCAGCTGCAGAACCCCGGAAGAATTCGACGCCTTGAAATCGTCTAAAAAATTTCAAGATTTAATGAGTGTTGCTAAAGCAAAGTCGGATAAGACGGAGATTCACCTGTCTAGAGCATTTAATGGTCACCTTGACTTGAACTCGAGTACAATCCGATAGTTAGATAGTAGTAGAATCTACCACAATTAGATATGGTAACTAGCTGGTTTATAAGGAAGTAAGTCTCTTTCGTGAAGAATAAGAAACTTTGTATAAAGACAACAACACTTCCTGAAGAGTCTGTCCACACTTACTTTTCTACGCTAATCTCAAGCAAATATGGAACTTTGCAAGTCAAAGTGCCATGCTAATACAGCTATAGCTAACTGTACAGGCCCCTCGAAATTAGCTTACTCACTCCCTTCTGTTCGAAATTCTTTCACGTCTTGGCCCGACCCGCCTATGCCTGAAGAGGTCTAGCTCAGACAATCTTGTCGAATTAAATGCCAGTCAATGCTAGGAGCTATTGTGATCTCGTCAAATTTTGTGTAACACATCTTCAAATAGAGTCCAATCAAATGAATGAATAATCTAACTTGAAATGCTCCACGGATCTAGGGGGAGCTCTGAAGACGGACTAATGCATGTCTATTAACTGGAAGACAACTTGAACGACGGACACAGGGAAAATTGTAATGATTTAGAGTATGATCTACAGCATAAATTTAGGGGGGAAGGTCAGGACCTAAATTTTAATAAGCTTTCTGAGCCCTAGTTATTCAGCAAGAATACCACTTACCCCAAACATGCAAGTTGCTAGGTGAGGCAAGCTCTCGTTCCGTAGGGCTGGTATCATTGATCAGGTCACCATCGACGTAGTGTTCAAGAATGAAGCGAGAAGTGTCAAACCTGTGATAAATGGTGAGTCTATTCCAAGGTTGGTTACTCATCAAAAAGGGGATTATGATCCATACCAATAATCGAAGATTTGACTGCCCATTATATGTCTTCCTACCCCCCCAGCAATTCTCATGGCCTTTGTGGCGGAGCCAGTCATGACCCAAAACCTGCGTGTCAAAATCATGGGTCTCGAATGACGAGTGATGTACGTGCGGCTTTGGCCCCTCAAAAAAGAAGAAACAATGATGGTCCACGAGCTCAGACCCTCGGTCCAGATGAAGGAAGGTAGTTATGTCCCTGCCGCTACCGTCGTAAACCAACTACTAGGCATCAGCAATGTTCAGTAAATGAGACGCGAATCATGTATATCCGAAACTAAATACTTTGAGCATCTACTTACGTTGCTTGCCTTGAAATTGAAGTGTGTTGTATAAAAATCGTACGCCAACGTGAAATCAGTCACGCACATCCCGAAATGCCCAAGCTTGTGTACTGGTGCAGGGCCTGTGGTATTGTCATAAATAAACGTTGTCGGGTGGATATTGATTATTTTACGGACCTTTCTGAAAACGCTGAGTCTTATTGCCCAGGCGATGCTTTTCCTCGGGCTACGGTATAGTTAAAGTGGGTTGGTGGGTGTTAATTGAAATAAACGTTGGTATAACTCACAAAATTAAAATCTAAGAGAGGTAGTGTCTTGACATCCTTTAGAGCGGTCTGACTGTGAACAAGGTGAAAGGGGAATTTATCGACTGGGTCGGAGAATGTAACACATTTTCCTCTCCTCCTGGCGCGTCAGTTAACTCATATATCTTGGTCGCACCGGGTAAGGCCTGAGCGGCTTCGAGATCAGTCTCAGATTCAACAACGAATGCGGCTCCACCAAAGGCATCTTCTTGCCCCTTTCTTGCACAGTAGACAAATGGTTCAGAGCCAGTACCGCAGTAATAGAAATCGTCCCCCACGCGCTTGGTTTCGTGCATTCCGAAGTCCTCTAGAAACATGCGCGCCTTATCGATGTCTTTGTGGGTGTAAAAGACATGCGCGATGCGCACCAGTTGAATTTTTAGAGACATTTGTGGCCGTTGCAAATGTGAAGGTCCATCTGAAAATCTGCTATCTCAACAGGGGTGTCTACCTTAACCTCGAGGGTTGTTGGGATAACGGGTTCAGTTGAAAGGCCCAAGATCCTAAATGATAGTTCTTTAATCCATATTTCCGAAAATACAAGATTTTCTTGATTTATCGGACTGTTTTCCAAATCACGGTCTAATGAATCGGTTCAAGAGCTCGGCAAGTCCGGTGTAACTAGTAGTAAGCTGGAGGGTGGCGTGCTCGGGTTGTCTTCGGACGATCTCCTTTGGAGGTTTCACCCCACCAGGAGATCTAGCTCATTGAAAATTTACCTAAAGACTTGTTCTTTTTATTGCTAGTAATTTTGAAGAATGAAACACGAAAATGGCGGCGTTGGGTTTAGTACGTGGCCGAGTGAACCTTCGCCAGCAAAAACTACTAGTATATTTTCCATCTTGCCTGTCCTACGCTCACCATCACAATCACTTCAAATTGTTCTCAGTTCTTTCGGCTCATCAGGACAAAAATCGTGTCATGCCCCCTTCAGTTGATACTAACATTTTTCCAAATGCTGCCAATGGCACTACCGGGAACAAAATACCAATTTCTAGGATTTGCGAGGCTAGGGGCATGAAGACATACCACTCGGACTCGTCTCAACAGACGCCCGGCGAAGTAGAGACTGAGTTTTTGATAGTTGGTGCTGGACCCGCCGGAGCCTCTCTGGCCTGCTTCTTGACGAGCTATGGTAAGCAATATAATAGCCCAAGGCTTTCTCACATATTAACCCGTCGGAGGTCTCAAGGGTATCATGATTAGTTCAGCACCCGCAACGGCAAATACGCCGCGGGCGCATATCACCAACATGGCTGCTTTAGGTTAGATATACTCACTGTCGAGGAGAAAATGGTAGCTAATTCCAGTAAAGAATGCCTTCGTGATATTGGCCTCGATGAACAACTTCGTGAACTGTCCTCCGAAGGACATTGTATGACCCACACTAGATGGTGTCATAGTATGGCTGGTGAAGAATATGCTAGGATCCACTCATGGGGTCATGCGCCAGGGCGGAAGGTAAGAGAACATGCCACAGGAAAACAATCCTTTCATTGACTCGGTGCCAGGGTGACTACGAAATGGCTAGTCCCTGTTCTCCGATTGATTTGCCTCAAACTCTGTTGGAGCCGGTTCTCGTTCGATATGCTGCACAGAATGGATTCAACACGCGATTCAATACGGCATTATCATCGTTTGAAATTGATAACGAGGGACTCATCATTGCCACCGTCCACGATGAGGTTTCAAACATCCAGTACAAGATACGCACCAAGTATCTTTTCGGCGCTGATGGTGCACGCAGCCAGGTTGTCAAACAGTTGGACCTTCCCCTCTCCATTAAACCTGGCCAAGGCCTTGCAATTAATGTTCTTGTCAAAACTGATCTCTCTCATCTCGTTGTCCACCGGCGAGGTAATCTCCATTGGGTCATGCAGCCTGATAAAGAGCACCCTGAGTTTGGCTGGCAGGGCATCGTTCGTATGGTGAAACCGTGGAACGAGTGGATGTTTATCTTGTTCCCTAACCGAGATTGCGATCCCAGTACTGAACCCTCGAAAGAGGCGTATCTTCAGCGGGTGAGGGATTTTATCGGCGATGACACCCCGGCGGAGATTTTGGACGTGTCCAAGTGGTATATCAATGAAATTGTGGCAGAAAAATACTCCGAGGGAAATATGTGAGATTAAATCACCATTCTCTCATACGTGACGCACTTGAGTGCCTAATCAGAGCTGACTTTCCCTTTCCACCAACAGATTTTGCATGGGAGACGCCGTTCACAGACATCCGCCCATGAATGGCCTTGGCTCCAACACATGTATCCAGGATGCTTTTAATTTGGCGTGGAAGGTCGCATACGTCCATAAGGGCCAGGCTCCGCCGTCACTACTAGATACATATAGTATCGAGCGCCAGCCCGTCGGGCGTTCAATCATCACTCGGGCCAATCAAGCATTCCGTGATCACTTCAGTGTTTGGGAGGCTCTGGGAACTCTGCCAAAGGAAGTTGAAGTCCGTCGAAAGGTGTTGTCAGAGCTACGAGAGGCAAACCCGGAAGGGCGGAAGCGTCGCCTTGCCTTGCAGAAAGCAATTACACAAACCTCGCATGAGTTCCATGGTCTTGGTGTTGAGATGGGTCAAGTATATCATGGCCCAGGAATCTACGACGCGGACGAGCCCCTCCCATACGAACGGCGTGGGCGTGCAGCAGAAGACGATGTGTTATATTATGAGCCAAGTACGCACCCCGGATGCCGACTTCCTCACGTGTGGCTCAATAAGGTGATTCCCACGAAGCCGGTCTCGACAATTGACCTGGCTGGACATGGTGCCTTTACTCTTTTCACTGGCATTGGAGGGGATGCTTGGAAGGTCGCAGCTAACCAAGTTTCCGAGGAGCTCGGTGTTCCCATCAATGTTCATTCCATCGGTTTTCGTCAGGTTTGGGAAGATGTCTATTTTGACTGGGAGCGATTGAGGGGTGTGAATGAGGATGGCGCGGTCCTTGTCAGACCTGACCGAGTAGTTGGCTGGAGGGCAAAGGCAGTACCCACAGCCACCGAAAGCTCTTGCAACAGTAGATTGTCGCAGGCAATACGTGCCATCCTTGGGCTACATTCGGAAGGCAATTTGTGACTAATTAATTGATGGCATACTCAACCACTATTGGCTCGGTTTATGTTTCATATTTTTGTACTTCGTTTAGATAAGCTGCATTAATCGACGTCATGTGGATCTAGTGAAGGGCGTATATCTATATGACTAGTGTTGTAGGCCGCCCCATCATCCCCTTGTATGCTGTTCACTATGGGGTCCCCTTTGGCATAGGCCAGATGAAAATGAATGAGATGATTGTTAGTATATCATAGCAGGGGGTAGGTGGGTGGTGAGGCTATATAGTTATACGACAAGAAGATCAAGTTAATTGGAACTTGAGATCAGCTTGGTTCTTTCTATCGACCGGGGGTATATTTTCGATACTGCGGCTTTGGTTTGCGATCTGTAAGATAAAACTTGTGCATATTTCTCCTGGAATCGATCCGTCATTTCGCCAATTCAAGTTCGCCCGAAATCAATCCGTCCGCGCGGGGAAACAGCGAAGGAAAAGGTTACTTCACGCCAAATAAAAAGTTGGATTGTACCGCATTATCCTTCAAAAATTAGAGATATTCTACCCCTGCGATATCTCAACCAACCTTAGCATGATAGGTCGGTTCTATGCTGTGACCGGAGCGGCCTCCGGAATTGGCCAGGCTATAGTGGTTCGGCTGGCGGAGCTCGGCGCAGCTGGGATTTCCATCAGTGATGTCAACAGTGCGGGATTGGAGGCTACAAAAGCCTTATGTGAGTCCTTTGTTACTATTTTCAGTCTCCATCTACATAGAGCCAGGAGCTTCAAATACTGAACAGCCCACAGGTACCGGTTTCAAGACTCGCACCATCAGTCAGAAAGTCGATGTAAGCAGATACGACCAAGTTGAACAATGGATCCAGTATACCATTGATGAATTTGGTCGCTTGGATGGTGCAGCAAATGTGGCCGGCATTGCGGGTGGCAGTGGCAACACGACCTGTGCAACGATGGTACTCGGACTCTTCAGTTCCCTGCAATTGGAATTGCTCGACTAAAAATACTATATAGAAGGATAGTGACTGGAACGCAATGATAGGCATCAATTTAACTGGTGTCATGCATTGTATGCGGGCTCAAATACCTCATCTACCTAATCCGGGTGGTGCAATTGTCAATGTTTCCAGTACATCCGGATTGCGAGGGCTTCCTCACAACGCGGCATATGCGTCCAGTAAGTTTGGTGTCATTGGATTGACAGAATCGGCCGCTGGGGAGTTTGGAAGCAAGGGTATTCGAATCAACGCTCTTCTTCCGTAAGATACCCCACGGTCGGCGTAAAACAGCCCTTCATTTTCACTCCGAATAAACTAACTGTGAGTAGTGGGCCGATTGACACTGCCATTTTCAGAGAAGGTGAGAAAAAAGGCCTCTTTGATTCCCAGGCCATCAGCGCTACGACGCTGCTAGGGCGCATGGGGGAAGCAAATGAAGTGGCAAAGGTACTATGCTTTCTACTGAGTGACGATGCTTCATATGTAACAGGAGGTATGCTTAGCTTTCATATCAAGGATTTTGATCTATCCAACAGCACTGCAAATAATTTACTAAATCCGAGCAGCGCACTGGACCGTGGATGGTGGCTATAGCGCTTGCTAATATTGTATCTGGTTGCGTCATTTGAAAGTAATACTTTGAAAAGATCCTGAGAATGGATCGGATTTATGACAGAAAGAAACTTGTCCATCTCGGAGGTCGCAGAGAGAACACATCTACTAGTATGGTTGCTACTTTAAACACAAAATCCGTGATCTCGGGTCAGCCAACGTTAAGTCCCATTTTCCATTGTAGCTGTGAAATATAAAATTTAGATGGGAGATAATCCATTAGTACCATCACACCCCATCTCTTCGGCTGAAAATTTTTGGCTAAATCATTGGTTACCAGCCCCCTGTGCCGTAAGACAACCCAGCCCGGCTATACCGGACCAACTAGACCGATATTAAACAGACCGAAATTGCTCCGCGTCTATTACTTCTTGCTGTTTGTGCGTTTTAACAACCATTGTCTATTTTCTAGGCCAGATAAAGGCTAACATTTAAACATGGTCAATTACTTTACTTCTGTCTCTTTATTTCCCGACTCTCATTTCCTTACAGCGCCTGGCCTGTGTTCAACCAAGACATTGACGACAGCCGCAAGATGTCATCCTCTTGGTCCCATCTCATCCGTTTCATTGCTGAAGAGGATGGCCTGATTCATATTGGTCAGGTCGATTCTGAAAAATTTCCTGACGTTGGATTAGCAACATTGCGAGGCGACAAACTCTCTGCCCGGCTCATCAACGGGAGCATTTTTGATGGTGTTGTCACGAACAAAACCTTCCATGTTACGAAGGTATTCTTTGCTCAATAAATCTAACCGACGTCTAAGTAATGGATATTTGAATAGCTCTTGTCACCGCTCAGTATAGACGAAATCCCTATTATCCGCTGCATGGGGCTCAACTACCGCGACCATGCACGAGAGGCCAATATGCCCATTCCGAATGTGCCAGTTCTCTTCATAAAGCCTCGAACGGCTTTGAACGGACCTTTCCCAGCCAAGATTTCCATTCCAGGATTTTTTCAAGATGGAACCACTGACTATGAAGCTGAGCTTTCCTTTGTTATCTCGAAGACGGGGAGGGACATTTCCGAGGAGGAAGCCTTGAACTATGTCTTAGGATACACCGCTAGCAATGATGTGAGCGCTAGAGGACAGCAATTTAAAAATAGCCAGTGGTGTTTTTCAAAAGGTGTGTCTTCACAATATGTGGTACCTTCTGGATATATTCGTCTAACAACCAGTTTGCAGGTTTTGATGCATCTTGTCCTCTAGGGCCGGTCCTGGTCTCATCCGCCGCCATTGGCGACCCGCATAACCTCCGAATCAAGGCTATCTATAACGGACAAACGGTACAACACTCGAACACGAGGTTTGTCTTTGATAAATAAATTCTGGGCTCCTAATGACACACTAATTTTAATTTTGCAACCAGAGAAATGATATTTACTATCCCCCAGATTGTGTCATTTCTCTCACGAGGTACTACCCTTGAGCGGGGAACCATCGTGATGACTGGCACAGGACCTGGTATTGGAGCTATGCGCAATCCCAAGGTGGTGTTGGACCACGGCGACAATATTCGGGTGGAGGTTGAGAAAATCGGAACTTTGATCAACGAAGTATATTACGAATGAGTGCCACTCGGATTGATTAAATAGTTTTTTCCAATGCAACCACCAATTCGCTCTCTAGCAATAGTATGTACTAATAGTTTAAGACCCTGCCATTCGGGCCTCTGCTATAATCCAAGATTTAAATCACGTAAGAGTCTCCGCAGGAACTAACTAGACGGCCTAGCACAATAGTTAAGGTGCCATGCAACTATCTCAACAACTCTTCCAGCACCCGAATTGTCGCTAGCTCGCAGCCTGCGGTGTCTGATTCGATTTTTGAAATTATCTTGAACTTGGCATGAGGCTGTAGCTTCGGTGAGAAGCTGGCCGGGCTGGGCTTTAAGCGGAAAGCATGTTGTATGACTCAATCACCGCAGTTGTCTTGAGAGGCTCTCAAATTTTGATGGAGGGCATCCATAGATCATTCTCAGATGTTTTGCGCGATGTTATTTCTAGTGGTATGATATTTGTTCATCTTAGAATAAACTTATCAATACAAAGAATACCCTGATAGTAAATCAAAGATATTGTTCGTGACATCGATTGATACGCCTTGTCCAAAAGCTTCATCATTGGCCAAATATCGGGGAAATAAACATTCTGGATTTGATCTTGCAGAGAGTATGGGATCCAGAAACCCGGATGATGGGTTGAGATCAATTTGACTATAGCTTTGTTTTTCAGGATCCGATCTTTCAGAGAATGGAAGATGCATGTCATCAATTATTGGCAAGTCGTTAAGTTTGGACTGGGAGGCTTGGGTGGACGAGAATACATAAGAGGAGTTGCCAGTAGGTGAGTTTTGGCGCTGGTAGTCACCGTTCTCGAGCTCGGTACTAATTACACTTAGCGGCGGGGTTTCAAGAGCCGAAAAAGTAATCTGCGGCGCGTTATTTGGATTCGAGTTGACGGACGGTCTTCTGGATTGATCTGCACTTGGATTCGACGGTATTATGCACCAACGGCTCTTGGGTGAATCTTTTAATTTGCGATAATTTTCAAGCTGGCCCTCGAAAGCTTCCAAATTTTGTTGAAGGGCCGTATGAATGTTCCACCAAGACACGCTTTGTTTGTAGGTCATGTAAAGGACTTCAAACTTGGATTTTATGAATGTGCGTCTGGTTTCACCATGCTCGAACTCCTGTCGAAAGATCTGGACGGCAGATGCAAGCCAGATAGTGCTCGATAAGAATGGATTTATATATCGAATATGATCCTCGGTGCTTCGATTGATTATTGCGAGAATATTGTCTGCTGCTTCAAAATACTGCGCTAACGCCACGCTGTTTGTGTCAGAGATTGGGTATGATCCGGTGATATTTGGCTTTTGTAATTCCGGATTTCCAGGCTCCTGCTCCCATTTGACCCCGGGGCTGAGACCCCGAAAGACATCGTATCGATGTATCATTAGCTTTGCCAATTGCACCATGATGTAAATGTTATATATTGAACAGTGATCCTGTCTGATTGAAGACACCTGGCCAGGAGCTCGGGCTTCAAAGTTCAAATACTGGTTGCGATATTGTAGGCTCTTCGGTAGAACCAAAATGAAACATTGAACAGAGTTTGCGAGGGTTTCAAGCCTTTGATTCGCTTCCTCAGATAATGCAGTTGTGCTTTCCGTACCATCTGTCGACCCGGTGTGTTTGGACTGGTGTCGAGAAGGGTTACGATTTGGAATGCTTCGAGGACTTGAGATTATTTGAGCCTCCTTCATGAGGGAATTAACCACCAAAAACCACGCTTTGGGAGATTGGTTGCCAGACTCATGGAGTGTCCTCCATCGAAGTATCGGGTCCCGTTTCATAAAGCAACTGGGTTGAGGTCGGCGGTCGAACCAATGTTCGTCCTCCACCGGGAGAAGTGTCTCGATTTGTGACCAATCTATTGCAGGAGGCGTCCGTCGAATGGTGCTAGCGAAGACATCCATTTCCCATATGGCCCACCATGCCCGTCTTTTTTCTTCTTTCCAGCACCAATCCTCCGCCCCAAAGTCGTCCAAGTCTTCGCAACCGGAGTCGATCAGGTGCAGGTCCAACTCATAGGCTAATCGAATACAAGTGCCGAGGGACCTCCAAGCTTTTCCACGGACACCTTGTGTGAGTTGAAGATGGGTCGCGATGATGAGTGCTTGTAAAATGTACAAAGAAGGTGGTTCGTCACCGCATTCGTTCAATCCTTCATTCACATATTTGAAAGCGAGTGTTAAAAAATAGTCAACTGGAGACTGGCCCTTACAGCTTTCCCCAGGGCTGCTAGTCCATTCCTCACGAATTTCCTCGGGGCTGAACCGTGCCGCATAGGCTGACATTGCCGCAAGTAAGGCGGAGATGTGCGTGGATGACACAGCGCCGTGGAGCTTTTTGGAAAACTGGGGCTCGCAGAATAAATTGATCGCAACCATGTTGTCAAAATACGATTTTAACCTGGATACAAGTCAGTGAAATCTTGACGAGACTTTTAAGGAGATATTCACATCGAGGAGACACATGCTCCCGTCAATCCTAGAGCGGCACAGGCTTTCTCAATTTCCGTACCCTGTAGGTTCCTGGATATTTTGGGCTCTGAGAACTGTTCCTTATCAGGAGAGGTAGCCTCATGGGCTGGGTGCAAGATGAAGGAGAGATTTTGGATATTAGAACGCGAATCTGGCCGATCAGACCCGTCCTTTTCCGCAGGAATGTCTTCGTCATCAGCTTCTGGAGCCGAGCCATGTAATTCAGAATCGTTTTGTTGGGAATGGGCGTCGATTATAGCAGGCTCCGTATCTAGAATGCCATAATCCGGTCTCTTTCTCAGACTTTTCGATTTGAAAGACGTTGCATCATCTTCAAATCGCTGCAAGGGTCGTTTCCGAGATCGCTTCAAAGACCCTTTAAGGAGGATTAAGATGGTAAAGAAACGTAAAAAGAAGCGAGACCACGATTTATTCACTGACCGAGCTTTGGCCCTGGCTTCAATGGCCCTTCAGGGTAACTGCAATCCTGGGATGTCTCAACGCAGACTAAGCATTGAGGCCATTGACGGTCGCTGGACTATTGCATCAGACTGTGTGGCATATCCATCAACTAAAAAAAAACCTACCACCTCACCTTGCGTCTATTAATCACGACACGTCAGTTCCAAGTCATCTTCAAAATCATACGGGGTTTAGATATGTGAGCTTTCAACGTACCGGCGACACACATGGCAAGCAATATCTGATGTTCGCCGGCTATCTCTGTTGGAGTCCACATTCAACCACATACTTAAGGCTGTGGATTCGATTCTGTGAAAATTTTAACCGGCTAGGGTTGCGAATGACTTCGCGAATATGGCTCGGCGTTGCTGTGGCCTGTTTGAATCCATTAATACACAGCCAAAAATCCCATCAAGGCGCCCTTTCCCCACAATTCGCTTCCCCTCCCCTGTCGACAACCCCGCCTGGGGCTGTTATATGAGAAGTGAAAGTTTAAAATTCCCCCCGAAATTCGTCCGTCCGTCGTAATGTTACTGTAGCCGCAGTACTCCGTACAGCATGCCTACTTGGTCAGAGTCAGATCAGAACAAAATATCATCTGCAAGTTTCAAAGTTTTACTAACATTTACTGTGCCAGAAATCCACATTAACAGAGAAAGAAATACATATATCTTCTTTCCATGATGGAAATATTTTACCTGGTGCCATGCTTGAATTGAAAATTCAAGCCCTGGTAGCTATCAGTACTTTCGAAAACCGGTGTCACCACCTACACTCTTTGATTTCTTCTCAAACCCTGATGACAAGATACGCTATGCCACGTATAGATTAGTTGAAATGTATGCAAAATTTCAGAACGTTTTCCATACAGGTACGTGAAGAACACAATTACATAGGATTGGTAAAAGACTGTAAAAGTAATCTTCGAGGTGGGGTTTCCTGGAATGTTTAGTTCAATGCAAACTACTCAATCATCCACAGATACATCGCAATCTGGCAAGTTGTCTATCGTATCACTCGCCCTTGCATTTCCCCCGCAAAATCAGGCTGTACAGACGGAACATCTTATATACTTAATTGCTTATTTATTCGATATCCATTCGAAATCCTCCTGTTTAGATTATTACTCAAAAGCTATGTCCCTAGAACCGGATTTCCATGATGTTTAGTAGAAAAAAATGGTGGTTGAGCGCATTCAGGTCACCTGACAACAAAGCTGCAGGGATACCCCTCACTCAGCTGAGTGGCTGGCAACTCCAATGGACTCAACTCTTATGGTACAACTGCGGCATTTTGTGTGACTTGCGATCATGATGACTTCGACTATATTCTATGGCAGAAACGATGGATTTCAGATTGGGATCAACCATGGGCCGGTCAAGGTGAAGTTCCACCAGGGTAGGTTTAATCACGTCTCTATGAGTCTGGGTTCAAAGTAACACATTTCTATTCATCAAGCATATACTACCAAGGATATCGACCAGATTTGCCTCTAAAACCTACGCTGCCTAAACTCGTTTGCCATAAAAAGCCGCTTAAAAGAGGCTAAGGACAAATTACTCCGTCAATCGTTTGATTGGATTCTCCAGGACCTGTAATATCGCAGTTAGCGAAATGGGAACGATATATGTCTACTCTAGATCAAGGGCGGTACTGGTAAAGGGAAAACAATGATGTCGATCGGTCTTATCGAAGTACTCTTCCAAGAATATGACAAGCCTGCTGTAGTAACTTATTTCTTCTGCCAAAATACAGATAACGAGCTGAATACTCTTCAATCAATTATGAAAGGCTTAATTCATACGTTGGTTAGACAGCGGGGTGAACTTGCGGAGTCATTACGAAGTCGATAGGACCCCAAAAACAACCGTTTCAGTAAAGACGTTAGCTTATGGCGAGCGTTGTAGGATATCCTTTGGGAGATATTGGACCGGTGTGACTGTTCAAGGGTATATATCATTGTAGATGCCCTTAATGAGTGTCAAGATAGTGGTATGGCCGACTTCTTAAGACTTATTATCTGAAATAGTCTTGATCAACCCACTAAAATCAAATAGCTCCTGACAAGCCGGCTATTAGAAGCTGTAGAGCGCACATTACTAGTTGGGCATAAGCAGATGTAAGTTAGTCTAGAGCTCAACTCCGACTATATCTCTCAATCTGTACAGGCTTATATCTCCTATAAAGTTGATAAGCTCAACCTTCGAAACAGATACAGAGAGACACTTGGGAGAAAATTAAAAATTAAACTTTTCACGAAAGCCGAGGGTACCTTCCTATAGGTAAGCCTGATATACAAGAGGCTTGAGAATATCCGCACAGATAAAGCCTTAGCCACTATTTAGGATTTACCGCCTAGACTTCACCTATTTTATAATCGAATTTTGAATCAGCTACACGAAGGCCAGCCAGATAATGTCCATAATTATATACGGCTACTGAAGGCAATAATGCTGGTATACCGACCTTTAAAAATAGAAGAAGTTCCCAGCGTAACTGGTCTATTCTGTAGAGGTGATATAATCAAGTTCATAGTTAATCACTGTACATCTTTTGTCAGAATGCAGGGAAACAACATTGAATTTGTCTATCAATCCATTTGAGATTATCTAGCGGGGGAGAACGGATTGGCTATACTTGACTTATATGGTCACTATAAACATTATAATATTGTTCTTAGCTGTCTATCTCACTTAAGTGAACAGCTGAAAGTCAATTTTCTAGACCTACCACAACATAACACGACTAATAAGTTTGCAGAATCACTGAGAAGTAAGAGGCAAAATATTCTACTATCTTCTCTTGACTATACGACAATATTTTAGGTGCAACATCTCCAGAAAGTCCCACCAACGGCTACAGCGTAAAGCAGGGCTATTGAAGAAGGGCTAGTTAGGTTATTTCTACACAGCAAGCTTTTAGAATGGCTAGAATGCTCTAGCCTACTATATAGTTTACCTAAGGCCTTGGATTCTATCGTAGCCCTGAGAGATATGACTAAGGTAAGTGCTTGATAACTCTTGCTCTCTAGGCTTATTGCTGATAGTCTGTTAAAGGAGGATTCTTCGACACTCACACTTATACAAGATGCCACACGTTTCTTACAACGACATTACTACAATATAGCGTGATGGCCATTACAGATCTATAGCTCTGCTCTTATCTTCAGTCCTGAAACAAGCATTGTGAGGACAAGAAATATTAGCAAAATGCCAGTATACCTCAAGAGTTTCCCCAAGACTGAGAAAGCCTGGACTTCTCTTATACAGACACCAAATGCCAACTCCGTCAAGACTGTGGTGTTTTCTCCAGATGGCAAGCAAATCGCTTCAGGCTCTTATATGACCATCCAGCTTTGGGATAGCACAACAGGGAACCTTCAGAAGACAATAGAAAGCCATTCAGTTCTGGTCGAGGCTGTGGCGTTTTCGCCGGATGGCAAGTGGATCGCATCAGGCTCGGATAAAACCATCAAGCTTTGGGATATTGCAAAGTCTAACAAAACCTCAAAGCTTCTTGGCCGTCGCTTAGGTAGTCGTCTCAAACTCCGACCACAAAGAAAAATTAAAATATCGGAGCGAGTGCTCGACCTCAAATTCTCTATAGATACCTTATACCTTATCACAGGTACTAAAACAGGTACTGAAAAAATCAGGCTTACAGATAGTACGATAGAAGAGCACAACAAGAGTCCAGTTTCTTTACAGAGCTTCATTTTTAAGGATCAGTAGATATATTATAGAGTTATGCCATTTCTTCGCCTACCATCAGACATACTGCTAGCACGCCATATCACACAACATAACCAAGTGGCTATTAGGTTGGAAAATGGACAAGTGTTAAGCTTTAGATTCGACCGAAGTGCTCTGCATTCTATGCTAGGGCCATGTGCGGTTTAAAATATAGGTCTAGGGATCTTTAATGAATACATACACGCATATTATTCAAAGCTGAGTCAGTAGTTACCTTTAAGAACTAATCATATTTACGATGATGGAATAGGATTCAGATAATCTTTATGTTGTTATCCTGTACATACGACACTTTCTGGTCCAAAGAATATCCAAGGGAATGTTATTAGACTGGCAATTTAAGGTGAGACACAAGAAGCGCGGCTTGAAGCAGAAGGCGCTAGCATATTAGTCTACCCTGGTCAAATCAGCTCATAAAGTTAAAATTCTTGATGTTCTTTTCCCCTTCTAGAGTTTTGGTTTCCCTCGAGTCCTGCAAAATACCCCTACTGCCCTTATTGGTACATTACCGGCTTAACAGGAATCAAACAAATACTTTACGCTAAGTACGGTTATCAAATACACCAATACGTATGCATACATGTCATTTTAATATAGCTATTATATACTACGCTTAATATGGATTAGTGATCCCTGGCATTGGGGTTCGAGAAAGAGTCAAAGAGTGTAAGTGGTGACACCGGTTTCCGGAAGTACTGTAGTACAAACGAAATAGACAGCAAATTCAATCAAAATGACCGTGGTAGGACTTCAAGTTTTAGCTTCGACAGGGTTTTCGCAATGATTTATTTGGTCATCTCTTGTATATCGAGGCCCAGGGTGCAAATCGCCGATGCTTCTTGTCAAAACAGGAAAAACCATCTTTATTCCCATTTCTTCAGAAAATCCAACGCCCCAGCCAACTCATTCCTGATTGTCGCGACGTGCTTCTCACTTCGAACTTTGATCCGAACCTTAAATTGCAGTGGTGCCTGCAAGATTCCTGAGTTGTATGCGTTCACATCCAGGGGAATAGCCTTCCCGGTAACACTGTCAATGGGTTCGGAGAATTCATAGGCCCATAGTAGCTTAGCTGCGATGCGCCACATGTTGCGCTCCGCAAAGTGCACCCCTGGGCATAATCGGCGGCCTGCACCGTAGCCATAGTGATGTGGATATTCGAAGACCAGTTAGTTAGATCCAGAATCAAAGGTTGGCAGGACCTATCTCGGTTGCTCCATTCCGGACTTCCGGCGTAGTCATTTGCAAGCTTTGGATGGTTTGCGTAACGCTCGGGGTCAAACGTGTCGTGGTCTTGGAAGAGCTCTTCTGTGTGATGAATAGCCCAGGTGGCTACAAAAAGCGTAGAGTCTTTGGGAATCAGCATGCCCTCATACCAGTCGCCTATACATGGCGGTTAGCAAAAGCAGAAGCAAAATTCAATGTCAAACTCACTCTCGCGGACACGATGGGGAAGTCCTGTCACAGCACTAAATTGAAAGTCAAAATTCTAGCCATCCTTGAGAGTCGTATTGCGATACTTACACTGGCCGCCACCTCATCCCTTCTTTCACGATTTGGTTGATGTATGAGATTTTCTTAAAGTCACTGAATGTCGGCGGTCGATCAGCAGGGCAAAACTTGTCGATTTCATGTCGCGCTTTTTCCTGGACGTGGGGATATTTGGCGAAAGCCAGAATCAATGTGAGAATCTGAGCAGCGGTGGTATCAGCTGCGCCTTCAACGACCTCACCAACCAGGTTATTGAATGCATGTTGGGACATCGGCCAGCCTTTCTTCTCATACTCATCAAGCAAGTCATCGATTATGCATTCCCGTTTGATGCCCCTGGCTCGACGCTCATCAACAATGCGACGCGCCTTTCCCCACATTGAATCAAACACCTCACCTGCCGCGATCGCGCGTCGTTTCCAATAAGCAAAGCGCTTTGGAATAAACTTGAGAATGGGATATTCATCCACAGGTGGATTGGCACCAGCTTCCATTGCTTCAGTCCATCGGTCCATGACGTCGTAAACGACCTGAGACATTGTTAAAATCTACATTCAACATATTCCGATTTAGGCTTCGCATGTCATAATACATACATGACCCCAAAATGAATCAAAGGTCGATCCCCGGTGACCGAAAGCAAGGACTGAAGCGGATGAAGCAGTGTATCTTCGTACATGATTGAAGAACCCGTCCGGGGTATTCATCAGGTCATTTAGTAGAACAGTCGCTCTATCGCGGGCGGTTGGATTTCAAGTTAGAACGTGACTTTAATCCAAGTGAGATCCGACAGGTATTATCTGACACATACTCTGCTTCTTGAACCAAGAAATGTTTCTCGTCAAGGTTTTTTGGAGAGAAGTTATGAGAAATGACCTTCCGCTTCTCGCGCCAAATCGGGTCCATTTGTTCCAAGGCAATGTGATCGCCTTGCGTCAAAAGATGGCCTACATAGCTAGGAGGACGATCCGAGTAAATAGCTCCTTTTTTATCTAGCAATGCATGGATGGCTTTTCTATCACATAAGACAATGATATTGGTCGGTCCAAATTTTAGCGAAAATACCGGGCCGTACTCCTTCGACCAGTCACGGAATCTGATGAATGGAGAGAATTTAGTCAAAAGCAACATGATAAATTTGGTTCTCATCACACACTTTGCATATAGGCCGCTTGATGGAATCTGGTGGAAGTTCCCGAGAATAGGCAGTGTTGGAGGTCCCTTGGGCATACGGGGATCACGTCGGCCAATTTGAAGAAGACGATAAATGGCAAAGGCCATAAAAAGAGCCACTACTCCCCACGCAGGGGATATTCCTCCTACCATTCGCGAGAGAGTGTTGGGGCTTTTCATTTTCCTGATTCTATGTCTGAGCCGAGGGTGTCTGAGATGAGGGCAAAAGGTGCTGACAAGCGTTGACTTCTCTTCTGTGGGTTTTTTTAATTAAAACTTCAGTGACAACTAAAATGTCCAGGTATTATTGACTATTACGACAGCGAAATATTCCACTTTGACTTGAATACCGGGCGGACCATCATCGGGCTATCTCCACGCCTCTACTTACTTCATACCCCGCACGGCTAAGCCGCTTGAGACTATAGTTGTTTCGGTACAAGAGTTCGTTAAACAAGGCCCACTAATGGCCGTTACCGATGCCGGCGAATGTGGGAAGAAATTGACCAGTGGGCCTTGTCTCCAAATTGCGCCGGTCGGACTAAATTGTTAGAGAAATATTCCAAGAATCCCCCCCGAGGCAGGAAACTGGAGTGCAAGAAGTCAGCCACATTTATCTAAATGTAGGGTCATATGCCTTTGCACAGGATGGAAGTCAAAAAGTGAAATTGACCCCCATTTGTCTTCAACCTTCACTCGCTGCTGCCATCTGAAACACTTCCACCATGTCTCAGAAGCGCCTTAAAGGAAAAGTCGCACTTGTGACCGGTGCCTCCTCTGGCATGGGCCGAGCGACGGCGCTCTCCTTGGCAGGAGAGGGGGCAATTTTGGTCTGTTGCGATCTCAAAGCTGAAGCCAATCCCAATGGCTACGAAAAGGATCTTGCAGAAACCACCGTGGATGTAATCATACAGAATGGGGGCAACGCGATATTTCAGAAAGTTGACATCTCCAATTTCGAACAAGTGGAAGCCGCATTTGAAAAAACAGCAAAGGTAAAGCTCGCTCTCATGGTTCCTAGAACTTTATATGTCATTCTCATACTTGACAGCGATCTGTTGGCTTGTAGCTAATATTCTGGATGTTTAACAGATGTTCAAACGTCTCGATATCCTTGTGAATTGCGCTGGATTCTGGGCGCCGTTCAGGAAGTTTGCCGATGAAGATGATGAGCTTTGGGCGAAGATGCTGCAGATTAACACTGCGGGTACATCTAAGATGTCGCGACTTTCCATTCGGCAGTTTCTCAAGCAGGAGGTGGATGACTCTTGGGGAAGCCGTGGCCGAATTGTGAATGTTTCCTCCTGTGCAGCAAATATAGCATATGCAGGGGAAGTGGCCTATTCCGCTACGAAAGCCTCCATCAACCATATGACAAGAGCGGGTGCAATTGATCATGCCAGGGATTCCATCAACATCAACTGCATTGCTCCCGGGGTCGTTGCCACCGGGATGGCTCGAGTCAATCTGGAAAACAAGGAGATTTTTCAGACTATGAAAGGTGCTACGCCGTGGCCAAGACTGGGGTTTCCTGATGATATTGCTCAAGCTATTCTGTTTTTCTGTTTGCCGGAGTCACAATGGATCACAGGACAGGTTCTTGCAGTTGACGGCGGAATGACACTCGGTGTCCCTGCGGAATAAGTGTATACTCCGAGACAATTAGTCAGTACCATCATTATGTCAAAAGTAATGACACGAGGAAGCTTGTATCAGTCAAAGGGCCACAGATTCCGCCCTGGCGAAGTTAGAAATGGACCGTGACAGATCCAATCTTCCTCCAAACATCAGCACTTGGAGGCAATTGCTCTGCGCCCGGTAAGATTGAATTCGTCTTTGTCCACTTTTTTAGACCAATGCTGCAAGTGAACTAGAAGCAGTACCCACAGTACCCCAGGTTCAAAACCGGACGCAAAACCGGGACCAAGTACAAGGAGCCCTGGAGCTATAAGCCAACCGAGCAGTGTCAGCCCTCGAGGCCCTCCGAATAGCGACAATGGACAACCTCTCCCGGCCCAGCAGCGGCAAGTTTGCAGCAGTATCAGCGGCAGTACCAGCACCAGCACCAGGAACAGGCCCAGCATCCAGGCCAAAACCAGAGATCCTAGGACTACACCAGTGGGTCATCTCATGCGCTCAATGCGCTCCATCAATCCGGTCCTTCTACTCTATACTCCTACCAGATAACGTGAAAGTCCATCTCCAATTGAATTGGGAAATTAACATCCCAAAAGGCTCGCATGGAAAAGAAAGTAGCTTTGAACATGAATTTATCACTAGAGACTGGATGAATGGATGGTAATGGCCTGTAGGGGAATGCCAGTGGCAGTTTGATGGTAGTATATTATTATAAGAGCCAATCATATTACGAACCTACTCCGTAGATGCCATGTACCTCACTGCCACGCGGAGTCAACTCTACCCAAGTGGGTCAAAGCATAGACCCTGCCTGCCGGAGACGAAAACCTTATTCTCCTATTCGCCAAAATGCAAGATTACTCTCCAACTCAATGGCAGTCCGAGTCCTCGTCCAATGATCGACAACTCAGAATCACATTGTCTCGGTGGCCGGCCCCATGAAGCCACCGAAAGCATACATAAGCCCAGATGATCGCCCTCGAGACAAATTCCGACGGGCCGGGGCAGACCGAGCTAGGCCCTGCATACTCGTATACAGGAGAATGGGCATATAGGCGGTGAATGCTCCCCGTATTCAACGACGGGGAATCGGTGGAGCCATATAGAAGGGGGGCTTGATCCCCGAGCATACGCTGGGGGTTGACCGGGAGCGTGCCTGGCCCCCAATTTCAAGCGCCAGTTTTGCACTCTTATATCCGGGCAGAAGCCCCAACTTCAGGCAGCCTTTGCCATCTTCTTTATTACAAGACTGAATGCACATCATTTCCCATTCAGCTCGGTCCGTCCTGGACCCAAAATCGGCCAGCATCGAGATATGACGTGAGATCTAGCGGGTCTATGCTAGGCCGGACACCAAGCTCCAGCACATCGCGCGCGACGGCTTTTATCTGTCGCATGATGGATTGGGATATGGCCCAGGTACGAGCCAATGATCGGAAAACACCAATGGTGAGACCGATGCGATCGCGACTGGGGTCAGGCATCTGGCCTGCCTTGACGGAGCAGGCGGCCAGCTGGACGATGGAACTGAGCGTGAGTGCGCAGATAAAGAAAGGTGTGTGTCGCTCCACGGGCAGACGCATGGCTGCCAGTGTGGACAGCTCGCTGGCTGCCTTGACGGCCTTCATGGCATGGGCGTGGTGGGAGAAGGCGGGAACACTGATCGGACCGTGGTGGCCACAGATTACCTCCGAGGCGACTGCTGGGGATGACAAGAGATCGGAACGGGGGAAGTTCAGGTAAATGGAGGCTCCATTTACTATCATGGTCGCTTGAAACATGATCTCGTCTACGGAACCATCCGGTCGCATGAGTTCTGCCTTGGATTCCGGCAGGTGGTGGAACCAACTCGCGATACGGGCATCGATAGCCTCGACGTTATCCTGCTGACCCTCGGTCATTTCTTGCGTGGCCACCACACGACCAAGAATGCGCACCGCTTCAATTCGGTAGGAATAGGAAGAGAAGTCGCGCTCCTCATCGGCAAAGACACGCTCATCGAACTGGGCAATTGTCGGTGCAGGTGGCGGGGTCAGGCCGTCCTGGTATATTCGCTCCTCGCAGGGAAGTGGGACTTCGGGTAACACCAGGTTAGTGCGGTACACGCTTTGCACGCCGAGGGCCGTCAGCATTCCCTCTATCACAAATAACTCCCACCAGGTCCGTCGCAGACACTCGGCACGGATTGGATCGCCGTTGCTCGCAACCTCGGCATAGTTGGCTTGGTTGAGACCGATGTCAAGTGCTAGATCTACCGCACTAGCCAAACATTGCCCAGCCTCCATCCGCTCATTTCGTGAATGCAACACAATCGCTAGTAGGAGGAGAGCCTGGATCTTCTCGATGCTGGGGATTTGCTCGTCGACCGCCGCGACAACCATCGGGCGATAGATCTCACTCGAGGTGGCCGGGGTGAAGTGAGCGCCAATGAACTTCATTACTTGTTCCAGATATGGAGGGAAATTGGAGCGGTAAAGGAATCGCAAGGGCGGGAGAATGGGATGCGCGGCGTGGAAGTAGGTATAGTAAATATCGAGTAGGTATCCGTCGCTGCCGACAGAAGAAGAAGAATCCGGGGTCAACGGGCCAGGTATCGGACGGGTTTGGGGCATTGTGATGGGAAATTCGTGCAATCCGGGGCTTGCAGACCCAGAGGAAAGCAATGGCATCGTAGGTGTATATTGGTGATAGCCTGGAACTCCCCCCACCACCACCACCACCTCCTCCACCAGTTGGTAGATGATTCCAGTCGACGGAAACATCGGACCTACCGACGAAAGGGTCCATGGGCAGCTGGTACTCTGGCGATTCCTCTTCAGCGCGACGCTTTTTAGATGGGCCTTTGTAACCTCGGCGCGATTTGGTGTAGTTGCACTCGGAGCCGGTCAAAGCACAACGGCCGCAGATTGGAGATCGACCATCACATTTAAGATGTTTCTGGCGACACAGTAGACAAGCCAGTAGTGATGGACCGGGGGGTTTGGGGCCGGAAGGAATTTGAGGATCGGCCATGGTGAATAAGATGCATTAAGAGGGGGAGAGGGAGGGAGTGGGAGTTGTGGAAGGGAAAAAGAGAAGGAGGAGAAGAGGGGAATCTCATTGAGCGACTGCAAGGAAGAACCCTGTCACTCTTTCCCTTCCCGCCGATGCCACTTGTTCCTCTTCCACTACACCTACACCTACACCACTCACCACCACTACTCACTCACCACTACCATTGAACATTTACTACAACTACACTCACTTAATATACTACTCGCTTGAGCTCTTCTCCAGCTCTTCTGCTTATCAATCGTCCTCCGCGCTCCCGCTCCCTCCATATCCACCACCTCCACCATGATCTCCGACGGTGACCTCTATCGTCTCGCCATCTTCCTGGGCTCTTGCGCCATGATGATGATTGTCCTTTACCACTTCCTCGATGTCAATGCCTCCGACGAGGAGCCTACCGATACCACCACCACAAAGTCCTCCTCCAAGCCTATCGAGTCTACAACCGCGTCGTCATCCGGGCCCACAGCCACGTCGCCAGAGTCAGGGAAAGCGAAATAAGCCCCTGGGGTTGATATGCAATTATCTTCAAGAGCTCGGGGATGGGCAGGAATCCACGTCCCCAAGCTTTGTTTGGCGTTTTGAGTGTGGCTACGAGAGGACTGCAAGTGCATGTACAATAAAATAACAGTCCAGTTCAGTTCAGCGTGATAGCCACGTCTCCTCGATTTACTCCTTTTTTGTGAATTTCCTTTCTGCCACGATTTCTACCAATCAAGGTTATCTACTCGACTTTTTGCGTCCGAATAGGAGCTTAATCTGTTTCATGGACATGATCTTTTGGGAATCTCTACTTCGTATGGGGGATTCAATTGATTTGATTAAGGTACTACGATACTCAGATGCAAAGACGCTTGTGTATCACAAGATAGCGTAGCACGTAGATAGCACGTAGATGGGACAAAATGGGCGCCCATCCGTGCCAATCCTCGCTCAGCATGCTTCAACTCACAAACAATCGTCCGTGCGAAATCGAGCTTTCATCTCCGATCGCAATCCATGTAAAAAAAAAAAAAAGACAAATGATAATAAAACAAGGGTATCATGGGTGGGGGAATAGAACAGATGAAGGTAATCGATCAGTTAGCTACCGCCATTTCTTCCTGGTTGACCGTCTCCTGGCACATCATAGGCGAAATCCGATGACTGCTCACCTCTGAGGTAACGCCAGCATCGTCGAGCCAGCGAATGCCTCCGTCGGTCATTGCGCGGGCACTTAGCTCCGTTGTTTGATTTCCATGCGATCGGTTGTAGGCGACCACCATGCTGTTGTCCGCCGGTAAGGTCATAGTACTCGGGCGCGCATTCCGAGTGAGAGGAACGGTAAAGTGGGTAATTTTGTCATCAGCTAGAGAAGCCACTGATATTAGACCATGTTTCTTCGTAAATCATCATTTAAAGCCGAGCTTCTGGCAGCACGATATCGAAGGTAGCAGGCACGTCGCTTTTCTCACCAGTAACAGGTACTTTTGGTCCATCTCCAATTTTCCAAGCCACGGGACGCATGTGCGCATCCTGGGCATGATTCCACATATCGGCAGCTGCCTTGGGGCTCGTGTCACTGCAGCCCTGCCACTTGCAAATGAAGCTGTACGGGATGTGCATCTGCATCAGATGACTTTCCAGAGCTTTCAGATTATGCAACTCGGATTGGCAGTCTCCCCACCGGCACCGAAACACAGGATATTGGACAGCGGGCCCCGGAGCGGGTATGGCCACCTCGACAATCTTGTTGGGCCGGCCTCTCTTCTTAGTAGAAGACATCTTGATTGGGGAGGGCGGGACGATAACCTGTGGCTCGGGGTAGGCTTTGGGGGAATGCGAGCGCGGAGTTTCAGCCCGCGGAGTTTCAGCCAGTCGTGGGTGTGTCGCGGTGGGTGTGGCTCGTTGGGTGGACTGTGGCTTGGACGTGGAGTTTGATTCGGATTCGGATTCGGATTTGGATTTGGATTTCGGTGTTGATTTGGGAGTAGACTTTGGAGTGGGGTTGGGTTTCGGCGCAGATTGTTTGGGGGGAGAAGGGTTTGGTGGGGGCGGTAACTGAGGTGAGGGCGGGGGGTAAACAGAGGTGGAAGCTGTTTGTTGGGTGGGCGGTGTGAAGCCGGGGATTGCGGCCGGGGTCGATGTGGGGAGCTTCCAAGAACCAGTGAATGAAGTGCGAGAATGATAGCCCGGTGCCTGAAATGGGAGCTCACGGAGTGGGTCGTGGCGATTGGACACATTGGGGGAACGGGGCATGCGCAAATCAACCCACGGCAAACCTGCAGCATTTGCTGGCGGTTGTGAGGTCGCAGTTGTTGATACTGGTGCTGGTGCTGGTGCTGGCAGCTCCGGAGGCCCCGGAGGCCCAGGAGGCCCTGTGACCGGGGGCCTTGTGACTGGAACGGGGGGGGCCGATCGGGGCGGGCGGTGGGAGTACCCGGGGTGCAAACACTGGCGGCGCAGCCCCAGTCTCCCGATTTTGGGAAACCAAACTCGCTTGAGCTTCTTCCACAAGATCCCAACGGAAAGTAGTCAAGTCTTTAGAAGCATCAACCTCCGGGAACTTGTTCCGAATAGCCTCCATGTGTTCATTAAGAGCTCTTTCTGTAGGATGTTTGGCACAATTGATCAACACGTCGTGTGCAATCGTCGCTGGATCATAGCTGAATTTCTTGAGCGCGTCGGCATTGTTCATGGGCTGAATCATATCTGGCTTCAGAGGAATATGTGATTGAGACGGGGACTTTCGAACATAATCGCCAGCTTTGAATCTTTGAGCTACGGGGCCAAGCGGTATTTGTTGGACTTTGACTTTCGTCCCATTGTTCAATCGACGTGATTTGGAAGGCGGGGCTTGCGAAAACCGCGGCCCAGATTGCGCAGCTCGAGCAGGACTCCATGACTGGCTGGGAGGAGGGCTTGGCACGGGTTTTGGAGCCTGAGATAGACGTTGGGAGTTACTCAATTGAGGTGCGGTACCAATTGTTGGTTTTGGTAATGGGGATGGCGCAGGTGCAGAGACCGAGTCTAATTTCGTCGGATGAGAGGTTTGGTACTTGTACTGGCCAAGAGGACCGGTACATTGCCGAGCTGAGAAGATACCCATGGGTGCAGGAGAAGGTTGAGATGACGGTGGTTGACTCTGAGAGCTAGCAAGCAGCGCAAGAGACACCTCAATACTGGGAGCTTGAACAGGCGTGGAAAAAGTTTTCATCTGAGAGAGAGCTGGACTGCTCGATTGTGGCCGAGAAGATCCCGAAGCAGACGGCAACACGGGAGACGCAGTATTTGGCGACTGAGAGGAGGCATGAGAGGCATGAGAGGCATGCCGATTGGCTGATAGATGATCGGGGATGGGTGTGGCGGCCTGCCTGGTCGGGATGGAAGGATGTGACGCTCTCTTTGGATCATCTGAGGTTAAATTGATTATACTCAAGAGACTTGGAGCGATAGTTGTATGAAGGCTTTGTGGGCGCATATTAGGACTCGTCATTTGAGCTCTTACTGGGGCCACAGGTCCAGGGCGTGTATAACTAGTAGAACTTGCTTGAGCACGCGGTTCCAGTGTACTGCGGGATGCCGATGTATACGGTTCCCTCGGGGGGCTCGTTTGAAAAAAGGCCGGTGCAGCTAACGAGCGCTGTTCGTCAGGAGTGGAGATACATGCTCGACTCTGGGGACGTGCAATCGCATTATGCACCCCAGCTGACCGAATTTCTGATTTTAGATAGTCATCTTTCTTCTGTTCGACAGAGGCAGTCCCCGTAGGTCTTTCCATAGATATGTGCGGGGGAGCACGCATCTGGGGCAGGAATCGACTATGTGGCATCTGTTGTGCAGGTGCTTGCATTGGCGCGGTAGTAGAAGCAAATTGCTGTGGTGGGATCGCCGAGTTAGTTGTGTAATTCTGGGCGGGTCGAGAATCATCAGATTGATGACTGAATGTTGGCGAACTCAAACTTGCACCAAAGGGCCGTTCATATTGCCGCCGCTGTGCATTAAGAATGCTTTGTTGTCGCTGCTGCTCCTCTCGTCGACCTCTCTCTTGTTCTTGTTGAAGCCACTGCCGCTGCTGCTCTTCGTTCTGTCGCTGCTGCTCCAGGAGTTGCTGCTCCTGTTGGTCTCTCTTATTTTGCTTTTGTATTCGTTTCTCCTGTTCGATTTGTCGCCGTTGCTGCTGCTGCTTCTGATGCTCTTCCTGTTGCCGTTGCAGTTCCTGTAGTTGCGATTGCTGCTGTTCCTGTTCCTGTCGCCGTTGGTCATATCGCTGCTGCTGTGAGTCGTACTGCGTCTGATGTTGCGTCTGATATTGCGACTGGTACTGTAGGTGTTGCTGCGGCTGTTGATAGTGCTGTTGGTACTGCTGCTGCTTGTGCTGCTCTGGCTGCGGTAGAGTTTGCCGGCGCCGTTCCAATCCGAGCCACCCTTCCTCATAAGACGGGGGCAGGTTAGGAAATCGGGAGTCTACTGGTCTCTCCAACGGAGTAGGCGCTCTAACATCTGCGTCAGGTTGAGACTGAGACACTCTGCGCTGATTCTCCTCCCGGACGTAGGCGGCATAGGCAAACTGGGCCATATGTGCTGCATCTTCGAATGCCGGGTGCGGGGAGTACGTTGTGGGCAATTCTTGCTGGATTTCTTGGGGATCGTTCGCTCGCAGAAGCTGGACATGGGACTCGTCCCATTCGTCTGGCCAGCGGGAGCCATTGTACTGGTCATTGTTGACCATATCGGAGAGAGGGATGCATTATCGATGGTAGCATATCATGGGCAGAAGACGAAGCAGACAAGTAGAGATCGTAGGACAGTGAACAGTAACTCAACCCACTCTTCCTTTGTCCAATTCGTCGCCTGATTGCCGTCGCGCACGCGCGCGGCCGGCAGATCGGCAGAAATATCCCCGGCGGTGAGGTGGCCGTATAAATCCCGGCGGGACGGAAGACTTCACTTCTCCAATCGCAAGCACTTGTCTCCTTGTGGTGATGGGTGTTTACAAGTCCTCATAAGGACTGACTCAAGAGGTTCCCGAACCTACTGCGTTATGCAACTTATCAGCTTGTCATAATGCTCGACATCTGAAGTTTTTGCTGTCTGACTGTTCTCCATGCCACAGAACAATCAAAGTCAAATTCAAAATGGACCGGGACTTCAATTCCAATTGAACCCAATATTGAATAGCTAATCAACCGCAGCAGATTGACAACATCCCCTATCCAAGCCCGCTTCCCGCTTCTTCTCCATCACGGTCGAAGTTCCGCCATATTATCACCTCGTCAATCCCGCTTCGGTGGCTCACATGGTTGAAGAGATAAACATTAGGCGTATAAAAAATTGCAGAGCCAACCGGTCATTGATCGGTTGGTGATGTTGTCTCGCTTGCAGACCGACTCTTGATGCTTCTAGCTCTGATGATGTTGGTTTGAAAGTGAGGTACACTCCTGTAAAATACATAGCATGTCAATGAAAACGAGTAGTAACTATGGTGTTTGAAGTTCCGTTCAAGTTTAGCTACCAGTAGTAGGTACCTAGGCGCCATTTATTAAGGTACATGAATATTGTCGTCGGCTACCTAGGCATCTTTCGTGATCTAGCTAACGAGCGCTACTCAGTACTACTAGTAGGTAGTACTATCATGGATATAAAACTTCTGGCATCCAAGTCCAAGCATCGCTAACTTGAAATGGACAGACCTTCTGTTCGGCACAAGAGCTGAGAGATATAAACGGCCCCGGGTTAATTCAATAGAACTTGCTAAGTGGAAAGATCATAGCTGGACTGGAAGTATGTAAAATATCAGGTTAATGTACACGAATCTTGAGAGATGCGATGTTGAAGAACGAAACCAAAGGAATGAAAAAAGAGCTCAAGAAACCGAAATCAAAGCCACCATATCATACCTCATAACAGCTGGGATGCTAAAAAAGAAGAAGAACAAGAAGAAAGCCAAAAGTCAAGTCAAACTGCAGTATTTGCTAAAGCTCACCCGGCCGAAGGTCGCCAATCGAACCGGAAGACTCGCTCACTCACCCACCCACTCATGAGCTATGGCTAACACACTTCGACCACGCAGGCAATCCACACCCCATCCCAATAAAGAGATAAAGAAGGAAAACAACAACAACCCCCAACAAAACCATCAACTTAATATTCTTCCACCACATCCGTCTCCGCAGCCCACGACTCCGCATCCGAAAATCATGTGCACTACCCCCCCAACCGATCCGTCTTATCAACGAGCAAATCAATCCGCTCCCCACGCTCCAGAACCCGCTCGATATTCTCGGTCATGATATCGCGCACGCTATCGATCTCCCGCTTCGCAGACGCAAGCGAGTCGCCCGGTGGCGCGGTGTTGTATGTTTGTAGTAGCGAGCGGAGTTCGGCGTTGAAGGCTGCGCACCCGTAGGCTGGTAGGGCGCTGAAGTCTGTGCTGGATGGGTTGTAGGTTGTTAGGAACTTGCGTTTCATTTCGAGGAGGTAGGCGAATGGGATGCGTCGGCCTTGTTCGGCGGATGCGACCACTATGAAGCTTAGTGGGGCGTATGAGCTTGTTTCTGTCCGACTACTTTGGTCGTCTGTTAAGCTGCCGGATGGGGAGTCGGCGATGTAGTGTACGAATAGGCGTTCGTGGGTGTAGGTGAGTTTCTGGGGCTTGTCGTGGGTGATCTTTGGGAGGATGATGGAGGCGAGAGAGGAGGCGGATGTGGAGGAGGCCCCTGGGGAGGAGTGCTCCGCTAGAATGGTAGTGCGGTTGGCGATGCATGAGCTGGATTTGATCGAGGCTGGTTAGATGGTTGTTCGGGGGTTGGTGGTAGATGATGCCGGGGTTGACTTACTAGAGCAGGAAGCTCGGGGGTTTGGAGGAGGAGCCTGAAGCCATTTTGTCTTGATGAAAGCTGATAATTACAGGTTGAAGTGAGGGCCCCGGAGGCGTAGTGAGATTGCAACCTGCGAGAGAGACTCTTGGATAATATCAAGTATCCTTGGTCGTCGACGTTGGTTGCGTGGATGCCGTTGCGGAGCTGCTGTGGGTCAGCTTAGTCACGTCATCAGGTGTCTATTTTCAGGCATCCAGGCAGCATCTCAGGCGTCAACCAGTTCCTGGTGAGTCCGAGAGAAAGCTCAAATAAAGTAATTTTATTAAGAAAGAACAGATTCTGGATTTGCGACCCAATTAGGGTGCAATTTCCTATTACAAGGTTACACTGCCGTGCCACAAATTGATGGACAGACGGAGGCACTGAGATCGCAGTAAATACAGTAGATTTTGGATAAGTTCAAGTTTGTGAGTCATCTCAGGTTCAAGTTACTTTGATCTACTAGGATCGCTCGAGAACTAAATAAACTGCAATAGCAAGAGTTACTCGGAACAGCTGAGGTTTATCCATGCATCAAAAAACCATTCTTGTTTCTCATAGCCACCTTTGGGCGCGTGTTTTCAATACCCATCGTGAACTTGATAGGAGGACAGACAAGCCCACTAGAGGCGCCCATCAACTATCTCAAATCCATGAGACGCTGCATCACTCATAATTTTGTCATGGTCATCGTTATCGTCATCGTCGTCATCATCATCGTCGCTAGTGTTTTCAGGGTATTCCATATCCTCATCATCACTTCCATTGATGTCGGATTGATGGCCCATCAGAGTACTGTTGCTATCGCTGTCTGCACCATCCATCTCGAAGTTGAATTCTCCGTGGCTAGATTTGACCAGGTACTCGCTTTCCAACGGTTCTTCGTATCCTTCATGGACTTCAGGCTCTGCAATATCGGCTTGCATAATGGAGCCCTCATCGAACGAGCTGCCCAGGGACTGGACTTCGGTCTGGTGTGAGAGTGTGGCACGATTGGATGCACCGTTGATTGTGCTCCGCGAATCCGACGGGCCAATATCACTGAATGAGTCCTCCGTTGTTGCATTGCTGCCAGTGTGTACTGCAGGTCCGGGAGTGGAGAACCCGCCGGTTTCCATGATCGGAATGTCTTGATCTTGGAAAACACCACCGCTGCCATCGTCGTTGCCTCCTGCCCAGAGGGGCAAGAGGTTTAACTGTTTTTCTGAAAGGCAGCTAAGAGTATCGATAGACGTGATTGGAATCGAGGGCCCTTCGGTAGGGAAAAGTAATCCCCGCGCGATTTGGCGGATGGAGGTATTGGCCGAGACAAGGAATAGAGTCAGGTCAAAGGATTTGGCGGGTGATCCGAGAAGTTTGCCTTGGGCAAGCGACTGGTGGGGCTGAATCGGTGCCGAGTTTTCAGGGAAATTCGAATACTCTGGGAAAGCCTGATAATTTTGATTTCGTTGTCTCGGACGGCCAGTTTCTCCCAACGAAGGAGGACCGAACATATCTAGAGCGGTGTTCGGACTCGGGTTCGAGGCCATCACCGACTCCGAGCTAGATTGCTCACCATTCCAGTTTTGAGCCTCGCGTGGACGAAAGACGAATGGTTTGCTGTGCGGATTCGGTTCTGTGGACGGGACGAAGGCCGAGGATGAGGCAACGGGTCCCGCAAATTTTGGTAGTAGTGGTCGCATCGGCAAGGTTACTTGAGAGTTCTGTAACGCGGCTAATAATCTTTTTGCCTCTGCCTCAATTTTCTGGTTCATGTTGTTGGCCTCACTTTCAAGAAATGTGCGATGGAAATAATCGATTCTAGCCCTCTCGTGGCCTTTGAAAGCAAGTAGCCCTTCGCCAATATCTGAAATAGCCTGGTGGTACATGAGTTCCGGCGGGAAATCGGTGTCGGAAAGGAGACTGAAGTTTAAGAGGCTGTACCAGAAGCTCCTCCCGATAAGGCGCTGTAGAACATGCTCTTTATGGAAGGTGGAATTCATCCGGAGGTTCGTGATCGCAGGGACTGCATCACTGGATCGAATTGGGTCTCGAGTCCTTTTCAAAAGACTGTAGATTCTGTATCTCACAAAATCCTTCAGAAGGCCTGTCAGATAATTGACTGCAGCCCGGTCTCGCGAGCATTGCTCTCGGTGTTCAATAAGCTTTTGATACTCGGGATTCTCGTCAAGCCAGGGCATCTCAGCCCCAGCAAGGTGCAAGAACTGGTCAATGAGATCATCGGCAAAGCTCTTGCTGGCATATTCTATGCGCTGCACCTCAATATCGTCCAGGAAGCCATTCATCCGACTGTGAGCGAAATTCTCGATGTAATTATGCCTGGGGCGAAGATCGGCGGTTCGAATTGTGTTCAGCAAAGCTTCATCCCCGACGAGAGCAAGAAATGCGTGGTGGCAAAGTTCGGGGGCCTTTATTCCACAAGCCACTCGGTATGCAATCTCCGGATGAATCTCAATGAACTTGGTGTTGGTTGTCTGGTAGAACCAGGACAGAATGTATCCGCTCACAGCCGGCACAGTTGCCAGATCGAAGACTTTGGCTATCGCAAAGAATGTCCACAGCTTGGATGGAGTATCCAGGGAGATACTGAGACCTTCCAAAACATGCAAAATGTGCTCAATTCCTTCCCGGTGACGCACGGGAGAGTACTCCACCGGTAGACTCGTTGGTTTTTCAATGTTTGGAGCATCGGCTAAACCCTCATCTTGGAAACCAGCAAAACCAGGGTCCTTCGGAGGTGCCTCGATGTCTTCCTCGGCGGGGGAGGTTGGCGGGGGTGACGACGGTTGACTAATGATTGCGTCCTCCACAGGCTCACAAATGTCCTTGCCTCCAACACACGAAGCCGGCAATCTCCACAGGAGCCTCTGCGAAGCCCACATTCGAATGCCCGACGGGCAGGATACCTCTGTCAATAGGATGATGGCATCTTCTTCTAGGATTGGAGGGGTCAAATCTAAGAGATATTTAATGCCCCGGGGTAGCGAGTCCTGGTGGAAGCCTCGTTGTTTGGCGACTCGTTTCTGCCATCGAGGATGAAAGAGTTTCGTCAGATAAGCAGAGCCAGTCGAAAGCAGTTTCTCACTGTGGATGCGATGAGTGGTTGTCGATGAGCTTGGCAGTTTGCGGCAGGTATTCTCCGGCGGCGGGTCAATGTAGACGAGGGTATCACCATCATCGAAAAGCAAAAGCGGGATCATTGGGGCCTCAGTAAGATCGGACTCGCGTCGGTGAAAAGGGGGGGATGGGCATGGGAATGGGGACAGTAGGTTCTGGCTGTTGAAAGTGAGTATTCTCAGTAGAAACTGCCGAGGCTTGTAGAGCAGTCTCAGTTAACTGGCCATTATGCCAAGTCGAGAGGACAGTAGGAAGCACAGGGGATGAGGGTCTGGCTGGAGGTGGCTGGAAGGAAGCCATGGTGGAGAAGCATGCATGGGTATGGGCTCATGAAAGAGAGGTCGGGATTTGTGGAAGACGTGAAAGAGGTGAAAGAGGTGAAAGAGGTGGAAGAGGTGGATGTGGAAGGAGGGAAGCAGGTGAGCTCGAAGAAACGTGATCTTTGGGGGCGGAGTGAGTTGAGCCTCAAGCGGGAGGCTGCTGCCTGCGTACTTTCCGTAGTAACCAGCAGTCACGGTACTCAAGTATACAACAGCATACGAGTATAGTATAGTATAGTATAGTATGCCAGTAGTAGTAGTAGTACTCATGATTACACTTCCATGACTCACATGACCTATACCTATACCTACACCTATATCTATATCCAACAACTCAGTTCGTGCAGTCAACGATGACTCCACTGCGGGGCTTATACTTGTGCACATGCTGCATAACTACTGGCTAGCTCCACCTACACCAGGTACAAGAAACCCTGGAAACAATAGGGCCTGAACCATTCAGAACCCACAATCGGGCGAACCGTGGTAGCTATCGTGCCCACTTCCAGCTCCTAGCCACATCTGGTGATGTGCTCATTGAGATGTCATGACGACAGAAGATAATTAGGTATATCTTGGCAAGAGACCTCCTCTTGGATCACTTCCCTTCACTTGAACGATCCCACAACCTCTATCATTATATCTATTTGTACCCAAGGATAACATTTGGAAAACAAGAAACTTCCAGAATGGCCGCCCTCACTGGAAATTCAATCATAGGACGTAAGCCGATGAAGTCCGTGCCCTCAACCTGGAACTTTCGCCACTCACTACTACTGATACAATATATCTTTCAAACAGATCCACCTCCATTGCCCTCATGAGCATCGTCGGTGTCGTCGGGGGAACCTGGGCAATGTCCAGACTGAGGGCGAATAGAGGCACTACGATGACCACAAGCGAAGATGTGGAAACATTCCAAGGTGGCAGCGCTCAAACCGACGTGGGAAACAAGACTGCCCGACCTCCACCTATATACCCGGTTCCGCGGGGTGGTTCGATCTAATTGGGAGAGAGTCTTTGGAATTAGGACGGCTGGGAGAACTAGTAGGAGAACTAGTGAACAATAGTCAGGAAGGGAGGAAATCATAACTGCTTTCGTGTACGATCAATCCTAGTGGCGTGTGTCTGTATGTATGGGCATAAAATACAAAATGGAAGCAATGCGCGCTCGTGGAAAGAAAAAAAAATCACATCAATCAGAAGTCCGCCCTCCTTTCTTTCCCTTGATATCTGTACAGGGTATTTGCGAATGTACAAAAAGTACTAGGACATACAAAACGATGAAAAAACGCAAGAATGAGAACAAAGTGAGCCCCGTTACGCTGATCGTGGTACATCATGATCGTTGTCGCCGTCATGGTCATACTCCTCCTTCCTCGGCGAGTATGAGAGACGACCATCACGGCCAATCCGGCTCTCCTCTGAGCCTGGTCGGCGCTTTTTCACATCTTTATCTTTCTTTTCGGCGCGCTTCTTCTTATCGCGTTGACGAAGCTCATCCACCCGAGGGCGACTTCCACTTCGACTCGACCCAGTCTTTCGAAGGTCCTTAACTTCCCTGATCACTTCGCGGAATCCCTCTTCAATATTATTCATTCGAGCCAGGACCAATTTACTAAGCATGTCTTGGGTTTGACTCGTCCCTTCCCGTCGGAGACCCCCCATTGCGAATGCCATTTGGGTGTTGAAGCTAGATGGTACAGCGCCAGCGTAAGCACCAACCACCGCCTTGTTGTCTCCCAGGTCAGAGCCCAGGCCAAATAGCAGAGACCGCTGAGGTCGAGCTGAGCCAGGGCGGTCCGAGACATAAAGGCTTTCGAGCTCTGGTACAGACATCTGGTTTAAACCCAGGGAGGCATTTCTAATACCAGCAGGGGCAGGGTGTCTCTTTATGGTGCCCTGGTCCACTGAGGTCGATACATGAGGCAGGCGACTGGGCTCATCATCAGAAGAATCTTGGTTAGGCCGGGTTGGAGTGGCCCGGCCTTCGGTGCCTTCGTTCGGTGACCCGAGGGGATTGTAGAGCATAGTGACTCCGGAAATGTTTCGGGAGTGCTTAGGCCGGCGGGTAGGGCTGCCACGGCGCGACAACAGTCTCGCGGTCGATGGCCGAGAGCTGTAGAATTTAGGCGTGGTCTTTTCACTGCTCCTCACTTCCTCCTCCACGTCACTGTTATTTTCTTTGTCGGAGTCTCCGCCGTCACTTGTAAGTTCGTCATCTCCTTCCATATCCGTGTGCTGGGAGAGCTGTCTTGTTCGGGTTGGGGACGCAGAATCTCTTCGTGGACGACTGAACGTAGGGCCAGCTACGTGGCTGGTTCTTTCCTCTGGATTGGAGGCCACCGAGCGAGTAGTCTCTGTAAAGTTGCGTCCACCCGCGGCGAGGGTCTTGCGGAATGGGAACCGCAGTCGACGGGTAGGCATTTCGAGAAGATCGGCCACGGAGTCCTGCTCATCGGGGGTATGAACTGGACCGGAACCAATCTCTTGCATCCAATCTTTGATCACGTTGTTGGTTTGCTGCTTGCGCCGGGGTCCGCGCAGCCGATCATCGCTTAACGGTCGTCGGAAAACCTCCTCCAATGCCTGGTCTTTCTGGTAGGTTGCAACAGAAGGCTCTCGAACCAGGCCCGGACCCCTGTTGCTGAATGCACGGAATCGACTTGGTCGCCAAGTTTGTGTGGGATCTGTTGGTCTTGTCTGGGGATTCGCATCGACCAGATCAGTTAATTCCACCACTTGGGAGCTAAGAATGGTTTTCTCGTAGAGACAGATTGTAAACAAGATCGGTAAATGGGTGATTTTGATGATTGTTCGATTAAGCCGGATAAATTCTCGAAATGGCATCACATATCGAAAAGGCGTAACTAACCACGCAATGATATTCGTCGGAGCAACGTAGGAGAAAAGTGCATCCGATTTAACCATGGAAATCGCGTTGACGGCAAACAAAAATTGGTGCTCCTGGTTGGCATTTTGAACGATTCTCATGAAGGAGTTGGTGAGAACTGTAATCAAGATGGTGACGACAACGAAATGACAAATGAAGAGGAAGAGTGTCAGGATGGTCCGCCCGAGAAGATTATAATCCTCCCACATCGCCCATGCCGTAGGCGTAAAGCCCATCAGCATTTGAAACAGTCCATATGCCACTGTATTGGGAGAATGATCGTTTCCAAATGACAAAAAAGCGACAAAGAATCCACTGCAGGCGATGATTATCAACACAAAGACTGCAATCAGGTCGGATGCCATAATACGAAACGCAATCAGCAGTTGCGAGAAGTATCGGTAATGATCGAGTATGGAAAATAGGCGAGGGAATAAAAGTACCGCATTGGCTGCCAACACATCATATGCCTGGTTGGCCACCTGCTGATTGCGAGGGTAAGTCAAAAATGAACCATAGACCCGTAGGCAGTAGTAGCAGAAGAACAAGAGTAAGATTCCCAAGTCGAAGAGATTCCAGAAGCTCATCAAGTACAAGCTAAACCCCTGCTCGTTAAATCCTACCACTTCATCAAGCATGAACCCTGTACTCCAAAACCAAAATACGACCTCTAGAGAAGTGATCGACCGGCTTCTGTCTTGCAATACTGCCAGGAACAGCCCTAGTAGCACAGCGAAAGAGAGAGTAGAGAGAAATTGCCGATATCGTGGGACTCGTAGTCGAGATAACTTGAACAGGGAAGCTTCGCGGGGGTTATATAATGTGACAGATCGGCGCGTCGCTGAATTCCCAAGTCCAGCTATCGGATTGCCATTCGGGTTTGCAGATGTCCCATAGTCTGGTCCAATAGCGGAATTCCCGCGACGATGTAAATGATCGGCCACCGAATGAAAGACAATGGTTCCAGCCCAAATGGCTTCCAATTGTTGAACAACCACGGGGTGGGCCAGGAACCGCTTCGCTTGGGCCCGAATGGCGACTTCGAGGCACGAAACCCGTCCGGACCCCACGACCCGTTTCCCTTGTGGACCGTGTGCCCACGCAGCCGATGGGTCCTGGCCCTGGAGGGGGTAGAATTCATAGGAGAGCGCGTCGATCAGCTCTCTCGTCGAGTATTCGCGGAGTAACTTAATCGCTAGTAGTTCGCTAACCATCGCCCGTGTTTGGCTAGCACCGCTGTTTCCCGGGTTGAGCTGTATTTCCTTCTCGAACTGAAGACAATTGGCCATGAGGGCATAGAGAGTGGCTCGCGAGAAGTGGGCGGACATGAGCTTTTGTTGAATGGGCTTGATCAAAAACTGCGACACCTGTGGTGACCGCAGCTGATCCCATGTCAAGGTCGTCTCACAGCGGGAGGCGATCAAGGGACGAATCGCATGGGTGATATCGTAGACCGGGAGGGAATCTATCGTGGCAATTGGTGGTCAGTTTCTGGAGATCTTTGAAAGGGAGGTTCAAGTTGAAAAAGAGGAGGGGGGGAAGAAGAACATACCTAGATGTGAGGCCGAGAATATTGGGAGAAGTGGTGTCGACTCCATGGGCCGCTCGTCCTCTTCCTCATTGTCATCTTGAATCCAATCGGCATCCTCGTCCTCGTCCAGGCTTTCTTCGTCTACATCGTGCAACTCGGGCGCATCGTAGTCGCGTCTGCGGCCACGGTTTGCGGCAGCTCGAAACCAGGGAGAAGTATTGTGATCGCTTGGCGTAAAGGGCGAGGCAAACGGGGACTCATCGATCTGGGTGCGACGTGGTTTCGGACGAAGCAGAGAAGCCAGCATCGTGGAGGGACAGGGAGTTTTCAGACGCGAACCCGCATGATAAGAAATATTTGGAAAGGTGTGAAGGCCTCGGGGTTGGTGGGGAGAGCAGTCGCGGGGATCACCCGGCAGATAGAAGAGCACGACCGGGGAAAGAGGCGCAAGGGCGAGTAAAAGCTCAAAATATCCGAGGTCGCGAGCGATTAACGCAGACCAGCGAGTCGGAGCTATCCTATAGGAGGGTACCCTCAAGCACCGCAAGCTATCGCGCATCTGGAGCGATCGGGGCCCCACACGTCATGGCGCAGACCACCTGACCACCTGACCGCTCGTGTCATTCCAAGATTCAAGATTCAAGTTCTTGTTGAAATTTGAATTTACGGTGTGTTCGGGGTTGACTATTGGTGGCATTTGAGTTTGAAATTCACTTTGTGCTAATTCAAAGGTTTGTTACACAAGTTGATCGGATGCTACTGGTAGTCCTAGTACTAGTACTACTAGCATCACATGCCCCGATGCGGCAACATATTTATACTCCGCCCCGGGGTGCAGTACTCATCTACTATATAGTACTCCAGGGCTTAAGTACCTCAACATCCACTCAGCCCCAGATGGCCTGGAAAACAGAAACCAGAGTACTAGTACTACATCTAACTAAGATTTTCTGCTGGTACCAGCACTAGATACCAATACTACTGCTAGTATTAGAGGAACTGACTCCGATCTGCACCTGGCGGCGCTGGTGCCCATGTGAAGGGCTAACCTTCAAGTTGGAAGTAGATTCTAGTAATTTGAACCTTGGAGTATATTAGTAGTAGTAGTACTACTAGTACTACTACTAGCTACTGGGCCATTGGAGTATACTACTAGTAGTACTAGTAGTATGTACTAACTAGTCCCCTGCCCGCTGCTGCAGCCGCGGGTTATCGGCCTTATCAATGCTCACCGCCTGCAGATGCCACTGCCCTGTGAGGCATGGTGGATGCAGGTGCAATTGGAATACCGTAGTACGAGTATATAGGATCTGTATTGGATAAATAAACTGCTCATTCAATATCTAACAGTCCAAACATCTCAAACATCTCAAACTGCCGTGCCGATCCTTCAATTCCCCCCATCAAATGACTCAATCGCTCCACTTTTCTGGGAAAATTTTCAAGGCGGTGAACACCCACCCACGCACCGCAACCGGTGGGGCCCGCGCTTGAACGAAAAATTTATTCTGCCAGCGCCCTCGCTCTTCTTTCTTCCTCCATACCTCAGCTCTTGCAGCTGCAATTCTACTCCAATTCCTCTCTCCCCCCCTCTTCTCCAAAAATACCCTCAAAAATATCCTGAATCTCTGTTGAAAAAGAAAAAAGAATCCATTGAAGTCGTGGATGCTGTACTAGAGTGACCTCGCGCTCGATCAGATCGTCCCCGAGAGGACTTGTCCCCCTCCCCTCTTTCTTCCCACACCAAAAAAGGACTTGTTGCCCATCATGGCTGACAACACCGGCGCTATCATTAAGCCCGCCTCTATCCCCGTCCGGGGTGGAACCGATCGCCTTGTGGCCCTCGAGTTGCAGGATGGCACTGTTTACCAGGGTTACAACTTCGGTGCCGAGAAGAGCATTGCCGGTGAATTGGTCTTCCAAACCGGTATGGTCGGTTACCCTGAGTCCATCACCGATCCTTCCTACCGTGGTCAGATCCTGGTTATCACTTTCCCTCTCGTGGGTAACTACGGTGTCCCCTCGCGGGAGCAGATCGACGACCTCCTCAAGCTGCCCTCCTACTTCGAGTCCAGCCAGATCCACGTCGCTGCGTTGGTGGTCGCAACCTATGCCGGAGAGGACTTCTCCCACTTCCTCGCGGAGTCATCCCTGGGCAAGTGGTTGAAGGAGGAGGGTGTCCCCGCCATGCACGGCGTTGACACTCGTGCGCTGACCAAGCGCCTTCGTCAAACCGGTAGCATGCTGGGCCGCATGCTGCTCCAGAAGCCCGACGTTGCCCAGGAGGTTGCCTCCGGCACTGACGCTGCTACCTGGAAGTCACACTTCGAGGAGATTGAGTGGGTGGACTGCAACACTAAGAACCTCGTCGCTGAGGGTAAGTCAATTCCCCATTCCAAAACCAATCATGAAGCCCGAAAACTCGGCTGTATTGGAATATTGTCTAATTGGATCTCTCTTCATTTACAGTCTCTATCCGTGAGCCCAAGCTTTACTCTCCCCCCGCAGATGTTGCTCTCAAGCACCCCTCGGGACGGAACGTCCGCGTTCTGTGCCTGGATGTTGGTATGAAATACAACCAGCTCCGCTGCCTGTTGACCCGTGGTGTTGAGGTCATGGTTGTTCCCTGGGACTACGACTTCCCCACCCTGGCAGGCAAGGACTACGATGGTCTGTTTGTCTCCAACGGACCCGGTGACCCCGCTACTCTCACAACCACTATCGACAACCTGGCCAAGACATTCAAGGATGCCCGCACACCTGTCTTCGGTATCTGTCTGGGTCACCAGCTGATTGCCCGCGCCGTCGGTGCTACAACCAGCAAGATGAAGTTCGGTAACCGTGGTCACAACATTCCCTGCACCAGCATGATCTCTGGCAAGTGCCACATCACCTCTCAAAACCACGGTTATGCTGTGGACGCCTCCAGCCTCCAGAATGGCTGGGAGGAGCTGTTTGTCAACGCCAACGATGGCAGCAACGAGGGTATCCGTCACACCACCCGTCCCTTCTTCAGTGTGCAATTCCACCCCGAGAGCACCCCTGGTCCTCGCGATACCGAGTACCTGTTTGATGTCTTCATCAACACCATCCAGAAGACCATTGCCTCTGCGGATGCGCTCACCAAGCCTGTCGAATTCCCCGGTGGCACCAAGGCTGAGAATGTCAAGGCTTCTCCCCGAGTTTACGTCAAGAAGGTTCTGGTCCTGGGATCCGGTGGTCTCAGCATTGGCCAGGCCGGAGAGTTCGATTACTCCGGTAGCCAGGCCATCAAGGCGCTGAAGGAAGAAGGAATCTACACGATCTTGATCAACCCCAACATTGCTACTATTCAGACCTCCAAAGGTCTCGCAGACAAGGTCTACTTCCTTCCCGTCAACGCCGACTTTGTGCGCAAGGTCATTAAGCACGAGCGCCCCGACGCCATCTACTGTACCTTTGGTGGCCAGACTGCTCTCTCAGTCGGTATCCAGCTCAAGGATGAGTTCGAGGGCCTGGGTGTCCAGGTTCTTGGTACTCCCATCGATACCATCATCACTACTGAGGACCGTGAGCTGTTTGCTCGCAGCATGGATTCGATCAACGAGAAGTGCGCTAAGTCTGCATCTGCATCCACTCTCGAGGAGTCTTTGCGCGTTGTCGAGGACATTGGTTTCCCCGTCATTGTTCGTGCCGCTTACGCCCTGGGTGGTCTCGGCTCTGGTTTCGCCGAGGACATGGACCAACTCAGGGAACTTTGCACCAAGGCTCTCGCTGTCAGTCCTCAAGTCCTTATCGAGCGCAGTATGAAGGGCTGGAAGGAAATCGAGTACGAAGTTGTTCGTGATTGCCAAGACAACTGTATCACTGTCTGTAACATGGAGAACTTCGATCCTCTCGGCATCCACACTGGTGACTCCATTGTCGTGGCTCCCTCCCAAACCCTCTCAGACGAGGACTACAATATGCTGCGAACCACTGCTGTTAATGTCATTCGTCACCTTGGTGTTGTCGGTGAATGTAACATCCAGTATGCCTTGAACCCGTTCTCCAAGGAATACTGCATTATCGAGGTTAATGCTCGTCTGTCCCGTTCTTCGGCCCTTGCCTCCAAGGCCACCGGTTACCCGCTTGCTTTCATCGCTGCTAAGCTGGGTCTCGGTATCCCCCTCAACGAGATCAAGAACTCCGTGACCAAGTCCACCTGTGCTTGCTTCGAGCCTTCCCTCGATTACTGTGTTGTGAAGATTCCCCGTTGGGATCTGAAGAAGTTCACTCGTGTCTCGACCCAGCTTGGTTCCTCCATGAAGTCTGTTGGTGAAGTCATGAGCATTGGTCGTACCTTTGAGGAGGCTATCCAAAAGGCCATCCGCTCCGTTGACTTCCACAACTACGGTTTCAACGAGACCGATGCCCTCATGTCGATTAAGGCCGAGCTCCAGACCCCCTCTGACCAGCGTCTGTTTGCCATCGCTAACGCTATGGCCGCTGGATACACCGTTGATGACATCTGGAAGCTGACCAATATTGATAAGTGGTTCTTGAGCCGTCTCAAGGGTCTGAGCAACTTCGGCAAGTCTCTCACTGCCTTCAACGCCAACAGCGTGCCTATCTCTATGATCCAACAGGCCAAGCAACTTGGTTTCTCTGATCGTCAGCTTGCCAAGTTCCTGAGCTCCAACGAACTGGCTGTGCGCCGTAAGCGTGTTGAGGCTGGTATTACACCCATTGTCAAGCAGATCGATACTGTTGCTGCTGAGTTCCCTGCCGTTACCAACTACCTTTACCTGACCTACAACGCCTCCGAGCACGACTTGAAGTTTGATGACCACGGTATTATGGTTCTTGGATCTGGTGTCTACCGTATTGGTTCCTCCGTTGAGTTCGACTGGTGCTCCGTCCGTACCATCCGCACCCTTCGTGAGCAGGGTCACAAGACTATCATGGTTAACTACAACCCTGAGACTGTCAGTACCGATTACGATGAGGCTGACCGCCTGTACTTCGAGAACATTAATCTGGAGACTGTTCTTGATATCTACCAGCTTGAGTCCTCTAGCGGTGTTGTCATCTCTATGGGTGGTCAGACTCCTAACAACATTGCTCTGCCGCTGCACCGCCTCAATGTTAACATCCTGGGCACCTCCCCTGAGATGATTGATGGCGCTGAGAACCGTTACAAGTTCTCGCGTATGCTGGACCGTATCGAGGTTGACCAGCCTGCCTGGAAGGAGCTTACCAGCATTGACGAGGCCCGGGGATTCTGTGACAAGGTCGGCTACCCTGTGTTGGTTCGCCCCTCTTATGTGCTTTCCGGTGCTGCTATGAACACCGTCTACTCTGAGCACGACCTGGCCAACTACCTCAACCAGGCTGCGGATGTGTCCCGTGACCACCCTGTCGTCATCACCAAGTACATCGAGAACGCCAAGGAGATTGAGATGGACGCTGTCGCCAAAAACGGTGTTATGGTTGGCCACTTCGTCTCTGAGCACGTCGAAAATGCCGGTGTGCACTCTGGTGACGCCACTCTTATCCTGCCTCCGCAGGATCTCAGCGCTGAGACTGTTGCCCGTATCGTGGAGGCCACTCGCAAGATCGGTAACGCTCTGAATGTCACTGGTCCTTACAACATTCAGTTCATCGCCAAGGACAATGACATCAAGGTCATTGAGTGCAACGTTCGTGCTTCGCGATCCTTCCCCTTCGTCTCAAAGGTCATGGGTGTCGACCTGATCGAGATGGCCACCAAGGCTATGATCGGTGCTCCTTTCCAGGAGTACCCCCCCCTGTCAGCGTTCCCAAGGACTACGTCGGTGTCAAGGTCCCGCAGTTCTCCTTCTCCCGTCTCTCGGGTGCTGATCCCGTTCTTGGTGTTGAGATGGCTTCGACCGGTGAGGTTGCTTCCTTCGGTCGTGACAAGTACGAGGCCTATCTCAAGGCTCTGCTTTCCACCGGATTCCGCCTGCCCAAGCGCAACATCCTCTTCTCCATCGGTTCCTACAAGGAGAAGCTTGAGATGCTGCCTGCCATCAAGAAGCTGCACAAGTTGGACTACAACCTGTTCGCTACCTCCGGTACTGCTGATTTCCTGAAGGAGAACGGTGTTCCCGTCAAGTACCTCGAGGTTCTGGCCGGCGAGGAGGATGACTTCAAGTCTGAGTACTCTTTGACCCAGCACTTGTCGAACAACCTCATCGATCTGTACATCAACTTGCCTTCCAACAACCGCTTCCGCCGTCCTGCCAACTACATGTCCAAGGGTTACCGTACTCGTCGTATGGCCGTTGACTACCAGACTCCTCTGGTCACCAACGTCAAGAACGCCAAGATCCTGATTGAGGCCATCGCTCGCCACTACCCCCTGGACATCCAGACCTCTGATTTCCAGACTAGCCACCGTACCGTGGTCCTGCCTGGTCTGATCAACATCGCCGCCTTTGTTCCTGGCCTTGTCACCCCTGGCTCCAAGGACTTTGAGAATGTCACCAAGGCCTCGATTGCTGCCGGTTTCTCCATGGTCCGTGTCATGCCCGTCGGTGTTGACAGCTCGGTCACCCAGGCCACCGATCTGAAGATCGTTCAACAGAACGCCCAGGACAAGTCCTACTGTGACTTTAACGTCTCGGTTGCCGCTACCGCTACCAACTCTGACCAGATCACGCAGGTGACTGGCGAGGTTGGCTCCCTTTTTCGTTCCGTTCAACCACCTCTCTGGTAACATCAACAAGGTGGCTACTGTGACCAACCACTTCGGTTCTTGGCCTTCCAATAAGCCTCTGATCACTGATGCTAAGGGAACTGATCTGGCTTCGATCTTGCTGCTCGCTAGCCTGCACAGCCGCAACATCCACGTCATGAGCGTGACCTCCAAGGAGGATATCAGCCTCATTGCGCTCAGCAAGGAGAAGGGCCTCAAGGTGACCTGCGATGTGTCTATCTTCTGCCTCTTCCTTTCCCGCGAGGACTTCCCGGAGTGTGCCTCCCTACCCTCTGCCGAGGACCAGAAGGCTCTCTGGGATCATATGAGCACCATCGATGTTTACTCGATTGGCAGTATCCCTTACCAGCTAGCTGGCAAGGAGGCTTCTCCCGCTGTCGGCATTGCCGAGTCCCTTCCCCTGCTCTTCACTGCTGTCGCTGAGGGTCGCCTTACCGTTGAGGACATCACTGCTCGCCTCTACGAGAACCCCAAGAAGATCTTCGAGCTGCACGATCAGCCCGATACCTCTCTTGAGATTGAGATTGACCGCCCTTACCTGTACCAGAGCGCCGATGCTTGGTCGCCTTTCAGCGGCAAGGTGATGCGCGGATCTGTCCAGCGTGTCACTTTCCAGGGCAAGACTTCTTGCCTGGACCGTGCGATCACCTCCGATGCCATCAAGGGTACTGACATGTCTTCTCACCGCATCGTCCCTACCTCGCCCGTGCAGAAGCCTACCACTCCCATGGTTCGCCCCGAGAGCTCCCTTGACCGTCACGTTTCCGTCTCCGGTACTCCTGGCCGTCGTTTCCGTGGCGAGGTCAACGTTCCCTCTATTGGCGAGCTTGGCCCTCCTCTGTACCCCTCGGCCCCGGTCTCTTCCTCGCTGTATGAGATGCTGTCGCGCTCCCCCTTCCGTGGCAAGCACGTGTTGTCCGTGAACCAGTTCACTCGCGCGGACCTCCACCTGCTTTTCACTGTCGCCCAGGAGATGCGTCTCGGTGTTCAGCGCCAGGGTGTCCTTGATATCCTCAAGGGCCGTGTCCTCGCTACCCTGTTCTACGAGCCCTCTACCCGCACCTCGGCCTCCTTCGATGCCGCCATGCAGCGCCTAGGTGGACGTGTCATTCCCATCTCTACCGAGCACTCCTCGACCCAGAAGGGTGAGACCCTGCAGGATACCATCCGTACCCTGGGCTGCTACGGTGATGCCGTGGTTCTGCGCCACCCCGACCCCAAGAGCACCGAAGTTGCGGCCAAGTTCTCCCCGGTCCCCATCATCAACGGCGGCAACGGTTCCGTCGAGCACCCTACCCAGGCTTTCCTGGACCTCTTCACCATCCGTGAGGAGCTGGGTACTGTCACCGGCCTGACTATCACCTTCACTGGTGACCTCAAGTACGGCCGCCCCGTGCACTCCTTGATCAAGCTGCTTCAGTTCTACGATGTCCGTGTCCAGCTCGTCTCCCCCAAGGAGCTTGCTCTGCCCGAGGATGTCCGCCAGCAGATCAAGGCCTCCGGCCAGCTCATCGGCGAGTACGAAGAGCTCACTCCCGAGATTGTCGCTCGCTCCGATGTCCTGTACTCTACCCGTGTGCAGAAGGAGCGCTTCGCCGACCTCTCCCAGTACGAGCGTCTGAAGAACAGCCTTGTCATCGACAATGCTCTGCTCAAGCACGCCAAGAGCCACATGGTTGTCATGCACCCTCTGCCCCGGAACGCCGAGATCGCCGAGGAGGTCGATTTCGACCAGCGGGCCGCTTACTTCCGCCAGGTATGTTCCAACTCCCAATCCCCTCTTTGTAATGAATGACTGCTAATATATCTCACAGATGAGATATGGCTTGTACTGCCGCATGGCGCTGCTGGCCCTGGTCTTGGCTCACTAAATTTCTTCTCCTTCCATTATACTCCCACCCTGAGACCGGGATTCCTCAAAAGCGCGCCGTCGATTTTTACGCATGTCATGTCTTTCATTTTACCTGTTCTGTTCTGCTCTTTTTTCTTTGGAAAATTTCTGCCAACGTTCTGTCTGGATATCATTCGTAGGTGCAGCTACCTCGATAGAACGTCGCGAGCTGTGTATAGATTAGACAATCTCCGTTTCCTTTCAAGAACCTGATCACCCCTCGTTCTGTGTATGTTGTATATTATGTGTCATCTACGTGTTTTACGTGTTACGTGTTATGTGTTATGTTTATGTGTGTGTCGTGTGTTTTTGGCGTGCGTTGCGTTCGGTCTGTTTTTTGGTTGGCGTTTTCTTTTTTGGGTTGGGTTGGGGTTCCGGTGGATATTTCATTTTTCACAGCATTTGGCATTTTATATGCCAACAACTTGAAAAAATACTACTTCTGGTCATTGAAAAGAATTTTCATGTAAATTCTAATGTAATTTGCAAAAAGAAAATCACATATTTTGCTATTCATGCTCTGTTTTTGGTGCAAGAATGTTCTGCATTTAGAGCTGGTGGAGACATTTTTATCTGGAAGGCGGCGCTGTGGTTGGCTGGAAAGTTAGGGAACCATGGGAATGGGCTTACTTGATTCGGTCAATTCAATCAGTTCGAGTTCGCTTCTTGACAACATACAATAGAAAGATTCAAGGTGCCGATGAGAATTTGGGGCAGTCAAGTATTATCTTGATCTATCCTGAAGTCCATTGCGAGCTTAGACTATCACAGATATCCACCCTCTTTTTCACTGAAGGTATGATCTATTTCGACGTTCAACCACTGGCTGTGGTCTATTATCTTATTCTTGATTTTATGACCTAGTAGTATATCTAATTTCTGTCTATGCAAGGTCCAATTGGTATTTCTAGCTTCAGATAGCATGTAAGATGCCAATATATTGTATACTATAGTTTTGGGGGAAACTGTCCCCGCCCGATGGTGTGATCTCCCGCCGCGATTGTTCATTACACTCGCGTCTTCACTGGCCAATCCGTGCAATAATAGATGTCAAACAGAACGTCATTCGCCGCCTCCACAAAAGTCCGTACCCTTTCTCGGCCGGGTCAGGGGGCATGAATATGATGCAATCCCTGGAACACGAAGTTTGCGCGTGGTCCGCGGAGTAAATACAGTATGAGGTGCTTTCTGGGATTTTTAGGTTTGGCACACTAATAACACTGGGCCTTTTCTGCACGTCTCAAGTTTGTGCCACTTTCCTGAGACTGGGAATCTTTCAGAAAACTGAATCCTTCCTGTCAGGCTACTGTCGTCATCATGTCAACCTCGGTTGAAAAGAATGATGAGTCTGTTGTTAGTGGCACAAAGGATGATGCAGCATCGCCTTCCTCTAGTAGCCTAGGAGAGGGTACCGGCATTGACGAGAAGAAATTGCTACGGAAGTTAGACTATCGCCTTCTTCCTCCGTTGATTCTGCTTTATCTTCTTTCCTTCCTAGATAGAAGCAATGGTGTGTGATACCTAAGTGAATATTCTGTTGTGGAAACCAATTCTGACTTGTATTTAATGCAGTTGGCAATGCTAGGCTCGAAGGAATGACCGACGACATCAAGATGTGTATGGTGTCTCCATTTCATATCAAAAATAAATACCCCTGAAGGAAGCCATCTAACCTTTCTATACAGCGGGAGACCAATACCTCACTGGGTTGACCTTGTACTTCATTGGCTACGTCCTTTTCGAGATTCCAGCCAACGTTGTCCTCAAAATGACCACCCCGAGAATCTGGCTACCCACGCTCACTCTTGTCTGGGGTATTGTTGCAACATTACTCGGAGTCGTTCAGAATTACTCAGGGTATCTCTCCTCGCGATTCTTCCTGGGTGTAGCAGAGAGTGGTCTTTTCCCTGGGGTGGTCTTTTACCTTTCCATGTGGTACAAACGAAACGAGCAGCACTATCGCGTTGCATTGTTCTTCAGCGCAGCCAGTCTTGCGGGTGCTTTTGGTGGTATATTGGCATGGGTAAGCTTGTTCACAAAAATTCCGAAGGTGAATTATAAGAGTAATTGTTCGCACAGGGAATCGCACACATGAAAGGCGTCGGCGGATACAATGGATGGAGATGGATTTTTATATTAGAAGGCCTTCTCACAGTCATAGTGTCTATCACTGCCTACTTTTGGGTTTACAACTACCCAGACACCGCCGAGTTCCTCACCGAAGAGGAGCGCGAATTCATTCAATTTCGCCTTAAGAATGATAGCGATGCTACGCGAGATGAAGAATTTACCTGGTCAGCCGTGTTGGATGCGTTTAAAGACCCCAAGACCTGGCTCTATGGTCTCGGTTTCCATACAATGAGTCTACCACTATATACGCTTTCTCTTTTCCTGGTAAGTCAAGAAAAAGAGACGGTTCCGTTCTGATGCTTGATCGAGTGCTCATACTGGTATAGCCTACCATTATCAAGGAGCTGGGATATTCCGCCGCTCAGGCACAGCTGCTCAGTGTACCTCCTTACGCCGTGGCTTTCTGCACTACTATCGGCGTTGCCATTTTATCGGAACGACTACGTCTTCGTGCCCCTTTTATTATGGGATCGTCGGCTGTGGCTTGCATTGGGTATATTCTTCTGATTTCGCAACACCGGCCTGGAGTGTCGTATCTCGGTACTATTTTTGCCGCGGCGGGTATCTATCCAGCAGTCGCCATTGTCCTCTCATGGCCTGCAAATAACGTCTCAGGTCAAACGAAGCGGTGCATTGCCAACGCTATGCAGATTTCGATTGGAAACCTGGGAGCTGTCCTTGGAACGCAACTGTATCGAACCGAAACTAGCCCTCGGTACTTTCTTGGACATGGCTTCGCCCTGGGATATCTTGTCGCCAATATCATTGTCGTAGGAATTCTGTGGAAAGTGCTCCAAAAAGAAAATGTTGAAAAGGAACGCCTACGTGAGGCACAGGGACTTCGGCCTTTGATGGGTGATATTGGTGATGCCGATGGAGATTTCCTAGGCGACAAGGATCCACGATGGATTTTTCAAACCTGAGCAACCTGCATGAATCTAAGAGGTCCAAGACACTGCATACTAGGCCTTGTGGGGACGAATCTATCATGTCATCATCCTCTATTCACTGTTGTCTATTTACATCTAAGTCTCTTGCATCAAAAATAATCTATGAAATTTCCGGCCAGAGCTTCTGTACCAGAATCTTCTTGTTGATCTTGCCCATAGCGTTGCGTTCTATACCACTGACCACTTTCAGAACGGTAGGGACCTTGTAAGCAGCCATATCTTGTTTGAGTTCTGATCGCAGTGCTGGAAGCTCAAGAGGTGTCGTCTATGTGGTGTGTTAATTAAGTCCAAATAATATTTTCAGAGGGCGACAAGGGCAAACTTACTCCATCGCGAAACTTGACCACAGCGGCGACCCTCTGGCCCCATTCTTGGTCGGCCAATCCAACGACTGCCACTTCTTGAATTGTATCCAAAGCCAACATTTTACGTTCAACCTCGAGTGCGGAGATCTTGTATCCTCCTGATTTGATAATATCGACAGAGGCTCGTCCCTGGATGAAGTATGCACCGGTGACATCTCGTTTGGCGACATCACCAGTTTTGAACCATCCATCCAACGTAAATTCGGAAGATGTAGCCTCCGGCTTTCGCCAATATTCAATAAAGACATTACCGCCCTTGATTTCAATCATTCCCTCCTCATCGTGTGCATCGACAGTGCTGCCGTCCTTGGTCAATCGAACTTCGACGCCAGGCAAAGGCCAGCCAACGCTGCCATCAATACGTTTTTCCACTTCAAGTCCACAACTCAAAGCCATGCCAATTTCTGTCATGCCATACCTCTCCAGCAGAGTTTGTCCCGATATTTCTGCAAACTTCGCTTTGATGGGTGTGGGCAGAGCAGCAGAACCTGACACGATCAATCGCAAAGCTTGTGCTCCGGCGCGAGCCGCGTCCTCCTTATCTGTGCCACGAATGTTTGCATCGAAATAGTCGTTCAAGCGAGAGTAGATTGTCGGCACTGCGAAAAACATGGTCGAGGAGTCGCGATCCTGCCAGCGATTCCAGATCTCGGCGGGGTCAAATTTCGGTCTCATCTCGACAGTAGTACCGCTCAGAAGACTGGCAACCAATCCATTTACAATGCCGTGAATATGGTGAAGGGGCAAGACGTGGATCAGGTAGTCCGAGGGCGAGTATTTCCAAGCTTTGACCAAGGAGCTCGCTTGGAAGGTGATGTTTTCGTGGGTGGTTACGCAGCCCTTGGGCCTGGAAGTCGTTCCTGATGTATAGATCATGAGTGCTCGGCGGGTCACCGGGAAAGAAGGCGAGAAAGAGGGTAGCGAGGGCTTCTCATTTCGGCTCAATGGATCAAGACCCATGAAAGGGATATCTGTCGAGCATCCCTCACGCAGTCCTGGGGCAATTTTCTCGAATGCGGGGTGGATGATGACCAGCGACGGGTCTGAGTCTTCAATCACATACAGCAACTCAGCAACAGGGTGAGATGTACACAGCGGCACCGCAATGCCTCCTGCAGCCCAAGTGGCCCATTGAGTCACTACGTAATCATATCCGGTCGCGAGGAAGGCAATGCGACGCTCCTCCAAGTCTGAGACCCCGAGTTGTTCGAGAATGCCTTTCCTTAGGGCAGCGACGTCCTCCAAAAGCTGGGTAAAGGTGAATGACTGCTGCTTCACCGAGTCAACGACGGCAATCTTCTGAGGATCACTCTTCGCATGTTGCTGTGCGGCCACGAAAATTGGTAACTCAGGGATCGGCATGATCGTGTCTTATCGGACCGAGGAGCGGGGGGTTGATGAGGGTTGAAAGGGGAGAAGGGGTAGAGCGATGGGAGAAAGGATGGAGTGGATATTGCGACTCTTGGGGAAGAGTAATCGGTAACGAATGATCATCGAGTAACGTGAATGCTCAGGTTTGACTTGGCCAGAATGAATTGCACTGGTTCAAGGGGGCCCGGCCTCCAGATTTACTCCGATCGGCATCGCATTTGGATGCCGAGGCCTAACGTGGGGCAAATTCAATGCAGGGCTGAAGAATGTTCAGCCGGTAGCAGCGTAGATAGTAGAGAGGTGCAAAGGAACAGTGCAGGAGCCTGCAAATCTTTTACCAATACTAATATATTGTGGCTGGGATCGCTCTGTAGCTGCAGTAGTTCATCTATTCTACTTGGCCAAACGTCTACTCAGACCACTGTGAGCTTCTTTCCAAGAGGAATCACTATTGAAAACACAGACTCTAACAGATAGAGCATCATTCGAAGTTCACAAGAGTGATGCATGTTAAATTTGAAGAACCAGCCCTGGAGTATAAGAATTTACTCCGCATCCTGGTCAAAGACTTCGTGGGGAAGTGTAGTACCTAGATACAGTATATAACTAGCATGAGCCGCAAAGTTATTGAAAGCCCAGTGTTATCACCCGAAAACTAATGCCCTAACTTCAATGCTTTCCCTCCCCTTCACAACAGTTCCCTCGGGGGGATACGAAAATGCCGTATGCGCCACTCTCTTTGCCACTCCGGTCTGACTGTCAAAGCATTTGAGGAGAACTCGCTCATGATTGTCCAATCCGGAACAATACTTCCACTCTGCATTAGGATTATATTTCACCCCCAGGATCTCCCCATTGAAGGATGGATAGCGATGCTCAATCTTCACATAGTCCGATTCCGGTGTAGTAGATGCAGAAGCAAATGCCAAAGGTGACGATTCCACTTTGCCGTTGATGGGCCGCCAAACATTGATGATTCTGTAGCGACCTCGTAGATATTCTTCTGCCTGTGACGCATTTGACGCATGTCGGCGTACTCTTAGCTCCGCAGATCGTGCTGTTTGATCAGCATGGACTTGATTGACTGGCCGGCGTGCGGCATTGGGATTCGATCGTCGGATAGTATAATCGAAGAGAACAATGGATTTAGCGTCAGGGACATATTTCAAGAGCAAATTTTCAACTTCCGGATAGTAAAGCCGCCGGATCTCTTCGTCGCTATCGAATGTCTCATAACTGGAGGATGATTCAATCCCACCCACTATTTCGAATGCGTCGCGATCTAGTGAGAAATGATGTTCATTTCCCCGAATATCAGATATCGCGACCGTCTGAAAGTTGTCGCCGTAATTCCGACGAGGCTCTCCTTCTGGTGGATCTTCCACATAGTTGAAAGGTTCAGACTTATCGATAGGATCCTGGAAGAAGGCCAACTTCGCTCCAATGGGAAGGTGCTTGGATGATAACATAGTAATACTGGAGTTTGACTGGTGAATTGACAGTTCAGGTTAAAATATCAATATAGTCTAACTTTCTCGAGAATGAAGGGCACCTTGGAGTGTGGATTATTCATTGTTGAAATAAAAATGCTTTACGTAGTATTTGAATAATCACACCGGCATTTGAAATGCTAAAAACACAGTCAGCCAATGATCAAAGGCCGAACAAGTATCTTCAAGTACGGGTTGGCCGTGATTAATCCAACCACTGTCACAAACTTGAAACTGATATCATCTTTTTAACAAGAAGAAAAAAGGTCACCTATCGCAACATTTTCCCGATCTAACAATATACATTATCCGATCAGCTATCAATAAATCCGGCTAGCCAACGATTAAGGACCGAACAGATAACTATCTTCAAATACGACTACTGGGAGTATAAGGCTTTAAACTATGCTTAGCAAGGAGAAAACCCATTGTTTCATGTTCACCTACTTGGAAATATGAGGAAGTATATTGCAAGGCCTCTTGGTATCGACGTGTATACATTATTCACGGTCATACTAAGTAAACTTTTAATAATCACTGGCAGTGGATTGATCTATTGGGATTTTGACGCTAATTAATACAGTGAAGCAACATGTTTTAGACGCTTTTTGGTATCCTCTCGTATCGAATCAACAATATCAGCAGCATTTTCCAGCGCATTAATCATGCCCACGCCCGTACCAGCCCATAAACTTCCCATATCCTGGACATCAAGACTTTGCCCACCAGGCCCATTCATAGTCTCAGACAGCCAAGCTCGAATACTGTTGATGTCTTTTCCCCTGGTGTACATTTCATAGAATTTATTCCTTAGGCATCGACCATCATAAGTCGTAGGCCAGAAATTGGGGCCCCAGATTTCATCGAAGACGCGAGATCGCGCTGTAGACTGACCGCCATCAGAGACACTGAATATAGCATCGCGATAGATCTGAGGAATGTGGGACTCGGCAGCTCCAAGGAACCGTGTTCCCATCACTACCCCCGAAGCACCTAGAGTAAGTGCTGCAGCGGTTGCTCTTCCATCCATGATTCCACCCGCGGCGATCAAGGGAATATCGATTTCCAGCTTCTGAAGTGCGTCCGCAGTCTCAGGGATAAGAGGAATGATGCTCGCTCCGTCTTGATGTCCGTGGCCCCCGGCGTCACTTCCTTGAAGGACCAATGCATCGGGATGGCAAGCCTGAGCTACATCCACCGCGGCCTGCACACTTCCGAGCTGAACCCAAATGCCGGTCTTGGGTGAAACTTTCCGAATACTCTCCGTCCAAGTTTTCATTTCGCTCGTTCCAGCGAAGGAAAGCCATGCAACGGCGGGCTTGTATGTTGCAAATAGCCGCATCCATGCATCGATTGGAGATCCAAATACAATTACTCCCAGCCCGATCGGCAATTGTTCTGGATCAGGAAGGGTGGCTATGATATCGTTTAGCTCTTTCCTTGTAGAGTCTAGCTCTTTGGACAAAGCGTGCATGTCGTCTAGATATCCGATTTGGCCCAGGCCACCCGCACGAGTGACTGCTGTCGCTAATTCACTTGTGGCCACGCCACTCATGGGGGCATTGGCGATGAGAGGAGTCTGTATCCATGGGAGCCGAGTCTTCAATGTACTAGTAGCGAAAGTAGACATTTCCAAGGCTGCTTCTTGATGATTTGGGGAAAATAAAAGTGGGGGATTGCTTTTAATACTTACCTACAAGGTTCAAGTTCAAGTTGGTTGGTCGCAGACCAAACGCCGAGTGCCAACAGGGTGGTTGGCTCGGTGATTGATCAAATTTTGGTGGAGCTTTGGAGACTTGGAATCAAACTTGAAATGGGACGGTGAAAATGGACCCCGGGGACCTTGGAAGTCGATGCTCAGGTGGTTTTACTTGAAACCTTAGTAGTACTACCTAAGTACTACTGGTAGTAGTAAACTTGAGATCTATCATTGAACTGTCACGATGACATGGATACCTATATTGTGGAACTTGAAATTGAAACCGACTACCTAGGTACGTCTGAGCACACATCAGACAAGACACAATTTATATTGCTCCGCTAATATATTTGCCGTCCTTAAATAATTGCCGGCGCGTTAGGAGTAGCTATCATCTTATCTGGTTGAACAACTCGTGAAGCATCCTCCCCATCTTCCAAGCCTCGCGCGACGAGATCAGTAAAGTCAACGCCCACTGCCGTCAGTAGTGCAGCGTGTTCATGGACTATATCAAGGCATTTCTGCCATACCGAGGTGCCGCGCTGAACACTACTCAGCTGGCGACCTAGCAGGCCGTTGAACCCATCCAGATGGTGTTTGGCCCAACGAATGCAGGAACTGCTCATCACGCCAGAGAAGCACTGTTGGTAGACAGCAATGGTGTTTTTGATGAGAGAGAAATAAACGTAAGATATCTGGAAGATATAAAGGGGGAGATCTCCCTCGAATACACACGCCCTGTTGTGATGGTTAGGAAAATGCACGGGGTAATTATTCAGAATGGATTGAGACTTACCGGATACGTTTCGCAATGACATCAGTCCGTGCCTTCAAGTATGTCTGGCGGGCCTGGTCTTCAAATCCAAGACGGCTTAGCCAGCCCACGTTAGTCTTGGTAGCAGTTGGGAATGATTGACTATCCACTAGGGCGCGTGAAAGCATGCCGGCCAATCGCGTGGCACGTCCATCCACCTTGGCATTGATCACATCTTGTGCAATCGCATTGCCCTTGAGGCCCTTGGCTAGTTTGCGCAACCGCTCAATGGTCGAGACAGCCTCCTCAAACCGCTGCAGGGCAATATCGATGTCCAACTCGTCCACTTGTCCCTCCACCCAACGAAGGTTTTGCTGCTTGCCGTCGACGTCGATTCGCAACTCGGATTTGTCGCGAGGCAGATCGGAGATGTCAAGCGGCTCTGTCTTCTGGGAATACGATACGTGTCGTCCTGAGAGGTAGCCGTATGCCTCCAGAGGTTTACTAGCAGCCTCAGTCTCGGAGCGCAAGGTTCGACGCAGGTCTTCGACCGTCTTGCGGAAAGTCGCGAGTAATTCGTTTTTAGTCGATGTGTCGCGCTTGTCTTGACGATAAGTAAAAGGCTTCGAGCCCACACGGACACTGATGGCATTTCCGATGCCCCGATCGAGTGCCTCTTCTCGGGCGGCACCGGTACCCAGGTTGGCGGCGAGATCGATCATATCAATGTCTTGCAGAGGCCAACATTCCTCTGCGACCAGCTTGGTCGGAACGGGGCCGCGTTGATTGGGGTGGGTTTGGTCGACACGCTTGCGTTTTTTTGCCGCGACTAGGAGGTGATCGTTCAACAGCACGATATGGACAGGCCGTTTCGGTTTCCAGGTAGCCGAGTCCAGCTCAGCCCAATGGCCCGTCTCCAACACGATATGTCTCCCGGGAACCGCCGGCAGGAACTTTTGCGAACCCTCGACTGTCTTCCAGAGGGTCTGCAGCTGGACGCTCCACATGCTTTCTAGATTGGCGACGGAGCTGCGATTCGAATGGCGTTTGGGGAAGTGATCATCGACCGGAGACATTGGATTAGGGCTGTTGCCGACATTGGTCTGTCCTAGGGCGGTGGTGAGCTCGGACATGAGAGTGCGTAGGGTGCGCATTTCATCCTTGAGCTTCTCGGCCTCTCGACTGATCTTGATGAACTGGGTGCGGTTCTGGTAGACATTTTGCTGTAGGTCGGTGGATGTGCGGTTTTTGACTTTGCGGAGGCTTTCTTGGTATTTTTGAATCTCTTCTTCTGACGCGTTGGCTAGGATGTTGGTTACGTCTGGAGGGGATTACACGTCAGCATTGGATGTAGCACGAAAGGGGAGATGAAAGGAGGGAATTGAAGGGCATACATCGTTCAACGGGGGAGACCTGGGTCTCGCAAGGCGTTGAGGTCGACCCTGGGTGCTGGGGCGGCTCCATCTGCTGGGGATGGTTGGCGCGAGATGGCCGATGGGGCGGCCAGCCCTCCGTAACCACCGCCTGGGACGGGAGGCGGCAGGGCAGGGACCGGGGGAGCGTTGGCATCGAAATCGGGAGCAGCATTGAATCTGGTCGAGTAGCGTCGCTTGACGAGATCGGAGGTGGCGCCGCTCTGGGGAGCTCGATCGTGGTTGGGGATAGCGGCCTGGCCGACCTCGGGGGCTCTGGTAGTGGCGGGCAAGGGGCCAGAGATGGGTTTGGGGGCACTGATCTGCGGGCGGCGACGGCGAGATTTGCTGCGCAGGGTTAAACCGCGACCTTCCATGGTGGTTGGGTGGGGTGGGATGGGGAGAGAAGGGGGGGTGAGGTGGAGGGGAGGAAGTTGGGAGTGGATGGAGATGGAGGAGACCGGGGTATACAGTACTCTTGGTCCAGTAGTAAGTTAGTATGGTACTATTACTAGTACCACCACTTATTATCTGATGGAATAGCTTGTATTACTAGAGTTATAATATGAATAGCAAAGTTTGTTATATAGTAAATCTATGCTAAATATACCAATTCAAGATTTCTAGCTGATCACTCCAAAGGCTACTTGTTCTTGCTGGCCTTGGCATCCCTGGGCAGCACCGGCAGCTACCATAGTATAGTATAGTATACTAGTATACTTCAAGCTTGGATGCTAGTATTACTCACATAATTTTATAACATAGAGTGCAATACTTAGTATACCAACACTCTATATCCTTAATTGACCCTACTTTGCTCTATAATTTAGTATACAAGATACTACTATACGATGTTCTGCTACTCTGCTGCCTCCTCTGACGTCTACTCTCACGTGACCATCAAAATTGTGTTCCTCTCCAGTTCGACTTCGGTCAACCCATCCAACTCCGTCCACACCTCAACTTCATTTGATTTGATCCTTGGATTTTCAACTTCCCCTTCTTCCTCCTATCCCCCCCCCTCATCCCTCTTTTCCTCCTCCACATTCCCTTCATATCCTTCATTATGCGCACATCCGCTCTCGTTGCCGTGTCGGCTGGCACCGTCATCACCGGTCTGCTCGGTAAGAACCCATCGGAATCCGACCTATCCTTAACTTGCCTGTCTGGCCTGTCTCGCCCGTCCCATCAAACTAATCATTCACTCTCCCAAACTTTAGCCTATGCTGCCTACTTCGACTACAAGCGCCAGTCCGACCCCGAGTTCCGCAAATCCCTGAAGCGCGACAACCGCAAGCTCGCCAAGGCTGTCAAGCAGGAGGCAGAGGCCCACGGCGCCGCCCAGCGCGAGTCCATCAAGGCCGCCATTCAGAGCGTCAAGGCCGAGGGTTTCCCCACCGACTTGGAGGAGAAGGAGTCCTACTTCATGAACCAAGTCGCCAAGGGCGAGGGACTGTGCTCCGAAGGTACGTGTTTGGTCCACAAAGTCGCGCCCGGACGCCGCGGAGGTCCTCGGCAGATGAGAAAGGCTAACATTGACATTTTTTTTTCCCGAATACACAGGTGACAACCAGATCGAGGCTGCCATTGCTTTCTACAAGGCCCTCAAGGTCTACCCCCAGCCCAAGGATCTGATCTCCATCTACGACAAGACTGTCCCCAAGGAGGTTCTTGAGATCCTCGCCGAGATGGTCGCCATGGATGCCAGCTTGAACCTGGGTGGTACCTTCACCGGTGGCTCTGACGCTGACGCTGCTCCCAGCGCCGACAACCACGGTGTTGAGTAAATGCGATCGTGACAAGAAAAGAAAAAGCCACTCGAGCTTCAGCCCAGCCGGAGTCCAGTCTCCAGTTCAAGATTGAAGCTCGGTGGCCTGTATTTGTTTCCCCTTCTCTCCTACCTCTCCCACCTCTCCCTCTCATCCTCCTCCTCCATCTTCATCATTCATATCCCTCCTGACCTGCTCCGCCACTCCCCACTCCCCACTATTTCCAATTCCTCTTCTTCTTTTTCTGGACTGTGTATATGTATTGGGTCTTGGCCAGCGCCGCGGAGTGGCCTCGGAGCCTTGGTATTTCTGGGCGTGACTTGTTCCGCGATTGCGCCCCTGACTTTTATTACTTTTTCTTTTTTTTCTTCTCTTTCTTATTGTTTGCTTCATAGCATCTGTGGACCAGGGAGAAGGATGTGATGATGCCAAAGGGCAGAGTGTATGTGTACTTTAGAGCGAATGAAAGGCCCCAATGAATTTAGAGTGCGCCCTGCTTGGGTATGTTCCATATTTGATGACTTCATGAGGGTCCTAGAGGGTCCTTGGGGGGTCCTGAGGGTTCCTGGTCAAAATAATGAATCCTGACTGGCTCTGATCTCTTTGAATTCCCCACATCGCGCAGTTTGGGGGTTTCTTCAATCTTTCCCCCCCACTCGCGATCCCTTTTTATTTCTTGCTTCCCTCTATAATTTGGGCTAATCTCCCTTTCCCTTTTTCTTCTCTTCAATCGTTCCTTCCTGCGCTCGTCGCACTGTCATTCTTTAGGAAAAAAAGGAGAGAGAAAAGCGAAAGAAACCAGCCCGTGTTTAACAACTTCGCTCATTTGGCCCCCGATCGTCAAGATGATTGCCGTACGTGTTTGATTCCTGCAGAGCTTGGCTTTCTACCAAACTCGATCGCTCCCTGGTCGGGTAGTGATTGTCATCAGAAGACTAAAATCGACTAATTCGGCATTATCTCGCAGTCTTATAGTCGCATCTTCACAGCCCTTTGTGCTCTGGCTAGCACCGCGGCCGCTGTGACCCCCCCTCAAGGTTGATGGAAAGGATTTCGTCAACAGCGACACTGGAGACCGTTTCCAGATCATCGGTATCGAGTAAGACTACCCTGGCCGTCTTTCTCAGCTTTGCGCCAGGGTATGTATTGACTTTCTGGACAGTTATCAACCCGGTGGTCAGTCCGGCTTCTCTACCAAGAAGGACCCCCTGAGTGACCCCGACACTTGTCTGCGTGATGCTGCCCTCATGCAGCGCCTGGGTGTAAGTCCTCAACTTGAAATCGATCTCTGGAAATGCGCTACGATAACCGGTATGCGCTCAATTCTGATCGATGCTGATGATCCCATGTAGATCAACACCATCCGTGTATACAACCTGGAGCCCTCGCTCAACCACGACAAGTGTGTCTCTTACTTCAACGGTGCCGGTATCTATATCATTCTGGATGTCAACTCGCCCCTTGACAATGGCTCTCTCAACCGTGGCGAGCCCTGGACCTCGTACAACCCCGTCTACTTCCAGCAGGTCTTCGGTATCATCGAGGCCTTCAAGTCCTACCCCAACGTCCTGGGTTTCTTTGCTGGTAACGAGGTTATTAACGAGGATGCTGAGTACCTGGTTCCCGCCTACGTTCGCGTAAGTTTATGCCTCTCTACGTCAAGTACTCGATTACTCGATGTTCCTTCCATCCAGCTAACCCTTGAATAGGCCGTCATCCGTGATATGAAGGATTACATCGCTAAGCACTCCAACCGCACCATCCCCGTCGGCTACTCCGCTGCCGATGTCCGTAACATTCTTATGGACACCGACCGCTACTTCGAGTGCCACATGAAGAACTCGACTAGCTCGCAGGCCGACTTCTTCGGTCTGAACTCTTACTCCTGGTGCGGCAAGGCTTCCTACAAGTCCTCCGGCTACAATGTTCTGACCGAGGATTTCTCCAACTCCACCATGCCCGTCTTCTTCTCCGAGTACGGCTGCAATGAGGTCAAGCCCCGTGTCTTCACCGAGGTCCAGGCCATCTACGGCGAGGAGATGACCCAGGCCTTCTCCGGTGGTCTTGTCTACGAGTGGACCGAGGAGGACAACGAGTACGGTTTGATCCAGGTCAACAAGAACGGCAGCGTCACCCTGCTGGTCGACTACGAGAACCTGCAGGGACAATTCGGCAAGCTGGACATGGACCGTATCGAGTCTAGCAACTCCTCGCAGACCAGCGTTACCCGCGAAGAGTGCAGCGCCGACCTGATCACCAACAAGAAGTTCCTCAACGCTTGGAACCTGCCCACCCGTCTGACCAAGATCAACAACTACATTGAGAACGGCCTGCCCAACAAGCCCTCCGGTTCTCTGGTCTCCGTCTCCAGCACCTCCATCCCCGTCAAGGTCTACGGCTCCGACGGCAACGAGATCTCCGACATCAAGTACAAGGTCCTGGCTGACGACCAGGTGAACAAGCCTTCCAGCACTGGTACTAGCTCGAGCAGCAGCAGCAGTGACTCCTCGGCCTCTGGCACTAGCACCTCGTCTTCCTCCACTGGAACCTCTACTTCCACCAACGCTGCCTCAATGAACGGCGCCTCCTCCGTCCTTGTCGGCGGTGTTAGCGGCTTCTTCATGCTGCTTGCTTCTCTTATGTAGACTCTCTGCATTTGCAGATCTTTTCTCGTAGTCGATTTGGGGTGATTTTGTTCAAGTTCTTGGACGCTGGGGTTTACCATGGCCTCAGACGTCTGTCGTTCATGTAATTTACTTGGTTCTGTACATTGTCTGCCCTGTTGGCCAACAACTCGTTCCAATATCCAATTTTCTTCAAAGGTTTTCAATGACCTTCTTCTATTCATTCCATTGCCCAGGCGCCCGATCTATACTAGTATTTTGTGTCTTCTTTGTGCTTTATTTGTAGCGACTCTGCCCCGGTGCATCATAGTTTATTCGTCATTGTATTGTCAATAGTACAAACTATGCTAGCGATAAACATTCGCAGCTCACCCGTCAGCGTGGGCTGCTCTCATCTGTATCTCAAGTATAACATGCCCGGAAGAGATACAACTAGAATAAACATGCAGATATGCGGCGGGAAAACAAGAACGGAAAAGATAAACCAATAAGCGCAAAAAAAGCAGTTCGAAAGAGAAAATCTCAAACAAGAACAATATGCAACATGCTTTCCATCACATGGCTCTCACATGACTCTCGCCTTGCCCTTGCCCTTGGCAGAAGATTGAGGAGTCGACATAGGCGGCGGATCGAGGCCTGGAAATTCCTCCCATTCGTCCTGTTCCTCCACATTTCCACGACTCTTATTCTCCGCCAGACTGAGCTGAATCGCAAATTCCAGGTCGTCCATTTCTTGTTGTCGGCTGCTCTCCGCGGCCCCAGGGGACGATGACTGAGGTGGTTTCACCCCCTTGGCATACTTGATGGGAATGGATGGGGTTTGGTCGATTGGGGGGGGCGGCAGAGTCATCTCCTAGGAGGCTCAAACGAATTGCCTCTGCAAGGTCATCGTCCACGTCATCGTCTGTGGGGTTTTGGTACGGGGATGAGGAGGAAGAGACCTCCCCCAATCCGAAAGAGCTGGGACCAACGGCATCGCTGAATGATGTGCTAGTAGCAGAACTTGCGATTGCAGTCTGATCACTCTGCTTGGCAACCTCGCCAGGGTGAGCCTCCTGGCTAAGAAGCTGAGCATATGCCAAAAGCTGCTCCTCGTCAATATCAGGACCGAGGAGGTCGACGCCAAAACGGGCGCTGAGGTGTGCTCGTTCCTTCTCGTCTGAGATTTGCTGTCGCGCCAATTCAACGCGCTCGTCTTCGATGAAGTCCCGGATTGCACCTCGACCGCTGTTGTTGAAACGTTGGCCTTCAGCCGCACCATTGCTACCGCGCAAGCCATGGCGCAAACGTCGCTTGCTGGCATTGTACTGATCTGCAGCGGATGAACTGTAGGACCAGTAGCGAAGATGCGTGCCGAGCGAAACCATTCCACGCAGGTTCGTCGGGTCGGGGTCAAGACAGATAGCTCCCGTTGCAAAGTAGTTGTTTCCAACTCCGAACATGGAAGCTTCGGCCTGTACCAGTCGACGACGAGCACGCGATGAGAACCGAGAGTTCAGAGTTCGAATTGGGCGAGTAGATGACGCCAATGGGTCCCATGCCTGGACTAGGCCATCGTTACCACCGTGCACTAGGTACAAGGACGTCAAGGCAATGCAAGAGACTTGAGGCGATTCCGTTTGAATGACTCGCAGTGGGGGGGATCGAGTTGATAACATCCGCATTCTGCGCTGCAAGTGCACGGATGTTCCAAACAAAGATCATACCGTTACCAGTGCCCACGGCCAGATAGCGAGCCCGTTGACCAGGAATCTCAATATTCGACCGTGGCTGTTCCATATGAGGCAACATGGGTGAAGAGGTCGCAGAGGACAATGAACTTCCCGACATGCCGAGGAGGGGGTCTTCTTCTGCCGTTTGTGTAGCCCAGGTAGAATTATCCAGAGCATTGGTGGTAATTTCGACCGATTTCTGATCGTCAAAAGTGAAGTCCGAGATCCGCCACTCAGTGCCGGCTACAGCAGTCAATCGAACTGACGAACGAGATGGCGGAAAGCTCTCGCCGGGCGTAGGACTCGGGGAACTCGTCGGGCCACCGAAGAGAGAGACGTGGGACTTCTTTTCAAGAGGACGGGAGCCTGGGGTTGGCGGACGCGACGTTGAGCCAAGTTCCGCCGCCGTGCGAACATATCTTCGAACCGATGCGGTTCCAGCCTCGCGTCCTCCACGAGCGATGACGATAACTGACTCTCCGGCCCCGGAGCCATCATCTCCAGCAAAATCCACTTGCAAATCACGCTCCATGTTCCAGCCTTCGCAAAGCTTTCGGAAGTGTTTAGGCTTGAAAGAAAGGAATTTCTCGATCTCCTTGGTCTCTGCGGCAATTTGATTCACATCGAGCTGCATCGAAGCGGAGGACGATCGCGGGCTATAACTGCCGTCAACCAATTCCCGACTGAAAGGGTCAGGTCGAGCCTTCCGGCGACTGAGTTCAAGAAGCTCCCAGCGGACATTTCTTCCTGTCTTCCATGCTAGCTCATCGAATTGCTCCGCGCTCAACTTGGCATTAGGCGGAATGTCGGGCTTCGGAGGAAGATCGACAATGTAGAAGATCTCTCCCAGCGCATTAAGAACCACGGCCCATACTCGTCCCTGGGAATGGCGCTTGAGTGAGTAATTGTCGTCCACGGCGATCCCGATGATAGGAACACCGGGGCTGAGGACCCATTTTGCAGTGACTTGTCCTCGCTCATACCGGCCCTCGTAGGTTGGATGAGGACCCATGGCATAAGCTGTGAGTACACCGGAAGAAGAGCCCGTCATCATGGCCACAAGGCCTCCGGTTGTCTTGAGGATCGAAGATGACTTGGCGATCCATACCGAGCATACAGCAGTTGTGATGTGATTGACTGCAGGGATGCCCAGATGTGGGTGAGAACCCAGCTCCGAAGCACCGAGGAAGCGACCTCGTTGTTCGGTGGTAGAGATGAAATAGCTCCGCCCTTGGGGACATCCTTCGCCATAGATCATACCGTAGGGTTGACTGACATCCATAGAGTTGGACGTTCCAACCATCTCTCCTGCTCCAAGACCGTAGGGAGCATCGCCCGGAAAGATATCGGCAAAATGTCTGAACATCTGGTGATCGGAAAGACCCCAGGTACTCACTTTCACCAATGATGGGTCACTAGTAGAAGCAATGCCTTGTTCTGACGCCCCATGAATGAAAGTGGGTTCCTTGTCGGCGTTGAACGATCCGTGGATCTTGCTCACTGGAAAAAGCAAGTTCGATGTGTACGTGCACACTGCGCTACCATTTCGAGCGGTTGCGGATCGCACTGTGCCGTGTTTCTTAGATGGCTGAAACTGCGCCGGCTTGCCTCGGCCTAATGACCGCATCAAACGGGTACGCAGGATATATTCACTGCGCCAGGATGCCAGTGCCGTCAATCTTGCGAAAAATCGTCTATCCGAACCCGGCTCTGTTTCGTCTGACGCAACACGCCGATCGGACTCGATGGCCTGAGGGCCCGGAAAGAAACGCGAAAAAGGCGACTCGCCAAGCATGCGGAGTCGTGACCAAGTTGTGAAACCGATGGGAGACCAGGGTCATGGCTGAAAGGGTATGGGGAGGCAGATGCGACAAGATATGAGTGAGTACCTCTAGAGTGGGGTATTGTTAGAGCGACTCGAGAGCGAATTTAGACGGCACATACCGTTGGGCAGCGACTCCAAGGGAACCTGGGAGTGGCTCGAGGATTTCACAATTCGAAATCCAGGGTCGCGTCTCTGTGGAGAGCCAGCATTTTCATGCTCAATCACTCGTTGGGCGGGAGATGGCGGGGCAGAGCCATCGTCGCTCAGGGGTGGATGATTCAGTGGCGGGGATGAAGCGACGACAGGGGAGTCTCCGGTCTCTCCATGATGGAAGGGGCCAGAGACTGCACCGTCATCGAGATCATTTCCATGCTGGGTAGTACTGAGGTTGGATTGCGATGAGTCAATGGGGGGGGGTATGTTGAGATACGGTTATAGACTCTGGTTGCATAAAAAGACTGGTTTTGAAAAGCGATAGGCAATAGCGACTGAGCCAGCGATAAAACCTGGGTCAGTCGAGGCAAGAAATGCGAGTGCGAAGGGGAGAAAGCGTGGGGGAGGTGGTTGTAGGAGAGGACTCGGAGGGAGAAGAAGAAAGGAAGAGGATGAGGTGGAGCAGGCAAGCCTGAAGCGGCGAGGCGGAGCGGCCATCCCGCAGATTGACTCGATGGAATAGTAGGACTATGGATAGTTAGTATGTTAGTATGTTAGTATGTTAGTATGTTAGTATGTTAGTATGTTAGTATGTTAGTATGTTAGTATGTTAGTATGTTAGTATGTTAGTATGTTAGTATGTTAGTATGTTAGTAGGGGTATGATGTGCTATTCTGTCATCTTTGGCTCTCTTATTTATTTCATATCTCTTCTTTCCTCTAATCTCTTCTCATGATTCTATACCAATAATCGGGTTTAGTTACTGCTAATGCACGCGTGATCATGTGACCACGCGCCTCGGAGCCGCGCTTCTGCCTCATTCACCGTTTGAATCTTGGGGATTTACGATCCATCGGGGACTTTGGCTGTGGCTTTGGTTTTGCGGGGCTGGATTCGCTTTCTCTATTCCTGCTCGACATTGCCATTTCTCTACTTTCCCTTCAATCCAGCAATATAAGGGACAGCATAAATACCCCATCCAGAATACAGTGCTGACCACGATCACCCCAGCAATATGCCGGGCGTAAACGGTGAGTGGTATCAAATCATCCATGGTAGGCGGCTCCTAACAATCGTCAGAGGCGGAAACAATCCGCATTCTCATCTCGACCGACAATCATGTTGGGTACAACGAGCGAGACCCCATCCGGGGAGATGACAGCTGGAAGACCTTCCACGAAATCATGTGTATGGCCAAAGAACAAGATGTCGACATGGTGTTGCTCGCCGGTGATCTTTTCCATGAGAATAAGCCCTCCAGGAAATCCATGTATCAAGTGATGCGCTCCATTCGCATGAACTGCTTCGGTGATAAACCATGTGAATTGGAGATGCTCAGCGATGCCAGTGAGAACTTCCAGGGCGCGTTTAACCACGTTAACTATGAGGACCTGGATATGAATATTGCCATTCCCATCTTCTCAATTCACGGAAACCACGACGACCCGTCCGGAGAAGGCCACCTTGCCGCCCTGGACCTCCTCCAGGTGTCTGGCCTTCTCAATTACTACGGTCGGACCCCAGAGTCTGATAATATCGAAATCAAACCGGTTCTCCTCCAAAAAGGCCGAACCAAGCTTGCACTCTATGGAATGAGTAATGTTCGGGACGAGCGCCTGTTTCGAACTTTCCGCGATGGAAAAGTCAAATTCTTTAAGCCTTCAGTCCAGAAAGACGACTGGTTCAACCTGATGTCGGTGCATCAAAACCATCACGCATACACTGAGACAGGGTACCTACCGGAGAAATTTCTTCCGGATTTCATGGATATGGTAATCTGGGGCCATGAGCATGAATGCTTGATCCACCCTAAGCAAAACCCCGAAACAAAATTCCACGTTATTCAGCCTGGTTCGTCAGTCGCAACATCCTTGGTACCAGGTGAGGCAGTGACAAAGCAAGTCACTATTATGAGCGTCACGGGGCGAGAGTTCTCGTGTGAACCCATTCGGCTCAAATCAGTCCGACCCTTTGTTATGCGAGAGATTGTGCTGTCCGAGGAAAAGGGCGCTCAGAAGCTAGCCCGCAAGGAAGACAATCGAACCGAAGTCACCCGCTTCCTAATGTCAATCATCGAAGAATTAATCGAGGAAGCAAATGCAGAGTGGCTTGAAAACCACCCTCAAAATGAAGATGAGGAGGAGGACCAGCCGGAGATTCCGCTCCCTCTTGTTCGGCTTCGCGTAGAGATCTCCACCCCGGAGGGCGGAAGCTACGAGTGTGAGAATCCACAACGATTTTCGAATCGGTTTGTCGGTAAAGTTGCCAATGTTAATGACGTGGTGCAATTTCACCGCAAGAAAAAGAATCCAACTGCTTCCCGCAAAGGTGACGCAGGACTCGACGAGGCGCCGACTTCACACCTAACAGCGCTAGATACAGTCAAAGTCGAGCAATTAGTCAAGGAATTTCTTGCATCTCAATCACTCAGCATCCTTCCTCAGAACACTTTTGGAGATGCCGTGGCTCAGTTCATCGACAAGGATGACAAACATGCGATGGAAATGTTTGTCAACGACTCACTAGAAAGCCAGGTCAAGCATTTGATGACTCTCACCCGCAATGAAGATGATATGGATGAGGAAGACCCCGAACAGAGCTCCTTAGTCACAGCCATGGAGAAATATCGCACGCAAATGGAAGACTTATTTTCCAAGGGAGTTAAAAAACGCACTCGTGGCAAGAAACGCTTCAAGCCCAAGCCAGATGGCTGGGACTCCGAGTTCGACGGTACATGGGAAGATCAACCAGGTGCCCTTATCCATTCAGATAATGAAGGCGGCGACCCCGCCGAAGAAGAGGATGGGGAGGGTGGCGCAACGCCAGCTGGTAGTCGCCCCTCGGCTACAACCTCCACACGCGGCCGTGGCAGAGGACGTGGTCGTGGGCGTGGTGCATCTACCACTGCGCGAGGGGCTGCCAAGGCAGCAGCTGCACCCAAAGGACGGAAGAAGCAGGTGGTGTCTGATGAAGAGTCGGAGGTTGATAATGATGTGATTATGCTTGAAGACGAGGAGGATTTTGCCGCTGATGTAATTTCGGACGACGATGATTCCCAGGCGTTGTTCGTCAAACAACCCCGTGCCACCACCAGTTCAAGGGGGCGTAAGACAACATCATCTACAGCGAAGACTACCACGACCCGAGGTCGTGGGGCTCGAACGGCGGCCTCACCAGCCCCCCTCGTCAGTTACCGTCAGTGCCACTGCTACTCGCCGAACTACTGCAAGAACTGCGAAACCCACTCAACAAACACTTGACTTTGGTTCTCAGGCCAGTTCCGCCCGCTCTTCAAGACCTAAGCGTGCGACGCGTAGCGTCAGCATCGTTAGTGACGATGATGACGATGACGACGCATTTGAACCTGTTGAGGCCTCAAGCTCACGACGACGACGTTGAAGCCACGCGATGTATCCCATTTGTATTGATACATGGCTGTCCGGATGGGGCGATCTCAACAGAAACAGAACATAGTACCTTGACCCCAATATGACCTTACGAAATTTGTCTTCGGCCTATAGGCCCTTGAGGAGAATCTTATGTTAAATTCGAAGTAAAGTAATTCTGGAATGCATTTATCAGTAGCGAATTCTATAAACTTCAAGTTCTGTCGCAGTCGCTACCATGCAAAGTTTCCGCTAGTTAATGCATTGCACGCCGGTGATGACTGGCATGCATGGAACCAGATCCATTCAAAGAAGGTCCATTATCCCAATGCGCTCTAGCAGCAGCAGCCCAAGCCGTCGCAGGGTCAATCAGGTTCTCCGGCGTGTAGAATAGCCGATAGTCTGCAAGCTCATAGATAAACTGGACTGGCATATTCGGCCGATCCGCATGATAACCATTGAGGAAGTTAATGCTGAGGGTATTCAGTCCAGAGAGCGGACTGGCTTCATCGCTGGGAGGAGCGATCTTCTTCAGTTGATTAATCTGGGCCTCTTTTAAAGTAGGTTCGCCGCGTTTGGTGGCATTTTCTGCAACCTCTATGGCGGTATTGTACATCAATGGCATCATTCCATTACCAATGACCATCTGTCCTTTGGTACCACCTAGAGCTTGCATTGGCCCTTTGTGGGGACGACCGCCGAATACAAAGCTTTTCACTCCAGCTAGGTCTTTCATGAGTTCTGAGAACATCGTGCAGGCTGAGGAGCAGTCGCCATTTGTAACCTGCAGAATTGTCAGCTACTGATCATAAATGGATCGGCGTTCATGGAGAGTCCGTACCAACAAGATGTTCTCCGGTGCAAATGCGTTCTCTGTTTCATTTTGTTTCACAGGCCCATATCCGCGGATGGACTGTTGCTGGATTGACTCGGCAGTGAGATTATAAAAGGCTTTCAGAGACGATACGTTTGTCCCTAGCTCTTTGTGGGGTCCATAAACCTCAGACCAAGTGTCGAACTTCGACTTCTGGTCCGGTGTGACCATAAGTGCTAGGGCCATATTGTTTGTTTCATCCATCGCCTCTTTATTTCCCAAAGGGACCCGCGACAAAGCCTGACCGACAAGATTTGCCCCTTCGTGCGCGCGGAACCGGACCGATGTGATTAATTGTCTGTTAGGGAAAAATAGCTTGAATAGATCCAAGCATAGATCGACGTTGCCTCCACCATTGAAAGAAAGATCGATAATCAGCTTCTTTTTCCCCGCTGCTTTGGCTTTTTGAACAAATTCTGTCGCCTTGTCTGAAAATGTGCTGTCGTATGGTTCAAATGTCGATACATAAAGTACGGCAGTGTCCTTCAATCCTTGCTTTTCCAGAAAGTAACCTGAAATGGAGTTATCGGTTGCTTGCAAGACGGGGGTGGGATACCCTTTCGATATCGGAGTGTTCGTAAGAGTCGACGAGGGGCTCGATGCTTGGGCTGACGTAGAGGATGCTTTCTGGGTCGATAACTGGACGGTTGAGGAAAGGGCCGAAGTAGAGGAATGCGAAGAAATGGCCGTCAGGTTAGGAAGGGAAGGCGCTTCTTCCGCCCCTGGTATGCAAAACCTTTGGTAAATAGCCTTGCCATCTTTCAGAGAAGAATCGAAGTAGTTTGTAGTGGCTGTGGTTTCGACATGCATCTCCGAATTATTTGCAAACTTGACCGAGAATTTCTGGACCCCAGGATACAAGCCATTGTTGTACTCCAATATTCCGGAGTTTCCTTTACTGCTGAGAACTTCAGGTCGGAAAGGAGCATGGAAAAGAACGTTATATCTGTGTGAGGACATTCAGTACCTCCGCGGTTTCAATTTCTTGGAGGTTATTATTTACCGTGCGTCCGGGTCAGTGTCCATGTGTTTATCAGCTGATCTGTTCAAAAATGAGAGAACTTCTTGATCATTGATAGAAACTACGTGGGAGACCAGATGAGGTTTTCTCGGGAGAATTTCGGCATCACCTGGCAGCCATTAGCTATGCGAGGTCCACGCAGTGTTGGCATTTCCCCCCTTACCCCAGGTAAAAATTTTCGGGAGTTCGATTCCGTCGTTTGATGCAGAAACTAATGGCAAATCTACCTGGAAATAGAAAATTCCCAGTGAACAAAGTTCCATGTGTAGATGCCGGTCATGCGCGGAAATGAGTAAATTGTTTATCGCTGTATCAAAGCCAAACTGAGACGCAAAGAGGTCATTAGAAGCATTTTGTTCCAATGCATCTAATCCAGCGATAAGATCAACCGACGGGGATGGGTATCCGGAGGGAGGACCTGGTGGGTTCATCCGAGTGAGTCCTAGTAGTAGTAGATAATAATTATTGATGGCACGACTCACTCTTCAGAACATCCAGAGTGCTGTGCCACTGAATAGTTTTCTTCATTTCTTGTATGAACTTAACTGCTCTTTCAGAATGAAAAGGCATTGTTTGAAGACATTTATATGCCAGACGGCCAGGGAATACTGGGTCTTTGTTTTCCATCACTGCTGTCAGTATTTATCATGGTTACTCAAAGCCTTTTTGACCAACCTGTAGCATTAGCATGTTGACTGATTTGAGCAATCTCAGAACAAGGAGTCTTTTTGCTTAATGCTGATACAGATAATCCAGCAACTGCGAGGAGGAGGGTCTTGGGTAACATTTTTGCTGATTCCTGCCGATAAAGGAACGAGGAAGCAGAGTCATTTAAGGGTAAATTTCAAGGGCAAAGGCTCGCTAAAAATACAATCAACACAGGCAGATCTTCATCTTGTTGATTTTCCCTGATGTGGTGTAACCTTTTTATTTGAGATGGTGATCCTTTCTTTGAATGGTAATTGACTGCGACCTGGGTTGGTCCATGAATGTCTGTTGGGGCGAAAGGATTGGAGATCGTCATGGCAGTGTTGCGACTTGTTCGAACATTGCTCACAAAAAGTCAACTAGGAGGGGGGGGTTTTTCAAAAGAAAAATAAGCTTGAAAATGGCCGAACAGAAGTATCTTGGCATTACAGATCCAGGATTATAATATATCACTGCTACTAGAATTATCTCTTATCGCGTAAATATAGCAATCTTGAACTTGCCCTCCAGGGCTGGAAATGATAGACCCGCCAATCGCATCCAACGGCCCCAAATCCTTCAATCCTCCGAGCCAATGACCAAGTAGATTACTTAATATCTCGACAAAATTACATCTGGCTGGGGTCAACCTTTCTTGTGAATTCATGGACCTTGAAATGCCCATAAGCCAGTACTAACTAGTAGGCAGTGGATAGGTGCCGCTTGTCCAGGTGACTATATTGAATAAATTACCTTGGAACTCAAGGTTGGAAGCAGGTATTGTGCTCTGTGATACTACTAGTAGTATACCTATTTCTCAAGGGTTGCCGATTGCAACTTGATAGTTTATTTTATATCATAATGAATTTGTGACCGTGAGTGTAACCAATATTTTCTGTCCAGCACTTCAAGTTGAAGCTGATATGTGAACAGGCATTCAACTCATAGTCAACCCAGCATCACCGAGTATAATAATACCAATAGAGTATCTACCGACTTATCCAAAACAAAGTATCAATTCCACCATCTGCGCATCGAACACAAACTCAGCATCGACCTATGCTAAGCGTAACCTTCAACCTTCATAGATCCGCCACGGTGGAGCTTCCCCGCAATCCGCGGCCGAGCAGCCTCGGTCTATTTCGCCCCATCACAATGACATCCCACCAGACATAAACACACTTTTCTATCTGTATCATGTCAGGGAACTGACCAAGGACTATATTGTAATTTTCTCTATTATAATGGCATTCACAGGCCGACCCATTCGCATCGCAGGTAAGTCTCTCCCACCCACATTGACACCGTCAACTGTCCTTCCTTACTCACACCACCACACAGGCGCCTCGGGCTCTGCCTCAGACCGGCGCCATGCGATCGCCGAATTCGCACATCACCACCCGACCGACCCGGTTGATGTAATTATCGCTGATTTCATGAGCGAATTTAACATGGCCACCGCTGCGGGGAAACGCGAGGACCAGAAGGGTGCAGCTGGGCCTGCAGCGCCGGCATATGATCTGTCCTTTCTTGAGGCGTTGGATCCTGCGCTTGAGGATCTGGCGAAATACGGGATCAAATTGGCCGTTAATGCTGGTGTTGCGGATACGAAGGGTCTTCATGAGGTGGTGACCAAGATGGTTCGGGCGAAGGGGCTAGATTTGAAGGTAATTCATTCTTGTATTTGATATTTGCGTGCTAAATGTAACTCAAGATACTGATCTATATAAACAGGTAGCTTGGGTATCAGGAGATGAAGTCCTTCCTGCGATTCAAAAGTCCCTCGCAGCTGACCAGTCTGAATTTCGAAATATCTACACAGGCGAACGACTGGCTGACTGGTCCTTCGAGCCCATCTACGCGCAGTGCTATCTAGGCGGGTTGGGCATCGCTGCTGCATTCGCCGAGGGCGCTGATATTGTGCTGTGCGGACGCGTATCTGATGCATCTCCAGTAATCGGAGCAGCCTATTGGTATCATGGCTGGCGACGAGATGAATTGGACAAATTGGCCAATGCATTTGTCGCGGGCCACCTTATCGAGTGTAGTAACTACGTCTGCGGGGGTAACTTTACTGGGTTCAAGACCTTGGAGCATGGTGGGGATGGTTGGGCGAATATTGGATATCCCATCGCTGAAATCTCTGCCGAGGGAGATGTGGTTATCACCAAACAGGCGCACGCCACTGGAGGCGCTGTCACGGTTGATACATGCACCTCGCAGCTGTTGTACGAGATCCAAGGACCTTGGTACTTCAACTCGGACGTCACCGCGGTTCTGGATGGAATCCATTTTGAACAGCGGGGGATCAATCGGGTGGCCGTTCGAGGGGTCCATTCCGGTCCACCTCCTCCAACCACCAAGGTTGGCATCACGGCTCGTGGAGGGTTCCAGGTGGAAGCGTGGTGGTGGTTGACCGGACTGGATATCGAGGAGAAGGCGAGGATGCTCGAAGCCCAAACTCGGCGGTTGCTCGCACCCTTTGCGGATCGATTCACGGCGCTGAACTTTGACTTGCTGGGGACATCGTTGTCGGACCCGCACAATCAGAACCGCGCGACGGTGCCTCTGCGGATTATCGCGCAGGCTCGTCGAGCCGAGGATCTCACGCCCACCAAGTTCCTCAGACCCATTACGGACAACATCATGCAGGGATACCCCGGTGCCACCATCCACTTGGACCTGCGACAGGGATTTCCTCGAGAAATCTTTGAATATTATGTGACTCTGCTACCTCAATCAGCGGTGCAGCATCGGGTGCATCTCCCGTGGAAACCCACAGTGGACACGCAGGTCCTTGACATTTCACCCCCACCGCAATGTCAAACATACCCAGCTCGCCAACCATCCCAGGCTAGTACATGCCATGCTAAACCAGTGGATCTTGTCCACGACTTTGGACCCACGGTCCGCGGGCCATTAGGATGGATAGTGCATGCTCGGTCCGGAGACAAAGGGTCGGATGCCAACTGTGGTTTCTGGGTGCGGCACCGGGATGAGTTCCTATGGCTACGGAGCTTGCTCTCAGTGGAGACCGCACGGCAGCTCTTGGGGGAGACGGGCCGGACCCAGCCCCCATTAGAGATTGAGCGGTTCGAACTGGCAGGGTTGCAGGGAGTGCATTTCTTGTTTCGCAATTTGTTGGACCGCGGGGTTGGGGTCACGACGACGGTGGACTTTTTGGGGAAGAATGTGGCGGAATTCCTGCGGGCGAGGCACGTCGATCTACCGGTGCGGTTCCTCAACCGGGGCAAATTATAAGGTTATTACTGTAGTGTACTCCGTATGTAGAATGAAGTGAAACGGTTGTCGCCTGGTGACTTGGGACTAGTGTAGTCAAAGTGACCGGGGCTGGCTAGAACTGGCTAGACACGGCGTGCGGAAGCCAATTGCGGAGATTGATGCGGACCGGGTGGATGGAAGAGAAGGAAGAGAGGGGCCACAGAGACATCTCTTAGTTGAATTTAGTCAGCGCAGATCAACAGTCGATAGTTCACCTCTAGTTCACTGAGAGTAGAGTAACCGTCTTGGGTAATGGTACTTCTCAGCAATCGGTTAGTCAGTCATCTTGGCTTTTTGTTGATGAAACAAGTCCGCTAGATGGAGATCCACCACCATGTACGGAGTCACCGGGGAGATGTTCATCCGACGAATGATCTGAAGTCACGATGATCACATTGGTCCAGGGCCCACCAAGGACCGTAGATGATAGTAGAAACGAGGGGAAGCTGTCCTCTCAGAGTGGATGGCCCAGGAGGGGGATCCAATTAGCCCGAAAATAGCAAAAGTTACGCGGGCCCTGGAACATCCAAGGCGGCACCTCGGCATCTCGGGCAATCTTGATAGATACGGTAGACCTGGGTAGAAGTGAGGAATAGAGTGGTCTAGAAGAAGAGTATGAATGGGAGGGGTACTTCCGTGGGGTACTTTGAAGATACTTGGAAGGTACTTCGGGGTACTTTCTCTGACGTGGCAGTTCAGGTGACCCGCAGGTACCACCGGAGTATCTTCGCCGCACGGTTACAGCAGTACAACAATACACATTACAAACACCGCATTAAGTATATAACCAGTGTAAATACAGTACCACTCATACTGCATGACCCCGCAATGCCCAAATACCCAAGGTACGAGTAGCTTAACTTATTTAAGAGACCCTTCTATCGCATCTCACCTTCCTCCCCTCTCCCCTCTCCCTCCCATCCTCATCTTTCCATCTCATCATGGCGCTCTCTACTACCATCAAGACTCCCAACGTCACCTACGAGCAGCCCCTTGGCTTGTATGTTCCCTCCCCCTCCCATTATCCCCCCCCCCATCTACCCCTCATACTTTATTTTGCCTCCCTACTAACCCTCCTTCTCTCCACCAGGTTCATCAACAACGAGTTCATCAAGGGTGCCAAGGGCCAGACCTTCGAGACCACCAACCCTACCGACGAGAAGGTTATCACCTCCGTCCACGAGGCGACTGAGGAGGATGTCGACACCGCTGTCAAGGCCGCTCGCACTGCCTTCGAGGGTGTCTGGCACACCGTGACCCCCTCCGACCGCGGCCGTATGCTTACCAAGCTGGCCGATCTGTTCGAGCGTGATATGGAGACCCTCGCCTCCATTGAGGCTCTCGACAACGGCAAGGCCGTCACCATGGCCAAGGTTGACATTGCCAACGCCGCTGGCTGCCTCCGCTACTACGGTGGCTGGGCCGACAAGATCACCGGTCAGACTATCGACACCAACACTGAGACCCTCTCCTACACCCGTCACGAGCCCGTCGGTGTCTGCGGTCAGATTATCCCCTGGAACTTCCCCATCCTCATGTGGGCCTGGAAGATTGGTCCCGCCATCGCTGCCGGTAACACTGTCATCATCAAGACCGCTGAGCAGACCCCTCTCTCTGGTCTGTATGCCTCTAAGCTGATTGTTGAGGCCGGCTTCCCTCCCGGTGTCATCAACGTTATCTCCGGTTTCGGTCGTACCGCCGGTGCTGCCATCTCCAGCCACATGGACATTGACAAGGTCGCCTTCACTGGTTCGACCCTCGTCGGCCGTACTATCCTGCAGGCCGCTGCCAAGTCCAACCTGAAGAAGGTTACCCTCGAGCTGGGTGGCAAGTCCCCCAACATCGTCTTCGATGACGCCGATATCGACAACGCCATCTCCTGGTCCAACTTCGGTATCTTCTTCAACCACGGCCAGTGCTGCTGTGCCGGTTCCCGCCTGCTGGTTCAGGAGGGTATCTACGACAAGTTCATCGCCCGCTTCAAGGAGCGCGCGGCTAAGAACCAGCTGGGTAACCCCTTCGCTGAGGACACCTTCCAAGGCCCCCAGGTCTCTCAGCTCCAGTTCGACCGTATCATGGAGTACATCAACCACGGCAAGAAGGAGGGTGCTACCGTCGCTGTTGGTGGCGAGCGCCACGGCACCGAGGGCTACTTCATCCAGCCCACCGTCTTCACTGACGTTACTCCCGATATGAAGATCGCCCAGGAGGAGATCTTCGGTCCCGTAATTGCTGTCCAGAAGTTCAAGGACGAGGCTGAGGCCATCAAGATCGGTAACAACACCAGCTACGGTCTTGCCGCCGCCGTTCACACCAAGAACGTCAACACCGCCATCCGTGTTTCCAACGCCCTCAAGGCTGGGTAAGCTTCCCTTCCTCTCCTTAACATATACCAAACAAAATACTAACAGCTCGATAGTACCGTCTGGATCAACAGCTACAACATGATCTCCTACCAGGCTCCCTTCGGTGGCTTCAAGGAGTCCGGTCTGGGCCGCGAGCTCGGTTCCTACGCCCTGGACAACTACACCCAGGTCAAGACCGTTCACTACCGCCTGGGCGATGCTCTGTTCGCTTAAGGGAAAGTGAAAGGAAAAAATTAAGGAAAAAATTAACCAAATATCTGACGAGGGATGAATACTTGTTTGTTTGTACATAACCAAAATTGGACTACCCACAATTGGACAGTAATTGTACTGTATTGACCAATGTACTTTTGCTCTGAACCCCATAACTAGCATGTAACTATACACAGCCTTCCTCCATGCATCCACGGTCGGGTTGTGGAGGGGCGGGGCAGACGCGTCGCACTCTTCGGGATAGCAGTATACGAGATGAGTTCGGCGGGAAGGCCGAGATAAATCACAGCGAGCTATCCAGGTTCGAGTGGTGCTTCTCCAGGCTGGTGGTGTGATGCGGGGCCGGGTCAAATGCTGTCGGGCTAATTGAGGCCGCTCGGGTTATTTCCCACCGAGGCGGGATGAGCATCCCACCAAAGTATTGTGACTAGTAAGAACTAAGATAGGGCCAGCATTCATACATGTTTCGATTGAAATTCTAGAATAATCAATCAACATGATTGGCGCCCGTTTACTTGCTAATATTTGAGTTACCTTTCCCATTACTTGAAACGTAATTGGATCGTTTTACATTTGAAGCTAGGCATGACGCAAAATTCAATAAATACTACTGGTAGATAGTAGTTAGAGGCTCTCGACCTAAAGTATACATATCCCAACCGATGACATTCCAAGATTTCATTCAACTGCCTGGTTATTAATAAAAACAAAGCTTCCCACTTATAAAAGAACATCGCATGACAGAAAACACCTAATCGACCCTCGAATCATATCTGTTCCCCGGTCCTCCGTATCGCTACAGTGGCGTTGCAAAGGTTTGAAACCTCCTATTGCCCACCATTATCGACGGTCTTCTAATAGCAGATTGGTAGTCAATCTAATCCATCTTAGGTAGGTAGTTACTTGTTCCCCTTGGGAAGGCAGAGATCCGGGCGGTCAACAAGGGTTTCAAACTTTTGCAACACCACCGTAGCATGCGCCACTGCTTCACCAATACTAGCAGCCTGCTTGGTAAAATTCACTCATGCCAAATCATCATTTGATGCGCTTGTCTCGGCTCGACTCAGAGACCAAAAACGCGCACAAGGCCATTTGCTTTTTTTCGATTTTATTCCTCGCCGGGTTCGCTCTACCTGCTGTTTAGGATGACTTTTGAGAGGGGATTTCCATTGAAACACGGATTTACTATATTCTACACCTGCCCCATTAGTTACCTATCTCCTTGGCTGACCATCAGGGTCATTGCCCATGTGCCATCATGAACACGTAGCACACAATGCACAACTATCATAAGCTGTACAACAAAAGTATACCACCCCATTATTATATAGTATTAGCGGTTGTGTAACAAAAGCAGGGAACTCTATAATTTGGTAGGGGATGGGGCTATCAAACGAACTCCATGGTTGAATTCCCCGCATATTTCTCATATTTCAATTTTCTAGGAATAGATCTCACTATGAATAGAGACCATCTAATTTTCCTGTATTACATTATCCTCACCTGATCAATAGGCTTGTACCCCGACTAATATACTATTTCCTTTGCCTTAATTCGTCCAGGTCAGCATGACCCCAACCAACCTAATTCTAGTGGCACTGGACAAAGAGGCCATAAACTAAATATTTTTCTTTTCAGATAACCAGACAAATGGCTTGGATGGGTTGGGTTGTAATGTTAGAAATTCCGTTTTGGTACAATTTGAAGAAGGGTTCAAAAATGTTTCATCCTTATGAAGCTCCAGGAGCCGCACCCTCGTGGTCTGTGTACGATTCTAGGGCTTTTATATGGTTGCATCACTTGATAATATTATTTCTAGTGCGATGTAAACTCAATATGTCACACTGTCAGAAACCAAAATTGGCCGTGAAATACTACATAAATGAGGCCAGCGTTTAGCATGCCTTGGATCGAAATCAATACGTCTGAAATATTCCCATGCCACTCAGATACATCAATCTCATAACGTTTTATCTATCCAATTCACGCTCAATAACCCATTTCACCATAGTGCCAAGGCCCCAGCCGAGCCCCAGCCAGTGCCCGAAACCCCCCGAAGTATCGACATTCCCGATCCCTCCGCTGAACCAGCAATTCGATACATCGGAGGAAGGAATCAAGGTAATCAATACTTTCGCGCGGCCGTACGGCTCAGGGTAATGATGGCAGAGTCGGGTTCGAGTAAATTTCCGGCGGAACTTCCTCTGAGCTGACACCCTTCGACTCCCCGCGGCCGCTCTCTATAATTGACTTGGCTACAATATAGTCCTCAGGGGCATCTATGTACTGAGCAATTTGTCCATGTTCAATCCATAAAGGGGAAATTAATCCTGCCGCACCATACAGTTTGGTTCGCTTTAGGGTAATTTTAGCTCTAGCTACATACATAGGACTAGTTACGGCATAATTATCTCCATATAGCTTTTCCATAGAATTAGAATCTTCCTCTCCCTGTATGGGATCAGTTTTCTCTCGTAGCCCTCCCCACTAGATTAAGTACCTGCAATATTGTCAAAGCTTGCCAAAAGAACGAGGGCCAATTTCTATTTTATTTTTTTTATTGGTGGATCTTGTAATTGCGTAGATAGTTTCAAGGTTGCAGACACTGCCACGATGCCAAAAGCTCCCCGTATCTTGGCATCTTGGCATTTGGCATTTTCACTATAAATATGTCTTGGTACTGACTACATGAAACAATGAAGCACCAAGGCGGAAAATATGACGTTAGAAAATGTCTTATATTCCCGCGAATGGTAGAGATAGAACGTACCCAGGTCGAACGGTGGCCTGGACCCTGCATGACCTCGAGGGAGTGGTGGGGTATTTCCCTCCAGTCAGATGTCGTAGAATTTCTCCATGGATATTAAGGAATTATGCAGCCGGGCGCAGTATTTGTGACTGAGAGAGTACAGAGTAAGTCCTGTCTTGTTATGAGCTCCAAAGCTATAAAAATAGCCTCGTTGACCCCCGATTTGATGAAGCATCAAGCTTTGACTACAAAGTTGCAGTATCAACCGAGGAAAATGCATTCCAGCGCTATCATCCTTGGTCTCATTGGCATTTCCAGTGCTCTGACTCTCAACATCCCCTCTCGTGTGGGTGATATTATCTCTCTGCCTTCCCCTAGTGAGATCTCGGGCAGTGTTGATCTGGGCAACCGCGAGTACGATCGTGGTCGATCCTGCGACAATGATGATGACACTGGTATGTCCATATCAAAAGAACTAGTTCAAAAAAAACAGAGCTAAATATAATATAGGCGATGAGAACGCCGTGTTCATCTTGAAGGATGGAGCATCACTGAGCAACGTGATCATTGGAAAGAACCAACTCGAAGGCATCCACTGCAAGGGATCCTGCACCCTGACCAACGTCTGGTTTCGTGATGTCTGCGAGGTAAGTAGTCCCATTATCTATCTAGCCTACTGGTACTAACGTGGCCCCTATAGGACGCTATTTCCATTCTCGGAACCGGAGATGCCCTCATCAAAGGTGGTGGTGCCCAAGAGGCTAAGGACAAGGTGGTGCAGCACAACGGTGCAGGAACCGTCACCATTGATGGATTCACTGTTGTGAATGCAGGCAAGCTATACCGATCATGCGGAAACTGCAGCAACAACAAGAGCAAGAGCCCCCGGCATGTGGTGGTCAAGAACGTCAAGGCCGATGGTGTGTCTACCTTGGTAGGAATCAACTCCAACTACGGCGATACCTCCAATGTGAGCGGCACCTGTGGATCCGTCAGCCATGTGTGCCAGGAGTTTGAGGGAGTCGATAAGTCAGAGGACAGAGAAAGCCCCAAGCTGACATCGACTGCTTCCTGCAAGGGACAGTCGTCTCTTTCTTCTTGTTAAGTTCATATTGACCTGATCTTCGATGGAAGAAGAAAGGGAGAAGCGGCATGGATGTTGATCACTGGCTATCAAGAAAGGGGAAGAAGGCATATGAGAGGATATCGTGGGCAAACAGATATGGAAGGCCTCAGGACTTCACATAACTCTCACAGGACCGAATCCCCCTCAGACTAGCTATATTAATGTCATACAAAACGGTGTTAGAAACCCCTAAAACCCTCTAATCCCTATGTCGGAATATTGTCGTTACAGTACGGACTAGTACGGGCATGGCCAATTGAGCACTTGAGAGTGTTGATATTGAATACTATGGAAAGTACAGAACATAGTTAGGTTAGTTATGCGATGTAGGCTTAGTAAGATCGTTTATAGCCATGCAAACATGGTTGAAAAGAGGCATATGGGTGCTGAATATTCCTCGGGCGCACTAGTAAAGATGCGACCCACTTTTGTCGGCATCTATCTCTCCAACTTTCATTGCGTCTATTTATTTGTTTAGCTCATTAGTAAGCTGTGTATCTGCTCTAGATTTCTGATCTTTAAGCAGTCTCTAAAGGATAAATGAAACCCGGTGGAAAATGCTGCACAGGATAATCTCAACTGCGATGCTCTCCAAATTCTTTTCTACATTACTTACTATGGTCTCAGTAATTTGAATGGCTCTGGGTATCTTATTTAAGAAGTGAGTGGCGTGTTTGGGTGACATCTAGCATTTCTTTGAAAAAAATTGGGGTCCTTAGTCACATTTGTTATGGGGAAATTTCTATTTACCAGGAATCAGAGCTACACCCTGCAGACTGCAATGGAACTATTTGAATTCATAAGTTCATACGACGGGGGGCCGAGAGCGATGGTCTTTTCAAAGTCTATATTTCGACCTGGACGAATCTTTCCAAGGTTTAAAGATGATGTCGGGATCGTAGGTGGGATCTACCCAAGCGGGCCTGAAACATTTCAACCCGGGGGCCGATAGTCTACACTTTTCATGGCAGCCAGTCACAGCCATTTACGCGAAAGGGCCAAAAAAGGCGTTGATGCCTACGCGAATCATTTATAATCAGCAGGCCTCCCCGCACTTGTAAACACCTTCAAAGCCCCTCCAACGATTCTCACTGCCAGCCGAACACAAGATGAAGGTCCACGTTGTGTCCAAGGTAGACAACAATATACACGCAGTCACGAGGCTCGATCAATCATCGTATGAACAACAGATCCTCCTTGCATCAAGTGTGCGCGTTCAGCCACTCCTCATCACCCTTAGCTCAAACAATCTCAGTTATGCCCGTGGCGGGGACCTGCTACGCTGGTGCGAACCCCCCCTCTCGATTTTCTTTGCTTATTATTGGGCTTTCTCTCTCATTCACGAACTAATGAGCATACAGGTGGGATACCTATCCTGTCCCTGCAGAACTCCCCCAGCCATACAACGACCAAAAGTCCTGGGGCATCGTCCCAGCATGGGGTTACGGCTTGGTCGTAGAATCAACAACAAATATCGCCCCAGGAACAATCCTATGGGGGTTTTGGCCGACCGCAAGCATGACCGTCACGCTCAAACTCGAACCATGTGAGCCAAAGGGCTTCTGGACCGAGGTCAGCGAGTCCCGACAGCGGCTTATGACAATCTATAACAGCTACTCAGAGGAACTCAAGATTAAGATCCCCGAGTCTATATTCGAGACGAGAGACTGGACTAAACTCTCGTCCCTTGTTGATGAAGATACCCTGAAGCGTTTGTCGTGGATATCGGTCTTCCGTCCTACCTGGCAAACTGGATATCTCCTCAGTCGCCACACGTTTACTTCGAACCCGACAGTCCGCCCACCGATTCACCCTTTGGGTATCAATCTCCCCTGGACAGGCGCGGACGCGGATATTTCTGCCGCTGTCGTTGTCAGTCTCGCTGCGTCGAGCAAGACTGCCCGCTCATTTGCGTATCACATGTTCCGCAGGGATGCTGTGAAGGAGGGACCCGTGGGTTTGCTCCAGGTGTCACAGAGACCAGAGTTGTTGGAGTCTGTTCCGGGAAAACTAGGTACAGCTATTCCTGCAAAAGCAATGGGATATGACCAGGTTGGTGAGTCAATCGAGTGGATTGGTAGATTGCGACCGAAAAAGGTTGTGGTTGTTGATTTTGGCGGACGAGGCGGGGCGCTTGTGCAATTTATTGAGGGTATCCGTGCCCATTCAATTCTTACGGAAGTCAAAACGTCGATTATCCAGGTTGGTTCAGAGCAAAAGGTCATTGATTAGAAGAAACCATCACCCTTGAAGATAAAACTTTGAAACTTACTTTACGGGCAGGTTTATTCCGCCGATGAAATCACTGCAAATCGCGACTCTATGAAAACAATGGGCAAGATCCAATTCAACACCTCGGGGGTCCGTGATGCTATCATTACACATACCACTGCGAAAGATTTCTACGATCAAGCCCAGCTTGTATGGGACGATTGGATAAGCGTCAGTCATGACATCGTGCCTGATATCCAGTTAATGGTCGGCCATGGGGTCGGCGGCGAGAGAGGCATTGAGAAGGGATGGAGCAAGCTATGTCAAGGGATGGTAGGTACTGGAGAGGGATTGGTGTATATGATGTAGGAAATGGTAGTGAAGTTGACATATGATAGAACGGTCAATTGTTGGTAGAATCAGACGTAGTTCTCATATGGCAGTCTCTAGAGGCTATGGAATTCATTTCCTATTTTGCATGTTTTTGATGTGTCGTCTGGTTCCCGCCACCATGCCATTTATTCTAGCTCGATAGTACTAGGGGCTTGGAGGTTCTAGAAGAGAATGGTCAGATTGAGGCAAGGAAAAGTGAAAGGTGACTCCACTCACAAGTCATAGACAACACGGGTCACGCCCTCGACACGGTTGCAGATGGCTCGCGAAACATTCTAGGGTGAACATGTCAGTAAGTATATTGAGCATGCGCCAGCCCACTCTAGGACTACGACCATCAAACTAAAGCGTGACTTACCTGAAGGAAAGAGCTGGAGAAGTCAAACACTTCGAGGTCATGAAACCTTTTATTTTAAAAGCACGGAAAATGATGATTTCCAGCACAATCTGCATAATATACTGTCTGGGATGGCTAGTATTTTCATACTTTTGTTGCACGAGTAAACTACTCGCAAGAATAGTTGAATACCTTGAACATTATTAAATCGAGCACATGTCTTGTAATCTCTTGTACACTTAGTGAGCCCCAATTATTATTCCACTGGGCAATTCCAGCCCAATAGGCAATCCACAGATGAATTTCCCTGCATACGTGCCCCCGCGCTTAACAGCAAGTTTCTCCTCGATATCCCGATACATATCATATCTAATTAAAATTGTCAGAAATAGCTCCGGTCGATATATACTGATACAATAACTCACGCATTCATCTCTTCAATAGTGAGGACCTTCTTTGGATCCTCAACCTTATAAGTGGGGGTATCTTTGTTCACAGAGAATCCTAGGAAGAAACTGGTTAGCGTATATGCCAAGGGTTACACAAGAGCATCACCAGAATTTCTAGCTACTCACCAATTCTCTCGTTAATATTATACGCTGCCTTGGCAGCTGCAGACTGTACCCGTGTAACGCGAGGCAAACGAACCTCTTCGTACGCGGCAAGGGCCTGTGCAATATCTCCATTGAAATACTTTTTGTTGAACAGAATCCCCAGCGCTGCCGCATCCTCAATAGCCATACACGCCCTTGACTCTGGTGCGGCATCATGGGATGTCCCGCATCACCCAGGAGACAGACATTGCCCTGGTGAATATATGGGTACGGATCATGTACCCACAATCGCCATGGTTGAATTTCCTTGCCGATGGCAAGATGCTCAAGAACCTGGCGATCAAGTTGAGGGTATGGCTTGAGAAGATCCTCGACCGGAAGGGACTCGGTGCCCCAGGCCTGTGTTGTAAAGTCACCCTGGTCGCGGGGGAAGAAACAGTAATATGAGAGGAGTTTACCGCCGTTGCAGGGCGATAGGACGATCTTATCCCATTTGCCTTCTTGTCCACCCCAGTATTCTAGAGCACTGTCTTGAGAATAATTGGTCAGTCCGAGTTTTGCGGCCTCATCCGCGTCGACATTTGCGTGGAGGCAGCTAGAGTCCGATGGACGCTTCTCAGGACGAATTCCCAAAATCCCGCGAACGGCAGAGCCGATGCCGTCGGCGCCGATGATCAGATCGTGATGCACTATTTTGCCATTTTCAAAGGTGATTTTGTTCGACTTGAGATCGATATCGCGACACTGCACAATGTCAGTATATATGTCTTTCCCATGTGACATCTAAATCAATCCCACCTTGTAATTCACCAATAACTTGGCCGGTACTCCCTCCCCCTCTTCTCCTAGCGCGGAATCCTTCAACATGGAGTGCATATATTGTCGGTGAAACATGTTGTACACATATCCCCAACGCTTCTCATAGTCATCCAGACTATACACGCTAACCGGCTCACCAGTCTTCCAGTCCCGATTAATGAGTTTCTTCAAGACGACTGGATCACCCTTGGCAATATCCACCTCCCACTCATGCAGCCACCTAGTTCCGTTCGCAGCACAAGAAACGGACGCACCAACTTCACCGGCGAAATCAGAGCGTTCATAGATGGTTACCTCGTGACCAGCCCGGCGGAGGGCGATCGCCACTGACATACCGCCGATGCCTCCGCCCACCACTCCAACGTTGAGACGTTTCCAGCTTGCATTCATTTTTTTGCTGTTTGCTCTCTGTATCTGAAAAACTTTTGATGAATGATATTGATTTGATATACTCAATTTGGGGTGCCCTTGTGACATTTATCTTGCCACATGGTCTATGGGCTTGTCGGAAGACGCACCTGGCGGATCGGGGTAGGCGGACCGCGCACCGCTTATCGTCGGGTGGTGAAGGTATCCCAATGCCACAGCCCCGAGCGTGTGGGGGTGTTCAAGGTGATCATGACTATTGCATGGTTTTTCTTTACTGATAACTTCCGATCGGAATGAGTGGTTGGTGATATGAGGCCCGGGTATCCCATGCGAATGCTTATGAGTATAGAGAGATAAGCAGGAGGAGAGGACCTATGGGATGATAGTAATAATTTATTGCGAGTATGCCTGAGAGAGTAGTCTTGACACATGCTAAATGCTCGCACAGTGATATTATAAAACGGATGACCCCGGTTCTGTAAAAGGAAAGCTATCCCACAGGGGCAGCTCCATGCCCTCCCAATCCAGGAACGCTCCATCTATCACGGGTGGAGTCACTGGCCCATCCTCCTGCGGAATCCACGGGTAAAACGGACCGCCTGTGTTCAGTGGGGTCGCGTCGGTTCGGCTATCATTATTGCTCTGCATCCGTGGTGTCGACGGGCTCTCGTGCAAACTGAAGATCCGATTAACGTATCGACTGCGCCGCTGCCGCGCTTGAGCGGCTTGCCTTTGCCGCTGCTGTGTCACAGCTACCTCTAACATCATCAGAATCTCGAGATAGTGAGCCGCCTGGGCAGATTGCTGGGCAAGCATCTGGAGAATGGATATGGCACCTGCAAATGCACTATCAATTTCACTGTCGACGTCGCCATGGCAGAACATAGAGAATCCAAGAACCAGTGCTGCCGCAAATACAAATGCCCTATTCTCGGTCAGTTGCCATTTGATTCCTTCCGGATGTGTAAGCGTGCACATACTTGAGAATTCCCATATTCCGATAAAGTAATCCCGACTGGTGTACTTCTAAGCAGGTCTGTAGCATATAAATAGCCGAGTCGATACATGCAACCGCTAAGCGCGAATGCGCTGGGTCTTCTGGCGTATCTACCCCTGTCATATTTGTTGAGAGACCATGATTAGCCCGGGCCAGCCGGGCGTTCAGGGTAGATATCAAAAATGGACGAGTGACGAGGATTACAGCAAAATGATACAAGCAAGCTACATGCATATTACCAATTATGCGCTCCTGTGCCGCATCGGAATCCTCAGTCTCGCACGGTGTGCGGAGCGAGTTCGGGAGCCGTTCACTCCAGTGGTTCAGCTTTTCCAAGAGAAAGTCTGCAGTGTCAGTTGAGGCGGCTTTCTCGCTATACAATTTGCTGATGATTTCCTCTAAAATGAGGGATAACTGGTATGAAGCGACTAATCCAGTCTCGGCGGTTGCTTTTGGTACCCGACAAACTTCGCTCCGATCCTCTGGGAGGAGAGCCGCCGTGGCTGCGGGTCGGCCGAGAATCGAACTCGCCAGGAGATCGATCACGCAGAGACTCATCCAGAGTCTTGATCTATGTGGAGTCAGTACTTTTTGCGACCTGACTCTTTTCATAACCATACCTTTCATCCTTCTCGGTTAGACTCAAAGCCCCCGACGAGTCTGTATGGAGCCCGAGTGCTACTGCCGACCGGGCCGCTACACCCAAGTACATGAAGGCTGCATTCCGACGACATGCCCCAAACATATAGAATGACATGAGTAGAAAAACCCGCACCAAGTCCATACTGGGGTCTTCAAGAAGATTTGCGAACGTCCTGCGTTGGCCGCGGGTAAAGAAAAAGCGCTCGAGTTGAACCGTTTCGGGTTGATTGGGACATGACTGAGCTCCGATGGCAATCATTAAGTCTCGAATCGCTGCTCGAGTTTTCTCCCGATCCGTTTGGGGGTCCGACGTATCTGCCAAAAGAGCTTCGGTGTTGCAGCCTAGGTATATGAATCCGCTGGTCTATCTCATGTGTTAATTCGCGAGGGGGAGTCGTCTCCATTGTCGGGTCGGATCTCATACCACCGCATAGAAGACTTGAATGTACCGACGCTTGTCATCCAAGCTACAGCTGGCCTCATCAAAGTTAGATGGATCATGTTGGGCCTTGGCCTCAAGCATATCCTCGCTTCTGAGGTTATGCGAGAATTGCGAGGGGCCGATATGTTGGGTGACGGTGTCCCGCAGGAGTTGGAGGAAAGAGATAGAAGCAGCTTTTCCAACATAAACTGTAACATGAAATTAGACACCGTGAAGGTTTTCCTTTTCGCGGTTCATCCCTTGGAGAACTATACCTCTCTCCCCTTGCAAATTGAGTAGCATACGAGCGTGCGTTCGATGGGTTGCCTCAGGCGACCGTGACCCGACCTCCAGGGCGTGCTCCCGTTGCGGGTCTGTGAAATCATTATGGGGCGATATGAGAGGAGTCTGGGGTTCGGCAGGCAAATTCTCCCAGTTCACATTCACATTCCCATCGAGATTTGCGCTAGCCGACGGTCGCGTGCGGACAGGCGTGTCGGGTATGGACTTGAATGGAATACAGGATCGGGCGCGACCCTTGTGAATGCAATTGGAGCAGGGAAAGCTGCCGCTGCATCGCTTCTTGGAAGCGCGACACGCAGTGCATGCAGTATTGGCGCGTAGGCGGTTTGCAGGGAGCACCTTTGGGCGGCCCATGATGCATGAGAGATTCTGGGGAAGCAGACCGAGTTGCGAGAGAAGCGGAGAAGCGGGGAGGGAAGGCGGGAAAGCGGGTGCGCGGGCCGACACCGGAGTACAGTAGTACTACAGTAGTTACTACTGTAGGTACTACTGGAGGTTCTCGATCTACGTATAGTATGCAGTGATTACCGAGATCAACACTCTTAGATTTTATTCCTCAAGAAGTTGAAACAGAATCAATCTCTTTTATTATGCTAACGAAGTTAGTACTAGTATACAGCTTGATCGCGAGTCCGGAGTCGGGAGTCCCAATTAAGCCTAGTACCATCTACTCTATAGTACCTTAAGGTATACTACTATAATTGTGCATCTCTTCTCCCCTTCCCCCCCCCTTCTCTTCTCTCCTCTCTTCCATAAACACTGGCATATCACCGTTCTCTGTTGGGCTCATGATATGGTACCTGAGGAAAATTCGAAATGCAGCCTGGTTACGGCACCCAAACAGCTGGTTTCGAAGCGATATTTCGAAGATCCTGAAGAATGGCGTGAAGAACTCAAAGCACATCGAAAGTCAGAGAAAGCGCAGCGCTATGGGGACTTCTGAAAGCCAAAGTGATGGAGGCTGCGTGGTGAACTTAATACTGAGTCCAATGTGACTGGAGATGCTGGTAAGTCATTGGGTCTTGAACTTCGTTACTACGAGATGTCTCTATACTAACAAGCCAACGCGATTTAGCCTCGGGTGAAAAGACCAAGGCAGCTGGTGCAAAGCAATCAAGATCCCCGATGCTAGTGTGCTCTTTAACCCTGCAACAATGATGGCAACTATCGATTCCAACGCAAGATATCTTGTCACCACTTCTCTGAGATTAGTATGGAAAGCTTTGGGGGGGGGGGGCGGTAATTACTTACCACGCAACACGCTGCTCGCTGTGGTCGAAGAGCTTGGATACAAATACGAGCCACTTCTGGCCGGTGCCGCATCGAGCACCTTATCAGACTTTGAGACTTCGCTGAAGTTAGCTGCAAACCAGAGAAATACCGGGGACAAATCTCTCCCTGACAACCGTTTTATTATAGCGATGGCTTTGGAATTGATAATGACTAGCCAGCCTCTTGAATCGATTAATGTTTTGTAATTTAGGTGTTTTATCATGAAAGTCACCATCCCTCTGCTGGACAGCAGCAGACCATAATCCGCCGGTGGTGGGTTATGGCGTATAATTACTACAGGTTTCACGACCACGATAGGCCGCTAGTTGTCATTTTGTAATGGTATTGCAGCTTGCATGAAAGTCTGATCTATTCAATAATAGGGGCAAAAAGCTATTTAACAAGATTACTGCTTTGGTAAGCAGGCTAATGGCTAGTTAACGTAATTCCCGCCCGAGTGAAACACCCGCCCGAGTGAAACACCTACCCCCATTAGAAAAATTCAAAATCGATTATCTCAACCAACACCTATAAGTGTTTCACTCGGGCGGGAATTACGTTAGTTAGTTAACGTAATCCACGGCCGAGCTGCGCACCCGGTCGAGCTGCGCACCCCAAAACACAAAGTAAATGCAATAAATTACCACTTTATATCTCAGCAACCATATCTATTTATGATAATATATTAAAAGCATATAGTCTAGATAGTATTTCTAGCCTACTGGCGAAGTATAAAGAAAGTATTGGAAGTACTGATAGAGATATATATATTTATGTCCCTCCTGTCAAAATTACGCTGTATTTTATGGTAAAGCATCGAAATAACCATCTAAATTGCTTAAAACTAAGTTATGTTATTTCATATGCTAGAAAAAGCCTATATTATAATATTCAAGTAAAATCAAGCCATGGTTGTTGAGATATGAAGTGGTAATTTATTGCATTTACTTTGTGTTTTGGGGTGCGCAGCTCGACCGGGTGCGCAGCTCGGCCGTGGAAACGTTAATGCATCGACTGATGACTCAGCACATAAAAATTTGTCATCTTGCTCGGAATACGACGAATAATTCTTAAGCTTGGAATTGCTTACACCACAACGCTAGGCGATGATAAATTGGGTGCCGAATACGGCTACGTTTGACGTCATTTCAATCGTGCTATTGACCCAAATCTTAGTTATTAAATCCCTAAGTGATTTATTCCGACCAACTTTTACTATTTACTTACTGGGTACTTAGGGATCAGCTCACTCTTCACTTTGGGTGCTTATGGCAGAAAATCATGGATGCATCATTTTACCATCTCTCACCACCTTTCATCTGAATTTCCAACTACAACTTCGCTTACTTACTATGCTTTTCTTACCTGAGGTATCAGGCCTAGTGCTTTCTTTCAGACACACTCAGATGACGCCTTCGTCAGAGAAAAAGGTTTTTCTCTTGTCTATAAATACAGCTCCGTTATGAGACTGAATAACGTAAGAGCTAATGATACCAACTAATTTTGGATGAAGCAGATTATATACATCATTCGATGACACGCCGCCAGAGCTTGACTGGCATCTTCTCCGGCACCAGGTTGAAATGTTCAACCCGTTCCAGTTCCCACTCTGGAGAAAGCAAAGCCATTTCGTAACGGTGGATCAGAGAGGCGACTAAAACAGTCTGCTCTAGATAACTAATGTTGCGGCCGATGCAGCCCCGAGCTCCTGCACTGAAAGTAATAAAGTAGGGCTGGAGCTGCTTGCCTTGTTCACCAAGCCAGCGTTCCGGTCGGAAGGTCTCCGCGTCAGGGAAGATTTTCTCGTCTCGGTGGGCGACGTAAGAGGAGATCGAGACATGCGTGTTTCCGGGCAAGAAGTCGCCCAGCACGACACAACCTCCCGGAGGGGTTTTCCTGGGGAGGCCAAACGACGTTGGAGGAAACAGACGCATGCTTTCATCCAAACATGCTCTCAGATATGGCAGATCCTTCAGTTTGTCATAAGGAATGATGTCCTCATCGGGATCAACAACGCCATCGATCTCCAACCGAAGCTTCCGTAGCTCGCTCGGATGGCGCAGAAGCAGATAGACAACGTTCTGGATTGCGATCGCGGTTGTGACCGAACCGGCATTCACTATTTTAATTACAATTAGTAATCCAGTCAGGAGGGTCGGTAGCTTCTTGTTATGGGCCAAACAATGGACATACTCATGACGCTCAGCTCTGCGAAGATTTCGCCGAATGGAAGTTGATGAGGGACACCCTCATTGGTTTCCATCATTGCCTCGAAAAAGTCATCCATGCTTTCTCCAGCCTGATATTGCTTTAGCCTTCTCCGGGTTTGATGCATGACGATACCTTCAAAACCTTTGCCCTTCCGCACTAGTTGGCGGTACCTGGCCGAAACGCGAGGCACCCACTTCCATAAAGACTTGTACCACCCATATGCCCAGACAAGATGTGACTGAGCTGTGAGTAAGCTGTGAATGCTATCGCGATAACTGGCCGAATGCAATGTGCCACTTAGCGTCTCTGCAATTGTTTCATCATCTCCCCGATCCAAAAAGCCAAGAATGTTGCTCAAGCCAATATCAACGATAGCTTCCATGGTGAAGAAGTTCACCCAGGTTCGGAATTCAACATTAAAGTCAATCGGATTAGGCGCACATTTATCTTCAATCGGGGAAGTGCAACGTGCGTCAAATTGCTTGAAAAGTCGCTCTACTTTGTCCACGACCTTGAACTCCCAACCTTCCAAATGCTTGATGGCGTAGGCGCTAGATAGAACTCTTCGCTTGCGTTGATGCTCCTTTTTATCCGCAACATCCGCAACGTGGAAGTGCGTCCCCGCTGTAACGGCGTAGAAGTCTCCTTTGAGACATTTCGTCCCGTGTCCGTAAATGTCCTACCAAGCCTCCATTTAGTTTCATCGATCTATCGAAATGACCCAAAGCAGATGACCTCACCTTAATCGCTTTTAAGTCGCCGTAAGAAAGCGATTCTGGTCCAATGCGAATGACCGGATGCACCTTGTGTAGCTCTGCGAGGCGTCCGCACCGGTAACCCTTCGCTGCTTCCAGCATGAAGGGTACATCGCTGATGCCGGACCAAAATGTCATATTGGGGTATTTGCGGAGCCCCTTATGATCGATGAAGTATTTAGCAACAGGCCATATTATCAGTCGGTACAGAGCCAACAAAAAGGTCGCGCCGAATACATATAGCCCGTACATCACGAAAACGTTCAAGTTGGAACTAGAAAAAGAAAAGCGATCTGTGGTGAAGTTCAAACTGCAGCTACAAACGCACGGCTCCTATTTATTGCCATTAGCTATTTTCTCTCACGTGCTACCATTAATCGTTACGTGGGTGGCCATCGTCAACAGTTCTTAACAACAGACGCGAAGGATATCGGGCTTGGTAACCACGATAGTCGACGAGTGGACCGACGAGGCCAGGGCTCTTGACTTTCGGGGTGATTTGCCCCATTTGTTGAACCGCGTTCGCCACATCTCTTTTGGCCAGTATCGCGATAGAGCGTAACGTTACTAGCGGATTTCACCATCCCATTGCTTGGCATTGCTTATTAACATGCTTTGTCGTCGTAATCTGTTGTTAAATAGTTTTCCTACGGTATTCTAAATTGAGCAGATTGATACCATTTTCCATACAATACTATTTTTCCCCACTATGATCGATTCCAGGTTGTGAAAGCAAGTGGGTACGCGAGATTAAAACGACGAATCACATTCTAAACTCGTCTACACTCCTCTCGTCGTAGGGGTAATTTCCCCCATTTGTTGAACCCCGCTCATCACCACATCACTTTTGGTAATTGGGTGCATAAGGACAAAATGACGAAATCCAAACAATCACAATTTGAATTTGTCTTTGCCTCTCTCATCGTAGAACTACTAATATTAATTAACGTGTCTTGCCTGTTCCTGGGTTCCAGATTAATACTTATTTTTATCCAATTTGACTACCAAGGGTTTTTGTTACTATACCCGGTGGCGTTAACCTCTTCTTAGTTCCCAGCATGGATACAAACATGCGCCTGGGCGTATCCCATGCCACACAAATATGGGATGATCTCGGTGCTGCTTTGGTTTTCGTGATCACCACGTTTTACTTATTGCTTGCAAAATTCGAGAATGATCCCTACCATCACCTATGGTTCGAGCGGCCACAGGCAGATATGAAAACCAAGGCAAAAGAAGCCGAATCGAATATTGCGAAATTTTTGCGAGAGTCGGTGAGTTTATTTGCCCTCCCTCGTCGGTGCAATATGTCAAAGCCAAAAAGAAAAGGGCCAGTGACTGACGTTATTTTGATAGGGTCAAGATATCGTGATATTTTACGGGTCTCAGTCTGGCACATCCCAACGGTTGGCCCAACTCCTTGGTCACGCGATCGATCGCCAGTTTTCCAAGTCAGTCTGTATCGCGAGTCTCGCCGACTACGACAGCAGCTCAATTGCTGAGATTGCTCGCAAAAGTCTCATCATCTTTATTCTCTCAACATATGGCGAAGGCGAGCCCCCAGACAATGCACTCTCATTCTATGATTGGCTTCAAAAGGGTCGAGATACAAGACATCTTGAAGGGCTTCGCTTCTCGATATTGGGATTAGGCAGTAGCAACTATAAGTCTTACAATCAATTCGCACGTTCTACATTCGATCTCTTGTGTGACTCCGGCGCCGCTCCGATCCTCGAGTTGTCCCTTGCTGATGACGCCCTTGGATTGGCTGAAGAAGACTACCATAGCTGGGCTACCAACCTCTTTCAGGTTCTGGTTGACAAGTTAGGCATGCAGGAGATGCCTCGGCCCTATGAACCGTCACTGCAAGTCGACTTTTGCGATGAAAATTGCATTGATGAATCAATTTACGCTCCAACTCAAAAGTCCGAGACAAAAGGCAAAAGGACAAACACAAGCCCGGGTACAATATCTTGTCTACCGGTATTGGAGACTCGTTACCTCACAAATTCACTTGATCGACCAGTTTTTCATCTGGAGTTCGATCTATCGGCTCGACCCGAGTTGAAATACGCTACGGGGGACCATCTCGGCCTCTGGCCAGAAAATGAAGACACTGAAGTCCAAAAACTACTGGGAAGACTCGATATCCCGTCGGCTAATTTCACGAAGTGTCTGAACATCCAGTCCGCCAATCGTGACTCTTTCTGGAATCCTGTTTGGGATGGCCCGATCACGATACATGCTTTGTTCAAGAGACATCTGGAAATCGCCGCGCCAGTATCACGAGACTTCATTCAAGATTTGCAGCAATTTGCCCCGACAGCCACATCAAAACTGTTTTTGGATTCGCTGTTGTCGGATGGAGCGCGGTATATGCATTATAGATCTACCTGCAACATTACGCTAGGGTCTCTTATGCTAGACGCATGTCCAAACCAATTGTGGCAAATCCCATTATCGTTTCTATTGGAACGCGTCCCAGTGATGCGACCACGATATTATTCCATAGCCTCAGCTTCGAGCGTTACACCACGCCGGATTGCTATTACCGTCAGCTTGAACACAATCCATTTGCAAAATACCAGGGAGACTGTTAAAGGCCTGGCATCGCACTACCTACTACGAAGATTTATCGCACCTCAAAAAGTGGCTGCTTCGCCTATTTCTGAGAACGGTGAACCTGATTCGTCGCTGAAAGTTGAGAGATCAGCTTTCTGTCACATTCGAAAATCCAAGTTGAGAATGCCAGCAGCCCCATCCCAGCCTATCATTATGATTGCCACTGGTTCCGGTATTGCCCCATTCCGAGGGTTTGTCCAGCACATGGTGAAACAAGCAAAGCTGGGAAAGGAGCTTGGGCAAACAATTCTCATATTTGGCTGCCGCGCGCCCACAGACCATCTTTACAAGGAGGAGCTTGACTTTGCGGCAGAGCAACTGAACGGCAAACTCCTTCTCTTTACTGCCTATTCCCAAGTTGGTGAGGAAAGCAGTCATGTGCAAGATAAGATCAAGGAGCAGGATCTTGTGACTGAAATGATTATTGAGGAAGACGCGAGTCTTTATATCTGTGGTTCTACAGGTATGGCGCGTAACGCCAGTCAAGCATTGCGAGATGCACTTTCCCAACGCTACAAGTGGTCCGATTCAGAATTTGCAGCTTTCGAGTTGACGAGGAAGAAAGCCCGGCGATGGCAAGAGGATGTTTGGGGTTGAAAAGTCTTTTGTGTTGGCGTGAACAGTGGTAGATGGTCCCTCCTAGAATAGAAATGAGAGCGGTTAGTTACAAGGTACTAAGTTAAAATTATTCTCTAATTCCCAAAAGAGAAGCAGGCATGAAAGGACGTATCCTAACGGTGTCTGTAGGTATGCACTTATATCTGGTGTATAATAACACAGCTAACCTCCACGTGTATTCTGAGCAGGATACGTCTTTCAACAATTAACAAGATCTACAGATTTTCAATGAAAGTCTTCAAAAATAATCTCTTACAACATTAAACAGTTTTCTTTTTATGATGCCAAATGCATTGCGCCTGGGCCCTCTGTGGAGTGTGTACGAACGAAATCGTGGAAATCATACAAGAAGCACATAGCCAAATAGAAAGCGCACTTGGAGCTCACGCATAGGATATGTTAAACCATCGATTATGCAAAAGCTCACCTTCCATTTGACCTGAGTAAGGTCAATGGTCGAGTGTTGCTAGACCATAGATAACGACAAGGAACCTTCAAAGCGCCTTTCCCCACACGCCTAAAAGTCAGCCTTGGCATAGATGTTCTCCATATGAGTGGCCGTCTGTCCGTCCCATTTCTCATTCGCCTGCAACTCCAGCTGAGCATGACTGTCGAGCTCGGAGTCAACAACGTCCAGGACATCAACATGGTTGGCGGAAGAAACAAAACCGGGTGACTTCCATGCGACCGAGACTTTGGAGTAGAGCTCATCGATTTGCTCCAGGGAAAGCCCCTTGGTCTCATATATGCAGGTGTAGACGAAGATGGCACACAAAAAGCAGAAGCCACCCCAGATGAAAAACACCTTAGACTGGAGGTTCGCGTTACGAGGCCCGCTATTGACCATGTAAGGGGTGGCGTAGGCAATCACGCAGTTGAAAAGCCAGCAAGTAGCGGTTGTGATGGAAATACACTTGGCACGAGCCTTGAGTGGGAATAACTCGCCGGTGACAACCCAGGCGATGGGACCCCATGAGCTGGCAAAAAAGAAGATATACACGCAGACAAATGCGATAAGCACTTGATTCGAAATGGTGGAGGTAGTGACCGTGCCGACGATGGCAACAATGAGTTGTGAGACGCACATGCCGACGGCACCGAACAAGAGGAGAGGACGGCGACCCGTTTTGTCTGTTAAATACATACCTGGCAATGTGGATATGAGGTTGATTATACTTGTAATGAGGGAAATAATGAAGGAGTTCTGAATACCCGAGTTCTGGAAGAACGTGGTACCATAGTATACTGATGCATAATTAGCATACGAGCTTGTGGATATGTTGAGGGAGCGGCTATCACTTACAGATAAAGTTAATACCAGCAAGCTGCTGTAGAGCCTGAATTGCACAGCCAGTGGCCAGGCGCTTGCCAATAGAACCGCGCATGATCTCAAGGTAATTAGCGTCACCCATACGGAGCTCAGATTCGTGGTGGGCTTGGATCTCGGCTAATTCCTCGATGATGGAAATATCATTGACGTCCAAACGACGGAGACGAGCCAGAGATTTTGCGGCTTCGTAGTGCTTGCCCTTCTTGATGAAGAAACGCGGAGTCTCGGGCAGAACAATCATTCCCGCCACTAGGATGATGGCCCAGGCAAACTGGACAGCAACAGGGATGCGGTAGCAGCCGGTATCGTTGCGGTCTTTCGTGGCGTTATTCACGATAGAAGCTAAGAGCAGACCGAAGGTGATGGCCAACTGATAAGCACCAACAATGACATCACGAATCCATTTTGGCGCTGTCTCGGACTGGTACAAAGGAACTATAACGTGCGGTCAGCATGGCGTCCAGATGGATACGATTCCTAATAGATTACTTGTTGCCGACAGAAGACCGACACCCAGACCAGCAAAGAACCGCCCAGCGACCAAACAGTGGAATTGCAGTGGAAGCAGTCTGCAAAGTGACACCGACACAGAAAACGAAACTGTTTATGATCATGGCAAGCCGACGACCAAAAGTATCGGCAAGAGGGGCCGCACCCAAAGCACCGAAAAAGGTACCGGCGGAGAGAAGGGAGACAATCATTGAGGATTGCGACGAGGTGACTCCTGGAAGACCATCATTAGGGTCGACATAGCCAGTCGAGAACATCTCTCTCCAGAACTTCATTGCAAGAATGCCACTGATAGTACCAGTGTCATATCTGTAGTATCTTGCGTTAGTGTTGATGGGATCGAAGGGAAAGCAATGGTTGACAAGGACTCACCCAAACAAAACACCACCAAATGAAACAAAGAGGCCGATGACTATGGCCGGCACAGCTGAGCCGGCCGCATCATCGGGTCTTTTCAAAGCAAAGCCCATTTCAAGAGATTGAAACAGGTTGAGACGGATGAGACCGATTTACCCCGTTCTAAGAGAGGATAAAAGAATCTAGGACTGCTTCTCAGAAGATATGAAACAAGACCAGCACGAGAGGCAGTGGATAGAAGCACAATGTAGAGCTGAAACTCCCGAAGACCAAAGACAAACGGAGGGGAGAGAGGCAATATTTGTATTCCATCGCCGCAATCGACCGCGGATGACAAGACGATCAAAGCATGTCAGCCATAACAGAGTAGTGTTTCTGATTGGGGTCTAGCTTTTACCTCGAAAGTGATTGTCTTGCACCCACCCCGCTTTTCCTGCCATAGCAAAGCCAAAAGGCTCGACTGGGACTTGAGCAACTATCAACCAGCCCGACGGGGTAGCTCACCCCGTGGGGAAGGGTGCCCCGATGCGGTAACTAGCAATTGAGGGTCCGGTCAGGGATTCCCCTTGGGAAAAATGCCGCCGTTTAGGTTTTGGGCCCAGCCGAACCTCCACGGTGTTCTCCGACCGAGTACAAGTGGGATGCATTCTGCGAAAAGGCACTACGTCACATAGTTTCTATGAACCATCCCAACTCTTGAGCTATTACTGATTTAGGTGTGTGTGGGGGTGGCCCAGGCCTTAGCAACCAATCTCGCGAATCGATTTCGTAAGTGGAATATCCCACGAACGAAATCAAACCTAGTAATTTTGAAGCACCAAGACGGGGTGGTTGCCCGGGTTACCTGTCACCGAGCTCCTATTGATAAGAAGAGACCAACCAGTTAGCACTCAGCGCTATCACGGCCACTTGACTGGTCACATGAATGACCGGGCGGCATGGAGCCAGTCGAACCACAACAATCATACATTTCTATAGCCGAGGGGAAAATGGCCTAATGGGCTTAGTATCTTTGCCAGGACACGGGTTATGCTACTATGATGCTCATCTGACCAGACGAATTATAAGATCGGAATGCGTTGGGCTATATTCCACCTAGATGACTGCAATTATCATTGGGAGGAGGCGATATTTTCCAGCCGCGACTCTTGAAGAGCGTTTCTGATTCTCTTCGTTGGCCATCCATGCACAATCTCAGTTCGTTGTAGCATATCAAGCAGTAATTTATGGTCTTCTTCGTTGACTAAGCGATCACCAACAAGAGATATCCCGAAGCAGGATAAACACATGGCTGGTCCAAAGTCAGAATGGCTGAGACTCATCCCACACAGGAGACGACAATAAATCCGCGACATTTCTCTCCGTTTTTTGAATTTCTCGATTGCTTCCCAGCCCGATCCGTAGCACTGTGGGATTAAATGATGTAAGTAGGATCTTGCTTATAAGGTGATATCCGAATACAACCACTATTGCAGATCAACCAATGTCAGCCCACGTCGTCGAATTTTTCACTCGTAACCTACCGGCTGAATCATCGTGAAACCACATCTGAGGAAATCGAGAATTGCTGCTCTCAGATTCTGGGAGAACATAGACTGGGTGAAGGCTGCGTGGTAGCATATGATATAACTCCTGAATCATCCCATGAACCACCTGGTAGTTTTCTTGTGTTCGATGATGGCCACCAAAGCAAAATGTCACGATTTTAGCAAGGGTAAAAATGCAGCAATTTGCCCAATCGAATGCATCAGATAGGTTATAGGCGCGCTTCACGAAACTGACGTCGAGATTTATTTCGAGAGAAGAATGATTGAGAAGAGACGAATTGATTTCTTGCCTCAACGCCACCCAATAGGTGCGCTCGCGAAATTTGGATGGGTAGACGTCGAAAAGATCGGAATTTGTGAATTTCTCAATCCCCAGTAATTGAACTTGGTGGTCGGGGCCGCAGTAAACACCTACCACGAATTAGAACCGAGATTTACTCAACATAGAGGAGTTGACAGGTAAAATCCTCTCAATTAAACCAAAAGTGGACACAAAAACTTACTATCGAATTCCTCTTTAGTTCGTAGCATGATCATGGCCGCAAAGAGGTCGTCATCCGCTATGTCTGGTCCTGAATTCAAAATCGAAAGGAGGGCATTGAAGCAGTCATTATGATACGCTTCGGCTTTCTCGGAGTGAATGAGCCCCAAATTTGCACATTGCCGCGATGCAATGGCAAGAACAGAATTGAATATTATGATATTTGTCGCAGCTCGGCGCATTACTTCTCGGGTGAATGTTTTTTGCTCATCGTAGAGATCAAACTGCAAATGCTCTTACGTTAATTAACCAAGGCATTGGCGAATAGTGATAGACAGGACTCAGTAGACTTGCCCAAGGACCAAGGGTGTCAAAAAAATGGCGGAACAACATGGCCTCTTCCGCAGAGCTGACTTTGGGCCCACACGGAGGAGGCCAGAGCGAAAGTGAGGGGGTCCGGATTGCCGGCGAGTCAGACGGTGGGCGGAAATATTCTGATTCGGCGGTATCATCCGGAGTTGACGGAATGTCAGTGTCTATCTCGTCCTCGTCATACCTTCTGTGGGAGAGTGTCGGTGTGGAAGAGCTATTGTCAAGAGGACTGCCTTTCTCTTCCACAAAGGAAACTTTTAAAAATATCAACTTTCGTTCTCTTAGAAAGGGTAGCGTATGGACCAACTCTCTGGGATCCGAACCCATTGCTGCTCCGAAGAAAATAAGAATTCATAATCTCGCGCTTGTGTATTACTTCCACGATCCAAGCTGTCATTTTGTCAGTGGCCAATCACAAATTGAAATTAGACTAAGACGACCTGCTGAGTATGCGGAACCGATATGCCTCGTCTCGAGTACATCTCAGCTTTGCTTTTTCACAGTTTGTACATTGCACTGTGTTTTCGGTATAAATACCTATAACGAGCATGTTAAAACTTCGACTCAAGTTTGAAAGAGAAAGGGCACTGATTCCTTACACTTTACGTGGCGCCTCCTGCAGGGCTATCATCCTCAGCGCCATATTCAAAAAGAAGTCGGTAAACTTACCAGACAACCACCTTGAGTTCGTTTTAAAGTGGGACGCGGGGAAGGCGATCGATTGCGGCTGCTCATCATGCAGCGGACTTCACAAGGGTGAAAGGTAGACACTAGGAAGTGTGAAGGTATTGGCTTTTCGACGTCGCAGCCCCGCTCCCCATGACTAAGACATCACCAGATGCGGAATGGAGTACCTGACATCCTTCCTCGAGAACTCCTTTCCTTGTGAAAGACTCACAATCGCGGCATCACGAAACACCAGCTTCTTGCGAAATTTTCTCACAGCCTAGGTATAACGGGATTGAGTAGACATCGCTGTAACGCTAGCCGATGAGTTATGAGTTACTCAGAATAGTAGCCAGCTTCTTTTATTATTTTCGCATATGTGTCTGATACACTACAATTGCATCGGAGAGGCGGCGTCTCGTAGGAAGGCTTAGCGTCGCGTGGATGCATACTTTGCCAAAGCGCGTCTTTCTGTTTCCGGGCCTGGTTTCCTCTCTCGGAATTTAGATGAAAGTTCGGGATGTTTTGCCAGATTCGGTACTCAACGGGCTCCCCTACGTTTTGCAGTGGCAACTTTCGAAGATGGCCCCCACTTAGGGCCAATTGAAGACCCGTGGTTGGCATCACTTTGCGGTTAACGCCGCCCCCCTGAATGAGGAGTTGGATGTGGGGTCGGGCTTGGGGGACGAACTATATAGTGGTAGCATTCAGGTTCCTAAGCTGAAAGAGATCTCACAATCCTGTATCTGGCTTACACCAAGTTCAAATTAGGATAGCCGAACGCGTTTCAAAAATGTTTCTGGCTCAGATCGCCGGATTACTTTGCTTGCTGGGGGGAGTTGATAGCTTGAAGCTTGACAAGGGCCGAAGCTCGGTTCGTCTCAACCAAGGGAGGAGGTTTGCGGCCAATTCTACCTGCCCTACGGACTACACGACGTACGCCAGCTTCGGTCATGCTCCATATTCGGCGGGCAAATACCATTTGCCCTATCAGCGTCCTCCACCGGAATGCCGCACTTTCGTGTCCGAGGCTGTCGAAGACACTATCCAGCAAATGAAGACGATCATAGCCGACCCGGACCTCTACCGGCTGTTTGAAAACAGTTACCCAAATACGCTGGACACGACGGTCAAGTGGAAAGGCAAGGTGAAAAACTCGGATGAGGAGCTCACGTTCATCATCACTGGAGACATGTGAGTCCCCGCCTCGCATTCATAATTTCGGGATTCGGCAAGCGACCAGTGTTCTAATCGAGCCCTTTCTAGTGATGCGATGTGGATTCGCGACTCGACTTCTCAGTTGCATTCCTACTTGCCTTTTCTCAAAAATGCGACATCTCGAGACTCTTTTGCCTCCCTTTACCGCGGGCTGATCAACCTTCAATCTCGGTTTCTCCTCGAAGCACCATACTGTAACGCATTTCAGGCACCTTTGGAGTCGGGTCTTCCCCCGGCGAACAATTCAGGCGCCTCGGCCCAAACTACCGTGACTCCGACACCCAACAACAACACGGTTTTTGAATGCAAATATGAGCTCGACTCAATTGCGAGTTTCCTCCAAGTGTCCTCCGAGTATTTCGAAGCCACTCATGATACCAAATTTTTCACAAAATACAAATGGGTCGACACTCTGGAAGCCGTCTTGAAGGTTATTGAAGATCAAACCTATCCAACATACTCAGCAAATGGTTCAGTCGTCATCGCACCATACACGTTCTCGGCATTCACGGATCGTTCCACCGAAACACTCAGCAACAACGCCTATGGTAATCCTGTTGAGGGAGGCACCGGTCTCGTACGCTCAACCTTCCGACCGTCCGATGATGCATGCATCTACGAACTCTTCATTCCGGCCAATATGATGCTGGCCGCGAAATTGAAGGCCGCCATTCCCATCATCAAGTCTATCGGCAATCATGAAAACTTGGTCCGTATAATGCAAAATCGGGTTGCCCTGATCCAGGACGGCATCCGTACCAAAGCCGTTACTGCTGAAGGTGTCTTTGCCTTCGAGATTGACGGCTTCGGTGGCGTCAACTCTATGGATGACGCGTCAGTGCCCAGCTTGCTCTCCGCTCCTTATAATGGTTACCTCTCTCGCAATGACCCCATCTACCAAGCAAGTCGGAGAAAGATTCTCAGCCCCAAAAATCCATACTACATGCAGGGACCTGTGATCAATTCGGTGGGCAGTCCCCACATTGGGCCTGGATGGGGCTGGCCAATGGCGACGATCATGCAGATTCTTACCAGTGATGACGATGAGGAAATCACCCATTGTCTGGAAACTCTGGTTAGCAGCACCAACGGCCTTGGTGAGTCTCACAATCTCTGACTAATCTCAGATTACTCAATGCCATTCGAGGTATCAATACTGACCATCACATTTTCCGGTTGCAGGACTAATTCACGAATCTATATTCACATTTAATGAAACCGACTTTACTCGGCCTTGGTAAGAGCACCTTTTCGCGAAGTTAAAACGTTCTTGGCTTGAATAGATACTAAATCGAAATCGCAGGTTCGCGTGGGTCAACGGCCTGTTCGGCGAGATGATACTCGATTTGAACACGCGCAAGCCACACCTTCTCAAAAAGAGCTTCCAGTAATGTTCTCTAGCCATAGCCATCATGGGAGAACGGAATCATTTGGGAACCGTTGTTGAGGTTGGGTGATTTCTTTACCATTATAACAGGAGGTTAAGTGCCGGAATATTGATGTTGATAAATCTCACCCAAACGTCGGCCACAAGCGTCTTTCTGCTTGGAAACCCCGCACGATGGGGGTTGGATCTGCAAAAAACCAGCCATAGATGAGCTCTTGATATGGTAGCAATGCATTACCCAAAATGAAGGTAGTCCGTGTTTTAAGTCGAGCAACGAATGCGACAATGTTTGAAAATTATTGTCATCAGGTTGTAAGTTAGATGAATTGATTCGGCGTGAGTACATCTCTACTAGTGGAAACCTGCGTGCCGTTGATTTCTCCCCGCTCAGCCGATGATACTTCACGATCGACGCCGTCAACCGTCTCGGCCACAGTAAGGTGATGGGCCACCTTGACGAAGGAGAGGATGTGCTTGGATGCTTTGGCGATGTTAATAAGCTCATAGTACTCAATCACGAATCGATGTATTTCAAAGAATGGAGGACGATACATCAAAAGATGCATCAAATATGTAGGATATCAAAAAAGAAATAACAGGAACCGAGGCTTGTCTATACGCCAAACACGGGAGGACCATTCCCAACCCAAATTCCCTCCGTTGAATGCAAAAAGACGCTAGAAATGCACAATTAAACCCACCCAAGAAAGCAGACTCGGGATCTGGCCTATCAACGGCCTATGTCCTTGTTCAATACCAGTCATTTCTCGCCGGCTGAAGTGCTGACAAAACCTACGGGTCGGCGGTCCAGGCTTTGAAAGATCCGAAAGCCAGATTTGACCCGGAGAATTTGTTCAGTTTGGCCCTACCGTCACTTAAATAGAGAGTAAACAAGTAGCCTTTCCCCATTGCCACAGTCGTTGGCGGTCGCAACTCAACACAATCGATTTGAGAAATCAGAAATAGCCAGCATAAGGATCTGTCACAACATGAGGAGAGAGAGTATCGTCTATTATGTAACGAATAGATCCATAGAGCAAAAGAGTGTGTATTGAACGTTGTCACGTCGAGCGAGAGGTCAGTTCCCACTGGTCCTTACTAGACCTGGCATTGCACCGCCTAGAGGTGCAGGGTTACCCTTGTAAGAGCTCGATGCATGCAAATATGCGTAGTATTAATTGAAAAGTAACAAAGCTGAAAGAAGAAAAAAGAGAGATAGGCTCTCGAATACAATACTATTAGGGCGGGAGTGTGGGTCACGTGCTGGGCATGTGACCGAGACGACCTCAGGTTCGTTACACTACCCCCTCCTCTCAATAGGCCTGGTCCCAAGGCCTGAATTCTTCGATTCCGACCTCTTGTCTGAATTGCAGTCTCATTCCTATCCGGGCTAGTCATTGCTTTGTCATCGTCGTCATGGTCATCTATAAATTCGTCGTCCTCTGCGGCTTTCAGCTATAGCGGTAATCGTAGTGGTGGTCCTGGTTTGTCAGGGTATTGGTTATGGAATAGCTTCAATTTCTCTGGGGTATTTTTGAAATCACCTGCAGAGTACTAATTCGTGTCCTTATTTCTAATCTATGATGCCCTGTATTGTAATCGGCGATAATAGATGCGTGAATCCTCAATCTCGTCTACTTTGTATGCTTCTTCCTTGTCAATGACGATTGGGGGCGTAGTATCGGGGATCTGGCCGGTCAACGGTGCTGAACGGGCGGCCGGGCGAAGTTTATCTGGTGAGAAGACCGGGTGGACTTTTATTGAATTAGGTAATTTAAGACGCTATGAATTACCCTCCTTCTTGTTAATTTTGAATGGTCTATGTTGCTGGTTTGAGAGCTTTCGGCTACATCGTCCGGTCTTCTATATTTGAGCTGTAATGAAGACTAATTGACCGGGGGCGAATATGTCTGTACGGCGTCGAGTATCTGTGCGTCGTTTCTGATTCGCCTGAGCTATGTCTATTGCCTTGTGTGCTCGGTCCTATATATTTTTTATGTTGTTGGCTATATCTCGGGCCTGCTGGGTATCTTCTGAGAAGACTGTGGGTGTGTCTGTCGTCTAGTTAAAAGATATCCGAGGGTTGTATCCTTTTTCAATAAAGAATGGGGATTGTCTGGTACTGCTCTGTGGGAGTGTAGCCGTTGTATAGTTGATTAGGGGTAGGTATTCAGACCAGTTATCTTGATGATAATTAACATAGATATGCAATTGCTGCGCTATATACTTATTCGTAATCTTACTTTGCCTACCGGTTTGAGCATGGTGATCTGTTGATAATTTCCGCATAATGCCGAGGATGTGGGTAAGCTCCGTCCAGAATTCTGAGATAAACTGAGGACTACGGTCTGAGACGATAGTATCTGGGATCCTGGACTATAGGAGTATGTATTGAATGAACAGCCATGCCATCTGCTTTGTATCTGTTGTTTTGTGGCAGGGAATTGAGGTCTGTCTCTTCGAGAGTCGATTAATAAATACTAGGACCGTGTCGTAGCTGTGCTTGTCTATAGGGAATGACCGGAAATCTATTGAAAGGTGTTGACCGGGGCGTTCAGGAATGGGGAGGGGATGTAGCAACCTAGGAGGTTTGTCCTGCTAATACTTTGTTTGTTTGTAAGTTAAGTAATTATCGATATATCGGGTTATATCGGCCACGTATCCGGGCCAATAGTATTGATGTTTGACGAGTTTTAATATTTTGCTGTGTCCTGGGTGTGATGTGCTCGGTTGTCGATGAATCTCATCGAGCAGGCGGGCCTGGAGATCACTATCATCAGGAACTGCTAGGCGACCTTTGAATAGTAATTGATTATCCTTGATCGTCTATTGGGATTTGTTCTTATCAGAGGTTTGCTCTCGATATTTATTAAATGACGGGTGCGTCTGATTGGCAAGCAGAACATGTGCTATGATGGTCTCTGGGATAGCTGAGAGGGTGTTAACTAGCGTGACTATTATCTGAACTGCTGGATTAACTGTTGATCCGGCTCCGTCTGTGGGTTGTTCTACTATTTTGGGGGGAAATATCGGGGGCTGCTTAGTTTGCTTGTCGAGCTTCTCCTTGTGAGGCAGGATATCTGTAATTGTATTGGTGCTTCTAGGCCGATATTAAATGATGAAATGGAAGTATGAGATAAATTCTGCCTGTCGGGCTCGACAGGGGCTGAGTGTCTTCTTTGTTATGAAGTACTGTAAGGTATGATGATCGGTGTAGATATAGAAGCAGTCTTCTCGTTGTAACCCTTCTAATTTAGGACGCCATTCGGTTAATATGTGTACGATAGCGAGGAATTCTTGATTAGGTATACTATAGTTTCGTTCTGCAGGGTCTATTGACTTGGAATAATAAGCGACTGGGCGCCATAAGGCATCAGGGGAGGTGTACTGCGAGAGGACTGTACCGGTACAACCTTCAGAGGCGTCAGTTTTGACCTTTGTCTCTAGCTCAGGATCGTAATGTCGTAGGACGGGGGCGTTCGTTAATCGAAGCTTGATTTTATCAAATGTAGTCTGGCAATCTGCGGTCTATTCGAAAGGGACCTCTTTCCTCGTCAGGAGATATAGGGGTTTGGCAATACGGCCATAATTTGTAATAAAGCGGTGATAGAAGTTGCCAAAGCCAAGGAACGACTGTATACCCTTTACTGTCGTCGGTTGTTGCCAGTTCTGAATAGCTTTAATCTTCTGGGGGTTAACCTCTAGGCCATCAGTGCTGATGAAGAAGCCTAGGAACTTTGTGCGGGTGACATGGAATTCGTACTTCTCTCAGGGATGCCTGTAGACCTGTATCGATCAGGCGCTGTAGTACCAGATTTATGTGTTTAATGTGCTCCTTGATCGTATTACTGTAGATCAGGATATCGTCAACGTAGGTGGTGTAGAAATCATCGAGATACTCTCCCAACGTATTGTTAATAAAGCGTTGAAAGGTAGCAGGCGTATGTGTAAGCCTGAATGGCATTACTTTGTATTTGAACGACCTATTATACCTTCTTATAGAGCTAATCTTTATATAGGTATAATAAGCCACCGGCTGTGTGGGATTATTTATAGTGAATCGGATTTTTTCTGCCAGGGGTGGCAGTACAACTGCTGGGAACCTACCAACTAGAGCGGTTACTCGATCGAACACTCAGATCCTTCTTATTCTCGCTAAAGAGGGTTTTTCAGGCTCTTACAATCTTATAGGAAAATGTCAGTTACTTTATTATTCCTTTATGCTACTACTTCTACTCTCTGACAGCTATATAGGTATTCTAAATCTATAGACCTACTCTAAACAGAAAGTACTTTAGATATCAGATTGACAAAAACGATCAGGGCTGTAGAAAAGGTGATAGTGCCATATTGTTTGGATTCTATCTCTTCTCTCTATCTTAATACCGAGGTAATTCATCGATTATTTAATAATAGATACGGTAGTTTAAAATAGCCTATAGATATACTGTGGTATTAGAAAGCAGTATATAGTATTCTTTTAAAAACAGAGGGTCTTCAAAATCTCCAAATCTCTTTAACTAGAGGAACGTATTGGGTGTTCTGGTACTATAATATTGACGGGTTAGCCTAGCTCTTAAAACCCTTAATAGGCGTAAAACAGGTTTCAAACTTTAACGTAAATATTTACTGGCCCAGGCCAGTTGATCTAAAAGAGCTTTAACGTAAGCTAGGAGGGAAGCCTCCCTTTTGTCTTAAAGTAGTAGTAGCTTTAATACCTAACTGCTCCCTATAAATAGGTTAGGCTATATAAGTCTTAACTATATAAGTTCTAGCTGATATATAATCTAGAGATTTCCGGCTATAATCGGATTCTATACTGTCCGAAGTCCTAATAGCTATCTATCGTTTATATATGTAAAAGTATGTACCTCTAATTAGACTGATAAATTAATTTAATTTAAATATAATAAGTTTGATTAAGGCCGGCTTAGAGAAGATAGCTTATACTTTTTCTATATTTGAAAAAGTAGCAAAATCATACTAATTAATGTAAGATGGGAA